ATTAATATATTTTTATTTATATATTTTTAAATAATTATATTAATATTTTTAATATTAATTTTAAAATTTTCTATATTATTAAATATATTATTATATAATTAAAAGGATTTTAAAATAAATTCTTTATAATAATATATAGTATATTATTTATAGCTTAAATTAAAAATTTAAATAATATTAAAAAAATATTTTATTATATTTAGAAAATATTATAAAAGTTTTTTTAATATTAATTAATATTATTATTATTAATATTAAACTTTTTTAGTTTTTTTATTTAATATTTAAAATTATTTATTAATTTTATTTATTTTTATACTTTTTTTAATATTTTTTTTTTTTTAAAAATAAATTATTTTTTATATAATTTATTTTTTTATAATATATATATTTTAATACTTTTATTATTATAGAGTTTTTATTATTAATTAATATAAGTCTTTTTTAAATTAATAAGGCTTATGTAATATTTATATTATTTTTTTATTTTATTTCTTTTACTTTTATATTTTATATTATATTATTTAATATTAAAAATACTTTAATATTATAATTAATTTAAAAATTTATATATTAAATAATATATTATTTTTTTAAATTATCAATAAACTTTAAAATTAAATAATTATTTAAAAACTTATATTTACTTTTTATTTATAAAAACTTCTTTTATATAATTTTAATTTTTTATATAAATTCTTAAATAGATTTTAATAAAATAAAAAAATATTTTTTTTATTTTTTATATACTATTTATAATACTTTAAATTTAATTTCCTAGAATTTTTCTTTTATTTATTAAAATATTTTTATAATTATATATTTTTTAAATATTATTTTATTTAATAAAATTAAAAATATTATTTTTAAGATTTTAATATATTACTACTATTTATTTTTTTATATTATTAATTAACTTTTAAAAACCTTATTTTTTATATTATATATATTTAATAAATCTTTTATTTTTATTAAATTAATAATTAACTTTAATTATTATTTTTAAATTAAATAGTTTTTTTATTTATTTAAAGTTAAAAATAATTAAAAGTTTAAAATATTAATAAAAATAAAATTAATCTTTAAGTTAATTATAATTAATTATATTTAAAATATAATATTATTTTTATTATTATTTTTTTATTATAATATATTATAAATTAAATATTATAAAATAAAAGCTAATTATAATATATAAATTTTATATTTATAAATATTAATATTATTTAAAAAAAATAAAATATTAATTACTTTATTATTTTTAAAATCTTTATTTATTAACCTTAATATTTATTATTTTATTATATTTAAGCTATTATTAATTTCTATTTAGTTAATATTTTCTTAGTTAACTTTAAGTTTTTAGCTTTTTTTTTAAAACTACTGTTAAAGTTTTAGGCCTATAATTAAATTATTTAATAATAGTAATTTTATTTAATAATTCCTTAAACCATTTAGGTTAATTATTTCCTATTTATTAACTATTTTCTATATTTTTTTATATTTAAATTTAAATATATTAAAATTAATAAAATTAATTATTAACTAATTTAATTATATAAGTATTTAGTAATTTTAGTAAAAGCCGGGCTTATAACCTATTAAAATATATATTAATTAGCTTTTATTATTACTAATTATATAGTCGGTGTAGCCTCTCTACTTATGCCTAGTAACCGGAATAACCCCTGTACGCCTAGGTACTGATACTTTCTATGTTAGTGCCCCTATTTTCAACACATCATAAAAGGTAGGGTGCTCGCCAACAAATGTCCAGTCCATAGCGCATGTCATATCCGCACCAAGGGCTCTTTTTTGATGGACAAGCTCGAGAATGTCCTCGGCACATGCGGACACATCGTTAAGGAAAATAACGGTTGTATCATTTGTCGCCGTGTCGTGCAAGCCCAGGAGCGGTGCTAATGCCTTGTTTCGAAGCTGTGCAAACACGGTCGTCCTTGCTCGGATCGATCCCAGATGACTCGAAATAATGTGTGACTCCCATATTCTCGAGTGCTGACCGAAGAGCAACAAGAACATCGGCGGTACCGTCCGGAGAGTTACCTTCAACTATGGACAGTACACATTGTGCCGGGCCGAGAAAACGAATCGCTTCGACAATGCTGCCCATCAGCTGAGGTAACAAAGGCAAGTTTTGTCGCAGGTTGAGGGCGAAGAAGTATTGAATAACGGGATCGGAGGGACGTTTGCTCTTGAGCGCGCCGTATCGCGTAGCATTAATTGCAGGGCAGTTTAGGTGTGATAATGTTGAAAGCCGTGTTGTCAGGATCGCCTCGAGATATTGAGTGATGTTAGCGGCCGGTAAGATGGCGCCTAGGAGAATGAATAGGGTCAGCAAACATGTCTTGGTGTATTTGCGAAAAGAAGCAGCGGGATCCGAGCGCAGAGCACCAACCGTCAAGAACAGGCTTCAACTCCGGTACCTTCGGCCCTACATCATTAATATCATGTTGAAACAAAGGCTGCATAAATTGATCTCTTTTCATAAACAGAGTTGTCGCGATGATGAAGCCCGCGATCAAAGGAGCTGCAAGTGTCAACAATCTTCTACGCATCTTGAGAGCCGATAATTACACGGCATATTGAGGCTGTAAAGCGCGTCCTTGGCTACATTATAAAGCATAGAGGAGGATGCGAAAAATAGCATATTAAGGAGGGTTTCTGTAGCCGCTGACTGTGGTTGTTGGTCGTCGATTGCATTGGCGCAATCTTTCCATTGGTCGAATTGCGGGCCAGACGAGGATGCGAAGCGCCGAGAGTTAATATCTCGAACCAACAGCATTTGGAACCTCAGCCTTGCCTGTACCTTGCCACCTGAGAATTTTCATTTGGGTGCCCGACAACATGCTATATGTACGGGTAGACGAAGCGGTAACCTGAGGAGGGAGTGATACACCTCTTTCTCTACGGATTTGGCTTCCACTTTTTTTTTTTTGTTTTTGGCAGATCGGCCATAACCTTGCTGTTCCATGACATATTGATGGCACATCCAGTTGCATGAGACATGAGAGTCATGGCTGCATATGCGACGAGAATACTCGTCGGCTGTCTTTTCTTCTCTCAAGTTAGCGTTTGCAGAGCGCGGAATATTGGTATTCCACTACCCACTCCCTCAGCACAGATATATCAACGCAATGGAACGGAATTCGATAAACGGGCTGATATACAGACAGAATTATCAACCTGCGGATATCAAAATGGTGACCCTAAGAAGTTCCGTACCGCCAACCCTGGATTTGACTGTAGAGTTGACACTATGAATGGCCTCTGGGGCTTCTGTCCAGTCACTGTCGTAGCAGCTACTGACTGCGGCTTGGTTGGAAGCTGTGTCGACCAAGGATCATGTTTGAGTGGATGCGGGAAAACTGCCAACATCGAGTTGACTACGTTTACTTGGTAGGTTTCATCTTCCCGTAGCTACGGATTCTCTCCATGCGTAGCGGTTGTTGACTTGACTCTTCAGCGGGCCGAAGCAATTCTGCTCCACTGCCCTCTTGACATTTGGGGTCGACCAAACTTACACTAATATTGCCTGTGGCGGGAGTCCCAAGACAGATCACTATCTTATTTCCCCCACCATGGATTCTAGTTCAACCAGTCCAACCAGCCCAACCGCTCGTCGGTCATCTTTACCAACATCTACTGCGACACAGATGACTATGAGTACGTTTTCATCGTCATCTAAATCAACAGACGCATCTTCTGGTAAATCATCACAGGCAACGACGCCATCAACAATTGCAGCGCCTGCAAAAGAAACCAATCCTGGCAGTAGCAGCACCAACAACAGTGACTCTTCTGCAAACAATACTGGGGCAATCATTGGTGGCGTCATTGGTGGCATTGCTCTGTTGTGCTTCTCCGGCATTGTTTCCATCTTACTTTTAAGGAGAAATCAATCACATCGTCGCCAGACGCCAACTCATGGGATGCAAAGAGATACCCATGAGTCTTGGTATAATCCGAGTCCCAAAAACCGGCATCGTTTCACAGGCGGCTGGGGACCTAGAGAATTGCCGGGCTCGCAATACGAAAGAACCTCTGATCATGCGATAGAGCTACCTGGCTAATATTCCCAAACGCCAAGTGTTTTGAATGTAAGCTTTAGGTGAAGCTACCACAAATGAAACAGAGACGTGTCATTTGTAATGAGACAAAATGTAACATGGAATAGAGGATACATTAGAGTTGCACTTAACACGATTAATGACATTTTACAGCATGTATAAATTCTCAATTAGTGTATCGTGATTCATGAAGAGTGACCTTTGGAACCCATTTTTGACTTTGATTGCACGCCACCACATGCTCTTAATACTTTAATATGCCGACCCGTAACCACGCTTTCTGACATTCAAGAATAACTTCTGCTCTAACACCAAGGAAACGAGACATCTTATAGTCCTAGATATAGCAAAATAAAAGCGCGGCTGAATTTTCATTCATTCAAAAGGTATTTCCCGTCTCGGTTTGTTCGGCGAAGAGATGGTGTAGTTAGCATAGATGTTGGACGTTGTAGAAGTGCTAACTTGACCGTGAACCAGCGGCAAAATACCAACTGAACCATGACCACTCGAATGCCTGAAAATGGATAGATTATATCCAAATCGACTAAAGAAATTCAGCCATACCAGTTTATTCGTAAATTGAGAAGAAACCCAGGGAATATCTTGGAATACTAATCGCTGTAGACATTAATATCGGCTGTTGCTTTTCCTCAAACATATGAACATGCAGACCTACTACGACTCGTTATACCGTCATGACAGACAAGACAAAGTAATCGGCTAATAATCGCAATTATAACAACTATAACAGAACCAGCCGTTTGTAAAGAGTCAACATGGCGGAGCGTAACAAGACCGCAAACCCAAGACAAGGGAAAATGTCGTCTTTTACTTTCCTCCAGTATATGAAAATGGGGAACTTATGCAATGAAAACTGTAAAGCTATCAGGAGGTCAACGTTTTTGCTCGGTCTTGAGTAGCTTTTTAAATACACTGTATAGGGGAGACAGTGACTCTTCCATACCTACCTAGTCACAGCCCTCCACACTTTCTTTTAGGTTTGAATACGCATGGGATTCCAATACTAATCAGATTCAATAAATTTGAAAAGGATAGAATTTTGATGTTTATTGCTTGTGATATCTTCCATCGTTGTTGCATATATGGCCCTTGGGGTCTTGCACGGCTGTTCTCATAACAGATAACAATACATTTGATCATACAAGTTATCCTAGCCCTTGTGTGGGATATTCTTTGTTTGGCCTATGCCTGTAATAACATCACTTTGTATCCTTATATATAGATTCTTCAAAAATGTCTCCAAGTAGTGTGTAGTTGCAGCTATTGTGATAAGTCGCATATAATACTTAACCATCAATTTCTAAGATCCAGCAATGCAGCCAGTTCGAGGCAATTTAAAATGAAAATTTCATGTTGGTCAGCTCTTCAGTCCACTTCCATAGCTTATTCGCTTCGACTTCACTGGATGCCCATGGTCTGACAGTATGCACATAAGGGTTTGCGACCTGACAATCCGCGAGGTAGGCTCCAGTATGTTCTTTCATATAAGGGTTAGCACATGCATGAAACTAGAAGCTAGATGCTGATACGCTTACCTGAAAGGTCTGGATCGAAGGATGCGTAAATACTCGTTGCGATACCTGCTTCTTTACTTCGATACTTTGGCCAGCCATTTACAGCTTCATCATTACCCAACTCAAAGTCAATTCTGTCTTTGAAATTGGGTCAGTATAGCTGAAATTCTTTTGACACCATGCAGAAATTACTCACTTATGTCTCCAAATTCTCCAGCCCAGTCAACATGTCCCCCTAATGGTGTGATAATTACACCAGGGTCGAGGCCAAATACTTGTGCCCTCTGCCCTAGTAATTTACCAAGATAGAGAGCATAAAGATGAACTGCTGTTTTTGACTGGCCGTATGCATGCCATCTGTTATAAGTTTCACCACCCTGTACGGTATTACGATAGAATCTGTCAGCAAAAATTCCTTATTAAAATAATGCGGAGTTGTCTACCTTGAAGTTGTGATCATGCCAGCGAATCGGACCCCAGCGATGACCATCGCTACCTAGAAGCACAACCCTCGGGTCCTGTGACTTAAGAATCTTTGGTAAAATGGTGTTTGTAAAAACCCAAGTAGCCATATAATTAACACCTAGCTGTCGCTCAAACCCGTCTGCTGTTATCGCATGGGTAGTCCCCATGATTGCGGCGTTGTGGCAGAACACGTCGATATATGGCACATCAGCCCAAGAATTCACCGTTTCAGCGGCCTTTTTAACTGCAGATAGAGAGTCAAGATCAAGTTCAAGCGGCTTGATGGCTACCTTGGAGTCAATCTTTCCTATTGCCTCTGCCATGTATTTGAGCTTATCGACACTGCGACCTGCGAGAATCAGGAGCTTAGGCTCAAACTTGGCAATAGCCAGGCAATATTCCTCTCCAAGGCTTCCTTGAGAAGTCCCAGTCACAAGAACAATCTTGCCCCTGATTCTATCTGCATATGTAGCAGCCAAGTCGTGTCCGGAGATAGAGGAGCCATTTGCGGGAGGAGCCATGATTGAAGCTTTAATTTGGACGAGACTTCGCCTTATGAGTAGATGAAGAAAGGGAAGTGAACATATTTCAGCAAATCTGAGGCCCTTCAAGCTTATTATAGTCCCTTATTCCATAAGCTTCCACTCAAGATTCGTACTCAGCTCTTTAGAGAGCTTCGCAACGAATTAAACATGGTATTCCTATTCGGGCCCTTTAGTGCGCCGCCACTTTGATACCGCGGAGCAGGTGTGTTGGTTTCCACCGGCAATTCTGCTGCTCAGAGAATACCTTAACTGCGGGTGTGCAGCCCGCTCTTTCATCTAGATTAATGAATTAAAAATCAGCACGATTTATAATATTCGGTCCTCGAGTTACTCCGTCGGGATCATAGATCTATGCACTTTTGTTCGTGATTCAGGCGCATCCAAAGTCCTGCGGGCACGTACCGGAGACACAACCCACCTTGGGTGTCTGCTAAGATTCCATCCCCTGTGCATGAGTTAGTATCTCCGGTTATCTCCATTTTAAATAAGTCGTAGCAATATATGGCTCCTGAGTGATGATGGGACAGCGAAGATTACCTCGATCTCTACGTGTATTATATTCATAGCAAAATTTCTATATTCCTTGCGTATTTATAGCTATACTACTGTATTGCGACTGTAGTCTGAATGCACCGGAAAGGGTATGCCTAGCTCGTCAGCCTTGATCGAAAGTGCAATGAACCGAGAATAATATCTTGCGTGGCCTAAAGCACCACCAAGATACCACAGTCCAGGCTCTAGAAATGTCGTTAGTCTAGAAAAAGTACCACAGATAGCTGGGGGAATAAACTCAAGTTAAACTTACGCTGGAGTACTCGAAAAGCCCCAAGCACTTCCCCTTCTTCATTAATCCCAAAACAATCACCAGCACAATCTGCCACGGCCTTACCAAAAATGCGCTCGACATCATTTCGCAAATTTCCATCAAAGCCTGTAGCAAGCACGATAACGTCTGCATCGATTTTCGTTCCGTCTGTAAAAGCTAGGCCAGACTGAGTATACCTTTCCACCAGCGCGTCTGACTTGACTTTAATCTGAGTTGAACGTCATATGAGTATCAAATGCACAACGCATCGATGGCAGGTGTAAAATTCGGGGAACTGGAAATAGTATAAATCCTTACATAGCCTTTACTGATCTTAGCCGAGGTACCGACATCGATGTAGTGACCTCCTAATTTAATGTTGATAGCTTCTTGAATATCCCCATAGGGATTCACCTTGAAGCCAACCTGTTCAAGAGCTTCCCATCTCTCCGGTTGGGCTTTCGCCATAGGGTGAAATGCCTGAGCTGATAAAAGTCGACTGATTGAGATAGGATTGCTAAACATTGTTCGATCGCTTATTTCGGTTGGTATGTTTTCATTATATAACACTGGCGCGCAGCAGGAGTTAAACGTTCGTTCAGTATCGGTAAGTATCTCCATGTTACACTTACGGTGATATCGACTCGCGATGTATTCTACTGGAAGCACAACTATTATCATGTTAGAAAGGATATTGCTTTAGATGCACAACAATTCTCACATGTACGGCTGCGCTGAATCATTGTCACCGCCATGCCTGCTTCAAGCATATCATCAGCGACGTCGTGAGCTGCATTGTTAGCGCGAGTACTTGGTGTTTAGTAGGTCGAATTACCTGTGTTTGCTGTGCCAACAACAATTCCTCGCTTTCCTTTCCAGCCTACTGCAGATTTATAGTTTTGAGAGTGCATTAAGATGCCGCTAAATTGATGCTGAATTCTCTCGTTAATATTGAAAGCTAATCATATTTCACATCGAACCAATATCGTCGGTTGCTTACCTTGTCCGGCCACTCTGGGATTAAAGGAACTTGCGATCCGGCTCCTGTAGCGAAAACAACATGTTTCGCTGTAATTCTTAAGGTAGCACCGTTTCTTTTAATACTCAGAGTGTAAAGTTGCCGATCTATGTCCCAAGTTCCAGATTCTAACGTTGTTGAGAGCGAGATATTCTAAGTCAAGTTCTTAGTTAGGACTATAAGCATTGCAATGAAAGCGAAATGCAGTGAAAGCTGGTAAACTCACAATTCCGTACTTCTTGGCCCATTTTTTATGACCAGCGGCTAATTCCTCTTTACCAAGATATTCACCTAGTTCAGAACCAAAAGTACGGTCAAATGGGAGGTGTGCTGTTTCACTGTTAGTCCATATACAGCTAATTGCTTGGGCGTCTACTCTTCACCATATTCCCGAACTGTATGAACTAAAGATGATGTCAGCCATCATTAAACCAATCAATAGAGTTAAAGGAACCTAAGGCAAGGACGAGTCGTACGTTTTGCAGAGTTGTATCTTAAGCCCCAAGCAGCGCCAACCTCTTCATTCTTCTCTAGTATAACGTAGGAGACTCCCAGTGCTTGAAGACGGCCACCGGTGCTAAGTCCACTCTGACCACCCCCAATAATTACAGCATGAAAGTGGGACTCCCCGGATGAGCTGATACTTTCCTGTTCTACGTGCATGCTGCTGTCTGTCTGTGGTATACATGGCGCGAGAGAATCGACGTTGCCATGGCCCGAAATCTGCTCCAGGATTGTGCGTAGCACCCAGATTTTCCATATCCCACCAGCAACTGGTACTAAGTGCAGTATAGCTGAACACTCTGTTTCAGGATACTTTGTTTGGAAAGTAAACCGGCATTCTAACCAAGAAGCCTCTTCATGAAGCCTAATGATCTTGGCAGAGTTTGGGACAATTTTGACAGCGGATGAAACGCCGCGGGATTTACTCAAGATACTCCACGTAGTAGAAATTCTGTCTGAAGAATAGAATGTACGCATCGTGCCTGTAAGGCCGTAGGTGTCACGCCATATTGCATCGTCGGTGAAGTCATCTGCCGCGAGGTGAGGAAACTTATCAGCAATGGTATTTGGTCCCGCTTGGAGATCGACGCCATCCGGAATCTGTGCTTGAGGTAGTTTCCCTGGAAGGCAATCTAGGGGATTTGTTGAATATGGTTGATTTGAAGGAGTGGTCGCCATTTTGTATTGGTGGTAAAAATTCTCAGGTTTACGACGGAAACGTGACAGATACAAAATAGCTCAAGTCCAATGTGTGTCTGTCTCTGCCCCCCTCCGTCTCTACATACACACACACACACAATATATATATAAACTTTTGTTTATAAACCAAAAAAAATTCACCTTCTCTTAGAAAACATTAATTTGATGCAAATGCTTGCGATAAGTCTGTTGGCTATTCGGCGAGCATTGGTTCGGAGGTGATGTGTCGGAGAACGTGTGTAAGTGATAAATATCGCGGCTCGGTTGATAAATACGCCCCGAGCGAAGAGCTACACTGAATTTCTCATCCGTAAACTCTCCTATGCGAAGAGTAACAGATGTTCCGCAAGAGAGTCTGCTACCCCGAAGCAACTGGGAACTTCAATTCTCCAAGCCCTGGATCAGATGCCAAACATTCGTTTCGGTTCAGTTGATATGAGTACACAACTCGCCCTCTATCACCACGACTGTGGCGTGGCCGAGGTCAGGGAGTGCAGGATTCCGGAGCCTACCGATGACGAGGTTCTTGTCAAAGTGGCTGCCGTAGCCCTGAATCCAATTGATTGGAAGATACTCCATGGGTCAAAGCCTTCATTGCCAGCCATCCTCGGCTGTGACTTCGCTGGTACTGTGGCTAGCGTTGGTAATGGTGTGACAAAGACCAAGGTTGGCGAACGTGTCATCGGCTTTGTAGCAGGAGGTTAGAATAAACCATCTTTCCAAATCTAAACATTTTTAATGCAAATCAGTGTAAAACTGAACTCAGTACCATATCCTCAAAAGCCGTTGCTAACAAACCGGGTTGTTGAAAAGGCAATCCTCTGAGACCAACAGATGGTGCATTTGCCCAATATGTTGCTGCCCCAGCACATATGATTCTTCACCTACCCCAACATATGTCGTTCGAAGACGGCGCATCACTACCAAGTCCTCTATTCGTTGGTGGATTCTGTCTGTATAAACACTTGCCAATCCCATATCCATCATATCCAGGTGATGCAAACATTAAGCAGCCTGTAGCAAATGATGAAGGTGACCGTACAGCGGTGTTAATTTACGGTGGCGGCACAGCTACCGGGTCAATACAGATTCAATTGGCTAAGTTGTAAGTACCAAAGGACTCAATAGATTTAGCTGAGATTTACTTAGTACATTAATGAACTTCTGACAATGCATATAAAACAAGGTCGGGGTTAAGTGTATACACCGTGTGCTCCCGCGATAGCTTCGAGTTAGTGAAAAGATGTGGTGCTGATTACATTTTCTATCATGTGAGTTTCGATACTAGTTCTTTGCTTATCTTGGGATCTACTACCTCCCAATGTCTCCTTGGTTCCTAGGAATTACAAACAAGCTAAGAAACGTTTAGGATGAACCGGCTTCATTAACTCATCTGCGTGGCGTTACACAAGGCAAAATAAAAGCGTCGGTTGATTGTATCTCTTCAGAATACTCTGCTGCTATATGTGCTGCCAACATGGACATTTCTGGAGGCAAGTACATCAGCCTTACCGCAGCAGACAGGATCAACGATCCACGAATCACGGTTGTTAAAATTTTTGGTTTCACAATGATGAATAGAGAATTCATTTTCGAATCGAAGGGAATTCGCGCAGATATTAACCACGATAATGCAAACTTTGCAGCTTTTTTTAGTCAAATTGCCGAGCGGCTCATAGCAGTCGGAGCAATTGAGCATGGGGCGGTAGAAGTTCGTCCTGGTGGCTTGGATGGAATTCTTTCCGGGCTGGAAGACTTAAAAGCTGGGACTGTACATAGAAAAAGGCTGGTCTATCTCATTGAATGAGCTACCTCTGTTTAATTTAGTTGATAAATGCTTAAGAAATGTCATATATTCAACAGTGCTGGACTATTTTTTTTTTATATATTAGTTACCTCTACAGCTCGTATAAGGCGTCTGAGGGTTGACGCAAATGCCCGTGAAATGTCCCAAAAGCGCATGTTTTGCAATATGCGGACTGTCTCCTGAAGCACCTGCACACGGCTCGCTGCTGCGGCCAAATTTGGCACGCCATACAGTCCAAGTTGGATATTCCCGCCGCCCGCTTGAACCCACTGAAGAATCTCAAGAGTCCAATCTTCCACATTAGCAGCTGATGGTTTGTCCAATAGAAGGATGGCATGGTCCGTTTCTGAATCAATATGTTCGCTACTTGCACCACATATGGTATCTCTGAGAGGAGAAGTCAGCAGAGTAGCGGAACACCACAATACAGAGCCGGCGTAGAAAACGTAAAAAGACTCGTATGGAGTGTTAAACGGGAAGTCCCGACAAATCGCTATGATTTGCGAGCTGTGGTATATAACTTTGCGTACTCGTGCAGGATCTTCTTTTCCCCATTGGGCCATGCGTTCGCGAGCGGGTTTGTTAAGGCCCGCACTTCGAAGTAGAGCTGGTAACCAATCCATCAAATCGCTTGCGCCGTATAAATGCGACATGTGGATAATCAGGGCTCTCTGAGCAACATGAGAAATGACGCGATCATCCGCCGTTGTAGAGTCTTTTAATGCGTGAGGTGAAGCCAAAAAGTCGCTCATCTTGTCCGTAAGTGTCATTTTATGCTGGTCAATTGGTAAATAATCAGGTACCACGTCCATGAGGGGGGACACTTGTAGCTCTTTAAGTGACCAAACAAAGCGAGCTAGCATCACCACAAGGATATGAATATGTTGAGTATCAGTCAGCTGAACATTCTCAATGACACTTGCATCAAAACAGCTACGAGCAGCAAGCCGAAAACCAATCGGTTCTGGATCTATTGTCCACGGGCGGAGAGCCATCCAAGAGTATGCTGATGGAGCTTCCCAGTGGTCTGCATCATCAGGGAGAGAAAGCGTCAGATCACCCGTGCTGAAAGCCGGGCGTTGATTGTGAAGAACGCTCACTAGGGCATCAAATTCCTGTAAAAAGATGTTAGAAACGATTGACAGGCTAACTAGATGATTGAGATTTCAGAAATTAAGCATACGTATATGGCCCATCCTAGTCTCTTACGTCGCTCAGTAGCAATCCAGGACATCCAACGGGTCTCTGCACCCTCGTTACGAGTAGAGAGAGCCTGCTGTGGCATGTCATGAAACAGACCAACCTGTTTCGCAGTTCGGACCAATGACCATCTTAAGCTCTCGCTAAAATTGAACAAGACCTTGTCGCCGCTGCAATATCCGTAAATGCCCTGGAGCAGCTGTGCCGCCATGAAAGATTCGGAGCGTGCGACCCGTGGTTCACGTTCGCCCTAATATATTCATTAGCGGAAGAGCTATATCACAGGAGTTGAGCTCTGTTATGGCAACGAACGGTCGAAAGTAAGAGACGCCGATTCAACTTGGCTATAACATTAGCAAAAGATGCAGCCCCGCTAAGATTGGTGAATCGTGCCCCTATGCTGGCGATAGCAAGAATAAGCGTATCTGGCGCGGTTGTAGGATCAAATGTGGGCTTATGAATGAAGCTCAGGACCTCCATAAATATGTCAGACTTCACTAATATTACGTTTATCAAAATCTCGAGGGAGATCATCGAACTGGCCCTACTCACTGGCTGGAAGTTGATAAAGAAAAGATCGATGCAATGATCTAGCTTTTCTTTGCTTGGAAAATCAGAAAAAGAAACTGTAGCCCAAAGCGGCTCCTCAAGGCAAGCCTTGGCAGATCGTTGGATGCGATCTCGATCTTCTTCGGTGAGATGTCGAAGCTGAGAGTACGATCCCGCTTTAGATAGATCAGTGCGTTGACCACCTAGACTTGGAATATCTAGGGATCTCTCGGAAGGTTCATGTGGGTCAAGAAGCCACGCCTCCTGTTGGGCATTGCCTTCCTTATATTTAGAGGCAGGTTCTTGGGCGTTATTTGGATAATTCTGATATGTTGACCAGAACAATGGCGAATTCGTGTGGTCAAGCAGCATGCGGTCGGGAGAGAAATCAAGCGCGTTGAAATCCACTCTGTCTCCGACATCTCGAAGGACCCAATCAAAGTGTGTATCATCGTAACTGGCAATAAAAGGATCTGTCAGAGGAACGTTGTGAGCCCTTTCAGTAAGATATGTGCCAAAATGCTGTGTTGGAAAAGATGGGAGAGGTGTTGGGGCTTGTGTGTCCGATTCAACCGAAACGGATTGCGGCTCCTTATCGGTATCTTCAGTCGACTCTAGATGGATTGGGGCTTTATTTCCATAGTCAATGGCATATGATGTAGTAGAATGTGGAGTCGATCTGTGTGTAGAATGAGAATCATCGCGCTGATGCTTTTGTTCACCACTAGCAATCGGCAAAGTGTACTCGCAAGAGACTTCTCGCTCAGCACATGCAAGACACTGCGGACGATGACCGGAGCATTTTATTTTCGACCTTGGTAATGTATTTTAACGTCTGGTCTTTTCTTCAAATGGCTCTCCACAAGCTCTACCTTCGACAGCGGTCGCACGACTTTTTTCGTGCCTTAGGACCTCGCTCATGCATCCTCATGTGCCGGCTTAGACTATCTCTGATGTGTACTACATTAGTCTCTTATTATTACCCTTTGGAGTCATGTAAAAGATATACATACTTGCGACGGAATTCCCTGCCACAAATTCGACATGGATTCATGATGTTTGTGCTGGGAATACGTCTGGGGAGGTGGGCTTAGTGGAGCTAGTAAACTTGGGGGGCAAAGTGTGATATCAAATTTAGATATCAGCTTTTCATTAATGCTGCGCAATGAGAGAACCTGTCATCCCGATGTGTATGATAGAAGCTCCTCGGGTTCGAAATGAGTAGTCTGGAAAGGCGGAGCTAAGCACGATCAATCAAGCACTAGTTCTAAGTCCGTATTTATTCCTAAATCCGAACTTTAGCTCCCAAGCTACAAGATGCTGATGAAAGCCAAATTCCCACGGCCTGTATTACGCAACCGGACCAACTCGGTTCAAGTTGCCGGCGCGTTTTCTTCAAGCGTGACAGGTTGAATCTTCTTGTCGCTTTGGAATAGGGCTACAGCAGCCTCTCCTTTCACCCGGCATGAGAGATTAATTTACTAGAGCCACTGAATGCATGCAGCTATCTACCCTTATTTAAGACAACTGGAGAAGTCTTAGCTTCTATCCAGGCATGTAATACGTGCGTCTGTATACCTGGTTATTGTCTTTGTAACAAAGAATCAAGCAAACACGCCCTTTCTATTTACAAAGACACTTCTTTCGCAACAAATCGGAATGCTTCGCGCACAAGCTCAAATTCCGGATCGTCTTTCGCCAACTTCGCGTCGAAGTTATGATCCCGGCCCTCCGCAATCACAAGCTTTGACTTTGCATTCTTAGCTAGCAATTTCTCGTGAGCCATTCTAGAAAATTTCGCATCGCACATCTTGTCCTCTGATCCATGCACAAAGTATGTTGGCGGGAAAGTGCCAGAGAATAACTTCGCAGGATCAACACGGGCATAATCGCCATCATGCACAATAGCTCGGAGCCATGTCCCATCTCTGAAATGAGATAGTAGCCATGCGTTCCTCGGCTTGGAAAGGTCTGGTACGAGAACCGAATTGCCTTGGAGCTTCTTGAATAGCGAAGGCGCAGATACAAGAGGCCCTTCGTCGTTGATTTTGTCCAAGAATTCCTGCGGAAAAGCAGGTATTTTGGAAAATGCAGTCATTGGCAACTGCCAAAAAGTATCCTCAAAATACATTGCTGGGTAAAATGCCAGTATTGCTTTGGGGGAATTCTTCGCCGCACCCTAAATCCAGAGCATCATCAGCACCTCTCCTTAGCATTGATTGGTGTGAAGACATCAGAAAAAGTAATCACAGAGAACCCTTACCAAATGCAATGCCATGGTTCCCCCCGCAGAAAATCCTATAACAGCGACTCTGTTCCCCTCAGCATCAACACCGGCACTGGTCAATAGCCTGGGAAGCTCATTTTGCACCCATTCATAGCAGCTGTGTGCATCATTGATCGGACCATCATATAGAGATACTGCTGGATAGTGACGGTAGTTGGGCACCACAACAACAAAGCCAAGCTCCAACACGAGTATCTCAATCTCGTTTTTAGATACGAGTTCCTTTGATCCGACGACAAAACCACCGCCGTAGAACATGATTACTATATAGAATTTAGCATTCAGTGCTCATTAACTGATAAAGCACACAAACATACCGATGGGCTGGGCGCCACTGGTCGGTGCTGTTGCTGAAGACGCATAATATACATCTGCCGTCAAATCAGGTTCTCCCTCAAGGCTTCTATACGTATATTCTTTCGATTCCATGGCCATTTGCAATACTTTGGATAAGAAACTCTGAATGAAGAGTCAGATCGGCTTCTCTCAATCGAGATCAACACAATATGGTACCAGTAAGCATGCTACCAGTATCAAATGACCTAAGATATTTATGTGTCAGATGAATGGAGGTACAATTCCATAACAAGTTTTAGCATAAATTTACTTACGATCACCGTAGCCCGAGTGATGGCGCAGCCACCTCGATTCCGAATTATAGAGAATGGCCAGACGTAATATTGAGTGTGGAGCTTCGGAGATCGTGTGGCGGGTCATCGCAAAGGCCACCACCACAACTCCGAGACCACATCTGCATGCGCATACACATCTCGGTCCACGGAGACGACGTCCAGCGATGTTTGCCCGACTTAACAGGAATCTCCAGAACCATATTGATCAGGCGCATATATATCTTAAGATGGTTAGGTCACTCAAATCTCAGTCTTCAAACCCATTACTCTGATATCAGCACTAATACAGCACTTCTAAGAAAGTAAGCCATGGAGTTACACAGCACTCGAGCTCTCCCAATTAGCAAACTCAGAGGTGCTCTCAAGGGCTCATTTGCTCTGACGCCTGATTCAGAAGGCTACGAAGCAAGCTTACACAGATGGTCTGAAGCAGCTGAAAAAAGAGCGGTATGCCACAAATTAATCTATGAATCAAGTCTAATACTAACACCAAATCTATGACTAAGGCAGTTGTGGTGCAAGCAAGGTCAGCCGAAGATGTATCCACAGCGTTACTATTTGCTCAAGAGCATGGCTTAGAAGTTGCTGTGCTTGGTGGAGGACATTCAACCTCTGGATCATCTTCGACTGAGGGCGGCCTCGTTATCGATCTCACTAAAATGCGTCATGTAACGGTCAACCCGTCCTCAAAGACAATCAAAGCTCAAGGAGGAACCATATGGGAGGACGTCGATCTGGCTGCGGCCCAATATGGTCTTGCAACAGTTGGTGGAACTGTAAATCACACCGGTGTTGGCGGTCTCACACTAGGCGGAGGCTATGGCTGGCTAAGCGGCAAATACGGACTGACAATAGACAACTTGGTCGAAGCTGAAGTGGTCCTCGCCGACGGTCGAATTATGACAACGTCTGAAAAACAAAACTCTGATCTCTTTTGGGCCATTCGTGGAGCTGGCCAGAGCTTTGGTGTTGTAACTAGCTTCACCTTTCGTGGCTACGAGCAAAAGGATCCAGTATGGGGAGGGCTACTAGCTTTTGATACCGCTGCTTTGGATAAAGTGATTGACTTCGCTAACAAACTCGTGGAAACGACGGAAGGACAGAGTGGTATGGTAGTGGGAATTGGTGCGCCTGCTCCGACTCACGAGGTTCGTATCCTCACAATCCTCTTCTACGACGGTGATGAAGAGAAAGCAAGAGCGTACTATGATGCTTTATTCAAGCTTGGTCCCGTTGTGGATAGGACTTCAGAAATGACATATAAGCAAGTCAACAGCATGCTTAATGCGGTATCGACACATGGTGACCGCAAGACTCAAAAAGGCTCTGCATTTACTGCTCCACTACCTGCTTCTCTGGCAAAAACGCTAGTCCAGGACTATTCCCAATTTATTGACGAAGTGCCAGATGCTAAAAAGACCATCATCTTGATGGAGTATTTTAGCCAAAGGATGGTGAACAACGTGGCTCAGACAGCTATGTCCTTCGCCAACCGTGGGTTCCATTACAACATTCTGTTCAGTACACAATGGACAGGAGCACAAAACGACGCTAAATGCCGAGAATGGACTCGCAATATGGGGCGTAAAGTCACAAATGAGTTGCTCAAGACCAAGAACAATGACGGCGTTGGAGAATACGGAAATTACGACGGTATGTGAACAGGGAATGCTTGTCATGATGGTACTTTGGATGACTGACTTCAATTACTTCGAATAGGCGTTTCTTCTTCTTCAGCTCAAGATATCTTTGGAATCAACTACGAAAGAGTTCTAGAGCTGAAGAAGAGATACGATCCCAAAAACATATTCGCCAAAGGAGCAGGTAAATTCAACTTTTAAATGGAGTCTTCATGAGTGTAGATATGCAAAATTATCTTTTCATTCAGTATTCGACGTATGAGAGACAATCATTTGTGCCTTTACAAAAGAAAAAGAAGAATGTCTCCTTGGTATACATTTGGCTGGAAAGTTACAATACAAAGAAATATAGTTCTAGGTTATCTCTAATCTATAGACAGGCTAAAAAATAGCTGATCAAATACAAAGACGTGTCTAGGCCAATTAACACCAGATTTCATAAAAGGAACGGCCATCCCGCACCCCAAGTTAACCATCCAGCACCCTGACAACTTGTTGGGTGTCGCCTGCCCCAATAGTAGTTACTTGCAGATTAGAGTGTAGGCCGGAAAGACGTCTATACGACTTCCCCTACGAGCCCCTGCGTAGTTATGTTATGCAGTTGATCATCAAGCGATTTCGTACAATGCCCCGTTGCCCACTCTCCAGTGAAGTCCGTGTGTAACAGCTTGGGATCTGAGCGACAAGGAGTTCAGATGCCATAACGAGGGGCAGAGGAAAGACCTTTAAAACCTTTACTTAAGTAGATATAATCATTTAATTATCATTCAATTAATTATTGGCAAATGATACAGCCTCTAACATCAGACCATACACTGCAGCCTACTAAATCGTCGGTAACAACCTGCAAAAGGAAACGGATAATGGAAAGCCGAGCAAAGGTAGAACATTCGCCGAAGTGTTTCGGACTGGCCAGTGATACCGCTTATTGATCCAAAATAGGCTTGAATTAATTCCCTAAGCCATCGGTATCCGAGATCCTCACAACAAGTTTGGTAGCGCTGACTGAACCATTCTTCAGGCGTGTAAGTGCACCTTCCAGGCCATGCAGGCCGCCTGGTACCACTTCATGTGGATGCGCGCTGAACCAGCCTTCGTTCAGACCCCTCCCAATAAATTTCAACATAACAGTCGTAAAATGCGTTATTCCTACGCTTTGGCCTTTGGAATTGGGCCAAGTAAGCACGTTGTTGCCAAGGTCTACCTGGCTCGTCTCAACCGCTGTATTGTTGCGCGAAATTCCGTCAGGAACTAGATCAGATGGAGTATCCAGTACGACAGCAATCTTTCCGATAGTCTTGTTTATCACCCGGGAAATGTTCAGAACAGTGCCATTTTCGCTTACGGCATCAAAGGCGAATTCAGGCTCTTTATTTCCCAGAGCCGTCTTTATCGCTTCGACCACAGAATTGTCACCTTGGCGGTAGTCGACAATGGTATCACCACGAGACCGATCAATGAGTGTCTCTACAAAATCAATTCCCCTCCCGGCAACTGCGATAATAGGATGAATATTCGAGAGAACGGCTAGTTTCACAGCGTAGGCACCTACAGCCGATGCCGCGCCATAAACGACAATTGGTTGAGGTTTGTCGCAAGGATCCCAAGGGTAAGGGAGAGAAAGACGGCGATATAGCCCCAAACAAGAAGTTATGGCCGCCAATGGGATAGTTGCAGCTTCTGTTGACAAAGTTAGCGGCTTCAATACCTGTATTGAGAAAGTGGCTCTGAGACCAACCCTCAAATGATACATGGTCAGCTAGATGGAATGTCATGCTCTCCCAAGCAATAGCATACTGGGCCCAGCCCCCTCCTGGACTCAATGTTTTGTGGAAAACACCTACTCGGTCACTCACTTTGAACTCTGTTACACTCTGACCAATTTCGTGAACAACTCCTGCAAAATCGTCACCTTCATTGGAATGCGTGACTCCAGGAACAGCGCCATCAGCCACTTTCCAGTCTTTGGGGTTCAGCCCAACGCAAGACACCTTGACAATTATCTGAAAGGGTCCTGCAGTCGGTATGGGTGATTCGACAACGTCGACCTTGGGCCCTGGGTAGGCGAGTGCCTCCTTCATTCTAAATATTGGCGTAAACGTTGACAGAGACACTGTACAGAGTTTGTTTTGTTAGAAGTTGAAAAGCCACTTATCTTTCTTAGCTGATATTAGATGCCACAGCGGATTTTTTTTCTTAAGTAAATGTTCTCAAGGAGTACGTTGATCTCCGAGATCGCAAAGGATATTTATTGAATCCAATGATGAGTTGGACAGGTCACACTTATGTTTCATGTGTGGACACAAAACATAACATCTTGAATTAGAGATCTTCATGGGATTATTGGATTGGTAAGCGAGCCCTTTGGAAACTAAAACCGGTTATTTCAAGAGCTTCATCCTTTCTCTTTCTGATCACGCAGCTCCTCTTACGCTCATGTTTATACTCAAGATGGCAACTCATGAGTGGGTCTTGGCTCAGCAACAGTCCCAGAAAGGCATTACATAGAAGTGTCCAACTCCGGAAGTCCGTAAATCCATAATCTCAAACATACGCAATAGCCGTATGTAGAAGATAGGCTTAAAAGGTACGTTCCCCATGTTTCAATGAAAAACGGATATACCATGTTCTCGGATCAGCAGATACCTAGGGCATTGATAAGCTTTCACGAGCCACTGTTGTGCACAATAGAGTATAAATACCACTACGGGCCATAGTTCCGCATAGTAAATGTGAACGACAGTCTGTATATGGCTATTATATGTTTTTTTGGTTTTATATATACTCTTCTTGGCGCTGTTTCTTCTGATATTCCCCTTCTTTCCATTATGATCACTTTGGCTTCTAAGTGTAAGAAACGATTCATGCTTGTCGGTATGCTTACATACCTAGGTAGGTAGCCTTGCATCACCAGCAAACATTGCTACGAAAATTGGTGAATATTTAATCTTACTCATTGGCGGCAACGTATCTACCTACTTTGAAATATCGGATATCGAGAAATGCATACACTTGAGCTCAAGAGTTTGCAGATTACCAAACCCTGCCCTCCCAAGCCTTCACAAGCTCGTCTATATTTTCTGTCATATCAACCATAAGAAACTCTTGCTTTGGCTTGACAGATCTCGTGGGCTGGAAGAATTCAGTCAAAGAGTAAATTGTTTGACCAACTTCAAAGCTGCCTGTTGTATAGCCGCCTTGTTTACTAAGATTGTCATCCATAAGAACTAAGCCGAGATATTCGGCGGTCTTCCAATTATTTCTGCTCCCAATCACACGGGTGCCATAAAAGTCGTCGGACCAGAGTATAACTCTGCCGCCGTATTTTGATGGCAAGAGTAATCCGTCCCCTCCGCCCGTGTAATTAGTCGGGAATCCCTCGGGATGCACATAAACTGGGGGTACCTTGGGCTCGTTGATGTTAAAGGCCAATAACCCCGGAGCAACTCGATCGTTGATGACAATTTTGTCTCCAGATCTAACAATGCCACCCGAAACCAGTGTATCGTTAATATTTTTTGGTCCATACCATATTTGTGGCGCACCGTTCCTATTAATTTTGACAATAATAGAACCAAATGTTCCTATAACATAGGTGTTCCCATGGTCATCTTCTGCCATATCTTGGAATCCGGTAATCAATTTTCCTGTTCGCTGGAATATTTCGTGCTGTATAGGCACCAGATCCGTTATCCAGCGAATTTCACGGGCGTGAGTGTCATATCGAATGATTCTATTGGGGCCCGTAAAATTTGCTAGTGCTGGATTTCCAGAGGTCGTTGCCACAAAAGCTGTATATGAAGTGGCTGCGAAGTACATCGACCCTATTCCATCGTAGTCTACACCGGTAATGGTGTAGTCGTCATTGCCAGTGATTCCAGGGAAGACGATTACCTCATATTCATCACGGTAAGGATTGTAAACAGCAACCGAAGCATTGTAATAGAGACTGTCATTCGTCAGATGCAAGCTTAAGGACAGAGCAAGAGAAAAAGGCATAGCATACCCAAAATATATTTTGCAGTGCACCGGATCCCAATCTGCATTTTCTGGATAAAGGTCCCAAATAGATGCATTAAATGAACCATGTACAGGAGGGCATGAGCCTACAACCGCACTCACAAGATATGCCCAGATGAAAAGGCATGAATATGAGGTATTCATGATGAGAATTTGCATTATGCCAACCCGAGAATTGCTGTCTGGTCGCCAAGAGCTCATTTAGCAGTGTGATGATGCAAATTATTTATTTGAAGATCCTTTTACGCATTTTGAAAGCTCTGATCAACATTACGTTTGCAGACCTAGGTGAAAGCTTGGACTAGAGCGAGCTGACGGCTTTGCCGCCGCGGATATTTTATCTCCGAGAACTCTACCATATTATGCAATATCCAATAATCATATGTCAGCGTTTTAAATGCGGGCTGTGCAAATTACGTTTCTCCATTCTACTGAATCAATTGCAGCCGTTGCTTAACACCTTGTCCGTCTTGAGGCTACCATCTCATAGTCTTAAGTGCCTTGTAAAAGTGTGAGGGGGCATTGGTCATAGCTTATTCATTTTAAGCCTCTTTGTGAAACATTATTTTTACTTCAGAATCCAGGCTGAGATTTCCTACTTGTTTCGGGAGGTTCGGTATTCCGAAAAAGGCCGATAATTGACGTGGCGGAGGCATCATCACGGAATACATGGCTGCTAAGAGACGACTAACGAGGAATTATCGGCCTTTTGGCTACTGAACAAAACCCGCATCATCTGAACCCGGCGCCATGCCCCGCTGACCAACCCCACATACCTTCAGAGGAACTGGGCTGTGATCTCTTGAGATTCAGGTTATATATTGATATGTAACCCATATTATTATCTTCATATGCTCCTATACGCTTGCCAATTCTCTATTATGCATATCAGCCAATTATACATAGCGGTCATAAAGGAGCTCATAGGTATATCCCTATGATAAACTGTCTTATATGGAGTATTACGATGTATTTTCTCAAAGTTAGAAATTAAATTATGTTTATAGTAATCAAGGCAGTAGATGAAATATATACCTTACATAACCTATAATATCAGGCTCTTCAGACCCTGAAAGTTCCACTACGTATAGTCGTATGTTATTAGCTTGAAGCTCTTACCGCTTTATAACTTTCAGTTATAGGGAAGAACTCGTCATGATTAGCAAATTCGCAAAAGACCATCACTTTGCTGTAGAAAACACATTTCAAGAAGCAGCTAAAAGGGAAGAGAGAGTAAGCCAAGCCAGGCAACAAAAGCTATGCTGATTTACAACCATGGACATGTATTCACTTTCCTTTGTGATCCTTTTCTCTTCCCCCAAGTATGCAAGTGGAAGTGCGCCTGGGGCTACCAGCTTGGCTCCGCCCGACCTTCTTGCCTGCCCATCTATTCAGGTACGACCTGGTTAGGGCCGTTAACAGTCCAGAAGATGAGATTCAAATCAAGTTAGCGAAAAATACAGAGGTAGTCACTAAGGAGCTCAAATCATCCAGGCCGAATTAAATAGTATATTGTGTTGTTGATCTTGGAGCATCCTGGCAGCTGCTCCATCTCGTGCGCAACCACGTTTGGCGGTCGGAGATGCTCACGCTTCAAAAGCCATCACTATGTCTCAGCCTTCTACGGCCTACAGTTATATACATGATATCAAAAAAAGCTACATTGTAGTTAGATAACAACATTGACTCTTGCATAGCTAGCTAGTCTTAGCCATAGTAGCTCAGGAATAGCCATTTGCTTTTCGTATGATTGCAGCTGGAGCTGACACCTGTGAGTCTTATGTACATCTCATTGGACTTGATCACAGGAATGGGTTCTGAGCTAGACTTTAGCATCTAATTGCCAACGAATTCTTCTTCTTACATTGGTGTGTAAGCCACGCTACCACCAAATCCTCCAGCGTCAAGATTGCGGGTCGTTTGATTGCATTGTTTGCCCAAAACAGCTTGAAAGATCACCATATCTCCATGCTATGCTTGTTTCGTGTATACTCTGCAGCGCATCCTGTGGCCGCGGTAGGTGAAGGAGCTGCGAGGCAGACAAGTTAATGGCAGCCTTGCAGGCCCCCAATTGCCATCATGTAAGATAACTATAAATCGTGATTACATGGAACTTTAAATCATATTTTACTACCGTAGGGGACTCAAGGCACTGCCTTTCATTGCCTCCTCCAGGGCTGGAAATCCAGAATTCAGACTAGCAATGAATCGTGGTTGTCAGGAAAGGTAAAATTGTCTCGCATGGAAGGGAGTAGGTATTGATATCATCGTATTTTTAATGAATTAAATGAGTAGTATCTCCGCTACATCATTCGTGGGCCCGATTGTTGCTGACTGTTATTGCTTGCTCATAATATATTATCAAAATTGATTGAACAGTAGCCATACTTACTACTAATATCATCTCGATCCTTCCAATCGAAGTCCAAGGACTTGGATCAATTTTTCTGATGGGGTATCTCCTAATCACTCCTTATCAGTGAGCCTTTGGTTACTCCTTAAAATTATATCTCTACACTAAGACAGCGTAATGGTACGGCCAATTCCGCCGAGATATTATCTTCGTTTACGATAAAATTTCGCTCGTCATAGCCTCCACCTTCTGGCCTTTAGTGGATTTAGCTCAATTAATAATTATAGGCCTCCAATGATTCGCCTATTTGGAGTAGGGGGCTGGCCCGGTTTCGCAGAGCATCGTGCTCAAAAAAGAATGATGAGCAAGGTGAGCATTGTTACGCGAGTATTGGATGCTACTCCACTCCTGGATCCAAATAAATTGCAGATAATACAGTTTGATTGGTAATATGACTAAGATAGTAGGACGCATGTGAGCCTTCCACCTGGGGACGGATCCGAGATATCCTTAGCATCAACACCACTTGTACACATCCATATCACTTACGGAGTAGGTAAATCTGTTAATGGAAGTGCTGTTATTTTCGTATGATTTAGCACCACGTATTAAATCCAAATTTGTATGCCCTTAAACTTTTTTTTTAACATACAATCAATCGCTAGCCAACATTTGCTGCCGCGTGTACGTGAAGTTGAAATGCTGAACTATGAGACATTTGCATATTAGAATTATCATTATATCTCGCTTCTGCTGCACAATTAAGCTCATTTACATCTACCTATTCAGTCACTACAGTATACTTCCTAGACTTAACTCAACAATTTCATTTTCATTACGTATCTCGAGCTACTCTCAAAGCCAATTCCTGGTGGTTCATCACAGCTTATGGATGACTGCATGTGCACAATTTCCGTAGAGTTCCGTCTACCCTGCATCTTCACCCGAAATTCTATATCACCTGCCAACAGAAGTTCTGTTTCCAACTCCCGCCCTTCACGCCTGTTTGATCGTGGAAGTTATACGTGTAATCAGCTTAAACACCCCTACTTGTCCTGTACTTGTCCAAATTTAGTAACGACGTTGTTTCGTTTTATTACTAGACGACGCTATAATAGCCACTTATTCTCATCGGTCAACTTTTTGGCATCGGCAGATGTCAATGACAACATGTGCATGTGCCAACAACTTGTTCACCGGAAAGTTAATTAACAATGAAGGCATTCTGCCTTTGCATTGGCATCGACAGACTTTCCATAGCTTTACGCGCATTCAGCTTTGAAGCCCCGTCGAGATGCTGCCAAGACCGGTAAGACGGGTGCATCTCCCCTCAGACTCCATCAGCTCCGCTTACCGGATCTTCGCCACCCTGAGCGGTGCAACGGACCATCGCCACCGTTACGATGAATTGAACGATAACGGCGAATCCAGCTGAATGGCTATTGAATTAGTGAACCCGGTATTCCCCCTCCCCCGCATGTTGGGTGACAGGAGAATCCACGATCGGTGGGCCTGTAACAGGGTTTCAAAGGAGAAACATGGTTAAGCGATGTCGTAGGTTCAACAGCTTGGTACCTAGTTTGCAGAATACTCGTCTCCCTTTCGGAAGCATCAATTTACCAGTGACACGATGTGCGTTCATTCTGTTAGTCATGGGAAATGGCCGTCACATTCAGTGTATTACTGATACTTTGATTCAACATCCGTATGCTCCGTACACCCATTCAATCAAGCCAACCCCTCTCTTCTCGCCGAGTTTCCCAATCTGAACGTGGGCATCGGATAGATAAAGGAGACATTCCCGTACGCGATATCAGTAACGCTTCGCATTCTATTAGAAATCGACGAGTATCAAGACGCATATCAGACATGACAATGCGAGATACGCAGATAAAGTCATCCGTCTTCCCTAGCGGAGAACTTGCCGAGTCCGACAAGGATGTCGGCGTCAAGGGCGGGATTGTGCCTACTTAGTGCATCTTCCATGGGCTCGGCCGGGAGAGGCCGCTTCCTCTGTTAATGCTTGGGGAGGGCGATAATGCAGGGCACAAGCTCTCAAAAACGAACAGGCCGGAGTCAACGACACGACACTAAACTGCTAACGGGCATAAACCAGCAAAAGAGACGACACTAAGCAAGCCATGAACGAAAGGAGGGGGGCTCTCAACTCCTCTCGCGCCGATCCAGTGCCTCTGAAAACCCTCTCGGAGCTGGGCTTGAAGAAATCTGGGGAAGTCCGGGGTAGCCCTGGCATAGCACCGCCCCTTAGCATATCTTAGCAGCCCGTTAGCTTGCCTCGAAAGCGGTTGTTATCAAGGCCGCCTATCAGGTCCCCGTCGTTATCGGGTTACGTCGTGGCAACTGAGTCTTTTTTGCCTCCATCGCTATCATCGTCTAGGCTGTTTATCGCCTAGAGTCGTCGGCGAGGTGTGGCACACAGATTGACCCTTGGCCTGCGATCGGGCTCCTAGGTCGTCGAAGTGGCAGAGATAAGCACCTGGTGCAGGGGGGGGAGAAGAGGAGGCAAGGTCTGCGTAACAACAGCATACGTGCATACACGTCCCAGGTTGTAGCGTACATGTACATACATGTCGGGATCTAAAAGCCAAGGTGTGAGGAGAAGACCGAGGAGAGACGGCTAGAATGTCACATAAACGCCATCACGCGCCCTACACGCCGGGATGTCAATTTTGATTCTGCTTCCTTTTTCGGTATATAAACGTCTTTGATCCTTTGGATTACTGAAGGATCGCTGCTTTGCAATCCGCCCACTCATCAATTGCTACCTATTCTGAGACATCTGACGAAGCTCAATCTCACAAGACAAGGCTTTCAGGGAATGCTGTCTCACCATCTACATCTGCTGCTATCCTCTTGCATCACTTCAAAGTACCTCGACAAGTGAAAGAAGAAATAAAGCAAGAAGAAACCCAACCAACACCAATCCACAATGGCGAGCAGCGGCAAGAAAGCCCCTAACATCACCAAGCTCATCGACAGCGACCTCGACACCGCCGACCAAGCCACCCGCGATGCCGTCGATCTCGCCGCCCTCGGCCATTCCCAGGCCTTGACTCGCAAGTTCGACATCTGGAGTATGCTAGCCCTCGCCTTCTGCGTCCTGGGCACCTACTCGACTGAGGCCCAGGGCATGTCCAGCGGCCTCACAAATGGCGGTCCCGTCGCCGTGCTCTGGGGCCTCCTCGTCGTCACGCTGTGCAACATCTGCGTCGCCGTGTCCATGGGCGAGCTCTGCAGTAGCATGCCTACCGCCCTGGGCCAGGCCTTTTGGATCTCGCAGCTGAGCCAGACACCGCTTGGGCGATTCACGGCCTACATGTGCGCCTGGATCAACACCTTTGGCTGGTGGACGCTCACAGCATCGCAAAATGCTTTCATGACCGAGTTCGTGCTGGGCATGAAGGTCATGTTCGACCCTGATTGGGAGGGCGCGAGCAAGGGCTGGGTGCAGTTCCTCGTCTACGTCGGCATCACCGTCTTCTTCACTGCCATCAACCACGTCGGCTGCCGCAACGACAAGTTCCTGCCCTGGTTCAACAACTTCGTCGGCGTCTGGTACGTCGGCCTGTTCTTCGTCATCGGCCTAGCGCTGCTCATCTCCGTCGGCGTCAAGCACGACCTCCAGTTCCAGTCGGCCAAGTTTGTCTTTGGCACCTGGATCAACCAGACTGGCTGGCCCGACGGTGTCACTTGGTTCATGGGCCTCGTCCAGGGCGCATACGGTCTCACGGCCTTTGACTCCGTCATCCACATGGTTGAGGAGATCCCTGCTCCGCGACGCAACGGACCCAAGACTATGTATCTGTCCGTCATCTGTGGTGCCATCTCCGGCTTCATCTTCATGGTCATCTGCCTCTTCACCATTCAGAACCTCGACAACGTCCTGGACCCTCCCACTGGTCTTCCATTTGTCGAGTTGCTGCAAGAGACTGTTGGACTCAACGGCGCCGCCGTCTTGGTTGCCCTCTTCATCTTCAACGGAATGGGACAAGGAGTCAGTGTCTTGACTTCTTCCTCCCGTCTCACGTGGAGTTTCGCTCGTGATGGCGGTATCCCCTACGCCGCCTACTTCTCTCACGTCGATCCCGTTTGGCAGGTTCCTGGCCGTGCCTTGTGGCTTCAGGCATTCATCATTAGCTTGATAGGCGTCCTGTACCTCTTTGCAAACACGGTGCTCGAGGCTATTCTCAGTGTCAGCACCATCGCCTTGACCGTTTCGTATGCTATGCCTATCATTGTCCTCCTTATTGTCGGCCGTGACAAGCTGCCGCCAGGAGAATTCCGCCTTGGCCAATTCGGTATGCCTCTCAACATTGTCTCCATCATATACTGCGCCATAACGACCGTCTTCTTCTTGTTCCCCGGCAGCCCTAATCCAGCTCCCAGCGACATGAACTACGCTATTGCTGTGTTCGGTGTCATGCTTGTTGCAGCTGTTGGCTTTTGGTTTGTAAAGGGACGGGTTTGCTTTATGCAGATGGATGACGAGTTGGTAGGCCAGGTTGTGCGTGAACTCTCGTATGATGAGTCAAACGTCCAGACAGCCGCATCGGCAGATTCAAAGTAAGCCTGTCATGGCGATTTGCAGAGGCGTTTATGGGGTTTTGCTTTTTCATTGTATGCTATTTAATTAATGTATGGGAAGAGTATAATACTTGCAAACTGGAGATGAGAGATGTATGCAACAGGCTAGAATAAGGCGAAAACCAGTATTATATCACGCTAATAAAAGCAATGTGCTACTTTTGAGGTCTATCAAGCATATAAAACATGGATCCCAGACCGACTCTCCCATCGTTTATTTCCACCTCTCTAATTGCTGTCGTACAGCTTGCCCGCAAAATCACAAACCAAATCTAGCATTGAATGCAACACTCCCTCCTCAGCCCAAAAATGACCAGCCGACTCAATTTCGTGTCCACGGAACTGTGATACCTGCTGCGAACTCAGCCGTGCCACCCAAGTCCGCAGCTTACCCACGGGGACAAAGATGTCACCATCTCCGAAGACGGCCAGGGTGGGATTCACCACCAGCTTAGTCTCAGCTTCGTCCTCCGGAGGAGGACTTCGCCTTGCGAATACCGACGGCACTAAGGTCATGGTGGCAAGATGCGTAACGAGGCCCTGCAGTGGAGACACGAGCAGGTAGGCTGGCTTGGGCATGGTGAAGCCGTTTACCGGCGAGAGCTTGCCATTTGCCGGTACCTTTGGACTAGCTGAATTGCTCGTGGTTCCGTGGGCTTCTTGCTGACCGCGTGTCATGGCACCGCGAGCTTTCTGCAGAGCTTGCCTCTGCTTCTCAGCCCAACTTTCAGCCCGCAGTCGTATCTGAGCAGCATTGGATCCACTGTCTGGAGAGGCAAATCGTTCCAGAAGCTCGTTGAGAGGCGGCAATTGCGTCGTTATCATGGCTCCATACGAGTAGCCTGCCATCAGCAAGACAGGACGGTGGCTAGGCGATGCCGGCTGCTGCTCCGCTATGCCAGACGACACGAGACGATGAACGTAGTGCGCGATGAAGCCGACGAAGCTGATGTAGTCGTCGCGCTCCGGCTTTGCCGTCCACGATGTCCTTCCAGCCGATCGCCCAGCGCCTCTGCACCTCGTTTTACTCTCATTAGCCAAGGGCGAGCGCCTCGTTCAGCTCCACACACGCACCTGAAATTGAACGTCCCCAGCAAATATCCCTTGCGAAGCAGCTGTGATGCCACAATGTCCACCATCCCATCATCAAAGCTGCCGCCCATTGGAGCATACGGATGCGCAAAAACCGCCGCATGTCGTTTCCAAGGCGCCGCCGCGTGCTGTGGGCTGCGCGCACCTACTGCCAACGAGGCCGGATGATAGACTCGACAGTCCAGCGCCGTGCCATCGTGGATGCTGGGGATTGTTAGCGTGAAAGACGGCTCGGGCAGCATCTTCTTCTTTTTCGCATTTTGAGCAGGGCGGCAGTGGACGGCGGTTGGCAGGGATGACAACGAGATCTGTCTGTGTCTTAGTGGCGGAGATGAGGTTTCGGTTGCTGAAGGAACTGCGGGAGCTCCAGTTATTCACTGGAAGCTTCGCTCTAGCTTGGCTGCGACGTCATTTTGATTTGCCGCGAATCAAGCACCACGGCGAGAACTACTTGTACCTTTATGATACAAAGAAAAGGGAACAATCAAGGAAGGGGAAAGAAGAAGAAAAAAAGGACCAAAAATCGTGGGTATCTTTCTATTTCATATAACCAAAAAAAAAAAGAAGAAAAGATCTAAAATTTATTACTGATGTTTCTTACTTCTAGCTTCCTGTGCTTTCTGCTTCGCCTCCTTTATAAACTTCTTTACCTCATTTATTAGTCCCATGAGGAGCGGCACAAACACCGGTCCAAGCAACGGGAGATAGACGGCAATCTTGTGCTCGTCTGGGAAGTACAATTGTCCCACCATGCTCTTCTCGAAGAAAGCCCTCTCTGCCTCCTCCTCTGCAATTCTCGCGTGCATCAGTCCTTCAGGCCCTCCAAGATCAGCGCAGGCCAGCTCCAAGTGATGCATCGTCTTTGAAACACCGTCTGCAACGCTGCGAGGAATCGAGATGGAAGGCAGCGCGAGTGATAGTCTCGCAAGAGATCCCAGAGTGGACGATGCGCGAAGCAAAAGATCCGTAGATCGGATGCGACCCAGGGTGGAGAGTCTCAAGGGCAGCGACCCAGACTGAGGAGTGCCCATTAGTGATAACAAATGGCCACCAAACGTAAGCATGGGCTGTTTCAGCGCTGCGGTCGATACATGGCTCTCCGTGTCGGGTTGAGAAAGCAGGTACACGGTGCCCCATTGGGGGATCATCCATGACTGAGCTGTCTCTGCCTCAGCATCCAGCCCAACTGTCTGGTTTCCAATGTATATGACAAAGTTGATCGTCGGCGCCTTGCCAATAGATGGGGACAGCGGCCACTCTGCAGCATTGATAAACGAGGATAGGTGGTCTTTGCTAAGCACTTGAGATTGTACACCGGGAATGGCGTATAGCTGAATTTGTGTGTCGATGGTAAAGTTGTGGATGGGGCGCAGGACCTCCAGCATTGGTCGGATGTACTCGTCCAATGCGGCCTCGATATCCCAGGTATTGGGCAGCGCATTGTCGGTGAACAGAGAAAAGGTGAGATGATATGTCGGAGCGTATCGCAGAGATCGAGTCGTTCGCTTGGAGAGAGCTTCGGCGGCCTCGGCACTCAGGCCTTGGGGACGCACGCCGGTAGACATGGACGACGTAGAAAGGAGGTATGATATAATGGACTGTTCCTCGGCAAAGGTAGCTCGGAGTTCGTTGGTGATGTAAGATGCGAGCGGAGAAGATGGCGACGTGAGAGACGGAACATGGTTTGGAGGATAAGTTATGTCGAGAACAGCCGATTCCTGGTTGAGAGAGGCCGAGCTGCTGGTGCCCGGTTTGAGGCGAATCGTCAAAGCGGTTTGAAAGTCGTCTCTTGGAAGGGGCGCGTTCCGCGGCGCAAGCTGCAAGCGCAAATGGTGGCCGGAGAAGTCATTGAGGTCGTCCAATGCATGCTGGGTCAACCGGATAAGATTCTGCGCTTCTTGCTCTTGGAGAGAATCCGCCTGTATCGAGATCTGGAGGGGGAAAACGGGTCGACAAGCCTGTGCAGCATACGGCGTCAGCCGAGTGGGACAAAGCGATGCTTGAGGGTCTGGGGATCTGATATCTTACCTTTCCGTCAGCCCACTTCAGCATCCTATCCAGAGGCAACTCGGCTCGGTAAATCGCCGTTGTCTTCCACCAGATGGGCAGTCCAAGCAGAAGGACAACCAGCCAGAAGGACAACACGACATAGGATCGCTGTCTGACTGCCGACGGCTTCTCGGGAGGCGGCAAAGGAGGCGATGAAGCAACAGGCGCAGAATCGCCGGATGCCTGCGGCTGCCCTGATTCCCCAGGCGCCATGATTGCCGTCCTAGAAGATTTGCGAGCAGCTGGATCACGAATTGGCTTCTGGGCTGAGTTGCTGTTTGACGTGATGGGAGTTGGAGGCTAAGTGGCATTAATTCAGGTACAAGCGCAGTCACGTGAATGTCACTGGCTGTCGCAGGTTTCTGGGCTTTGATGTGACGATGACGACCTCACATGAATTCTTCTTCACACAACCTGATGACGAGCTTCTTCTTTTCGTCTTGATCCTCGCTCCAACGGATGAATCAACCCATATCGTTGCGATGATTAAGCACTGCTACTATGGTAGATGAGAGCCACAGACAATAATGACAGAGCATCGAATTAGTTAGGCACTACCCTTATCTGTACTAACAGCCGCTACTACTTTATTGTTTCAAGCCACAGTTCAGCCCCCGTGTTTCTCAGATCAATCAAGTCAACCTCGAAATACGCAAACCATCCAGATATTCAAAAACGCCCGTCGGGTCCAAATCACGCCGCATATCATCATTAATCGGTAGTTCTCATCTTCCCGGCCAGATCTATCATCAAGTATCTGCCCATCACAGCGTCATCATAAAGGCGGGCAACATCAGTCCAAGGCCTACGGCTGCCCACTTGATTTGAGAATAGCTCATCTTTACCCATCCCGAGGAGTCAGCATGCATTCGAATGAATATAACGGGTTAATCCGTGTTTAACTCACCTCTCCGGCTCTGGTTGCCGCTGATCTGCTCGTCGTGGTTGTCGCCGCGGCGCTGCTAGTTGCACTGGATGGTGCTGGAGTCTGTTCGCTCGAACCAGAGGCTCCAGCAGCCGTTGAACCCGCCTCAGTTGGGCTCGCCGTGTTAGCAGCAGTCGTTCCTGGAGTCGCATCACCGGTAGCGGTAAAGCTCGCCGAGTCGGTCGGGATGGGGCCAGTTGTCGCGGGACCGGTTGGGGCAGCGGCGCCGGCAAACTTGGTGCATAGACCAATGACTTCCGGATTCTTTTGCAAAGCGCTCCAGATGGTCGGGTGGGCGCTCTCTCCCGTGCTCACACAAGTGGCTACCGCATTATCCCAGGTGTCTGGAGCATAGTTGCCTTTGCCATCGTAGCAAAGACACATGGCCTGCTTCTTGAAAGAGGCGGTATCAAACCCAGAATTGGCATTCTCACACTCGGTAACATATCGCGAAACGGAGAGACAAGCATCACCAAAGATGCCATATCCCTGTTGCTGCTGAAAGTTGGCCATGCATTGTGCTACATCGCCAACCGTGCTCTGGGAGCAACACTCTGCTGGTACACCAGTGAAGTCCACTGCGCAAGAGCCAAAGCCGTATGGCTCTCCTTGGCAAAAGTTTTTGACACATGCTGATGGATGAATTAGCAATGTGGCTTTCGTCCAAGTTACACCCTTCTACTGGGGGGCAACTCACTCGGTGCAAGCGAAGGGTTAGAAAAGTCACACTTCTTCAGTACAAAGGTACAGGTTGTGAACTTGTTTTGAGCCGCCATGGTGATTTGACCAATGCTTTGTTTTGCTTCAATGCCTTGGGCTTCATCCTCCTGTCAAACATTTCAGTGCCAAGACTGTGGCTTTTAAATATGTGTTACTGCTACAGCCGTCTTACTGGTGTTGGATGCCTCACGCTTTGCCATCTAGTTTTCAGCTGGTCCAATAGCGCGCAAATAATGTGGCGGTAATGCTGGGATAGACGAAACTATTGAGACAGCTAGCCTGATACTGGCGATGATCGCCCAGGCACGACAATCCACTGTCTCCCAATTCGTACTTGGTTTTATCGGCCCATCGCTCACTTGACGCGATTCTGGAATGGCTGTCGCGCGCGGAAGATCGGGTGTGGCTGAGCTCAAATGAAACCGCATTAAGCTATAAGGTGCGCAGCTTCAAGTCCACCGAACCAGCATGGATACTACTCGTGTTTTCTGCGCTAAGCAGCATGGCGATGAGAGAAGCTATAATTTAGGTCTCGGTCAATTAACATTCTAGGCTTCCAGAACACCCCCTCATCATTAGATTCAAGCTTATATAAAGTGCATCTCGCATCATGTCGACTGCAGACTGTGGCGAAGACCTTGACGACGCGTGGCCACTCTTTACCGACTTTGTTAATATCAACCTTTACAGATATAACCAGAGATGAGGCTGTGATCTGCTAATCAGGTGAGTTTATATCAAAGGCCGTCGCATGGAGGTGAAGGAAGCTTGTTTTACGCCGAAAAGGGCAGGTATATGATGCACATTCGATCATGACTTTGCTGGATTTATTAGCAGGTGCTCGCTCAATATTTCGCATAGGTAAGATGTAGTGATTCGAGCCAACGGAAACAAGAGGATAGAGAGTCTCATATTGTTCTTTCCCTTAGAATATGCCGGTCCATAAACTTTTAATTCTTTGGTCCACTATTAGAAAAAGACCAGTCAATATCGTAGCCATCTTGTATTGAGTACCTACCAAGTACATACCAGGTTCTTATAGGTACCTACCTGTATCCAGGCATGTGCTGACGCATTGGTTCTTTCATCACGTGTATCAACCTCAATACATGGAGCAAGTCACATGAGCTGGCATTGAGGACATCGCCATTGTCTGCCAGTATCAGGTTGTGCGAACCAATTTCATGATTGTGACCTTGTTCAGCCACGCAGAAGCCGATTCGACAAAATATGGCTTCATACACGCATATCCCTCTTACATTGCCCAGATCGATAAGGCTGATCCATCTCGAAAGCGCAGCACAGCTAACCGATGCATTGAGATGCACTTTGGCAGAAGTTGCCCTGGACTCAAAGCCAATATACAAGGCACTCTCTTACTCTTGGGACGCACAAACTCCGTCGCATCCCATTGAATGCGATGGCGCCACGCTGCGTATCACGCAAAACTGCATGGCTGCCCTGCGCCGGCTGAGGAGTATGGGCGATCTGACTTTGTGGATCGATGGGATATGCATCGATCAGACATCCACAGCCGAACGCAGCTCTCAGGTTGCACTTATGCGAGACATTTACAAGCAAGCCGCGGAGGTGATTGTGTGGCTTGGAGAAGAAGACGAGCCGAGTAAAAGGGCCATTCGGTGTTTGGAAGACATTGCTCTTATGAGCGTGGACAAGGACCGCATGGAGAGATGTCTTCCCATCCTGCTTGGCTTACAGGTGAAGAAGGACTCGGATGATCCGATTGGCCCTCTGTTTAAGCGATCTTGGTTTTCTCGCATGTGGACTATCCAAGAAGTGACTCTTCCCTCACAGCAAGTCGTGCAGGTCCTCTGTGGAAGTGTGTCCCTGCCTTGGCTGTATTTGGCTATTGCACTGGATATGTTGAGAGCATCAGACTACAGATGGGGCGAGTGGCACTCTGCTATGCGATTGCAGGCGCACCTGAGTCGGCTTTTGGCAGAGAAGAGAGAGCGCAATGGAGCTGCGAATCAGGGTATCGACAAGTGTAGTCTGTTGGAGATTTTACTGTACGGTACGGAAAAGAAGTGCACAGATCCAAAAGATCGAATCTTTGCCCTTTTTGGAATATTTCAAGAGCTGGATATTACTGTTCCGGATCCAGATTATTCGGAACCGCTGGGCCGAATCTACGCAGCCGCCACTGTGGCATGTTTCACAAACGACTCTTGCATGGAATTCCTTTATCATGCCCCCTCAGAGAATCGACGAGCAGGGTTGCCCTCGTGGACAGTGGACTGGGGAGATGCTGCTCGGACTGTAGCCGATCATCGTGCTACTGTTACGAAGAAACCGTTTGCTGCCAGTGGAATGTCGAGTCCGAGCTTGCAATTCTCACAGGACACGCTTCGTATCCAAGTACAGGGATCCATTGTCGACCGCGTACGGCAGGTCGGACAACCGCTGTCTGTGAAAAGCCGCCAACACTCAGCGATAAACGAGAGGCTTGTTTGGGATGGCCTTGGGATGGAAGCGAACAATGGGTGGAACCTGCAAGACACTGCCGAGGACGTGCATGAAGCTTTCCAAGTCTTTGCCAGTTGGGTTGATCTCGCGTCTTCTGCTAGATCGCAGTCGAACGGGGAGGACTATGAAAACAGTTGGTATGGCTTATGTGAGACGCTGTTGGAGTATCACAGCTCCGAAGAAACTGAGCAAGAACTTGTGGATCTAAAGTCGTCATTCTGGCCTTGGTTGGAAGCTGCCCAGGCCTATTCATCTACATCAATGCAACAAAGGCCTGTATCTCCACGCTCGTCTACTGCACTCCAGTCATTTCTAGCGCTTACCAAAGGCGACGGGTCGAGATTTCAACTGAAGATCATGGCCACTTGCCAGAGAAAGCGCCTAATCATAACAGATGATGAAACGATTGGGCTTGTTCCAGATACAGTGCAAGCGGGAGATTTTGTTGCGCTCATCTCTGGCTTACACATGCCAGTAATTCTCAGGCCGGCTAGCCAGGGACGATATCTATATGTGTGCCACGCATATATCCATGGCCTAATGGGCGGCGAAAAATGGGACAAAGATGCCAGAGTGGGATTGTGGTTGACATGAATCATCTCTGAATCCTCCTCCGGACATGATACGAAGTTGTTCACTACTCATAATCATGCTTACTTCGCATGCTGCCATGCTTATTTATTTCCACTTACGAGTACGGAGTATCTATATGCCACGGACTATCCCACAGACAAGGGGGCTCCAAGCAGTTGATAGATCACATCGCACGAAGCAACAGGGAGTGGCACCAGGCTACGAGTATGCGACGTCGGAATTCAATTAGCCTTGCCGAAGCGTGTCTCAACACAGTCGGCTCAGCTCTGAACACTGTGCGGCCGGCTGCCGAGGTTCAATCAATACTATGGTGCTACTGAGAGATCTTGATTAGCAGATGATGAAAATGTGTGGTTTTATGAGCTTTTCTGTTGCGCAGCAGCTAGTAAGTATCAGAATCCTTTCTGATCAAGGCACATGTGTGCTTGTGTATAGTTGGGCATCGTACTGGACCTTTGAGCTCGCGTCTTTCTCGTCTAAGCGTCTCATTTACTCATCACCATTACCGTTGACCCATAAGCTCATGAACACGTATGGGTCCTTCAGGAGGCCAAAGGCATGCAAGGGTGACATTCCTTTGGACCCGTCCATAGAACTCTGCGGCAAATGAGAAATACAGCATAGGTGGGATTTCAAGCGTTTACAAGACGTGCCCGCAGGCATACCAACTCTCACAATGAACCCATGGACCAAAAAGAGAAAGAGGAGGAAAAGCCACTTGGAAGCACAGGACAAGCCAAGCTTCCGAACACAGCGCAACCGACCACGCGACAATCTTATTCCACAGCATGTGAAGCACCCCATTTCCATCTGGCAAAGAGCAGCATGAATCAAAGTTGGTCCAAAATGCACTGTATCCAAGGTATTCTTACCCTCGAATCACTCTACGGTTTAGAACTGGGCTGCGCAGCTCAGGACAGCCACACGCACACACGAGATGACCAGCCATCGCCTTTGCTTTCTGGATCTGGATTGGCGCATCAGACATCTTCAACAGCAGATGACAAAGTCCAGAACCCTCGTCCGGATTTAGCTCTGCAGCCAATTTGCTTCGCAGCTAGACCCTTGCACAATCCACTACCACTACGGACGAACCCCGCACGGCAACCCCAGGGAAATAGGGAGCCGGCCAGCTCGCGGAGCCGAGGCATCGCTTGGAACCAGCTGCCAAGGGCAGACAGGCGCGGCGCGGATCTGGTTCCGTTCGAGGTGATGAGATGATGATGTGTTTCCCCGCGCACTCAATCGCTTTAAAGAGCAAAAGGTCTTGACAGCTTAGTCTGTGAGCGGAGGCTCGGGGTGATGTGCGAGAGTCTTCTCCGACCCGCCGTTGCTTCATTGAGGCAAGGGGAGGGATAACGTGGAAGATAGTGTGGAGATCCCAAAGCTCCTGAAGCTCGATACATGTACTCTGAGGTACTTGTGCTGTTGGGTCTGTACAGTTTGGCTATCTGAACTGCAATCGATTCAAAGCACGAGATGGTTGTTTTGGTCGAACGGAATGGCGCTTCATCTTCATCACTGTCAGATGGACTGGATGCCTTTGCTGTCATCCAAGGCCAGCACTTACACCATCACGACGACTCCGAATCACGCATCAACCTCTCGCAAGCCTAACCACGCTTTTCGCCCCCCTACCGTCCCAAAACCCCGGCCGCAGCGGACCCTAACCAACGCCGATGCCTCCCTCGTGCGCGCATGCTACAAGTACGCACGCAATATGCATGACGCCGCGTTTCCACCGTCGCCTGTCCGCCTCCCGCCCTCCCTGGCCAAAAATCACTATCCCGCAAGGGGGTTTTTGAATAGACAGTCAACCAACATTCGTTGCACTGTTGGCTCAGAAATTTCTCTTCTTTATTTTTTTTTCCCCCTGTGTGCTTGTCTGTACTTGTCTGGTTCTCCTTTGCGGCGTGGCATTTTGTGTGCTTTGTCTTTATTTTATTTCATTTTATTTCTCCAAGTTTTGTTTCTGCATCGTATTATTGCGTACGTGTGTCGCCAAGTTTGGGGTACATCGATATACATGCGCCTCGATACTCCAACCTACTCATCTGGGAATCAATCTAACTGAATGCCGAGGCTCAGCAGCCCCGAATCAGCCGTAATCCATTTCTGGATGGGCATCTTCAGATATAGTTCGCCTAGTAAATAAAAGCACAGAGAACAATAGGACCCCAAAGAGGTAAAACAAAACTGAGGGGAAGTTGACTACCTCTAGAGAGAGAGAGGTCCAACAACGGCTTGATTCCGGGCTCAGTTCACTTTATCCTCAGCAGCAGAACTCCCTATATACAGACTCCTCACTTGAACAGAATGCCAGGTAAGTTATCTATTACGTCTCAGGATACCAAAGCAAAGCATTAAATGCCATGCCAGTCCCTCTTCCCATCATCCTCCCCGCGGCGGCCGCCTCCCTGGCCTACTTCAACGCCAAAAGCAGCTTCTGGTACGACGCAGCGCTCATCAAGAGCTTGGTCAAAGCCGCTCTTCGTGTCCGTCATGGCCTCAAGCACGACACAATCAACCTCTTCTACACCCTGGAAAGCTCCGCCCAAAGCGCTCGCCTCGCCAACCAGCCGTTTCTCATCTTTGAGGGTAGGACGCACACATACGCTCAGGTCTACGACAGGATTCTGCGGTATGGCCACTGGATGAGAACCCGACTCGACGTCAAGCCCAAGGACATTGTGGCCATGGACTTTGAAAACTCAGACACCTTCGTCTTCGTGTGGTTCGCGCTGTGGTCGATAGGCGCCAAGCCGGCCTTTATCAACTACAACCTGTCTGGGAAGCCTCTAGCGCACTGCATCAAGGCAGCAAGCACAAAGCTCTGTCTCATAGATCCTGCCGTGGCCTCCAATTTCGACGATGAGAGCTTGAAGCAGTCTTTGCCCAATGTCAACTTTGCCGTCTTCACGCCGGAGGTAGAGGCCGAGGCCGCATCGACAGCTCCTGAGAGAGCCCCCAATTCAGATAGATCAGATGACAGCATGGCTAACATGGCGATGCTCATCTACACCTCAGGCACCACAGGCTTGCCTAAGCCAGCAGTGGTGGCATGGGGGAAATGTATCTATGGCGGAATCATGGCATCGACGCTGCTGGGCCGTGGTAATGGCGACATCATGTACACTGTAGGTGCCCCCTTATTCTTCCCCTCAACTCGTCAACCCATCAAGCTAACGCGCACTTCTAGTGCATGCCCCTATATCATTCATCCGCCTCCCTCCTTTCCTTCTGCGCAACTCTCGTGTCCGGCTCAACTCAAGCCCTAGGCCGCAAATTTTCTACCAAGACCTTCTGGGACGACTGCCGCGCTTCCAAGGCCACGTCGATCCAGTATGTCGGCGAGACGATGCGCTACTTGCTAGCCGCGCCTCCGCAGCTGGACCCTGTCACCGGCGAGAACCTGGACAAGAAGCATCATGTCCGTGCTGCCTTCGGCAACGGCCTCCGTCCGGATATCTGGGACCGAGTCAAGGACCGCTTCGGCATCGAAACCATCGCCGAGTTCTACGCCGCCACCGAGTCGCCAGGCGCCGCATGGAACGTCAGCAGCAACGACTTTAGCCGTGGTGCCATCGGCCGCTCCGGCTGGCTGTACTCTCTTCTAACGGGCAGCGGTGCGGCCATTGTCGAGGTCGACTGGACCACCGACGCACCGGCACGCGATCCCGAGACCGGCCGGTGCCGTCGCGTCAAACCCGGCGAGCCTGGCGAGATGCTCTACCGCCTACCACCCGAGGATATCCAGCAGCGCTTCCAGGGTTACTTCAACAACAAGGGCGCCTCCGACTCCAAGATCCTGCGTGACGTCTTTGCCCCCGGCGACGCTTGGTTCCGCTCCGGCGACGTCCTTCGCCGCGATGCCAGCGGCCTGACCTTCTTCAGCGATCGCATCGGCGACACCTTCCGGTGGAAGTCGGAAAACGTGTCCACCACCGAGGTCAGCGAGGTCGTGGGTCTCCATCCGGCCGTCCGCGAGGCAAACGTCTACGGCGTCCAGCTGCCGCATCACGATGGCCGCGCCGGCTGTGCCGCCATCTGCTTCGACACCCCAGTGCCCGACGAGGCCACGCTGCGCAGCCTGGCTGCTCACGTCAAGGCGTCACTGCCACGGTATGCTCGCCCCTTGTTCCTACGCCTCGTAAAGGAAGTGGGCGTCGGAAGCCAGACCACGGGAACAAATAAACAGCAGAAGCAGAACCTGCGAGTCGCCGGCGTGAAGCCGAAGATGAAATCAGCAATCAAGGCAGAGGACAGCAACGGCGAGGTTGTCAAGGGAGAAGACCAAGACGAGGCCGAGCTGTACTGGCTCAGGGGTAATACGTACGTCCCCTTTAGGGAGAAGGAGTGGAGAGAGCTCGAAGGAGGGAGAGTCAAGCTATAGCCGACTTCATTTCTTGTCAATGAGCAGCGTGGACAAAGGGCACAGCGTTGAATAGCTCTTCACTTCCAATGGTTTCGAGCAGGCGGTTTCATACATCTATTACATAGTCAGTAATATATATACTACAAAGACTCCAGTCTCAATCTTGTACCATTCTTATATGACCTTTGCAGCGCTGTAATGTGCATAACAAGAGAGAGGGGGAAAAGAGAAATGCAACAGCAAAAAGAAGAAAAAAAACTCCATCACTGGCTCCAGGCTCGCTGGATCGAATCGCGGCCGTTTCATCAGCCATTGCATTAACATGACCCGCCGATGCTTCGTAACATCATTTATATATACCTGGAAGATCCTCCAATCTTGACAAAAAGAGAAAGAACAAAGCGCATTTCCTCCATCAAAAAAGATATCTACATAAATGATCAAAATCGCTCATGATATAAACATCAGAGTTTTTCAAGCTGCCCTTCACCTCCCCCCCTCCCTCACCTCCTCCTTTTTTTTATCCGCTGGCTTGTTCAATCATGGTCCGGCAATGCCCAATCCCACACGCTGGCCGCCAGCTTGGCCTCCATACCCTGCAATGCCGGCAGCTCCCATGCCTGCCGCACCTCCAGTCCCGGTTCCTGTTCTCTCTCTCATTCTCCGGCCCTCCATCAGTCCTCGGAGACCTCGCTTTTGCAGACCGATGACGCTGCTAAGCTCTCCGTTCCAGACGACGCCATCGCGCTCATTATCACCCATCTCCGATCCCCATTCGGATCCGCTCGCGCTTGTTGACGCAGAAATCTCGCCGCTAGATGAACGTGCTGGATGCTGGAGACCTCCGGCAAGACTCAGGCTTGCTGTACGCGAAGCCAGATCCGATGAGAAGGAGTCGTTAGCTGTAGTGCCGCTGAGGGAGAAGTCCGATGTAGACACCGGAGACCCGACAGGATCCAGACTGCCAACGAAGAAGTTGGGATTCAGAGATCCGTCGATGCCACGACCTCCACCGGCTGCCATGGCCGTCGCATTAAACACTGCCGCTGCGTTCCTGCTGTCGAGCAGAGCATGTAGACGCTCAACGACGGCTTCGAGTAGTCCATCGATTCTATATGGACGCGCGATTTGTAGGAGAGAGCAGAGGATCTGCGGTGTGCACAACGAAGAGGTCGGCGAGGGTAAAGAGCTAGTATACAAAAAGTGCAGCAGAGACTGAATGGTCAGGTACGTGTGTGGAAGATAGAGGCACCGTGGCCTCGAGTTGGGCATCAAGCTGCGAGGTGTTGGGGCGTTGTTGATGGCTGCAGCCGCGTCGTCAGTCTGTGTCGTCGTTGTATTTCCTATTCCATGATGAATAACAGGCCCTGTGCCTCCAGAAGGCCCCGAGATGGAGCCTCCTATAGAGCCCACCGTGCTACCAACCAGCGTTGCCGTATCGTCAAAGTTTCGATTTGGCGTGATGGTCAACGCCGACGCGCGTAGGGGATTGCTCGACAGGCCGGATCGCAAGGTTACGGCGTCACTACCATCCTGTGTTGCTGTGCCTTCTCGCAGAAGCTGGACAAAGTACGGACCCCATCTTCGCGCAACAATTCGAGAGTTTACAGGTATCCGCTCGCCGCCGATGCATAGGATGTCCATATCGGCAAGCTCTCGGAATGAGAGTATCTTCTCTCCCAAGTCCTCGCTCGCTCGAGAGTGGAAGCGGCCGCCGGCCGTAGAACCAGCTTTGCGTGCAAGGCTCAGGCTCAGCCCGGAGTAAGGGCTGCTGGCAGAGATAAAGCCGGACATGGGGTCCGTCTTGCGCGGGTTGTCGTAGAAGCCAAAGGCTTCCAGCTCCACCATACAAACGTTGGAGAAGTTGATACGTCGGTGATTGTAGTCGTCGACCAGGCTTCTCTTTCTGTTGCCAAGAATGACAAATGTATTCCGTCGGTTCCACAGGACGCCCCTATTCCAGCTGCCCTGGCTAAAGACGCTGCCTCCCGCATCGATTCGATTCCAAGTGAGAGATCGGAGGTCTAGAGCCCAGAGTGCATATTCTTGCTTCGATGACGTTAAGTATGTCCCGCTGACCACGAAGTGAGTATCAATGATGCCGCCATTGGGGAAGCGAAGGCCGGGTGGCGAATAGCTTCCTGTCATGGGCCGTTCGGTCAAGGTCCCATCAGGAGACCTAATCTGAAGTTCAAGCTTGACATCCAAGAAGTTGTAGTTGGAGTAGATGAGCATTGATGATCCGGGTTCTTGGCCGGCGGTGCTATCGGTACGCTGCTGGCCGTTCTGGGCGTTCATTCCAATTCTCGCACTTACGGCAGGAGGAAGCGATGCAGCGACACTCCTATAAGCACCGCAACTCTTTCCTAGAGGTTGGTTTGTCGTCCACTTGAGACTCCTGAGATTGAAGACGCTAATCTGTTCGATGTAGTGATTCGCACCATCCTGTCCACCAACAATGATCAACTGAGCGCCCCCTGAGCCGTCGATATTAATACCAATTCGGCCTTCATTGGGGTTGCCGTTGGATGGGTTGTGCTGGAGGGCAGAGAGAGGGGCGGCTTTGGACGAAAATGTGGCAGAGGACGAGAGGATGGTTGCACAGTGGGCATAACGGCCTTGGGGGGCGTCTTGCGCCGGGACGTAAGACCATTTCTTTGTCGGTACGTCGTAGATGTGAATGTCGGACATGACGGTAACCTCGGGTTGCTGCTGATCCGCACCCATGGGCTGATTTGGCGCTGGGGACATACCACCATAGCAAACCATCTTGGTGCCTCCAAGAGCACACATGGAATGAAAGTATCGCGGTGGTGGAACGTCGCCAGTCACCTCGAGCCGAGTCCAGTGACGGCGGATGAGATCCAACTCATATAGGTCAGAGGTCAGGGGCGCGGGACGGCTTCGCGAGAGAATTCGGCCACCAAACACGTACAGGCTGTCACCAAGAATCGTCGTCGTGGCTCCAACCAGTGGCGGAGGCTCCTGGCCTGTCGTTCGATGTACGTTGCACATCAACCCGGACAGATGTGCTGAAGACCCAGACCCCTGAGAAGGACCGCCGACTGGAGTGGCAGACGGGGTCTGCGCCTGAGGTTGCTGCACAATCGCGGGCGACATACCTGCTGATACCGAGCCGTTGCTCCGAGGAGTTAGTCCCTCCCTGTGTGGCTCCCTATGCGTATCTCTATGAGCTTCTCTATATTCATCAGCGCTGGCATATCTTGCCGCGCTCAGGCCGCCCATATTGGCCGTCATCTCCTGAGTGTAAAAATTCTCCTGGCCCGAGGCACCGTACATCTGGTTTGCGGCAGCCGAGCTCGCCGAGTCCATGGTACCTATTCTACTATCCAGCCGGTTATCTAGCCGGGACTCGAGGAAGCGGCTCTGGGGCGGGTCTACGGCGCCGATGCTCTGCGAAATGTTGTCGAAGGCAGCGTGGGTCCCCGTCGGAGGCGTTGTGGGACTTGTTGAGGCCGGCGGCTCTGGCAATGGTTTCTCAAGGCTGTGTTGAAGGCTCAACTGTCTCCCATGCTGCTGCTGAAGTCTAGACACGGACGCGGCTCTTGTTTTAGAGGACTGAGACGAGGGTCCGCCGCCAGATGAAGAGGTCGCGTGGCCCTGGACTGTTTGGAGAGACGGCTTTCGGGCAAGTCTAGTGGATGTTGTTCGATAGGTACTGTCGGAGTTGCTGCTATGCGCACGAGGGTCATTGGCCCCGGAGTCGGAGTAAGTGTAGAAGCTGTTCGGTGATGGGCTCTGAAAACCGGTCAGTGGTGCAAATTCGGCCATGACACCGGCCAATGCTTCTGGAGGCGCAACGGGGGAGAGACGACACCGCTGGATGGGGTAGGTGAGGAAGAAGGGAAGGGGGTGTGATGAGGACAAGACCCAGAGCGAAAGAGAGTGAGAAGGAGAGATGACAGTGACAATCCCTTTCAAGGACGCTTGTCAGATGGGATCAGCCCTTTCTTGGCCAAAGCAGCTATGGGGATTAGGACCACCCGCTTGGGTCCTAGAAGAAGAGGCCGGACAGGCAGGGGGGAGGATTTTCCCTGACCGCACCGTGGTCCAGTCGAGATACAAAAGCAATGGCCGTCGCCACAGCGTCCGTCTCGTGCAGGCCCGGCAGAGCCAGTGATTTTCAGGAGCCCCGGAAAGACGATCCGGAAGCCAGAAGTTTCGAGCGGAGAGCGGAGGAGCGACGTGGGACCGGCGGCGAGTGAAATGTGTCCAATGTGCGCGATGATGTGGCATCGAGGCCGCGGAGTCTGTCGCAAGGCAAGGCAGAGGGCACGGGGACAGGGACGGGGGCAGAAGCTGGCAGAGCGACACGAGGGAGAATGAGAATCCAAATCCAAGCAAGCATGACGTACCATTCAAAGACGGCAGCCCAAACTGTCTGAGGGCCAACGTCGCACTCGTTGCTTGTGATGTGCGCAGCCCGTTTGGCGCGATGGAGCTGACGATGTGGGCTCAGAGGGAGGTCGAGCAACAAAAAAAAATACAGTCTCCAGCAAACAGGCGCACAGACGCGAAGAAGGGGGGGTTGTGGGCTTGTTGGAAGAACTACAGGTACAAGTACAGGCTACTGGCAGAGGTGACAGGCGGCTCTGATAGGCTGGACAGCGGGGTGTGTTTTAGGCGGTTGAGTGGCTGGAGAGTTGAAAGCAGGCGGAAATGGGTGATGTAGACTTGCGGGCGCGTGAGAGGAGTGATTACAAACGGGTAGGTTCTGTTCTGTTTTCTGGGGATTCCGGGGAAGGGGAAAAAGAAGAAGGAAAAGAAGAAGAAGCGGAAAAAGAGGAAGAATAAAATAAGAACAAGTCATCGCGGAAACACACACAGCCAGGGACTGCGGATGATGGCCGTCTCTCGATAAGGCCCTCGACGGTACAAGTACGAGCACCCGCTGGTTAGCGCCAGACCAGGTACCTCCGCGTGTACCGCCCATCCCATCCCATCCCATCCCATCCCATCCTGTCCTGTCCCATGCAATCCCATGCCCAGCGCCAAGGTAGGGCCTGCACTCCGTATTCGCTCGCATGCGTGCTCAGATGCAATATGATGGAAGCGGGTGATGTAAATGAAGAAACAAGTTCGACTACTGCTGCTAGTGTGCATGCTGGCCAGGGGCGCTGCAGCAGGGAAGCGTCGATGGCGGTTCCAGATGGTGAAGAGGCGTTCCCATTTGTTCCAGGACAAGGGCTGTATGTCAGTATCCTGTCATTCATTGTCGTCACTTTTTCCTTAACAGAATAGTGTACGGGTATTGAAACTCGGGAGAAAAAACATCAAATCAATCAACTCTTCGCAGTTTGCTTGGTCGTCGCCGCCCCGAATGTGATGACACCTCCCATCGCGGGCACATGCTCGCTTCCCAAGACTTCCAACAGCCAAAACTCCAACTCCAGCCCAGTCGAAATTGATGCTTCCAGATTGTTGGCTAAGCTTCTCACCAGCCAGAACTAGCACCGGTCCGCATCTTCCCCTCACCGTCCGCGGACATTGTGAGTTGGAGAAATGGAGTCTTCAGGTGCTATAAAGTGCATATTCTCTCTCTCGTTAGGCTCAATAGGGGTCTTCGCGCCGCTTACTACCACGACCACTACCGGCACCACTGCAACAACGGAGCTACTTGCTGCATCGGAGACGCAAAGTGGGAACAGAAGACGCAGCCAAGCGGCAAAGGGGGTGCTGAATCGAACGCCTCGGTGTCCAAATGTTTGTTGGGGCTGAGATCGCCCCGTCCGGCGTGGATAATGGTTCCTATAATAACCTCGTGGACAACTGGGGGGGCCAGCGTGCTCGTTTGCAGTAATCAATGGATCAATACCTTACTGTGAGTTAGAGTCCACAGTACAGTGCAGTTTGACAATAGCGAGTGCGTCAATTCTTCTTCGTGTTCCCTGTCACATAATAACGATAGGCATATGCAGTGAGCACGAGGCGAGTCCATCGTCCCCTTGCAGGTTCGTCTCCACACTCTTCCTCTCCCGCCCTTCTGGATGCCTCGGGAATTGCCCGTGCGAGCACTAGACCAGACAATAGCACGTTAGCATATTGGCATATTGGCATATTAGTACTCCGTATATTAGTAGTATATATTAGTAGTGTTCGATACTACCTGTCCGGCCTGGTGGCTGGGCTTCTCGAATCCTCCAGACTCATTTGCTGCACCGCCGCCAAGCAAAAGTCCAGGGTCGTCATTGTCCAGCCGGGCATATTAGCACGTGGGAGCGAATGGAGATGCTTCCGGGCTAAACCACTTTGATTCCTTTTGAAACAAACGGCCCCGTCTAGTCACGTCGATGGCAGACGTCAAGTCAAAATTAAAATCAAATCCCCCAATCCCCTTATCCAGGCGCCTGATTACGTGATTTCCGACAAGAGGCTCAATTTCCCTCGCGATAAGCTCTGGCTCTCGGGACGCAGCGTTTGCATTGACGCTTGAAATGACACGCGGGAAGTCCTGCAGGACGCGAGCAGGCAAGATTAAAATGAAGCCGTGTACGAGTAATCGGCAGCAGGCCTTTCAACATAAGACTCATGCCGTCCGGCAGTTGGCACTCGGATCTTGCCTGTTCCGTCAAGCTCATCAGGGCAGTTCCATGTTCGTTATGCCGACTACTGCTGCAGCCTCTTTGTCGATCACGACAGCACCACTTTTTTCCTTTTCTCTGCTGTATTCAGCTTTTCTGCTCGTCTCCTCTCTGCCCGCCGGGTCACGCGGATGGCGTACTTGTACCAACTCTTCCACAGCAGGCATGGGCACTGCCATGATTCGTATCGGCGACTCAATATGCATGGCCGACGTAATGCTAGACGCTGGCCTGAAACGCTAGCATGAGTGGCTCTGCCGCCATCATGGCTCACCAAAAGACGCACCTACCAATTAGATGCCGAATCTAGCACCAAAAAGGTACTGGATGCGCTGTGCGTGAGCAACAGGGCTGACACTTGAGCACTTTATGTAATTGACTGTTTAATATCAAGTTGATAGACTAGCACCTGAGTACAAAAACGGCTGTCGCTGAAGGCTGTCGCTGAAGGCTGTCGCTTGAATGCATGCTTATGTAAGTATGCAATCACTACAGGGTAGCATATCAGGCGAGGCTGGGAGGCATACAATCCCAATCACAGACAATGGCGACCGCTATAGCCACTGGGTGTGCGTTGAGGTCGACAATTACTATGGCTTCTTCAATGAAGAGTCGTACAAGTATCTGGGACACAATGGAACAATGCGGGACTGGGAGTATTTCACGGTAAGATGGCATGAAAATGGGGGTTACCCGTTGCTGACGCCATACTGCCACCACTCGTTATGGCAAGTTGACGTTGCTGAGGATGGGAAGAGGCTTCGCAGAAGAGTTCACGGGAGCACTTTGTGGCAATTTGTCAAAGTCTCGGAGCATTGAAGGACTCAAGATGCAGGTATATCTGCTTTATTTTCCTTGTCCACGTGTGCATTTCCATGCGACTGTCTCTGAGTTGGCCTGACTCTTGGGAGTTAGATGTCTCGCTTGATAAGAGGATGTCAGCTTCCTAGGTAGGAAGAGAAGAAAGAAATGGAAAAAGAATGAAAAAGATGACTAGAGAGGAATGGAAAGCGGATCTCGGCTTTATGAGTGGATTAGTATTATGAACATTAAGCTCAACAAACGAGATTGACATCTGGGACCAGCTTCAGAGCGTGCCTGTGATCCATCTTAGTCCCCCTGCCCCTACATATCTGTCAAGCACGCAAAGAGCATCATCCGCTACGTGTCCTACACTCCATTGGATTTGGCCGAGTTATTAGTCGACACTGCTGAATATTAAGTTTGATAGCCGCAGAAACGACCAACACACAACACATCAATCGACACACGTAAACTTTGGATAAGATTTTCCAGCTTCTACTACACATTGATGACAAGGTAGACACAATGGTTATAAGAAAGAAAGAAAAATTGGTATCTTTTTATTATTCAAAATCATGGTCGTTGCCCCCCAATCTAAAAGCCCCCCAGAGGCCATGATGAGAGATGCATGTCATCTGGCTTTTCGTGGCACAAACAACTACTTTGACATCAGTGACATGCTTCTGATAAAAACCGTCCCAAGCGCCATGCCGTAACTTTGCACGATTAGCGGAACCTTTTTTCTTCTCTGACAACTTTCATCTCATTGCAGACCGATGATATGTTTTTCCAAAATTAGGCTTTTTTTTGGGTTTATTAATATGTATATATTTTTTTAATTCAAAGGCTTTCCAGCTCCTCCCAATCTAAGAAACCTCAGGCAGGGGAGTGAAGCGGAGGTAGGGCTTGACGGCGCGGAAGTTGGGGAACAGCTTCTTGGCCTCCTCGTCCTTGATGACGGGGGCGACAATGACGTCCTCACCGGGCTGCCAGTTGATGGGGGTGGTGACGCGGTACTTGTCGCCCGTCTGCAGGGAGTCGATGATGCGCAGGACCTCGTTGGCGTTGCGGCCGGTAGAGGCAGGGTAGGACAGGATGGTGCGGATCTTCTTGCTGGGGTCGATGAAGAAGACGGAGCGGATGGTGAAGGCAATGCCCTTCTCATCGACGTTGGTAGCGTCCTGGCGGTCGATCCTGTTGGGCGCGCGCGCCGCGTTAGTGTCTTGTTATATAAAACAACAGCGACGACAAAGACAAAACTTACATGTCGTAGAGCAGGGAAACCTGGCGCTGCTTGTCGCCAATGATGGGGAAAGTGACGTGGCCGCCAGTAACGTCCTTGATGTCGTCGATCCAGCCCTTGTGGGAGTCGACGGTGTTGGCCGACAGGCCGATGAGCTTGACGCCGCGCTTCTCGAACTCGGGCTGCAGCTTGGCAAAGGCACCCAGCTCGGTGGTGCACACGGGCGTGTAGTCCTCAGGGTGGGAGAAGAAGACGACCCAGTTGTTGCCAACGAACTCGTGGAAGTCAATGGGGCCCTGGGTGGTTTCGGCCTGGAAGTTGGGGGCAACGGAGCCCAGACGGAGAGGAGCAGGCTCAGACATGGTGATGATGGAGTTTGTGGTGTTGTTTTTGTAAGTTGGTGTCTTTTGTCTTTTGCTATGGTCAGGAACAACAGGAACAAGAACCGCCAGAGTTAAAAACGAAAGAGAAAGAGGCTTATATATCTCTCATTGCCCATCCGCCATCCGCAAAAACGTAATCGAGGGGCCCATCAACGCAACACATCACCCAATTTCTCCCCTCGTCCTCCCCCTCCAGCCCCTCTCCATCATCTCATCACTTGCCCCTCTCTTTTACAACCTCTTTTGCTTACGGAGCTAAAAAACCACAATACAACAAACACCACCCATCCCTCCACCCAAGCTTAGCTTTGCCTCTGCCTCTTTGCCCAAACGAACGAGCCATTGCAACATTCAACCCAGCGAACCCCACGATCCGCGCCAAGTGCCTGGCCTGGGGAGGTCCTCAAAGCGGCAAGGCGCCGCGATTGCGTGCTGAGCTCGTCTCCTCATTGGCCCGCGCTGCGCATTTTGCAATTCGAGTCTCTCTGACGCAATGGGCGACTAGCTCCCGCGGCCTTTGAGAATCCCCTTGTTAGCTTCGGTCTCATGCAATCGAGCTGGGGGCCATACGGTTAGAGCGCAAGCTGTGGGAAGTGCTGCGGGCTGAAGAGACCCTCAAGACCCTCTTCCGCTGCGGCTGGTCGGCCAAGCCCGCACCAACGCCGATGGGCCGGAATTGTGTAGTTTTTGGTTTGAGAGAAAGACAAATCAAGTATCCGTTTGCGGTTACTGAAGGTAAGTCTTACAGTCAATAGTACAGGGCGCCCTCAGATGTCTGATTTGGAGCTTGAGCTTGCCAAGGCTAGCATTGAGGTCTCGACCTCTGGACTAATACTGCTGTTGATCCATTGTTGACCAAGGTCTTACTTTGTCTTGCCTGTTGGCTTGTCATGAAGGCAGCCGTGTATCAGTAGAGAGTGTGTATGATTAGATGAACCCACTTGTCATCTCACTATTGAAAGGGCATGCAGTTGAAGATTCCAAGTAGAGTGGTTTTACATGTGGATTTGTAAGTGAGCTTTTTTCTTCTTCTTGTTGGGCACATGTGGTTATTGTGCGTCGACGTTGCATTGTGCCATCCCAGCTAGCTCCCATTTCTCTTCTCTCTCTTTTTACAGCTCTGCACAATTCTGGTTGATTCAAATACTTGTACTCCGTATACATGTAGTCCACAACAAATATGGGTGGTAGCACAAAGACCATCAGCCCTACTGCCACCAAGCTCGCAATCTCCATCCCATCAAGCTTGTTTCCAGGTAGCCACCTTGCTAAGAATCACCCCATAGCACCATCATACGTGTCCAAGCGACTACTCAGCAGCCACATTGGGATCGTGCCAAGGTGGCTTGCAGCGGGCCTTTCTGTGCTGACCCGGGATCCTGAGCTTGTGGACGACTGCCGACAGCCCGAGATCCGCTCATCGCTTCCAAGGCGGCCGCATTGTTGGATACCGCAAATGAACAACTACGCTATTACGAGTACACATACGAGAGCATCAACTTAATTGGAATACGCAAGAATAAAAAAAAAAAAAGAATTTGACTGGAACAGCAAAAAATCGACCACGCCAGGAGTCGAACCTGGAATCTCTAGAGAGGGTGTGTAATAACCGAAATCTAGCGCCTTAGCCATTAGGCCACGCGGCCGTCGATACAGATGGGCTTGCTATTCTAGTATATGGCGCTCGCTGGATGGACAAACGATTGGGCTCAATGTCACTTTGAAAGCGGTTGAAGAATCTGGACAGTCTCTTGATATGATTTGGTTCAAAGATATGCCAATATATATTTTCGACAATGAAATGCTTCACCCCACCGACTAACGTGGTGTTGTTTCCTCCTCCGCCGAGCACCCGCATCAAATTGCATCGTAACGACTGACCCTTCTCCCCTAGCCTAGATGCCAAGTTCTCCTCTATACCATATTGCCGCCGCCCGATGTAACAAACCCCGAACTAGCTGCTCTCAACGAAAGAAAAAGGAACGAAAACAATAGGCTTGAATTGTCAAAAGAAGCACGTAATAACGCCATTCTATGCTTAAATTCCGTGCAGTTTGCATCGCCAACACATCTATGCTGTACTGTATCTTCCCCGTTCTGGCTCCTGGTGGGGGGTCAATCCTTTATAATCACCAAAGGCCGCCAATGACGTCCCCAGCAGGGCCAAATGCGCCATAATTAGCTGGTTTGGGAGTGTCCTCAACAGGTGCAGACTGGCTGTCATCAGGGTCACTCTCTTCAGTCCCTTGCTCCACTTCCGTGTCGCTCGTGTGATTTGGCTCGCTCGTCTCAATGTCATCAACTGGAGATATCACAGGGCCTAACGGTGACCTGAAGCGACCATCCCCGTCATCGCCAAAACCAGTCGGCACTCTTGGATCCAAATAGTTGATGTTTATGGCATCAGCAGCATCCAGCTCACCGTGCACGCTCGCGGGCGGGGTTATGGGCCTGGAGAAGTTGAATATTGGGGTTGGTTGAGCCTGAGCCTGAGCCTGAGCGACAGAAAACTGAGGCACATGTGTCTGACTCATCGCTGACCTCTTTAGCTGCGGCTTGCGAAGAGAAGTGGAAGATGCGAGTCCATGTTGCCTTGAGGCAATTTCCAGGCGTTCTTCCTCAGCGGTCTCCTCATCTGTTAGATCGCCGCCGAGGACCAGCCCTGTGCCGGGCAAGATGCGGAGGCTTCCGCCTGATCTCCGTCTCTGACGCTTCTGGCCGTGACTAGCAACCGGTACACCAAGATTCGCCTGAGTGGGTGTCTGGTCATGCTTGTTGAGTCGTAGGCTTCCCATATATGAGACAATGCTTCTGAGATTGCTCTGGCTCTCTGAGAAGACGACTCTTGTCCGGAGCCGGTGCACTGCGCGATCCAAAGCCAATTCGATTGCACAGCTATCGCGTATTCTAGATAGCTTTGGCCAGGTTGCTCTTTCACCAACGAGACAACACTTCAACATAAAGTCGACGGTAGGGTTGCTGAGAAGCACAGGGAGGTTATCGAGGGTCAGATCAGGTAAGATGTTGATATTGCCCGAGTATTTTTGACTGAGAATACTTCGAAATTTGGTCATCATATTAGGGAAGAACCCCATCTCGGCCATAAACTGCAGTCGGTGAAGAGCCTCATCTCTGGCTAGCGACGTGCAGGTATATACCCAGTCCATGTCATCGCCACCATTCTTGGCGCTTTTGTGAGTATGTTGATTTTCGGGTGAAAGATGATCGTCCTTGGAGAGGAACGGAGTGACGTGTGGGTTCACCTGCGACACGATAAAGTGGTTGACGTTGAACATTTCCGCGAGGCGCGTCATGGGCAGATCGTTGTCCACTGAACCGTCAATGAATCTCTGGGGAGACGGGTTCCACTGGCGGTGCTCCCCCGTAACAGGATCTTTGACCAACAACGGCGACGAGTTAAAGATGAGAGGCACAGAGCAAGATGCGGCAACAGCAGACCATATCATGACGTTGGGTGAAGTGACATAATTGAGCAGCCGTGGCAGCTCGTATACGGATGCGGACGAGACGCAAATATTGAGGATACGTCGAGTGCGGTTGTAGGCCTCCTGAAAGGTGATGTCGCCCATCATGCCCCTCATGACTCTCCTGAGATGGGCAATATCCGACCAGCAGCCTTCTGTTAGCAGCCGACGAAAATGGTCCAGCAGACCATCTTGATTGTCTTGGGCTTCAAAAACAGCCAAATCACCATACGGAAACTCCTTGATCAGTAACGGAATCTCTTCGTCTGTTCTCGTGCACATGACAGCGCAGACGATACTTCCAGCGCTGGCGCCAGATATGATCCTGGGCAGAAGCTGGTTTTCGAACAGGGCCTTGAGAACACCGACGTGCGCCATGCCAAATGTTCCGCCGCCAGACAACAACAGAGCGCTTCGTCCAAAGCTCTGGCGCGCAAGCAGCATACCTTCCAGCAGGTCTTTGTATGCGATGCCCTGGTCTGTGGCGCTATGGATGATGGCGGCATCGATGGTTTCGATTGTCGACTCAACATAGCGCTCGATCAGCGTCTTTGTGCCAAGATACGAGTGCCGATATAGATCGACGTTGCCCATGCCGCCGAGATCGCGCGACAGGGCGGTTCGGATGAGGTGCATCATGGTGCGGATGTCCCGACTCTCTCGCGCTTCGTCAAGCGCCCGCAGTCGCTCTTCGATGAGCTTGGAGTTGTAGTCGTCGCTTTCATCGTCTCGTCTCCAGTCATCGTTGCCTTCCAGAGCGTCAAGTTCCTGTGCCGCTGCTTGCCATTGTTTCAATGTCTCAGCCTATCATGCCAATTAGTCCTGTTTAGCCAACACCTAGACACCCAGGGGATGGATTCAATAGGCACATACGTTCTTCATACGCAGACAGAGTATGTTTTTTCTTTCCTCGAGAAGCCTCGCCTTCTCGCGCTCTTCGCGGCTCACGCCATCTTTCCAGGATCGCCAGAGGCCCGCCGCTCCCTTGACTGTCTGGGATACGGTTTGCACAAGGGTCCGGTCAGCAGGCTGCAGAGGCTGCGAAGATGCCGAGGCGTATTTCTGGCGCTTTGGCGAGGGTGGAGAGCTGCTACCGGTGTGTATTTGAGGTATCGGAGGTGCGCGGAGGAAGAAGTCGGCCATGACAAGAGGTGCTGCGTTGCATCCGGGATTTGTTGAGGATACTGTATTCAGGTGGGCAGCAGGAGGGTTTGGCTCAGCTCCAGTCCCATTCCAGCTGGCGACGTCGACTCGATTTCACAAGTAGACGAGACGGTGGGTTAACAGTCAGAGAGAGAGAAGGAGAGAGAGGCTTTACGGAGCAATGCGACTTGGGAAATAAAAGTACTGTTGGTAGGGAGGACGGCGGGAGACAGGGGAGGCTTTGGAGGTAATCTTGGAGAATCCGGGGATGGTTGGAGCATCTGACCGCTCTGCCACACCCGCTGATGGCATCTGTTGGTGGGGACAATAGCGGCGTGGGCTGGGCTGGACAGGTGTACTTTGGCGGTACTCTCGGCGTCGTACCTGGAACCAGCCGGCAGTTGGCCACCGTTAACACGCCGAGTACCTGCTGTGCTGTAATCGCTCATCTATCTAGGGAGTAGTACTCCGTACATCTACTTGCATTCCACTTGTCGTCCATGTAGCGAGCACTCACTCACAGACGGCAACTTGACATGAACTCGCCCATCAAATCAAATGGATAGGTGCAGGTGCCATAATTAGGTGCAGGGACAGCCCCCCAACATCCCCCCGGAAAACCCCCATAATCCCCCGTATTCCGCTGCGCGTCCACGTGCTGCAATGCCGCTGTGCTGACTCGGGGGTTCGCAGATGCTGGCGACAGATCAATCTTCACATGCCATCCTAGAGATTCTGCAGCACCCTGCATCCCGTCGGGCACCGGCACATGCTTCGAGGGTGCGAGTACATTAGTCGTCTGGTCGGGTACCAATCAGGCTGCGTCTGCGGTTGCGAATCCGGAGTAGCTGGACGCCCGCATCTCGTACCATCTCGTACCATCTCGTACCCCAGGTCCCCCGGACTGGTTACTCGGCTGCAAGAGGCGGTAAGGATTAGCTCTATCTAGATGCAGCAGAGGGGAACTTGGGGGAAGTAAGGTTCCAGTCCAGTAGAGCTCCAGAAAGCGCCATTGCCCACCACCGCGGGTTCCGAAATGCGAAATGCGAAATGGTCGTGGTCATGAATGACGTCGCAGTGCGGGAATTGTCTCATGATGTGTCCAAAGTTGCGGTCGGGTGGACGAAATAGTGCTGATCGGCCACGGATGAGGGAAACTGTTTGGGTGGTCTTATCTGCATGTCACGCTGACGTCTTCTAGAAGAAGGGATAGTTCCGAGATGGACGAAGTAATGTGCGTCATATTAAGATTGCATTATCGCGTACATAAGTACAATTTTAGCATCTACAGCTAAAAACGACGCGAGCAGCTATAGCTAATTAGACGCGAGGAGCGCCCTTCTCTGATCATGAAATGCGATGTGGTATAAATACCTGAAATACTCATCATGGTAAAACACACGAACAATGAATGAATGAGTCAACGAAATATGGAGCGCTAAGCCTTGTGCCCTCATAAAAACTATTGAACTATTGAGTACACCCTGTAATATGCCATGCTTGGTGGTAATATTCAGGCAAATTGTCATACGGCGTGACACATATAAGCAGCCAGTGACTCACAGGTGTGCATTTGCACGACGCCTGGAATTTGATTCAATCTGCCTGTTCAAGGTACCTTGGCAATGATGAACGACGTGTTGTCCATCATATATAAGAGCAGCAACACTATTGACCAATGATGCTGCGCTCTTCATCAAAACTTTGCATTCCCTCACATCTTTCAGAATGGCTGAATCAACAAGCAATATTCACACAAGCGAGCAAAACACCAACACAGCAGGCGAGATGCACTTAATCCCGAATCCCCTCCAGGGTAGCAGCCAGCCTGCAACCAATCCACTCGAACAAGAGGTCGAGAACGAGGAGTACCTCGAAGGGCCGCTCGATATCGATGAGAAACGAAAGAGATTCGACGAGACATCCTGTACTGTCGAAGAGAAGGAGCTCTCCGACCTATTCAAGAAGGGATTGCTTGATGATGGAAGCACCGGTCCCTTGAAGGGAGATTTCACCTTGAACGATCTCCCTCAGCTGAGCGGCGACGAAGCATGCAGCGTCCAGTGGACGACATCAAAAACAAAGCCAAAGGGCAGGACATCGAAGGGCACTCGTGCAATGGATGGCTTATCCGATGATGAGTTGGCCAGTGTTCTACAAGCTTGTCCGGACTTGGAGGATTTCATTACCAATAAGACCTAGCTATTCCTAATTGATGAAAGAATCAAAGGTCGTGAATTTGAAACCGGCTGCTAATTCAATTACAAGCGTCTACTTCGCGTTTTCCCCCTTTACTCGAAATCATTCATTTCTCATCCCAACCAGCAAGAACGGTTGCTAGTTGCTCGTGCCGAACCAAGGCAGATTCAAATGAAGGCAATCCTTCGAGCGCTCCGTCCGCAAACTTGTCATAAAGAACACCAACGCTTCTCCCCAAGATTGCCAGCTCTTCCTGCCAGCTCTGCCAGCTCCAATCACTCGTCTGCACCTTGTCCGAAGCGAAATCGTGAACCTCAATGGTCACGGGGGCATTGTAAGAACCGGCGTGCAGAGAAGATCCGCCAAATGCTTGAAGTCGAATCTCGCCCTTCTCGCCATTGATTGTCCATGAAAGGGCAGGCTCGCCGGGGAATTGCTGTCCTCGACGGAAACGGAAGAGCACGTTGGCTCCCTCAGTGGCGATTTGCGATGCGGCGAGGGTGCCGTTGATGATGATAAGATCAGGAACATTGGACTTGACTGTTTCAACGACTTCTTTGGTTGAAGGGTTGCGAAGGAGGACATTGGGGCGCTGGAGTTGGATATGTGATTGGATGTTTTGAACATCTCCAAGGACATGCTGGACTTGATCAAACACTGAGAAAAGTTAGATGTGAAAAGCCAATATATAAGTAAACTCCAGGTGATAAAAACTTACAATGTCCAACTCCAATCGTCACGACATTACCACCAACAGCTCTATCAGTAAAATACTTGAGTGCTGGCAATAAAGCCTCTCGATCAACAGATCCGCCAAAGGCTCTGACTTCGCTGCTCAGGATTTTACCAATGGTCCCCTTCTTAAGAAGCTCTCGGACCTTGACAATAGGAGGAGCCTCGCGTCCTTGATGGCCAACCAGCGTCCGCCCACCACCAACTCTAGCTGCGTCGACGAGCTCCTTTGCGTGAGCCACATCCTGGGCCAGTGGCCACTCTACAAAGACATCCTTGCCGGCCTTGGCACTGGGCAGGGCAGTTTCATAGTGGACGTCGACGCGGGTGCTTACAACCACGAGGTCAATGTCCTTGTCGTCGGCCACGTCCTGGGGGTTGCCGTAGGCCTTTGCGTCGGAAGGCAGCTTGAAAGCTTTAATGGCTTGCTTTGCTGATTCGACGGTGCTGTTGCAAACAGCAACAATCTGATACTTTGCACGACCGCGGGCGGAGAGAAGATAGGGCAAATGGGCAGCGCTGGCCCAGGATGTGGTTGCGTTGCTGGAGAGGCCGATAATGGCCGTGCGGATAGGCGCCATGGTTAATGGGTAGCTAATTGTGCGGATGGTTATAACTACAGATGATTCCCAACTTGGTTACAGTCTCTTTGTGTCTATATGGCATTGTTATATATAGTTGGTCTATTTCCGCAACTATTGCGTCTTGAAGCAAAATATCATGCAATGGGGTGGAGGGTGCGGGTGGATTTCTAAGCAGCGATTTATAATGCTAGGGGTTGCGAAGGATCTCAGTTCTAGTCTGTTTGTCTGGCTACAGTCAACGATGGCGGGTAGAGTGTGTAGCATTACCCCAAATAGACTACCTATGTATATTGTTTGGTCCATGTGTATAGAGGTATGGAGTACATGCATTGTCTAGGAATAGCGATTTTTTCTTCTGGGGAGAGATTCGCTTACTCCAATGAAGTCCTGGACGTGGAGGCATGTCTGAGGCGTTTAGCTTCAAGTCTGCGTCTTTACATTAGGCTTTCAATTCTAGCATTTTATTTCCGTGCTTCTCAACTCTCGGTAAGCTAATGCAAAGCTCTCTTCTTTCTAGGTAAGTGGATAATGTGGTATTATGCTTGACTTTGAGAAATGAGTGTATTACATCCAACGCTCGCTTTTGAGGATTACAAAGTGACGCTTGGTGGGATCGCACATAAATAAAACAAAAGCGAAGTTCTTGGTAACTTGACGATTAGAAAATCTCACCTGTCCCTAAATATTGTCTCTCTCCCCTCCCCTTCTCTGCAGCTACTGTTGGTGGGCACCTCATCACTTGATCACTTCATGGCAGGCGTGATAATGATTCTCAGCGGACCAGATACTAGCTCCACGATTCAAAGGCATTGATGAAATCAAAGTTCAATTTTATATACTTTGAAATTGATTTGCGTTTACGTTATCATTGTTGTGCGAACTCATGAAGCAAAAGGAATGGGATTCATCTTACATGAATCTCTCCATTCTCCACACGCTACCGGCAAAATGAATTCGCCCGCTTCAAGTATTGGGCTAAACCATCATGGCCTCCCTCATTGAAAAACATCACTTAAAAACGTTAAACTGTCCATCTATGAAGGCTTATTCTTTCTATTGATACCTATGTCTTGAGATATTCTCCCCTCAAGCACTTGCACAGTTCAACTCTTTGTTATTCGATACACGTCCACCTACTTTTGCTGAGCGCACAAGCATCAAACGCCTCCAAGCGGATACCTCCTCTTTTCAAATACCGCAATGAGTTCATCATCTCAACATCTAACCAACTATGCCGCTTTTACTCGCCCCGGGAAAGGCATCAGCCAGATTGGCCATTTAGATGCAAAAGCCGGCACAATTCAACCACTCAGCCTCCTCTCCGGGTACCCCATCAAGGATCTCTACCAAGTCATTGAAGCCAGCGCTTCGCAAATAGTTGCCTCCGGCTCTGCTCTGCCTCTCTCATCTGTCAAGCTCCTGGCACCTATTGCGGGCCGCGATGTATTGGCCGTGGGCAAGAACTACATGGAGCATGCAAAAGAGTTCAACGCCTCGGGGTACGACAGCTCGGACAAGGTCGATAAGCCAAGCCATCCTGTCATCTTCACCAAGCGCGCGACATCCATCATTGCAGATGGCGAAGACATTTACTTGCACCCGGAGTTTTCAAAGAGCTTGGATTATGAAGGCGAGATTGGAGTCATTGTCGGCAAGACGGGGTTCCGGATCCCTAAAGAAAAGGCCATGGACTATGTCTGGGGATACACTGTTATCAATGACATGACGGCCCGGGAGAGGCAACGAGACCACAAGCAGTTTTATATTGGAAAGTCTGCTGATACATTTTGTCCCATGGTAAGTGAGATCATGCCTGTGTTTTTCCATGATTTGGCTGTTGATTCGGCCAGGGCCCTGTTGCAGTTCCAAAAGAAGACCTCCCTTCGGTGCTGCGTGTGCAAACGCATGTCAACGGCGAGCTACGACAAGATGCAACGACTGATGACCTTATTTTCGATATCCCAACTTTGATAAACACGCTTTCTGAGGGACACACATTATTGCCTGGTGATGTGATTGCTACTGGCACGGTTAGTTTATTCTGTGATTTACTTACAGCTGCGATTCTCTCTGACAGCATCACTATATTAGCCTGCCGGTGTCGGCATTGGACGCAACCCGCCTCTCTTTCTCAAAGAGGGAGACGAAATCACCGTCACCATCCCAGGTATTGGCACTCTTCGCAACAAGGTCACCACTGTGAACGCAACCACCGATCGTCTCGCCTCCCAATCTGCCTTTAGCCTTAGCAACGCAACACGTTCCCTGAACGGCACAGCAGCCGGACTTACCATGATCAATGGCAAGTCGTTGAATTATAAAACATTCGGTCGCCAAGACGAAGGCTCAGTTGTTTTCGTCCACGGTCTGGGCAGCTCATCGGAGTATTTCTTACCTTTCATTTCAGACTATGGACTCGATAAAATGGCAAACGTGCACCTATTTGACTTTGAAGGCCATGGCCTCAGCCCTACACACCCGATGAGCGTCTTGACCGTAGACTCCTTGGTGGCAGATCTTGCGGGCGTATTCTCGCATGCGGGACTCCACGAGTCCAACCCCGGGCTACTAATTGCAACATCCTATGGCTGTATCATTGCCCTGAAGTTCGCTCTTCTCTACCCTCGATGGGTGGGGAAGCTTGTACTGTTGTTTCCGCCTCCCTTCCCGCTCTCCGAAGCCTCTAGAGGAGTCTTGGAGAAACGTAGTGAACTCGTTCGCACTTTGGGCATGGGAGCAGTGGTTGACGATATCATATCTGAGGCCACAACTAGCTGGTCAAGGAAATCGAAACATGTTGCGATGGCGGCAGTTCGGCTCAGCTTGCTTGGCCAAGAGCCGGAATCCTTTGCGAAGGCGTGTGATGCATTTGCTAAAGCTGAAGAAGCTCTCCCATTGGAAAATCTTGATGTGGAAACAGTTATTTTATCAGGGGGCGGAGACTCACTCTGTACAAAGGAAGTGGCGGAGGGATATGCGCAGAAGATAAAGGGAGCAAGTGTTAGTTGGGGTGAGGAGCTTGGCCAATGGGCTGTTTTTGAGGATGTGCGAGCAGTAACCGAACTCTTGATGGATGCTGGGCTATGATAGAAAGGGTTTATGGTGGTGATGTTATCCCAACCCTGGATAAAATTCATATAAGCTTCCCTTAGACATATTTCTATCCATACAATTGCTCCCAGTTCTCCTGATGAATCAACTTAGATGCTGCATGTACCTATACCATTTCGGTACTCGTGGATGGCCAGCCCTACTATTACCCCAGACAAGCCGTGGAATGCCACGCAAACCTAATTTTACAATGCACAAATATGTGAATGTAGCAATACCTGGCAATTATTCTTTGATCCAGCCGGGCGCAAAGCTGAAGGCCACTAAAATCCAAGCACAGCACACACACCCTCGATTACATCACGCAGCATCAGAAGGATCAATTGTAGCAACGCAGCCCGCCATCAAATCGGGAGCTAGACAGCGAACCACGCTTCATCTGGGCCTATGAGAAGCCGTTGATAATAGTGCCCTGTTCACTATCTCAAGGAAGGATGCGTGTACATGCAGCTTGGATGAATCCTCACCAATTATGTGCTGCGCTACTCCTCTTGTATTGAGCTTCATACGTCATGACGAAGTTTACACTCCGCGTCGTTGTATATCCCATAGAATCCATAGCCAGTAATTTTGCACAATTTTGAACCTCAATTCGTGTTGCTGCTAAACTGCGCTTGGTTGATTTAATTCACGTCGACATCAATTGAACATCACTTACAGCCTCACCATGTCCAAGATCCTCACCGTCTTCGGCGCCACAGGCAACCAAGGAGGCTCTGTCGTCGAAGCCATCCTCGCGGACCCAGCCCTGTCTCAAGAATTCAAACTCCGCGCCGTCACTCGCGATGTAAACAAACCAGCAGCCAAAAGGCTCGAGGCAAAGGGCGTTGAGCTCGTTGTGGTGCGTGTGAAATGCTGCCTTCCAGCGCATCTAGTCATCCACACTCAATAATCTCTAACCAGAGACTATAAATCGCTTTACTTGTAGGCCGACATGTCCTCAGCAGACTCCGTCGCCCCAGCCGTCCAAGGCGCCCACACCGTCTTCCTCGTCACGAATTTCTGGGAGAGCATGTCAGCCGACATTGAAATCTCCCAGGGCAAAGCCGTCGTCGATGCCTGCAAGGCCGCCGGCGTCCAGCACATCATCTTCTCGTCGCTCATCAACGCCGGTAAAGCGAGCAACGGACGCCTGTCCAATATCTCACATTTTGACGGAAAGGCCCGAATCGAGGAATACATCCGCTCAAGCGGTGTTCCGGGAACTTTTGTCTTGCCGGGCATGTTCATGAGCGGCTTCGAGACCATGATTCGCAAAAATCCACCCTCGGAACCGGCAGGATACACGTTGGCTCTGCCCGTCGATCCGTCAAAAGCAAAGGCGCCGCTGTTTGATGCCGCCCAGGACACGGGTAAGATGGTTCTGCAATTTCATCTTAATACAAGATCCACTGTTGACAATGTCACCTCAGGCAAGTTTGTAAAGGCAGCTATTAAAAACTTCCCCTCCCAAACCGGGAACCGTATCCTTGCGGCGTCAGACTACTACACCATTGACCAACTCATGTCCGAGTTCTCCCAGGTCATGGGCAAGCCCGCCCATGCTGTGCAAATCGAAGATGACAAGTTCAAGTCGTTCCTGTCCCCAGCAGCGGCGGAGGAATTGCTGGAGAATATGAAGCTTCTGGAAGATCCCGGGTACTATGCCGGTGAATCTCTGGCAGGGAGCTTGGCATTGCTGGAAGAGAAGCCGACGAGCTGGAAGGAATTTGTGGAGAAACATAAACAGAAGTGGGTTAATTTCGATCACTGAGATGACGATAAGCACAGTTGAAGTGAAGAGCCTATCTTTTGCTATTTAGGGTATAGTTGACTAGGGTTTCATGTAGCTGCTAATTTTAAAAGAGATCTATTGAGTCGCTTACCTATTTGCCTATGCCTTTGTTCTTAACTGCACACTACGGGACAAGACCATGGCTGGCTGTCAAAAGGGTTTCAATGAGCGTGACGGCACCCACATAGTATGGGTGTCAATGCTAATGCTACCTAATTCCTATTTAGGTATTCAAACGAGAGCGTCATCAATAGTTACACGTTGTTCAGTCCCTCACTCTGGTCTCAAACATATTGCATGCAGCGTTTCAAGTCATGGAATCTTACATGTGATAGTCGGGCTGACTCGGGTGTTGTTCAAACATACATACCGATGAAATCATTCTTACCGTGTATTCATGTCCAAAATGATTGTTGTCGCTTTGAGCGCAGTTGCACATATCATCACACGTAATCCGCAAGTCTGCTCATCAGGTCCTTGACTTCAATCCCACCGACGTTGTCTGAATGGTGATGGCGATGGCCCTTGTGAGGGGGCAGAGGAACTCGGTTGACGACCTGGATCACGCCGTTCTTGGCAACACCGTTGGGCACAACCACTCGCGAATAGCCGTTCACTTTAATTGAGGCGAAACCAAAAATGCGGGCAATGTCAACACTGATGTGGGCGTCACCGAGCAGCGTGGGCAGGTCGTAATGCTCGCTCTTGAGCTCTTCAGCCGGCTCCGTCTGCTGCTTCGTATCTCTCTCGTCGTAGAATGCATCGGTATAGAGCGTAGCGTTAGGCACAATGTTGTACTTGAGGATGGCCTTTAGGTACTTGCGACCCTTGTCGGTGTTGAAAAGAAAGGCATTTGCCTTGGGGCCCAGCCAGTTAAAGGCCTCATTGGTGGGGACGAAGACGGTGCTGCCCTTGAGGTTGACGCCGTGAATGAACTTGACAAACTCCGTCTTCTCATAGGCCAGCAGCAGGGTCGAGAACCGGTCGGGGAAGAGAGTAATAATTCGACCGACATAGGGGGGCGGAACTAGGATATGATTGACAGCGTGGATAATCCCGTTCTTGGCTGCCTATTTAAATTGAAGAAGGAAAATGAAAGGGTCAGTCAGAGTACCAAGTACGAGCAACAACACAGGTTGGCTATTATTAGAAGCGATTGCTCAGCGGGGCAACTTACAATGTCAGCAGCAATCACCTTGCTGTAGAAGTTGAGTTTGACTCCGCCCAAACCAACAGAAGAACGGAGACGTTGGGGCTCACCGCCCAGCAACTCCTCGTCATAGGCGGTGGGCAGCGTGTACGAGTGCAGGATCTTGCGGGCGGGATATTCGCCCTTGGCAATGTGATAGAGCAGGGCGTTTTCGATAAACTCTTTGCTAGGCTTCTTGTGATCGTCTGGGATGTCCTCAAAGGCCTTATCCACAGGCACAAACAGCGTGTAGTTGGCAGAGGTGCTGTTGAGCAGATCCACCACGCTAGGGTGGTCGTCGACTAGCTTGGCGAACTTTGTGGTGAACTTGCTCTTGGAGATTAGCTCGTATATCGTAAAGCTGCTGTCCTCGTCGTGGTGATGGTGGCCGGGCCTGCCGACGTCTGCCGTGTAGTCCAGCCCGACCAGATCGGCCACGGCCTGGCTGAAGTCCTCGTGGATATGGCCGCGGATCGACGACACGGCGTTGAAGAAGCTCTCGGCAGCGGCGATGTCGTCGTCCAGGTGGTGGGGGCCGATCATGGCATTGTCCTTGACAAAGGCTGTGACCTCGTCAGTCGCACCTAGCGGTGCCTGATTTGGCACGGCTGCTTCGGGTAAAACCAGCGCGTGGGCTGCTTGGATAGCGGCCAGCGACAGCGCGCCAATGGCAGCGAGTTTGGCCATTGTCATTGTGTCGGGGTCAGACAGGTGTATCGTGGATGATGGGATCAACGGGCTGTGGCACGCCGAAGCTGTCACAGCACAGAGCACAAGCAGGATTGGGTAGAGTAGCTAGCTGTAACCGTAGCTGTAACTGCCGGTCAAGACGCTCCAGGCGGTGATGATGGAGGACGGAACAAGCATCGCCTCTGCCCACCTGCAAGGGGGACAAGATGGGCACAACTGGGTCTCCATGAACTCAAGCAAGGTTTCGATGCTGCAAGAGGCAAAAAGCTACTACGAGTGCACTACACGTACAAGCTCCAGGCAAGGCAAGGGGGCATCTCAGTGAAAAAAGACACCACGGCGCCCCACCGCCAGATCTATTTCAGGTATCCGGAAGTACTCGCACCCGCTGATATTCTGGGCCACAAGCTTTCAACGGCCAGATATTTCCGAGACAGTGGGACAAGAACGGGCCAAGCTTTGACAGGGGACCAGCCAGTTTACTTTACAGGTATCTTGTGTGCACTGACTTTTGATGGTGGTTTGAGGACCCTGCCAAACTGCGTTGGAACCCCCCAAATGCCACAGTCGGATCGCCGCGTTTCCGGCAGGCGGTGCAGGCGGTACAAGAGCGCTACTCGAAGCCTAACAGCACAGAGAGGCGACATGTACACGAACGCGCAATCGAGTGATGCTACGGCATTACCAGGAGACTTGACAGCTGCTGTGATACGGCAACGTCTGACGTCAAAGCCACGCTTTCGCATCATCGATCACCGTTGGGCCGGCAAATTCCAGCATCCATGCCATCCATGCGAACGATGCCGCGGAAAGCGATTGCGCATTTGTCCGTGCTTTGTCGAGTTGCCAGGGAGTTCTGGTACCTTCGGGTTTCCAGGTTTACTGTATCATGACTGATAGTTCCATTTGGTCTTCTCTCGACTTCTCAACCAATACAACACAGACTCCCCCCAAGCAAAGCATAGCACTTACTCCTTGTAGCAATACTCCCGGCGACTCCTGGCCCTCGTACTCGAATCTGTTCATGGGAGGGGGCGAAGCAGGTCGCTAGCGAGGGTGGCGTGCCCATCCAGACATGCTGACAGGACGATGAAAAAGCCTTGCCAGTGCTTACTCTTTCATTAGCGGGATCCAGCTATGCGGCTCTAGGAAAGGCCTGTGCGCCGCCCCAGGCGTTGCTGACACAATATTCCGTGGGATTTGATTTAATGCTGCTGCGAGTCGCGGTCCGTTTAAAATCATTTTCCCCAGCTCTGGCAGGTTTTGTTTCTTCATCATTGCCGTTTCACGCTTCTCTGCCGTGTTTGCTGTTGTTTTGGCCGGATCTCGTCTCGTCTCGCCTCGACTCGTCTCTGCACCACATCTTCGTACCTGTACATGCGCTCGACCTCCGCTAAATAGAGTAGCCATCGATCCCTACACCCACTACGACGTGCGCCAATTACGGGGGCTTCAGGCTTGCTGCGGGGCTGCATCCAGTTATTGTCACTGCTATTGTCCGACTGACTTTCCACCAAGAGAGACGTCAGAAGCATCTCACCTTTTCCCGGTTCCCCTCTTCTTTCTTCTTTTCTTCTGCACTGTCGAAAACTCTGGTCCTTCGGAGTTTTCACGCAATAAATGAGCCAAATGCTTCGCAAGAAAGAGGCCTTCACCCTCGTCACGCCCATCCCGGGCTTCATCCCGCGACAACTCGCCATTGATATCCTCCACTCCCATGGCGAAGTCCTCACTCTCAACCCGCTTGTCCTCGGCTTCAAGCCCATCTCTGCGCCTCGCAATGCCTCCGCCGACGAGTTTTACAGCACCTGGTATGAGATTGAGGAGCGCATCCAGGTCATCCCCGGCGTGGGCAAGCTCGGCGGGAGCAGGATCAAGTTCAATGGCTGCTTCCACGACATGCCCTGGGGCCTGCAGACGCACATCTATGCGCCTTTGAATATCGATTTGCGCAACAAGTACCGCATCTGCGGCAACCAGCCTGGATTCGAGCCGCCCGAGGTTCGCGAGATTGGCCTCGAAGCGCTCGGGGCCCCGGCCGACGGCTTGTATCTCCGCGAAGATATCGAGATCAAGACCAACATCGCCATGGTCAGCTTTGTCAAGGCCCAGCTCAAGGCTTCCAACAAGGAAATGGTCCAGCGCATCATTAAAAAGGCCGAGCTGCTCGATGCTGGTGTTCTGCAGGCCATGATGGAGGATGGCAAGCTCAAGACCGTCAACCCCAACGACCGCTCCACCACGCCCGCCGTCGCCGCGTCCGCAGACCCCAGACGACAGTCTTCTGTTTCCTATGGAATGGGCCAAAAAAGCCCTCAATTGGCACACCAGGGCCATATGCCACCCAGCTATTCTCCAGTTTATCCCCATTATGCCTACCCTGCCACTGCTCAGACGCCGCAGCCGTACGACCCTCGACAATCAACATACCAACAAACGCCCCAGCATGGTATGTACGCGCCACCGCCGATCCCCCCGAAGGAGCAGATGGTTATCATGGAACTGCCCGGTGACTACCCCCCGCATGCTGGAGGTCTATATCCCTCTCCGCAGCCCAGCCCAGGATATCGCCCAGCCTCGTCATCGTCATCCGATCCTCGCTGGTCTGGTCAGCCGAGTCCGAACTTCAACCAGCAAAGAGCGAGCACCGGCTCTACGAGCAGCGCGGGCCAACATCCCGGTTTTGTGTCAGAGCTGGCAACGCACAATGAAAAATCAGAATATTAGAGGCACGCCCAGTGATTAATGTTTGAAGTTTTTGATGAAGACGGCATGCAAGGAACAAGCCACTAATTATGAAAGATGTGAAAAGTCGCATGGACATGGAGAAGGATAAAAGAAAGACCTGATAATGCTTAAGATGGGAGAGTTTGGGCGCAACCTGCCGGTATACACATTGGCGTAATCTTTCAATCTCCTTTGTATCATTTACTTTTTTTTCTTGTGTATACATATACCCTGAGCGGTATTTTCTTTTCGATTGCATTGATTAGGGGGGAATCTTGGAAAGATAGTTACGGATCTAGGAATACCACTTTGCGCTTTTTATTTGGATACCCACTACATTCATGATTCGCAATTCATTGCCTGACATGCTCTAAATGCTGATGTGAATTAATGTATCTGCCCCCCCTTGCTACTCATTCAAAGAGTCATTATGATGATGGATACTATAACGAATGCCAACATCACACCGGACATCTTGATAGCTGTGGGATTTCCGCCGCTCGTTGTGGTCGCTGTGGACGCCTCAGTTGTAGATGACGAGGTGAATTCAGTTGTCGTTGCTGACGTGGTTGAGGATTTCGGGAGAAATGGAGTCACTATGGGGTGGCCACTGAAGATGGGGACGAAAGATGTACTCTGTGATGATATCGACGAGGATGTCGACGATGCCTCTGCCTCTGTCTGTGTCTGTGTCTCGGCCGATGTTGAAGTTGGAGCTTCTCCGTGAGTTGTCTTCGACACAGGCGTGCTCTGAGGACGAGAACTTGACGCGTCGGCGATACTGATGCTTCCTCCAGTAGTTGTGCTTCCATTGCCACTCCCATCAGCCCGCTGACAATAGCCTTTGAACCCGTTCTGAAAACACTCCTCCCCAGCCTGGCAGTACGACCCGTTCGAACAGCAGACAGCGTTCTTGGGCATGCACTTTTTCTCGCCACAGGGCACCTCGCCAATGTCACAGCTGATTTCGTCGCTGCAGGTTTTCCCAATGGGGCAGCATCCGTCCGTGACGCAGGAATAGCCCTGCTTGCAGTATCCCTGGCCGTCGGAGCAGCACTCTCCGATAGAGGGCATGCAGCCGTCGTTGCAGACTAACTCTCCCGGACGGCACTGGGCGGCAATGACGACGGAGGCATCTTGGAAGTGAGATGATGGCAATAGCTGGGCAAGGAGGCGCGCGGGAGGCTTATGCGGGATGAGGTTTGTGGCGGCGAGAGTTGTTGATGACAGGCTGAGAAAAAGGAGAGTGTGGAGTGAGGATCTCATGGCTGAATCAAGCACTATTGTTTATTAATGAGATGGGAATTATTATTAATATTATGAGTTGGACAGAATCCAATGCTGATATTTGGTGAGCTGTAGTTCCGTCTGTTGCCTCTCGAGGAACCCAGCATGCCTCTTATAAACATTCTTTGCAAGGACAACTCCACCGCTTTTTCCACTTCATAAATCCAATATCCCACTGTCCACTGTTGGGCATACAAGGCAAAAAGCCTTGAGCCGCATCGTCACGACCCAGGATTTTCAGCTCGTCTTGGCATCATGCAACGCGCGGTGAACTGGCCGACGCTATTAACTGCAGGGTAGCGCTAAGCATAAATTTGCGTTTTATCCTCTTCTTCCTATTGGGACACACGTTAGCTCACATGAGCGTCTTGCTGTATGCCTAATACAAAAAAGTCGGTTAGGAGGCAGTTAACAGGGGTTGAGATACGCATTCCCTATTTGGCAAATATTGAGGCTCTTTGGACGTGATGTATCGTGGCTTAGTCAAGGTTGGGTTTCTGGGGTTTGAGCCATTTAGCATCCAGAGCTCACCTAATGCTTGATATTTTACCCTATCATTGCGCATCATGTATAATACTAGGACCAGTGTGTAACGTGTCTGTTGATTCTAAGTCTACTATATGCTTTTGCCGAGCGTCGGCAACTTGGATCCTGGCTGCATACACGGGCGCTGCCTTGCCTAAGCAGCGGTATAAAAAGTCATTTTCTCCCACCAAGAACGAACTGTGTCAGAGTCACCCCTCCATCTTGCTCTCTGCCTACGAGAGAATGAAGGAGATCACATCTTAAGCCTCTCCTTACCGCGGTCTTCTCAGTGTTGCACGAGCGCATACTGTTTGTAAGCCGCCGTTGAGACATTAATCCCCCAGAAATAGAATAATGACGTGATGTCGAAGCGAACGTGTAACCTGGAGCGATGCTATAATTACACGCAAGGTTTGGAGTAGAGTGCCACCTTTACTACATATAGACGGACAGACGACCAACACAGAACAACCAACAGCAGGTTACGCGCTTTTGTAGCTGTTGGACCTGACACATAACCACACATAGCCAACAGCTCGCAAAAAACGCTCTAGTAAGAAGCGGCAAATCTTTTTCTCTGCAACAAGGTCCTGCTGAAACGTTTCCATTGCCCTCATGACCCGCATCCTCGATGGCCAGTTCCCGCGGCCGGCTTTTTAAGTCCGTTCGAAGCTATTCAAGCTCGTGGATCTCGGGCCTCAGCTGGTCTCGCAGCGGCCGTTCTGGCGAAGTACCGTAGCACCAGCCCGTGGGCGACAAGATACAAGGAGAATACCCGCTGCGGCCGGCCAATCAGACCAGCGCGGTAAGATCCTAGCGCGGCGCTTCTCGACCCGCAGGCCAGAAATAGACCGCACTAGCCATGGTTACGGACTAGCACCCAGCTAGAGCTGCCTAGACGCGCGCTTGATTCTCTAAACGAGCCAATGGCGCATCACCCGTGTGTGGGGATGGCTGCCGCTACAGCGAAAAGGGAAATGCACTGATCCCATGTAATATCCCCATCAACCCTACTCTGACTTATATACGCTGCAAAAGATGAGCAACGGCTGGGTCTCTTTTGGCATGGCAGCGCGGCAAAGAGCCCTGCAGTTACATGCGTCTGCCATGTGTAAAACTGGGCCGCCATGCGAGTGTCTTTGCCCTGGGAGCTGCTGCCGCCCCCTCCGCCCTCCGCCCTGGGCGTCTGAGCGCGTTTCCCCCACGGGTGATCCTCCCGCCTGGCCCATGAAAAACATGCAATGCAATGCAATGATCCCGTTCATTTCCTGTTCGCGCCGCTATTGGCGGGCTTCCAGGGGTGTCGAGGCCCTTTGGCAATAGAGCTTGATGTCATTGTCGGGCCAGGCTCTGGTCGTGGACGCTTCCCAGCCTGGTTTTTGCTGCCGGGGTGACATCTTGGGACATGCCATTTTCTGCAAGGCAGCGAACTTCTCCATACAACCCTGACGGCTCGTCCGGTCCACATGGTCATTAAGCAGATAGACAAGATTTTTAGGACAGGGGAAGAAGAGGAACCTTTTCGAGACCTTTTGTCTGCTTCCATGCCCTGTCTCATACTATATTCCATTAGCCGCCTTGCAAGACTCGAGGCGAGCGCTTCCTTGCGGACTGAGCCGTTGCTTGTACCTTTTTTCCTCAACGCTCATTAATGTTCCCTTTTTTTGCCATGGGTTTCCGTCTTCATATCCGTAGAGCTATGCCAGCCTTCCCAGACAGACGATAGCCGCCTTGCCCAAAAAGGCCGTCTAACCGCCCGTGGCCCTATCGTAGATGCATGCCGACCAATATCAGCGAGCCATTCTCGCCCAACTGAGCTCTTCAGATACACGCGCTCCGTTTCATGTCCGATTCGGCTTAGATCTTCTTGTTTCATCCCGACAGCCGCCCAAGGCCATATTGGATTTCATCTCTTCCTCTGACAGATGATGCATCGCAAAACTTAAAGCAGGCCCATGTCCCCCCGGCAGCCTGCTTCTCCTCTCCTTTTTCTCCAGAAGCTTTTTTTTATTTTATTTTGTCTGTGTGTGTGTTTTGCTTTCACTCAACTTCACTCAAACTCGTTTCGTATTTGTTTCTTTTCTACCCCCTTTCACTGTTTACTTTTTGGTCTTGTTTTCCTCTCTCTCTATTCCTCAACTCGTCAAGTCTGTGGAGATTTTCTCTGCCTGTCATCATCATTCTTTGGGCCTTTTTTTTCCCCCTGCAGACGACTCGGCGCTGTTTCCCCCTCTTACAAGGACCAGACCCTCACGGTAGACCGCACTGCAGGCCACTTCGGTCAAGACCGCGAGGACCTCGACCAGTCATTTCGACCTTTTAATCAATAATTGTTTCATTACTTGGCAAGTGGTTACCGAGCCGGTCTCGTATCACCTCATCCAAGCATCAGTCTGCTTCCCACTCTCTTCCATCATTTTGCATATCATCATCAAACTTCTCCACCTGTGGCAACTCCATTCGTCTTCTTCGACCGAAACATACCGACTCGTCAAACCCTCCTCCATGATGCCGAGACACACTAGGAACTCCAGCGAGCAGGGCTACAGTGGCCTCCAGACTGGCCTGGCGCCGTCTCCCATGTACGCCCCGTCCCGCATGATTCCTGGAAACTACTACGACGTCGCCTCGTCTTCCTCATCTGCCATGCCGATTCCCCCGCCTCTTTCTCATCCCTCTCAACAACCGCAATACGGCCCATACTCTACTAGTGCCCCTTCGCCTACTCTCCCTATGCCTCCGACTCAGTCGTCGCAGCACCGACCCAGCTCTGGAGCCTGGACCCAGCAGGATGACGAGCAGCTACTGGCTGCTCGCCAGCAGGGCCTCAACTGGAACCAGATCAGAGATCAATACTTTCAGTCCAAGACGCCCAATGCCTGCCGCAAGCGTCATGAACGACTGATTGAGCGAAAGAACGTCGACGACTGGGACACTCGCAGGATGCAAATACTGGCCAAGGAGTACATGAGCATGCGAAAGGAGATTTGGAGCGGTCTGGCAGCTCGAACCGGAGAGAAGTGGAACGTTGTCGAGGCCAAGGTAAGCCGCTTCTTCTGTTATTGTACACATCTATCCTACACGTGCCTTCTGCACACTTACACCGACTCGGGAGGAGAAGGGAACTTGTCATTCTCTTCATTACCGTTCCCCTTTTCTGTCTTGCCAGACGCCATTGCTAACACTGTGTGTCCCTCTCACCGTCTAGTGCATGTCCAACGGCCTCAAGAACCTCCAGAGCGCCGCCCGCGCAGCTTCGCGCCGTGACCGTCTCGAGACGGGACTCACAGGGTATGACGACGATAGCGGCATTTCCGGCATCGGCCTGACCCCCGTTGATGAACTAGACGCATCCTACAGTAGCCCCGCGACGAGCTCCTCGGGCACACACTCGTACTCCAGCTCCGCCAGCTATCACCAGCAGCAGCAGCAGCAACAGCCGCAGCAACATCTCCAGCCTCACTCTCACCTTCACCCCCAGCATCACCAGGGCCAATACGCCATGGGCCCTGCGTATTACGGCGGTCACGGATACTCGTCGAGCGTCAGTTCCACGACCAGCATGAGCCACGGATACGTGTCCCGCGGCGGCACCGGAACCAGCCAGGACAGCAGCCCATACTTGGATAGCCAGCGGCTGTCCAGCGACATGGGCATCGAGTCTCTCGTCCACCGTCCCAACGGAGGAAGAATGTGATCACACACACACATTCACTCACTCTCTCTGTTTGCCAAATCTTTCTTCAATTGTGGCATTGTTTGATCGTTTCTCCCCCTTTCTCCCCTACTTATCCCCTTTTGTTGCTACATGCCTTTCTTTCCTTTATTTCCCGACTCTACGTCGTAATGGCACCTCAGATCCTTACCTGAGCTGCACCTACATTCCTTTCTCGGTCTCTTATGGTCGAGTCCTGTCTTACCTACTGCATTTATGGCACAGTACTGGCGTTAGCTGGCGTTTTTTGACACCATTTAATCCTCTACGCACTCACGTCCTCTGGACAAAAAAAGAAGCTTTAAAAAAAAGAATCTGGACACAGAAGAATGTTTTCTCAGTCTTTCCTTTTCTACTTGAATAGATGCGTGCGGGATATACAGATTGTTTTCTTGTTTGTTTTAGCAGCACTGGAAATGTTGGATCACAGAGCAAAATTGAACAGACCTGATGGTCTTGGGATGAAAGCAGCGTTTTTACGATGTATAATAGTGACAGAGGCATCTTATGCATAGGAATTTGGTGGACCGGAATTATAAATGTTTTGCTTTTGATTGCTCATCATCGTTGACGATTGTACCCAATGTGATCTATCTAGTTGTACAAACAGCGTTGAGTGAAGCTCTACTGTACATGCGCCGCCCAGGCACTATATCAAACACATACCCACCTCCCTTCCCACTCTTACAAAGAGATCATAAAACTATTGCTACATGGAGTGGTGATAATCACCGTCCTGGCTGTGTCGTCTCGCCCTTTTGTGCCACTGTTGTGGCTGTCATGCTCGCCATCTCTTCCAGCTCTTCCTCCTCCCATTCCCCATCTTCATCTTCCCCAAACACGCTCCTCCAAGCTCGACTCCACATGCCTTTTTTGTGTAGTAGTGCGAGTATCATAACACCGGGCAGATGCCAAACGCTTGCCCAGAATAGACCCCGTGCACTTCCTTTGTGTCCCTCAAACTTCCAAAAGCGGACAGCCTCACGGGCCAGCCAGAAGTTGATGGGAAAACTAGTCGCGGCAAAGTACCAGTCCGTGACGCCGGCCGCACAAAGACCAAAGCACAAGGGAAAAAAGACAAGGCTGTATCTCAAAGCGACACGGGCATTTCTGGCCGGATTCGTCCACGCAAGCATGCGCAAGCCAGCGGCTTTGTATTCCTCACGGATAGGCCAGCTCAAAGCCATGAAGTGCGGAAATTGCCATGCGAAAAGAAGGCCGGCAAGCAGCCATCCACCAATGGACGATCCGTCACTTGCCAAGAGCAGCTCCCTAAAGGATCCATCCTTTGTGGCAGCTTCGCCAGCCGCGGCAGCCCAGCCCATTAGGGGCGGAATGCCACCAACAACTGCGCCCACCCAGGTGTTGAATGCAGTTACGGCTTTCAGTGGCGTATAGACACCAGCATAAAGAACAATGTTGGAAAGTCCCAAGAATGAAACGGTGGGGTTGACACCAAAGTAAAGGGCACCGGCACCAGCTGCGCCGCAAAGAATGGCAAACAATGCCGCAGCTCGGTTCGAAATCAGGCCCCTAACCAACGGCCGGTTTCTTGTTCTTGACATCTTGGCGTCGGTGGATGGCTCGTACAGCATATTCAGAGTGTTTGCGCTTGCCGAGCATAGCGCAGTTCCCGTCGTTAGGAAAAAGAGGGTTAATGGACTCAAACTTGGCGTTTCGGTCATTGTCGGCATCAACATCTCAGGAACCGGATACAGCGCGTATGGTGCCATGGCGGACAAGACAACGAGGACGGTCAAGCGGGGCTTTGAGAGAGACAGAAAGGTGGAAAAGGTTCGGCGAAGGGAGTCTTTGGGCTGCGACGCCGCGGCCGATGTGAGGAGCGACGACGCATCGGGAGGTAGAGGAGCTTCGGACGGCGCAGATTGAGCCAGAGCCTGCTTTCGGGCCTGTCGTCGACGGTGGGGAGCGAGTTCTGAGAGAGGTTGAGGCGTTTGCGACGCATTTGGTGGCGGGGTTGTCGAGCTTGTAGAGGTTGAGGTTGAGGTTGCTCTGGAATTGCGTCTTGATATTATAGAATCAAGGCAGCTCGATCTGTCGAATAGACGGTTCTGCAGAAAAAACACACTGCCCAGCGGCGCATTGGAGCTTCGAGGAGCTCCCCAGCTGGGGCTTGTCGAAAGCCATCTTGGCGATGCTGCCACTCGAATGCTGCGCCTGGACAGTAATTGAAGCTCCGGCGCAAGAGCTAAGACCAATGGAGACCGCATAATCGCCGACTATCAGAGCGCATGGCGTCCCGCGCAGGAATCAGTCCATTTCCCTCTGCTGAAGAAGATCTTTTGGCGGTTTGGCGGGTTGCGGCTCGACGGCGATGGCAATCTAGCGCTGATCGGCTGATAGCTTGGAGTTTTCTCTGCATTCGGCTATCAGATGGCGACACGTGCTGGGTCATGTGACTACCCTCGGCGGCATCATCCCGCAGTAAGTGGTTGAGATGGACTCTTTTGGTGTTGCTTGGGCTGATATGAGGATGATGCATTTTGCTGAAAAGACACTTTAATGTCTTTTTTATTCGAAAAAGACTGATTATCTCGGTTACCTCAAGATAACGGCACATATTTGGGGAGTGAAACCCTCATACTGAACAGTGACACCCCACTACTAAGCTGCCGTTATCGGCCCTTGCTTTGCTTCTTGGAGTTCTGGAGCCTCTGGATTCATATCTCTAAGCTATTCAAGCTATTCAAGCACCAGTTATAATTCGAGAAACCCATCAGTGGCCTTTATCTACATGATGCCGTCTCTACTGGATGCTCTCCGGCAACACAGTGTTATTGACTGCGATACACTAGACAGCGAAGGTAACAGCGCCTTATTTGGTCTGATATGGACTCGTAGCTAATTGACTCCTTCTCAAGTGGCCAAGGGTTTGGGACCATTCGTTGACTGTACTTCGAATCAGGTAGCTCAATGAAGTGCCTTCAAATTTATCCCGCAAACAGACGTTGACCATGTACCGTTAGGCCATCGCATTCTTCGAGCTAACCAAAGTTTCCAATGGAGGAACAAGCCTACACCATGAAGCATTGATCCGAGAAAGTGAGCAAGACGCTATCAGACTAAATGAGATTCGAGATCAGACGTCTCTGCCTGAGTTCATGGTTGAAATTATGGTGTGTAAGCCTCTATGTGGACCAAATCTTTTTGCTAATGAACACAGATGGTCAAACTGCAATTGTTGATTGCCCCCTATGTAACAGGATACGTGCATGTTCAGACGAATCCTAAATTGTCATACTCACAAGCGGGCATGGTGGAGAACGCCCAAAGTAAGTCACTCGACTCGACACAGATCAGTGAAGCAAACTAAGATTCAAGCAAGGAATTATTGCCATATTTAGAGGATTGGAACCTGCTTTTGACACCACGCGTATCTGTATCAAGGTGCCCGCGACTTGGGACGGTCTATGTGCATGCCGCACCTTGGAAGCAAAGGGTATAACCACTCTGGCGACAACCATGTTTTGCATGGAGCAAGCAGTGTTGGCATCGGAAGCGAACTGCACTTATATCGCCCCTTATATCAACGAATTGAAGGTGCATTTTGAGACGGGGTATGTGAAGCAATGCAATGCAGTGCTACAACATGAGCAAGCTGACCTTTATAGGTACATCGACCACAATAAAGCTTTCGCATTCTGCCGCGAAGCTCAGGCTTACTACAACGCAAACAATCATCGTACTCGCGTTCTTGCTGCATCTCTCACCTCTGTAGAAGAAGTCTTGCAGCTGGCAGGCGTGAATCACATTACAATTTCTCCTATACTACTGCATGCGCTATCCCGGCTAGATGTTTCTACAACGACCAAAAAACTTGGGCAATATTTTACAGATGAACCAGCTGTGGACAGCTTAGATTCGAAGAAGTATGCCAACATTCTGCACGATGAGAGCGCTTGGAAGCTGGCGTTCACAAGGAGTGGCTTCGGTACAAGTGAAGGCAAGATTATTCAAGCCATCAATTACTTTTCTGACTTTCAAGAGAAGCTGGAAGAACTTGCAGGGCGTTACACAACATGAAGGAATTTCCCGCCATCTACTATTATTAGTTGAAAGAGCTAAATATAGCGCTAATTGAGGAACCTCACCTAACAGAGACTGTTTTTATTTTGCTGCCTTGACGCCAATGTTCCGGATGCGGCACGAAAGAAGGAGTCAAGAAAGCTCCAGAGTGTCAGTGCGCATACAGTACAATTTCAAAGAGCCACCATTCCCCAGCTTTCGAGTCATTGTTGAGCCAACAAAGAGTTGAACCAGATATAACCAGGATGTGGAATATCCGATGAAAGGCGTGGAGAGCTAATTAAAGATCGCTATTATGATGAAACTGGTTTCCAAGATGACTTAGTGAAGCACAAACCTATTCCTTTCCTTTTTGCTTATAAAACAATGAGGAAAAGATTTTACCATCAATGAGCCATCAAAATGTTGACGAGATGGGCAGAGACAACCGCGACTTGTTCTTTGCAAGGACTTTCTTTAAGAGGTGTTGAGAAGCGCATAATCGAAGTATATATTGTTTACTATATTAGCGACTCCAAACGGTTTCGGTGATAATCACCCGCGCACGTCCTGCTCTTGAGACATACAAACACAAAGACTCTTTGTATTCTGCTTCACAACGATGTTACGACAAAGACATTTCCTCATGCGGAAGCCAACAACAATACCTAACGATAGTTATACCTATCTTGACATCCTTTACTTAAAGAGATATTATTTGACCAACCATATTTCCAGCACTTATTTTTCCACAAATTCTCTGTTTTACTTCGTCATACTCGCGCATCTTTCACCTTTTCTCTTCACTTTGAAGCCCTCTTACAGCAATTGTGCTCTGGTACTTGTGTTCGGGCACTGTTGGGAGCGAATTATGCACATTAATCTCCCTTCTATTACCTTCGGAACATTTTCTACAGGTCACAGGTGACAGCCTTAAGCTCTAGGACAATATGGACGCAAAAACCAGTGTCGCAGAAGCTTTTCTACGAGGCTCCGAACAGGCCTCATGCATTACTGAAGAAGAAGCCCAGAAGCGAAAAGACCTGACCGTTTCGCCCAAAGACAAGAAGTGGAATGATACACTTCAGGAGTTCCGAAAGCTTCTCGCAGACACCGACATGACGATAGGTCAAATTCTATCGGATAAATTTACCACACACGAGGCTCGTCTGTTCACACTATCACAGTCGGTGATTCTCCGGCGGATACAAAAGGATTATACTCTCCGATTCCGAGGACTCTTACGAGAACGATTTCGAGGCATCACCACTGATATTCCCACGAAGTTGACGATGCTGTATTTTGGGCTTCCTATTGAGCCAATTGATGTCTCGTTGGCGCGGATGAATTACAAAATGGAGAGTCGAAGGCCAGAGCCGCCGCGATATGTTGTTGATCTACCTTTGCATTTCCTCACCGCGCATAAAGAGCGCAACTGGGGAAACGAGACTCTCATAGGTAAGTTCCATCCTTAATTGCGTTTGGAGTGATCTTCTTCGTAACAGCTGTCTAGGTAAAGAGGATCCAACATACCCCGTGCCTGTGGAGCTACCGCAGAATCGGCTATTAAGTCTCTCGATCATGTTTTTGAGAGAACGATTGGATGCAAAACAACATCATTTGGAGATTGAACAACCAAGTCTACACCTTAGAGGCGGTGGAGCAGATGACGACAGCGACTGGGGAGCGGAGAATAACGACTGGAGTGAAGAGAACGGTACCGACTTCACATATAGTGAAAGTGACGGTGATGACGGAGACGTTTCAGAAGATGATTCATCACAAAACCAGCTTGAAGAGCAAGAAAAAGAAGCTGAAGATGTCGCCATGCAAGAAACTGATAGCAATGGAGATTTCATTTCGGCAATTGAGTCAGCTTCTACTTCCCAAAGCACAAAATGGACGAACCTTTATGGGTTCCAGGGATTTGTACCGTTTATTCCAGGAGATAAGCAGGCATATGAGACTGCTATCAGGAGATTGCTCTCTATTGGGCCTCAAGATCACAGAGCCTTCTCCATTGTGCATTTTGATGAACAGGCTAACTTGGTCAGCACTACCTGCGATTCCCTTCCTTTGGAGCCTGACAGTATAACACTGAAGTACATTCTTGAAAAGAGGTCTGAAGGGAAGAGCTCACCAAACAATCAGCACTCATTCTTTGTCAAACTGCAACATGAATCAACTCCCGAATTCTACCAGCCCAGCAAAGAGCAATTCAGCACCAGCGTCTCTTCTGTTATGTCATTCCCAGAAGGGGAGGGAGCCCAAGAAGCAGACACGCCTGTTTCCTGTTGCTACTTGACCTTCCCAAACTCCAACAGCTCGAAACTATCTCAAGAAGATGTGTACGGATGGGGAGCTGACCAGTATAATGCCTATATCAAAACTGCTTTTGAGGTTCTACTGGACCGCCCAAACAGCCACTTTCACCACGCTTTTTTCCAACTTGGCCGATCCAACTCTGATTTTGACAACGTGCCTCGAGTATATGGGCTTTCTACAGCCGCGTCTTCCGACATTCTTTCGCTGATCCCCAATGGTAGCGGAAAACCCTCTTACCTGAGACGCAGTAGGCTTGAGGGTAACGAAATTGCCTTTGTGCTGCCCGGTTATTTCGATATTAGTGGTTCAAAACCCGAATTGAATGGTAACAACAACATGGCTAAAGCATTGGACCTCATTCGATATATAATACGTTCAGCCTTCGAACACAGCTTCACGAGCCTCAAGTATGTGCGTCTCCTTGATGGTCACGCAACATTAGGACCAGACATCAACCGACATCAGGAATATTACTCCATACGGATGTATGATGAATTACCCCTAAAATCGGAGATTGGCTACTCTTCAGCTCTTTCAAAGATCTCTGCTGCCGGGAATCCCTTTGTTATTCTTCACCCAGAGTGGGAAAAAGACGATAACGTTCTTTACATGTTGACATCTGACGAAGAAGACAGAGCTGAGCATCATGTACCAATGCCCTCGTTATCATCTACGGTGGATCATTTCAAGGCCAGCGTGTTTCAGCTGATGGAGCTCGCCGGATGTGAACCTAGTCGTGTCAAGGACGTGAAGGTTGGAGACGCCTTCATAAGTGTTCAACCAATTCAACCCAGGATGGAAAATGAGCCCTCATATGCCAATATTGAGATGCCGTGTTTTTTTATCGGACCTAATACTACGGACGACGAATGGTTCAGCATTCGTGCTAAAATAATTACCCCTACAGCAAGAGTAAGGATTCTCGATTCAAAGGCATGGAATTGGCGGGACCAAGTTAAGAGCACTGATATTTGGGGTCCACGATATGGGCTCGTGACTGAAGCCCAAGCTGCTGTCAAATGGTCTGAGAAGGAAGAAGCCGCCCAGGACACAACTCATGAGTTGATTGAAGACACAACCCAAGAGCCAGTCGGTGTAGAGGCTCTCAGGGCATTACTTAGAGAGAAAGAACTGTTGAAAATGACTCATGCTGAGCCAGCCAATACTCAATATCACGAGACAGATGCACCTAGTGGTAGCGATGTGCGGCGAGAGGCGTGGGCTCAGCAACCCAGTATCTTCGAAAACTACGGATTGCGGCCATGGCCAGCCAACTCTGGCATTCAGTTCCCAATGTATGAGCCGCCTGCTGAGCACATGTTTCGCACAGGACACAGGATGCCAATGGTATCAAAAGCAATCTTAACACCCACAGAACAGGCTAAACTTCGAGAGGCGTTCTGGGAAATGAGGCGAACAGCTTTGAATCGGACAGCCATGCGCCAGAATGATAGCAGCTGTGTTCCTGATCAACAGGCTACAAAGAAGCAGCCTGAATCTCTCCATCCAGTCTCAGGTTGTATGCCGTGCAGCAAACTAGATGGGGACGCAGAAAATATTTATCGCCATTTGAGAGAAAATCACAAAAATGAACTGTTGGAGGCACTAGGCGTTGTCAAAACTACTTTTGAACGGACATCACAGGAACTTCAGCAGAAAGAGGCTGTTGGGTTCTGTGATCGCTGTGGCCGCAATGGAGATCTGTGCAACGAAAGTGAAAGTGCGCACCATGGTGCCTATTGCAAGCCACGTATCTTCAATGGCGCGAAATGCAACTTCTGCACAGTTTGTGGAGAGACCGTCTGGCAAAGCGCAACTGACGCCAGAAAGAGCGGCAAATCAAATGGACAGCTGAACCACTGCTCACACAAAGTGGATGACATCGACGGCCCTCACTGTTCCAGCTGTGGATTCAACACGTCTCGTCTTCCACAAGATGGACGCAACCAACACCAGAAAGGATGCAAGGGTTTCAGCGCAGTGTCTGGCAGATTTTGTCTCTACTGCGGCGAGGAGTTTAAAGACAACGCTGCTCAGGCAGCTTGGGATCGGAACAAGGCCCATATGATTGCGTGTTATGATAAGAACCAAAATGACAAGGCTCGGCTCCCACTGCCAGATAGCATGGCATACCTTCAGCAGCAGAATAACCTTCTACTGCAAGTAACTGAAGCTAGGTTCAACGTCGTCGATTCTGATGAAAGAGAGAGAAATGCGAAGACTGAAGCCATTCTCGTCACCAGCGGCTCTGAAGGAGAGCAAGATCTGGAAGAAATGTATCTTGATGACTATGATGAAGCGTCAGGGCAACCGGAGCCAACAGCAGGATTACAGATGGAAAACCTTAGCCAAGAGGCGACAGATTCTCCAGCGGACAGTGTCAGCATCGCATTGCGGGATGCGATGTTACTTGCAGGAGTTAAGAATGTTCCCCAGGGTGAGAATTTGGATCCAGATACTCGTCGTCATAACGAAGAGGTTCTCTACGACATATTATTCAGAAGCATCCCTAAAAATACGGTTGATGAACAAAATTCCGATTCTCCAAGGATGATCCAAATCGAGTCTCCAGGCCGACCAGCAAGTCCAGATCCAATGAAAGGGAACAACTCAAAGGAATTTGTACCTACCCAACAGGGAATTCAAGAGATGGCCAGATCCCCTGAACTCGGGGATTCTGAGTCTTCAGATTTTGAACCAGACAATGGGTCTGAGTTCGAGAATGAACAAGATGAAGAGCAGTCTGATAAAGAAGCGTCAGAGAACGAGCTCCAGAGAGATCCAAGCTCGAAACGCCGTAAACGAGGAGGAAAGAAGCGAGGCAGGAAAGGCGATCGCGACTATAAATTCTCAGACGACGAAGATGACGATGAAGACAGCGAGAGTGACGAAGATGGGAAGCGCGTCATACCACCCCGACGCTCTCCATCCCCGAATTGGCAAAAGGTTCTTGGACCCGATGACCCGGAATTTGAGCCGACTGACGACTTTTACTGCTCGAAATGCTTCCGCAAGGCTCCCAAGAAACACAAGAGGGATAGATCCCCTTTGGGAAGAACAAAGGAAATTGAGGTACGAAATATACCCAGGAAAAATGCTACAATCATTCCTTGAATTTTGACAACTAACCCACTACAGCTTCATTATGACAGCAGTCGTTGCTGCGGGATCCGTCGCGGCATAGGATCAACCAAGAGACTGCCCAACCGAAGCGGCTGGATTCCTGCGGCTGATATGCCAAAGCCTCTCGGCGACCTTCGAAAGCGGTTTCTACGTAAATATCCCGCATATGCTCGCACCGTCTATCCTCTTAATGCTTCCAACGCAAACGGCTCTTACTACCGCTCCGACCCCAACAAGGACGACAACAAAGGCTGTTGGGACATTCCCTGGCCTCCATTCCGAGGCCCATCTCCCTTACCCAACGGCTGGAAAGCTCCTGATGTAACCGATGCCCCTGTCACAGGAAAGGCGCGGAAGCAGTTCAAACTGAGGTCTGAAGGAGATTCCACGTATGTCCAGGAGAAAAACGTCAAGTACTCGGATGATGAAGACATAGAGTCGGACAAGGACATGAACGGGAAGAGGAAGAGGAAGAGCAGGCCCTCTTCTGCACTCAACAGCAGACATGCGACTCCTACACCTGCAAAGAAACCACAGAAGGCTGTTACGAAAACAGAGAGAGCAGCTACACCTGCAAAGCAGAAGAAGGAAACCGTGCTGCAAAAGGCGTCGAAGGCCAAGGCTGCCACGCCACGAAAAGCAAAGCAAAAGAACGTGGAAGCAAAGGTGCCGACTAGAAGATCAACAAGAAAACGCCAAAAGACTGGATAAAGGTAATAGACTGGCTAGGAGTTTTGGATTTTGGATTAGAAAGCTTGCTGTTTTGTCTGTGATATGGTAGTTTTGTTACTTGAACCAGAAATGATATAGGTTAGAACATGTTATAAATGATTTTGGCTTTGGTTTGATACAGAAAATTACTTATTTTGACAATTACATAGATCATTACCGGCATCATAGACAAGTGGACATATTTTGTTAGACTTCAAATTATTTCTAATATACGTATGTGCATGCCTTTACGCCTTTAGCCATATGCATGGTTTATGTATCCTCCCTAAAGACGCACAAATCCCTAATAACAATGCCCGCATACACCAGTCCGAAGTTGCGAGATCAATGTGCCACTCCGAGACTTTTTATGCTAGAAACGTGTGAAATATCATAGGCTTTCAATGGCTTTCAGCAAAACCTCAACTCCCTTCGCGCCGACATCGCCCTTGTTCCCAAGCAAAGAACCGACATCGCTGAGAATGCCCAAGGGAATGTAGCATCCTGTCTTGGCCTTGTCCAAGCTGTCCTTTAGGCGGCTGGTATGCTCCCACTCCTTTGCAGCTATTTCAGCTCTCTTAATGACGCGGTCTGAGATGCCACACATGGCGGCGCAGTGCATACCGAAACTGCCCTCTGCAACGCCATCTTCAAGCTTGTACAAAAATGTAATCCGGCGCTCTTCATCGTCAACATGAATCTGCATGCGGCGAGCACGAATCTCTGGATGGTTCTCAAACTCGGTAGCAAGAGAATGGTAATGCGTTGCGAAGAAGCCGATACAACCAATGTGAGTTGCCACATGATGCAGCACAGCTTGTGCAACAGCTACACCGTCGTATGAGCTCGTTCCTCGGCCTAACTCATCAAGAATGACCAGAGAGCGAGGCGTAGCCTCGGAGAGGATCTTCTTTGTTTCAGAGAGTTCCACGAAGAAGGTGGATTGCGCGGCGAAGATGTTGTCGTTGGCCCCCAAACGTGACATGATACGATCAACAGGAGTGAGACGAGCCGACTTGGCCGGAACGAAGCAGCCAACCTGGGCCATGATGACGGCAATGCAAGACTACATGCAGGTTAGATTTCAAGATGAACAGGAGGGTATTGATAGAGATGCCGATAGAAAAACTTACCATTCTGAGAACCGTGGACTTACCAGCTGCGTTGGCACCAGTAAGAAGGTTAATCTTGGCCTGGTCACCACCGAGCTTAATATCATTTGGAATGAAATCGTCCACCGTATTAATCATGCAAGGATGCCTCAACTCCTCAAACTCCAGGACGCTACGTTCCTCATCGACAAACTGCGGCCTGCAGCTTGGCTCTCCAAGTGACATTGATGCTTTGGCAAGACTGACTAGACAGTCAAGCTGGGCGATGATTTTGATGGCTTTCAGCCAAGTCTCGTAGTCAACGTCAAACTTCTTGCAGAAGCGCGACGCAACCTCCCGAATGAGCTGGGAGTGAGTTTCCTCAGCTTCCTGAAGCTCTCGGACAAGGCCAGTGAGCTCAGTAAAATACCACCGCTTGACATCCTTGGTTGCAGACATTTGACGCCAGCTGGAAGGGATCTTGACACTCTTTGGCGCTTCGATCTGATAGATTTCCTTGCCAATATCTGTGAATTTGAGTGTCTTGCACTTAAGCTCAGCCTTCTTCTCAGCTAACAAATCATTTAGCTGATTCTTGACCTCTTCAATTCGGGCTACACTGGCGTCAAAGTCTTCATCAACGCCGCTCTCAGGGATCATCAATTTCTCCTCCTTTGCCTTTTGACGATCGAATGCCGTGCTCCAGTATGCCAGGGGCTCCTCAAGGTTTGGCATCGATGTAATCAGCCTATCAATTAGACCGTTTCCACCTTTGAAGGCACCGACGAGAGTCATGGTATACTCGATTTGCTCAAAACCTTCAAGGACGCGGACAAAATCTTCGGGCTTGCAAGCGCCAGCGTGGATGCGTGAAATTAGTCGCTCAAGGTCGGGCATTTTGACTAGCTGGGAAGCAAACTGCTCGCGGACGGAGGGATCATCGTTCAACAACTCAACGGCATCCAAACGCTCGTTAATACGATCAATGTTGCACAGCGGATGAGCGACCCACTGGCGGAACAGACGCTTGCCGAAAGGTGTTATGCACTTATTAAGTAGGCCAAACAAGGTGCCATCGGAGTTGCCATTAACAGTGTTCGCGAACAGCTCAAGGTTGGTCAATGTCTGGCCATCCAGAACAAGGGTGCTATTCTTTTGGATAGGGTTGTAAACCTCAAAGTTTCCCTGCGACAACAGTGGGCCCTCCAGCTTGAGGAATCGAAGATAGGAAACGAGACCACCAATGGCAGACATGACAAGGTCGTCGTCTTTGAGTTCCTTGAGCGCTTCTGGCCAGATATCTTCGCCGTCTTCTTCCCTAACAAAGTATTTTGCACAGTCGAGCTCTCGTCTCGTGGTGTCTGCATCCCAAAACTCTGTGCCTGGTTTCAAATTCGTCCATATGGTGGTAGGGCTAGTGTTGTTCTTGAGAATGCGAAGAGACTTTGTTGAGAGGCCAGACTTTTCCAGCAAAAGCTCTCGGGGGCCAATCTGAGCAACCAGCGTTTCAAATTTGGTCCGATCAATGTCGTCGACAAACCCAGAGAGAAAGAATCGGCCAGTAGCAGTATCCGTGAAGGCGATACCAAAGGCTGGTAAGTCATCTACCACAGATTCCTTAATAGAGACGCAATAAGCGGCCATGTCATCTTGGAGCATGCTGCCATCAACCAAAGTTCCTGCGGTTAAGATACAGCCAAGCTTTCGAGAAATCACTTTGTCAGCCTTTTTGGTCTTGTCTTGGCGCTCTCTCATCTCCTTGCCCAGGTTGGTCTCCATCTGCTCTACACGAGCCACTTTGTACTGCTTGGCGATGAACTGATTGACCCAGTGGTCCAGAGAACCTTCTGGGACACCGACCATACGCATGTTGACGCGATCGGTCATTTTGAAATCAAATTCTTGGTGGCCAATAGTTGCATCCTTTTCATAAAGTTCATAGAATTTGCCCTTTTTGAAAAAGACAATTGTGTCCCAAAGATCTTGCTTAATCTCCCAGTATTGCTTCTCAAAAGGCGAAAATTTATTCCACGCAATTGGAGGGATGTAAAGAGTTCGCGGATCGTAGTCTGGATCAGTAGGCGAGCGCTTTTCCTTGTCTCGAATGTTGGCGAGCCAGGTATAGCGCTCGTCAGGCTCCTTCATGTACGCCTTTTCCTTCACCTTGGGGTCCTTTGTAGCGACTCGCTCGGTGGGTTTAACGACTGGCTGCTTTTCAGTAGAATCGGGGTCGTAAGACCACTGCTTGGCTGTAGATGCAGCAGGAATATCTTCCATATCTATATCGTCATCGAGACTCGTCATATTCTGCTCTGCATCTCTTTTAGGAGAAGACGAAAGATTTGTGCGTTTGCGCGCTGATTGAGGCTTCGAAGGACGCTTCCTCTTTCTGGACCGCGAAGTCTCTCCATCAGACTCATCTGACACAATAAAGTCGTCCATGTCATCTACAGCTCTTGTTAGCTCTATTCTCTCACGGATGGAAAAGCGAGGGTTGATAATACAGACCTTCTTCTTCTTGCTCGGCTGTATCACTTTCACCGTAATCGTCCTCGTCATTGACAATGTTGCGGGCGGCCCTACCGCGCCGCCGAGATTGTGAAGCCGCTCCATAGGCAAAGGGTTCATCTTCATCCGACGACTCAGCATAGTTGATAGCCTTCTTCCCCTGCATAGGCTGGTCAGCAGTGATTGGAGGGTTTGGGAGAAGGTGACGCAAACCTTTCGGATAGGGCTACTAGGTGCCACCTCGCTCTCTTCGTCTTTGAGAGATGCAGAGGCCTTGCCCTTGCTTCGCTTGACAGTCGATTCCATATTCTCCTGCGAACTCGCGGGCTCTGGAGCATCGCTGGAGGGCACCGGGGTGGAGAATTTGGCGGAGGACTTTGTCTTTGGCAGAGAGTTGGCTTTGGTCTCTTTCAGAGGGGAGGAGTGCTGGTTAGCGGACGAGACCTTTTCCCGAGCTGCCGAAGAAGCTGAAACGGGCGAAGACTTCTGGAAGAACGACATTATCGATTTCTGTTTGGTCGAAGAGGGGGCTGCAGCAGCTGGCCGAGTGGCCTTTGCTGGCGTGCGAGCAGCGCTCGCTGCTGGCTTGTCGCTCGGCATCGTGAGTCAAACGACGAACACGGAACACCACGCGGGAGCCGAATTGCTAGATATTTTGGAGCTGCTGAGGATCCGAACGGTAACGAATGAATAAAGTAGAAAGCAATGCAGAATTGGAGGTGAACAGTTATAGAATTGACAAGCCCAGCACCCCAGCGGTGGGCTGAGAATAAGACGACATGGGAGAGAGAGAACCCATGCAAAAGCGCAGGTGCACCGCGTCGCGATCGCGTCTGGACTCGTTAATCGCTACGAATTGGGCTTATCTCGCGTAAAGTGTGGCGTGCGATGGACAGCTACACTGTCTATCAGCACTGTATCTCCTGAGGTGGGGAGGTACTTGCTCTGTGCAGGTGAAACTCATTCAATGGCGGGTACTTCAATACTCAGCTTAATCGAGGTACCTTACGTGGTCTATTTTTACAACTCAAAACTCAATTCGTTCTCTTGATCGGTCAACATTTTCCTCGAAATAGACGCCCTATTGGCGATATCAACAGCGACATGGAAATTCAGCAATCTTACGTCGCGGTCTAGGTACAAAGAGCTGTCAAACCTTGTTAGCCTCCCTGCATAAGTCTAGTCTGCCGCTTCTCCCGCAATCCCCGCTAATAAACATCCAGCTCAGTTCAACGGCCCGTCTTAAACAAGACCCATCTCACAAACTTGCCCACAAACAACATACACCAAAACAGGTAGTATCGCAAACCGGTGTCATGAGCGGCCTTGATCATTCCTCTCGACCGCTTGACATGTCGTGTTGCTCTTGTCACACTGAGATCGTCGTATGCCTTGACAGCCTCCTCTAAGCTGTTCTGGCTGCAAAGCTGGTTTGCCATGTCCCATCCATCCACCAGTGCCAAATTGGCCCCAATTCCTGCAAATGGGCTGAGTGCATGGTTGCTATCGCCGAGAAAGATGGCAGGTATTTTTGCTATGTCGTCATGATAAAACGGCATCTTATCTCGTGAGTTTAAGAGCAAAACTGTCTTGGGGTCGGTTTGCTTGACAATGCTCGGGAAGGGCTCGGGAATGTGCGATCCAAGCTCAAGACTCTTGTCTATGACGGCCTGCACTTCAGTCTGTGACCCATGATCCAGTCGGGGCACATGGTTTTCCTTCTGGCCAACAGTCCACAGGATTCTGTGTTTGTCGATGGGCGAAAAGAAAGCCGACACACCAGTGCGTGAGACGACGAAGCCCCAATCTTCACTAAGTTGCTGTGGAAGAGACTCTTGGAATGTTGCAATTCCTCCTCTGAGCACTGCGCCGTTATAAATTAGCGTATCGTCTGGGCGAAGGCTTTGTCGTAGCTTGCTGTTCGCCCCATCCGCAGCTATAAGGAGATCACAGTCGTGTTCGCTCTCAGAGTCACCGTTTCCGTGAATCACTCGTACTCTTAAGCGACCATCCGAGAGTTGGGTGGCAGAAACACATTGCGACTCCCAGCGGATGGTACAGTAATCATCAAGACAGAATGAATTCTGGAGGACTTGACGAATGTCCTTTCGAGAAATTCGAATGCTGGTTGACGGAATCCCAGAGACGGGTTTTCTGCTGAATGAGACCTGTTCTTTCCACCTGGCGTCCCATATCTTGAAAGAACCAACTCCGCCAATCCCCGAAACAGCTCTCCCTAGAGCTTCATCAAGTAAGCCGAAGTTTCTGAGCGCAACGAGGCCGCCCGAGTCGTCGAACCCGGTCAAAGATAGATTGTATGTCTCTCTTTGAGCAGCTACGTCTTGTGCATCACGTTCGTATATGATGATGGTTGGCTTGCCGAGATTCGTATTCCATAGTTTCTGAAGGCCGACTAAGAAAGCAGATCCAGCAATGCCTGCCCCTGCAATGACTATGGTCTTGTTTTCTAGAAAATGATTTGAATGGTTTTTATCATTGGTGCTAGCCATTGTGCTGATGGTTCATAGCCATAGATTACATTGCAAAAGAGGTAGGAAGATGGGAAACAAGCAGGTAAATATAAGAGCGCACGCACACCCGTGAAGGGGCTCACATGTCTCGGATGATTAATTGACTAGATGTTTATCCAGCAGTCTTAATGCTATTAATTTCGTACCACGATCCTTTGTAATTCACAAGCCACAACGCCATGTTCAGCTGGGACCATAAAGATACTACGCAGCGCCAAACAAGCACATTTGGTTGCGAGACAATCTGAGATTACCTTGCATCCGATTGGACGATCTTACTCGCATTTACGGATTTCCCTTTTCGTCACACTCTTACCAGCATTTAAGCCGTATGATGTCGATATTGGTTCTCGGACGCAAGTAATTGCCAAGAGCTTAGCGGTGAATAGTTACCGAACTTGTGGATTCTCATATGATACTTTCAGCTCGGTTGGCGGGTATCCGCAAATGGTAACTCGTAAAGGAGACGAATTTCCTGTTTGGATAAGAGACACCATTGAGACATTGCATCATGGTAACAACATCGGGACTGTTACAAAGTCTCCTTGCAGCCTCACCAATAAGAGCAGCATGTTCGTCTTGCTCGGCTGAGATATCCCTTGATCACATGTTGGTGCAGAGTACTACGCAGGTGAGACTACCTATGGACGCTACGCTACCTAGTAGTAGGCACAATGTCAAAGAAAAGTATTGGTGTGCAGTATAAATAAACGAAGAAATGCATAAATGCATAAAAGTATTCCACAATTGCCTCGATATGCCTCTCCCATGTGAATTTACCGTGTATACTCCGTAGGTAGATCAACTCCCTTTCGTCTCATGGTACCTACCAACCGGCAGACCAACATAGTACCTAGGTGCTGTGATGAATGACATCAATAATTCACACCCATTCCGCCGCATGTGGTGAGCAATATTGACACCCGCACCCCACTATTGCACAGGGTACTCTGCCCCTCCAACTTCAACTTTTCAACGCCCTTGTGAATGACCTGATATGAAATTTCTTTCCAGCCATTCGTCAACTTTTCAAGGCGCAACTAATCGGTCTATTTGCAACAAACAGACAACATAGGCGACCATGACCGAACTCTCTTCAGCGCCCGTGCTGTCGACTCCCGACGACCACCTCTTTGACGCCGTTGCGCAAAGCGAAACCAAGTCTACGCTCTCTCACGATGCGCTCAGAACGACGTACGAGATCGCGCGCACTGCGACAGAGATCCGCCAGGGTGGATGGAAGAGAGTCGCGCTACAGTTTCCAGACCACATGCTCGTTGACGGCCCAAGAGTAGTAGAAGTGCTAAAGCAAGAGCTGGAAAGCACAAGCACAGAAGAGGGAGCGAAGGATTGGAGAATATGCATCCTGGCAGACACAAGCTACAGCGCCTGCTGCGTCGACGAGATTGCAGCCGAGCATACAAATGCGGACGTTGTAGTCCACTATGGAAGAACATGCCTGAGCCCGACAAGTCGACTGCCGGTTATATACGTATACACCTCGCACGAGCTGGATCACGATGCCGTCATTGAGCAATTCACCAAAGAGTTTGGCCACAAGGACACAAAGGTCGTCATCATGGCAGACTTGACATATCAGAACCACGTGGAACCGATATCAAAAGCGCTCGGGGAGTTGGGATATAACAACATAGTAGCGACAGAAGTGATCAGAGACCCTGCTGGGGTAATACCAAACAGGAGAATATCGGGCAACCCAATAGACGAAGAGCTTCTCAAGTCGCATTCGTTGTTTCACATTTCCGATCCTCCCGCATCTCTACTCCTAGCTCTCCAATCCCGATTCGCCTCCCTACATGTCCTCTCCGTACCATCATCGTCATCTCCTACCCTCGACAACCCGACCTTCCGAACAGCAGGGCTTCTGCGCCGGCGCTTCGCTCGGGTTCTCTCTCTCGCCTCAGCGGGTGTCATTGGCATCCTCGTCAACACGCTTTCAGTATCAAATTACCTCTCATCGATTGATCTGCTGCGGAAAAAGATTGCGGCGGCTGGAAAGAAAAGCTACACTGTTGTTGTGGGCAAACTCAACCCTGCCAAGCTAGCCAACTTTGCCGAAATCGAGGGCTGGGTCGTTGTGGGATGCTGGGAGAGCGGGTTAATCGAAGAGGATGCCGGCTACTGGCGGCCCGTCATCACACCCTTTGAGATGGAGGTGGCACTGATGAGCGAGGAGGTGCGAGTATGGGGTGGGGAGTGGTGGGGAGGTATTGAGAAGCTCAAGTTGGAAGTTGACGATGGTGTTAAGAGTGAAGAGAAGCAAGACAAGGCGGACAAAGACGCGAATGAGGGAGATGCGACGGCTGAAGACGATGTGGACGAAGATGAATCGCTACCACCCGTATTTGACCTGCGGACTGGAAAACTCGTCAGCAGTAGCAGGCCAATGCAGCTTCCGACCAGGAGCGCATCCAAGACTACTCAGCAGGCCGACGGCAATGGTGAGCCGCGGTCATCCGAAGCATTGATAAAGAGAACAGTGGGCGAATTGGCGAGCATCAACGGGGTAGCCAGCCCCGGTGCGGAATATCTCCGATCTCAGAGGACATGGCAAGGACTGGGCAGCGACTTTAATGACGAAGCTAGCACGGTGATAGAGGAGGGACGAAGCGGCATAGCGAGAGGCTATCATGTGGGCGAAGAGACGGGAAAGCACTAATGCCGCTGTTGAATGCTTGGCATGCAACGAATTTGACGACAACCACATTGGCCCACGTATAGAATATGAAGTTGGGTAAAATAGAAACTTTGGCCATTGATCATTCACTCGTAGCAGACAATGCCGCTAGATATCATCGTGAGCGTCCACCCGGCTAGCCCTCAGACTATATACAAATCATAGAAAAAAAGGTAAATACCTCCCCAAATTGGAGCTGCTCAACATGTATATCGTAAAAAAAAAAGCAGACAAAACATTATCGTTGCAGCAATCGTGCCTCTCTTTCAATCATAAATCATCAGTACTGCGCCTGATTCATCCTTTAAACCCAGCAACGTCGTTCGTATACGGAGACGTTGGCGTCTAAGCCGTTCCCAGTAAACCCCGTTCATTAATTGTGTTTGTTCCCCTTCTTCTTCGTCAACTAAAGCTCCTCCGTTATACATAGACTCGACGAGCGGACTGGTAGCTGTGGCCCGAGCCCGAATGGCTGCGATGACGACGGCTGTGGCTACCGCTGTGCGAGTGAGATCTTCGGCGCACAATCTGCTCGCGCTCAACATAGACGTCGCTGTCGCCATGGCTCCACGCAGCAAACGCAGTGACGGCAAAGAAGACGGTGTTCATAATGGCAAAGGCCCACGAAGCCTTGAGCATGGCGCAGGGCTTGTTGACGGCCCAAGAGAAGCCCGGAATGCCCACATCGTGAATCTTGTTGAACCAAATCTCGTCCCTGGCCGGATCCTGGCAGTCGGCAAACTGGATCCCGCGCAAGAAGTATATGCCCGCGACGAGGGCGCCGAGGAAGCAGAGGTCGACAAAGGCCACGAAGAGCGCGTTGTGCGAGGAGCGGCTGTAGGCGAGCAGGGTGAAGACGGACCAGGCGAGGGCGAGAACGGTGACGATGAAGAGGACCAGGATGGCGTTGGGCGTGAGGACGTTTGCGTCGTTGAACTTGCCGACGAACCAGCTGAGCATGCCAACTGGCGGTGTCTGGTTGCGAGGAGAGTCGAATGAGTAAGGATTGCGGTCGGGAATGCGATGCGCTGGATGGGAGATGGATGGAGAGACTTACCAGAGTGACGATTTGCGAGAAGCGAGTGCACACGAAGACGATTGCGAACAACATCGTGGGCAATGGGGGTGTCGCAGATGCGACGAGATGCTTCTTATACTCTTATACGGCTGCAGGAATGGTGTCGGGCGCTTTGATCTGAGCTCGGGGCGCTGCAGCTAAAGCAATCAAAGTCTCAGGCAGCACAAACCAGCCCTTTGTCACAGGAATGATGCAACACAAGAAAAGAGAGAAGACACAAAGAAAAAAAAAGGATCTTGTAAAAAAACGTGGCAATGCGCCTCCACGCCGCTTTTATTCCACTACCTAATCAAGCCCTGCATATGCGCGTCCACCAGAAAGAATATGAGGTGGTTGGGAGAGACGCTTCATTGGGAAAACCCAAGATGGTAGACTATCTTTGGGTGGCGGGGAAATTGAACAGCTGCAAAACAAAGGCCTTTTGCGCGGGATTTTCTCGTCATGGCCAGCTAAGGGAGGTTAGTAGGCAATAATCAATAATACTTGGCAAATATGAAGCTAAGCTGAACGGCTAAAGTCGAATTCGATAAAGAGATGGATGGATGGGATGGGATGGGATGGCTGTTGCACAATGAAGCTGTAAGACAACATGCAGCAACGCAAAAGCAAGCAAAAGCAGGGGCAAGCTTCAATCCGTTGGTGGGGCAGCGAGAAAAGTGGCTGGATGGACGGGCTGAAATCCTGCCAGGGGTCTTTTCGGGGAAGAAGAAGAGAAAAAAACGTGGATTGAGTGGCTGGTAACCGTTGCGTGAGCCCAACCAGCCACTCGATATGCGCAACAGGTTGATGGTCTAGTTCCCGCAGGCTAAGGGCAGCCAAAGTGGCGGCAACGGCGTATTAGTTTTGGGAATCCCGTATTGCCGCAAACTCTGTCAATATACTTGTAGAGTATGGAGGATCTGCTTTGGACCCCAGAGCAGCAGAATCTGGCATCGATGGGGGATCTCGTCTGCAGAACAGAACCCCCCCATCCATCGACCCCCATCCATACTATCTACAGCACGACGCTTGCAAGGCATCATGCAAAATCATGCAAAATCATGCAAAACTGGGCACACCGCCTGGACCAAAGACTCTGGGCTGCCACGTGTTTCGCTGTCAACGCTGCTCATCTCGTAAGCCCTGCTGGCAACTCCAAAATGTTATTCCATAGGGCTTGTGCTCTATTACTGTATCGTGCCAAAACAACCGAGACCCATTTCTCACGCTGTCATCCCGTCTTCTTGTCACTCACGCCTTTTGTTCTGTTCTGCCGCTCCGCCTGCGGCCCAAGACACTTTGTGGGGCCGGCACTCAGCCATCGCACAGACATTAAATTCCCGTCTGCAAGATTCTGCTCTCGTAGGTAGGGCAGCATACATGGTGCCTGTGCGTGATGCAAAGGGATGGACTCTATAAACTCGTGTGAAACAGTCACCATTGAATCAGCAAATTGATTGGAGATTTTATATAATATTCATACTGTCGCTTTTTGGCCCGTGCTAGCATCATCAATAGGTAGTGACATAAAATTCCAGAGCAAACCGTTCGAGACAAGAAGGAAATCCTCATAAAGGTGTATTAGGGTATCATCACTCCAGTCCCAGCCATTCAGCATCATCGCGTCGCATCACATCATTGCCGCATTTCATCCGAATCAATCCTTCCCTTCTCAAACCCAGCTCGTCCCCACCACAAAATTTCCAAAGTCTTAAACGTTTGAGGGAGTCGTCTTGTCAGCCCGTGCCTGGCCCCTCAAGGTAGTCAAGCCCTCAAGGATCGTCAGCCCCAGGAATCCTGCCCACAAGAAGAACCCAAATGCGACTCCAGCCTGAGAAGTCTGGCACCAGGTGATTCCGTGGCACTTTGGTACACCAATGAACGCGGCCATGGCGATGGAGCCCGAAAACCAGAAAATAGTCGTAATGACCAAGATGACGAATGCTACCAGAGCATGGTAGAAGCGTTTAAGGTAGAGCGGCGTAATGGCCAGGTAGGCGACAATCAACAAGCTCCAGATTGAGTTAAACAGCATAAACGCAAAGGAATCGGGCGCTGAAAAGCCAAAACCAGAAGTCGTGTCAACAACTGCAGAGAAGCATGTTAGCCGGGGAGAGACAGTAAGAGATACACATCTTCATTAAACTCACGATAGCCTGTGATGCCGAGCTCGATGATGACGAGGACGGCAAGCACGATGTGGATAATGGTAATCATTCCAAGAGCCATGGTGGGCAGTTGTTTTAGGCAGGCGGCCTTGTTGTTGACTGAAAAACGATGGCTTCGTCAAATGTCCTACTGTAGAGCACACAACCTCGCAGAGAGCCGTATGGATGTCTGAAGAGGCCGATCGAAGGCTGAGGGCGGGAGGAGACAAGGGTTTTAATAACACCTGGGAAGCTCTTTGTGAAGCGGGTGGCGTCGAATTGGATGTTGAAAGCTGCGGAGCTAACTGTGAGGGTGTGTCGGCTAGAGATGGCGTGTAATGACGGTCCAGTCACTGCAGAGCACCTGGTGAAGGGGCCAGTTTCGGGCTAGTTGGGCTTGAATGCGTCCGTCTCGTTCGAGCGATTGTGACTGTTTCACTTGTTTGTGGCTCCAGGTGAATGGGATCACAAGAGCGAGAGAATCCAGCGGCTGAAGAAGGACGAGAAGAGTTTTGAGAATGGAAAAAGAGCAACAAGCAAGATGCCGTACGAGCGAGACCCGAAGAGGGTTTAATAGTCCTTCGCAGCAGGCAACTGACGACTGGACTTACACAAAGCAGCCGCTGCCGTCCAAGGAAATCGCAGCAACTACTACTACAACTACGACTACTATCTGTACCTAAGAAATAGACCCTGGGTGATGTCATGCGATGTGGCTCGTCGCTACGTCACGATGAACCAGGCAGCATTAACAGGAAACCCAGCAGGAACCAACGACGCGAACAGGTTAAGCGCCAGCTGCCCTGTTTCATCAATGCTGCGCCCAGGTATCTCCCAGGTACCAGCCTAATCGCTTTGTCCTCAGCTCCACCAGAGGCTAGCAGCAAAAACGGCAGATGATCAGACAGTACAGACTTCGATTCCGCACTGATGATGCAAAGCAAACCAGCTGCAAATCTAGCCTGGACAAGGGTCTGGTCTGCGTCTGCCTTCTTTCACTGCCCTCACTCAACAAAAAAAGACAGAATGGTGGTTAATCTACACGCCCTCGCTTTGATTGGGCCACAGTGGCTGAGCTATGCCATTTTGACAGCAGCAATGGCGTGGCCTGCCTACGTGCTGATGACGGCGCGTAGTGGCTGGTTTAGCCGCAATCCTGCCTGAAATGCGACTTTGCTGATGCTGATGGCTGGTGCTGATGATGATGAGAATGAATGGATCCTTGGAATAGATCCTTGGGGGAAACCCTCTTTGATTCCAAAAGTTTCAGCGAGGACAAAAAAGCAAAGTTTGATGACCTTGTCGGGAGCTAACTGGTGACTGGCTTAGCTGATGCTATTTTCAGAGCCCGACGACGCTCTTTGCGCTTCACATTCCTCCCGCTGAATCAAAGCCCTGCGCCCTTGATTGGCTGCTTTGGCTTCCGTTGTCAAACATTCCGTGTAGCCAAGTTACTAGATTACAAGCCGGCAGGGGTCGGGCTACCAGGTAGGGCGCGCGTATTCGGACTTGCTGATGCGTCATAGGCCAGCAATTATTAACTGCCACACAAGCTGCAAAAAGCTGATGCTCAGCTGCCATGACAGGAGCAGAATGCCGGTAGTTCGCCAAGTCTAGGCCGGTCCTCGCTGTGTTATCCGCGACGAGTTAGGAGCTCGCACGCAAGTCCACCAATCGAGCCACCAGAAATGAAGAGAGACGAGTGCCTGTTTCAACTCGAGAGTTTGCAAAAAAAGAAAGAAACTTGAAACTCGATCCAGCCAGGGGTCGAACCTGGAACCTCTGCCACCGGAAAGCAACGCGCTGCCATTGCGCCACTAGACCAATGATATGGCTTCGCCGGATTGCAAACCGCTTCTTGAGGACCAGTACAACGATAAAGACGAGACTGCAGAACCCCAGTTTCCAGAGGTTGAATCTCCCAGTTCCCTTGTTGAAATGGAGATCGTTGTGCCACAGGCGCTTATGACAAAGGACTAAATGATTGGCCGGAATATGTTTTTAATGAATGACAGCCCACAAAGGTTCTCCTTGTTCAGGTCTTTCGAGAGGTTAAAGCCTCTGCATTATATCATCCAGCTTTGGTTGTAAGTCGTCATCTGAATGAGCTTTCATTGGTGCCAAGTACACGCTTCACTGCGCCGAGCACAGTTGTGTCGCTCTATTCAAGAATCGGCATACAAGGCCATGAATTCTAGAAAGCGCCTTACAACTCGCATTTGTGCAGCATTTATCACGGCTGCCTTTTGACATTGGCCGTTAGTGAAGAAGGCATCACAATGTCTTTCACACAGAGTCGGGGTGATTTCATGGCGGAATCAAGCACTCTATATATTCAAAAAGGAACTGCACCCTTGAATTCATAAGCCAAGTAATCCATTGCCTGGATGCCAAACAACTCTTGCAATGTGATCATGCTCAGGCCATCTGCATCCTGGCTTCGAGTCCAGATTACATGCTTGCATTGATTATGTGATTCGTATCTATAACCTAACCTGCCTAGTCAATCGAATGGAGCCATCAACTGGCGGCCGACGGCGGCCGCCACCCAGCTTGGATCAAATCCGCCAAACTCCGCGACCATGGCTCCGTTGTCTAAGTCCGATACAAGTTGCAGCTCCGTCACTATTAGCCATCTCGATTAACCATCCAATCCTAAACACATACTTGCACAATTCATTCTAGCAGTCTCCCATCTCCGCGTTTCCACGGTTCAGCCATCTTGAATTCCCACAGATGCGCGGTTATGGCTTCTAATCTACTGTCCCCTGAAAGCACTGAGGGACCCACACGGCCACGGGCAGACAATGTCTGTCTCTCCTGTCGCCGCAAGAAGAAGAAGTGCGACAAGGCGCTGCCCAAGTGCCTGCAGTGCAAGAAGTAAGCCGCTATAAACTCTTTGATCCCTTGAGGTGGCTGTGGGCCCAGGCTCATTTCCCTAGGTTACATATACAATGTGTATACGAAGATGCTGCCGAGAGCGTGCCGGTAATAGAGGAGTTCCGCCAGCTGAGGAAAAAAATCAAGTTGTTTGAGGAGATGCTCGTCCCTGGCACTTCCAAGGTGTCCGGACCAACCCGCTCGGCTGCAGAACCGGGCCCTCCCGAGACAGCAAGTCAAACTGATTATGAGGCGGATCTCATTTCACGCCTCGAGGGGCTTACTTCCAAGCTGAATGTTGGCGAAGAGGTCTATCAACTTCTTCAGTCACACCCAGGGGAGATATATGGGGCATCACAGATCTACTTTAACAACATCCACAAATGGATACCCATCATGTCACAAAAGTTATTCTATACTAGGATGACGGATTTCAGCAGAACGAAACGCCCGGATTTTGCTATTCTCTTGCTTTGCATTCTCTTATCGATCCACTGCCCGGCAAGCGACACAGCACCAGAACCACTGTACAGGGCAACCCGCTCCATATTCTGGAGTCTAAATGCAAGCATAGATGCATCTTTGGAAATGATACAAGCTGGGATACTCTTGTCTTGTTACGAGTATGGTTTCGGCATGGATAAAGAATGCTACAAAACGATTGGCATATGTGTACGAATGGGCCATTGGATGGAATTGCATAACGAGAAGCCTCCATCAGACGACCTCCAATATAGCGATGAATGGATCCGAATAGCTGAGAGATGCAATCTCTGGTGGGCATTGGTTATACGAGACAGGTTCGAACACCGGCCGATTATTCATACAACTCCGACTGAGCACCAACTAACGCAATTACATGCAGGTCAACATTGATGCACGATGCTACATTCGCCAAACCTTATGCAAGCTGTCCGGACACAGTGCCGGAGCACCTGCCTTTTGAATCATTTGATCTTGATCCTTCATTTTCTCGCATTGGTGACGGCATTATTACCCGTGATGCAGAACCCGGTGTATTTGGCTATCAAGCAAAAGCATGGCGCTTGTTTGACAGGACGGTGGCTTTCCGCCATCGGGTGATAAATTTCCAATCTGCAGGTTATCACGGAGAAGAAAAGTTTGAAATAGATAGCCAACTTCAGCAACTCATGCGAATACTCGTCGACCAATCTGGCGGTGCCACCTGCGGGTATTGTGAACCATCTGCTATAGTGCTCGTGTAAGTTGCCTTCTCAACCTCATGGCCAATAAGCAAAAAAAGTGACAAAAAACCAAAAAATTCTAACACAACTCGATTGCAGTTCTCTTCTCCTCTTACACAGTCGGTATCCTTCTGTCACGGCTGAGGCTCTGCGCAAAGGCGAGGTTGCAGGCTACCCACCGCACTGTGTCCTGGCCTCATCATTAGCTGTCAAAACGATTGTCCGCATGGTTGTCGACGTGGCGCACACCATTAATAACCACTACCGTAAGATTAATATAATATCGTTTCCGCCTACGTATTGCCATGCCATTTATCGGGCTACCTTGGAGCTGATCTCCTTCCGCGACGACATGGACAATGCGGAGTGGACCAAGGCGCTTGAGACGCTCCGGGAAGCCACTTGGAACTACGGCAGGAGGTGGCAAGCTGCAGGTACGTTGCTTTCAATTATGATATAAAAAGCAATACGTGACTAATGTGTACCAACCCTCTTGTTACAGCCAAGCACCTTCAATCTGTGAATGATGTGCTTTCGGGTGTCTTGCCGCATTCGCCATCCACTTTTAACTCATTTCAGCCGATTCAAAACGACCCCTGTTTAGTTGCACTACTGTCTAAGTAATAGATCTTGCTCTACTCTGTACATAATTGTAATTTCAAAGGGACATGGTATGGATAGATATTGGGTGAGGGAAGCGGTGTAATAGGACCGTCTTTTAGATTCAGGACTTGCTATAATGAGCCTTCGTAACTCGAATACCAATTATTGCAATTCTTCGATTATCTACGGAGTATCGTATGCATCTTAACCTTTGTTCTCTTTTGATGAACGACGTCTCCACCGGGCGGAGTGGCAAGTCAGTTGAACTAGGGTCGGCAACGCCAAGTCTACTATAAACGCGGCCGAAGGCGGCCGCCCTGATTTAAGGCCGGGGGATGAAATACACTCCAACTTCACAGCGGACATGACAAGATGAATAATGACAAAAGACAGCTGAGAAATATTTGTATTGGTAGTTCATTGAGACAGTTAATAATACTTCTCAGCAGTGAAGGGGGTGCCGGAGTTTCAGATGTATATATATCTCCTCATACTTCTCGTAAAGACAAGAAGAGATTCATCACACACACAACCAAACAATACAAGCTACTCTTTCAACCTTTCACCTATTAAACCCCAATAACACCTTATCAAAATGGTGACTGTCGCAATTGCTGGAGGAGGCTCGGCCATGGCCTCAAACATCATTGCCGCTATTCTTGCAACCAAAAAGCACCAACTCGTCATCCTCTCTCGCTCTCCACGCCCCGAACTCGAAGAGCAAGGCGCAATCGTTAAAATCGTCGACTACAGCTCCCACGAACAACTCACCAACGCTCTCCAGGGCGTCCACACTGTTCTCAGCTGCATCTGGGCCTATGGCCCGGCTGTAGGCACCTTGCAAATCGCTCTACTGGAGGCGGCCAAGGAGGCCAAGGTAAAGCGATTCGTGCCCTCGGAGTGGTCTATTCCCGCATACGACCAAGTGGCATATTACAAGTCCAAGGAGCCCGTCTGGGAGGCAGTGAAGAGGTCGGGACTGGAGTACACGCGGTTTATCAACGGTCTGTGGATGAACGTCTGGGCTCCAGGCGCCCCGCGAGACGAAGTTGTTGCTCGAGCTGGATACCAGGGCCCGCCCTTTTTGCTCGACATCAACAGCGGCAGCATCACGATTCCCGGTGACGGTTCCGGCGTCATAAGCGTGACTGACATGCGAGACGTCGGAAAGTATGCCGCTGCGTCGCTGGATTTCGAAAAGTGGGACGAGGACAGCGTGATTGTGGGCGACAAGTTTACTGTCAACGAACTCGTCGACAAGATTCAGAAGACGACGGGAAAGTCTCTCAGCAAGTCGTACCTCTCTCTGGATGCCATTAACGCGGTGATTGCTGGCAACCCGGACCCAGCGACGCTGATGATCCATGAGTTTTTCAAAATCATTGCCGAGGGAGAATATGATCTCACGCCCACGGTTAACCAAAAGGTTCCAGAGGTGGTGCCTCTCAAGGTTGAAGAGTTTTTGGCGACGCACTGGGGTAGTGCATGAAAGGGTTATAAGCTGAAATGAATCATTTGGATTTTGTGTAAGGGACTGCAGCGGTATCTACGCTTTGATATTATAACTCAACAAGATGGCCATTCCATAATTAACTTGACTCTTTTGATTTGTAAACCACGCTATAAACAAGCTACCCCATTTGAATGTGACTTATACAACCACCCATCCATGATCAACATGATACCCAAAACCATACATACCAATATGCATAATAACCAACAATTACACAACCAAGCATGCCTTCCACAGAGTCGTCGACTTGTTGAAAACAGTAATCTTGTTAGGCTGATCCGTAGCTCCTCCAAATCCTCCGAAAGCATCCAGCTCAGCACCAACATCGACCTCGACAGACACCTCAGCGTTGCCGTTACCGCAAGTATTCACACCACCGGTGCTAGCCGCGCCAGCAAAGTTCGCGCTCAGGACAGGAGCCTGGAGAGCAAGTCCTCCAACGAGACCCTCACCGAGGAAGGTAGCGGCAAGCTGCAGGGTGATGACGGGGGCGACATGTGCGGACGCGGACACGGAGCCGCTGATGCCGAGGCCGCTGGCCTGGATGGTTGGGTTGATGTTTGCGCTCTGGCCGAGCGTGAAACCGGAGCCGTCGGGGAGGCTGGCAGTGGCGCCGACGGTGGCCGTGGCAGAGGCGCTGAAGCCGGAGATGGTGGCATCGGCAACGATGTTGAGCTGAGGACCAATGTCGACGACGCCGGCGATGGAGAAGCCGGCCAGGGGCACCGTGGCAATGGGGATGCTGGTGGAGATGGGCGAAGAGATGCTGCCACCGGCAGAGACACTGACCTCGACAGTGGCCCCGAGGTTGTTGGACGTGGTCAGCGAAGCCTCAAAGCCGTTGGACAACGACAGCGTGATGTCAGCGTTCAGCTTGCCCTGAGTGGTGCACTTGGAGCACGCGACGGCGAGGTTGACGCCGCTAACGGTGGTGCTGTAGATGGGCTGCGAGAAGTCGTGGCTGATGTCGATGCTGACGTCCTTGCTGATATCCCTGGCGGTGTTTCCTGCAGCGGGGATACCCGAGATGTGGATGCTGGCGTCTTCAGCAAAGTCCCTCCACTGAGCCTTGGTAGCAGCCATGAGAGCCGTGTTCGCGGTGGTGTCGTAGGTAATGGACTCGACGGAGAAGGGCTGGCGGCCCTTGTCGCCGGCACAGGCCTCGTCGTCGGCAACGTAGATGAGGGTGTTGGCAGCGGCCTGGTTGACCCATTTCCAAGCAGCCTGGGCAGCCTGCAGAGAGCTGGCGCTGCCAAACTTGATGGTGATGTCTTCGGTGCTGCAGTCGACGGACTCGACGACGTCCTGGAAGTTGGGGGCGCTGAGGAGACGGAAGTTCTTGGAGGCCTGGAGGGTCAAGTTGGCCTGGATACCTGATGAGAAGAGTTAGAACCACTGGTCCCGGTATAACGAGATTGGATCTTTCTTGTAACGAACCTTCGTCGTCATGAGTCCAGATGAAGTTGTCCTGGCTTGTCAGACCCAGATTTGCGCCATCACCACTGGCGGGGGGAGCAGGCGTCAACAGGAACTTGTTGGCGACGGCCCTCGCCTCAACCTCTCTCCTCGCAAGCACCGGGCTCGCAGAAGCAAAGTTGGCCAACGCCAACAGGATACTGGCCGAAGCAGCGCTCTTGACAAACATGATGAACTAAGTTTTCTTTCCTTCTTTTTTTCACAATAGATAGGATGTTATGCTCAGATAAAAACAAGAGAATCAACAACAGGTTCTAGGCTTGCAAGAACTCTCAGAATAAAGAATCAATCAACCGCTGGCTTGGGGAATATCAACATCATCACTGGTGGTGAGGCCATCGTCATTCTAATATACTCATGATAGTCAATGGAGAAACGCCGAGATAGGTAATACTCGGCTCCCATCAATGCCGTGAAAGTAAAGGGTCCTCCAGACTGGAGCTGCTGTCTGTCAGCAAGGCCCCGACTGAAACACCACCTGCCTTTACGGAACCACCCGAAACCCACGCGCGGACAAGGGGGACCCCCCAAAACATGAGTGATCCGCGTAATGGTCAGTTTAGCTCCTTGGTTCTAGAAGGAAAAGGCCTGGTTTTGGACTTGCTCATTGAACTTTTTGCTTCATGTGCCATTTTTCGTTTATTTTTTGTTTCGTCGCACAGCCTCCCGGTCATCCCCGTGGAAGGGTCTCTGTCACCTCCGTACTAGCGTTTCGCCATTTTGTTGTTTACTCGCTGGCTAAGCTTAAACAGTTAGGTTGCAGATTGAGCACCATCCTTCTGAGAAGGTGTATTAATCATGTGGGGATGAAACTGGCAGAGTGCTAAAATCGGACAAGCGGGTGATCGTGAGGACGGGAATATCCACCACTCGGTGAGGAGACACACGATAGCAGCACACGCGACGGGTTTACTTTTCCCCTCTTCGTTTACCTTGCTGTTTGTTTACTCGGCTGCCTATAAAGATCGATTCGATTCGAGGCCCACGTTCCGAAAGTCACATTCGGTACAGACGGCAAACTGGGCCATGGGGGAGGGGGAAGAACCTCGCAATCATACCGCGCGGCAGGGGGGGGAAGTACAAGGTAGACTGGGCTGCAACCTTTGTGGAGGTGCAGGATCGCCGCATTGAGGCTCATCAAACTATCCCGCCGCACCCTTCTTCTTGGCGGAATCGCATGTGAAATCTGGGTTTGACCCCCTTGTCTCGGCCAAACTGCACATGCTTTTTCCCTCGGACTGCCTGCATGGCGCCATTTTGTATGCCGGACGCCGGCCCCACTTCTGCTGCCCCCCGGCTCCGGGGCATCCCGGACATCGGCAATTTAAAAGGGAAAATTCACCGCTAAGCGAGTAATCGCAATCGCTGCAGTTATTTTCCTAGGGCTTCTGGCTTAATCGTCTGATTACCAGAGTCATTTAGGTGCTTATCAACGGTTGCCGCTTTGCATATCATCCGATATGTCGTCCGAATGGAGTGTGAGAACTACGGAGTACAGTAATATTCCAGCAAGGTTCTGAAGATGCGGAGAATCCCCTATACAGGCAAGTTGATTTCGCTATTTCAAGATTCAAATAGCATTTACCCCTCTATAGAATTAATTATTGCCGCAAGGCGGGAGAATGCTACGATATCCCATTCGTGGAAGTATTGTCCGTCCTAACTTCAACTGGTACCGAGCAATTAACCATCTCCACCAGCCAGGTGACGACATTGGACAGCATGCAGCTTCAACACTAGCAAGGTTCAATCCAGAGAGCAATAACATTACATCTCATGCATAGATTCAACCAGATAGACGCGCGCTGCCTCCGCTGCGATTCCGAAAATAGTCCTGCACAATACGAGCCCCCATGCAGATGCGGAGCCTTGTGGAAGCCTGGTAATTGCCAATTGCGGAATGTCAACACAAATGGCATGTGGGATTCGCTTTACTCTTCTAGAACGGGGTCGAAATGCCTTATCGTGCTAGGCTAAACCGGCCGATTATCCATCTTTAGACTCAAGAGTGCAACTTCAGATAGCCCATCGGTTGATTGCCTTCGGCTGCTTAGCAATATCGAAACAGCATCATGCGCCTTCATGTGATGAAGTTGCAAAATCGACTACTTGAAAGACGTTATCACGACCGAATGTTACGCTACAATCATCAGGCACCTGAGCAGTTTCCCTTGATTATGGAATATCCCAGTATACTTTGAAAAATGCTACCTTTGTTGCATCTCATTCGTCCGTTTACGAGCAAAACGTCAATCCAGGCATGGGGGACCTCTACTAGCTCCTTCAAAAGGCCATAACTTTTTTTTTGCTACCAATTCGATCTATGCATGATGGTATAACGTGGTTCAAACTTTTTAGTCTCCGGTCTAGCTGCTCTCAACCTTGAGATCCTCCTCCACTTGGCTCTTGACAACCTCGCGCACCTTCTCCCATGAATTCTCCACCAGCGTGACGCGCCTCTCCTTTGTAGAGAGAGCCTTGAACTCTTCAGGAAGCACCTGCTCTTCAAAGTTGAACTTGGGCTCCTCACCCAGCGCCGTTGTGACGACGCCGGAGAATTTGGCGGGGTGGGCAGTTGAGAGAGAGATGTGGTGTGTTTGCAGCCCAGCGCGAGTAATAGATCGTTCCGATGCTGTGACTCCCACAGCCGAGTGAGGGTCCAGAACGTACTTGGTCTTCTTGTAGCACGACTTGATCGTCTCCACAGTCTCCGCATCGCTTACACGCTCGCTCTCAAAGGTTCGGCGGCCGTTCTCCAAGATCTCGTCATGGACCGGCCCGAAACCCCCAGTCGTTTTCAGGGATTTATACCAGGCAGAGACTTCCTGACCGGCCTGCTTCCTGTTGAATTCCTCATCCATGCCAACCGTCGCAGCAAAGTCTAAAGCAAGTTAGTTAGTTGAGTGTAAGGAAACCGGATATGGGAACAAAAGAAAATACCTCTTGCCAGGAACCACATTAGTCTCTCAAAGTTGCTGGAGACCAGGATATCCATAGCTGGGCTCATGGTTTCCTTGCAGTTTTCGGCTTTGGAGCCGTTCTCGTCTTGAACGCCACTCTTCTCATATCTGCCAGTCATCCAGAACCGGTGCAGAATGTCGTTCCTACGGGGGATGGTGGTTAGCAAAAGCTCCATATGCCAAACGCTCCCCTTCGGTGAAGAATTTGGCCACCACTAGGTGGCTGGTACATTCATAGGATTCCCAACTACTCACTCATTCGTCGCCACTATTTACATATGAGTTAGCCAATGTTTCACGCTTTGAAGCAGTAGTTGGAACAAAACTTACCAACAAGCTTAGAAACGGGAAGACCCATCTGCTTGGCAAAGTATCCCGCCAGGATGTTGCCAAAGTTTCCTGTGGGGGTCACAAATCTAACCTTGTCCCCAACCTGGAAAGAAGATGACTGCTTGGCAAGCGAAAAGTACGAGTGGAAATAGTAGACGATTTGAGCGAGGATTCTCGAAAAGTTGATCGAGTTGACAGCACCGAGCTGCAAGGCTGCGTTGGAATCAGCGTCACCAAACATGGCCTTGACGATATCCTATTTGCCGTTATCAGTGACCAGCCCCCATGTTTTCGCAGGTTCACACCTACCTGGCAGTCGTCAAAAGTTCCCTCAATGGCAAGGTTGTGGACATTTGCATCCAGGCAAGTCGTCATCTGCGCCTCTTGGATGGGGCTGATGCGGCCCTTGGGGTGCAGGATGAAGACTGAGACATCCTTCTTGCCCTTGAGGCCGTAAATGGCAGCTGATCCAGTCTATGTAGGTGTTAGAGTGTCGTTTGATGATACGTTGGGGGCGAGAGCTTACATCACCGCTTGTTGCGCCGACAACAGTCAAATGATGCCTGTCTGCTGGCCAGTTAGCACCCGACTAGAGCGCTTCGCCCATCTAGAAACCTACCTTTTCCCACTTTGCCCTGATTCTTTCGAACGAGAAAGTATTCGAAGAGATTTCCCAAGAATTGTAAGGCACCTTGGAAAGTGTCAGATCAGTGATGTCACAGCAACCGTCCATACAGAACCCACAGTCTTTGAAGGAATAGCTCGGGCCGTGAAACAGCTCAAGAAGATATAGATTGTCTTCTAGGTGAGTCAGAGGAGCGACATCCTCTGCACGGAACGTCGAATAGCTTCGGTTGATGATGGCTTTCAGGTCGTCGGCGGGGATCTCGGATCTCGAAATGTAGAGGCTAAGGATCTCAAAGGCCAGCTCTGCATAGGAGAGGTCTTTCCAGTCGCGCTGCAGCCAGTCTTAGCCATTGGTCCATGTATACATAACAAAGTGGCAGAAACCATCTATGCGACAAGATAACCCCCAATGCTGCATACGTACCCAGTTCTCTGCGGTTGGAATCTGATGCGGCAAGAAGAGACCTCCGTCAGCGGCGAGTCCCTTGAGGACGACGGTCTCGAACGAGAGCTTCTAAAGGTCAGCAGAAGGCCACGGGAATCGCCCAACGAGGGAAAGGGAAAACAAACATCGTAATCGCCGCCTCTCGTCGAGAGATAGACTTGCGACTCGGTGTGAGTCTTGTCCTGTGCGCTGTTGGCCATTTTGTCGCAGTTGCAGCGTTTGTGGTTTGTCTTGGAGATGCCCCTCCGATCTTTGGTGGGTAGGTTTTGAAGTCAGCCGCCGGAGGATAAATCGGCCGGCCGAAACCGGAAAGCCTCTGAACAGTCAGAAGCCAATGCGCTAGAAACGTGCTAATGCTAAGAACGAATGACGCCTGGAGATTGCTGGGACATGTCACATTATTGGGTGCATGTAGGGTAAAAGGGGTTCGTAATAGTCTAGAATATGCATTGGATAAGAATTAATCAAGGTAAAAAATTATCAATGAATCGTCGTAAAAGATATCTGTGCTCTCATCAACTGAGCCTGTGCAGAATGCATGTAAATGTACTCACTCCATCTATACCAACCCAGCGCTCTATAAATGAACAGGCTAAAAGGAAAACAGAACAAAAAAAGAAGATCAAGTAATTACATAGGTTTCCCAATTGAAGAGAGGAATTGTCATCTAGGCTCCAGGTCCAGGCCATTAATTGCAAGATCAAAATCTCCGGCTTGGATATATTCTGTCGTCGCAACGGGAATCAGAGGCGCCATGGGTGCTCCATACATCTCTCCAAACACCTCCAGCGCATTCTCGTCTCCATCAGGCTCGAGGCCAAATATTTCCCAAACATAGCTCAGCTCCGTTGCAATGGCAGTCGCCACAGCAAACCCAATGCCGATCCTCGATAGTAGCTTGGCTATCCAATCTCGCTGCCATTGCGTTCTGGATCTGGCTCCAGCTATCGTTAACGGAAACAAGAACAGTAACGGCGAGAGGTTAGTCGTATCGAGAGCCAAGGTAGAGAGCCCAAGTATTGTGTTTGTATGCGTTTGGACAGTTTTCTCATCCAGCGTGGGCGGTATGAGACCAAGGGGATGCCAATGGGATATTTCATAATCGAATATTCCAGACAGATAGATGCTAATGGCGGCGAAGAATATCCTCGAGAGTAGCAAGCTGGCATCTTCCTCATCCGGTATGTGAGTAGCTGATTTAGCTGCGGGCTGCGCATACGATGAATACCAGCTACTTAGAGCTTCTCGCAAAGTAACTGCGTCGGAGCATATGGACTGAGCTTCCGGAGTGGGTTCCTTGTCGGGGCTTTTTTCTTGTATTTCAATAAATTTGGCCGTTCTATCACCTGATAAGTAAAGGAAGCGGCACGGCGAACAATATTGAATGTTACAAACGTTACTCACCTAACCCGCAAATTGGATACCATGACCATGATATCGAGCAAAGAGTCCAAGGGATGCCACTCATCTCCGTGCTCTCCAGTCCACATCCGCCTGGAAAGGTCCATCCATTCAGGCTGCGTGAGAAACGTTGATTCATTCCCCAAGATAGTACGCGACACTTCGAAAATGCGTGCTTGGACAAAGAACTTTCGACTCGGGCCGGCTCGACACTTTACCGGGCCGCTGGCTTCCAGGGCTTTGGCCGTGCCATGGGTCATATGCTGCTGCCATCCATCACCAGTTTCGTCATTGATCAACTAATCAGGGTCAGCATGGTAGTTTGGCCAACATGAAGTTGATGGTCACCTCGAATAGGCCAAGGAAGAGTGTCGTCCACAGTACTGTGTTATGCAGGTTATCGTCGCCTTTCCTCGGACTATTAATGGAGTCGCGCAACCCTATGATGGATTTCGAGTAGTATTCTAGCGCAGTCGCCAAACATTCGTTCCGCGAAGGAACATCTGATGCATTCAACTTGACTGCTTGTATCGCACCGAGGGATACCATAGCATCCATGAGATATGAGCCAGAGTGAAGCCCGGAGAGTTGTTTAACTTCATCAACCAACGAACGCTCCTTTCCAGTAAAATTATTCCGGCCAACAAAGACGTCAAAATAGTAAAGAAACGATAGTTTGTTGTCTAAAAGTCGCGACGGTGGAGAAACAGCGGATGCTGAACTTGTCGAGGGTGACTGCTTCCGCCTTTCTCGATTAGGTGACTTGAAGGTTGCAGGAGTCTTTTGCTTCCCTCTATCAACCAGAATAATTCGTGAATTGTCTTTTTGGGTAGATGGAAATATGCAAGCAATGCGCCGACGTTCGCAATGACTGCAAGGCATCTGGCCAGAACACTAAAATGCTCTATGCATAAGTATCCACGAGCTGAAGATGGGCCTCATTTAGATTCTCAGATGTCATGTCTATCTCACCTTGAGATGGCTGGTCGAACATGCTTGGCAGCGAGACTTCTTCTTGCGGCCGTCAAAGGGTCCGACAAACATATTGGCCAGATAGAGATACGAATACGATCTAGGTACACGCGACAAATGGTCCTGATTTCTACGTATATGCCAAAGCTTGAGGTTAATTCATCGATAGCATGGCAGCGGTGTTAGAAGTGTTTCCTACCCTCAACCTGCTGAGGCTCTGACCCTCTTACGTAAAGGGGGTCGTGATCTGGACTGTACAGAATATATTCAGGTGCAGACTCGATATCAGGGCCTGAGTTCATAAAAAATCGCTTCTTTCTCTCGATGCTCGACCCCTTATCCGATCGGATGGGGGTTTTTGGGTGCTCAAAACGGGTTTGTCAAGGCTGAAATCAATCATCCGCCCTTGCAGCGGCGGGTCTTGAGCGGCTGGCTAGGTACATGTAGTTTTAGCACTCGCCGAGGTGAGTCAGCGCTCCCGGTGAGGCCAGATGGAGTCGAGCACCACATAAAGAATCCCGAGCAAACTGAAAACAACCTGATGTACTCCGTACCTATTAAATAATTCATCTCTCTGTCTTTTTATTTGCATTGAATATGTAAACAGCCTCAAGCCGGCTGGGCAGAATAGGGCATCAAACATGAAGATGGCAATAAGACAATAAGACCTTGATCCCTAGGCGACTGTAAGTTGGCCATTTCTAGGGCAAGACTCATCTCATTCAAAGGGTTGAAAAATAAATGCAAGAACGGATATCGACATTTAAGTATGGACAATGGGCAGCAAAGGATGCTCTTATCTAGAATTTGGGGCGCAGGAGCAACAGTGCTGACGGCCTCTTGAATCAGGTCAGTCTCTTTCTTGCTCGCAAATAATGTCGAGGGGTTCCTCTTTGCCAAGAAAGAGGAGCAATCCCTAGCCCCGCGAGCGTACAAAGTCTGATACTAACAGGATCTACGGAGTGCAGGTGTCAGTATGAGAGGATGCACCCTTGCTCAGTTAGCATGCAACTTTCAATCCTACCGAGATCACTTCTGTGCCGTCTGCCCCTAGACTAGCGCCTCTGCTCTGATGCTACGGAGCATTTCATGTGATTGCCCCCCCAGTCAGATAAGGGCATGGGCTGTGTGCTGTACGCTGATAATTGCCGCCACGGTTTAGCACGCGGTACTTGAGCATTTGATGTCGAGCTTCCAAACGCAATCGAATAAGGTTTATATCAAACCCTTGTGAATTAGTACAGGTATTGCTCAGTCAATAGTGTCCTCACATGTAGGTACCTATTAAGGCAGCATCTCCAGCGTCTAAGATTATTAGGTAGGTAGGTAGGTAGGCAGGTAGGTAGACAGATAGAGTACGCACACACACACACAAATGACATAGCTGAGGCCACTTGCGGCTACCCCACCTTTGGCGGCGGGAGCTGCATCACGTGGCTGCCTCTGATGCATCGCTTCGTAAACAAGAAAAGCGACACGCATCGCGTCTTCGGTCTCTACGACTCGAGTCTCCGCACTTGTGGTATAATCGTCATTGCATCGCCTACTCGTTTTGCTGCCTCTTCGCCCTGCCCTGCCCTGCTCTGTCTTGCCTTGCCTCGCCCATCCTTGCCCTTGTCTTGACTTGTGCTGCCATTGAAAGCATTGAAGCATTTGAAGCATTGAAGCCTCCACCTCCTTCACAGCTGCTGCTGCCATGTCCTCTCTGATCGGACAGACGTTTCTTTCCTTTGAGGAGGCCTACGACGCCATCCAGCGAGCCGAGTACTCGCACGGCTTCATCACCATAAAGGAGCGGGTCAACCGCCGCAATGGCGTCGTTGTGCGTGGCGAGGTGCGGTGCCGGCATAGCGGCATCTATCGCCAGTACCATCTGAGCCGCAACAAGTACATCACCTCGACTCGAAAGACCGACTGCCCCTTCTTCTTCATCGTCGCTCGGCGCACCCGAATGGCCGACTACATCATCTCTGCCCGGTCGAGCCAGCACAACCATGAGCCTGCCAGCATGGAGGACCTGCAGAACAAGGTGCCCCGTCCCTTTGGCATCCAGGACCTGTTCCAGATGGTGGAAACTCGCCTGAGCGCCGAGGGGGCGTCGACGAGTAACATTGCTCGTGATATATGCAACGAGCGCCCCACCATCAACATCTCCGAGGCTGACATCTTCTTCATCCAACGTAAACTGCGCGAAGGCCAATTCTACGCCTCCACTGAAGCCTTTATCAATAATAATAAGCCCAAGAAGAACTGAAGAAGCATGTTGCGACGACGTGGAACAAGCACTGTCTGTCTGTTCTTGATTGATCATTGATTACCGCTACCTAGTGGGGTGCCTGCTTAACGCAGAACCAGGTCATTGATAGCGTGTGTGCGCATAATGCCCCCTTCTTACTGTACGAGATGAGATTCTCCATCCTGCTAGTGCGGATCTACCATCGACCATCATCACCATGCCTTACCCAAAACGGAAGTCATATCGCGACGCCATGCGAGTCGAGTCGTGGCAGCAAAATCACCCTCAGCGGCACTTGGCATTTTCGACCTGCGGTTGCGCCCTTTCCAATATATTTATATAGGGGAAAATGCCTACGCACTCATCTCGCCTCGTACAGCTGCGACCCCATCAGCCTCAAACAGCTTCGTCGTCATTGCGTTCGTGCCATCATTTACTATTTGGGAATGGCTCTGGGAGACTTACACGACTGTGGTTATCGAATGAGGCTGTGAGGCGCCTCCACAAGATATTCAGAGGACGTCAAATGGGTTTATAAATGACCAACATTTACCCTCTCATTGTTTTTCAGAATCATCAATTCAGTTCATTTCACTCTACTACTCTATCTCACTGTGCCCCCCCGTCTTCAATTCTGCTCTATCATCTTCACCACTTGATACCGATACCATGCGCTTCATCGCACCGATCTGTCTGCTCCTCTCCGTCTCCAGGGCTGTCCTCGTCCCTGGCCCGACTGGTCCCTATGCCGTTGCCATGAAGGAGCTGCCTCTGACAGATACAAGCCGGCATGATCCCCTTGATCCGACGGGCAAGTCCAAAAGTCGCCGTCTCTTAGTCTCACTCTATCTCCCAGTCGACAAATCGAGACGAGCATGCCCTGTGGTAACTGTTCCGTACATGACTCCTCCAGTCGCCGCCAGCTACGGACAACAGGCCACTCAGGTTGGCTTGCCGGACACTCTCTATAATCCGTTCCAGATGGAGTTTTGTGACCTCAAGAAACTCTCTCCTTGCGGCCAAGCTTCCAACAAGAACAAGAAATTTCCCCTTATCCTCTTCGACCCTGGCTTTGAGGAGTCGAGGCTCATTTATGGCGCTATGGCTCGGTCCCTAGCTAGCCATGGCTACGCTGTTGTTACTATCGACCATCCCTTTGATGCGCCTGCCATCCAATACCCCGACGGATCCATTATTGAGGGCGTCGACATGGATCCCTCTGATCCTGCAGTTCTTCCGAAAATTCTCAAGGTAAGTCCACCCCATTTTTCTCTCCAACAGAAGAATTCATCGTGTGCTGACAATTACAGGTGCGCACCGACGATATTACCTTCATCATCAATCAACTCGAGAACCAAAAAGTCATGAAGCCCGTACTTGCAGACTTTCCCGGCACCATCGACTACAATAAGCTCGCCATCTGGGGCCACTCCTTTGGCGGTGCTACTGCTGCATCAGTCACCCACGCCGACAAGCGAGTCCTTGGCGGCCTTGACCTTGACGGTATGCTGGTCGACCCCATTCTGAGTACTGACATCAAGAAGCCCTTCATCCTAGCCGGACGCAAGGGCCATGACGCCGAGGACCCAACATGGAACCAGTTCTGGCCGCATCTCAAGGGCAAGCGCATGGAGATTAACATTGCCAACACCCAGCACGGAGCGTTCAAGGATGACTTGATGCTTCTTAGCGCTTTGAACATCCCGGCCGACGCCAAGGCGGCTATCCAGCAGGTGCTGGGAAGCATTGACCCGCACCAACTCGATAAGGATTTGAATGGCATCCTGACGGCGTTCTTTGATCTCCTCTTCCATGGCAAGAAGCAGTCCTTGGAGGCTATTCCGCATAATTTTGCCAACGTTACCATTATGCGAGGCAACATCTAGGATGGTGTGGGATGTGAGGCGGCGACACATTGAAACGGATTTCATCCTGACTCTTCCATTTGTGTTTTTTTTATTATTAGCTTTCACATTATAATCATTTCATATATAGATTTCTCTCATATTAGTTTGTTTTTCATTTGCATTGAGCTTGACTTGGCCACAATGGTGCTCAAAGACGTGACTCGCTCGCATGTACTAACTCTGTTCTCAAGTCATGCATTTATATATATATCTTTATCGCCTCCATCGTCCATTCATCGCCGCATTAATTACATATACAATATACAGACAAACAAAAGACTACATCTCCGCACAGCAACTCCTTTACAGGCCGAGACCGAAGCAGTTGGCGTAGTAAGTCACGGTAGCACTCCAGTCGGAGAACATGCCGAGAACACCAACCTGTCGGGCCAGCACGTCGACAAGGTTGTAGATATCGCCGTCCCTCGTGACGATGTCCTGGATGGAAGAGTAGTAGTAGTCGCCGTTGGCGTGTACGCCGGCAATGGGGCCGGAGCGCTCCAGACTCCAGGTGATGATCTTGAGGCCCAGCTTGTTGGCCTTCTTGGCGTACTCGCTGGGGACGATCTTGCCGTTCTTGCTGGTGACGAGGTAGGGCAGGGGAGGGGCGACGATCTTGACGCCGTCGGCGTGGTACTGGGTGAGGTTCTTGACGGCGGCGTCCATGCCGGAGAAGTCGGCAATCTCGTCGAGGTACATGGCCTGCTTGGCGAACTTGGGCTCGTGCTTGAGCCAGTACAGAATGTCGTCGTACAGGAAGCTCTGGGCCCAGACGCGGCTGGGCGAGATGCCGGCCTCCTTGAAGGTGTCGATGAACTGCTGGGCGTACTTCTCCTGGGTGTAGTGGCCCTTGAAGGGCATGGGGACCTCGGGGGTCTTGAGCTCCGGGGTGAACTGCAGACCCAGGGCCTCGGTCATGGCGATGTGCTCCTTGAGCGACAGCGTGGTGCCGCAGGTGTTGTAGAGGTCGGTTCGCCAGTTGGAAGTGCCCTTGAGGTAGTCGGCAGGGGTGGTGGCGCTGGCGTTGAAGGCGTCCATCTTGGAGCACAGCGACTTGAACTCGGCGAGGGTGATGTCGCTGGTGCAGCACTTGGCCGTGGCGGGCTTGCCGTTGGCCGCGGGCTGGAAGGGCGTGGTGCACTTCTTGTTCAGCTCGGGGATGTTGACAATGTTGGTGGTGGTGTGCAGGTCGCACTGGCTGTGGCGGCACACCAGCTCGAGATCCTTGGTGAAGGCGACGTCGCACTCAAGCACGCCGGCACCCATGCGAGCTCCCGCCAGGTTGGACTCTCGCGAGTGCTCGGGGAACTGCAGAGGACCTCCGCCGCGGTGGGCAATGGAGAAGGTCGATGGCTTCATCTTCATCTCCTTGCAAGAGTCCAGCATGCTCTTGAGGGGGCCATCCTCCATGTTGTCGACCAGATAGTAGGGTCGAGGGCCGAGCTCAATCTGCTTGATGGGCTTGAGGCCCGCAGCGGGATTGGGGCAAGGCTTGGCTGAGACCTGGCCGACGGCAGCAAGGCCGACGGCGGCGACGAGAGAGGGCGTGAAGTGCATCTTGTTTCAAGCTTGGAGGCGAAGCCGTGGAGGGAGATGGGAGGACACAATCAGGGTCGAGCTGCTGCTACCGCACAAAACCACCAGAAGGCCAAGACGCAGACACGGGCTCAGACAATGTTTTATATCCCCCCGATCAGCATGGCATCCCGACCACGCCGGCGGTCTGCCCTGGAGCCAAGGCCCCAAAGAGGATCCCAATTTGGCCAGCTGGGGAGCATCTGTGCCTGCAATCAACGGATCAACCGCATGCCTGCCATGGAGGGATGAGAGTCTCGGGCCTCTTCCGGCCAGGCGGCGAGTCACGCTTGGAGCCCGGTATGGAGCCCGGCAAACCTGTGTGCCTGAGGCTTACGCTGTGTGGTTGCGTTTTCTTCTGTCCTTCCTCTTCCTAGACGGGGCGTTGCAGATTTGAGATTTTAAAACATTCCCCAATTCTGACATGCAGATTTCATCCAGTGCTTCCCCTTGGATTACTTGCTGCTTTATCCTCAAGGCAGCTTCTTCAGAGCCACTGTCGCGCGACACAGCATCGACATGCCTGTCCCTCTACTACCTCAACGGGCTGCTAGGCCGAGAAACCCGCAACAGGCAAGGGGTCCTGTGGTTGCATTGCGTCCATGCTCGTCTTCATGTCACTCCATGGCGGAGGCGGAGATGGGTCCTGATGGGGCCCTGAGCATATCGGCCAGGAACTCGATGTGACAGGCACAGGCAACAAAGGGCCAGAACCTCCGCGATTCTCCTCTCCACAAACCGCCGTCCCGATTGCGGCGTGTCCAGGCCCGCGCCTTTGATTCGTCCAGCCCGTCTCTGGCTCTGTGTTTCTGCCAGGGGCTCACCTTGGCTCACTTGCACCGAAACAATACCGAAGCCTTTACTTAAGCTCTGATTATCCTTAACTGCAAGGTTAAACGCTAGCTCGGGTGGCTTTTGCCCTAGCCTCGCCCGCCGCGAACTTTTTAAGCCCCAGTGCCAACTTCTCTCCGTCAGCACCATCGTATGCATCCTGGTATGTGTTCACATATCATGGACATATCGGGACCACGTGCGGATCTTATGGCCGTGATGCAGCATTTAACCGGAGCGTTGCATTTTCTAGCTCAAAGCTCAAAGCTCTCGGGTACACGCACGTGGCCAAGGACTCGACAGAAATTTAGAAACAGGAACAAGAAGTTGTGCGTATAGACTTAGTCTGGTCTGCAGGATATCGCAACATCTTCCTAGTTTTCGTACGGAGACTATAGCTCGTCTTTTCTATTGTCATTTCCACGCAAGGCCCGGACACCGTCGACAGTCGCCCTCAAATGCTCAAACTGCGGAGCATCCTCGCCCAGGCCCCAGGCAAACACTCCGCCAAGTTGCAGCTCGCCGACAAGCCGAGGCACCTTTGTCTCGATCGTCGCGGGTCTGTCGTATGACCACCACCTCTTCTCTTCAGCATCCCAATACCCATAGCTTCCATCATCATCATAGTGGCCCTGGGCTTGGGCCCTGGTAAAGGACTCGGCCAGTTCGGGTGGAACCTCGTCATGCCAGCTAAAAGCACCCGTTTTACCCAGGTCAGCTCCATTGGTAGCATCTTCCAGCAGCTGGGTATGGCACCCCAACGGATGCTGAGCATCGCACTTTTCCGTCATGAACCACTTGACATAATAGCCAAGTCCAAAGTTCAATTTGTGCGGAGGTGCTCCGCGATCTATATATCGCTTCATTGCTTCGAACGATTCGGCCACGCCGCTATGATGCTTGACAATGCTATCGCGCCGGTTCATCATATCGTAAGTCATTACGCTAATGAAATCGACATGTCCTGTAATAGATGGAATAGTCGAATTTGTAAAGGCCATCAAATCTCGTTCCAGAGCCGGCACTGCAATGGACAGCAGTTTTCCGGGCCCCAGTGCTGACCGAAGTTCTCCCAGGAGCAGAACGAATGCTTCAATCTCCCACTCGCGTTTTGAATTTGGAACCAGCTTATAGTCGTCACGGTTTCCACTAAATGCTGTTAGTCAACTCCAGCCTGTGAATAGCATGATATAATGCTCATCCGCCTACCCTGGATATTCCCAGTCAATGTCGACGCCGTCGGCTCCCGTAAGGTCAACCATGGCCTTGACTTGACCCGCCCACCGCTTCCTTGATGAATTGTCATGTGCAGCTTCTTCAAACCCTTTGGAGTCTCCCCAACCTCCAATTGCCACCATGATTTTGGTATCTGTTTTGAACTGCTGTCGAGCTCTATTCACTGTAGTAAACAAGGGAAATTCTGTCGGTGTTTTGTCCACGTTGAAGACATCCGAGCGCATGAATGCCAAAATCACATGAGTTATGGAATTCACAAGATAGTCATCTGATGGAAATACGACATGTTGGCTGTAGAAGCGTCAGCCACTTATCTAGCGGAGTGCTCATCATGCCAATGGAGAAGAGCTCACCCTGTGAGGTACATGATGCATCGAACAGCTTCGTGAGCCCCCAGTGCAATAGAGCCGGTTACCATGACCAGCCACAAGGCCGCACGTACCAGTGATCTCTGCATAGCTGGAGCTGTAAATGTTGTGAACTGGGTAAGGTGACTATTGCGAGACAAAACGTTTGACAACGGAAAAGATTGGTCAAAGGCCAGATTCCCTCTCAGTATCGAGCGGCGAGATTTATTGATCCCATGATTGGAGAATAATGATTGAACTCTATGTTTTTTTTTTTTTCGTTCTCTGGTGAGTGACAGACTGTTGATGATACAGCTGAGCGGCAACTTGACAATCACACAGTGCACGCACAGTGCATCGTGGCAATCGATACGGTTATCTAATCTAAAGCTTCTTTTTTTTCCTCTTGGTCTCTGTAAAGCATCGCATCAGCTGAGATTGCAAACACAGCCGACTCTACAGTCCAATTAGTTTGGCTCTGATCTTGCTGCATGATGATAGTGCCTTCTATATAATTATCACGGCTACTTTATCAAATCTGCTCCGGTAGCCATTCGCAATTACCTTGGTCGCTGAAGCTGAGCGACTCCCACTCGCGAGCCATGTTCGAAAACACCTGCACCCTCCCGCTTCACGCGGAGATTTTCACAACAACGCTGCACCCAACAGAACCGCTATTGACTGTTGGCCTCTCCAACGGCCTTGTCGAAACATTTCGACTGCCCTCTAGCAATTCCTCGGACGACGACGCCGACGGAGACTCGAGCGTGCTGAGCGATGGGAGATCGACGATTAACTCGATCTGGCGGACCAAGAGACACAAGGGAAGCTGTCGCTGTCTGGCCAACTCCCACGATGGACAATGTAAGTGCCCAATTCACCTTGGGAAGAGCTTTTCTCGCCTCTATATCCCTTCGCACTGCTGACTGGCCAATTCCTCAGACCAGTACTCTGCCGGCACGGACGCCCTGATCAAGCACTACGATACTGCCACAGGCAAAGTTATTTCAAAGTTTGCGATTCCGACCACAACCTCGCGACCCGATGGTCCAGCAATGCTACACGTGCTGAACCCGATGAGCCTCCTTCTGGCCACTGATACTGGCGCTCTGCATATCGTCGATTTGCGCGACGGCGCTCTTGGCAAAAAGCCTGCCCAAACGCATTACCCTCATTCCGACTACGTCTCGTCCATTACGCCGCTCCCTCCATCAGAAGAAAGCACCAGTGGCTTCCCCAAGCAATGGGTTAGCACAGGAGGGACCACTCTAGCTGTTACAGATGTTCGACGAGGAGTGCTTGTGCGAAGTGAGGATCAAGAAGACGAACTTTTGAGCTCTTGCTTTGTGCCTGGCTTGGGACCCAAGAAGAACAGAAACAATGGCGTCATGGTCGTTGGATCTGGATCCGGCGTGCTGACCATGTGGGACAAAGGGGCTTGGGATGACCAACAAGAGCGTATCATTGTGGATTCGTCAAAGACTGGCGGAGAGAGCATAGACGCTGTCGTCATGGTACCGAAAGAACTGGGAGTGGGCAAGAAAGTTGTCTGTGGCGTGGGTGATGGTAGCCTGAGAATCGTCGATCTGGTACGGAGAGAAGTGGACACGACGCTCAATCTGAGGCACGACGATATGGAGGGCGTGGTCTCGCTAGGATTTGACTCGGAGAACCGTTTAATTAGTGCTGGCGGTCGAACAGTCAAGATCTGGGAGGAGCTATCAGCGCTCCAGGGTGGTGATAGCAACAGTGAGGAGGACGAGGAAGATGACGACGATGATGATTCGGATGATGATGAAGAGCAGCCAAACGGCAAACGGGCTGCCGAGAGTGACAGCGACGACGATGACAGCGACGACGGAGTAGAAGAGATGAAGCAACGGGCCAAGAGACGAAAGGAGATGCAGCAACAAAAGCTGGGCCCCATGGGTGCTCATGGCATCCTGGGCTTTGATGGTCTGGATTAAGAGGAAAATGTATTATTACTGCCCCAGAGACGGGCGAGCGTTCTAGGAGAAAAAGGTCTGTGACACCTTGATTTGTGATACCTTGGAGGCTTGAAGAAGCAAGCAGCAGCAGAGCTCACACGTTTTATATAATGATAGCATTGCATATCTAAGTGTGCTCGACGAATGGTTTATCGTTGGAACTAAATCCCTTTCCCTTCTGAGTCTTTCTCACCCCCATCTGATTTGGCTACCTAAATTGAGTCGATATCGCCACTCAAGCATCGCTACAGACTGATAGAGCCCCTTTGTCGAATAGTACCTAATATTCCATCATTTTCCATCATCCTCACACCTCCGCTCAACTTGATGGGAAGGTGTATGTCTCTACGCAGAGCTTCTTGCTATGTCGTCTGGTCGTGTTATGGATACGCATATGCTGCGATAGGACAGGCAAGTGTAAAGGTGCTCGCTTGGGAGGACATGATTGAGAGATGATTGGTTCTAATATCCCATAGTCCAGACAGGCGCTATTGCTAAGCACTCGGAAAGCTGAAATGAGAACGATGCAAACACCTGGTCTCCCTCAGACGCCAGGTAGATGAATATAGCTCCACTGAGCCGTGCTGCTCTGTGCGGATCTCAATATTGATGTGTCTGCATTTATGGCCACTTCCGGAGCAACAACAAGAGCAGCGTCAACTTCCGCTTCAGTCTCAGTATCATCACAAACTCCTGAGGGCGCAAAAAATCGTCTAATGCGGCTCTCTGTCAGCCTCTTGTCATATATTATTACCGCCGGCAAACTCCTGCTGCCATCATCGCTGCGCACATCACCTCCCTCTTCGAACGTCCTTAACCCGCTACCGTCTTCCTCCCGTTGACCCCACGGTGGGAGATCGCCAGCTGCCCCGCTATGCGTCGTCGGGACGCAGATATGCGGAATGCTCATCTTCAAGCTGATTCGCCTTGCCAGTGCGACTGCCCGGGGTCCTCCCACGCTGACGACGGAGTCGCGACCGGATAGGATCGTCGAGCCGGGATGCATATCTGACGATATGAAGCAAGCGTCTAGATTTGGTAGCAGGGCGCGGATGCGGTTGGCGAGGGAGAGGCGGGATGGGCTGTAGACGACGAGAGGGAGTGAGAGGCACAACTTGTTAAGCTCCGTCGGGAGACTGGCGATGGCATCGTAGCCAAACACAACTCGAGGAGAGTCGGCTCTGGTGCTGAGAGAACGGGACAGGCGGCGGTGCAAGCGAGAGAGAGGTGAACGAGAGGGAGGTGAACGAGATGCTTTCCGAATGCTGCCCGACTTGGAATGGAGACTGGATGGCATGGCTATTTTTGGCTGTAATTTCAGAAATATAACAGCATTTGAACAGAACTGCGCTTATGGGACGATCTTTTTATTCAATCTAGGCATTGATTTCGCTACACTCCGCCACTCCATCACAAAGTGGCGAGAGCATGGGAATTCTAGAAATCCCCATAACTTTTCCCATGTTTGCCTGTGTGGCGCCTACTAGACAGACCCTTAACAAGAAAAAGGAAAAAAAGATGCAAGGGCGAGAGAAAGGGTTAAAAAAAAATCCAGAAATTCGGGCCGCGGCCGAAAGGGGCCCATGATCGACTTGGATGACATTCCCGGAGGGTGAGTTCCGGCTTTTGGAACAGAAACGAGGCGCCAATGGGATGAGAAGCTTGGAGGGGCGTGGGTTGGCGGGAAGTGGCGATTTTGCGGATTAGGGGTTAGTTTATGGCTGTTTTATGGGGGTTTGGGTCCAAGTTTGTTTGCTTATTGGTGAGTGAGAGATGGTTGCGTGTTGTCGTATGCGAATCAAGATTATGATGGATGTTCTACAAGAAGATGGTTCGAAGAGGCTTATTCTGTCAGTAAGTGTGACCCTGTGGCCACTGCTGCCACATCGCCAACTTGTGACAATATTACTTCTAGATTTTGGTGAAGATAGGGAAGCGTTTGGATTATTCCACTCATGTTCTCAGGCAGCTACACTTATTTTGATAACATGTAGTCTAGAATCTTTTATATGAATGCCAAATAATAGGTGCACCTGAGGTTTTGTCAATAGCCGGACCATTGTTAGCAATGAACATGAGATGATGGGCCAAGTCAATAAACTGTACCTACCTATCTACAATACACCTCCTCTTGTATGACACAAATATTTCAGGACTGCTACAGCAATCTCTGGACACCTAAATTCAAGACAGAAGACAGCCCATTAATCAGTCAGAATACCTGCTGTGAAGAAGTGGTGGGTGGCCATCTGAAAATAGCAAGCTCCAGGGTAAGCCAAATTATGTGTGGCGTGGAAGGCACGACTCCAGTTCTGGCTGCCGTCTTAGTAGTAGAAGATGCTCTCGTCAACTATCTAATCGCCTTCGAAAATCTCGACTTGGCATCGCCAGTCTTCTTCTCCTCTTTTCATCAAGCTGAAAGTCTTATCAGTCCAGTTAGACAGATGCTTCGGAACGCAGACATTATCGCGGCCATATTAGGAATCATTGCCCATCAGCCGCATCATCACGCCTTTTCTTCAGCGACAACGCCAGCGACATGAATATAGGCCCGGAGAGCGCCTTTTCATCAGAGCATCTTCATCGGAGCTCACCGAGTGCTTGTCAGCTGCCAGCGAACGGAGAACCCCTATCTAGAGCCGTCAGAGGCATCTACAGACGGAATATTACCCCTAGCCATGCGCTAAGTCTGGAGAAGCCCTGCACTCGCTGATCCGAGGTAGATAACGATCATAAACAACTGATCTCTTATCGCGGACAGTCGCTATCAGCAGCCATGGGGACGAACCCCCATGCTCCCGCAATCAGGCCCCGCAGAGATGCCGGAACAAGGCAAGACTCTTAATTCTCGATATCGCTTCCCCCACAAGAGCTGCGTTTGCTGCCTGTTTTCCCCGGGGAATTCAACGCTCTCAGGCCATCGGCTGTTCGGAATGCGATGCAACGATGCCGGTTTCGAAAAGGGGTGGTATTATGACTGATGGAAATGTCCCTACAGGCAAACACCGTTGCAACCATCTGACGCTGCTTCCTTGATCGACGAGCTGAGACACGGCGAGCAGAGAGAGGCAGGAGAAAAGAGACCCGATGTAACCGCCGTCTTCTATGCAGATACTCCGCATGATCGCTGATCCCAGCGTCATACCCCTTAGTCGCGTGTTTATATCTTTTGACAAACCCCATTAGCAACTGGCTCGCCTTGGTGTGTGTCACTCTGTCAACATCCGTTGCTTAACTCATGCCGAGTAATATTCGCAATTCCGCAAACGAAGCCTCTTTTCCCCGAAGAACCTGGCTATTGACATCGGCATTGTTCCACGCCTCTCAACCACTCACAGTACGGGAAAGATAAGCAGAAGCCAGGGCCTATCAACCTGGCCCATCCACACCATCGGCCCAACCGCTGGCGAAAAAAAAAAGTTATTGATTGTATTACTACGCCCTTTGCTTATCGTATCTGAAAAAGTGGAAAGGTTTCAGGGAAGAGAAGGGAAAATCTATATATCACTTTGACCAATTGCCATAAATGCACAATTGATTAGGATACAGATTCAACAATTGCCTGCTACTGTTTGTGCTACGGTCCCATTCCTCGTCTCTCATCTTGTCTTTTTGCTCTACAGGGAAAATCCGCTGCAAGTACTAGGTAGTCTATCGGCTTCATCTGCTTGGAGTTTCTCGTACATGACAGCATAACGTCCTGATCTAGCATTCACCCAGGCTTCAGCAGGTTTGCCACCACCAACCGCCAGGATTCGACACTGTTGCCTGATCGCTGTCTCCAACAGCATCTAACCTGGTTCTGTTTACATCTATCTCATCTCACCATGGATGAAGGTACCGGACCTACGACCATCACACCCGAAACTGCCCCTCGATGGTCTCTTAGCCGCCGTCTTCGGTCCCTCCGCCGAGCTTTTACAACTCGCGATGGCCTTCTGGGCGACTACAGCTATGGCGTCTTGTTCCGACCCAACATCCCGTTCATGCGCAAAGGCCCAGGGTCCGGAAAAAGCCCGTTCTTCGGCCTCAATGATCGCATGCCTGTATTCCTGGGCCTGCTACTCGGACTACAACATGCGCTGGCCATGTTGGCCGGCATCATAACGCCGCCGTTGATTCTGTCGGGTCCGGGTGGAGCCAACTTGTCGACTGAGCAGCAACAGTATCTGGTTTCTACGGCGTTGATTGTGTCGGGAATCCTGTCAAGCATTCAAATCACGAGGTTCCATATTTACAAGACTCCGTAAGTTGTAAATGGCTATCCATACCCGCCCCATGGGATACTGAACCAATGTTGCAGCTATTATCTCGGAACTGGTCTCATATCTGTCGTGGGTATCAGCTTCAGCATCATCCCCGTTGCCCAAGGAGCGCTTACTCAGATGTATGCCAACGGCTTCTGTCCCTCTGACGCTGCTGGCAATCCCCTGAGCTGCCCTCGTGGATACGGTGCTCTGCTGGGAACCTGTGCAGTCTGCGCTTTGCTCGAAATCTTACTGTCATTCATCCCGCCTCGTATCCTGCTCCGAATGTTTCCTCCCATCGTTACGGGTCCGACGGTCATGCTCATCGGCATCAATCTTATAAAAAGCGGCTTCCAGGACTGGATGGGAGGAAGTGGCTGCACGACACAAACCTTGTGTCCTAGTCCCGGAGCACCGCATGCTCTGCCTTGGGGATCCGCCGAGTTCCTCGGCTTGGGGTTCAGTGTCTTCGTCACCATCATCTTGTGCGAGCGCTTCGGATCTCCCATTATGAAGTCTACGTCTGTTATTATCGGCCTGCTGGTGGGGTGTATCATTGCCGCTGCCTGTGGCTACTTTGATCGATCCGGAATCGATTCTGCCCCCGTCGCCTCCTTCATTTGGGTACATACTTTCCCCTTGTCTGTTTATGGACCGCTGGTACTACCAGTGCTTGCCGTCTTTATTGTCTGCCTTACCGAGTCCATTGGAGACATCACTGCCACTTGCGATGTCTCCCATCTTGAGGTTGAGGGCATGATATACGAGTCTCGCATCCAGGGAGGTGTCCTGGCGGATGGCCTCAACGGCTGTCTCGCAGCCCTCATGACCATTACGCCGATGAGCACCTTTGCCCAAAACAACGGCGTCATTGCGCTTACCCGCTGTGCCAACCGCAAGGCCGGATACGCCTGCTGCTTCTTCCTCCTCGTCATGGGTATCTTCGCCAAGTTCGCCGCCGCCCTTGTCGCCATTCCGGCCGCGGTCTTGGGCGGCATGACCACTTTTCTCTTCTGCTCCGTCGCTGTCTCCGGTATTGCCATCATCTCTCGCGGCGTCCCATTTACGCGCCGAAACCGTTTCATCCTCACCGCCGGCCTGGCTCTCGGCTACGGAGCGACCCTGGTGCCCAATTACTTTAGCACTGTATTTACCTACAAGGGCGGGAATAAGTCGCTTAGTGGCTTCCTCGACGCCATTGTCCTGGTTATGGAGACTGGCTTTGCCGTTACGGCGGCGGTTTGCATGATTCTGAACTTGCTGATTGAGGAGGAGATGGAGGACGATATTAGTGCGGATGGCGACGACGATGTTGAGGTTCGCAACACTAGTTCTTTTACTGCGAAGAAGTATGAACAAAACAACGACAGCGAAGAGATTCGGGATATAGGAGAAGGTGGCTCGAACACTACAAGAGGAGAAAAGCAAGCCTAAAGCTGGGCTGGGCTGATATGAAGGAGGAGGAAATATGAATAAATGAAAACAGAGGGAAAGCCAGCCCAAGAGTGTTGGATATTTCCATGCCATGTATTACAGATACCCCAACTCATAAATACTACTTGTTATAATATCCAGAGGGAACCCGAATGCGTTCAAGTAAATAAATAGCCTTAACACGGCCATGTTCATCTGATCAACTGCCTGGGTATGTCTTTGTTTTGTCTGATTCTGCTAAATCCTCCCTCTCACCCCCTCCAAAAGAGTTTCAAACTAACTCCCCATCGTCGCCGCCGCAGCCCCCTTCTCCAAAAAATAGAATCAAGAAAAAAAACCCTTGAATTTCTTTCACAAAATTGCGCCGCGCTTCCTTTGTCTTTCGATCCTTCTCCTCCCTTCATTTTCATGTTCCCGCATAATACCGATGATCCAGAAAATCAATGATCTACCTAATAGTGCAAAAAGAAAGAAAGAAAAAAACAAGGGAATCCCCAACGTCCACCGTAAAGCTCCGTCTGAAAATGAATAGAGACAAAAAAAAAAAAATTTATCTCCAAGCAGAAAAAAAAAGGGGCCAAACGATCACGTATCGCGAAATACGCCTTCCCCCCCTCTTTGGTCCAAACGAAAAAAAAGTCTTGATAATCCGCCATTAGCCGTTGTTGATAGAGGGTGGGGGAGAATAATATTCCCCTTGCTCGCCAACACCGGATGTTAATTAATTAATTGCTTTTCATGGTCTAGGAGCAAACTCTTTGGCTTTCCGCGCCAACACTCGAACGTTGTCCACGAACCCCTCCACCAACTCTTGGTATCTGTGGGGGGCACCGCTTATGGCTCTTCGGCCCTGTTCGAGGAGTGCCAGATGATTCAACTCGATTTCGAGCTCGTGCTCTTTATCCATACGTTGGGTATTCTGCACATTCGTGTTAGCTTGGTAGGAGAGAAAGATGGGATGAGGGAAACGAAACATACTCCTGGGCCGTTGACGGTGTGAGTAACCTGTGTGAGATCGATCTGGTAGTGGCCTTGCTTGTAACTCAAGCGGTCCTTGTTACGATCGGGTTGTCGATCGGATTTGTTTGCCGACAGCTGCTCTAGCTCCTCCACAGATCCATCCCAGTTCATTTCGAGGTTGATGCTTATGCGGCAGTCCATCGGAGCCATGGGCATGTGCAGGTCAATGTCTGCTACGCGTGCCTTGATGATCTTGTTCAAGATCTGGTTCGTCTTTTGGTCATATGTTACTCGCACTCGAACATTTCGACTGCGAGAGCCAAGACGAGCCCGTACACATCCGGGGAGATGGCCATGCATCTCTGGCGGTAGATCATAGAAGCGGTCAATCTCCCGTCTGTGCTTATAAATGACTGGGACTCGTTTAGCGCCGCCGTTGGGGTTCCGCGGGTCTGTCTGAATGACGACGTTGTTGAGGAAGTCGTTGAAAGATTTGTGGTGTGCCTACATGGGGTTAGTTGGGCATACGAAATAAGAATGGCCGTAGGTATAGAAGACGCAGAAGGTAATTGGGAGGAAGGTAGGGGGTGAGTCTAGTGCCCGCGTTTACGTACCTCTGTCATGCTACTTCTGAAGGCAACCCGCCCGTTGTCGTCGAGGATGCATTCAGTAGTAACGAATCGATCCACGCGCTGGTTGGTATCCTTGTCGATGAGCGTGCCCAACTTGGCTTCAATCTCAAACTGTATCCCCCTGCTCGTAATCTCCTGTATGTCCTGGTTGCTGATGACGTTCATGAAGAGGAAGTCGGCCACGCTCTTGGACAGCTCCTCGATGGGCTTAACACCGGTGATGCTGGCTTCCCACGGACCTAATATGTCCTGGGGTTCAGGTTCAACACCTGCACCTGCACCAGCTGGCTGCTGGCTGACACTGGGGGCGTGTTGATTCCTCCTTGCTTCGGGTGAGGGCTGGCGGCTCGGGTGCTCTGCCTTGACGGCGGGCTCGTGTTTGCCATTGAGAGCAGTGTTTATGTGGGAGTGGATTCGCTTTTGGAGGACGAAATTGACGTTGCTTGGCAGCTTTCTACCCAGAGTGTGAACACTCAGCGCCCAGATTGGCGGTTGGGAGTGCCTTGCCCGCCTTTTTCTGGGCATGATAGGAGACGCCGACTTTTTGATGCGGTCTGCGTAGCCGCCATTGACCTCGCCCGGAGGAGGCTTCGTTTCCTTGTATTCCAATTCGCCAGGGCTCATGTTAAGATCCTCCAGCTTGCGCTTCGCGGGCGTTACCGCTCGGTCTGAATCGATCGCCATGGAGTGGACGCTCAGGGAAGATCTCGCGGCTCGGTCCGCCGAGGCCGGGGTAGCGTCGGGATTGCTAGGGATGGAGCCAAGCCTTGTCTTGGGACTAACGGACAGACTCTGCTCTCGCCCTTGTTGGGATCGTGGGCGCTGGGCGGGCTCTGCAACGGGCGAGGAGCCGTGGGAGGACTGCGAGGACAGGCGATGGGCAGGGGTTGCAGGCGGCGGCGCTGGTTTTGGCGACGGCTGAGTTTGTGCCTGAACCAGAGGCTGAGGCGGAGCCTGTGCCTGCGCCGGGATCTGGGTCGGGGTCTGGGTCGGAGTCTTGGCTGGAGCCTCAGTGGGAATCGGGGGCTGCGCGGGAGGTGGACGAGCCTGAGCCTGAGCCTGAGCCTGTGATTGGGATTGAAATTGAGATTGAGATAGAGCCTGTGATTGTGGTTGTGGTTGTGCCTGAGGCTGCCCCCGGGCGCTCAGCGGAGCCGGTGCCTGCGCCTGTGCCTGTGGCTGAGGCTGCGGGTGATGCTGAGTTTGCTGTGCCTGGGCTTGAGCGAGTGAATGTGAACGTGAATGTGGATGTGGATGTGATTGCGGCTGCGGCTGTGACTGCGACGGTGATTGCAATTGTGCCGGTGCCTGCGGCTGCAATTGCGTGTGTGCATGTGCCGGTGCTGGTGCTGGTGCTGGTGCGCCCGTTAAGGAAGACACAGACATGCGCTGCTGGTACGGGCTCGGCGGTTGAGCAAAAGCTGTCGAGGGCTGCCGCACGCCGCTAGCACTGCCAGGAGGGCCCAAAGGGGTTGGCGGCTGCGAATTGGAAGGGTGGCGGCTGTAATCCGCAAGTGGAGGCTGCGCTGCAGGGACTGGGCTGCCCTGTGCGTAGGGCCCATAGTGCTGCTGAGCCGCTGTCGGTGAGTGCTGGTGGTACGCCTGGAGCGAGGACGCGCTGCTCGTCCTGACTGGCGATGCTTGCGGTTGAGGAGGCACGGCGTGTTGTTGTTGCTGCTGTTGTTGCATTTGCTGTTGCATTTGCTGTTGCTGCTGCAATTGCTGTGACTGCGGCTGTGGCTGTTGCTGCTGTGGTGGCATATACTGACGCATCTGCTGCTGCTGCGGGTACGTAGCCAGTTGGGGGCTCTGCTGCGGATAGCTCTCTCGTCTTGGGTCCTGGTATTGGCTCGGATACTGCCGTTGGATTGGGCTGACCATGTCTGGAGGCTGCTGCGTAGGGAACGGATAGCCTGCACTGCCTCCGGGCGTCGTGGACGAGGTCGGTGACGGCCGGTAGGGTGAGGCTATCACGGGCCCGGAGTTCGACCTCGAGCTGGCGGGCGAGCGAGGGTCATGATATTGACTCGGCGGCTGGAGCGGCGGCGGCGCTGGTACAGGCGTAGGTCGGGATTGGGATTGATAGTGGCCCGGGGCTTGGAAGGGTGACGTCGCCGGATAGGCGTTGGACGCACGTTGCTGGTGTTGCTGCTGGTGTGCCTGCTGCTGATGTACCTGCTGCTGATGTGCCTGCTGCTGCTGATGTACCTGTTGCTGATGTGCCTGCTGCTGCTGCTGTAACAGCTGCTGTTGATGATGGTGCTGCTGCTGCTGTTGTTGTTGTGGCAGCTGTTGCTGGGGGTAATGGTGAGGTTGCGGCTGAGGGTAAGCATGCTGAGGTGGGTGAGGCTGCTGGTGAGGATGCGGATAGTCGTGCATCGCAGGCTGCTTGGCCGGCGGTGCTTGAGGCGGCGGCTGGTGCGAATACTCGCCTGGTCCATACTGGGCCGGGCCGGGAGCATGACGAGGCTGCTGCTGCTGCTGCTGCTGCTGCTGCTGAGCGGCGGGCGGTGGCCTCGGGGGAGCGCGGTCGCTATTATCGGACGTGTTGAGGACAGACCGGAGATCCATGGCTGCTGGGACTTGTCACACGGTCGTGTGTCTTTTTGCGCGAGACGATGGATCGGACGGTGGGCTCAATTGTGCAGCATCCAGAGCCGCGCTCTCGTGCGCCTGGAGGAGCGACGGCAAGGATTCGTCGACGGCGGGGGACTTTAGATAGCTGTCGAGGGCGCAAAAGATGCAGGGCCGTCCGAGTCGCAAACGGACATTCTCGAGCTTGGACGGATGACGAGGGTTCGAGGCTGAAGAGGCTGAGGCGTCGCGATGCGTCCTTGTCCTTGGTGGGGGGCGGGCAAGGGAAAGGCAAGCGCGCAACAAGCTGCGACGGCTGCACTGCGCACTCTATGCGATCAAGCCGTCTGGACAGGGCAATGGGCAGATGCGCGTCGACGAGGGACTCGGCAGTTGCGGCCGCTATGGGGTGGTGGATTGAGGTATCACGGACGGTTCGCGCAGGGATGATATATGGACGGATGCGCCTAGGACACTTTTTTTTCTTCCGTGATGGCCCTCTAAAGTAGGCTCGGGGCCTACAAGGTGCAAGGCCAGCGCTATCCAGAGACGAAGGCCAGTGGCGTCGAGCGCTGGGCTGTTAGTCTCAGTTGACCTGAGAGTTCGGGCAGGTTGATTGATTGAGTCACCAGCTTCCAGCACAGCAGAGCACAGCACAGAACAGAACAGCAGAGGCAGGGCACATGCAATTCGCAAACAGCTGCGGCTTCGTTCGAGCCCAGACCGGGCCCTTTTAATGGTTTTTTTTGTCCTCGCTTCTCCTTGTGCCTCCTTGCATTCTGGCCGTCTAGTGATGTGCCATGCATCCGAAACCTGAGGGTCGAGCTGCTGCCCAGCCCGCAAGTCCATTGAGCGAGCGAGCGGCAGCTGGGTGGAGCAGGTACCCCGACGTTGCATCAGCCGCACGCGTTCTTTGCTTGTACCTTTTGGTTTATGATCACTTTCTTTGTGTGTGTTTAGTACTAATAGACAGGCATCTCCTGTATTACAGTGCATGTATTTTATTATTTGTTTACCTAACTTGCTCAACCCCCCCCTATTGTTTGTTACCTATACCTACCCAACAGCTACTGTACACGCACAGGTTCGTAAAAAACCCCGTGCGCACGCTTATCGTCCCGTGTTGAGTTGAGTTGCGCCATTGCTAGCCTTGTGCTTTGCGCTAGCCCGTCTCCTGCATGCCCAGCCCTCTGGCTACTGGCTGGCTCAGCCTTCTGTCTCAAATTGCATGAAAAACCTCGACCGCGCTAGGCTGCTTGTGGCCTAGCTGTTGGTAGCCTGATTTGCCATCTTGTCTCTTGCTCTTGGTTTTTGCAGCCTGACCAAGAGAGCTGCCGCATGTCACGTGGCGGTATTACTACAACGAGCATTACCTTATCCGGGAGCTTACTGGCAGAGCGCTTCTTACATAAGCGATCCAATGCAGGGCGCCGCGGGTGGGTGACAGAACAGAATCAGTGGCAGAAGCACCAAGAACAAATGAAGCTGGTAGGCTTTACCTATCCAATGTTTCGTTCCTCTTTGATTAAATCTCCTCATATTAAATCACTTTATATTTACATATTTTCTCCTTATTATTTACACTGCAATACAACAAGTCCTCCTTTGTATCCCGTACTCAAACTCTACCGTCAAAGCGTGAGACACACGATGCTGCATGTCTGTCTTGTTTATTTTGTCGCCAAATCAGCTGCCGCTCCCTGACCCCACCAAAATGGCCTGTGCTCCACCCCAAGTTACAAGGCGGCAGGCAGAGCTGTGCCTGACGTGGACATGGACCTGTTTGTCCACAGACAAGCATCAACCGCCCTCAACCAACTGCTAATCCGCCAAACCAAACCACCTGCTCTACGCTGCTTGCACTGCTTGCACTGCTTGCACTGCTTTGCTGCAGCTCCTCCGTCTCGTCCTTGTTCTGCCAGTTTAATTGTTTGTTTGGGCATGCAGACACCGCCTTCTGCTGCCCTCTAATCGCCATCGCATTCCTCACATTCTTTTCCCTTCCACGCCGAAGCCGCCCCTCGATCTGCTCGTGAAACGCCCACCACCAACCGCAATCCCCGCCCAATATGCCTGGCTTGGTGTCGGCAACAGGCGTGCTCGCCTTCCTGGCCGATGAGGAGCCCGAGCTCCGAGTCTTCGCCCTGCAGACGCTCAACGACGACATCGACACGGTCTGGACCGAGGTCGCCGGCAGCTTGAGCCAGATGTATGCTTCCGCGCAAATCTCGAGACTGGCATCGACCATCTCTGGCTAACCTTGTGTGTGATTGTAGCGAGGCCCTCTACGAGGACGAGTCCTTCTCCGAACGCCAGCTGGCTGCCCTTGTGCTTGCCAAGGTCTACTACCACCTGCAGGCCTACAATGACAGCATGGTTTTTGCCCTGGCTGCGGGGGACCTGTTCAAGATCGACGCCCCCGGCGAGTTCGAGGAGACCATCATCTCCAAATGCGTGGACCAGTACATTGCCGCCACCGCTGCCAAGCATGCCGCTCCCAAGGCTGCCAAGACTTCCGACCTGCCTGAGCTGTCCACCACCTTTGCCAGCTCGACCGAAGGCGTTGTCATGTCTCCCACGACCCCCTTCTCTCACACCACTCTCCCACCTAAGTCTCTACTTTCCCGCGCCTCCATCGACAATACCATACTAGATGCCACTTTCCAGCCTGTAACAAAGCAGGGTCGCTCAGGCTCCATCACTCAGTTGCCCAACAACGCGGCTGAAGTCTCTCTGCAGCGCATCATTGATCGCCTCTTTGAGAGCTGCCTGAAGCAAGGCCGGTACAGACAAGTGGTCGGTATCGCCGTCGAAGCCAAGAATCTCGACATCCTCAGGAGAGTCATTAAACGGGCCAGCGAGGATGAGAAGCTATCAAAGGTCAAGGGGACAGAGGGGCAGCCTGGACCCACCGAGGAGCTGATGGAATACATTCTGGGCATCTGCATGGACGTTGTCCAGGAGAGGGCTTTCCGCACCGAAATTCTGCGGCTGATTCTTGATCTCCTAAGCGAAATCCCGAATCCCGACTATTTTGCCATCGCAAGATGCGTCGTCTACCTCAACACCGACGAGGAGGCATCCCGCATGCTGCGCAGTCTCGTTGCCAAGGGCGATCGCACCGCCATTGCCAACGCATACCAGATCGCCTTTGATCTGTATGACAACGGCACCCAAGAATTCCTGGGCAAGGTCTTGTCTTCTCTTCCTTCAGGAGAACCGCCAAAGAAGGAGGAAGCTGAGAGTGGCGACAAGCCCGAAGAGAGCGAGTCGCTGCTGGAGAACCAGCAGGCTGCACCTGAAGATGAGCTTCCGGAAGACGTGGCCAAGGTCTACCGGAACATCCGATCCATCCTCGACGGCTCCAAGACGATCCGCCTCAACCTCGAATTCCTCTACCGCAACAACCACACCGATCTGAGCATCCTCAACAAGGTCCGAGACAGCCTAGAGGGTCGTAACTCCATCTTCCATACTGCCGTCACCTTTTGCAATGCCTTTATGAACCAGGGCACAACAAACGACAAGTTCTTCCGGGACAACCTCGAGTGGCTCGGAAAGGCCGTCAACTGGTCCAAGTTCACCGCCACCGCTGCCCTCGGTGTCATCCACCGCGGCAACCTGTCACAGTCACGAAAGCTCCTTGAGCCATATCTGCCCAAGCAGGGTGGCCTTAGCAATGGCTCCATCTTCAGCCAGGGAGGTGCTCTGTACGCCTACGGCCTCATCCATGCCAACCATGGCGCCGGTGCTCTGGAGTACCTCAAGATGCAATTTGGCCAGGCTGAAGAGGAGGTTGTTCAGCACGGTGGCGCTCTGGGTTTGGGTATTGCCGGTATGGGCACTGGCGACAGCGAAATTTTCGAGAAGCTCAAGGAGGTCCTCTTCCAAGACTCTGCTCTCAATGGTGAAGCAGTCGGATTGGCCATGGGTCTCATCATGCTTGGCACTGGAAACGTCAAGGCCCTCGAGGATATGATCACGTATGCCCACGAGACGACCCACGAGAAGATTGTCCGTGGTGTCGCCATCGGTATGGCGCTGATCATGTATGGCCGCCAGGAAGGTGCTGACGTACTAATTGAGGGTCTGCTCAACGATCCGGATCCCACTCTGCGATACGGTGGTATCATGACTGTTGCCCTGGCCTACTGCGGCACTGGTAGCAACAAGGCTATCCGCAAGCTGCTTCACACTGCTGTGAGCGATGTCAATGACGATGTTCGTCGAATTGCCGTCATGAGTCTGGGCTTCATCCTCTTCCGCAAGCCCGGTAGCGTCCCCCGCATGGTCGAGCTGCTGTCTGAGTCCTACAACCCTCACGTCCGATATGGTTCTGCCATGGCACTGGGTATTTCTTGTGCCGGCACTGGCCTTGACGAGGCCATCGATCTCCTCGAGCCCATGATGAAGGACCCCACCGACTTTGTTCGACAGGGTGCCCTCATTTCCCTGGCCATGATCATGGTTCAGCAAAACGAGGTCATGAACCCCAAGGTGGCTTCCATCAGAAAGACGCTTAAGAAGGTGGTTGGTGACCGCCACGAGGATGCCATGACCAAGTTTGGTGCCGCCCTTGCCCTGGGCATCATTGATGCAGGCGGTCGAAACTGCACCATTGGCCTGCAGACTCAGACCGGCAATCTCAACATGGCCGGCATTGTCGGCATGGCAGTCTTCACGCAATACTGGTACTGGTTCCCCTTTACCCACTTCCTGTCTCTGAGCTTCTCGCCCACGTCCATCATCGGCCTTGACCACGACCTGGAGATGCCAGACTTCAAGTTCCACTGCGCCACCCGCCAGAGCCTGTTCGACTACCCCCCCGAGCAAGAGATCAAGACCGAGGAGGGGCCGGCTCTTATTGCGACCGCCATCTTGTCGACCACAGCTCAAGCCAAGAGGAGAGCCCAGAAGAAGGAGCGTGCTCAGCGTCATGAAAGCATGGACATTGACAGCGCTCCGGCAAAGGGTGGAGACAAGATGGAGGTGGACGATGACAAGGTCAAGGAGGAGGGCAAGGGCAAGAAGGAGTCTGATGATAAGGATGCAGCTTCTACCGATACCAAGAAGAAGCCCGAGAAGGAGAAGGTCGGATACGAGTTGGAGAACATGAGCAGAGTTCTGCCTGGCCAGCTCAAGTACATCAGCTTCCCAGCCGGCCGATACAAGCCAGTCAAAAAGGTAAATTCCGCCCTTTGGATTGCTAATAACATCATCACAAGACGCTAACTTTTTTTTTCTTCTTCTTTTAGCCAACCGGCGGCCCTCTTCTCCTTGATGACACTCAACCTGACCACGCCAAAACGCTTCTTGAGGAGAAGCTGAAGAAGGTTACTACCGAGCGTGCCCCCGTGGCCGGACAGCAAACCGGTAGAGGCGGTGCTGGCCGCTCTGCGGGAGCTGGTCGATCTATCCTTGAGGGTATCTCAGATTCCAGAGGCCTCTCTAGCGTCAACCCCGTCATGGAGCAGCTGTTGCGCAGCCAAGGACGATCTCCCTTTGGTCTAGACCCTCAGACTCCCGGTGGCAACGGAGGTGCTGACATTGGCTCGGGTGCAGCTGCAGCAGCAGGCGTGCTTACGGCGGTGGATGAGGATGGCGAGGGAGATGAAGAGGCAGCAGTGCCCAACCCGTTTGAGTACTTTTCCGATGGAGAGGATGAGGAGGAGTAAGGGATGGTAATGTAATGATGATAGGTCCTGGGTGGAATAGCAGTGGCTTTTTGCAGATTTGTATCAGTATACGAATTAGAACAAGGGGGGGAGGCGCCTGGCTGGCTACCTGCTTGGAGCAAGTCTTTAAAAAAAAAGATGCAAAAGCTGTAAAATATACAAAGAAAATTACAAGTTCCCACAGCGAACCGGAGTCCAAGTTTGCATTTTTTTTTTTTATATATTAACCACATACACCTGACCTCTTGCACTTGACATGGGTGAATAACTTGAATGGCAATTTTCGATTCAGGTGATAAGATTTAGCCAAGTAACAGTCCGTTAGTCTTAACATGATGAAAGGGTATATATACACAAAACGACATCCAACTCCTGCCCTATGTCTCTCTACCTATGCGATGTATGCATACGCTCCCAGACTAAAGAAGAAAAAGAGAAAAAGAGAAAACGAAAAAAGAAAAATTTTATACCCAATTCTAATATCCATATTCATGCCCTCCCTTCTTTCATGACTTCTCATGTGATGATTTCTTATCGTCGTCAGAATACTTCTTCAAAACAATGGCGTTGGGAGAGCAGTCGGTGCAGACTTGCACGCGATGCCAGGCAGTAGCGAGGTTCCCACGGAAATTCCACGTTGCGGCATGGCTCTCGGGTTGTGTGTTGTAAACCTCGTCTGTGGCCTTGATGGCAACGGTAGTGCACCTCCTGTTGCTTTTTGTGTGCTGGGAACTCTCGTTGGCTGGTCTTCTTGCAGAGCCTCTCCTAATGGTGTTCTTATCGTCGTCGGTTTCCTTACCCGCAGCCCCGTCTTCTGGAGTTTTGAACGCCTCCAAAGGCACCGCACCGTTAAACGTCCATCGCTTCCAGCTCCAAGACTTGCCGTCATATTTTGACTCCTCATCCGGCAGCAGATTAGCCTGTGACCAGCTCTTTCCATCGTCAAGAGAGACATCGACGCGAATGACTGATCGTCCGCCGCCAGAATAGGCATACCCGTTGAGAGCAACCTCTTTCGCAGGCTCAGCTGAGTCGCTTGACGTTTCTTGACTCGGCGTTGTCCACTCGCCGAGCTTGACACCGGTGATGGCACTCTGGACGGGCAACTCCTGGATGGCCGGAGCTTTCTCCCAGTCGACCTTTGTCTGGTTGGGGCCAAAACACTTGTAGTCCTTTCGCTGCCACTGGCTAGGGCTCTCCTCATCGCTGAGAGTGATTTGACTAAGCCACTTGACTGACCGAGCGGCGACATGCCCAGGCACGATGGATCGTAATGGGTAGCCGTGATCTCTTGGTAAAGGCTTGCCGTTCATGCCGTACGCCAACAGCACGTCGCCTTGAGGATCCACGGCCTTTTTGATGGGGATAGACGACCCGTATGCCTCCATACCAGAGAAGTGCACATGCTGCGCCTCGCTGGTGCCGTTTCTCACGGTGGCGGCGTCGAAGCCGGCATCAGCGAGGATATCAGATAGCAAAACACCCTCCCACGTGGCATTGGAAATCGCGCCGGCTTCCCACTGCAAGCCGTTTGTTGCACGGCCGGACCCTCGGCTCATGTGGCTCCGACGGTTTCCAGAACACTGCAGCACAGCAGTGATTTTCTTCTCAGCGAACTTGGTCTTGAGATCGCGCAGGGTGTACTCCTTTGTGGTGCCGTCGGGCAGTTCCACCGTCAAGATGTGTGCCTCAGCCTCATCGGGAGTGAGCTTGGGCACCCACATGTGGTTGCGGACGTAGAACAGCTCATTGGGGGTGATGAATTGGGCGCTGAGAGCTTGCTCAGGGGTTTCGGCATTGCGAGGCTTCATTGTCCGGGTAATGAGATCAGGATGTCTGACCGGGTCGTCGGCAAAGGGGTCTTCGATCGTCTCCTGGGCGGGCTTGCCGTCGACTAGATCAGCCTGGTGAATATAGCCAATGAGGTACTGGTTGAGTATGTCATAGACATATTGGTTCTTGTGGATGGTGAATATGTTCCAGTAGGGCTCAATTGAGCCACCAGCAGCTCGTAGAATGACTTGGCCGCCAGGGTGAGCAGAAATCCACTCCGTGATGTCGTAGACCTTGTCGCCGTGGGTGACCCAGGGATGTGTTGACTTGGCATCGTGCTTGCGGATCTCGGACATGCGAAATCGGGGCATGTTCGGATCGCGGTCATCGCGAAGGACCGCTTGGCCATATCCTTCGTCTTCGGAATGCAGAGCTGCGGCGGCATCAAAGGCAGCCGGAGGTGTCCGATATAGGGCATAACCAAATGACAAGAGGCTAATGGTGGCCAGCAAAGCAGCAGCTCGTGGAGAGATTTGCTGGGGAGACGGCGTCTTGGCCTTGATTGCTTCGGGGCTGTGTCTGGCAGCTGTTGGCCTCGTGAAAGCTCGGCTCTGGATCTTGGGCGAAGTCTGTCGTAATAGAGAAATCCGGGGCCGAGCTGCTTGATGTAGCTGCCGCGCAAAACATGTTGACGTTCTAGAAGCCATGACAACGTAGAGTAGAAAAGAGGAGATTGGTGGATTGGCTATGTTGATCCCACGGCACACAGATTCATCACAGCGAGGTGCCGGTGTTGATGTGAAGCCGAAGAGCAGGAACAGGTAGATGGACGAGAAAACGGGGGAGGCGGAAGAGGAAACGTGAGTAGCAGTGACAATGGCTTTAAAGCAGCTGCTACTGCTGACGCTGCCGGCGTAGATGTCGATGCGATGACAGGAGGCTGCTTACTCGGACAAGATTCGGACGAGGTCAGCGAGCAGTGGCGGGTCGTCGGCACAGCGAAGGGAGCTTGAGGAAAGCTGATGATGGAGTTCGACGGCCCGGACCGAGAGAGACGTGGCGGTGATGATGCGATGATTTGCAGATTGGAGGGAGGGAGCAGCGCAAATACGAGGGAGAGGAGGTGGAGGAATAAATAATGGGAGTACCTTGGGAACGCAAAGGAGGAGAAGATGAGACCCAAAGCTCGGGTACTTTTGGTGTTACCTGTCGTGTTACCTGTCGGGTCGTCGGATAAGGGGATAGTCGCAGCGTTATCTGCCCAAAACACAACATGGTGCTACTAGCAAGCAGGTACATACCTTGTAGCACATACAAGTAGTATTAGAGGGCCGACGATTACCGCGACACAGATGATGGATCCCGGGCTTCGTTGTGTCGTCACCTGAGCACCTGTTTAAAAGGCTTCGAGCAATCAATCTTGTCGGATCGCCACTCGTAGTACGTAACAGGCCCTGCAACGCACCCAGGAACGGACCCTCGGCCTTCACTTCCAGGCGCCTTGGGGGCCGCTGATTGGGTGTCTTCAGCGCCCCTCCTTAGTGGCTGCATAGCGCTATTCTTGACCGCTGGACCCTCCCTTCTAGTGCGTGCTGTTCCCACTCAGCCCTGCTTTTGCCGACTGGGGGGGGCCTTATCTTGGATTTTGAGCATTTGATCCTTTCGACTGATTAAATGGTATCGCCAGTAAGATTTGGGTCATGTTGAAGTATCAGTGTATAATACAGGGTAAGCCAATTGACCGACTATCTGCTACAGCTTGTTATGACACTCCAATCCTCAATCCTGAACATATACTACCTACTACTTATCCAATATTGACTGATACGCCTATCCATTAAACCTGCCGAGATGCATCTGGACTTACATTAGCCTCATCTCAAAACCCTCCACTCCCGGCTGTCGGAGCCCAGCGTCGGGTCGTCGGTCGCCGGGCCATCGTCTCGTCACACACAAAACATTTCACTTCGCCGACGAGCCGACAGCGACGTTCCGTTGCAATTTATTTTGATGTTAACTTTGAACATGGGTGGATTACATGTGATGATGCAGGTGTGTGTCGCAGCCAAGGGTACCTATAGAGAGGAGAGCAGAAGAGCCACAACTTCAATCAAAACACACACGGTCATCGGGACAGTCATCGATTCCTAAACTACCTATTTCCATTCAAAAGAGCGTATCTGAACAGTTTTGTGCGCATAACTCCTCATATCCCATCCATCATACCCAAATTCCAAACAAAAGAAAACAAATAAAAAATCACACCCACTTTAATAACCATATCATATCCTTTCCATCCACCCACAACAAGCTCCGATATTTGGCCCAAAGCCCCCCGGCGGCTGTCGGTAAACCGCTAATTTTCCTTCCAATCTCTCTCCAATCCATCATCCAAAAACCCGACGGCGACTTGACCAATGTCCGGCGCCAGTTATGCTCCCCGGCTAGTTAATGCTCTCCGTAAACGGTCCTTATGGTTCTTCAAACGGCGTATCGACGAGATCAACGTCCGACGTGGGCCCACGAGCAGGGATGTCGTATTTTCTCTTATTGCCTATCCGCTACTGCAGCGTTGGCAGGCATGGTAATAACCGCGATGCCTTCTGCGGTGCCCTCGTTCTCAGGGCGTCGCGCATTGTTACGCCTCCTCCTAAACAACAAATTGCCGAGCCAGGTGAAGTCGGATTTCCGGATCAGGTCGACAATGATGATCAGGATGATGGAGGAGAAGAATATGGTTACGAAGCATATTATAAAGATAATGGTCTCCGAATCGAGAGGGTTGCTTTCCGAATGCGCAAGAGAAGGGGGGTGTTTGGCTTCTACAGCGCCACGAACCGCGTGGGCCAAAGTTGTGACATTGTTCGGGCCAGTAAGGCTTGGTTGAGGGAAAGGTGCCATTTTGTGAGGTTGAAACGACAACTTGATATGAATGGCTTGCGTGTGTACGGTAGAGAGCTTGCTCGCGGTTTCAGTTGTTGTTGTTCTCGGCAGTTGTGTTGGGGGGAGAAGGAGAAGATATTGAGACTGGGCAGGACGGGGGGCCTTTACATATCATATATGGGCAGAGACTCAAGCTGGCGCATCAACGGAAAGTTACGAACAGTCATTCAAAAGCCACAGAAACTCATAAGACATGATATATGCCTACTAAAATGTGTATAGGTAAAGTATGAGGTGGTGTCTACATGTACTTAGGCAGTACAAGGACACGACGCAATAACCCATTCAAATACGACTCCTAGGCAGTTTCGGTGCAGATAGGACAAGTAGCTAACCAGTCTTATGAACCAGAAGAAATGAGTCTTGTATACGCCCGATAACAAAAAAAAAAAAAGATACTCTCAGTCCACTCCAGTCGACGGAATGTCAAAGTCTATTACTGAGTTCCATTATGGGCAATGAAAACTCAAAAGAAATGCGCCCAGAGAGTCAAACGCATGAGATTACCAATTCATGGCTCATAGAGGTGAACTCTATGCCTCGAAAAACATTGCTCTAGCAACCCGTATCCTAAATGGCGTCAATGATACACTGTATATGGGGAGCCACCTCTTCAACTATCTTGGGTTCTGGGAGAAGGTGGAGATAATCACAGAATTTACACGAATGCCGTAATGATAGTGGATACTTGACGAATTGTTAGGTGCTAATGAAGGACTGTTTCCTTCTCTCACTGCCACCACTTGAACCTTGTCAAGGATGTAAGTTGAATCCCTCGCTGTTGTGGCCAGCCACGAGAACTATCAAATGCGCTTTCTGACCAAAACAAATGCAGATCGGCGCATTTTCATAATGTTCAACACGTATCATGTTCAACACGTATCATGTTCAACACGTATCCTAAAGATAGTTTGAGGCGTCTCGATAATCAGATTCGTTGTGTATAATATGGTTTGGACCCAATGAAACATTATCAATTCGGATGAATCCAGAAGATGTATTCATGTGAAACGGGGATATATAATTCAACACATTTCCCCCTTCTCTCTCTTCTTCGTCTTTGTCACCTTTCTCTCAATATCTCAAAGTCGTCACAATACCTTCAACACTGCTGCCTGGGTTTGCACCCGAATAGCTTCAACATAGTTGCATATATTTGCGTGCAAAAGTCTTCAACATAGTTGCTCCCATTCAAAAGTATACCCGTCGCGCCACAATGTTGGTAAAATCAGATAAACATGTCCCGTCATTCAACAGCCTCCCCGTCGAACTCCTTTTGCAAATATGGGAGATGGCTATCGAGCTTCCAAGGGTGTTGCGAATCATGCTCACCACTGACTCCGAGTTAGCAAGACCTACTCCAGCTCTCATCCGGTCAACGGCCACGGCTCGCGCTGCTGTCTCTGTTGACCGGTTACATCGATACATCATCTTACGCTATCTCTTGCCAAATACGATTCCCGTGGTCAACAAGGCCTGGATTCCGTCCGGCGTCGCGAGATACAACGCTGCGAAAGAAATCATCTACATTAATTGGCCACTAATTGCTACATTTGCTTCTGATCTCATGGTGAAGCGGTCGGTCGAGAATTGGAGGATACGTGATCGGAGCGAAGACGAGACGGCACAGAGAATCGGCAGCACTTGGATGCAACACGTTCAAAAGCTGGCCCTAGACCCAGAAATCGAACTGCGAAGTGTAATAAGAAGAATGCTTAGGGCGCAATGCATAATCCATTGTGAGTTCCATGTGTTGAAGCAATTGTACATCGTCTGCCCGACCTTTACGGTGCCGGATTTAGACGCTCGGGACGCGGAAGAGGAGAGTCGACCAGGGTCCACGCCACAAGACACACCTCAGAACACGCCTCAAGAGATGACGCTGGAAATGTTTATGGAGATGAAAAGCAAACCTCCAGCTCCCGAGCAAAACGACGACGCATGGCTACACAATGGCACTTACACTGGGGTATACAAGGGCGACACATATCTCTCGGGCAAGCAGGCGCTTGAGTGGTTGGGACCGAAGCGAAGCAAGACGGCCTTGATCCGGAAAGTTGAAAACTATAACAGGCAGAAGGCGGAGATGTCAAAGAAGAGGGGGTCAGCGGCTGACCCCGCGGCTGAGATGAAGGCGGGTATTTTGCTGCATATCATTGGGGATGGCGGAGTGTTCTCTTAGAGTGTTGAAGAAGACTGAGATGACGGCGGAGTTGCAAACAACTGGAGATTTCACCCACTATCGCCGGATCTTTCCGGTATATGGTGTTGGAAAATGACTGGATCACATTCGTTATGTACCTGCTTACCATGTAGGTAATTTAGGATACGAGTACGTGGGAAACCACACACACTCTTTGGATACAGGTATGTTAGGTACTTAGGTAGTTCAGTAGTAGGTAATTCATCTTTTACCTTGGTTAATTGCTTGCGTTTCGGGCATGAAACCATGCACAATGCCAACTTGTAGTCGCGTCTTGTTCCGTAACAATTGGCTGCATCAGGGGATAAGTAAGAGTAACTCCTGACGAGTCCAAGCTGTGGATTTTGCACGTGCAAATGAAACAATAACAATGAGAAAAAGAGCTTCAATACCAGAGGGCAAATGAAATGAGTACTTGACTGGCACGCGAGGTACATGCTCCATTCGGCGGGCAATGTACCCCTAGTACCCCAGTACTCGACCAGGCAGTACACGCGACTCCTGTGCTGGCCCAATCACATGGGCGTCTCTTACCAACCATGTCGCCACCAGCAACGGGCGAAACTCTGGGGGGAAGCAAGCTTGACAAGGTTGCAAGGCAATTCAGGCAAATGGCCTGGACTCGGCCTAGTGTCGATGCTCAGCCAATGTGAACGTGCTGATGGGATGACGAGTGGCGCGACGGGTTGGGATGCCTGAGGGGTAAATACGGCCCTGCAGCTCCCAGCTTGCTGCGCCTGAATTGTGCGTTACAGTAGCAGCAGCAGCAGCAGCAGCGATCTCGGTTGTGCACATCTTGTGGCTTTTCATCAGAGGGCGCACAGCTTGGGAAACGCGTCGCTTCTACTCCGTACTGTAGCATTAGGGGTGCTTCAATGCGAATATTTGTTGTCTCGGCGACGGTGAGCGCAGAGCGACTCCGCTCTCGGTGAGCACCAGCGATACGAGCAAAAGTATCCGTATTACTAGTACGAGTACGCGTTAGTCAAGAGGGCCTGACAGGTGGCCGACGACAAGAGAGAGAGAGGGAGGGAGACGGAGCTGGGCTAACGAGAGAAAAGGGGAGGCAGCGAGAGTCTCTTGGTGGAGACGAAGCAGCAAAAAAGGATCGTGTGCCGTCTGGGGAAGTGGGCCGAGAGCAGTGGGCCAGAATCCATCGAATCCATAGAGCCAAAGTAGCGCCTGTCTGGGGGCGGGGCCTTGAGATTTCGATTTGATACCAAGTGCCGGAATGGACGGGAAAGGGAAGAGTTACTGCGGAGGGAGAAGATGGCGATGTTGATGGGAAAAGTGAGGCTCGAGATGTGCCCGTATCGAGTAATGCGCCAGGCACGGCGGATGGTTCGTTGTTCTGATGCGCCGTGCCGTGACCCTGGCTGAGGACGGGACGAGACGAGAGGTGGTGTGGTGCGATTGCTGCATGCGGTTTCTAGGGTGGCTTGCCGCTGTAACTCTGGCCTTGATTTGTGAGATGGACGAGAGATGGACGAGAGATGGGGGGAGCTGATGATGAATGGCGTCGTCGGAAGTATTGCTACTTGACACTGTACCGCAGTAACAGCGAGTCTGTACCGCCTTCATACACTTTGCCGCTGCCAGAGACATGCACTCCCGCAAACACTCAGCTAACACTACACAGTCTCGCCTCCAGCAACCCCCCCAAACCAGAGCCCTTCTCCGCACCAAACTTAACGCAATCCAACGCAGCCCAGCAAGCGAAACAGGTACTTCCCGCCGCTTGCAGATACTTTGCCTCCTATTACCAGCCATGTCACTGCAGGTCTACCCCGCCCGCCGTCGACTTGGCCTGCACGTACTCGGGCGTATTTGCCTTGCCTCTGACCGGGTGAGGGTGGTGTCATCCCTGGCTGGGGGGAAGCGATTGGGCATTGAGCCAGGCAGGCCGGGGGGGTATATAAGGGAAGCATGGGGAGGGGGTTGCGAGTGTGTGTCTATCCTTTTACATCATCCATTTCCATCAACGCAACTGCAACTCTGTGAAGCAAAACACCAGCAGGTATGTCTCTTTTCCTGTCTTTGCTGCTCTTCTCTTGCAGTCTCTTTTTATCGCAGACAAACTGACCTGACATCAACAGTCAAAATAGCCTGTCTGGTTTCTCATCAATCAGCCAACAACTCTCCCTCATCAACACCAAAACTCAACACCACAACCATCATCATGGCTCCCCGCGTCCCCCGTCTCCCCAAGGCCAAGCCCACCGAAATCTTCTGCATCAGCGCCGCCGGCGTCGGCGTCCTGGCCCCCCTATACATGGCCATGCCCGGCGCCGAAGAGAGGCTGGCGCGCCAGACCACCAAGTGGGCGCCTCGCTGGGAGCGCAACATCAACTACTTCACCTCCCCCGCAGAGCGCACTGCCCAGCGCATCGAGCCCCCCATTGCAAAGGCCATCAAGAAGCTCGACGAGAAGCTGCCGCTCGAGAAGATGGCCAAGGGCATGGAGAGGGGCATCCAGAAGTCCATTGCGCGCTTCCAGCCACCCAAGAGCGAGCCATGATCCTACTGTCTGACTCGACTTGACACGTTTCATCATGTCTTCTATGCCTATATTTTGTTTCCCTTTGTTACGCGTCGTCGTCATTGTTGCTTCCAAGTATATTGGATCAACGGGTGGTTTTGGGATGGCTGGAGCCTGTGATATCACGGGCTCGCCGTGGCGTTGGTGTGCTCATTTTGTAACGTTGCCTTAAATAAGGCACCTGTATGCACTTCGTCTTTATTAGCGAAGCCAGGTCAATAAATATAAACACTACTGAAACACTCACTTGCCCCTGTCTAATAACTTACTGTCCATTTGACATCAATATGTGATGGCTCTTTCGTCCTTCACCCCTACCCACGTCGAGATGACCGTCCAAATATCTCATATTCATACGCCGCATCTATTTTAGTCTACTGTCTTGCTGTAAGCTTGCAAACTGGTCAAAGGGGGAGTACATGTATGTTGAAAGTATCGCGACTGACGAAAAAGACCGCACCCTCTGATGGCTTACTGCTGGATTCACCACCCACAACCCAACTGGCTGGATATGTTTCTCAAAGACGACATACAGTTCTTGCTTTTTCAGCATAATCCATTTGATGATATTATCTCATCATTACCATTCACTTTGCTAATAAGTTGGATCTATTATGTTTATGCTGCTTTTCCTAAAAGCCACCCAAAGTGGAACCGATGCCGAGGCTGCGGAGTAGAGAGTGGTCCAACTGATCCACCAAGGCCTGGCACATCCTTATCAAATGCCGTTCTATATGGCATCGGCTTGTCTTACATATACCGATTCTGCATGCAGGAACGTGTGTCATCAGATCCAAGATCTGTCCTCCGGATGAATTATAGGTACGATTTATGGTTAGCCTCAGAATAGGTACCGGCCTTGGCGATGTGGTTGCAAGACTCTTACTGTCTGAAGCTGCAAATTCAAGACAAGAAGCATCCAGGTAGATTATTTTTATGTATCGTGAAATGTGTTAGCTTTACACAAACTAAAGGGAGAGCACCAACTAATGTTGACACGTACAATATGGCCATGTCCTATGCGGCTCCTGTAGGTTGACATAGTGGGTTCCCCCTGGATCTCCGTGAACAAGGTGATATGATACCAGTGCTCTCCTTCATGTAGATGCATGCCTGTTTATAGCAGCGGCCAACTGCCCATTAAGTCCGTTGTTCAGCTCCGATCCCTGTTTATCATGCATCCTCCGGCAATTACATCCTCTGCTTGTCCGGGCTATTATTTTGTTCCGCCCCTGGTAAGTCGTAAGCCAGCATCTGCAATGGCACCCTGCTGCCGATTCTTTCAAGCCGAGCCGCTCTGACGTACTCCATGTGACTTCCCATAGGCATTGGAGAGCAAGGTGCACGAGCTAGATGAGGAGGACTGGAGCAAAGTCCTCGCCATCAACCTGAGCGGCGTCCGCTTCTGCCAGATGGAGGAGCTCCGCATCATGAAGGACTAAGAGTAAGTGAAGCCCGGATGCAAGGTGCATCTTATTGCTGCTCGTTTTGCTGATTTTGTGGCAGAGATCTCGGCCCATGACGAGGATGTGGCGCCATCATCAACGTTTCGTCGTTGTATGGTCTCATCAAGCCACTGTATCCCATCTACTACACGGCTTATGCCGCGCCTTACCAGACCACCCCCAAGGCTACCCGTCCGCTGACATCAGACAAAACGCAGGGGTCATCGGCATCACCAGTGCCGAATGCAACGTCTTCCTAGCATCGTCTCTAAGCAGCTTTGTCAATGGCTTTGGGCTGGCGGTGAACGGTGGGTATAGCTGCGCGTGAGCGTGATATATATGGCTGGTTGATGTTTGCAAAGCACATGTACATGCCTAGGACATGCCAAGTTGATTTAATAAAAGCTTGGTTACCATTTTTTTTCTCTTTCTATTTTTAATAGATGCTCACCCATCTTACCAAAATAACATTCAAAGTTCACATACTATATTATGCTTCCAGGTAGTAGTAATAATACATTACCTATTCCAGACGGAATTTCCTATTGAGGCCAACGCACGCTGACGCTGATATCAAGATAAAGGTAATCCTTCTTCAACAGCTGCATAAAGCATCACTTCCTTAGCTTCATCCTCTCCAATCATCTCCCCAACAACTCGGATTGGCTAAACTCAACTCTCCATGACTCTCGCATTCTCTCTCGCTTCCCCTCTTCTCTCCGAAGCTGCCCCACGCTTCCCCCCCCCCCCCCCCCCCCCCCTTGCTCGGAATCACGTCTTGCGGGCCGGATAGCCACTCGCCGAAGGAGACAGAAGAGACAAGAGATGAATGCGAAAAGGGAAATTCCAGGGTGGTATAACGGAGATTGTTTGTCCTCAGTTACATTTGTCCTTTCCTTTTTCCTTTTTCCTTTTCCTTTTCTTTTTTTTCTCTTTCACCAGCTATTTTTCTTCCTTCACTATTTTAGTCTACTGTACCCCAGCTTTTTCGGGTTCCCACTTTAGCCAAGCATTGCAAATCGTGCAGCCAATTGCTGAATTGGAGAAACCTAGATCTGACAGGGGGCGGTATCTCGCCTCTGTAAAAAAGACCGAGTCATATTGAAAGGGAAGCCTCGGTTCCTTTTCGTCTTTCCCGCGGGTTGGCCCCCTCTTGTTGAGGGGGCAGTTGGCGATCGCCTCAACGCTTTAAGAGGGTTGCCGCGCGAGAGACCCTTTTTATCCAATTGAGCCAAAAAGATAGTCCCACCGGTGAAATCCTTGTTTCTGGTTTTTTCTGTAATCGTTGTATGAAACTTGTATTTCGACTCAACCGCGCCGTTGCCCGAACTCTTTCCCCTTCTCTAAAACACCATCATCTTGTTCATAACCGCTCTCACGATGCCGTTCAAGTCTTTATACCAGCACCTCGACATTCCCCAAACCAATCTCCTGACCTATCTTTTCGGCAATGGATCCACGCTCTCCCACGAGCCCATCTGGATTAATGCCAAGGATCCCAGCAAGAGCCTCTCACCGCATCAACTGGTGCAATGGGTGCGGCGCCTGGGCCTTGGGTTGCAGCGGATGGGCTTGAAGAGAGGAGATGTGGTCATGATGTGCACGCCGAACCACATCTATGTACCTGTTGCGTATCTGGGCGTCACGGGTTCGGGCTACATCTTTAGCGGTGCCAATCCCATCTTTACGGTTCAAGGTATGTTGGCTCACGTCTCATATAAGCCAGTTTCATAGCTAATTTCATCCCTTCTTCGCGGCATCACAGAGTTGAGCTATCAGCTCTCAAACACCGAGGCAAAGGCCGTCCTCGCCCATCCCAGCGTCCTGGCCAAGGTCATCGAGGCCGCCGCAAAAGTCGGCATCCCCAAGAACCGCATCTTCCAGTTCTCCGACGAGGAAAACCCCGTCCAGGATGGCATCGCCGACTGGAGATCCATGATCGCCTCCCACCAGGACGCCTTCAAATGGGAGTGGCCCGAGTTCAGCCCGGCCGAGGCTCGATCCACCATTGCCACCATCAACTTCAGCTCCGGCACAACAGGTCTCCCAAAGGGCGTCTGCATCCCTCACTCGAGCATCATTGCAAACGTCGAGCAGGCCAACCACCTCCGCCATGTCCACCGCCGGCCCGAGTGGGATTCTTTGCCGCGCAACCGCTGGGTCGGCGTGCTGCCGCTGTATCACGCCTACGGCCAGATCTCTGCCTGTCTGCTGGCCGGCAAGACGCTGACGCCCGTCTACATCATGTCCAAGTTCCAGTACGAAGACTTCCTGGCCACCATCCAGCGCTACAAGATCACCCAGCTGCAGATTGCGCCGCCCATCGTCGTCATGCTTGTGAAGCGGCCCGAAACCGCGCGCTACGACCTCTCGAGCGTGCGCCACGTCGGCTGCGGTGCGGCGCCTCTGTCAAGAGAGCTGCAGCTACAGTGCCAGGAAAAGTTCGGCTTCCGCATCACGCAGGGCTACGGCATGACGGAGCTGACTTGCAGCGGCATCAGCTTTGCCGAGGGCCTGGAGGGCGACAACTTAGGGGTTGTGGGCAGGCTGCTTCCGAACTGCGAGTGCAAGCTGCTCGACGACGACGGCAAGGAGGTTGGCGTTGGATCGCCTGGCGAGCTCTTCATCAGAGGACCTAACGTGTGCTTGGGATACTGGAGGAACGAGGAGGCAACGCGAGAGTCTCTGGACAAGGACGGCTGGTTCAGGACTGGCGATATCGCCGTTTGCAACAGTGAGGGCATGTTTTCCATTGTGGATCGAAAGAAGGTCAGCTGCATGATTCCGAGACTTTCAAGTTTTGTTTGCTAACGGCGTGATCTATAGGAGCTCATCAAAGTCAACGGCTTGCAAGTCGCCCCAGCTGAACTGGAAGCAGTGCTTCTAGAAAACGAGCACGTCGCCGACGCAGCAGTCGTAGAAATCAAATTGTAGGTTACTACGAAGAAGAAGAAGCAATCTATGGTACATTTGCTAACCAAACCCTGCAGCGGCGAAGACGAATGGCCACGCGCATACGTCGTGATCCAGCCATCCTCAAAGGGCAAAGTAACGCCCAAGGACATTCAGGAATGGACTGCTACGCGCGTCGCCAAGCACAAGTGGCTGGTTGGCGGTGTCACCTTCATCGACGAGGTGCCCAAGCTGGCCAGCGGCAAGATTATCCGCAAGCAGATGAAGCAGTGGTCCAAGAGAGATGCCGAGGAGATGCTGAAGAATGGGACGGCACCTGTGCGAGCAAAGCTATAGGTTTTTCGTATATTTACATGATATCTTCTCTTGGATATGTAGGGGTGTCTATAGAATTCAATGCTCCTGAGGTCCGCTATTCTAAATACCCAGAACATGTACATAGGAATATATACAACGCCTTGTATATGCAGAAGTAGTCTGTCCAGCCCAACTCGCATCTTTTGCTCATTAATCAGCAAACATAAATATGCATTGGGGGTATCCTTTTTCTCAAATGGGAGATTGCCAGTCCCGGTTGGACGTCAAGGATGGACAAATGAGGCTCCAATTTCAAGCCAGTCGAAAGCTTCATCAAAATGCAGAGCCATATTGATGACAGTCTCATGAGGCTGCTCAACGCTTGTACAAATGCGTTGAAAGGCATAATATGCCATAGTCTCCTGTTCCAATACACCCTTCATCTAAAATCCATGACAAAAAGCCCTCACTTCTTCTCCCCCCGATACTTTTCCAAACTCTTCGGCTCATTCCTCAACACAACTAACTCTCCCGTCAGCAAAACAACGAACACGCATCATATCATTTTGCTGGGGGAAGGACTCACGCCTGTCAAACAGATAGTAACTCGTCACAAGGAATATCGGCAGCGCAATAATCGTCGACACCCACTTCCGCGCCGCCACGTCGTACCGCTTCTTGTACTCCCGCTTCTCCTCCTTCTTCTTCGTCTCCTCCGCAAGTCTATCCTGCTGTTGCGCAAGGCGTCGCATGCGCGCCGCCCGCAGCGCCGAGTCCCGCGCCTCGGCCGTTCGTAGAGCTCCTGCTTCTGCCGCCTTTGTTGCCGCCGCTGCTGATGTCGTCGTCGTCGTCGTCGAAGATATCCGAGGAGAAGACGTCGATCCAGGTGCAGGCTTATTCACCGCCCTCGAGGCATTCGCATTCGCTACAGTCTTGCCCGTCGCATAATTTCTTGTCGACGCCTGCGCCGAGGCAAAGCTACGCTCGCAGCCATTGGCCGTCTGCCGGCAGAGCTTCTCGCAGACTTGTCTCTCATAGCGCTCCAGCAACCGGCTGCGTACTCGTGAACGAAACATTGTGTGTTTTCTTTGCGATGCTGGACTGTAACTTTGTGGTTGGTAAGGACCTTGATAGTAGCTACTACAAACTTGGCGTCCCAACTTTTTGGATGCCAGGCTTTTCGGCCGAAACTCGGGCCAGGAACTCCGGAATCCACCCCGAAGCAGCAAATCGCAACGACAAGGCACAACAACCTCACGGCAAAAGTCACAACGCGAATTGGATTCCATCTTTATTCAAGAGATTTTCATTAGTAATACGTAAAAACTGTCCCTATTTACTTTTTTTCTTTTCTTTATAGCCACGCGCTTCCTAATATCCTTTGAAAATTGTCTGCTTGAACTAGCCAGGTGCCAAGTTCTCTCTGCCTGCTCTTCACCGGTATTACTGCAGTTTTGATGCCAAAAAACGCCATATCCACCATGTCAAAAATATAATATAGCTCAATTGTCCTGCGAGGACGCTCAATCATCATCCGTGTACCTCGGACCGCTGGCCGCAGGCGTCTCAGGGGCTCCGTAGGCTGAAGGCGTCGGTGCTGAGTAGCCACCGTATCCGGACGCAGACGGCGTCGGCGCACCGGCTGCTGGTGTCGGAGCCGAGTCTGTTCCTCCCCAGCCGCCTTGCCAACCGCCAGCAGGCGTCGGTGCAACTCCCGGGGTGGGAGCGTTGTAGGCGCCAGGAGTGGGCGCGCTCAGAGCACCAGGAGTAGGAGCTGACATGGCGCCTCCAGGAGTTGGAGCATCGTAGGCGGAAGAAGAGGTGGCCCCGGGGGTGTAACCCCAAGACTCGTTGCCGCTGGCTCCAGGCGTCGGTGCCGAGACTCCCCATGCGGGTGTCTTTGAGCCGGAAGACCAGCTCTCGCCTCCTCCACCACCACCAGCGTAAGCCGGAGTACGTGAGCCAGCACCGAATGCGTCGCCCGGCGCCGGTGTCCTGGCACCAGCTTGCCAGGCCGGCGTGCGTGAGCCGGACCCGTAGGCAGTTCGACTTCCATCATACGGATTGACAGTCCTCGATCCATCTGCCCAAGCCGGTGTTCGAGATCCAGAGTAATCTTGGCCTTTCCATGCTGGTGTGCGACCACCTGTTGCAGGAGCTAGGTCTTTGTTAGTGAAAGGAGAGAGAAAAAAGCAATACGAGGAGCAACTTACTTCGTGATCCCCAAGCGGGAACGCGATCTGCGCCGCCGGAGCCCATGGGTGTGCGAGATCCTCCTTGCCAGCCAGGGACTCTATCCCCAGAGCCACGTCCTGCTCCGCCCGGTGCGGGTCGTCCTCTACCGTTGATGTCAATGTTCATGCCAGTGTTCTTGTCCTTGAAGTTGAGGCAGTCTCGAGGAACAGTAATGGTCTTGTTTTTGGTGTGGAGCTCAACGCGAGCGTGTGTGTCTGTCGTGTCCTTAACGATACCCAGAAGACCTTTGTAGGCTCCCTTCTTGATGATGACGGTTTGGTTGATGGCACGGTCTCGGCCAAACGCCTTAGCAAGGGGCTTGTTCTCGGTGCCGTTCTTGTGAATCTTCAAGGCTGGGTTCATGGTGGTCAGGTCAGGCCCCGAAGCTGCCGCGTTAACACGACCTCCCTTAGCAGCGATCGTGTTAACCATGCTCGCCTTGGTGACGAAGACTCCTGCATTCTCATTGGTGGCATGGGTGTGCAGGAAGACATAGGAGCGGTGGATGTGGATGATCTTGCCCTGACGTTGCTGTCCAGAAAACTCCTTCACCACATCGTCCAGGCGGATTTCAGAGCCCTCCCGGTCGGCAGCAACTGCTTGTTTTCTCTTGGGCAGCTTGTTGGGAATCTGAGATGGCATGACCTGACGAGTGTCTCCAAACTGATCCAGCACAACCAATGATTCGCGGTCCACCTTGACAATGCAGCCAACTGTAGTGGGATCCAGCTGCACAAGGTCATGGAGTTCATACTGGCCGAGTGATCCCTGTCCACCAATGTCGCTGGCCTCTCGCAAATCCTTGCTAAACACCGTCACCTCATTGTTCGTATGGTCCGTCAAGAGCGTGACGCGGTCCTCGGAAATCTTGACCACTGTGCCAACTTCGTCTTGGAACTTGCTGCCGCCAATCACCTTGACATGGTCACCAATCTTGAAGCGCTTGCGGAGGCCCTTGATGGGCACCTCAATGCTCTGGCCCTTCAGGTCACCCTCTGTGACAAACATGGTAACAATGTCACCCTGCACATTGGTAGCTTTGCCAACAACACCTCTCTGCTCTCCAGCGTACACCTCGATGATATCGCCAGGCAGGTACGTGACGAGCGTGTTGCTATCCTTCAAACTGGCGGCCAAAGCCTTCAAGTCAAGATTCTCCGTGCCATCATCAGCGCCGCTGGCAAATCGCGTCACCTCTTCCAGGGACGGGTTGACATCCGTAACCACGAGCTGCTGAATCTTGACATCCTTGACTTGGAACCCGTTTTCAAACTCGTCGCCCATATACGTCCAAGTGTTGGTTGTCGGGTTGCCCTGAATGTGACGAGGGTGACGCTTTCGCGCCTCAATCTCGCTGAAGAGTCTCTGTGGTGGTCGTGGGCCCATTCCCGGGGGCCGCTTACGCTTTCCATCTGCAGTCACCGCAGACAGGGCTTCATCGCGCATGCCATAATCGAGTCTTGGGATAAATCGGACTCTGGCCTCCAAGCCATTCTCGGTCACATCGATGACTTGAGCCAAGTCTCCGCTATGCTTGGGCGGCCTGCGCAGTCGCACCCATGCGCCGGGCTCCAGTGTCGGTGTCTTGGTGACGCGCAGAAGCTCGGGCATGTCTTTGATGTCCACTAGGGTCAATTTGGAGTGGGGATAGACGTTGAGGATGCCATCGAGAGCCACCAGAATATCAGTTTGTCTTTGGGTCTCGACGTAGACGAAGCTCTTCATGACGGAGTCTGGGCCACCGCGCTCAAAGGCAGCCGTAATGGCCAGCTCGTCCTTTGTGCCTCTTCGCTCCTCTACTCGCTTCATGATGGACATGACGACTTCACGCTCCTTTCCTTCTTTACATCGCACGGCCCAGATGCTAGGATCATCCACACTAGGGAGAAGAAGGCGTTTGGGCACGACAGCGGAGTCGCCAAAGCTCTTGCCAGGTCGTCGGTTGCCGTATCGCTGCCGCAGAATCTCGGCCTGCTTCTCGGCGTCCATGCTGGACTCCATCTCGCGGCGGCGGTCAAGCTCACGGTGCCTTCGGTCATCATCAAGTCGCGAGCTCTCGGCCAGATCGTCAGGGTGAGCGTTGTCGATGATGAAGTCCTCTATCTCTTCACCATCCTTTTCCTCGTCTTCACCCTCGTCTTCGTCGTCGACTTCGGCTTCGATATCGATGAAGGCGTTTCGCCTGTCGCGCTGGCGCTTTCTGCGATGGCCCTTTTATCATCTGTGTCAGCATCTCCAATTTTCGGACACTCATCGGCAATCGCCATATCCAGGAGCAATGCTATACCTGTTGAACATCTTCGTCATCTTCGTCCTCGTCTTCTTCTTCCTCGTCATCGTCGTCGTGGCGACGGCGAGTGTCCTCTTCTTCCTCCTCGTCTTCCTCCTCATCCTCATCCTCGTCATGGGCTCTTCGCGATCTGGACGGGACGGGTTCGTCATCGTCATCAGCTTCCTGGCGGTGATTGGGGCTGCTGTCTCGCGCCCGGCTTGAGCCGTCATTGCCTTCGTCTTCAGACAAGTCGGCCGGCGCAGGGTTGAAGTCTTCTTCATCCTCGGAATCATCGAATCGGTCCCTGTCGTTGGACGCCATCTTGAATTATGGTTTGCGGTACGTGCTGCTAACCATGCGACTGTAGCTGGAGCTTGGAAAATAAAAAGGGAAGAAAACACAGTTGGGGAGGTTCGCAAGAAGGATTCACCTTCAAGAGAGAAAGGCGAGTCCGACGCGGGTAATTGTCGGGCCAAACGCGCTTTGGCTGAATTCCAAGTTCCAATAGTGAGGCGGCGCCGCCGAGTTGCGCTACTGAGTACAGTACGTACAGTGCTTGGGATGGAGTTCAAGCTTTTGAGGCGCCGTTTAAGGTGAACTGTAGAAGCTGTAGAGCGCAAGGAAAAAACGAGCATCATTGTGCAGTAGAATGCAGCTGGCCGTCAATTGGCCATGGTACAGCACCTAAACGAGATATTCTATGCCTCTAGGCATGCAGCTGCGTGTGCTCATCGCTGTGCTGTGCTGTGTAGTTGTCCACCTCGGGTATAATACTGCGGCTTATTCATGACGACTCAATACTGCACTTAACCTGTAATCCAGCTCATATCTCATTTCGCTGCAACACGGAACCACCGGCCATCTCGACTTCACTCATAAACTCAAGCCAGCACCTTGATAAAGCACTTAATGAATGACGGCAATGAACAATTCAAATGATGCATCTGCTCGCTGTATTCATAAAGCCTAGCCTTCTAGAATCTCGCGGCTTCAAATTGCGATAAACTAAATGCGTAAAGAAACTCCCATATGACACGGCACACCTCGCACTCCCTTTTCCATCCTTTCACCAAATCCATTTGACCGAACTTCCAATCGTTACTCGTCACGTCTCCATACTCCAAAGTTGCTGGTCTCATGCAGCCAGGGCCGTCGGTACAAAACTCCAATAAATCCTTTCAAGTAGGTGATACATTTACCCCCTCCACCGAACAACCGAGTCTATATCAATCGGAATGGGTGTTTTTTTAATGAGATGAGGCGTCATCCGTGGTCGGCTTTGATGGGCCTCAACTCGTCTTGGATATCCATCAAAAGGTCCTCACATCACTTTCACGCCCCAGACGCCCCGACCTGCGCCGACACCGAGCCACTCGCCGCCGTCGGTGCCTTGCAAATGTGGTGCCCAGCCCAGATTTCCAATCTCATAGTCGCAATCCCAGCATGCGACGGGGCTTCTTTGATTCTCTGGCTGCTGACTGCCATTGATGGATGAAGAGTTCATGAGGTCCCACAGTAGCACTTGGCAGTCGTCTGCTCCCGATGCCAACGTCCCCCTCCGTGTGGGAGACCACTCAATGCAATTGATGGGACCAGAGTGTCCCCGAAGCTCGAGCAGGGCTTGGCCGGGCTGGCGAACGTCCAGGATCCGTATCACGTTTGAGTCTTGGGCAAATGTTGCTAAAAGATGGGTATCATGAGGAGATGTAGCTAGTCGAAGGAGCGGGGGAGGATTCGAAAGAGTCTGCTGGGCAGTTGTAGGGCTCATTCGCTCTCCGGATTCTATTGTTGAAGCAGTCAGCAACCAAACTTGTTTCTCTGCAGGCTGTCTGCATGGGGGCTAGGGGGGCGTGAAGGGATGACAAACCTCGATCTTCCTTTCCTGTAGGCTCGTAGATAATGGTGGAGTGCTCCAGGCTCCTCAAGTCAAACATGCGCACGCTTCCATCCTGACCGCAGCTCACAAATACGTCGACGCTCTTGGCACAGAACCTTACGTCATACACCTCCTTGTCGTGCGCAATCAGCTGCGTCTTGGCGGTTAGAGATGGAATGTCCCATATTGTGCAGGTGGTATCAATGCTCGAGGTGATGATGAGACTGGGAGAAACGGTGTTCCAGTCGAGAGACGTCAGCGGGGCCGTGTGATCGGGCGTCTTGGAGTTTGACAAGAGGGCCAGAGGGGTCAATTTCGTGACGGCCGAGTCGCGCTGCGGGCGAGTAATGGTGTTTCCTGGATTTGCCGACGTCTCAGATGGCAATGACCACAGCCGCAGGTGGTCGCCAGATGTGGCCAGGAGATCGGTAGACTGCTTTTGCGAGGACGGCGGCTCCCACAGAAGCCGCGTTACGGGATACGAATGCGTGGCCTCAGCCACCTTTGTGAACTCGAGACTGTACTTGGACGTGCCGGGAGTGTATACGTCCTGGGGCGTTGGAACGACCTGGCTGTCTAGGATTTGGATCTGGCACCGCCCCGTTAGCATCACCATCCAACATTCAAGATGGCCACATCTAAGACCGCAGTTTGGCTTACGAAATTGTGCCCGTCTTCCAGGTAACTGCCGACGGCGACCTTGCCGGCTCCGCTCCCTCGCGGCGTCCACTTGCACCAGTCAAAGGCATAGATTGGCCATGGAGCCAGGTAGTTGCTCGGCCCAGGCTGTGTGTTGGCAACCTCGTAGCCAAGCGTGCCGGGCGCTCCATCGGACATGCTCGAGTCGGCGCGCGGCCGGATGTCAGCTAGGCCCAGCGGCGTGTTGGAAAAGGCGCGCTGGGAGCCCGGGGCGTTGTACTTTGCATCTTGAGGCGAGATGAACTGCGAGGACGAACCGCTGGGAGTGGTCGGCGTGTAAGCGTGGTAGGACGAGGACGAGGCCGGCGTGTCGTAGTTGGCCGCGGGGCTGGAGCGAGAGTAGGTGTGCGACATGTTGAGGACGGGCTTTGGCGGCGATTGATAGTCCTGCTGGTGTTGCGCAGAGGCCGATGCTGAGCCAGCGCCTGAGCCAGAGCCGGGACCAGAGCCAGTCATGGAGTTGTTGGCAGACAGAGGCGGGCGCGACATGCCGCCCGGCTGGAGCACGTTGGGCACGGGCGACGGCTCGAGCTTGATCTGGGGAGCGTAGTCTCGCGATGCCATCTGGCTGTGTGGGCTCATGCCGGACATGTGAAGTTCGTCGAGCTGGGCGCCATAGGGAGCCGTGGCGGACTGCTGCCGTCGCGGGGGAGGCAGCTGATGTGATTGGTTCATGGTGCTTCTTGGGGTTGGCCGGTTGGGGTTGGCCTGAAGCGGGCTGACGGCGCTGTGCTGCTGGGCGGTTGGTTGGCCTTGACTTAGTATGTAGTAGTATCTGGATGGCGATAGGCGAGGGGTTGGATTGGAGCAGCAGGGCTGGATCACGAGGCGCCAGACGGACCCCCCTTGGCTCGCGGCTGCTGGTCTGCAGCTATACAGAGACAGACAGGCAGATACAGAGACAAGAGACAGCGGAAATGGCCAGCCAAGACGGAGGTGAAGAAATGCAAGAAAAATACCCTCGAAATCGGAATTGCCTTTTGCTTTCGTCAGCGTCGGGTGCTTATTGTTACGGATAGTGAGGCGCCAAAGTGTAGCGTCTAGCACTACGCTGTTAGCAGTCTGGGGGCAGCCTCTCACTGGAGCGAGCTCCTCTTTCTTAGCAATCTCTCCCGCTGGCCGCCTCGACTCGACTCAGCCGAGAAACGGATGCCTCCAGTCCGTAGCAAACAGTGCTGTCTTGGAGATTCGATCGAATGCCCGTGGATGGGATGCAAAACAGCCGCGTGGCAAGCTCCGTCGGCAAATAAATTATGTCAGACGCAGACTGTTTGGGGCTTGCTGGCCAGAGACGGCCTTTGTTTTACTCATCAGTTTATCTACATACAGTAGATTGATATGGACGGTAGACGTTGATGGGGTGAGTCTATTTTACAAGTATCTTATTGATGCGTCTTTTATAATATTAAAGAGGTTCCGTAGTATGTACTTAGCAGGCGTGCATTTGATCTTCTTTGTTATCAAAAGTTCTAAATGCATGGCCAACAGTCCACATACTCTCTCCACCGCATGACACAAAGCGGCGATGACAACACTGCCCACTTTAGCTACAGTAGTAGTGTCTTTGCCGCAGGAAGCTCCAAGTACAGCCCGCACTTCTCTTTGGGCACACGCATCAAGACTCTGATTTGATCAAATCGACCTGCCCTGAACCTGCGTTCCATGCAGTGTGCCACCAATCAACAGGCACCGCATTGCCCAGCCAATTGTCCAGTGCACCGTCTTTAGTGCTATCGGCAGATGCGTGTACAAGCTCCGGGCACTGGCTCGATAAGCTCCGGAACACATGCACATGCCTCGATTTCAACCTTACCTGTCCTCGTGAGCAAAGCTTGACAACACGCTCCATGGCCCATCCACCACCACCAAGCGTTCCTTCTCCATGCTTTTTATGAAATCCTTCTAGCTTGGATTTGCTTCTGGCTCTGAATTTCCGCCGCCGTCCCGTCAATCGCTCGTCCTCGCCATCTCGAATAGCCCACGACAGAGCTCCCCTCCACCCAAATCTCCAACATGACCTTTTTCGACCGCATAACCAGTCCCCATCGCAAATCGCCGGGTCTGCCTCTCCATAAATCTCCGATCCGATCACCCAGCGAATATCAACTCAACGAACTAGATCCTCGGCCTGACGATGCCTTGTCGGCCGACGGGGACCTGCCTAGAGCTTGGCTGGCCGACTATGATGAACCAGCAACGTCTCGAGGACTATCTCCAAATACATGGCGTGACAAAGGCAGCCCAGCTCAGTCATACTCCAAGATGAAGCCACGGCCAATGTTTGCTGGCCCGCCGCCGCCCATAACTGCATCAATGATGCTAACCAAGGACTCGATTCGGGCAAATTCTGTTGGCCCTTCAGGTCGCAGCAAACACACTCCCTACAGTCTTCTTGGAGGGAGCCCTACTGAAGCTAATAGCGTACTGTTCGACCACAGACGTGAAGCTGGTGCGCATAACACAGATTCCATCTGGCGAGGCTTGCGGAGGCAAGAGAAGGCTTTGGAGCAAGATGTCCAGCGATTACTTGATCAGCAGGCCGCCGCGTTGGCAGCTGGAACTGGCAATGAGAACGATGCTTCCAGCACAGGCAGCAGCACACCTACTGGCACCTTTTACTCTACAAAAAGCTCCAAGTCGAGGATGACTAGCTCTCTCTATGTACCACCTCGAGCCACCCGAGACGGTAACGTGGTTCCAATCAGGCAGCCTGCAAACGACAAGCCCCCGGGACTTAAATCTACGAGAGAAGATCTCCGGAAGTTGATTGCATCCATGACGAAGCTCAAACGAGACGAAAATGCCCACATCGAAGACGCCATGGCCCAACGAGAAGACGCCCTCGGCTACCTGGACCGGCTTGGTACCAGGAAAGCTGATATACAAGCTGAGCTGCACGATCTGGAGGAAAACGGTGATGAGCCGCTAGCTAAAGAGCTGCGAGAACTGGACACGCAGCATGGTGCCCTGAGCGAAGAGATCCAACAGCTCGAGCAGAAGCTAGCGGCCATGCGCTTCCAGTGCCGCACGCTGGAAGAGAGAATGGACGATATCAAGAATAAAAGAGAAGCAGGGCTAAGTGGATATCATGGCGCATTGAGAGACGTGACAAACGAAGTCAAGACATTTGTACAGAATCCTCCCATCCAGCCACTTGATCCGGACCTGCTCAATCATGGCGGCGAGGTTGAAGGAGACCCAGCCGCCTCCGGGGGAATCGAGTTCATGCGACTCATCCCGGAGCGACGGACACTGGAAATGACAAAATCATGGTGGGAAGCAGAGATGGCAGTATTGGAACACTGCAAAGAGCGCATCAATGAGGATCGGCTAGCGTTGGAAGAAGGCGGCCAAGTTTGGGACAAGGTCACGCAGCTGGTGTCTACATTCGAAGCAGATTTACGAACGGCCATGCAGAATGGTGGCACAACATCCCCTTCAGGCTCAAGCGTCAAGGGCAAAGAAAAAGTGCCCTCTCAAGAAGAAATCATATCGGCTCAGCTTTCCCGAATGGGGCAGGTGATTGAGGAGCTGGAGAGCTACATGCAGCTGGCGGAGGAAAAGCACTGGAATCTTTTGATTTGCGCTATCGGCGCGGAACTGGAGGCATTTAAAGAGGCTCACAACGTCTTTGAAAGCCTGCTTCATCCCCCTGAGGAGCATCCTCCTGAGGAGCATCCTCCCAACACTCGAGATGCGCCCAATGAAGAAGAAGCAGAGCCAGAGGATCGACCTACGCAACAAACCAGCCACTCGGCTGATGAAGAGAGCGACAACGAGGTCCCCCCAGACTTGCTCGGCGGCGAGCAGGACAGAGACGACGAACATGCTCTTGCTGCGAATACCGAGGGCGCGCCGCTGCATAGGTACGACAGCGAGAACGAGGTGCCACCGGAATTTCTTGCGGAGCACGCATGAAGTGTATATCATGGCTTCTCTCCCTGTTTTCCGGTGAGTTCAAACGAATGATGCATGTTTTTTGTTGGTGTATTTTACTTGGAGACGGTTCTCAGACGGGCGATTGGAGTTATACCCTGGACTTATGGCTTGTAACTTTACGAACATGATGAGTGCGCAAAGCAATATTAGATGTTAGAAAACGAAATTAATGAGTAAGCTATGAGATGATCTATATATACACCGTCGCCATCATATGGCTGTCGATATTGTGGTCTTCTTCGTCTGATTCAATACAACACGTTTCTGAATACACCGAAGTCACCCTTGCGACAAGGAATTAACGAATACTTTATGGTAGTAGGATCCATACGTAATACTCTGTATAGGTAGGCGTTTGCACTGCCAAGTAACAGGTTCACAACACGCTCTATATCAATACAAACGAGATATTGGACACTTCTCAACAATGCAATGGGTGAATTGTAGCCCTAAAAGAGGTAGCTTATATGTGAGTTGCCCTTGACCGTTGCATGTTACCGCGGCGCTCTTTGTCAGAGAAGCAATCTAGGGCCTTAGTAACCTCGGCTAAGTGGAATAATCACGACTAGGTACTTGTGGAGATGCGACCAAGCCAGAATTTGACCCGGGTGGGAGGATGGTAATGATAAGAACAAGAATCAGGTCGTCAGCATTTCTTTCTTTCTTTTCTTCTTTTTTTGCGTAGTTGGGTCATCTCATCATATTCGGCAATTACATCAAAAAAGCACCCAGTGGTTCCTTCAAACGCCCAAATAAAAACATGACTTTGGCACTGCTCATCCGCCATCAGAGCTCGAAACGAACTTCAACTTAGTGGGGATTTCCCTCGGCCTTTGCTCAGGCACTGCTATCAAGATTCCAACGCACTTGCACTCCTTCGGCAAGAAAAAAAAAATTGCAACCTCAGGGTTCCATGAAATCAGACAGGTTGGAGCGAAATGGCTGAGCAACTACCCTCGCCGCGATGCATCCAACCCGGTATATGAATTCGGTGGCTCAAAAAGAGGTGGACTGAAGGATTCGCGAGAATCATCGCTTGCGCTCAAAGAAGCCGCTGGAGCCGGCGATGGCGACAGACTGGTCCATCACCCACTCGCCGACGCCGAGGTACTTGTCGATCCATTTGGAGACTTCCTTGTTCTCGCCAGCAACTTTGTCGCTCTTGAAACTAATGGCCCGTTAACTTGCCGCTCCGAGAGACGAAAACACAAGGCTTGTTGAATAAATGAAGCTCTAGCAAAACTCACGTCAAGCCGGTCGATCGCTTCACACCAGCGAGAAAAGCCGAGACTGTCACATGCAAATTTAGCAAACATTCGGCATAGCAAAGCGCAGGGAGCGGGCCAAGAGAGCTCTTACGAAGAACGGCGTCAAAAGCATAGTGTGTCAAACGTCCAACCTTTGACCAGAGGCCCAGCGTCAGCAGGTCGAGAAGCTGCGAGCAGTCTTAGAAAGGCCAGTCAAGCAGGCGACATCTGGCACGACTCCAGGCGCAGCGCCCGAGGACGCCGCGATGGAGGGGCCAGCACGGAAGCAGGAACCGGGGAGGGGGATTTGGATCGGGGGGGACGTACCACCATGGTGACTGATTTTTGCGATTCGATCCGAGGATAAAAATCAGAGGCCGGAACGGGGGTTTTTGGTTTGTCGTGAGAAGCTCGCAGGGGATGTCGCAACGGTGAGAGGCTAATCCGAGCTCTGGAGGCTGGAGAAACAGCTGAGGTGACGGCACCGCCCCCGACTCACGTGCTTGGACATTCCACCAAGATGCTGGCCTGGATTTTCGGAGATCGGCGCCTTTTCTTCCGGATTCTGGCCAAAGCTCCCTCGATCTTGATGAGTCAGCACAAGCACATGCGGCAAGCTTAGTCATGTCATGCAACGAGCTCAACGACGCTAGACGGGACAGGCCAAGCCAGCATCTCCAACTCTAATCCCAATTAGGACAGAGGGGCAAAAAAAAAGGTAAAAACAGGCCCGAAAGCTGTATCCCCGATAAGAGTGGGCTGAGTGCTAATTGCCCGTATTAGCAAACATCACGACAGTCGTGGGACTTGCCAATGGACATCGTGTGATTGATAGAGCAAAAATGAGTGCTGAACGCTCGACATCTGGTGTGTGTGCTGTCCGTTTTGTTCATCCCACATCACAGGCCACGAGCTGGGAGGGATGCTTGATTCCCCGAGACTCGCGCTTCGTCCAGCCCTTTAACTCTGACCTCTCGCCATGATCCGGCGCTAGGGGAACGGCGTGCGGCGTGGGGGAAAGGCTCGACAAAGACAGTAGCACCGAATTTTTTTTTTGTTGAGACGAGCCGAAACACGGAGCCTTTCCCAATCCCTTTGTTGTGGCAGCAAGGGGCAGTGCTTATATTAGCCACGCTGAGAGGAATTGATCCTCAATGGATCAATCACATTGATAGCAGGCAGGGGCGGCAGGGGCGGGACTGGCGTACGAGTACGCAAACATATGCCTCACAACAACCGCGAATACGGCGAGGCAGGCAGATGGATTGAGGTCAGACTGAACAAATGCTCGGGGGGGGAATCTTATGGACATCATACATGATACATGTAAACATGTAAAAATGGCCGGGAAGCTCAACGACAGGTCCAAAAAATCTTCCGCACTCTTCTTCTGCACTCCGCCCCGCCGTCCGTTTACGGCGTGCTGGATTATTACTTACATACTGAGGTTGGTTTCTTTTACGCTGCGCCAGAGATAACGGTGAGACTAGCGGCCGGTCCCTTTTTCCAGGTGCCCCTCTATTAGTGCCCCTCACCTCTAGGCTCAGGCTCTAAGGCAGGTTCTGTTACTGCACCCTTGAGGCTTGAGGAGCAAAGGAGGGGCAGCAGCAGCAGGTTGGAGCAGACGCCGGCCTATGTCATGGCTCTCATTAGCACCGAAAACAGCGCTCGCCTCTCGATACGCCTCCAGCTGGCCAATCCTGGGCCGTCGTTGGCTCACAGATCCCCTTGCCGCGTTACTGCGATACCTTGGAGCTGTACCTAAAAAAAAAAAAAAGAAAGGAAGGAAAAATCCAACCACTGGCGGCTGCCGGCTCTCCCACCCCCTCCACATCACACAAGGCGAGGTAGCATCACCTAATCGACTGCTCTGCCGTTGCCCAGGCGTGGTTTTTTTCTCTCTCCCTTGTTGAATCTCCGTTCTCTTATCCTTATTTATTTCCCTCTCCATCCTCGTCTGCTTCTTCCTCCAAGCATCTTCTCCGCAATCTTTGCAGCCCGCCTCATCGTCATCTCTTTCTCACGGGAGCTTGACGAAATATTTGACTCGTGAGCTTAACCACTTCTCCCTCTCCAGACCGGCTTGACTTCCAGTACACGAAGCCGAACCCCCTCTTAACAATGTCCCAGATCCCCAAGCCCTCCCGCACCGTCAGCATCATGGCTACCACGGCCCAGGAGCACCTGGATATTGGCGGCCGCATCAATTGGCTGGCCTCGCTCAACACAGCCTTCACCCCTGCCCGCAACTTTCGCCGCACTGCCATCATCTGCACCATTGGCCCCAAGACCAACTCGGTCGAGGCCCTCAACAAGCTCCGTGATGCTGGCCTCAACGTGGCCCGTATGAACTTCTCCCACGGCAGCTACGAGTACCACCAGTCTGTCATTGACAATGTGCGCGCTGCCGTCGCCGCCCACCCTGGACGGCCCGTCGCCATTGCCCTCGACACCAAGGGCCCCGAGATCCGCACTGGCAACACCACCGGCGACGTGGACATTCCCATCACCGTCGGCACTGTCATGAACATCACCACCGATGAGAAATATATTACCGCTTGTGACACCCAGAACATGTAAGACAGACTCTCTTGTTATCCAAGGAGGGGGAGGAGGAGGGGCAGGGTGGGGCAATGCGCAGTGCTGTACTACTCCTCCCCGCCCTCTTTCTGGCAATGCCATGCATGAAAATGCAAACAGGCGGGCCTGCTTGGGTGCTAATTGATGCTCTACGCATTACTCAAGAATACCACCCACCATTGGGCCCTTGCTACGGTTGAGGGTTGAGCGAATGCTGACGACGTCATAGGTATGTCGACTACAAGAACATCACCAAGGTGATCCAGCCTGGTCGTGTCATCTACGTCGACGACGGTGTCCTTGCCTTCGATGTGCTGAGCATCAAGGATGACAAGACCGTCGAGGTCCGCGCCCGAAACAATGGATTCATTTCCTCCCGAAAGGGTGTCAACTTGCCCAACACCGACGTCGACCTGCCCGCTCTCTCCGAGAAGGACAAGGCTGACCTTCGGTTTGGTGTCAAGAACGGTGTTGACATGGTCTTTGCCTCATTTATCCGACGTGCTCAGGATATCAAGGATATCCGTGACGTTCTGGGACCTGAGGGCAAGCAGATCCAGATTATTGCCAAGATCGAGAACAGACAGGGCCTGAACAACTTTGCCGAGATTCTCGAGGAGACTGACGGTGTCATGGTCGCCCGTGGTGACCTTGGTATTGAGATCCCCGCCGCTGAGGTCTTTGCTGCCCAGAAGAAGATGATTGCCATGTGCAACATTGCTGGCAAGCCCGTCATCTGCGCCACCCAGATGCTCGAGTCCATGATCAAGAACCCTCGTCCTACTCGTGCCGAGATTAGCGATGTTGGCAACGCCGTCACTGATGGCGCTGACTGCGTCATGCTTTCCGGAGAGACTGCCAAGGGTAACTACCCTGCCGAGTCCGTCCGCGAGATGCACGAGGCCAGTCTCAAGGCTGAGAACACCATCCCTTACGTCTCCCACTTCGAGGAGCTGTGCACTCTGGTCAAGCGCCCCGTCTCCCCCGTCGAGGCCTGCGCCATGGCTGCCGTCCGCGCTTCCCTCGACCTTGGAGCTGGTGGTATCATTGTTCTCTCCACCTCTGGAGACTCAGCCCGTCTGCTGTCCAAGTACCGCCCTATCTGCCCCATCTTCATGGTGACCCGAAACCCCACCACTTCTCGATTCAGCCACCTGTACCGTGGCGTCTACCCCTTCCTGTATCCCGAGCAGAAGCCCGACTTCGAGACTGTCAACTGGCAGGAGGATGTCGACAAGCGCATCAAGTGGGCTGTCACCCACGCCATCGAGCTCGGAACCCTGACTGCTGGCGACACCGTCGTCGTCGTCCAGGGCTGGAAGGGCGGCATGGGCAACACCAACACCCTGCGCATTGTCCGCGCTGACCCAGACCACCTGGGCATTGGACAGATGGATTAGACGGGATCGGAAAAAAAGGAAACTTTGATGGATTTGGGAAGAAAGGGATTCTTATTTGGTTTTTTTTTAAAGAAAAGGGAAAAACGATGTGCCTGAATGGCTATGATGGTATAAACGCAAACACGCCCGAGGAATGAGCTAGTTAGTTTTGAGGCGGTTGCATGCAGGTCAACTATCAATTAATGACAAAAACAAACCTTTACGTCTTAACGAATGAAAAAAGAGCAATACTTCATAGAGAGGCTCCTAAGCTTTTGCAATATTGTCCGGTGAAGTGAGGAAGTGGGCTGAGCAAATTTATTAAACACTGGACGTAAAAGGCACGTAGCCTCGAACTTTTGGCATGTTTGCTTTTAACAGACGTTTCATCATTGATATCTGGCCATTCATGGCACTTTATAGCTTCCCAGCGGGTATATCATACATAAAAACACCCTCTCTCCTTTCCCAAAATTAGCGTCGCCTATTCTTTTTTGTAGCTCGTGTAAAATGAATGGCTTCGCTCGAGTATGTTTGCCCCATTATCCCGGTGATTAAAAAAAAATATCCTATGGAATTGAGCCCGTTCGACTTTTGTTGCAAACAAGAAAGGTTGTATGATTTGATTTGATCTTCTTCTTCTTCTTTTTTTTTTTTTGTATATATGATAATTGTTGTCTAAAGTCGTGTCGTTTGGAGCAAGTCTAGAAAAAAAAAGAAAAAGAAAAGAGCACTCTCTTATAAATTCTTAATCTCAAATCTCTTGCGCAGGTTCTCGCCGTGCTTGAGAAAAAGCCATGCGACGGGTGATAAAGCGAGGCCGATGAAGCCGAGGATGCTGTTGCCCCAGCCCATGCCGAGGCGATTGTACATGGGCAGGCCGGCGAGGGGGAGGACGGATCCGGCGATGGAGCGGATGACTGCGTTTGCGGCGAGGGCGGAGGCGGCGTAGATGGTAAAGGTGTCGACGAGATACATTTGCAGGGACTAGAGGATGTGAGGTTTAGTTGGGTGTTTCTACCGGACCTAGACATGGGGAAGAGAGTTTTTGCTTACCATGTAGACGATGAGATCGCCAACGCCGATCACGACGGTACCAATGATGGGTGCGATCCAGTGGACCTGATACTCGGCGGTCCACCCGTAGATGAAAAAGCCCATGGGAAGCACGAGGGCGCCGACCATCAGGGGCGAGAGGCGGTACTCGGGCTTCATGCCTTCGGGCGCCCTGCCCTCTGCCTCTGCCGCCACTGCCTCTTCGGCAGCCTTCTTTTTGATGGTCCTGTCGCTAGTAAGGGAGAAGAACGCGACGCCAATCATGCTGCCGATGCCGATTCCCAGGAACGTGAGGCCTGCGTAGCTCGTCTTAAAGTGATAGATTTCCATGAAGAGGGGGGTTAAGCTGGTGAATAGGAGGTATAGGTATGCGTAGACTACGCCGACATAGACGCCGCATATGATGCTGATGGGAGACAATACCAGCAACTTGAACGGCCGCATGATGCCGCGCTTGAGGTACGCGGCACTTGACAGCCCGGGGTCGAGCTTGGATCGTAAGAGGGGGTTGCCCGTCTCTTTTCTCAGTCTTCTGGCCTTGCGTTCCAGCAACACCGAAGCATACGTCTCACGGGCAAAGACGGCAAAGAGCAGGGCCAGCGTGCCCGCGAGAATTGCCATGATCCAAAATACCCAGCGCCATCCCAGTCCCGTGGTGATGAAACCGCCGATGACAGGGCCAACGACAGGGCCTAGCAGGGGCCCGATGGCGAAGCCTGCCATGGCGGCGCCACGCTTCTCCTGGGTAATCATGTCGGTTATGGTGCCGCCGCCGTTTGTGATGGGACAGGAACCGAAGATGCCACTGAAGAAACGGAATACGATGAGGGCGTTCATTGACGGGGCCTTTGCGCAGGCGATGACGAAGACTTGGCGGGTGTCAGCTGTGCCGTACTTGCAGTATGGGAGAGGACATGCATCCATCTCCTTTGGGCTGTGGGATGAGTTTTGATAGGCTGAAATCTTACCAATGAAACCAACGTTGGTGATGTTATAAATGATGGACCGGCCATAGAGTTCAGACAGCGGCGCAAAGAGCATAGGCCCGGCAGCAAAGCCTAGGACATATACGGAAACGCAAAAGGCTGCCAGTTCTTGACTTGTGGTATGAAATTCCTGCATGAGATCGGGGACACCCGGGGCAAACATGGCTGTTAAACAAAGCCAAGACCAGTTAGTTTTGAAGAATGAAGAGATGCAAAAAGACTAGACGATGCTCATACATGAAGCTAAAGGCGTGATGAAAGAAAGGGAGCTGACGAGGACGCTGTTGAGAACTTTGCGCCACGCCGGCCAATTATAAGGATTATGAGGGTCGTCGTCGCCATCCCACCACACAATATTCTCATCATCATTGGAGTCTGCATCTTGGACTACACAGATCTGCTTTTCGCTGTCGGTGGTTGCAGGATCGGCCGCGTCGTTGAAGTCGCGAGTGTCTCTGTAGATGCTGGCAGAGTTTCGCTCGAGGTCGCGTTTCTCGTCAGTGGGCGGATGCAGCGCTGCTCCGTTTTCCGAAGACTGCGATTGAGCGTCTGTGGAGGTGCTGGAGGAGGCCATTGTGGCCGTTTGTCGCGCTTGTCGTCAAGTTAGCCAGGCATATTTATGTTTGGTTGATGTAAATTGTCAAGTCGGCGTAGCTGCAATGGTTGACGCAGTTGAAGAACACAAATGACACATGAATTGTGAGTACATGTTTCCCCCTTCCCTCCGTTTCTTTTTTTTTTTTTTTTTTCCCTTTCTCTCTTGTGGTGGCGGAGATTTTAATTTGCTTTGGTTTCAAAATTCAAAGGGGAGGGCAGGCAACTTAATTGGGTGTTTGAAACAACATTGATCGGGCATAAGCGTGCGGGCTCGGTATTATGGCATGATTTGTAGAGCTTCTTACCTTGAACGCTAAACCCAATAGGCGGCACCAGCTGTTAGTGATTCGAGTGAGCGAGGAGTCTTAGCCGCGGCTTAGGCCAGTGCCAGGGCTATAGGATCGTTGTTAATCAGCTTTGCATCTCCTTGGTAGGTGCTCATGCAAAGATGTTCATGTGAAGATGATGTGAGGATGCAATTGGAGCGTCATAGTTGGCGAGGTATCGAGTGACAGAGAGGGAGAGTGAGAGCAGAGAGAGAGCAGAGAGGAGGGAAAGAAAGGAAGAAAGAATGGGAGGATGAAAGAGGAAGGCCTCAAGAGGGGGGAAGATGGACTCGAAATGCGGCATAACGAAGCTGGTCTTGCAAGCAAGGAATTGGGACAGGGTGAGGGTCGTCCGATGCACCGCAGTAACTAGCGGAGTGCAGCACAAGAATACGGGCCATGGATCTGGACCAGGGCCAGAGTAGCATCGACGGCTTTGTTCCAAACCAGCAGCTGGAGCTCCGCCATCTGCAGATGTACATACAGTATCGAATTTCCAAACCCGTCCGAGGATGCGCATTTCTGGCGCCTGATGGGCGTGCCGGCGGGGGCCAAAACGAGCATCGAATGGTTTGCACAGCGAGGCCATGGAGAATAAGCATATGTTGGTGTCGAGCCCGACGGCGGCTCTCCAATCATTGCCAGATCGCGACAAGGGCCCTCTCCCCCACACCCCCCGAATGAATCTCCTCTCGGCCCTGGAGTCGCTGGAGTCGCTCGAGGTATGGAGAAGGGGAGGAAATGTGGTGGCGGCGCCGGCTTTTCGCCCCGATCCTGAGTCGGCCGCTACTGTCAGCGCCGGTTTGTGTCTCTGCATTCGGCACACCTGCAGCTGCGCTGGCGAGAGACGGCCAACGGAGTGTAGCAGCAGCGGCAGGTATACCGAGGCATACTGAGTTACTGCATTGCTGCGTACAGTAGAGAAGACGGGCAAAGTTGCTGTCCTCGTATGATCACGTAGGAGTATGAGTGCTGTTATGTTAGGAGGTAGTTATGCACATCTCAGTATTAACGAAGCCTAGGTACTACCTTAGTAGTAAGTACCTAGGTACCCGAGTGTTCTACTGGAATTAGGGGTTGTTTGCTGGCCCTAGCACGTGCAGTTAGTGCCCTGAACCCATGGATGGACTTGTTCTCGAAGCGGGCGCGCGTTGGTAATGCTGGTAGTCGTACCAGGTGCATTCCGGGGACCAGCCGCTCGAGTATTCGATACTTTCAGGCCGCCAAGACATGTCGCTGGCGGGGCATGCAGAGAGGTGCATGGGGGGGGGGGGGGGGGGGGGGAACCTGTAGCACTACCGTCCACCGAGAGCTTCGCCGCAAAAGTTCCCTGTACTTGGACCTGGGACATTGACTAGGTGTCGGTCGGGTACATGTACTTGACTCTTGATCCTTTTACGTGAAAGGTCTGAACTGAATCGTCGACGGCGCGGTGCAAAGGCGGAACACCAGAACGTTATCGTAGCATCAAAGGACCGTTTGTAAGCCCGAAGGAGCCATTCATTTGCAACTCGTATGCACATCATCCTCTATCTGCTGTTGATCTTGACCTCATGTGGCCCAATCAGCGGCAGAGGTTTTCCGACGTGTGCATATAACCGGCTGTCGCTCCAGGCCCCGGATTTTCCGCGTCAACCACGTTTGTCTTCGGAGGATTTACTGTAGCTGGAAATCACCCTTCAATACTTAGACTAGTAGTACCTGCTAATGCACCAGCTATCTGCATCGTCACCGTGAGGTTGATGCCATCCAATGATTCGCTCATGGCGTCTTTGCATTCAATTTACATACAATTAGAGCGACTCGCTGCAATACGCTTCTCACGGATGGGCTCCGAGACATTTCATCGTTGTACTTGTGCGGCCTCCACCAGCTCTGTCTCACGGACTCTCACCGAATGACCGCAAGTGGCAATGCCGAAACAAGCGGTGCCGCATCTCTCATTCCATCGATTGTCTCGTTCTTTATCGCAAAATTCCGGCTCTAGGCGTGGTTTGCGAATCGGGTGGCAATCCTTCCAGATAAAGGGTGCTGATAAAGAAAGGCGCTTTGCGTCAAGATGCGTCTGGATGTCTCACAGAGGCATTTCTCGAGGTAAACCACGTTGGCCTCGCCACGTTAACATACATTACTCAGCTCGCTGTCGATCACATGCCTATGGACTTCCTCGGAGTTGGTCCCGTGGTGAGACACTGAGTTGTCAACTTGGCAGTGCTATTTCTGGCTACAAGTCGGAGTTCTTGATTTCCACAAAAAATGATTCCCACGAAACATTTCCAGCTCCAGTGGAAACGATGATAACAACCAGTATGCTCTTTGATACACCGTCACTGAAAATGGAAACAAGACCGAGAAATGCCTTCATGTCGTACAAACATGCATACGTTGTGTAGTGTCACAGCTCTTCGGACTTCACTGGTAGGTCCACGAAGACAATGAATTTCCCCTCACGCGAAGGCAATCACAACGTACATGGCTACACAACGGAGATTGGCAAAAAAAGGCAACGTTCCTGTTACGCGTACGTTACGGATGCCACTGTTGGGTACCATGGTGCGACCCTAATCTGCACCGGATATGGTGGCATTCCGTGCCGAAGTGATTACAAGTACGAAATTTGGTGACACAGCCTTGTTGCAGCCTCGGTATATTTCTTTTCTATTTTATCTAACCTGTCATTTTGTCTCTGTGTATACACTTGTCTGTGTATGTACAGAGGGGTGTAATGATGTGTTGGGCGGAGGAATTCGGCTGTCGTTTATTTTTAGGTGACACGCCTGAGACATGCATGCGGCTGGATTTCGCCAAAATTGATAGTGCTCCTATCTTCCCTATTCAGCGACAAATATTGGGATAGGAGAGCTCGAAATATTGATCCAAGTTAGGCGACCAATATCAGGTAAGTATGCTTGTAAGTAGATGTAAGGATATCATGTATATCACTGATGCTGAACCAAAGGACGTGATATAGTTTTTGGCGTATTTGAGATATGATATTTAAAAGTCGAAATTTGCGGAATGCCTCTTGTATCCATGCCAGAGGACTTGGGTATCTACACACATGCACACATCTCATCTAAGCGCCTGCAGCCCTCAGCTCACCAGCCTTGCGCTCACCAGCCCGTCCCTGAATCTAGACAACTCTCCTAGCGTAGATTCCGCGCGTTCTTGAAGAATCTCGCATTGAAGACTAATCGCCCTCGCTTCTCTGGCTGCTCTTGGGTCATCTTTTACCTGGTTGATGATGGCGGCCACATCTTTGATCCTCGTCACCAGCACTCTTTGAAGTTCTAAGAGCACAGAGAGTAACATTGACGCAGCGGTGTTGGTAGGGGCGATGAAAGACCCAACGCGAATTTCTGGAACCGCAAACTTGGGGTCGTAGTCTGGCGGAAGCGTTGCCACCATAAAGGCGCACATTCGGCCATGCTCTGAAAGGGTATCCATAATATCGAGAAGACGAATGTGGCATGCCATGACGAGATTCAACGGCGCGTGATCTATCTTAGGCAAAGGCGTTGTATGCAAAGACGTGCGATCCTGGTGTATGCAATCTGGAACAGTGCAGATGGCATCAGATTCAGGGGCTGTGATGCGTTTGTTGATTGCGGCGGACGCGGCCTCGGGATAGAGAGAGGCGAGGTCCTGGGCGAGGTGAAGGATGCCATCTAGAGTCGATTGCAAATCAAAGTTGCCTCCCACGTTGTCGGCGTATTCTCTCAGATGCTGCCTTGGAACGTGGTGCATGTCAAGGGATGACGGTATCGCTTGCATCATGCGATCCAGGGCGGACAGAAGTGCTGCGAGGCGCTCCGAAATGGATTGCGATGGAGTCTCGAACGCCTGGCTTGGCGTCTGGTGCCCCTGCTGCTGGTCCAAGACGATGAGATCGGGCCAGTCAAAGCCATTGTGACTGTGGTTCAAGGGATACCGGAATGGCCTTGTTGGCGGACTGAAGACGCAGGTGACGTTGGCCTTGGTGCAGCGACTGCAGCACAGAGAGCCTGGCGGTCTTGGACATCTGAGCTTCTTGTCGTGGCATCGATCACATGCTTGCCGGAGGTCCATGGCGAATCAGAGCATGCTTGGTGTTGTTTTGCTGCTGTGGCTGGCTTGAATACATGTACTCGCAGGTGAGGTATGATTAATACGGGACTTGGAAGCGAAAAGAGGAGCGGCTCTGGTCAGTTTCCGATGCGCCTCATTGGGAGCGCTGGGGAGGATCCGATAGGCTGCGCGGCACTATCGAACAGTGCTGGAGCATCAAATCGCATCGCCAACGACGCCCGCATCTGTGGCGCTAGGCCAGTGCCGCAGATGCTCGTATTGGCGCATCGAGGCACTAGGCGATGTACGAGTAGCAATATATGTCATTTGATTCTCTGGTTACGAGATTAAATCAGATCGTTGGAGCCAACGCAGAAAGACAGACACTCCGTACCTGAGTGGGTACATGTAAGGTACCTACCAGTAGGAGGTAGTACCTGGTGGGTAATCTTCACTTCCAAGTCCTTTGCGATGCTGCTCCTACCTCTCGCAATCATATAAGTATCCCATAAGCCAATTGAACCTTCAAGTTACATACTTGCGCTTCTCCGCACTCAAAACGAACTGACTTTGATGGATCAATGACGCCTTCTTGGTGCTGCGGGGCCGCCACGGCCCTTGAAAGTTTCTTCAATGCTCCAGCGCCCTGCCCATATGGTAGCAGGTATGGAGCCACTAATTTACAGAGCTCAATCAACTGCCATTACGTCGTCGTCACAACACCAGAGCTCCAGCTCCCTCTTTTTGTTCCCTACTCTACAGCCCACGCCACCTGGAATCAGCATCCCACGATCCTAGAAGCTTCGACATCCTTCTACAGCACCAACCCCCCCCTGTGACGCATCTCAATTGCCTGTGCTATAAATTGCCATAGCCCCAAGCTTTGCGCGTCACTGGCCGCAATCGCCATGCTGGCACTCTTTCGCACGACGGACACCCGCAGCCTGTCGCTATGTCGTTGATCCCTTACCAGCCTCAGGAGGGCCGCGAGATTGTGCTGTGCGTTACCATATCCGCGCTCTTCGGACACTTAGAGAGGGTCTGCAATTGCTAACATTGAATTGCCCTGTGCTACAGGCGACATCGAAATGCCATCGTTGTCCGCGATCCTAGATCGCAGCGCCTGGAGATCCGTGGCCATCCCGAATGTCCTACATGCCATCGCCCGCTGGGCCCCTCGCCCTCGGAACATTCGTTCGATCACCAGTTTGGTGTTGACCCCGAATCCTACGTCGACCCGGGATATTTCCGCATGCTTCGCGCTGGAAACGCTGACTCGACCGCAACCGACCAAGCGCCGTCGGGTCTCATTCGCAGGCTGTTTCGACCTGCGCCCGGTGGCGATAGTCAAGGCTCGCGGACTTCGCCTGCTGTAGACGATGATGCCGAGTTCATATCAAGCACCCCAGGCGTCCCGCAGCCCGAAGGAAGCAGAATAAACAGGGAGGCCTTTAGCCCAAACTATTTCAAGACCTTCTTTGTTGAAGAGAAGGTCTTGGGCAAGGGAGGCAAGGGAGTGGTGCTGCTGGTGCGGCATGAGATTGACGGCTGCCAGCTGGGCCACTTTGCTTGTAAGCGAGTGCCCGTGGGCGATGACCATGCTTGGCTTGAAAAGGTTTTGATAGAGGTTGAGCTCCTCGCCAAGCTGTCTCATGCCAACCTCGTTTCGTACCGACATGTCTGGCTGGAGGATGTCAGATTGACCATGTTTGGGCCCAGCGTCGCCTGCGCATTCATTCTCCAACAGTACTGCAACTCTGGCGACCTTCACCAGTACGTAATTGGCAGTGTGCCCAGGGAGGTTACCAAGGAGGAGCTCAAGGAGCGCATTCGCCGACGATCGCGAGGTCAAATTGATGCAAACCGAGACAGCCTGCATGATAAACCCAGGCTGTCAGTGGAAGAGATTTATTCGCTGTTTAAAGACATCACGTCTGGGGTTGCGTATCTACACGGAGCAAATTACATCCATCGGGATCTGAAACCAAGCAACTGCCTCTTGCACCGAGAGGGCGGCAAGTTGCGGTGTCTCATCAGCGACTTTGGTGAAGTCCAGCAAGAGAATGTGGTGCGGAAATCGACGGGCACAACGGGTACCATTTCGTATTGTGCGCCCGAGGTTCTCCGCATGGATGAAACTGGGAACTATGGAAATTTTACAACAAAATCGGATATTTTCTCCCTCGGAATGATTCTCTACTTCATGTGCTTCGGCAGACTTCCGTATCAATCTGCCAACGCCGTCCAAGAGGAATTGGAAGACGTCGACCAGCTCAGAGCTGAGATTACTGACTGGACGGGTTTCCAGGACGAGCGGCGCGAGAGGCCAGATCTTCCCTCGAAGCTATATATGCTGCTAAAGAAATTGCTTGCTCTGGATCCGGCTGAGAGACCCAGCGCCAATGAAGTTTTGAATGCCATGAAAAGCGAAACCTACTTTGACGGAATCACAAAAGACCGGGGCACGAGCCCTGCCGTCGGACTGCGAGGCAACAGAGTCCAAAGCCTGGATTCTCCCGCCGCGCCCAGCACCCCAGAGCCAGGTGAGTCCCTCTAACCTGTATTCTCGACAACACTTGATCTTATAGTTCAGCAGATTTACGACGTGGCTATCACTCTCGCAGTCTTAGCGTGCCTCAGAGTGATGCCGCTTCATGGCCAGCTACCGGCTCTCACGATGAGGACATCATGCAGGACGGCTCGGTCTTTGACCAAGCCGACCCGGAACCTTCCAATGCCATCGTCAAAAGCCGTAGCCAGAATGGGCATCACGACCATGGCCAACATACTCTTCAAACAGCTGGTCAAATAAACCTTCCCATACAGACAAACGGCCATGCTCGCCTGGATGGACCCCTTCTCCTGACACCTCCTCCGCAAGAAGCTTCCTCCATGCCGCGCGGAGCAGGGCTTCTTCTGCTGCGCTTCTGCGCTGCAATAGGCGTCACTCCTGATACTGTAAGATACTTTGGTCGCCTCGCCTTGTTCCTCATAAAACTCTCCACCTTGGTTCGGCCGTGCTGGCCCTACATGGCTAGTCTCGAGGTCGGTGTCCCCCTCGTGCTGCTGGCTGTGTTGGACTTGGGTCTCCCAACCAGCACCAGCGCTGCTCCTGCTCGACGTCTTAGTCACGGTGAACTCGTAACAAGCCTGTTTCGCCAGACGGGGCTGGGAACAAGACTTTTATTTCTTGTGTTGCATTTGGCTGTAGTCTGGCTGGCTGGCCGCTGGGAGGCTCTTTGCGTTGCTGTTCCTCGTGATGAGTGGGATGGCTGGTAGAAATTCGCGTGTATTTCTTTTAATCTGTTTTATCATTGTAAAAGGACAAGGGAGAAAAGCACACAGCGTAGGATTTTCTTTTCCCCTAAAAAAAGTTATGCCAACTACAAAAAATAGATTTAGCCAGAGAATGAGATTTCCATAATACTTGAACACGAAAAAAATATCACAGTCTGAAAGAACACACATCGACAAACAATGCTTTACATCTTCATCGCCCCCTTAACCCCAAATGTCCTCCTCCTCGCCATCTCAACGCTAGCTAGAGACACTCCGGTCTGATTGCCACCGCGCTGTCCTCCCCGGCTCCCAGCTGCCCTAAGCTTCCTCCCGCCTGTGATGCTCCCAAAGCCAAAATCGGGATGGCCACCCAGGCTTCCAAAGATGTCGCCGATGTAGTTAGCCGGGGCCACACCGCGCGCAAAGGTGCAATTCCAATCGGTGAGGATGCCGCGAACAACTTGGATGCCGGCAGCGTAGAGGTTGGCGATTGCGATGTGGAAGCCGTTTTGGTCGGTGTGTGTGAGGTGCTCCCAGTCGGAACGGGAGGGGGGAGGGCGGTCGAAGTTGGAGCCTGGCGCGCATATTATGTGAGTTGATACATAGAATTTTGCATGTATGTACGTGTATGTATGTTCGTGTATATGTGTGTATGTGTACTCCGTAAAGGCGGACGATATAACTGTAGATGCTGATAAAGGGGTATCACTCACCCGTCCGCATGGCAATGACGCGACTGAAATCGACCAGCCCTTCAATCGCTGCCCGCACCAGCACCTCGAGCGTCGCATTGTCCTCCTGTGCGCTCATGCAATAGACACCCGTGCCATTGGTCCACAGCGCCGTCGTATTCTCAAATGCCTGCGCAAGCCTGCCGCCCGAATAATAGACATCGCTCGTGGCGCTGTCGCACTTGACGACGCTGGGCGGCATCACGGCCATACGGTATGACGAGCCCAGGTCAGAGTAAAGGAGGCGGTAGCTGCGCGGTTCTTCGGCATCTTGCAGCTTAGCTCGCTGGGCGAAAGCGTGGGCAGCATCACGTAAGTTGGCATTGAGCTCGAAAACCTCGGTGCCGTACGTGATACAGGGGTATTCGAACGGGTGAGCGCGGCCATAGGGGATGTAACCCGTGGGCCAGTCGTCAGGCAGAGATCGGGAGTCGATTTCGTATTGGAGAGCGACTTGGACGGCATATCGAGCGAAGGCGACGCTACCAATGGTCGCATACCGCGGATTCACACCTGCGATGCCGGCCAGGAGAAAGTACGTCTGCGTGAGGTTGAAGCTGCTCGACAGGACGAGGGCTGTCATGGACACAGCCGAGTTAATTTCCCCCTCACCGACGGTCAGCTGGCAGACGCTGCCTGTTTGCGTACAGAAGACGCGGGGGAAGAGCATAGAGAGACCGGGTGTGGCGATGGCTTGCGAACTGAGGTTTCCCAGGCCAGACTGAGGGAACTTGTCGTGCCATATTTGGCCTTCGGGTTCAAACTAAATGAAGTATGTTTCTGGTTAGGAAGGACTAGGCAGTGGAGGAAGCGAAAACGAGAGGCAGACTAACCATGGATATGACCATCACTTTTGGGGAGATGACACTGGGAAAAGGTTGAGCGCGGATGACCATCACTGTGAGGAGCACAGCTAGGATAGGCGTGAGGAGCATCGTCATGGCGTGAGCAGACACTGTGCCTGAGCTTGAGAAGTATGATCACAACCTCAACGCTGGACTACGTGATGTGAAGCATCCGATGGCATACATTTATAGTTATGCATCTGAAGCTTAAAAAAAGACTTATGGTGATTAAGCTTTAGTTGGAACAGCAGTGATATAAAGACGACGTGTCTTGTGTAATGAGGCTTTCCCCAAGATTCACCTTGCTTTCTTCGAATGCCTTCATATTCACTACCCAGGCTTGGTTCAAGTCCCGAGAGTACGGAATATGATGGACAGCATTGCCCAGTTTGGCAGCATGTCTGCCGAGGGTGACTGAAACATGGTCAAGCAAGCTTATGAAACATGTATAGAAAGGGCATTCGGATGGCGGCTTCTTTATGAAGCTTCTTGCGTTTCTCTGTTTGCTGTCCGAGTCCTGGTAAATAGTAACATGCCCGTATAAGCAATTGGCCGCTTAAAGATATGACCTTGTTTAGACAACACTCTAGTGCCTTTTCACAGATCCTTCAATGGAAGGATGGGAGCAAACGAGGCATCTTTAGGCGTAGATTGGTCTCAACAGAGAAGATTGGTTAGCTGAGATAAGGACTTGTAGACGAACTTGTGCATGGTGAGCAGCCGAAGTCGGACTCAGGTGAGTAGAAAAGCGAATGAGGGCCTATTTCTGGCTCGAGACAACTGCTCATCTCTACGTATCAGCTGAAGCCGGCCAGACAGACGCTGGTGCAAGTCATTTGATAAGCTGGCCGGCAAAAGCCAACATGGCACCCGCAATGCCAGCTGCAAGTATGCGAATGGAGGAAAAGGGGGGCTCTTCTGTTTGCCGCTCTTGTGCCCTGTGCAACCCAAGAGTGCGTGATCTAGCGACTGTCTCGGAAGAAGCGACCAAGATCCAGCGAGAGACCGCAAATGGTAACAATGACTACGTCTATTGGCTCCTGGCAAACGATGTCCGCTGGCCTCGGTATTCGGGGAATGATTAGATGACTGCATGTGGAGCTGGGCAATCAGGATACACGTCACTGTAAAGGCCACGAAAGTTGCTGGTCTTTAGAGATCTCTTGCTGCATCAAGGTGCTTGCTGATCATAGGATCTGCTGTGATATGCGAGTTTTCGGGAAGAGGGCTTAGCTTGCCATTGGCAGTTGTCGCCTCTCTCTCATTGTTAGACCGGGTCGCATGCTCATCTGTCTGATTTTGGGCTAGGCGCTGTGCCTCGGAGATGTCCAGATGGTTGTGTAAGCGCCAAGCAACTTGGCTTTTGGTGTCGTGATCCTACTTATTATGGAGCGCGCTTGGAATGCCCCATACTGTAGCTTCATGTTCCCGCTGCATCCAGAATGATTGGAATGGAAAGAATGGGAAAAACAACAGAGCTTCCAAAACGGCTTCGGCGTTTTTGCCTCTTCTTCTCACTTCTCTCTCTCAAACTAACAGTCGTTTCGGTAGGTATTACGCCGACAGGAGTTTCGGACAATAACGAGGCACGGGATGGCGTCTTGGTGCAGTTTGGCGTGGGTAGCTGAGCACCGGTGCACTTAAATCTGGTGCCGGATCCCATCTTTTGGGGCGCCAACATCGCAAAACATAGCCACGGAACAGTCACTAGAAGCATGATTGTTTCTTGGTGGTCGGCCCTACTGGCAAGCCACACGACGGCTGGCTGACGGCGTTGCGCCTCCTTTTTTCATTCATGGCGAAGGGGGCACTGCACGATTTAGTTTGATGGGAAAGTGTCACTTGGAAACCTGAGATGAACGTCAAAAGTATGATGCCGGCCAAGGCGGTTAAACGGCGTGCCCGGTTGTCGTCAACTGGCTCTAGCAACCATCGATATCCGTGGTGTCGGCTCTCGATACGCCAGGACGCAATGGAGACGCCACGAAGGCTGTGTTGACAGAGAACGTGGCGTAAATGCGAATGCGATTGAAGAAGAAGCAACAGTTGCTGCCAAGGAGACGTATTTGCCAAGAGGCTGCCAAGTGAGTGAGGGGAGAGTGCCTCTTCTTCGCCCAGACCAGCTCGGGGTCTTTTGGCGGGCCAAGCGGCTCAATTGGCTGGTTCCATTACAACGCGTCTCCGCAAAACTGACAGTAGGGCTCGTTGATCAAGTACTTGTAATCATCTGATGTGAACCGAGTTTTCGATGATTGGTGTCGGAAGGATTCGCAAGGCACTTCGGCCGAACGACAAAGAGCCCTGCCTTAGCATCGTCGATCAAGATGATGGCCATTGGCTGCCAGACCCGTATTTCCCTTGATGAAGAAAGGTTCTGCCAAGGATCATCGGGAGTGCGAGTCACCGGCCGTAGCCCCGGTTGGGCGTGAGTTAGTTGACAGGCCAGAGTGGAGAGAGCAAGACGCGGCCCTCCCTTTTGGCTGAGGCACAATGGGCTTAGCGCTTGTACGGAACATAATCTCGAAGGCTGCATGATGCTGCAGCCGTACAGGTAGAAGTACAGGTAGAAGTACAGGTGGAAGCACAGGTGGAAGAAGTATGGGCGGGTGGGTGGCAGCAAGATTAAGATTCTGCTGCGGTTGTTGATAGAGGGAGAGTCGAGATTGAATTGATGAGCCGATGTGCAAAAGGCCACATCGGTCAACTCTGTTTCTGGCAGAGTTTTGGCCTAGCAGCTTGGCACCGGTCACTTGGTTGCCGGTCCAGGCGTCTTAGTGGCCTTGCAGCGCCTGGTGGGCCTAGGCTGGGGCGGGATTAGCTCCCTGTGGCGGCTTGTCCACCGCGGGCGCCGCTACGTCGAGCGCTGTAAATCCCCTCTGCCTGCCAAAGCGTCACTCAGTGGGCCCCCGACGTTGAAAATATCATTTATTGCTGGCACTGGCCCCCAATCCATCCATCCCACATGGGATTCGCAACTCCAATCCCGCTGCGACAGAGAAGCCGTGTCTCGACCGCAGATGCTTCCCTAGGATCCGGCCCTGGCATCTGGGCTCTTCCCGATGGACGAAATCACGCCCGCCGACCCGGTTACGCGCCGCTCTGTCGATGCTGGTAAGCAGGTGACGGAGCTCGTATCGGAGCTCGAGGCCGAAGGGCCACTGCCGGCAAACAACTTCGCCTTCACGCCGTCCCAGTTACACAAGCTCTTGAAACAGAGAAGTGTTGCTGCTCTCGACGTCTTTGGAGGGCTCCGCGGTCTTGTGCTGGGCCTTCGTACCGATCTATCTACGGGCCTGAGTGTTGACGAGACCAATCTCGATGGCACAATCACCTTTGACGAGGCCGTTGCGGCTGCTCGCCAGGACCGCGTGCCAGTCGTCTCCCCCGTCGAGGTGCCTCTTGCTCGCCCAAGCTTGACGTTCCAGATAGGCGGACCCGATCATCAGTTCATCGACCGGAGACGCATCTTCGGCGCCAACAAGCTACCCCGGCGTCGACAAAAGTCTTTCTTCAAGCTCATGTGGATTGCCTTCAACGACAAACTCATGATCCTGCTTACGATTTCCGCCTCTATATCTCTGGCAATTGGACTGTACCAATCTCTAACCGCTGACGAGGACACGTCCAACATCGAATGGGTTGACGGAGTGACAGTTGTGGCCGCCATCATCGTCATCGTCCTGGCCAGCGCCGCAACCGACTGGCAAAAGAACCACCGCTTCGAAAAGCTTAACGAGCGACAGCAGCAGCGCGATGTGACGGTCCTCCGATCCGGCAGGATACAGCAAATCTCGATATATGATGTCATGGTGGGAGATGTCCTGCACATTGAGGCTGGCGAGGTCGTGGCCGCCGACGGCCTTCTGATCCAGGGTTCCAGTTTATATATCGATGAGTCGTCCATCACGGGAGAGTCTCAGCTGGTCCGCAAGATGTCCCCAGAGGATTGCAGCCGTTCTCGAGCCCCCGTGACTGATCCCTTCATCTTCAGTGGCACCACTGTCTGTCGCGGTGTCGGCCGCTTTCTCGTTCTTTCGATAGGCGAAAACTCGGCCTACGGGAGGACCCTCATGTCTTTGCGAGAGGATATTGAAGAGACGCCTCTCCAGGCCAAGCTTGGAAGATTGGGTAAGCAGCTCATCATATTTGGCGCCACTGCAGGTGCCATCTACTTTTTGATTCTCTTCATCCGATACCTGGTCCGATTGCCGCACCACAGACATGCGCGACCAACTCAAAAAGCCGAAGCCTTTCTCCATATCGTCATGCTTGCTGTCACCATTGTCGTCATCACCGTCCCTGAGGGCTTGGCGCTGAATGTCACCATTGCTCTTGCTTTTGCAACTACGAGGATGCTCAAGGACCACAATCTTGTTCGTCTTATTCGGTCCTGTGAGATTATGGGCAATGCCACGTCCATCTGCTCTGACAAAACGGGGACCCTTACGCAAAACAAAATGGCCGTTGTCGCTGGACGCGTTGGGCTTGAAAGTGGCTTCGAGGATTACGAAATCCCTGTCACAGGCTCGAGCTCGAGTCCTGCGTCGTCGGTGTCGAAGCTTCCCTCGGCCAGGCAATTCATCTCGACCGTCTCCCCGCAAGTGCAGAGCATGATCAAGGACAGCATAGCCCTCAACTCCACTGCCTTTGAGAGAGACGACTCCGCAGGAGCCGACTTTGTGGGATCTGGTACCGAGACGGCTCTGCTCAAATTTGGCCGAGATCACCTAGGCATGGGTAAGCTCGGAGAAGAACGAGCCAACAACCCTATTGTCGCCATGCTCCCGTTTGATTCGGCGCGAAAGTGGATGGCCGTTTTATTCAAGCTTCCCAACGGCAAATATCGACTCCTAGTTAAGGGAGCTGCTGAGATTGTGTTCGAGTATTGCGCCTTCATAATTTCAGACCCGACCTTTCAATTCACCACCGCTCGGCTCGAAGAATCGGACAGGGAGAGCTTCCGCAGAACGATCAACGACTATGCCGTCAATCTTCTTCGCCCGGTCGCTATAAGCTTCCGGGACTTTGATGAGCACGAAGTATTTGAACACCCAGACGATGACCCTGCTTCCGTTAATTTGGAATGGTTGGCATCGGGCATGGTATTCATCGGCTTCTTTGGAATTCGTGATCCTCTACGTCCAGAAGTGGTTGATTCTGTACGCAAGTGCCAAGATGCCGGCGTTTTCGTGCGCATGGTTACTGGCGACAACTTCCTCACGGCCAAGGCCATTGCTGCCGAGTGTGGCATATACACTGCTGGCGGCGTTGCCATGGACGGGGCAACATTTAGAAAATTGACGCCGGCGCAACGGGATGCCATCATCCCACGCTTGCAGGTATTGGCGAGGTCCAGTCCCGAAGACAAGCTGTTGCTCGTCACACGCTTGAGAGAAATGAAAGAGACGGTGGCAGTTACTGGTGATGGAACAAACGATGCGCTTGCTCTAAAGGCCGCAGACGTCGGCTTTGCCATGGGCATTCAGGGCACCGAAGTTGCTAAAGAAGCTGCTTCTATTATTCTGCTTGACGACAACTTTGCATCCATTGTGAAGGCCCTGAGTTGGGGACGAACAGTGAATGATGCCGTCAAGAAATTCATTCAGGTAAGCAGCATCCTTGAGATGGATTCAAGGCTCATTCATACACGAAGCGGCAAGTGACTAATATGTATGTAGTTCCAATTTACCATCAACATTACGGCAGGCATCACAACAATCATCTCAGAACTCGTTGGTGATTCCATTTTCACCGTTGTGCAACTGCTCTGGATCAACCTCATCATGGACATTTTCGCATCCCTTGCATTTGCTACGGATCATCCTTCACCAGATTTCTTGATGCGGAAGCCGGAGCCTCGCAACACAGCCATTGTGAGCATTACCATGTGGAAGATGATCATTGGTCAATCTATTTACCAGCTATTGGTCGTCTTTCTTGTGCATTATGTCGGCTGGGACATATTCAATCCTGGAACCAAGCACGAGATTGATAAGTTGCAAACACTTGTGTTCAACATTTACGTCTGGATGCAGTTCTTCAACCAGCACAATTGCCGAAGAGTGGACAATAAATTAGATATTTGGTACCAAGGAATTCTGAAGAATCCTTGGTTTATTGGCGTACAGCTTCTGACGATTCTTGGTCAGTTCCTCATCATCTTCAAGGGAGGCGAAGCTTTCGACACGAAACCGTTGACGGGAGCTCAATGGGGATGGAGCATCTTGTTTGGCAGCCTGACCATTCCTCTTGGCGCTCTGATTCGCCAAGTACCTGATGAATTGGTAGCACAGTTGTTCCACGCCTTGAAGAAGCTCTTCCTTTTCATCACCTCGCCATTTGGACATGGTTGGGCTAGAATTTCCCGGAAGAGGAAGGCCCAACTCGGAGATGACTCCCAACAAGAAATGGGAGTTGTTGAGAACTCAGTTGTTCCAGCCAGCTCGCCAGTTGCAAGCCCATCACTTGGCGGGGTGGATGAAGTCTCTTCAGATGGCAAAACACAACCTACAATCAACAGCAGCAGCATAGCCGAGAGCTCCGCAATGGGCTCCAGGCACTCCATGCCCACCATGTCTGAAAAGATGGAGCTCGACCTGCAAGCATTGATTAATGCTGCTAAATTAGACCAGCTCGCTGACAAGGAGAAGTTTGAGATTCATCCTCGCACGCTGAAAAACGATCCGATCCTGACGCCCCGCTCAGACTCGGATATACCACCCAGTCAAGACCCTTACATTTTGCGGTACTTCTTTAGAACTAGGAGAAACAATGTTGTCGATTCAAGCAGGCCGGTCCGTAGGCAAACGGTACCTGCTCGAGTTACCTGGGTCGAGCCTAGAAGGCCAGCTCCCGCTCGAACCAGACAGCAACAAAATCGGCGGGACTGGCTTTCTTGGGAAGGGTGGCTGAGGTCAAGGAGGCGATAGAATCACTCATGAACTCGGACGCTATTACGATACGGGCACTTCTTCTTTTCTTCATTTTTTTCTCTCTCTTCTTCTTTCTTTCTCCCCCTCTTGGTTTATCACATTGTGCGTTTTTTCTGGCGGTTATGCACCCTTCTCAATATGCAACGGAGAAACTGGGATAAAGAGTAACGACTGGCAAATATCATGGGGCTTACGCATTTACACATACACATACATCCGGCGAGTTGGGGCATCCTATACATTTATCATGGTTTTTGTATTCCTTTACTTCTTCTTCTTTTATTTCGGCAAATATGCATTTGGGAGAATGGACGAATTATATTATGACGCACATGTTCTTGATGGTGGAGACGGATGGATAGGCGCTCTATATAGATATATACCTAATTTTTGACCTCTTTTTGTGGAGGATGATGAGGTGCGCGAGAGTAGATTGACTCTTTTACAATTATCTAGTCAGTTAGGCACCGGAGTGAGAATGTGTATACTCAACGGCCATGCTCTTATATATAAAGTATATGCATCATCCGTCTCAACATACCAATACCTCTATTTTGCCACTCAACGCCGGTGAATAATAGCGCAACATGAGCATCTCTTGTATCACCGGGCGTTTTCGTTCAGCCCACCCGCACTCCAGAACTAGGAATAGTACGTGCAGAATCGGAGTTTCTCGAGTACCATAGCAGTGTCGAGGTTCCCATGTATGATTTCCAGAGCATCTAAAATATTTCTTGCCGACAAGTCTAAATTCTGAATCAGTACTGGACGATTTTAGAAAATAAAACAGTAATACTTGCCATCAAGTTGAGACAGTTCTGCAATCGTAGCAGGGAATCCTTGGATCTCGAGTCCAGTTCTGAGGTCGATCAACGCACATAGATGCATATATGGTGTATTCTGAAATAGATATGAGGTGGCATTCAGAACGTGACGGTCTTGATTCTTAACTCTGAAATATGTTGGCATCCATATCAAATAAAGATGGAAAGTAATAGACAAACCGGGACGTAACGCGAATATTATGTGCCGTAATACGAGCTCCAGCTTCGCCTAGGCTAGAGGGAGTTTGGCGGACTTGGTGGATTGGCTGATGGTTTGGGCGAGGGGTTAGGTACAAGATAGTTCGCTATACTCCGTAGCCGTAATACAATTCAAAAGTATTGACACTTCCTCATCCACAAACGAGCCAACCAGAAGCTATCGCTCAAACTCGCTTCAGGCTGCAAGCCTAGCAGATTCTGCAAGCCTTGCAAAACGAATTAGCATTACAATTATTTGCAAGCCTAGCTTATTCTGCTAAGGTTGTAGGCACCACTGATTCCCGGTAAGGTATACGCGTGTTGATACGAGCCTCAGCGTCCTCTATACGCGAATTTAGACGGTGAACTTGCTCGCTAACGACCAACAATGTCCTCATGAGCTGGCGATGATCATCATCGCGATCAGGATTGTCTGCATGGCCGTTGATATTGTCGTTCATCAATCAGGATGTCTGCATGGCCGTTGATATTATCGTTCATCTTGAATCAAAATCAGAATCAGAATCAAAATCAGAATCAGAATCAAAATCAGAATCAGAATCAGAATCGGAATCAGAATCAGAAGGGAGTAGACTAGTTCTTGAGCGAGAGGGTGCAAACAGTTTGTAAAAAGAAGAAGTTGAGTAGAGGATGAGTGTAGAAAAGAAAAAGTAAACTGTAATAAAATTTTCAGGAAGGAGTGAGTGGGTTAGATGGAAAGCATAAATTACAGCTGCAATAGCGCCCGTCTACTCTATCTACTCTATCTACTCCATCTACTCTATCTACTCTATCTACTCTATCTACTCCATCTACTCCATCTACTCCATCTACTCCATCTACTCCATCTACTCCATCTACTCCATCTACTCCATCTGCTCTGTCTGCTCTGTCTGCTCTGTCTGCTCTGTCTGCTCTGTCTGCTCTGTCTGCTCTGTCTGCTCTGTCTGCTCTGTCTGCTCTATCTACTCTGTCTGATCTGTCTACTGTATTAACTATAAGAGCTGAAGGTATCAGTGTCTATTTATGATATAATTCAGCCTTGCTACAGCGCTCTCAAGCTTTTTCTTCCCGGTTGTAGACATGTTGGGTATTGGTGCTCGATAATACTTCATGAATATATACAGAATGGAATGAGATGTCTTGGCCTTTGAACTATTTCTGTGGACTAGCAAAGTGAAAAAGAAAACGAAACAAAACTTGAGAAAAGGGCCGGGAAGCAAATAAAGTACAGCAGTGGTTCCGTGCTCAAGATTCATCTCCTCCATGCCATTCACCTTTGCTAATGAGATGTCTAAAAGGACCTCTAGCTTTCATGAGCTCTTCATAACTGCCCTCCTCGACCTTGATACCACCGTCAATCATGACGATGTTATCACATATCTGCATCATATCAGGCGTATGCGTAACCACTACAATAGCCATCTCGCTCTCCTGCGCCTTAGCCCGTCCCACAAGCTCACGAACCGTCTCGCGGATCATGCCCGAAGACTCTGCGTCGAGCGCACTCGTCGGCTCATCCAGGACGAGGAGCCGCGGCTGGCGAACGAGCGCGCGGGCGATGCTCAAGCGCTGGGCTTGGCCGCCCGAGAGGGAGATTCCGCCGTCTCCGACTACGGTGGCGTAGCCTTCGGGGAGAGATATGATGAAGTCGTGGATGCCGGCAGCTTGAGCGGCGGCGTATATGCTGAGGCTATTTCTGAGTGGGGAGTCTTTAGGGAGGCCGTAGGCAATGTTTTCGACGATGGTTGCGGGGAAGAGATGTGGTGTTTGGGAGACGTAGGCCATCGTAGAGCGGAGATGTTGTTTATCAAGGTTACAAAATGGAATGCCGGCGAAGGTGAGAGACGCCGTGTCTTTTGATGGGCAGTATAGACCCATAAGGAGATATATAATGGTCGATTTGCCAGAGCCAGAGGAGCCGACGATAGCGGTGCAGCTTCCATGCGTGATATCGAAGGAAACTCCACGAAGGACACGGGAGTTGGGCGACTGAGGGTATGAAAATTGCACATCTCTGAGCTCAATAGGGAGAGGGGTTGCGATATTGATACCATCTTGGCTTTCTTCCTCTGATTCCATCGACATTGTTGCGTAGGCTAGCAATTGTGTTGCGGTTGCTTGGGCCATTGTCAGCTGAGGCATGCTGGTCAGAGCACCGGCCGAACTTCCAATACTAAACAGCAACAGATTGATGACTTGCAGTACTTGCGTAGTACTAACACCGTCTCCCTTTGATAGTAGGAGGGTGGCATAATAGAATACTAGTGCGGTCATGGGAAAACTCATTGATTGGTATAAACCAAATAACCCACAAGTATAGACTGCCCTCTTCTTCCCCAAGCCAAGGGTATGTGATACCAGCTTTCGGTACTTTGCGCCAAAGTACTTTTCAAGTGTCAGTGCTCGCACGACGCGGATGTTGATAAAAGTCTCATTCAAAACTGCGCCGGCATCTGTGGCTCCTTGGTTACACTTGGTTTCCCACTTGCCACTGACAACGGTATATCCTTTGACAGCGCCAATTATCAAAATCATAGGCGAAAGCGCGACGAGAGTAAGCTTCCAGGATATTGAGAGAGCCCATATCATAGAGATGGTAATCATACCAAGGGTGGTGATGAAGATTGGTATGAATCTCCCAACAAGGTTTCGCGTCTCCTCCGCATTTCTGTCAAGGCATTCATTGATTCGGCTGGCTGAGTTCTTCTCTTTATCGAACCACGACTTTGGTTGCCGCAGGATTCTCTTTAAAGCTTCCAAGCGAAGGTTGTTCACCCAGGATTGGCCGGTCCTCTCTATGAAATAATGGCCGAAGCTGGTGGCGACAGCATCAACGACGGCAATCACCACTAGATAAATTGCCCACTGTTTCGCCGCGGCCGCCCTGTTGGCTGGCAAAAAGAGAACTCCAAAGAGTTTTGCGAGGCAAAATGAGAACAATGGCATGCCTGCCGAACTAATAAAGCACAACGCAATTCCAAGAATGAAGATTGCTCGATCACATGGTGTGAGTGTTGGCCAAACAGTAGCAAAAATTGCCAGTATGGTGGTCGGCTTTGAAGCTTTATGCTTTTTAGTTATGTCTTTGCCCACAACTGGGGTTGGCTTGCGACCAGAAGCTAGTCGTAAGCCGGGGATATCGTCTCGACGATCCGCCTTTCCAAAGACATATAAAGGGTCGTCTGTGTTATATCCTGAATCATCAAAGAAACTGATCCTGTAACTGCTTCCTGAGGAAGGCATGTGACCAGGCTCTGGTGCACTGCATCTGCGAGACGATCCAAAGTATTCGTCAATAGAGCTGTAGGACTCCCTCTTTTCGGATTCATAGTATGACGAAGTTCTATCGGCCGACTTTGGTCTTTCCTCGAATTCGGAGCTTTCCCATATCTGCTCTTTTCTCATTTTGAAAGCAAGCGCCGTACCAACACCCAGCGTCTTATGCTGAGATAGCCGATTCAAGGCTGGATCTATTCTGTCATTTAAATCCTTAATCATAAACTGCTGCATAGATAATGCCGTATCTTGCGGCAAATCATCCATTATCGGGGAACCGCAGTTAGCAAGATCGGCCAGACTAGCCTTTTCCATGTCAGTTGGCGTGGGAGAGAGTGCAGATTCGACAGGATCCAGGCAAGTCATAGCCGCAAAAACTCCAGTTGAAGACATGGCCAGCTCTCTTCGTAGTCCCTGCTGCACCAAAGATGCGTCTTCCATCACGTAAACAAAGTCTTCATCTTCGATTTGACTGATGTCGTGAGTGATAATGATGGTGGTTTTCCCTCGTCGCCACTCCCTGATAGCATCTATCGCTAAGCCTCTGTTTATTTGATCCAGACTACTCGTCACTTCATCAAGGATAAGCACAGCTGGATCTCGAATTCTGGCTCGAGCAAGTGCAACTCTTTGTCTTTGGCCACCACTCAGCCTAACTCCGTTTGAACCAATGCGTGTTTCGAGACCTTCTGGAAGGCTGCTAAGCGTGGATTGCAGCAAGGCAAACTCGCAAGCAGAGGAAACAGCTTCCTTTGCCACATTCTCGGGATCGCCAAGCCCAACGGCTACATTGTTAAACATGCTGTCGTCAAAAACCACACTTAATTGTTGGATTAGAGTGATATTGGATCGGATCCAATTCTGGTCCAAGGTCGCCAGGGGGTGTCCGTCCAAACAGACAAGTCCAGATGAAGGCTCATAAAATTGAGCAATGAGATTGCCAATTGTACTTTTTCCAGATCCGCTTCTGCCCACAATAAAGTTAAGTTGGTCCGGGGAGAAAGAGAAGGACGATCTGTTGAGAACAGTTTTTGTGGGATTAGACGGATATGCAAAAGTCACCTAGAGCAAACCACTGTTAGTTGTCATGATTTAGAATAAGCAGAAGTTTGATTGCACATACATCTACCAAGTCCACATTTCCAACACAAATCTCAGGCTTGGTCCGACTGCTGCTCGTATCGCCTGTCTTTCCGTCTTTTTTGGTCGATATGGATGATAGAAAATCACCCGCAGACATGCCTTTTGATAGTACAAGCCAATGTGGAAGTAATGACTCAATCGCCTGGAATGATGAGAGGACTGCAAAAAAGGTGGTCATGACTTGACCAGGCGTTAGTCCTCCATCGACGAGAACAGTTCCATACCAGAAGCCCGCTATAAACATGGCAATAATCCAGAAGGCGACATAGCCCATCTGAACAGAGTTGCATTGGGCCTGTATCAGATATTGCTTGCCCGCCAATTTGATGGCTTCATGGTATTGCCAAAGCTCGCGGTCGAATCCGTTGAAAACCTTGACAATCTCGATCGCTTTGATAGACGAAGCAGCAAACTTTGACGCAGTTTCCAGATTACGCTTCTGAGCTTGAATCGCCGGGTCTAGCCGCCTAGTTACTAGTGACATGACCACGATAGATATGGGAAGGGTCCCGAGAAGAACCAAGGTGAGTTTCCAGGAATGAGAGAAGGCTATAGCGAGGGAAGCAAGGGAAAGAATAGAGTCAGCAACCAAGAGGCCGAGCACCTGCGATGTCGCCAGCTGAAGCTCTCGAGTCTGTCTGTTTCTCAGTTAGTACTTATTGACGGGCTTAAAAATGTGAAATTGATATGAACTTGCGTCTGGATTCTGACCAGCAGGCTGGAGATGCCTTGGTCTAAGGAATCATACCAGGACATCTTCTTGGACAGTAGACTCTTAAAGACCTCTTTGCGAACGGAACTGGCCTGCAGTTCTCCAAAGATGATCCACAATGCGAGGAAAGCCGTGCTTGAAACCCAGTTTGCAACTCCCATGCCTACCAGTATCAAGCCCCAGTGAGATATTTTGTCCAAAGTTTCACTGCCAGAGCGATGGCCAGCCCCAAAATCGGAGACAACGTCGAATATTTTGCCCAATATTATGGATTGAACCGATTTGACTGAAGCAAACGCGGCAGATGCAATCACTGCCACGATCAGGGCCCCCGTATGATTCCATCTTGTAAAGGAAAAGAGGTGCTTGAAAGTTGAGCGTTTGGGTTTACTCTCGGTGACTTGGTGATGGTTAGAAGAATCAATATTAAGAACCAAGATTGAATTACCCGCTGATGTTGGTGACGACGCCGTCTCTTTTTCCTTTGAAGCCATCACACAGAGCCTTTTGGAACAGCTGGATAGGGGAGCATTGAAGCCATTGGCACGAGGAAGGAGATTGAGTGGAAGGAGATATCACATATGAATGCCACGATCAAAGATGGCCAGTAACCATGAATTTGGCTTACACCATAAACTGATTCCCAGCTGAGCTGACGATTCAACATGCAAACGCCTGTATGAGGACAATGCAGAAAGTCGACGACGAAGTGGGGAAACGAGGCTTGAACGCGTGCATTGTTCCATCTCCACCTTGATATTGTTCCTTGTTGGTGACGCGCCGAAGAACAAGAGTCACTCTCTTATTGCGACGCGCCACAACGGAAGACAGCTGGCGCACAGATGCTATTAAGCATTGTTAAATAGGATCCAGAGCCGCCGCAGGGATCGTCCCGGAACCCTCGGGTCTCTTGAGCCTGCTCTGCTACTGCACATCATCGTCACCGGCTGGAGAATCATGTCACAAGTGTTTCACGTCTTTGGGTCTCCGCACCGGTTCCAGACTGTTGCAAATGGCCCAAGCGCGGAGTGAAGAAGCCTCAGCGTCCAGCCATCTGCAGCTGTGCTGTTGGCGCGTGATGGGCAAAAGAAGAGACGATGAGCCTTCGAGAGAGTCGGCGGATCCCTGAGACGGGTACAATGCCAGCGATCGGATTGAATACTACCTACTATAGTAAGTAACCCTTGTCAGTTGTCATGATCTCATAGATTTGAATTCACCCCGGATATTGGTAGAAAATGAAGCAACAGTTGACAGCTGCAGAAGTAAGTGGCAGGTTACAGGTCCTTCTAGAAGATGCTAATACACCCCAGGAATTGAATACAGTGTGTATTAGACAGTGCATTCTGTCGCACACACCGTATACTGACCTCATCATTGCCCCTCCAAGCGGCCCGAGCCCCACGTCAAGATTTTGGATTTTGCGATACCCGCAAATTGAAGCATCACTATATTCTTGCATACTGTTGCGACACCAAAACCAAATCCGACACCGCAAACACAGAAACTGCAGTCACAATGGATCCCTTAGAGAGCATGTCAACTGGAGGCCCCTTGCCCAAGGACTTCAATGCCGACGATGCGGGCAACATGGAGGATGTGCGTTTTGTCTACGTTTTACCTGGTTGAGGCTGCAGATGGAGTGACTGGCTGACACAATTTCTTCGTTCCGTTTGACAGATGGAGAAGCAGTTTGCCGTCAAAGGTACATGGATACGCTTCTGATAAATGATTCACACGCCTAACAAGTCGCAGTTGTGCAGCACATGGCAACATACTGGGCCATTCTCGAAAAGGTCAAGGGCTCGACTCTGCGGCTGACCAAGATCGACGACGAGATCTACGAGCACCTCAAGGAGGCCTTCCCCGAGTTCGACCCCGCGGCCACGATCGACGAGGACCAGATGAAGAGCAAGACGGGCAAGGAGAGGTGGCGCGCCTTCATGATGAAGTACGAGAAGAAGGTGGACGACTACAACTTTGGCACCATGGTGCGGAACAATGCCAAGGCGGAATATGAGCAGGACACAACAATTTTTGGTGAGATTTGCTCAAAGGCGTGCTTTCCTTTGGTAAAATGCAGGTGTCTAACTATCCAACAGTCCCAAGAATGCAGTTTTATGCCATTGAGATTGCCCGGTATGTACTCCCTTGGATTCATGATGGATGCTATTTCCGCTGACTATCAGAGTAGAAACCGAAACGGCCTCAACGACTGGATAAACGAAAAGGCTCTGGAAGAGAAGAATAGCTCCAAATAAATACCCCGATACACGAACCAAATAAAGAGTCATTTTTGTTATACCGTATGCCTTTATCAACCAAAACATTGAGGATTAACTCAACGGGCGTGGATATAGTTTGGATGTGCAGATACTGCTTTTGGCTTGCACTGCTGTTCTATTCAATGGGGGAATAAGAGAAAGGAAAATAGATCTGTCCGATTTGAATGGGTCATGGGAAACTACACCAAAGACTAACATGTTACCAAAAATACTACCTCCTACCTGTCATGTTCCTGACGGTGTCACTGCACCGCCTTTGCTCAATGTCTCATCTGAAATGATACAACTGCTTCACTGGTGCTGAATAATGGCTTCAAATAACCACAAACTGTTCGTTTGCCTTCTGTTTAATGTCGCATTTCTCCCAAGACTGCCCGTCCCCTGGCCGGCTGGGACCAGCTGCCAGGCACCAATACCGTAACAAACGAGCCACAGGTGACAGCCGTCAGCTCAAAATCTGTCCAACCTTTCTTCTGCATCTTCGTTTCTACTGAAAACAACCAAAGTAAATGAATCACGTCTGGGTGCCTACGGAAAGGATCTCGAAGCGCCGTAAGCTTCAGCATGGATCAAACATCATGGCTTGATCTCTCAGCAGATGGCGATATCATAGCAGCCTCGCCATCGCCGCCCCCTTCTCCTCGTAAGTCACCTTCGTGGCCCTCTCTCTGCCAATGAATCAACCTGTTTTGAAATATCGTTACTTCATATCAAATCTATCGTCTTGAATGCTCTCAGAGGGATCCGTCACTAATTCCGCAACAGCAAGCAGCCCAGTGAAACTCACTCGATCAAGATCCATCATCGAGCGCGCCGCCAGCAGAGCCTCCGAATATTCCATATCTCCCAACACGTCAAGCAGTGACGACCAGCTCGTTGGTCGCTCCGGACTCCCGCCCTGGGACCGGACTGTGGATATCGTCTACCACAAGTACAAACATGGAGATGCCAAACCGGACAAAAGTGTCGCCTTGAAGGCATTAACGGACAAGTTCTTCTCGTTGCACAAGAGACAACGGTCGAAAGCGAGCGGCAAGCATCAGGGATTTACCTAGAAGAGATTTCCTGAGCACATTCGCCACCTTATTCTTAAGAAACTCGTCGCGTCTCACGAGATATTGGGATCCAAGCCTATCAGCCTCAATAGATTCAGTTGGGATCAAGACTGCTGGGAACCAACAGACTTCATCCCTCTCAACGAAGTTCTCGCGACATTCCGACCTTATTTTAGCGTCTCCTTCGAGTTCTATGCCACGCTCTTCGTCACAATACTGTCAGAGTATACTTTCCACGTCACTTTCTCTCCGTTTATCGGCCGAAGACTCAATCCCCTGGCCACCATCTGGATCAACAAATACGGCATTTTCATGAAGTCTCTCATTATTGAGATTGATCTATCCCGCTTAGGCCTTGGCCCTGCCCCCAAAGCCGGCGATTTACTCCCTGGTATTGATCATCTCCAACGCCTGCTTCTCGATTTTAGTTTGTCCCAGCTCGAACGAGCTCCAGAAGCCCCCCTCGAGACTCTAATTCTCGCATGTCGCCGCTTTCATGGCCGAAGAGAGGACATACCTGATCCAGCCGCAGAGACCCTGGAGAGCAAAGACTCTGTTCGAGCCAGCTCCGAAAGCCCTCAAAACCAGCACTCGTCCGCCGAAAGTTCTGGCAGATTGTCTTCTTGTGATATTTCCGACAGGACCAGTCGAGTCTTCTCTCCAGCTCCGGAGGAATTTTTTGAGCAGACTGAGCTTGACTTCGAAGATGATGATGAAGAAGAAGAAGAAGAAGAAGGCGATGAAGACGAACATGAGGACTCGTACATAGACTCAGACGAGGATTACGTTGTCAACATGTCCTACGAAAGCAGCGACTACTCATCCGACTCCTCCTTCAGCTCAGATTCATCCTCAAGCCCAGACACAAGTCTAGCTCCTCCACCATCCATCCAAGAAGAAGACCCATCCTACTGCCCAGACAAACACCTCTTCATATGCAATCACCTTCTCCGCCTCCGCAACAGGGTCACTTCCCTCCGCATAGCCGGTTTCAGCGACGCGTATTCCCACGCCTTCATCGCAACCCTATTTCCCGAGGCTAAATTCCTTCCCCTAGCACAGCATTCCTACCGTGTTGCACCTTCTACCCTCTGGCCTCGTCTTCGTGGTCAGAAATCTTGGATTGACGCTGGTCAAGGGACGCTCATCCTGGACGACCACGAGGTCATACCTGAACCTTGCATTTTCCCCGAGGGGCCTATTCAGCTACCACCACCAATTGTCTATAAATCAAGCATCAGATCGCTGTCATTGTGCCCTGAGCCGATAAATCGCCCAAGGAACAATACCGTCAGTTCGGGCTCGAGCTTGCCGTCTCAGAAAAGTCTGGAAAGCAACGAAGAGGCAAACACTTCGAAAAGCTCGCGATCGAGCTATGAGAAATCCAAGGTGCAGAAGCTGTTAGACAAGTATAAAGAAAAGTCACGACGAAGGCCAAGGCCAACATCGGCCCCTTAATTGTAGCATAGAGCTTCTGATGTTCAATGTTTGAGTAGAGTACTGTAGAAGAAAGGAATTAAAAAGTGGTATTTGCATGTGTCAAGTAGTGAGTATGTCTATATACAATGAGACGTTGTAAATCATGATCGCTTTTTATCATCTAATATGCATTCGCTGTTGCCCTCGTAACGTAAGGCGTGATTCGCTTCGATGCTTCAACAAAAGTCCAATAAATTCCACCCATCTAACTCTATGCTCCAACATTACCCTTTCAACAGAGTCTTACAGAATCATTAGCAACAATAACTTATCGTTGGGAGCGAAGTAGAGACTTACGTTGGCAAATTTGCTCTTGGCGCGTATTCTCTCTCCATAAAAGAGAAGAACCCAAGGAATAACTGTTAATCCTGTAGCAATCCCTCCAAGCATAGCACCAGCACCTCTCAAACCAAGATTGGTAAACATGATGTTTGTAATTAACGGAAAGCTGCCGCCAAGGACATTTCGGCAGAAACTCTGTGCCGCAAGAGCTGAACTTGCGTAAATATGGTACGTATCCGCTAGATAGTTGAAGGTGGCGAGGTAAACGGAATAGATGCCCCAGGTCGCCAGCCCCAGACCAACTGCTTTTAAATATCCCGATGTTCCATGAGATCCAAGGAAAGCGATGAAGAGTCCAATAGGTAATAGTAAAGCAGTAATGCAGGTGAAATAGAGTCTTGCCTCTGGTGCTTCAGCCGGGAATCTTCTTCGCATAAAGGCCCAGAACTTGGAATCAGAGTACTGAAAGCCTTCTTCCTGTTTCTTCCACTGGGAGTGCTTCAAGAGATGTTCCTGATAGACACCAACAACTGTTGCAACAGCTGATGCTATCATCATTGCCACATAGACTCTGCTCGACTTGCTGAAATTTGTGCCATAGAGAAAGGGAACGACTGAGAAGGAGAGATACAACACGCCCCATGAGAAGGCAGCCCAAAGAGAGAAACAGAAGACAACTGGCTCTGTGAAGAGAAGATGAAATGGCCTCCTGACGGATGTCAAAACGATCTGTCCCAAGGAGGCGCGTTGTTCATCTTCTTTGACTATCCATCGGATTCTCCGCAATTGGGGAACTGCAGTAGCATTGTGGTCGTTCACATGGTCGGTGACGGTTGTTTGGCTTGATGCAGCGGATGCCACTACAGCAAGCTCGCCTCTTAACCATACCCCATATATGCCATATGCTTCCAACTCATCATACCACTTGTTAAGTTTCTTCGCTTTCTTAGACAGCAAGACGGAAGCCCGGCTTTCTTTGAAGAAGAGGATGAGAGCAAGCAAGAGGACAGCATCAAGGATAACCTGAACCCAAAATGACCACTTCCAAGCACGGTTATTTTTTCCCACTGTCTCGATCAACGCAGCGGATACCAGTGGTCCAGCTCCGGTTCCGGCCAAAACGGCACCGCTGAAGAGTGCCATCGGTGTATTCCTTTCTTCCTTTTCCCACAAATCAGCCAACACGCCACCGACGACTGCAGAGAAGACCGATCCGCCAACGCCAACAAGAAAACGCGATACAAGCATGCCGGCAACATCCGGCATGACAGAGCAGACGGCCTGAAAGATAACAAAGACAGTGCCGGCAATGATGAAGATCGGGTACCGCCCCCAAATCTCAGACATTGGTGCAAGAGCCATTGGCGCAAACGCAAATCCCATGCAGAACGTTGTAATTCCTACCACGACAACAAGCCGAGACGTTCCAAAATCCTTGGCCATGATAGTTGCCGGCGGCGCGTAGGCGCCAGCAGTGTACGCAGTCAAGAATGTCGCCAAGCAGGACAGAACGAGCAAAATACTCTTCCGATAAGCCCCCCATAACAATGGAGAAGTGTAAGCCACCAAGTCTGGGCATGGGGGCGGTTCTCGACCATCGGGGCCAGGCTGTTGCAGTATTGGGGGCGATGGTAAGTCGGTGTCAAAGGTTAGATAGAGGTATGATATCGGAGTGTCACTGCCCAGACTTGTCGCTTCAGACTGCTCCGTCATGGGCTTCTCGCTCGATGAGAGGTCTGCTTCGTGGTGTGAGGGACCACCCAGGGGAGCGGCGTCATCGCTTCGCACAATTTCGAAATCCTCCATCCCCTGGGAGTCAAGGCCTCCCTTTTCCTCGGTAGCCATCGTCGACGGCTTAGACACGAAGAGGGAGATACGGCTCGTGAATGCGACTCCAAGGCATCGATAACTCGTGGCGCGAGCACCAAAGCCGACGCCGAAACACACACAATGTATTCAGCAATGGCTTCCGAGGCAGATTTGCCCGGGTTCGAGGAGCGGCGATGCCTATTTATCGAAGGCTGGAAGGCGTAAGTGGAGCTAATCTTTCGTCGACGGGAATAACCAGGTCTTCTGAAGACGCCGGTGGGATCTGCCCTCACATGGACCAGCCCCCACGCGGCTCACGGCATGACAATGATTATCTATTTCTTAATCAAAATTGTTCATCTAGATTCTGGCAACGGGCCCATGCCTTCTTTACGATGTCATATTCGATCCTATAGGAGACTGTGAGAACGGCTCCCAAAGTATGAACCATAATGTCTCACACATCGCTGTTCATCCTTCTCGCCAAGACACAAGATTTAACCGACGCACTCACTGGTTTTGGCCAGTGTTAGTCAATAGATTGACGGGAATAAGCGGCGGAAATCCTAGTGTACACTTCTCCACAAACCAAGCTTTGCATCTAGATTCCTAAATCCGCCCCCCCCCCCCCCGCGATGTTTTGCGCCCTAGGGCTCGAAGCTGGTATGAAATCGGCCAAACTTACGTCTTAAATCCGAAATCTTGGCTGCTCAAGCTGAATTCCGATTCCTAGGTTCCAATCCAGGCGGAACCCTGGATGGAACTCAAAATAGGCTAATGGTATATCGACTAAAGGACCTGTGTGGATGCAGAGTCTGGATCTTGAGCTGACGAGGTGAGATTCAGGGCTTGTTATTCCCGATTAAGGCCGCCGGCTGAACGCAATTGGAGGACCGAGGCGTTTGGCTTCTTGATCGCCGTTGAAGTTGGTTTCCATTACGAGTAAATGCAACTTCGTACTAGTGTATGACACGCTGGTCCCCCCTATAACTGCGCCCCCACAGAAGCTTGTCAACATGTTTTCCCTGCAAGAATTTCCCAAAAATATCTCTTCTTGCGTTCGAACATTCCAGTAGGTGGACAGGGGCCTGCGTGCTCTGTATAGGTGGTTATAAATCAGAGCATTCAAATTGTCTTGCTGTCAAGATCGCGAGTGATTTGGCTAGCTAAAAAGCGTCAGATGTGGATATATTTGATTGGTAACTTGGAAGATCAACCTGACCAAATCTAGTACGAAGAGTAGAGTAATACTCGCTAAACACATAGATTAATAATGCTGCAGAACTCGGAGGCCAAAACATGATGCAGATAGCCTGCAGTTCATCGTGTGGTGATTTCGGGAAAACGGGTCAACATAAATTCTTTACCCATCCTATTCATACCCTCGCTCAGCAGTCGAGCAAAGCAGGGCGTTAGGTTTTTCCTCATTCTGCTTCTTGTGATGTTTTCTGAGATGGATAGGCTGCAACTTCCACGGGAATCGCATTGACACTAATGTGGCTCGCTCGGGATGCATGAGTGACCTGTTCGGCTTCGGCGCATAGCTGTGGCTCTACTGGTAGCTCCCTCAGCTCCATAGGCTTGTCTTCCAACTCAGCAGGGCATTGAGTGCCTAACAGCTCGCTGGGCTCTTTATGAGCGCCTTGCTGACACCATGTATCCTCTGTGAGCCGGTGTTGGCCCTTATGTTTCCTCCGGCGGTGTAAGAAGAGAAACGCACTTGCTGAAACCACAATTAGAAACCCCAGGCAGCTGCCAACTGTGATTCCAGCAATGGTCCCAGGACTAAGGGCCGAATTTGACTGTGGTGGGGGTGAAGATGATACGCTGGATGACGATAATTGCACTGCCGTGGAAGAGGTGGGAAAAGCGGAAGTAGGGGCACTGACAAATGTATCCGTGGTCGTAGTAATCAGCTTGGATGTCGGCAAATCCCTTGTTGATGTCGGAAATGGAGTCGGAATCCCAGGCGGATTCATCTCGGTAGTTCTGATTGCATGTGCTAAGTCCGCACTTCTCCAGCGGATCTCAAAGGCCGGAGCGGAAAGGGTAGTCCCATCATAGTTGGTCACCGCATACTTTTGATCTTTAGTCATGTCGTTGCAGTCGTATCCGCTTTAGCAGCAGGCCGTTAGATTCTCCTCTCACCCTTGCTGCAATGTCTCACTTACTCGGGAACACATCTGACAACCGTTTCTTCATTCCGAATAGGCCAGCCGTTGCTGACCGGAGACGTCTGGGTGCACATGGCACGATATCCTTCAAAGCACTCTCCGGGCGAATAGAATCCCCCGTTGGACCAGAGTTCGATGCCTCCCGGAATCCGGCAACCATCAAAGTCAGACTGAAGGATAGGGGGCGGACACGGAATCGCCTGGATCGTCATTGGCATGTACAGCACTTGCTTGGTGCCGCTTGATAAAGTGCGGACCGCCATTCTGCAAAGAGTGTTATCTGTTGTCTGCCAGTCAAATCCGAATCCGAAGTCCAACAAGTGCCGCGTCGTGTCAGAATTTACTGCAAGTGCGCAAGTGTCGAAACGATTCCCGCATCTGGTTACCAACAGAAAGAAATCCGAGATGAATAAAATGAGATTTAATCCAAGATTCCGCATAGTGTGAGAGATTTTTTATTCTGCCATTCATATTTACAAAGGAGGCAGTTGCTCAATGTTTGTGTTCGCTCTTTCCGTTGTTTGGCAATTGGGTGCCACCTCGGCTAAGGGAGCCGTGAATCGCTACAAGATTTGCGCAGAAGGCCTCAACACCAGTGAACAGCAATCAGGTAAAAGTGTTATAGCAATTATTTACCTACCAATCTAGGTATACAGTTATTGAATTGATGTATACAACAGATCGATATCTAGGTAAGTACTTATAGATAACCTTCAGATCTCTACCAAATTGGACTCATCACCGAGGTACCCAAGGTGGTATGATCAAAACTCGATGTCCCTGCACTTTGAGGATACCTCAGTCACACCCAAGCAAACATCAGCACTACAAACTTGCTTCAAGAAAGGAATCAATCGCTGTTAACTCTATCTTACAAATACAGTGGTCATATCTAGATGCTGCAGGGAAATGAAGAATGCTTTTCCGCCTCCCTCTAGTCTACATCTTCGTCGCCCGAACTACCCCCATTTGCAATGCCATTGCCTTGATGGTTGGCCTCTGCTTTTCCATTCATGTAACCGTTGGCATGTCCATTGGTATGGCCATTGGTGTGGCCATTGGTATGACCATTGGTGATACCATTCACGCCATTTGCAGTCTTCACGGTCCCGTCTTCATTGATGGACTCTTCGAGATATAAAGCAAAAGTGACGACCAGGTATACATCTCCAGTCCTCTTATTGCGAAGCACATATCTCAGCTGATGTGCAAGCCTTCCGTCGTTCCTACACCACACCCGTAAGTAAAAACGTCAAACAACCATGCGAAAATCACTCATCAAATCTTGTCAAGCCAGACTTACCTTAGAGCTTCAGCCCCCAAATATCTCGCAACCGAAAGCTGAAATCCTGGGAGCCGCAGAGACAAATTCGCAAAATCGAGGTACGGGTTGAAGAAGTCGATGCCATACGTCCGACCATACTCCCAAATCCATTTCTCCTTGTTCGAATCCGACAAGGCCCACTTCATTCTCGGCTTGCTCTCCTTGGGCACCCCATTCACCTCACGCACTTTCTTGCCTCTATCGTCTCCTCCCTCCTCGAACCACAAGCCGCCTCTTGACTCGTCGAATACTCCCGCACCGACGGACACGACATTGAATGAACTCAGAGCGGGGCCATATAGATAGGGCTTGTCCGCGTAGGCATCGCCCTCGAGTCCAGGGTCGATCCACCACTTGACAATGTTCATGGCCGTGTTGAAGCCTGGCGGCAGCTTGTCCCTGATAGGGCGATCAAAGTCATTGCCAAACTGCAAATCCGCCGCTCTGATCCCCAAAGCAAGATCATCTGTGGAGTCTTCACTCTCTGCCTTCAACGGATTGAGTGGCGTGAAGCGGAATGAGATGCTGTACTGGTCTTGGTTGCTTGCATGCGGCTCTGTGGAAAAGTATGGAGATGTTGATGGCGAGCCATACGGCAGTCCCTTGTAATCCTGTATCCGCACATTGAGCTCGACATCGGCAACATTGCTCTTGATGCGCACGGGCGCAGATTCGTTCACCGGGACCTCAATGTGAGTGTTTTCATCGTAGCTTGATCCCGCCGTGACGCGGAGAATGTATTTTTCAATCATTTTTGCCTCGGTGTGTGTGTGAAAATGCCTTGGCGATCGTCCGTTCAATCAATCAAATTTTTTGGGATATATAACTTCGGAAGTGGTTTAACTGATGGCCCGATTCGGACCATATAATCATGCCTGTGATTGTGGCTTTACACTCATGGCGCTCATTCATCAGATTCTTAAAGTGCTATTAATAACAGGACGGGTTTTCTTAGTGCGGTTTGTTTTGTGTGAGGTGGCGAATGCAGCGCGTCAAAGGCTCGTTTACCCTGGAGTCATGACCGCCCAATGAGGTTATGCATGTTTTTCCCTTCCCTGATTATCGGTACATCTTCATCATTCTTTCTTCCGCGTGCCGAAGTGCCTTTGGATGTATTCCTCCTGGATAATACCAAACGGGATATGATTCCAACACGGAGGGTGAAACAATATCTCCGTCATCCAAAGTTTCATCCGGGCAATGCCCTACTTGCATGAAACGCTGGATCTTGGAGCGTGCGCCATGTTCGCACCACTATTTCTTTTCAAATATGCATCAGAGAACTTTCCATGCATATCTATGCTCTGCCGCTTGATGTAAACATTATCCAGGCGCAGATTCGAAAGAGTAGCAGTATTGCATCATGTGCATTACATCGGAAGAATTCATCACCTCTCGGGCAAAAAGATAGCTTTGCTGATCCGGCTGACTCGGCTCACGACCTATTCATCACGTTGCCCAAATAGACTCAGTAGGTAAGACGTGGACGAAGCGAGCGCCTAAACGATCAAATAAAAGATAACGGCAACCAGTCGGGCGTACTATAAGCTGCTGCAGAAAGGTTTGATGCTGTGATTGACGCAGAATACGGAGGTAGACCGGCCAGTTTCGTGCTGTTTCATTCCCGCTTCTATTTCTCAATGTTAGATAAAGATTTAGCCGAAGCAACAGAACTAAATCTAGTGGAAGTATGTGTATATGAAGACTAAATTTGAGAATCAATAGAGATATACTAAGAAGTTAGACAAGCTTGGTGTCTATCAAATCGAGGTGATATGTTGGCAACGTTCCAATGTTGATTGACCGCCGACAATACCTACCTATCTACTAGGTGGTAGTAATCAGCCTGTTAATACGATACCTACTAACCTAATAGTCGCAACCTCCAAGGGTAGAAATTTTTTTTTCTTTTCTTAAATAACTCATCCGTAAATGCCAAGTTTTTGTTTTATTGAACCCTTGAGCTCATTCTCGTTGTACATATTATGGGCTTGCGCCTCTCAAGGTGATGGGTCGCACTAACATCAGTCAGCCAAGGGCACATGTATTTCCACAGCGAAATTTGTGCCTGGGGTGACATTGACGTCATGCCCAATCAGAAGCTCAAGGCCCCGTTTGCCAAAGTTCTCGGGCAGGCAAAAGCGATTCGGGCCTCTTCCACTCTTCTTACCAGCATAGACAAAGTTTGAGAGAAATCGGAGAATCTCCCGCCTATCATCCCGTCACATCGATATACTTTTGCACGAGGTCGCTGGTGGCGGCGAAGATGATAAGCAACAGTGTGAGAGGCTGGTTCCTCATCCGCCTCTTCATTGTCGTCTTCCGATATACGCCGTTCATTTACACCATCGCCCTGGCGGCCGTATACTTCTGGTATGGCTGGGAAACAGCGCGCCAGACAAGTGTTTCTCAGGTTCTCTGGGGTCTGATCTCGGCCGAGACCCTCTTCTTTTGCTTCATCTACCTTCCGTATATGCACCAGCTGAATCGCAAAGCTGTGCATCCTACACCCCTGACGTCGGAGGAAAGATGGGCTCTCTTTAACCAATGCCTGGAGAATGTCCAGTCCGTGGAGGTGTACCTGCGGTGGTGGTTCCTCGGAGCTGAATTAAAGGATATCCGCCGAGACAACCTGCGCGATTTCCTCCTCTGGGGCTTCTTTGACCAAGCCGGGGAAGATGTCGAAAGCAACGGCGGCCACTCCGAGGCTGATGCGCGGGATTTGGACGACTTCATCACAAAAGTTGAAGAGAGGTTAGGACACCCTCTCCGCGATGGCCGGGGTGCGGCCAAATGCATTCGATTGACGTTGGATGACGTCGAGGTAACTTACAGATCATTAACCTGGTATTTGGTCATCTACCTTGTGGATCAGGCCGCACACTTGGCACTTTCGTGGAATGGCTTCCAGTTTTATGCCAGAGGAGCCACCACAACTCTTGCAACGTTCCCACCGCGCCCGCAGGAGATATTCACGAGCCGACGGTCGCGTGCTCCGCAGCTGAGCTACTGGTACCGGCCTCATGCAACCAAGGACTACAACCCCGTTGTATTCTTCCACGGCATTGGAGTTGGGCTTTGGACATATGTTGGCTTCCTTGCGAACATACATGCAGCTAAAGATATAGGTGGTGGCCAGGGTATCGGCATCATTGCTGTGGAGATTCTTCCCGTATCCTTTCGACTGACTTCCCCGCCTCTGGGAAAGGCCGAGTTTCTGCGTCAAATAGCCAAGATATTGGAACATCACCAGTGGGACAAGTTCACAGTCACGGCACACTCGTATGGATCTGTTCAAACCACCCATATGCTCCACTCGCAAAGTCTCGGGCATATGATCACATCCGTCGTGCTAATCGATCCGGTAACGGTGATGCTCCATCTCCCCGATGTCGCCTACAACTTCACTCGCAGAAAGCCCCGGGAAGCCAATGAGTGGCTGCTATGGTACTTTGCCAGCACGGATCCAGGCGTGGCACGCTGTCTAGGCCGTCACTTCTTCTGGCGGGAGAACATCATATGGAAAGAAGACTTTAAAAATGCTGATCCGAGGGATCGTCGGAGGGTTGCCGTCTGTTTAGCTGGCAGGGACATACTCGTCAACACCTCTAGCGTTGCGCAATATTTGACTGATCTTGGAGTAGCGGGAATAAGCCAAGCTCAGGGTGCTAATCGGGCAGCCGAGGTGGAGGTGCTCATGTTCCCCAATTTAGATCATGCGCAGATATTCGACACTCCAGCAGACTGTCAAAAGGTAATCCGGCTTATCAGATCATATTGCAGTGCAGGATTAGCGGAATACACCAGTATATAGAGTCGCGAGAGCTGAAGCGTGCAGCAGCAGCTTGGCGGAAGCGGGAGCCAATCTCGATAACGAATCACTCAATAGTCTTGATCTCCTGACCCCCCCAATCAGTCAAGATGGCTCCAACCGGACGGGGGCCGCTTTGAGTGATGACCCAAACAAGATCCTGGTCTGAATCATTCCGGGCCTGGTGCTCCGTCCAAGCCGGGACGAATGCAAAGTCTCCCGGTTGAAGCTCGTGATGTCGCAATTCGCCCCCAAAGCCCTCCTTCACGACAAGTGTCCCGGTACCGGACACCACGTTGATGATGGCGTCTTGACGGCGTTATCAGAAACCAAATCCAACCAACCAAAGGAAACGCATTTTTTTTGGGGGGGGGGGACGGGGAGTGAGAGGCCCCAGAGAGCGGGATGTGGCACCTACCTTGCTCGCTATTGTGGTGAATTGGGGACCAGGAGTTGGGGGGTATGCGAAGGACTGTCCGAGATAGAAAGAGAGTTACAACGCAGTTTTGGGCACGCTTCTTCCAAAGGGCCAAGGAGAAAACTCACCCGAAGCACACATCTTGTCACACTTACCGACAATGGCGGAATCTCGGATGGAGCGCCCTTCATTATCCGGTATGGGCTTGAGCTGGTCTGCACGGGTCACCTCAGTTGTAGAAGGCAGTATCATGGGCAGGATCTCTGAGATGAGGGGGAGTAGCGACGACATGGCCCAAGACATTCAACGATGGATGTGGGATTACTGTCACTCTTGGCGGCATGGACCAGTCGCAGTATCAATGCGTGTCAGTTCAGTTTCCTAGCGCAGCAGACGTCCGAGTTGCCCTCTTTTTTTTTTTCGTGCGTGTGCCCGCAGTACGTGTTCGTTTAGGCTGGGGGTGCCGCGAATGCAACGAAGATACACAAGGGGGGAAGACGAGGCCCAACTAGGAAGGCGAGCCAGTGATGTGGTGCGAGGATGCGGAATATATAGAGGCGGTTTAATAATAATAAGTAGAAGGTAGAGGATGAGATGTGTAGCCAAGCACTGGATAAGGCAGCGTGATGGGGATGAAATGTGACCGAGCGGGCATCTCAACAGAGAGGTTGGGCTATAGCTCAGGCGGCTCGAAAAAAGGCCGAGGCAAGGGATATGACGTGTCGATGCCGCGATGATGGCGAAAGCAAAGCCTCAGTGATGGAGCGATGTTCAGGAGAGCCGGAGTCTACATGAGGTGGTAATAGATTGGGGATGCAGGGCAGCCCAGCAAATCGCGATCGTCGGCGGATTTGTTTTTCCGCTGATTAGGCTCGCTAGGTACCAATAAAAAACCTACAAGTACTACAAAGTACAAATTGGGCCCAAGGCAGATAACAACAGTAGATGGCCTTTAATGTCAATGCCAGCAACACCTCTCAATCCCTCATACCTACCTACCTAGTAGGCACCTATAGGTATTTGAAATGGATCAGGGGAGGTTGATCAGGCACAGTCAGCGGAGAGAAAAGAAAGAAGGAAAGAAAGAAGATGCAGAAAGAGGGGCATTCATGGGTGTATAAATCGTGCTCGTTTATAGATTTGATGCTTGACCGAAAACAAAAGAAGCGGCATATTTAGTCCAAGCACGACACGAGTCTCTTCCGCCCCTGAACAGGGCCTTACCGGGGTCGACGCCCCATCTTGCCGCGGAAACTGGGCGCCGTCTTCAATCTGCGAGCAATTTACAGCAGTCGTACTATGTAATACACCTCAAGAAGCACACAACTACCCCAAAAATGCCAAGGTGTGCAGATGCTAGACGTCGTCCTCCCAGGATCATGCCCCGCAAAGCGCCAAACAAAGATGCGCCGGCGGGTATCCGCCATAGCCATTTGACAAATTCCAAAAAAAGGGACGGCACGGCGGCATGAGCGTTCCCTGTATTCCTGTCTATACGAAGCTGCTAGCAGAAGGGCCTTTGAGCAATTGCCCAACTGCTTCAGAACAAGACGTGCAACAGCATGAATCTCCTTGCTGCCAGCCCCACCCCGTCAAAATGGACCCCTGGACAAAAGAGCCCTGAGCCCTGGAGCCCAAGGCAGCGAGCTCTGACCAGGTCGACAATGCTAATGCTACGGTAAATCTCGACGGCGAACCGCTGTGCTTTCTACAAGGGGATGACGAGGAACTTTCGCTGCTGATGCTCGACAAAGATACCCTCTCGCTCGGGCGATGGAGGATGCAATATCGCCGAGCGGTTACCATGTACCGTTTCACTGCGTGTCCAATGACATTGGGTCTGACTCCGATGACGGATTGGGGTGATGCGACGACCAATTGCCGCAATGGTGTTTGTCGACATGCGCATCATGCGTATTGGCCCTCTCTTGCATTCGTAGTCCGAGTGCAGCCCTCTAGTCTAGTAGCATACTATGTAGGTAGGGCTCCGACATCTGGCCGTGGGTGGTTTGGTGGATGGGGTGCAGTCGGAATGGCCAGCCGAAAATCCTCTGCTTGTTGGTGCTGCTCCGCGAGCGTACTTGTACAATCAACGAAACAGAAGGATGTCGAGCTAAGCAGTGCCCTGTGCTCGTCCTCGTTGCAAGGCTTGGTCCCCATTCCATCCGCTCTAATGGTAATGTTACCTACTCGTATAGGGAGGTCGATTCGGGGCTTTTGGCATCCCCGGCAAAAGCCAAGTGCACACTCTTGCGTCTGCCCACCTGGTTGGTCGGCGGGTGCTTCTCCCACCTCAACCCTGGCAGGCAAACCCCGGGAAAGCATGCCTGTTGGCACATGGAAAGTCTCCCTGCGGCTAGTGCACGATCCCGCTGGAATGGGAAGCTGGGTTAGGCCCAGAAGAGCAGGTGAGCGTCTAGTCGCGGATGTTGCGTCGTCGACTTACATCGTGGTGTTTCTGAAAACAGATCAAGTGCGTCTAGAAGTGGCCGTCTTGGTTCTCTGCACACACTAATTCATGGCTAGCCTGAGGGCCGAATGCCTCGAGATTCGCCGACGCTGCTTGGCCCACTGACCTTGGGAGGTGAGACAGTGGGTAAGATGCTTAAAGTGTCGATCTAGATCTGTACATGTAGGTTTCGTTGGCTGCTTGTGCTCTGCCAAGGGCACATGTCCTCGTACACCTCGTACAGCGTCAGCCCAGAGCGACAAGTGCAAGCTTGGTTGCTGTATTTTCACATGATGGAGAGTACCAAGGTACCAACTATATACCAAATAGGGGTCGCAGGCCGACTGATGGATCGCAAACTGTTGCCTACTGTGTTGGATCGTGGCTCCGAGAACTTGGCCGTCGCCGCGCTAGGTAATCATCTCTTCCGCGGCCTCAGTTGATTTCTGACCTCGCTTGGATATCTTGGCTTAATACTACTACTGCTCCTCTAATCAGATAGCACGAGTGCATGTAATACGGGGGATGCAGGATCAGAGCCGCTTCCTTGTTGCGCCAATGATACATGTGAGCATCACAATCTTACATGTACTTTTTATATCCGGTGCTGCATGGGTAGGTAGGTACATGTAGGTAGTATAGTACGGTGTAAGCTGGCTTCGGCATCCATCACATCAACCACCACATGAGACGAAGACGGGTAGGCTCCTACAGGCGCTTGGCGCGTTTGGTGATGCAGATCAAGCACCGTCAGGCCATGTAGAAGCGTCTGGGTAGCATTGGATGCCCGTCCTTGGGTGCCGGACCTGGATCTGATTGACGGCAAATACTCCCTCGGCTACTCGCCCCTGCAACCGCCTCAGCACTGCAGCACACCCTCTTGCTCATGCTCGTACGGGCACTCGGCAAGTAAATATCGCAAACCCTCACCTCACGCCCCGGAACGGAAGAGCACGCCGGCCTCCTAGTTATGAAGCGGCGGCGCCGGCGGAGAGTGTGGAGAAGCAGCCAGGATTGTGTCACCGTGGGACTCAGACAGTCCCGGCTCAAATCGACGGCTATTCTGGAGGGGGAGGGGGGTGCAATGCAGGGCGAGTGCGAGTATTCCATACGGAGTGCGAATGCAACAAGCATCGCCCTGACTGACATGACCAGGTAAGTACAAGTACGGGACACACGCTCTCGGCATAGCTGCAGAGGCTCCGGAGTCAGCGAGAGAGCCAGCATCGGGGATGGCCTCCCTTTGGGGAATAGGGATCATGACCATCTCAGACGCCAGGCAGCCACCACGGTCACTGCTAGTATTCGGTGTACGAGTATTACGAGTAGTACTATGTATACTTCACCGTTGCCCAGCGTCATCGGAGTCTGAGGCCCGCGAGCTTGGAGGTTTGGCGCTCCGTCCCTCGGCCGAGTAGTACGGAGGAACGCAGTTGGTGGTTTATAAAAAAAGCGCCAGCCCTAGTCGCATCACCAATCTTTATTCAGACTTGCCCATGTCCATTATGACCTGATGACGGATGCTCCATACCTTAACCCATCCACATCGCGATAGATAAATTTTTTTTTTTCCTCTCCTTGGCCCGTTGCAAAGCGCACTCCCGGTCGCCAGTTGCAGCTGCTGCGACCCTGATGGACTCTCCGCGCTTGGCTGCTACGCTGCGTCGACAAAGTACCGAGACAGGTCTGTGCTCGATGCATTGAATCAAATCAAAGCAACTCCATCAAACCAGGTGCAGAAGTGCCCTGATTGTCCGCTGCTGGCCCGCTCCGATGGTCAGAATCGCAGGCCCATTCTGGAAGCCGACGGGACCTCGATTTGCAAGGGGTTCCATTCGGCAGCTCCCCGTGTTGGTCTGCTAAATCAGGTACATACCAGCATATTGACCTCTATAGGTACCTAATACCTACTGAGGTCGGTACTAACTGCCCTGTATTACTGTACGGCATCAAATCAATCAGGCGACTGTTACGGAGTACAGGTGCCAACAACAACACCCTATACGGCATTCAGTCTCCCATTCCCCCATTATACCGACCTCTTTCCGAGTTACCTTCAGGCCTGCACCTTGCAAACCCTTTACGAGGTACCGGTACAGGCCCACCATATTTATTCAAAGGCACAATCTCGATTTAATTTTTTTTTTAATCAATCACTTGATCCATCGCTCTTTTAAAGCTTCGTCTTGGCCCATCTCTACGCCATGGACTTGTCAGGGCTGGCTAGTGGCAAGTCTATGGATGAGAGTGCGGCGTCGTCATCGCTGGGCTCGACCTCAACTCCAGCTTCAACGGCAGCTCCAGCCTCAACGACAGAAGTCGATGCGCCCATCATCTACGGAAGAGTCGACGCCGAAAACGAAGACAACCTCGAGCTCCTCCGAAGCGTCGCGGAGCATGGCGCTCTGAGCCGTGCCAAACTATTGAGGCCATCTCCGGTGCAGCCCAGCGCCCAACGGCGTGACGACGCTATTATGCAAGGTACTGCAGCTCTTCCAGTTCCCACCACACCAATCTGTCCTCTGTATTGCATCGTATCTGCACCTCTGCGATCCGAACCTCCATCTTTTCTCCTTTCTTTTCTTTTCGTATTTTCATCCTCTTCATCCATCCATCGCTCTGTTTGGTTAAAAATCGGTTAATCTAACAATGTGGACGTGGACATCTAGACGCAACCGACTCGGGCTCTACGGATGACGACAAGATCCAATCAGGCCACCACTTACCGGCGTCCAACAAACCGCCTCCACTGCTCGCCACACCCCCGGAGATCATTGACACGATCCTCTCCCATCTTTCCGCATACGACCTCGCTTCGGTTTCTGCGACATGCCATGCTTTGCGCCAGCATGCCCTGTCTGATCTCCTCTGGCAGCCCCTCGTCCAGCAAAACGTCCCTGCGGTCCAAGTCACCAGCACTGGTGCGTGCAAGAGCTACCGCGAGCTGTATGCAGCCCACGATAGGCTGTGGTTTCTGCCAAAGTACAAGATCTGGTTCTGTGATCGAGATCTGACAGGAAAGCTTATTCTGGTGCGCTATGACCCTAGGCGCAGCTGCATCGAGGGCTACCAGCTGGTCGCGGTTAGCAACCAATCGACCTTTGAGCACTGGTCGGCAGATCACGACGTTATTATTCATGGCTTCGAGCCGGTCGTGAGGCTGCATCTCGACAAGCCCGTCCTGCAGTTCCGTGTCCGAGATAGGCAGGAGGATGGAGGCTTCTCCAGCAGACCCGGCGCTAACCGCTTTGCCGACGAGATGCCCATGGTCTTAGACGAACGGCTAGGTGGCATGTTTAGCAATTTCATGCTCACGAAGCCATTGAGCTCTGAGGAGGCGGATCAACGGGTGGAATTGGGCTACCCCTACGGCAACATGTGGCCGTCACCCGTCATCCCGGCCAACCACTATGTATCCGGCGCCCAGACACCTCGGAGTCTCGCCTCCCTGACTCCGCGAGACCGCCCTCGCACCAGGTCGCAGGTTTCGGACCAGACTTTCTGCATTCGGCAGTGGATGGAGTTGACGGGCACTCCCGGCCCTCTCAGGTTCATGGGTCAGGGGGGTCTCGCAGGAGCTCTTCAGGCCCTGGTTGAGGAGATTGTAGAGGAGGAAGCGGCTGGTGCTGGCGCTGGCGCTGGAGGCCTTGGTGTCCATATTGGCGAGGAGCTTATCACGTACTCGACTCTTGACCCGGCTCTCTACACTCCGACACGAGAGAAGCCGTGGAGAGGAATTTGGGTCGGGGACTATAGCGCACACGGTTGTGAATTCTTGTTAATCCACCAGCCTGACGATCCGCCGGCCACAGATGCCGAATTGGGCATTTTCCGCGACGAAAATGATAGCGATGAAGAGTGGGAGCAAAAGAGGCTAGATGCCAGGGTGTACAGAGGCCGCTTAGAAGGCATCAAGTTGACAGGCGACCCTAATATCCCGAGGGGCGAATACACCTTTGTAGCCAACGACTTGGGGCCAGATGGCTACGTGAGAACAGCCACAGACACCCAGTTCTCCGGAGCCAGAATAGTCAAGAGCGAAGGGCACATTGCAGCGACTGGTTTTCTCAGAGGTAAGTAGAAGAGCACACACAACTCACAATTAGTCGGGTTCCAGTACAAGCTAACAAGGGAGCGACAGATAAGTACATTGAGAGTCAGCTAATCCTCATCAGCCCAAATAAGCTTGCGCAACACTGGGTTGGATTCGGACATATTAGCTTTTTGGAGAGAGTCAACATTGACCAATTACTTGTGCCTTGAGTTGAGAGGCCCACGGAGGAAGCTGGATAGCGGATAACGATAGCATTAATGAACGGGATCACAATCTTTAGGACAGCGCATCAACCGGTTTTTCACAACGATACCCGCTATGACGAAACATGGCCATTTCTAGGAGTTTGTCTATATGGAAGCGACGAATATTCCCAGGTTTGAATTGGATGGCGAAGGAGGCTAATATGAAGAACTCGATTGCTCCAAGGTCATCATGTATATAGGGAATCATCACATTACTAAAAGATATTTTATGTGAAACATTTCTCTCAGATGAGAGAGTCAGCGAAGTCAAGACGTGTGAAACTACCAAGTAGTCGATTATTATACTATGACTAGACGGTGTCATGTGTATACAAAATATATCCAACACAGGTAGAAGATAAGTAACTATCCTAACATATATCCAAAGCCCATGACTCATATATTCATGTACCAAGTGTTCAATAGCAGTGCTCCAGTCGCGCCAAGGCCAACGACACGCTCATAAACAAAGAATCTCGGGAGCCATACTGGCGAGGCATCTTTACTGGGTGCCAACGGGAGATGTGCAAAGGACGCCAAGGCCGGCCTTGATGTTTATTAGTACCTATCAATAATGTAGATGGAAGAGTCGTTTGGGGAAAAGTTTTAGTACTTACAACGGGGAGAACACAGCAGCGAGGACGCCTGCCACTCGCGGCGCAGGTGCTCTGGAAGCTAGCGGCATTCTGCGGAGCAGTAGTGGCTGTGCTTCATTAGTATCGAAGAAGATGTTCAGGATCAAGGCAAAGGGGGTTGACGTACGAACGATGCAGTCGAGATCGGCGACACCAAGGACGTCGGTAGCGCAGCATTGAGGTGAGGCAAACAGGCCGGTAGGGCAAAGGGCTGAAGCACCGCCGTTGCCGTTGCCGTTACCGTTGCCGTCACCGTTGCCATTTCCATTACCATTACCATTGCCATTGCCGTTGCCATTGCCGTTGCCGTTGCCGTTGCCATTACCGTTGCCATTACCATTGCCGTTGCCATGACCGTTACCATTGCCGCCGTTGCCAGGGAGGGTATAGTCAGGAGGAGGAGGAGGATAGTAAAGGCCGGGAGCTGCGAGGACAGCGGCGAAGAAGACAGTGGTGACTGCGAGGAACTTCATTTTGAATAGTGGTTTGGAGGTTTGTCTTGGAGACTAGAGTATTAGAGATTAAGTAGAAGATGTTGGGGAAGGCTTTTGAATGCTGAATTGTGACTGTGAGTGATGAGGAAAAAAGATTGGATTGAAGAGAGATGATGGGGGATATTTATATTCAACTGGAGTTGAAACTTTTGTACTGATTCTCTCTCCGTCTCTGAGTACTTGCTTGCTTCTCTGTAAACAAATTGATGTGCCATTACAGTCTGTGCTCGGCCAAGAAAGTGAGTTTTCGGTTATTTACGAACCCCTGTTGATGTCTCCCTTACATGAGTATCGGGGTAGTATTCTTTTGAAATGGTGAGCAGCTGAAAACATGGATACTGTACTACCATAGGACATTGTGATGACACGTCAAGACTCCTCCTCCTCTTGGCCGATCGGTGGAGAATGTCTCAGTTCAATGAAGCCATGATCCTTCTAAGTAGGGGAGAGTGAAGCCGGCTAGATTGGATGATGGTGGAAACAAGGTTTGTTACTGGCTCATACAGTATATCTAATCTTGGGGACAATTATTCTATATGATTTGCATTATTGGATGCTTTACGGAGCATGATATACATCATTGTATCTCGTTTATTTTGCATTAGTATCTGTATTTCTTGAAATTCGTTATAAAATGGCTCTAACCAAGGAGACAGCTGAGCAGAGACAGCGTACATACTCCATGGAGAAAAAGCAACATGAGAAGGGAGAATGCTTGTACTTCGATTTGCCACATGCCTAATCCACCAACGTCCTAGTGTTCGTCACCTCCTTGCTTTGATTGTGGGGGCAGAATCTGACTGATCACTACTTCATGTATTCTCGTGGACGCTGCCTTGAGCAGGCTGAGACGCCATGCTGGACTGTTGGCCCTTGGTCTCTCGATCTCAACTCTAACGTAATAATCGAGCACTAAATCTGAGTTTCTAAAAAAAGATACGACGCTATTTTTGCATTTATTTACTTTTTCTCGTGCATGTTTTCATTTCACCTGCATAAATACGGAGTTGTACTGCCGCTATAGGGATGTACGGCCCTACGGAAGCACGGCCCGGCGGAGATGAGATGGTTCCGATAACTGACAGTTCGGCAGTTGGCATATACGAATACAGGCACGGGTGACACATTTGCCATTATATCCGAGACTACCAAGTAGGACTTAGAGGCGGAAGAACTCCGACGGTCCGCAGAGTTTCATCACAGCGATTTTCTGTGGTCATCAATACTACTAATACTACTTGTATATCAGGCCATGAGAGGGTCTAGAGGAGAGACAAAGGTTTGGCTGCAGAAGAAATATACGAGTAATGTTGCTTTTTCGAACGCGGGTTAGTGGATCAACACCACTTATTTCAAGTACAATGATGATCATGATCGTTCGAGTCTTACTTGCACACTCGTATGAGTAGAGTAGCATAATAGCGGGGCGCTTTTGCGGTGTTCGGCACGCCTGTCTTTCAACAACTCATAACAAAGGAAATCCCTTGACATCCCGATGGTAACCAGCGCTCTTTATTCGCTGCCTTGGAAAACTTGAGGGCCGACGGCCTAAAGCCGAGAGTCCTAACATTCAAGGGAGATAAACGTCCATGTTATGGCTTAGCAGCTCATATGGCTGCAGTGTTTGTTTCATGCAAGGGAGATAGGTGCCGAGCTACAACCAATAGTCCTTCGCTTACAACTTTAGGGGCATGAAGCCTCACTCCGCGTCTATCAAACAAGAAAAAGAAAAGAAAAAAAAAAAGGCCCCCAACTGGACCAGCTCAACAATTCCAGCACCACCTAAGCGCCCACTCCGAAGCAAGATTGCATAAATATTGAGTAGGACAAGCACATGGATGGAGTATGTAAGCCAATTGACCCTTGTAGGTATGAAATGGCCAGAAATGAACCCCAGCCACGCCAAAATAGCGGCCAGATTGCCCGGATATCGCTACAATACAGTTACCATTACGCACTGATGCAGTCGAAATCGAGTTTGGTTTAGTTAGAGGAGCAACGGCTAATGCTTGTCCAAGACAGCAGAAAAAAAAGAAAGGTGCTCAAAGACCACGCTCGGAACTTTTCGGATCATCGAGGATCAAGTCAGAAAACTAAAAATGCAGGGCAAAAATATGCCTCCAAATCACTAACGTCAACAGATAGAAAAGGGAGGACAGCAAAGTGACGGCGAGATTGAGTGTTCCGATCGGCCGAACCACAACAGGACCAAAATCGCCGGTTCGATCTTCCTCACAGCTGTCAAATCGCCCGTCCCACTACTCTAACCTCGGATGAGATGCATTAGTCTAGCAAGCTTAGATTGTCTTTTAGATTAACCTGGGCCGCCCTTGCTCGTCGCCCAGCCAGCCCCCGATGCCGGCCGATTCAGCTTCTCTTCTCAAGCTAGCTTCATCGGCCGGCTGCTGTTAAGGGCAGGCCGCAATTTGAGGCGGATGGTTGCTTTCCTTGTAGAGTAACGTCGGAGCAAAGTTTGATTCCGAGCTCAGCTCGAACTAGGATTGAGAGGGAATGAGGAGGGATCTCGATACCGCGGCTACGCTTTGACATGTAAAAGTGGGTTTGTGTTCTGTAACACTGTCAGCCATATGGTGTCTGTGTGTACCACAAATGTCAAGAATAGATCCACACACTCTAATTTCACAAAGGCTTGAGCCATGAGTACGAGTAATATGCAAAGGGTATGTTGTCGCACAACGCACAGCTTGCGCTGAATCGAGTCATCTGGCATGGTGAGGAATCAATGCGTCCTGACCGACTCCAAGCCACACGCTCCCTGCATAAGACTTACCTGATCGATAATCAGGGAAAAAGCAAATCACTCAGCTACCTGGCACGGCCCAATACTAACACCCCATACTCCATATTATACGGTGAGTCTACCGGTGGCTCGGCGTGCGACTTCAGTCTCTCTCTCTTGGAATAGAGGTACCGGAGATTATTCTTATGTGCGTAGGCCATCAGATAGCAGAACAGTATCAAATTGCCTGGCCATCATAGGCTTCAATATTGCATTGTAGTAGACGGCTTACTTTGGAGAAGTCACTTTGGGTCTTCGTTTATCGCTCAGTGACCAACTACCAGGTCATTGGTGGCCACATGCATAGGCAGGTCTCACTTGTTAATTGGGTCTCACATTTGGCTGACCTGTGACGTCTGTTTTCAGCGCATGACAAAACCTGATGTTTATGTCTCAGATATTGGACGAATGCAAGGAGTTGTTGTGACAAGATGCTAGCATCCTCCCTTGATGGCGTAGAGAAGGGAGATTGCGGCTGAATGTCAAATGACTCCGCATTGTATCAATGATCGTATACGTAGTGTTGATTCGTTGCAAGCTCCAAGTTGTAGGCCTCCATGGTCAGGACTCAGCTGAGATACTGGGGCTAGCTCACTTCGCTTAGAGTATATGGCTTCAGCCACTCATTGTTACTCTCATCTTGGCTGCTTAGCTTCCAAGACGGTAAATGTGAGATAGCAGCCAATACGTTGAGACCATTAGGCACCAACTGAACCACGAGCATGTCGTTGTTCCCGTGCTACCCCTCTTGTTTGACTTGGTACAATCTGCCGAGTCATCTGAATCTGGGGATGATGCCTTACCTAGACATCGGAAAACAGCACCACGAATATTATGTGAGAGTCACTGTCAGCTAAAGGACCGTGTAGCAAAGCTGATAGAAAGCATCCTGTTGGTACCAAGTAGGATTGTCACATATGGCCTTGCCCAAGGCTTGGCTCGCTGCCTCTTGAAGCGCTCCAGCTTTATGCGGAGCCTATCATTTTTGGCGTCTCATTTTGAGACCAAGAAATATGTCGCAATGGATTCTAAACGGAGAAGCCTAGTTTGAGGGAGCACTGCATATAACATGAAGCTTTAGACATGTACCCAAGAGCTCGCCTCCAGGTTAGTACACATCGTGTAGGAGAATAGGCGACTATAGATGGCTAGTCGTAGATTCTTGTATTACAGCATTTGTGCCCTGGCTAGTAGGTATCTTTTTAAAGAGCTGGTGTAGCAGTTGGTGATTTGATCGTTTTCTGTTCATAAAGGACACCTAAACATCGGTTATTATAATGCAACGCAAACAATTATGTATCTTTTACGCCATAGAGTACGCTTCAAACCGTAAACAGATCGATTCCTCACTGCGATCAATATGTTGTCACGCGTAGAACTACCTGCAGGCACAGCACAATGAAGTCATCAGTTTCATCAAGTCCTCTCCAGGGTAGCAACACACGTAACCAGTACGACAGATGCTACTCAAGCGACACCTCCTCAGGTCCCGCCCGCAGACGGCAGCAGTCATGTCGACGAATCACAGTGCTGCAAACGCCGAATTTGCCACTCAGCTCCAGCGCTTCAGCCGCCTGCAGCCGCTGAAGTCTCAACTGGATGCAGCGGGGCGGCAGTGTACCGATGGGGTACTGTTGCTGCTGCGGGCCAGTAGCGGATACCTGGCGGTACACCGAGCTCCGTAGACTGCTCCTCAATCCGGCGATCCGCCTGCCGATCGCCGTACCTACAGGTAGCTGTGCAGGTCTCACTACCTATCCCCTTCACTCTCTCACCATCATCAAACTCCCGCTCAATGGGCCGTGAATTCGTCCACGATCCATCTGGGATGGCTTACGAACTGGCCAGCTAACATTTCCTATATCTAACTGTTTTGTTATCTCCTCTACGGGCATCTCCCGTCCTCGCAATTGGTCTCGCCGCAACGCTGTGCTTCCCCAAGTGGAGCGGTGAAACAAGTCGTCATCGACATCATGTCAGAGCCGGATCTCGTCGGGGCTTCAGTCGACAGCCCAAACAGCTCCGATGGCGTGCATCGACAGGCTGCCATCCTCGACCGCCATCTTCCGGAGGGCTATTCGGCCGATCCAGAGGTGAGCTTGGCCACCGAACCCGTCGAGGTCGCCGTGGAACCCGTTCTCGCTCCTTCATCGGCGAGCCAAGATCATTTCGAGTCTCCCGCGGCCTCTGCGACAGAATTGGGTGCTTCCAGCAATGACAATGGACAAAATGGAAGCAGTGATGCAACACCAACTCTGGAGACGCTAGAGTCCTCGCTGAAGCTCCAAGGTGGCGACATCCATCGCGACATGTTCAAGATCAAGGCCCGAGCCAGCTCCCTTCGCCGATCCAACACGTTTTCTCATCACCCTTCGCCCCACCTGGGCCCGACCGATGAGTTGACGCATTCCGAGCAGCTTGAGCCGGGTGGTTTTAGGCGGCAGCACCTGCTTCGCCGAGCTCGACAAAGGCGGCAGAGCGGACTCATCGTGGCCAATACCTTTGTCGATTTCCTCGACCTGTATGGCAGCTTTGCTGGTGAAGCCCTCGAGGATACTGACGAAGACGAAGACGAATCTGCCGTTATTGAGGGGCCTGAAGAAGCCATTGAGGATGATGAGCAACGTCCGCTGCTGGTGCGGCCCAAGGCCGATCGCCGGAAGAGCTCCCGACGCCGTGGCCGCGAGGGTGATGCTAGCACGGTCAAGACCTTCTTCACGCTCATCAAAGCCTTTATTGGCACGGGTATCTTATTCCTCCCCAAGGCATTTCGCAATGGAGGTATCCTCTTCTCCTCTCTTGCACTGGTTTCTGTATCATTGGTCAATTGCTTTTGCTTCCGCTTGCTGCTTGACTGCCGCCACAAATATGGCGGTGGTTATGGAGAGATTGGTCAAGCCATCGTCGGCCCTCGGTTTCGAAGCCTGATACTTGCATCAATTGCCATCTCTCAGCTCGGATTCGTCTGCTCGGGCATCATATTTACGGCAGAAAATCTCTTCTCGTTTCTCGACGCTGTGACTAAGGGTGCCGGTCATTTTGGAGTGCCAGCTCTAATTGGACTTCAGTTTCTCCCCCTCATCCCGCTCGCTTTGATCCGCAACATCTCTAAGCTAGGCCCTGTTGCATTAGTGGCAGACGCCTTCATTCTTATTGGACTTGTGTATATCTGGTACTACGATATTGGAAGTCTAGCCAGGCACGGCATCGAGCCGAGCGTCAAGTTGTTCAACCCTACCGACTTCCCTCTGACCCTTGGCTCAGCCATCTTTACGTTTGAGGGGATTGGCCTAATTCTTCCGATCCAGTCAAGCATGAAGAAGCCACATCATTTCAAGGGCCTTCTCTATTTTGTCATGTTCCTTATCACAGCCATCTTTACGTCGGTTGGAGCACTCTGCTATGCAACCTTTGGTGAGAAGACCAAGATTCAGATCATCTCAAACTTCCCCCAAGACTCTCCCCTTGTCAATGCGGTTCAATTTCTCTACTCGCTGGCGGTGCTAGCAGGTGAGCCTGTGCAGCTGTTTCCTGCGGTGCGTATCTTGGAGACATCGATTTTCGGGGAACGAGCCACCGGCAAGAAGAGCGCGGCAATCAAGTGGAAGAAGAACGGCCTTCGGACGCTTACCATTGCCGCCTGTATCGGCGTTGCGGTGGTCGGTGCAAGTGATTTGGACAAGTTTGTGGCTCTGACAGGGTCGTTTGCTTGCATTCCCTTGGTGTACATGTACCCAGCATATTTACATTATAAGGGTGTTGCTGAAAGTAAGAGGGAGAAGTGCTTGGATATCGTGACAATGGTTGTTGGAGCTGTTGCCATGGTCTATACGACATCCGTCATCGTAGCACAGTGGATTCAAGGTTGATGATATTCAGTATGTAGAACAGCTCGTAGGCTATGTATGACGTGAGCAGCTTGACGGAGTACGGCCCGTCTGATGTCTGACATATCTTCGACTTGGAATGGACAAACAGTAACTTCAGACGTATCCATTTTTTTTTCTTATGCTGATGCCATGCACTTTGAGTAGTTCAATAGTGAATGACGCGACCCTTTTTGTACGAGAGGGATTCTGAGCGACACCTTACCCATGATGAATCGGTGATGCTGAGCAGGATATAGTCTATTTGAAACTGCTTTCAAGCACATACGACAATAGGTAGTGAGAAACTCGGGATCCCGTCAAGTTTCTTTATCGAGGTTCAGAGTCTGCGATTTTTGGCGTGGTGTGGCCCCGGATTCCAAACAATTTCGTTTTCAGAAGTCGTAGAATAAACAGTATATATATATATGTACTTATCGTTACAATGACGAACCATCAGACCAGAATAACAGGAGCCTACAGAAAAACAAAACTTTTAGATAATACCGAGCAATCCCCGAATCAACTTTACCACCCAAATGCACTCTCAAAATACTCAATAGAGCTGTTCCGTGTACGTATAGCCCGATACGTCGCATCCCTGGCTGCATCTGACATCCCGGCAGGACCACATGTCATCACAGCAAGCCGTGATCCGGACTCGGTAGCAGCGGTCGCTGCTCTCTCAATGATTGTCGGGATGTCAGGCCTGCCCGTATCAATAGTCAGAGAACCGGTTGCAGATATGCTATCCGTTGATTCAGAAATATCTGTCTCTTCTTTGCTCTTGAGCACGCCGCTCTCTGCGGACACTTTGTCCGCATCTCCAATTGGGATTTTATCTGTAGCGTCGATTGAAACCTTGGCAGAGTCTGTGCAATAAAACATACATCTGATCTCATTCAGCGTAAGCGCTGCCGCAAGTTCCTGCTGGGCAATCTGATGCATAAAGGCTCGATTACGATCGGACCAAACGAGTGTCAATCCGCGTATGCGTGTTCGGCTCGATTTATTCGATGCCTGTGAGATATAGTCAAGCACGTAAGGAACCATAGCTGCGATGCCAGATCCACCAGCAATAAGAAGGACCTCGTCAAATTTCTGCAAGGGCTCGCTCATGCCATAGGGGCCTTCAAGGAGGATGGTCTCTTTAGACGTTGCAGGGACCTGGGATGACTTTAGGCAGAGATCCCGGAGATGGCGAGTCCAGCCATCTTGTGGGCGGATCCAAAAAGACATGAGATACTCGCCTTCCATGGCCTTAGATGATGCCGCGATAGAGCCAACCGTTGTGCTACCTGTAGCTGGGGCTCCAGCCTGTCCTCTATGCTGGCTTTCTGTGGACTGGCTCCAGTAGGCCAACGTAAAAGGGTGACTCTCCCATCCAGTTAACCGGAAGGGCTGGTAGAGATAATAGTGCTGACCAGGTCTAGGTTTTATATGCGTGTTGATTTGAACACGGATAATATTAGCATCCTGGTCGTAGGATATAGCAGCGATGCTCCGATTGAGGGACTTTTTGTGCAGTTGGACGTGGAGGTTGCAGTAGACTACTCGAACGATCCTCAGGAAACGATCAAAGCTCCAGATAGCAACGAGAGGCCATAGATATGGATCATACTGCCCATCGAAAATAGATGTGTGGCTGTAACAGAAGCAGTAATTAGTACGTGATGGCATTTGAGCAGCGTATGTCAATGTAAGGACACATACTAAAAAAGAGCAACAATCACCACGACGGATAAGATGATGTGGATCATAAGAAAAGACTCGTATATCTTGCGTCGGAACCAACTGAAGGAGAATAAAACGATGAAACTCATTGAAATCGTTGCCTAAAGCGGACCAACATCAGTACACACAGTCGTGAGTATCAAGGGTCTTGAGGGGATTTCGGTCAGAAAGATTGTCTTACCACAACCCCAAGGGTAAACCAGGCTTCATGGAATGACTCACGGTAAGAGACCCCTAGATATAATCCCTCGTTAGTGGATGGCCTCTCTGGATAAATGAAAGAAAACATGGAATGCAACACACCCTCTCCGCTTGTGAAATAGAATGCTGTGTATCCGATGGAATGAAGGATGGCCTGCAATGTTGCTACGCGTGCAACGTGTCTGTGAAAGAGGTTGAACGTAGAGAATTGCCAGCCTGTTAACCAGATGAAAATATTGTTACGCCCACTGAACATCCAGAGTATTGGTAGGTTGGCGTAGGCGATGATGCCCGTTCGGTCGGCGACATATCGCCATATCTGAGGGGACATTGCAGACCAACTTCCATCAATGTCGCGTTAGCTTTTTATATCTCACCAACATGTTGTCCAGGCAATGCTACTTACTAAAGATTGCCATTAAATGGACGGTAGTTTACACAACAAAGTACAAAACTGATGATCCAGTATGAGAGGATGACGAATGACTCGATGCGAGTTGGTATAGTGCATCCAAACAAGAGCTGGCTGCGAAATGGCGGTAAAGCGCTCGGAATCGTAAGGTGTTTGGTGATCCGTGAATACGAGTATGCATTTGATTGGGTTCCAGATGCTGACTTCTCGCGACTATCCGCTCTTCCGGTGTCCTCAGGATCGGTAGATGAAGGAGGCAGGCGACGTTCATTGATAACAGAAATGAGTCGATGCAGGGTTCCGATGAGGATAACACCCCCCCAGAATCCGTACATTGCGAACCTGTAGGATTGAATATGTCAGTTTCAACCAGACGAATATTACCATATGACAAAGCTATGTCTCACCCATAAGCTCTGTGCGTTCGGGCCTCATAATCCCACGAGTCCTATATAATCTTGTTAATGCTGCTAAAAAGTAATACAATGGGCAAGGAAAGAACTGGAGAAAAGCATGCCTCTGTGCGGAAGCCCAAGTCGAACCAATCTCTCGTGATTAAAATCGGCGTCGTGAGATTAATTAAAGGGTTCGAATCAGCCTGATCAAGGACAGGAAAGCCCTTGATGGCTTCAATGGTCAAATTCGCAGCCAAATCTGCCTGTGATATAGGCTCTGCACCCCCATACTCCTGACAGGCCCACCCAAAGTAGCTGAAACCAGGTTCCAGGTCAGCTGGCGGGCAATAGGTCTTGGAGTTGGCGTAGACGGATATGGTTTTGAGTGGATTCGTGCAAAGCCCCAAGTAGTAATTGCCGTAGCCGACACCTTCAAAGTTGAGACCTCCGATAATTCCGAACACAGCGGAGACGCATTCCTGGTTGACAGCAATGGTGTTGGATAGTCCATGTGATGCGAATAGGCTGACAAGAGTCAGGAAAACTCTGAGGAGATGCCTTGCGGCGATCATGGTCACAAGATTTCTCCAAGCCCTCGGGAATGATATGTTCCACAGTAGATTGGCGAAACCTTTTCCTGAACTGGATGCCAAGATAGTTCATCGGCGTGGGAGCTTGCATAGTAAATACTATATATAACATGACTTTATAGCTATGAATCACATGCCGGTAGCCGCTCATGCCGCTGTCGGCTTTTGCTTCAACCTTCTACCCGCAGTTCAAGATTTTTCATCACAATCAGCCCTCATTCATCCACAACCCTGACACCATCAGCCAGTGGGATGGCACGCCCTTTCGTGATTGTATGCAGTCTCAGAAAGACTACCCTCCGGTAATTGAAAAAAATTCTCTGAGCATTGCCTGATATGGGCCTGATCCGCGGTCTAGATCACTTATTAAATACCTCGCGTTGGAAAGTGACTCAATCTCTTAGCTAACGATAAACTGATCTTGATCTTATCAGATGGAATTTGTGTCATCAGATAAGATTAGATCGTATTCTGTCATGCTACTAGTGCCTCTGTTGAAGGAAGGCCCACCTAAACGTCTCCGTCTACTTTGCCGGAATAGGAATCTCGTAATTCTCCTTGACCATCCTGCGGTTCTTTCTTCCCGTTGATTCAATGGTAGTGGGCCCATACAGTGGATAGTGGCTTGATTGCAACACTACACTGCAGTCTAGACTCTAGGTACCTTACGGAGGAGGTCTCCTCCAAGTGATAAACGGGAACCTGTAACTCACCATCAGAGCTATGGAGGCTTATGCCGGCAGAAATTGAGATAGGGAGATGTTTATGGGCAATATTAGCCATAGTCGGCACTTGTGGATTGAGCATTCAGGGGAATATATGTTAGACAGGGTAATTTGAAGCCCAAATCGGCAGTTATATTAGAGAGCGACTATCCAGCATCCCACGTTTACTATTCAGCATCCTGTTCTCAAATTTAAAGCGGTCTGGGCAGTGACAATAGCAGATATTCGAGGGATATATAAATGGTAGTAGATAGTAGCGACAGTAGCAGAAAATAGAGATAGGTACAGAAAGTAGCGAGAAAAATAGACACTCCAGGAACCGCATATCTATTTAAGTAATAGTCATGAATGATCTCCATTATGCCTTGCTACAACATTCGGAACTCTTCTTAGTCGCTGGGTGCTGGACAGCTAATATGGGGTGTTGAATAGCCCTTTCATTATTTTATCACGCTCGAGTATGTCTTGATTGTTTTCCTACTACGCTATTAATGCAGTCTTTAATTAGCTAGTGTTCCAAAGTTGATGAAGATCGAAGTGGCCGCAAAAGCTACCATTCATCAAGTCTCCATGGAATGAATGAGATACCCTTAGAGATATGAGCTTTCAAACTGAGTAGCTCTTTATGACGTTCGGTAGGATTTTTTTTTCCTTTGCTTTTCTTTTTTTACTTTATAAATAACAAACCTGTGAGCCCTTAGTGACAACTTTATAATCCATACTAACGTCTCTTGCATATCCCCATAGTTACATGGCATCGCATGATTTCTGGCTCCATACCACTATTTCTTTTTAGGGATACATTTCCCGGAACTATTTTAATGTGAAAATCCTTCGAATACATTACTTGCCACTAAGCAGCGCTTTACCAGAGGCTGAAGCTACCATTGCTAACCAGCCAATTAGCGAGTCAGTGGCTATATCTATTTATGGTGGAGCGGTAGCCACTGTGGGAATCCGGCACACTAATCACTAATAGATTGCAAAACTCCGTGGATGTGAGATCTCTGGGTGCTGGTGCGGCTTTTGGTTATGTGGATGCTGATTTTTAGTAACATTCGCGAATCTGTGTGAAGCTGGTCAAATATGATTGTGTATTTTCACCAGCTACTGCTCGCAACCGTGCGAGTGCTTTATCCGCAAGCGAGATATTTATTATAAAACCAGCTCCTCCACACTAGTTCTCAGAATACCATGACGATCAATTCCAGCCCTAAGGTTGGGATGCTAGCCACATAAAAGTGCGTAGTTGAGAATTACGGTCTCAGGAAAGCAAATTTCTTTCAGGTCTGTAGTTCTGGCCAGATAGTGGCCCAAAACGCCAGCTGCTGTTTCCGGTAATCGTCATTCTCAATGAAACTCCCTCCTTCGCGGAATACAATGTTTTGAGGATGCCTGGAATCATATGTTGGCCATTTTGGAAGGTTCGGGTCTTGGAGTCCATGGTTATTGGGATTGAGATCATGGACAAATGACACCCAAGATCGCGACATAAATGACTGAAGCCTTGCATAGCTTGGGTAGGGCCCAATGAAGTTACTGTTGTTATTGGGGTTGTCAAACACATACACAATCTGTGATTGATGATTAGCAAAGAAACGCTGAGATTGAAACAGTTAATAAATACCTCAGAGTAGTGTGTCACATATACCGGCGGCACAATCATGATGGAGGGTTCCCTCATATCCCAAGGCGCTTGGTCGAATCTATATGTGTAGATTGGCTTTTTGCTTCGAGTGCTATGCCAATTTGCATAAAATCTTCGTCCTGAATGCATAAAGTAATCGCCAGCAATAGCAGCGCCGCGCTTGTACTGATATCCCTGATCCGCAAACCGTTCGGGTCCAGTCCCGAAGGGGCAACCCCAAGTAGGGTCATCTGGATATAGCTTCATAACCGTTTCTACTGTTGTATTGTCAAGACCGCTTCCAAGAGCCCGGATGTAGTTGGATACTTCCTCATCAGTGTTCAAAGGATTAGCACGGGGTCCTAAGAAAACAGCAGTGCCTTCGTCAGTATTAGTGCCCATGATGATGGCAACATCGGCGATTTCTCCTTTTTGGATAGACTGTGACGGTAATTGTGAGATGAACTCTCCATCCATGATTGGTGTTTGCCGGAAGCCAGTGCATGCGTCGTACAAAGTCTCATAGGGAACAGTTCGTAGGCAAGCCAGGCTGTCGTTCGAGGTACTGCAACCCACGGTTGTTGTAATGTTGTCGTACATGCCTTGATAGCTTCTCTGCAGTTGTTCAGGGGTATTAACTGTAGGATTAGCTAGGTCTTCTTTGCTCCATTTAAGGGGTTTCAGTCATACTTGGAGCTCCCAGCAAACTCGCGCTCTCCATAATTGCCCCGCGGAACAGCCCATCATTATTGCCATTGAAGCCAATTAGATGATAGCCCGTGCTGGAGCCACCTGCACTCTCTCCTGCGATGGTGACCTGGCACATGTTAATAATTGTTCACCTGCGGTAGAGAGTATTTACCATTTTAGGATCCCCACCAAAGCTCTTAATATTCTCTTGGATCCATTTGAGGCCTTGTCGCTGGTCAAAGAGTCCGAGATTGCCAACATTAGCATCTAGGACTTCTTTAGATGCCAAGAAGCCGAAACACATCGTTCGATAGTTGATAATAGCGCCCATAATAGGCTTATTCATATCCATAGAATTCTTGACGATATATGACATATTGTATTTGGGATCAGCAGACCCGCCGGCAATGAAACCTAAATGCAATTAATTTGGTTATATAGTAGAATACCAGGGATAGTGAGTTTCATTTACCTCCACCATAAAACCAAACGAAGACAGGTAATTTTTCAGAAGGCTTAACATTGGCTGGCCGGACAATATCAATAGTCAGGCAGTCTTCTCCCAGGGTAAGTCCGTCAATAAGACTACCCCCAACAAGATTAAGTGGGAATGAGTTAAATCCTGGACAAGAGTCAGATCGAACTGTTGCATTGCGTATCCCAGACCAAGATTGGTTATATGGCAGGGATCTTCGGAGGCGAAGGTCTCCAACAGGTGCTTGAGCATATGGAATGCCGTAAAATGCTTCTTGATTAAAAGATGGAATGCTCAACCCTGAATACGTCCCATTGATAGTGTGAACCGTGGGTGAAGACACAACAGAGACAGCAAGAGCATGCCCTATGAGGCTGAGGAAGCAATAAGCCTTGAACAACATAGTCTCAACTGTTACCCGGATGAATGGGCTACAACTACTTGAACTTACGAGTCTATGGAGTATGGAGTTTAGAGAGACATTTTATACCTATCATTCAGACTTAGACAGTTCTTTCAAACTCATTATAGAGACAAACACCTAGTGTGTTGTTCTCCGCAGCGGAATGGCTTTCCCACGATAGTCTAATTCCCCGCATCTCCCCGTTGCCTTGTTTCCAGGGGTTCCGGTTTGCTGGTCTACTAATCATTCATGGCCATTATTAGCTGGCATCCGATGCTAATACTCTTTGATGTCAATTAGCCATCGATATTTTATGTGGATGATGTGGTGATTTCAGTTGTGATGCTGCCACAGCCTAAACGGAAAATGTCTACACGATGTATACCTGTAAGCTCATTTTTTTATGCATCCCTTGATGCCCTTGGGAGCATCCTCGTGCCCACTCTGGACGAGCCAACTGATCATCGCATCGATTTAGTTTTCCATCCACATCTGTTAACAGATTTCCCACTCATTTCTGTAAAAGTTGTTCTAAACAGATTCTTTACAACGGTTTCATCAACTGCATCGAACATTTCGAACATTTCGCTAATTGAGACTTACCCACATTCTATGATGAAAAGGGAGATATAGTCATACGCAAATATATATCCGCACACATATATATCAGTGCGCTTGAAGGAACCAATCAAAATGACTTGGACGAGTAACTGCCATGGCTAGATATTGGTATTGAAGTAGTTAGTACATAACCTTGCTTCCCTCAAGCCTTCTTTGATGACAAGCGCAGATCTTAAGTTATTTGACATGGAGATAAAATTCATAAAGCTACTAGTATCTACTAGGTATGTGACTATGTCATCAACTCCGACCAGAGTGTGCTCCAGTAGGCCAGCTGTTCCTGTCTCCAATCATCTTTCTCCACCCAGCTGGCCCCAGCCCTGAAAACAATATTTTGTGGCTTGGAAGCGTCATATTTGGGCCACACTGGCTTTCCCTGAAGGCCGTGGTTATTTGGGTTCTGATCGTGGATGAATGATACCCAAGATCGGGACACAAAGCTGGCTAGCTCCGAGATAATAGGATACGGCCCAATCCAATTGACGTTTTTATCCGGATTATCAAAAACATGAACAATCTCGGTATAATGCGTGACGTACACAGGTGCAGTGGTCGTGACGTCGACCTCTTGCATGTCCCACGGCGCTTGGTCAAAGCGGTACGTGTAGATTGGGTGCTTGCTGCGTTGGCTATGGTTTATGGCGTATGCACGGCGGCCGGCGTGTATGTTCACATCGCCAGTAATGGCAGCTCCACGCTTGAACTGGACGCCCTGATCTGCGAATCGCTCGGGTCCGGTGCCAAAGGGGCAGCCTTGGATGGGATCATCAGGGTAGAGACGGAGAATGTTGGCCACAATCTTATCGTTGAGACCACCACCGAGATGCGCGACCAGGGACGAAATGTCACTGTCGTTATTCAAGGTCCCTCGGGGCGTGAAGAATTCAGCTGTGCCTTCGTCCGTGTTAGACCCCATGATGAGGGCGACATCAGCGATCTGGCCCTTTGCGATTGAGACAGATGGAGGCTGAGATATAAATTTGCCGTCAATGTAGGGCTTGAACTGAAAACCATTCACGGCACTGAAGAGGCTCTGGTAAGGAACGGTGCGGAGGCAGGCCAGGGAGTCTGCAGCGGTGTTGCAACCAACCGTTGTCGTGATGTTATCATACCACCCTTGGTAAGTTACCTTCAGCGTCTCGACGGTGTTCACTGTTATAAGCAGTCAGCAAAACATTAATTCCATCCTCATTTCATGCAGTCAACAAGGATAAAACCTACTCGAAGCACCAAGCAAGCTTGAACTCTCCAAGATGGCACTCCTGAATAGGCCGTCATTCTTCCCCTCAAATGCCACCAGATGGTATCCAGCCGAAGACCCTCCTGCACTTTCACCCGCAATTGTGACCTGGTTGGGGTCACCGCCGAACGCGCGAATGTTCTCAGATACCCATTTCATTGCCAGCCGCTGGTCGAAGAGGGCAATGTTGCCTACGCCCGCCGCCGCGACCTCCTTGGAGGCCAACAGGCCAAACGCCGATGTGCGGTAGTTGGGCACTACAGCGATGATTGGCTTATTCATTTCCATCGAGTTACGCACTATGAAGGAGGTGTTGTAGCGCGGGTCTGCTGATCCTCCAGCTTTGAAGCCGCCGCCGTATATCCAGAAGAAGACGGGGAGGTTGTCTCCAGGTCGAACATTGGCGGGTCTTACGATATCAAGCGTCAGACAATCCTCGCCCATTGTTAAGCCATCAGCGAAGCCCTGGGCGAAAGGCTTGTCGAAGCCTGGGCATGAGTCCGATCGTACGGTGGCATTACGAGAGCCTGTCCATGACTGATTGTACGGCACGGGATAACGGAGCCGCAAGTCTCCAAGTGGAGGTATCGCAAAAGGGATACCGTAAAAGGCCTCCTGGTTAAATGTGTTGAGAGTGAGGCCAGTGTAAGTCCCGTTAACGGTGTGAGCTGAGGGTGCGCTTTGGTGATGGACAGCTGAAGCACTAGCAGGAGACAAGCTGCTCATGCAAAGGAGAGCCAAAGAACACCAAGTTATTGACTGATGGCCATACATCTTGTCTGATTATGATTCTGTCAAAGCATCCTATCACTGGTCTTGGGTATTCACTTGCGATGCATCATGCAACCCATCGAGAAAACAGTGCCTCTTTTATAGACACGATGTTTGCTTTCGAGAGGCGTTGTCTTCCCGGGGAGCTACACGAGCTACACAATTTTCTCTATAAAAATCGATGTTCATTTCCGGACTGCCCGCTTGGTATCCAAGACAACAGAGCCGCAGCAAAACTCTCCCCGGACTCCCCCGGATTCAACGCCGGGAGGCGTCCTCTCCACACGTTTACCCCACGCCTGTCAGCTAAACTAGAACTCTCCCCGGATTCTCCCCCGGAGGCGTCCCGGTCTCTCCGCACTTCCACCCCACACTTGTAAGCTAGATTCAAGATCCGAACCAGTACCCAGTCAGCCGGAAATGCTTTCCGAAGCTTGAGAATTTCCATATTTTCAATTCTCCACTCCCTATGGTCATTTGTGACGACGTTCGAGTCTTGAAAGGCCTAGTGTATGATAGAATCGAAGGTTTACGACGGTGGCTTATGCGAACCCACGAAATGAATGCCACCACCATAGAGTCAACCCACGTGGCAACGCCTCCAAGGTCTTGGCCCTGTCTTTAAATGTTGGCGTAAGCTGACAACGCTGGTGCGCCAATCTCTATTCCAAGAATCAATTAGAGGAATTTAATGCCATCCAGTTCGAACGAACAGAATTAAGGCTACCACGTTGCTCTCAGAGAATATGGCCCAACTCTATTCACGTTATAGATATTACTGATTATAGATCTGGCCACCAAGCCACTGCCTATTAACGAAGCCCAACTAAAGTACTCCCTACTCTTGTTAGCCATCTCTCCGCATCCCGGCGTACATTAAATTCATCCAGTTCCTATATTTTAACAGGGGCCCCTATAGTGGTAGCTTTGTGTAGAAATATCCATATAGCGAGCCGGGTGTCCTGTTGTAACTAAGACCAAGTTATATACTAGTCTTCTTTTATAAGGAAGTGTAATTAGCGGTGCCTATTGGCATATTTTGACACAGTATGTCCTTAGTGAACATTCAAAGGAAACGCATCAGGCACAAAGCAACTTCATAGGCGCTTTTAGCACTTCTCAAGTTCCAATGCTAGTCTGTCCAGGCCATAGCTTTGGCTGAGATAATGCCTCTACTCATATAGTGCCAATTATGTAGGGTTACTTGAGCAGTTAAGCTGAAGAGCAGGGGGTGTATTATCCGTCGACTAATATGCCGGATATATCTTCCGGATAATTTCTCCAAATCGATGAGTGATTAATAATCAGGAGAGTGAGATTCGGCCTTATCCATGTGATTCAGAATCGGCCTAAGGATACTATAGTCTTTCTTCAAGTGTCTACGCGCCCAGATACAGTAAGGTAAAGGCCTCCCCAGCAAGTGGTACACTTGGTAGGTAAGGAAATGGTTCTACCACAGATCGCGAATATGCAGACAGTCCTCGGCCGCTCTGATTCTAATTATCTCACCGTGATTAAACCGCCCCCTAATAGCGCTGAGATTCTATCTGAAGATGCTGTTGAGCGATCTATATCATCGAGTAGAGCCATCCTTAGGCTACCAGACGAAGTACTCCTGCAAATCTTCACCATAGCCACTGCACGGAACCATTTAAACTTCAACAAACGTGTCAACGACCACCCTACTAGCATCGCTCTCTCCGCCACATGCCGCCGCTTCAATCGCCTCGTTACGGCAATTCTTTACCAAGACCTAAATATCTCCATCAGCCGCTATAAGGGCAACTCATCAATGTTACGTCGGGCAATACGCTGTTTGCATCGTACCTTGACGGAGAGCCCATCGCTCCGGAGCAACTGCCATTCATTGAGTATCTATCTTGGCTATAGATCTAACAATGCAGTCATCACCCCTTATTTAATGGACTTGGTTATTTGGTTGACGAGTACGAAGACGTTTAGTATTCGTGGGAGGCTTGTGGCAGATAATGATACTTTTTTGTTATTGAAGACTGCGATGCGGCATATGCCAATGCTAGAAGAGGTCTCCTGTTCATGGGGCCTTGATTTGGGACAATTACATGGATTGCTCGGCTCTCTATCTCATCTGAAGGTTCTCGACTTCTCAGGAATCCCCATTCTCAAGGATGTATTGCCATGGGATGCTTTCAAGGTGAGCAATTTCACCATATTTCATACATTCAACCTAAAATATCCAGATCAAAGGTTTTACGAGTTTATAATTGTTTTCCCTACGTTCCTTATATCTTGATACGGAAACACTAATAATGGGCTACATATAAGAAAAGCACATCCCCAATTACTACTCTAGCAATTAAAGGGTTTGAGGAATCTCCGGATATCCTCCGCCGTCTCGTAGCCTGGCCGGCTAAGTTAGAGCGGTTCTCGTTCACAGGATGTGTTGGAGTGACCTCCCAGACCTGGAGCTTGTTTACTATTGCATCTATCATCTCTCCTCATAAGACAACGCTACGATCAATTACTATTGGCGCGCTACAAGAGGAGGGCCTTGCCAATTTCGATCTGACAGACTTCGAGAGTTTAGAGCATCTTTGGCTATCAGCTTGGGCCACCGGATCCGCCGCCAACTACGAGACGAATTTGCTTGCTCCGCGTCTCACGAAATTCTACTGGTCATTCACTGCTGAAGACCAACACGGAGAGAGCCTCCATGATTTTGGGGAAGAACAGGAGCGTTGGCTTGGCCGGTTTGCTGCCACAGCAATTACACGGAAGTTACCTCTCCGAGAGATTTATATCCACTATGCTCCAGACATACATTTTTCTCCGGGAGCACCACCAGAAATATATCCTTGGGACAGAATGGAACATATCGCTAGAAATATTCAAGATCATGGGATAAGCCTTTCGTGGGACAGTCCAAACCTAACCAGAGAAGGTTTTAAAGACTTGCTGAAGCCGATCGAGTATTTGGATGATTTGACGAGGACATTTGGTTGGCCCGGCTTCTTGATATAAAAGAGGAATGCTTCCTCAAGACTAGATAGAAGAACAAGACAAGTTTTCCCTTCAAAACGACCCCTAGCTGCCGTGACGGCCTCGTTCTTGGAGGAACGGCGGCACGGTGGCTAGATCAAATGATTCCCTGACTTGTTCTCGCGCCGTGGTCCAGATAGCGGTCAGACGAGCTAGGTTTCTAGTACGGTGTTCGGGTGTTAGTCAAGCAGTTCAAAGGTGCGTTCCCTAGCTGTCAACAAAATGACATGGGAATAGGTGTCACGGATGATAGGGAAGATGAAGGAGAGAGTAAATCTGACGGTTCTGGCGCCTCTGGCAACTCTGGAAGCGGCCAAAATGACCTCCTTCGCCAGTCAAACACTGTAACCAACTACTTTACAAGAATCTGTAGTGAACCTGTATGAACTTAGATAATATTCGATTTTTTTCTTCTTTGTTACTCCCCTACCAAATCCAGACACTGATTATTTCGTCACTTAGCCAGGGTCTTGAGCCCTCGTTGCTCCAACTAGAACAGGAACTAAGCAGTGTCCGCGAGTTGTCTTAAGTCAAGCTAAGTAGTAGCCATATTATGTGTGGATACCGACGTCTCATGCCGCCTAGGTACATAGTTTGCTTGCCCAACAGTGACTTGAATGTTACTGGTATCAGTTCATGAAGTCGCCATTAGCTTGAGGAGGCATGCCCTGTAGGTGACCGTCAAAGATGTAGAGTTATCTACACTACTTAAACTGTTTAGGAGATGGACCAAACTACCTACTCAACTTCGGACTGGGGCTATTCAACTCCGTTTTCATGATGCCATTTTCGCGCCCTCTCAGACTTCGCGCCCTCTAGAACGTGGCGCCCTCCGAGTTGTTGCGCCTTCCAAAAACATCACGAATATTAATAATGAATCTTGGTAATCAAAGCGCATAGATGGTGAAAACGACTTAGCCTTGGCCATTATTCATCAAGATGAATAAGCTTCGTGTTAGTGAACAGTCTCTGGACTATATATACAGCGTTTTGCATTCTATCATTCCGATTTCAAGACTCAGCTATGATTACTACATCTTCCACCTACAAGAATCCGCAATGACTACAACGTCTCAGGAATCTCTGCTTCTTGACAGAGTGATCGAGGCACATGGAGGATTAGAACGATGGAATCGCGTCAATGTTGGAAGAGAGGTTAGGTATATGTTATATTCATTAAAGGTCTTAGTTATCTAAATACAAAGTCGGGGGCAGGACCTTTTATATATACACAATCTACAAGATCCAATAAGGCAGATTAGATAAAAGTCACTCTACAGTCAACACTCCCACTTAATCTAGCTCATCGATCTAAGTTACCCTATAGGCATATACATTAATTTATAAATAAACCTCCTATACCTCCTGTAATTAACCTTCTCTCCTAGCCTTTAATAAAAAGAAGTTTTATAAAAATATAAAGTTTTATTATAAGGTAAAAGGTCTTAACTCTTACTTAAGCCAACTGGCCGGGGCTTATTAAATTATATTTTTTTTACCCCTATTACTTCCCTAAATTTAATAAAGGCCTCTGTAAGTAATAGTTTAATCATTCTATCTACAATTTTATTAATTAATAATATATACTATAGCTATATCTTTTACCTTTACACCTTTTTATAAATCCAGTAGTATTATATATTAATATACTTTATACAGCTATAGAATTTTAAATTTTATATAAGACTAATAGCTCTTTAATTATTAACATAAATTATAATTACTTCATTTATAAAATGTAAAATAAAAGTAATAGTTATAAGTAGCTTCTATAGCCAAATAGCTTCCCTTACTACCTATATCTAGCCTATATACTTAACTTTATAGGTAAATAGCGTAATAATTATCTATTTCTTCAACAACTAACTAATAACTACAGAGCTTAAGTTAAAGATATAGCTATAGGTAGAGCACCAGCTGGCCTTATCGCCTACATAATCTACGTCTATATATCTTCATAGTATTTATAAATCACCCTCGTATATTAATATATAATCTATCATACCTTTAAAGTAACAGAGGATTCACTATACATTCTACTAATATAATTTCTTCAGATTAACAATAAAACAGCTGCAAAAGGATACCAGAAATATAATATCAAACTATATACCTAGCATTACCTACATAGCTAATCTAAATCGTTTTACATATCTTCCTTTCTTATCCTCTATTACATCTAAGCCAGCATCAATATTTAAAGAGCCCATTAATATAAGGGTTTTTATTAAGTTACAATTTTCTATACCGTAGAAACATAAAATCTTCTAAATATATCCCTTTTGCAAAAAGATAAATCACCGCTAGGCTTAGTCTCTTTTAATAGCAAAGCCTAGATAATATTTACAGGCTCTAAAGTTAGTCATTTAGAAGTCTTTATATAAAGTATTTTTAATTTCTTAAATAGCTTATTTATCTAAACTAAATAGTAGTAAGTCGTTTACGTAGACTGCAATAATAATGCCTTTTCTTATAAAAATACCTTCATTAGCTAATATAGGGGTTATCTTTAGCCCAGTAAGGAAAGTAATTAGCGTTTAATACTAGATTCTTAAGGCCTGCTTCAACCCATATAGCGCCTTTTAAAGCTTATAAACGCAGCCAGTGCAGTTATTAAAACCCTTTAGTTAACAGATATAGATTTCTTCATCAATTTCTCTATATAAAAAAGCCATCTTAACGTTTATTTATTCAATTTCCTAATCTTAGGCAGCGGCAATAGCGAATAGCACCTTATAGCTTATAAACTTTACTACTGTAGCAAAGGTCTCATTATAGTTAATACCTTCCTTCTAATCAAAGCCTTTAACTATATAATAGGCTTTATAGCAGCTAATAACGCTTTCTACATTTCTTTTTGCTTTATATACCTATTTTCCTTATAGCGGCTTCTAACCTTCTAGGAGGTTCATTAGTTCCTAAATTTAATTTTCCTTTAGCAAGTGTATTTTATCTATTATTACCTTTAACTAATACTTCTATTCCTTTAAGTAAATAGCCTTACAATAGCTTTCGGGGTCTTTAACTTCATTATCTAACACTGCTAGGCCCAGTTATATTAATACTTTAATAACTTTCGTAAAAATACGCAGAGCGCTAGAGAGTTTATTTTAATTAACTCTAGCAGTTAAAGCAATCTCTGTGGTAACTTTAATAATTAATTAGATTAACCTAGGGCTTTTTAATGCTTTTAATAAATTAGGGGTTAGCGTACTTCCTTTTTCTATAATAAAGTCTTCTATATTATTAATAAGCTTAATCCTTTAATAGCTGTCTAAGGTAGCAGTTTTATTATCCTAGCTCTTTAAGGTAGCCGTTTTACTAGTCGTCTTATCATTTAGTAATATATCTTTAGCAGTTAAAAAAAATTAATTAATTAATAGTTTAGTGTAGTGCTGGGTGCCTCTAGTACTTTAAATTACTGCTGCTGATACCTTAGACAGCTATTCTTTAAATACAATATTTAGTATAATTTTAACTTAACTGTTCTGTATTACTATATAGTTTTAATTTCTTTAGTAGCTAATTAATTAATAAAGAACTACCTTTAGTTCCATTTTCTTCCCATAGGTTACCATTATCCACCCCTTCGACCCTAGGACTCAAAGGTGCAATAGGTTAGGCCTATTACCATACCAGGCCTCGTAGGGCGTAACTTTAAGTCCTTTACTAAGTAAGATTATACATAAATAGTTAACGGTCCTTACTACGTAAGGCTACTATTTAAGGTTAATTTATCCTCTTATAAATATAAATATAAGCTTATTTCATAGGATATAGTAAAGGCATTTAATTGCTCTGTTCTGCTAGTGTTAGTTAACGCAGGTATAGATAATTTTAATCTCCTTATTTTTACAGAAGGTATATAAAAAATAACTTATATTTTCTCCTCCTTAATCCAGTCTAATATAATAATACTACCTCATTAAAGTCTTTAACTATTTCAATAGCTATTTAAAAATTAAATAAAAGGTAAACTTTATCTATATTAGGAACACCCAGCTTATATAAGTATAATTATCTAAGAATATAATCTAATATTAGCTTTTATTATACCCTATAACTAAAAAAAGTTCTGTAATGTCTATATATAGGCTTTTTAACAGTTTTATCCCTTTTTTAATACTGTTTGTATATGGCCGCTTGGTCTGTTTACCAGCAGCGTAAGCTTTATATATTTCAACTAGCTTTATAAGTTATAATCCCTCTGCTTTCTTAATTAAATCTTTTATACTATTCTTACCAAAATGCCTTAGTTAATCATACTATAGTTATAACTTTAGGTCTTTAATACTAAAAGCAGTAAAACTATAGCAGGGTGCATTAATAATATATACTCTATATTATAGGGTAGCTGTAAAGAGGACAGTGGAGTTTTTTATTACAACTGCCCTTCCGCTAAATATACCTAAGTAGCAGCCTTTTTAGTTTAGCACTAAAACTAACATAAGGTTAAATCCAGCGTCTGGTATATAAAAGGTATTTTACAGAGGGAGGTTCTTAATACTATTATAAATAAAGGTCCAGAGTTAATATATCCCAGTACCTCTAGGGGTAAGTTTTATCTCTCTAATACCAGTAATAAAGGTCTTTTTTATTTAATACAGCAACTTATATCCTTCTTTAATATAAACTATATAGCTAAAAGCACTGTTATTAAAAATATAAACGTTTATAAAGTTAACTTTTATAAACGCAGCAGCTTCTACTGGAGCTAGACAATTAAATAATATAAATAAAAAGCAGTTTATTAAACTTAATAATATATTATCCCCCCTACTACCTATACTTTAGAAGAAGGCTAAAGTAATAGTTATTTCTTCAGTTACTAATTATTCCTTTTCCTTTTCCAATTAATTAAATCTAACTTACAGTTTTCTCTTCTATTATTTTATACTTTTTAGTCTAAGCTTTAGGAAAAATATCTAATACTTTTCCTTTAAATAACCAGGCTTATAGCAGTACTGGTATATATAAAAGGGTTAAAAGGCTGCAGTAAAACTAAATATCGTTAACCATTACTTTTAGCCTAATTCCTTTTATTCAGCAGCTATAACTACTTTATTAAAAATAACAGCTTCTTTTATAACCTTACTATCTAACTTTTTAAAAAGTAAACTATATATTTAGTAAAACACCGTAAAAAAATATTCATAGCTTCCTCTAAGCCCCGCAAAAAACTTATTAACGAAGTATACTTTACTAATCTTATAGTATTCATTAAGTTATTTAAGCTTAATCCAGGCTACCCTAAGCTTTTCTATATAATCGCCAACGCTTATACAGCTCTTAAATATTAAGCTATTATATCTTTAATTAAATTCCTAAAAGGCAGCGCTTCTATAAAGCTTAAACCTAATCTCTAAGGTGTCTAAGATAATAGACAAGGTCTCCTTTTATTCTACGTACTTACGGGCGAAATAGCTAAGTTTGCTATACACAAACGCAATAATTTAGTTTTAACGTATTTCCCAGAGTTCTTTTCTACCTTCAAAGTCATTATCTAACTCGCTAGATTTCTTTTCTAATATATCCTTATTTTTTTTTATAAAGTCTCCAAAGCCTTAGATTTTAATTACATCTATAACTTCCCTTTTCTAAGTAATCCAGCTACTTAATAACTTAAGATTTTTAATAGCAGCTGCATTAGTGGTAAACTTAAAAATACCTAAGCTTATCATTGCTAACATATTTAAGTTTAATAGCTAAACGGCGGTTAAGTATTAAATTAAAGTTAAGTCGGGGAGATAGGGTTTATAGCTAGTCGACGGTCTAACTTAATTCGCTAAAACTAGGGGTATTAAAGGGACTTCTGACTTCTAGGCCTTAAATATCTTAGTTATAGTTAGGGGTCTGCAGTAATACTTCTGTAGTTAATTATCTTAACAAAGGTGTTAAGTCAGGGGCAGTGGGTTTGCTATAGCAGCTTCCTTTATAATTAAATTATAGGGCCTCTGCTAAAGTCTTATCGATTGCCCTAGTAAGTGCAGGGAAGCAATCTTTTTAAATAAATTTAAATACTACTGCTGGTTACAGCGGTCTTAGTCATAGGTTATATTTATTTTCTATTCTCTTATCTTATTAATCTATAGTAGTTAGTTAATCTTATAGAATAGGGGTAATGGAAATTATCTATTAAGATAATTAAGATTATCTTAAGGTTGGTAATTACAATCATCTCGATCGCTAGATTAACGGTCATCTCAAAAGTCAGTTTAACTAAGGGCTAAATCTTAGTTCCTTATTTAGTATTAGTGGAAGCAGCCTGTTAGTGCTGTTGGTCTGAGACAGTAATCTCGGTTAATATAAGGGTTATTATCGTTGGTCGCAATCTGGGCTTATAACCTATTGGAAGAGAGGTTAGGTATATATTATATTTATTAAAGGTCTTAGTTATCTAAATACAAAGTCGGGGGCAGGACCTCTTATATATACACAATCTACGAGATCCGATGAGGCAGATCGGATAGGGGTCACCCTGCAGTCAACAGTCAAATCTATTGACGTGACATTTAACTTTTCTGGTGCTTTTCTGGAATTAAAAGGTTATCCTGGTCACTATCAACCAACAATTACTATTGATGCCGAGAAACCTAAAAGTGTCATTCAACGACTGCCAGGCACCGGCCCTGACGACAGAGGTTATCTCGACGACGATAGGACGTGGCTCGAGGCAAGAGATGGCTCGCTCATTAAAGAATACAAGCAAACTCGCTCCTCTTTCAAGGACCATGTCCGTGCCACTCAATGGGATAATCTCCAACTCACATACTTCATCAGCTACGCAATGTTCAACTACTTGTCCATTCCGTTTCTCTTTATTCGCCCCGACTTTACAAGTCGTGAACTGGAACCGCATACTGAGGGTGGACAGAACTGGCGCGTTTTGGAAGTAACGTATCCGGATGGATTTCCGACACACACTAAAGTTCAAAAGTTTTATTTTGACGACAAGGAGTTTCTATTGAGGAGAATGGATTATGTTACCGATGTTGCGAAAGGAGTAGCGGCTCACTATTGCTGGGATCACAAGAATATTGATGGATTGGTTTTTCCAACACTGAGACGCATTGTGCGTAGAGATGGAGATGTTGCTGCACTCAATGGGCCGTCAGGATTTCTAATTGATTATACCAACGTAGTAATCCATGATAAGGCAGCTTAAGTAGACTTGAGTTTCATGTCGAATGGACAGTAGATTCGAAATAACAATGGAAGCTTTAAAACAAAATGTCAGGCCTTACTGAGGGCTTACACCTAGCTATTGAGTGATGTATCACTGCGCAACGTCCCTATAGAACTGGTCCCGAGAAGGCCACTGCGCCTTATTCATCATTTCGCGCACCAGCGAGCCCTCTCCGCTTGGCCACGTCTGTTGAATAAACGCCGACATGAGTTCCATGCCATTGAGCAGCGCGCCGCTGGACCAAAGTTTGCCGTCGTTTACCCAGCGCTGGTCGACCCAGTTGGTGCTCGGCGCTATGTTTCGCAGTGTTTCGAGACGGAAGCGCGGTGCCGTGGCCGTCTTACCGTCGAAGATGCCGGCTTTTAAGGGTGCCTGCATACCTTCGCAGACGGTGATGAAGGCAGAGCAGTCAGCGAAACTCTTCAGCATGAATGCCTTCTCGGCAGCGCTGGGTTCATCTACTGCTACGGCACCCATGATGACAATATCTAGGGGCGGGCATGTCTTGAATGAGTCCTGCATATTTTAGTTAGAATAATGTATCAAAGTCTAGAAAGGGCAGAACAGTGAGGCTACTGTTGGGATCACACTGAGGTTGCTAGACAGTAGACTCGGTGTCTTGCCTGATTCAGAAACCCAGTGGAAGTCAAAGTCAATCGCTTGATTCTTAAACTCAGGTGGTATGATTTCATCGGGCATGTGTTTCATTAAAGAGGAACTGATGGCGCTGAGAAGGTCGACCGGTCCAACGTCGAGCATTTCAGTGACGCTTGACTGTTTAGCTGTTGTAATGTACAAATATAACAGTAAGATTAACTCACCCCCCAAGCAGAATTACTCCGACATGGATGGGTCGTCCAGGGTTGGCAAGGTCAATAAGCGGGGACATTATGTGTTGGACAACAGATGTTGGTTGATGGATAGCAGTGATATGTGGGATGAGCAAATTATGATGTGATCGTCTTTCGATTTATAAGGAACATTTGCCATCTATATACATGTTACGAAATGATATACATTTACGTAGTCATAAAGAAAATGATATGTATTAAGATAGTCATAATATAAAATGTGTTGGCTTTAACAGTGCTACGGTGGACATATCCGAGAGCACCCGGCTCTTCTAATTACAAATCACACGCTAGAAAAAGCTCTAACTAACATACAGTTGCATCTGAGCAAGTTTAACAGGGATAAATAACCCCCATGTGTATAGTCAACGCCGATGATGGTCGGCATTATAAATTCGCAACCTTAACTGTGTCGCCAATGCATCTTAAGTTCCACAATATTGAGGTATTAGGGTCACAATACGGCAAATGTTGCTCGCCGATGGAATCCGAAGCTTCAGTACATTGGATATAAATGCTGTATAGCAGCGTTCCCATATTGTAGACGAATAGTTTCATCATCAACTCTCCCTCACAAGTTGTCTCTTCAGAATCACCAAGTTGTTTTAGAGCTCTCATCACAATGGCTCCCATTGTCATCGGTTCCCTCTGCTACCAATACCAAGCCGTCGATGTCATTGGTCCTTTTGACATGCTTGGAGGTGCAACCAAGAGGATCATGGAAGCCGTAAAAACGTACTCGCCAGCCATCACTGACTCAACCGTGGCAAAGGCTCCGGAGTTTGTCTTCCACCATGTCGGTCTTTCTCATGATCTCGTGGACCTAACCTCCGGCTTTACCGTGAAACCCACGTGCACTGTCGATGACTGCCCTGCGCTGGATATCCTCCTCCTTGGAGGCCCAAACCCCGAACCTTTCGTCCTCGACCCGAGATTCGCCGAGTTTATTCGCCGCCACGTCGCTTCGGGGAAGCTTTTGTTTACCAACTGCACCGGCTCGTTCGTTGCAGCCATGGCGGGTGCACTAGACGGCAAGAACGCTACGTGCAATAACGTTGAGTATGAATGGGTTAAGCACAGATACCCAAAGGTGAACTGGTCAAAGGACAAGAAGTGGGTCATTGATGGAAATATTTGGACGGGTTCTGGCCCTGTGTCGGGCATGGACATGATTATTCACTGGCTGCAGGAGAATTATGGGAAGGAGGCGTTTATTTGGGCGGCTCTAAATCTCGACTTCGAGCCCCGTGATATCGATGGAGTGAATGTCATTCCGTTCCGCTACGGCGAGGATGGTAAACAGTTGTTTACCCATGTTCATCACTATCATGACTCCTATTAAGTGCATCCCTGCTAGGAGATAGGTAGTCAATATCTAGTAGCTCTTCACTCAATATAACGTTTTATACTAAAATTTTGTACTGCTATATCCCCTCTTTTATCGATTACTCGCGGTATTATACCTGACTACGTATATATCAGCGGTTTAGCACTTACTGCCCGCTTGATCAGCGAAAACGCGCCAAAAGTGACATCAAAGTTCCCGCTTCGTATGTCTCTGCATTCCCCTATAGAAAATAGGATAGTCGACTCCCTTGCTCCCTAGAGTACCTCGCTTAATAGGCTTAGGGCATGAGATCCCCTTGGTTCTAAGCTAAAGTGGAATTTTTTTGGCTGCACATTGAAGCCAGTTGTATAATCGTACAACGGGACTTCCACATCTCGTATTTTTGAAACAGTACAGCCCCAACCGATACGAGCAACTGCAATATTCAAGCTTCGTTCTGCTATACTTTGACCTGGGCAAATGCGCCGCCCGAATCCGAAGGCGCTGAAGTTCTGGAGATTCGGGAACTGTGTTAAAGGCTCGCGGTAAGTTGGCCAAGAAGGCTCCAGCCAGCGCTCAGGGCGGAAGCTCTCTGGGTCCGGATAGAGAGTAGGGTCTCGGTGAATTGCCCACTGGTTTGGGTGAATGCTAGTTCCCGCTTGAAGGAAAATGCCTTCATAAATGTCGTCTTTGATGAGCTGATGTGGTAAACCGCCAGCAGTGACTGGTCTCCATCGTAATGTTTCCTTGACAATCGCCCGTGTGATTGGAAGGTGTTGTATATCATCAAAGCTAGGAAGGCGTGAATTTCCGACTACAGCATCGATTTCTTGGTGGAGGCGCCGTTGCCACTCTGGATGATGCACCATGGCCAGCACAAAGGACAACATGGCAGAGGTAGTGGTGCCTGAGCCAGCTTCGAACATTGTACCAATAACATATGCCGCCTCGTCGTTGCTCAAGCCAGAGAGTTGTTCCTTTTCAAGCCAGCTTCTGCAGAATGAGGGCGTCTGACTCCCTTCAGCAATTTCAGTCCGAACATCGTCGAGGCTTCGGCGAAATAAGTCTAACTCCCGCCGATGCAGACGGTCTCCTTCCCATTTAAATGGTGCGAGCCATTTCGGAAGCCATAAAAGGATGGGAAATATATCAACCAAGTATGCGCCTGGAGATGCAACTCGCTCAACAGTATGCACGACCTCAAGGATCTCCCTCACGTTTTCCTCATCGCCAGTCTCGACCGTTTTGCCATACGCTAAGCGAAGAATGACACCGGCCGAATATCGTTCGAACCATTTCTCATAGTTGACTGGGTCTGCTAAGAGGTCTTTTAGCATACGAGATGATTCATGCGACTGAATAGGCTCGTATGCCGAAGCAACGGTTTCCGACGAAAAGCTATGCATAAGTCTTCGTCCCTTGCGCCAGAGATCATTGTATGGGAGTAAAACAGGGCGCAAGTTTTGGCTGAGGATTTCGGCACCCATAGGCAAATATGGCCTACTGGAGTAGATGTTGCCTCGTCCTCGAAGGAGATCGTTGGCGATTTTCTCGGTAGATACAACAACATGACGATTGCCCGCAAGGGAGAGGCTATAGAGTGGACCGTATTGGTCTGCCCATTGCTTGAATTTTATCCATGAATGTGTTTGGGGCACCTGAAGCATATTCCCCAGAATTGGGATGCCTGTAAATTTCACTTTAGCATGGATGCACATATGATCTCCTTGTCGTTATGTTCATACCTCTGGGGCTTGGGGGTAGTTGCGCGCCTGGAGGAATGTGCACATCGAAGAATAAATACTGCAACGCGTATCTGATAATAAATGCAGAAAGCGCAACTGCGAAACATATTCCAAGTAGAGAACTTATGGCAGCCATAATTGCAACTGGAAAAGTGGAATGATGAGATTCTAGATCTCGTTTATTGAATGCTACAAAATGTACCTAACCTATTGCGAAGCCGGTCCCTTTAATATTTCTTCAATGCCGACGATAGAAACAACAGCAGTAGTAACGGCAATAAAGAAGCTTCCCTCGGCAGAGAAATAGGTAGTAAGAATATAGTCCTAGAGTCAACTCTAATACCCTCTGGCTGCTGATGCTCTGAAGAATTACAGTAAGCACTTGCTTGCTCTTGTGGTGAAAGGGAAGCGTGAGCCAACTAAATAAACTTTTAGTATCTATATATCTACGCATTACTATTATATTACTAATGTCTAACATCCGAGGTAATACGGATATATCTGCAGAACTGACCTATCTGCAGAACTGACAAATTCGCATCCCGACTGGGGGACCTATCATCGTGCGGATTAGTAAAGCTACTGATCCTTTGGACAGAACAGAGTTAAAGAGTATCGATGTATTAAAACACTTGGTACAAATCTATCAGCAGCTCCATTACATTTCTTCCCGTTGAAAATGAATCCATAATATGGAAATCTTTAATTTATTACAATGTTTTCTTCATAAACAGGGGATACATACATTTGGACGCATACGCTAGAACTAATCGAACCTTAATTAACTCTACCATTGACTAGTAGGAGTACATCAGGAAAAGAAGTCAAGGCTTCATTTCATTCAGCTGGAATAGCTTCATTCCCGCTGGAACGAGGCCCTGACAACAGCTGAGGATCACTTCTGTAGTAATAGTTTGTCTTGTTCCTTTGTTCCTTTGCCTCGTATGAAGAAGCAATTTCTCTGTATACGAGGAAAGAAGCTGGGGATACCTAAACTAGAGGGCGCTGAGATATAACGAACTGGAGAACATATATACCAAGTATACGACCAAGTGCAGTTAATCCAATCCTACGCAAACATTTGTGTTAGATTGCAAGGAAATGTTTTGATCGACACTAAATTTAATATTCAAGGTAGGCTCAAAAGCACTTTATATGAACCTAGACCCCTGATGCATTCGTATCTACTCAGTGGTTAGCCATATGATGTATTTTGGAAGACAATAGTATCGAGCTGAGTACTTGTATGGATCTGAGTTAGGGTACACTGATTTTGAGGAAATAAGAATGTGATGGCCCATTCGATGACATACGATGACTACCGAAAGATGAGCGCTTGTCGCAATAACTCAGTCATCTATCATCTCAATCCACTCGGCTGACTGAAGAACTCCTTGCACAGCAGCATCAACTTGGCCAACTTTCCAGATTTCATGCGCCGCATCTAAAAGCAGACCTGCCTCCTCTCTATCGCCCCTTGCAAGAGCCTCGCGATAACTTCGCCTCGCCGTGTTCAACATTCCTTCCGCCGTTTTGTCATGGTTTCGCTCAATTTCGTCCTCCAGCGCCCATGCCCAGCAACCTGCCAGGCATCTTGTAACCTGCACCTTGTCCATCTTGATTGAGGTTAGGAGGAGGTTAATCGATACCGAGGGAGCCCCTTCTTGGTTCATTGTGCCCCTTATGATGCTTTCTATTTGATCTTCGGAGCCCTCATCAATTAAGACTTGTAATGCATTAACCCACCATAGCGACATTCTGCCTGCCAAGTCGGCCTTTGTTAAGCTTTCGAGTCTGGAGGGCCGTACGCCTGACAGCAACTCAATTGTGGTTTTCCACGTCGCTTTCGTGTTACAAGATTTTTCTGCCCATGGCTTCATCAGGTCTTGAGCCACCTGGGTGTGTCCGTCCTGCTGTGTGATCTCGTCTATTTTGGTGAGCCAAGATTCTGATATGATTCCCATCAGCTCTCTAGCATCGGTATTGATTGCCGCTGTCAGTAACTCTTGTATCCATTCCGAGATCGCCAAAGCATCTCTCATTTTGAGATTCTTGATTGCCGAAGAGACCGCGGTTAACACTTCGCGCAGTACGAACCATACTTTGTTCTCTTTGCCTTCCGCAAGTGCTCGCTCCTGTGTCCTGGCTATAGACATCGCGAACATTTTAAAAATGTCCATCTTTTTCTCTGAAACCGCCATTTTAATCATCTCGATTACCGCTTTAATCAATGATACCCCGTTCTTGTTGTTCTTTTCCTTGGTAAAATCGGTAAAAAATTCTTCCATAATGGTATCCATGCACCTTTCTACCAAGGGCCTGGTAGTCAACAGCCCGCGATCCAGTTCCAGCACCATGATTCTTGATAAGTATTGCGTAATCGACCAACTTGGTTGAAGCTCGGCTGGACTGTCTTCGATAGAATCCATTAGGAGAATGATACCGACTTGTGCAATGGTACTGGTTGCCTGTTCGTCACCCATTCTAATGGCATCACTGAAAATTCTCGATTGGCCCTCTATTATAATGACAACTTGATCTCGGAAGCCACTCTTGACTGCATCATTCAATCCACTGACCACCACTTTCGACAATCTCCTTGCTATCGCTTTTCGGTCCTTATTGTGTTGTAGCTCTAGAGTGTATCGTAATATATCTATACCTAGTCCTGCTAGGCCATTGGCAAGTTTCGGTCGTTTATCCTTCAAAGCCGTTCCAAGCAATTGCATTCCGAAGGCAATATGGGGATCGAGGGGAAGTCCATTGTCTAGGGCCGTTTTGAAGAGGGTTCCAAGTGTAGTGAGTACAGCAGGGCCTGCAAGTCCCATGACAAGGGGTGAGAATAAAAGTGCTGACATAGCAAAAGAGTAAGAGTGGTATCAAATTTGACTCAAGTGTTGCGGTGAAGTGAGTAACGGGGAGGGATATCTGGAACTTGGACCCGGGGCCTTTCAGCGTGGAGACAATTTCTTTTGTACGCTGGTTCACATGGGTCCATCGTCTATCCCTCTGAGAGGAGCGTCTTAGGCATAGGAAGTTGGGCAATGCATTCATAGCTTGCAGTTTCCTGCTCGTATTGGACAATATTCCTTTCGATTATTTACCATGTAACTTCTGGCTATTGGGCAGCTGTTGTCCTTGCACCCATTGCGGCCTAATAGCCCGAAGCTAACGCACTCTGCACCTCGTACATGACAAGGTGACCTTTGACGCCACATTCTTTCATCTCGCCTATATCCTCTCCTCTGGCGGGGGCCGTAACAGAGAGTTCAGCACAAAATGAGAAAACAGCGTCATTATAAACGAATTCTATGGCCGATCAGCGCATATATTATCATCGTTCTCCTCATACTTGCCAATACGTCCAGTCAGCTAGATAAATAAAAGGATAAGGTATTCTGCCGATGGACATGTGACCTGGCCTTAATGATCTAGGGAGAGGGGCTTCTGCATAAGAAGGTAAGAGTGCATATATCTACATACATGCATGTGGCTTGCGTTTACTGCAGTCCAATCGCCTGAAGCCAACAAATCTGGAGCTAATTTAGACTACATTTCAGTCCAATCTTTATATCCCTCGTAGATCTCACAGAAGCCGGGGGAATGTAAATAGGCGTAGCGGTGCATATATGACCTCTGTCCACTATTGCCCAGCGGCATGATGCCGACGCGTTCTGCACTAAGCATAGCAACTTGAAGTTCGTCTTGCAGACCTCCGTTCCTTCGTACTTTTGGACGCTCACAATAACTGCTACCAAATAACCCCTCTTTCTTTCTTTCCAAATTCCATGCACTCCGTCTTATTTTCAATCAGATCTACGATCCAGTTCTAAGTCCACCTTGAAGACCCGGGATGGTGCTATCATGATGGCCATGCAGACCGCTACGGAACCAAAAACTCGCGATGACTACACCGTGGGATGGGTTTGTGCTTTGCCAAAAGAATTAACCGCCGCAATATCTATGCTAGATCAGAGGCATCAAGATCTCCCTAAGCCGCCAAACGACCATAACACATATACTTTGGGCTCTATAGGCAATCATAACATCGTCGTGGCATGTTTACCAAAAGGGAGATATGGCCTTACCTCAGCAGCAACGGTTGCGGTACAGATGGTCGATACATTTCCATCCATCAGGGTAGGTCTCATGGTCGGCATCGGCGGCGGTATTCCATCCAAAGTTAGACTCGGGGATGTTGTTGTCAGCACACCCATTGGCCAGTTCCCTGGCGTTGTTCAATGGGATTCTGGTAAGGCAAAAGACGGCGGTGGCTTTGAACGGACCGGGGCGATGGATAACCCTCCGGCATCACTGCTCACGGCTCTCTCCAAGTTGGAGATGGAATACGAGCTGGGCGGATCCAGGATACCAAAACATCTAGAAAGTATGAAGGCAAAATGGCCGGCGCTGGCGGCAAAGTATCAGAGATCCGACTCGCTAGAAGATGTAGTATTTAACGCCGACTATGGCCATGTCAACCCAGATGCCGAAAACAAGGGTCAAGAAAACGAGCGCTGCCAACTTTGCGACGGTAACAAAGCCGTGAGGAGGACGCCTACAGATCCGCGCGTTCACTATGGACTTATTGCATCGGGCAACCAGGTCATTAAGGATGCCGCCTTTCGAGATAAGCTTAACGAGAGCCTTGGCGGTAGTGTTCTTTGTATCGAAATGGAAGCAGCGGGGCTGATTAATAATTTCCCCTGCATTGTCATTCGAGGGATATGTGACTACGCCGACTCGCATAAGAATAAGGATTGGCAAGAGTATGCTGCGGCTGTAGCGGCGGCGTATGCAAAAGAACTCCTAGAATCCATACCGCCGAATGACGTTCACGGAGAGCGCCGAATGACCGACATATTTGGTCGTGGTTAGTCTTTTTTCTTTCAAGAATCAGCCTTATATGGAGACTCTGACAAGTCGTCGGCACAGCTCTCGAAGCCATATCTGCAACTGGAGGCGATGTCGCGCGTATCAGATCTAGGTTGGACAAGGATGAAACCGACAGAGCGCTGAACTGGCTCACTCCGACCGACTATGCTCCACAGCAGAGTGACTACCTCGCGAGGCGACAGCCGGGGACCGGCCAATGGCTCTTGGACTCAAAGGAGTTCCAGGCCTGGCTAGGCGCCAATAACCAGACACTATTTTGCCCAGGAATGCCAGGTGCGGGAAAGACAATCTTAACATCGATTGTGGTCAACGAACTATGTACGAGATTCCCTGACGACCCAACTATCGGCATCGCCTATATCTACTGTAACTTTCGCAGAAAGGAAGAGCAAAAAGTCAGCCATATGCTGGCAAGTTTGTTAAAACAGCTATCTCAGAGCTGCCCATCTCTCCCCACGAGCGTGCGTGATCTCTATGATCAACACCGGAGCAAGCAGACACGGCCTTTACCTGACGAGGTCTCGAAAGCTCTTCAATCTACTGCTGCGTTATACTCTAGAGTTTTCATCATCATTGACGCATTCGACGAGGTTCCCGACAGCCGCCGCCGAAGACTTCTTCCAGAGCTCCTCTATCTCCAAAAACACAGCTTTGTGAATGTTTTTGTAACATCAAGATATATCCCCGAGGTTACCATGCAATTTCTCAGCAACATATCATTGGAGATTCGGGCCAACGAGAGTGACGTAAAAAAATACCTAGAAGGTCACATCAGAGAGCTGTCGAGCTTTGTTGGAGAGGATCGTCAGTTACAAGAGGAGATCAAGACTGTAATTTCAGAAGCTGTGGACGGGATGTATGCTACCTATCTTCGTTCAACGTTATGGGTTATATAACCTTGCTGACATCTAGTAGGTTTCTTCTGGCGCAGATCTATCTCGACTCACTCGCGGACAAGTTAACGAAGAATACAATCCGAAGCGCATTGCACATTATCCGGACCCAAGGCCAAAGGTTGGCCGGTGATAAGAACCAGGTGCTAGATACGGCCTATGACCAAACTATGGACAGGATAAACGCACAGAAGAAAGGCTTTAGAGAGCTTGCGACCAAGGTTCTCTCGTGGATCACTTGCGCGAAGAGGCCACTTACCCAATCGGAACTCCAGTGCGCCCTTTCAATAAGCATTGAGAACCCCAGGTTTGACCAAGGCGATCTTCTGAGTCCCAAAGACATCGTCTCTGCGTGCGCTGGGCTGGTTACTATCGATGAAGAAAGCGACGTCATCCGGCTGGTTCACTACACCACGCAAGAATATTTTGAGCGAACGATGGCAAAATGGTTTCCAAATGCAGATGTGAGCATTACAGAGACATGTATCGCCTGCCTTTTATGCGGCGAGGACAGCTCAAGGGGGGGAGGGCTTTCCTTAAACCCTCTTTACGACTATGCAGTTCAAAATTGGGGACACCATGCCCGCATAGCCGCCAGTAAGGTAAAGGAGCTGGTCCTGAGGTACCTGGCAAATGAGGATGAGCGCCTGGCCACTGTGGCTTACGGAGGTTCCCTTAACCATGGACGAAAGACATCTCAAGACGTAACAAGGCTACACATTGCAGCATATTTTGGGCTTACCGAGGTCGTCGCCGCTCTGCTTATAAAGGGAGATAATCCGGATCGCAAAGACTCCTATGAACAGACCCCTTTATTGTTGGCCGCAGCAAGTGGCCACGAAGAGGTTGTATCAATCTTGCTCGCTAGTCATAGCGTTGATGTTAATTCCAAGGATGCATACGGACGAACTCCCATATTCTGCGCGCTGGAAAGAGGCCACAAGGAAGTAGTGAGGAAATTATTGAAGGATGATGGAATCGATCTAAACTCCAAAGATATATATGGCCGAACGCCTTTAGCTTGGGCAAAGGCGAACAGGAATGTCGACATTGCCGATCTGCTGGTTGCCAGGGAACATGGTAGTTCGACGTTGGAGCATTTCTCTCGCGGCCCGACTCTTTTGTTGCGTGCCGCGAAGCGTGGAGACGCAGCAGCAGTTCGAGCTTTCCTCGGAGATGTGCATCCTGATGTCAGGGATGAGGATAGTCGGACACCGCTGTCTTGGGCTGCCGAAAAAGGGCATGACGCCATCGTCGAGCTGGTTCTTGAGTTTGAAGCCAGAACTGACTTGAGGGATAGCTTGGGTCGAACGCCGTTATGGTATGCCGCATGTAATGGCCATAAAACGATTGTCGGCCAATTATTGGAAACAGAGGCCACCGAATCCCATGGTGAAACTTGCTATGACTCCAGTCCCCTCCTGTGCGCAGCCGAGGGTGGTCACATAGACGTCCTAAGACAGCTTCTCGGCAAGGGTATAAGGTTGGAACCTGACAAGGGCGGTGTTGAGATGTCCCCTCAATATGCCAGAGACATCATCCAGCTGCTATTGAGGGGCAACAGAGCCAGAGCCAGCTTAAGCATAGAGAAGTGTCGGATATTGCTAGAACAAGCCGCTACGAGAGGGCATTTAGATGTCATCAAATTCTTGTTCAACAACGGCATCATCGACGGCAGCCTGGCATGGGCTGATGATAGTGCGACCCCTCAGTCTTATGCCGGGGGTGTTGTCCAGCTAGCACTCGACACGAACAACGTCAACGCCAACTTGAAGAATAATCAGGGCAGGACACTGCTATCATATGCTTCCGAAAGGTGCCATGAAGCGGTCGTGCAGTTACTTCTCAATATGGGCGCCGATGTCGAGTCAAGGGATAGGAAAAATGGCCGCTTGCCGTTAATATATGCTGCTGAGGGCGGGCACGAGACCATCACGCGGTTGCTTCTCGCTAGCGGTGCTAAGATTGAATCGAAAGATGATTCAGGACGAACGCCGCTTCTTGGTGCTGCTGAGAATGGATCTGAGACTATAGTGCGGCTGCTACTTGACAAAGGTGCGAATACCGAATCGAGGAGTACCAAGGATGGTCGAACATCCCTATCCTATGCCTCCAGTTACGGGCATAAGGCAGTTGTACAGCTTCTACTTGATAGGGGCGCTGATATTGAGTCCAAGGATAAAGATAACAGAACACCGCTATTATACGCCGCCGGGAGGGGACATGAGGCCATTGTACGGCTGCTCCTCAATCAGGGCGCCACGGTCGAGTCGACAGACAGACACGGCCAGTCACCACTGCTAGTTGCCGCTAAGAATGGTTACGAGACCATCGTGCGACAACTGTTCGAAGCAAGTGCCAATATCGAGTCGAAGGATGGCAAAAGCGGTCGCACGTTGCTATCTTATGCCGCCGGGAATGGGCACTTGGGAGTTGCACGGCTCTCGCTTGATAGGGGTGCTAATGTCGAGTCGAGAGACAACGATGGACGGACCCCCTTGTGGTATGCCGCCAGTAACAGTCACAAAGCCCTAGCCCAGTTGCTACTTGATAGGGGCGCCAAAGCCGAATCGAGCGATAAACTCAGCCGGACATTGTTGTGGTGGGCCTCCGGGCATGGACACGAGGCCATTGTCCAGCTCCTGCTCGACAATGGTGCCAAAGCCAAGGCAATGGACAGCTTTAGCCAAACGCCACTATTGGCCGCCGTCGATAACGGATACCATACCGTCGTGCGGCTGCTGCTTAACAGGGGTGCAGATGCCGATGTCGAGGACAATTCTAACCGGACGCCGCTATGGCATGCTGTCGAAAATGGACACGACGCCATTGCACGGCTACTACTCGGCAAGGGTGTCAGAGTCGATGTAATGGATATATATGGCCGAACGCCGCTATGGCAAGCCGCTCGGGATGGGCGAGAGACTCTGGTGCGGCTGCTGATTGATAAAGGAGCCCTCGTTGACTCGAAGGATAGGCTGGGCTGGACGCCGTTGGCGGCCGCTTCCAGGCAAGGGCATGAAGCCACAGCTAGGTTGCTACTCGATGAGGGTGCTGACATTGAGTCGAAGGATGAGGATAACCACACACCACTGTCACACGCTGCTGTGAACGGGAGTGAGCCAATTGTACGGTTACTGCTACAGCGAGGGGCTGAGGTTGGGTCTAGAGATGACTTGGGCTGGGTTCCGCTATGGCACGCTGCCGGAAATGGGCATGAGGCCGTTGTGAAGCTGCTGCTTGATAAGGGGTCCGCAGTCGAGCTAAAGGACGAGCTTAACCGGACGCCCTTATCATATGCCGCTGAGAGCGGACACGAGGCTATGGTGCGTCTGCTCCTCGAAAAGGGTGCTGAAGCGGAATCAATGAATCTCAAGTGTCAAACACCGCTGTTTAACGCAGCCACTTACGGCTACGAAGCTATTGTAGGATTATTGATCAACAAGGGGGCCAAACTGGAATCGAAGAACATGAATGGCCAAACGCCGTTGCTGGCCGCCGCCGCAAATGGCCACCATGCTGTTGTGCAGCGGTTGCTCGAGCTCGGTGCAGAGGTTGATTCGGAAGACAACAACAGCCAAACACCACTACTGGGCGCGGCCGTGAACGGACATGAGGCTACTGTTCAACTGTTACTCGATAGGGGCGCCAAGATCGAACCGAGGGACAAGAAGGGCCAAACGCCACTATTGATCGCTGCTAAGAATGGGAACGAGGCTGTAGTGTATCTGCTACTGGATAAAGGCGCTGACTTAGAATCACGGGATAACGATGATCAAACACCACTGTTGAATGCGGCCACTTATGGTCATACATCTGTTGTGGGGTTGCTGATCCAGAGGGGCGCTAACCTGGAGTCAAAGAATAAGAATGGTCAAACACCGCTGGTAAGTGCTGCTGTGAATGGACACAAAGCAACCGTACAGGAGTTACTAGAGCATAGAGCAGAGGTCGATTCGAAGGATGAGGGTGGCCAGACGGCGCTGCGTAGTGCCTCTCAGAAGGGGCATAAGGATATTTGCCAGCTCCTATTGTTATATGGGGCTGATATTTATAAGTAGCGTTAGCCAGACTTGGCTAACATTCCAATTGAATATACTCCTTTAGCAGACGAGCAGAGCATGGACGGATCATGACTGATTGAACGAGGGTGAAGAGAATTATTCCATAAAGTGGCCGCGAAAAGGTATAGAGGATTATGATAGACAAGGTATATGGGTAAAAAGCCGGTTCTTGCCCACTCTATGCAACACATTATCTATGTAAAGCGAAAGCTATGGGGAGCACCGCGACCTATGCTAAACCGTATCAACATATAAGCGCATGTGGTTCACATTTATTAAAATAGAAAATTCAGGGGGGGAGATGATGCGGTACAAATCTTCAGACCTTAATCTTGGTTCACTTTCAGCAAATGGGGGGTTATCGTTTGTCTACAGAGCTTCGGCATCGGAGGTCAGACAATAACTCGAATGGTAGTCTATTATCTATTTGCTTCGATAAAGATCCAATGTCTTTCACACAGCTACTATGGAGTCCCTTGTGTATAGCTGATACCGGTCCCCACGAAATAGCCTTTTCCCTAGTGTGGAATATAGCCTCATCAAGTCGAGTCCTCAACCACATACGACCATAGGTAGTGGAGAATTCGGGGTCCCGTCTGCTCCCCCATAGACAAGCCACTAACCGGCAGATTAGTAGTTGAGTGGGTGACCATCAGCGAACACCGGCTGTTGTATGTTTTTCTTTTTTGCCTTCAAGGCTCAAAGTGGCCGACCATCAACTAAAGTTGTGGAGCTCAGCTATCACAAGACCAACTGGAACGATTTGGTAGATTCATGATTAGAGAGTAAGCTTAATATTGAGCACATGGCGATTCCAACTAGCTGCTGTAATCTTCCATGGCTGTACCAAGATTGCTTAATGAGATTTTTTCGTGTATGTTTGCCAGGTTCAGCGGCCTGAATCAGATGGGTCTCTTGCCGGGCTAACACCGTACCTGGTGTTGTAGAGCTGGGAGGCTATCAGATATTCTGGAAATAGAGGTTGAATCAAGACTGTCTTTTGATAGCAAGTTTTGAAAATAGCAATGTTACTTCGCTTGACACATTCCGTTTCTTCAAAACAAGAATCTTACGCTGGAAGAAGATTCATTGTAACCTCACGCTCAATATAGTGTATGCAAAATGCTTTTGCAGAGCGCACTAACCAAGTCTATCAATTGTAACTTGCTTTCTCCGTAACACACATGGCGTGTTTTGCTGCTGGTATGTAGCATGGTGAGATATAGCTATTATCGGGTACTATATGTTCACTTGTCCATATTTTAACAGCTACCTAGTAACTATGTTCTTACAGAAAGGAATATGTGTCTTTTAGTCGTTGAGAGTCTTTTGCGATATACAGAATGTTTTACCTATGGTGGATGATCAGGAAGATTGCCCAAGACCGCGTCGCTTTCGGAACCACTAACTCAAACCTAGCTAAGTCGTATCGCAGTCTTGAATATTGTTCGAGTTGTAGTTTGGGGGGCCCCCGGAGACAGCCGAGTGCGCAAGCTTAAGAAAATATTCGGCCATTTGTTCCAATTCAGTTGGGAGGGCAGATTGTATATGCAGCTTGCCCTTCATAGCTTGGAGGTATGATCTTGTTGTAGCCAGCAGGTCTAAATCTCCACTAGTAGTGGGGGCTTTCGGATAACGTGTGATGTGGTTGAATATTACAAAAAAAGAGGTAAATGGATAATAAAGAAGTGCCCTAACGATACGTGAAGTTAGTTTAACGAGATGTACCTATCTGGACACTAGAATGCAGGAGGTTTCCTCACCAGAATACTCCTCTAAAAACATGCGTTTTACTCGAAAGATGTGGGAGAAGGGACAGAGCCTCGCGTGCTGACTCAAGTCGGAGGGTAGTGTAATGGACATCTTCTTGCAGTAATAGGACGATGGTATGTAAAAACTTGAACCGCATGAGTCGGATCGCAAGTGACATTCCATGAAGTTGTTCTTCACTGGCATGATCTGCTTCTAGATCCCGAGCTTCCGATAGAACCTGTGGATATTAGTTAGATAATTAGAAATGGTGTATGACACCAAGGCATACTTGTCTTGTTGAGGCATCCCAATCCTCTAAATATGATATGAGATTTTCTCGGCCGCCACATAGGTCTCCAGTGTTCAAGATATCAAGAACTAAACCAGTTAATCTTGACAATTTGATGTTTTGATTGAATAAATGCGCTCCGAATGTGGACATTAAAGGTTGGTTGTAATAAATGTTCCACGGGCCGTGGCGGGGGCGAAACTTTAAGAGATGCTGGAAATCAGGCAATGGTACATTCTCATACATTAGACTTGGCAGCAATACAGGGCGCCCCAAAGCTAGAGAGCACGTTTTGTCGACCATGAAGAGCACCCAAAAAAGAGTCAATCGGCGCTGTCGTTCTTCGGGATCTTGATGCTCCGTGAGGTGTAAGTTTAGGGCTTGAGCTTGCCGGCAGGCGTGACTGGCGAGTATCCATGACAGGTCAGGAGAAGCGTACTCCTCTCCGAGACATGACAGCATTGCCAGAGCCTGAACATTAACTTCATTTGTTTCCAAGAATATTCTTGCATCATCTAAGGCAAGTCGAGTGTTATGTCGGAACGACTTCGTAAGGTGACTTAGGGTCCGATCCTTGTGCGATAGTATGAGGAATATGAAGTTAATGTAGAGCACCCAGCCACGTGGGGAAACTGAATCGGGCTCGAATATGGCCTTCATCAAAACTTGATCTGAAGGCTTGGCGGCTATAAGGCCGGCTAGGTCGGCGACACGCGAGAAGCCTTGAAATCTTCATTAGCCTGCATGTTCTCAGAAAACAAAAAGTCATGGGTCATTCTTACGACTAATTAGTGCATATCCTATAGCTCTTGATGGGACAAAGAATCCAGCCAATTTATCGCATTCCTGGAGAGCGTTAGAGGTTATCGCAAGATTGTGCGCTGTGGGTATGTTGGGAACATGTTGTAATCCTCTTGGAATGGGATGATGATGAGACGATAAACCCGCATTATTACCAAGAGCTCCTATATCTATGGATATATTTGCTGGAGGGGTAAGGAAGTTAAATAGCTGGTTTTGTTCAGCAATCAGTCGACTATTAGCCTCTGTTCCATCACATGAATTCTCTTGTACTGATTCAGTGGGTGGACTGCTTTCTGATGAGATAGTGGTAGTATCTACTCTGCTATTGGTAATGCTAAGTCGGTTCACTGCGAGGGTTAGTTTTTCGAGAGCCGCCTCTATACAATGGAGACGTTCATGGAAACTATTCAAATCTTGCGTTGATGGGGATGTTGTATTGGTATCTTCCCTACTAGATGAATAAGTACAACGCGCAGGACCGCTTAAATCCAGAATAAAACCCACTGTAGTTTCGGGGCCGAAATTTCTTTGGAATATACACATTCACCAGGCCATGGGCGGCAGGTGGTGCACTTTGGCCATTCGCGAGAGCACCTATATTTACTTAGCTGCGGACAGGGCCATCACAAGTGTATTCATATCAGCAGGGCGTACTTGATCTTCTTCTTTCTGCAGAAGTCACACTGCGTCACAACTTAGCCACTCCTAATTTTTGAATGCTGGGCTGTCTCAAGTGCAGGAAGCATACGGCAAAGCGTGACAAACGTTCTGGCAAGGCGACAGGGGGCTGCAACGTATCTTCCATACTGTTCATTGGATCGGGGCTAACCAGACGCAACGAGTTGGCCGTCTGCAGGGCGGTGAAGTTAACGAGACTCTGTATGCTGAACACCTGAGGCTCCTGTCACTCGATATGGGCAGATGATTATTTTCCTCAAGACTCGATACAGAATGTGCTTCGAAGACTCGGGGATAGGATTGGATATTGCGGGCCGACAGACTGCATACCTACATAGGCATAGTCGAACCATTGGCCCTGTCCAAACATAGCCACAATGTTGACGTAGCGCGGCGCCTTCAATTCCCGATGTGGATCAGGGATACCGACAGGACTAGCGTTGATGCTCCAGACTATGTGGAGTGCTGTTTCAATCTGACTTTGCAATTGCTGGATTAAAGGTGTTAGGAGAAATACAAATTAAACCCTTCACAGATTGGGTATGCTCGGGGGCAATCCGCCTTGGCTCCGAACATAGCCAATTACAATGTGTCATCCTGTGGCACTTTTTGACCTAACTGAAGTCCATTGCTGCATATGCCTCGGTTTCTGTAAAATTGCCCTGGGCTGACTCGCATCTAGTGACTGAATTTCTAAACGACTCATCTTTTTTGTGACGGTATGGAGACTGCCAAGTGTTTGAGTTGCTAGCTTGTTGAAGCGGTGGCAATGCTTTGTCTCTATTGTTGTGTTTGCAACCTTATATCGCGATGTTGACTGTGGCTCAGACGGTGTTAAGCGTATGCATTACTTTTTACAGATCGAGCTTAATTTCGGATCGGCCGTTGGAGTAGACGAGAATCACTCAGTTTCATCTTAAAAGTTTATAAATCAAAGAATCCCTCTTTCTCCTGTGAGAGTGTCCTATATCACTTCTTTTTCATATCACAGCATCTCGACTTTGAACCCGAAACGGCATATGATCCAATAATTATACCATTCTTTGCGTTCTGTCAACCTTAACCATCAGGCAGAATGGGCCGCCCCTTTGATGCATATGATGGAATTGCCTGTGCTGAAATCGGCATCTACTGCATCTATCTATGTGGCGCCATCTACCTCTTGCGCAAACACGGTTTTAGGGAGGGTGCTGGTTGGCGTTTTCTTATCATGCTCTCACTCGCTCGCCTCATTGGGGATTCCATGCGTCTAGCCACAATTTCACAGCCAACTAACCGGAGCCTATACGTCGGCTGGTTAATTCTTCTTGGTCTTGGCATTGGTCCCTTAATTCTCACATTACACGGAGTTCTTGGGCGCCTTATTGACTCTATGAACGCCCAAGGCCGCGCCCCCATCAAGTCTTTTCACCGACGCCTCCTTGAAATTCTCATGCTCGGTGGCATGGTCTTGGTCATCATCGGTGGAACAAAGTCTCATTACACCCTCAGCCATGGAAACCCGGTTACTCAATATTCTTCTCTGAGCAGCGTGGGAACGGGTATCATAGTCGCCGTCATGGGACTCTTACTCCTGGAATATCTAATTGTCTTTCGAAACCGAGACTGCATTACCCGTATTGAGCACCGCGTCTTAATCGCCGTCATTATATGCATCCCCTTTGTTTTAGTACGCGTTGCCTACTCTTGCATTCTTGTCTTTGGGGGCGTTCATTCATCACCCTGGCTTCTACTGGGCATGTCGACTGCTATGGAAGTAATTGTAACCTTCATTTGTGAATTATGTGGGTTTATCCTCCCTTCGGTTACCTTCCTTGAAGGAAGCTCATCCCAAGACCGGGAGATGCAACCAATGGGCAGCTATGGAATATCTAAGTAATAGCCACATTCTATGGGGGAAAGTGATTGGGAAGTGCTGTACAAAATTTGATTTCTTTCTAAGTGCCGTTAAGGCTTTTATAATATTTCATTTAACTCAGATAGTTCGATTTTATGTTATATACCTTATTAGTAGGCATTATTGAGCTGTTCCAATACTTACACTGTGTCGTCGGTAATATATTGTATGCTGATAGTTACGTACGCCGTCATGGTCTTCCAAGCTAAACAGACCACGCTGCTAAATGCTCTCCTATTGCTCGGCTATGTCCTCTAAGGAAAGTTAGGTATATCCTTGGGCCTTTTGTTATCCAAACTTCTTCATGTGCAAAGTTATTTAAGCCCTGACTGTGCACTGCGTTTGATGCTTAGCTAGATGCAGTTAGCTTATGAGGTTTACCCTTGCCACTCAAGTGATCTCTAGTTGGATGCTCTCGGAGGCAGCGCAAGGGAATTCCGGAGACAACCAATTATTTCCAGAGCCATGGGTACATGTCGAATAACATACCAAGTTTGGTTGTTGGTTGACTACATTACTCAGTACGGCCACGCTGGGTGGCGAACGCGAGAGTGATTAAACCCGATTTTAGCCTCTTAGGGAAATCCCATGCGAGACTGCCGGCACGGAGGTATTGTATTATCCGCTATACACTAAATAAGCCCAGTACTAATCTGAGCCAGTTTAGACATCTTGTTTCACATCTCACATCTCATATGTAGCTTGATCTTACTGTTTGCTACGTCACCCATGCCGTTATCTTGCTGTAATTGTATAATTGAATTCTTCTTACTGCTAGTAACTAAGCCTATTACTCTATCCTCCTACCCTTTCCTCATCTACCGCTTGTCCACATCATTCAGTTTCAGTCTGTTCCCTTCTAAAAATTCCTATTGGATGTCTGCTGTCTGCTGGGGTTCCGTTTCCCAATATTTGGCCTATTAACCGTTAACGGCGACGCTGTTGTTGATCTTGCTATTATTTCCCATTTGTTAGTTCCTGAGACCCGACTAATGTTTACCGTCTAGGGTGAGTATATGAGAGCAAACAAACCTGACTTGTGGCGTGGGTCGTCCTGGTGGTGTAGCTAGGTTGGCTACCTGTATTGTAAGAGGTCTGTCCAGATTGCTGCATCCTTTCACGATTCTCTTTCTCCTTTGCATTTTTGCTTCTGTATTTCTTGACAGCGGCGTAAATAATCATCTTCAACGGATTTTGTCTTAGAATCCAAAATAAACTTTAGTCCCAAGGATGAAGGGATATTGCTATAGAGTAGTAAAACAAATTTGAGAGAAATTCTCGACAAATTGATGAATTTCAGGGTGTTTTAAAGGAAGGGTAGACACCGAATTTATAGTAAAATCTCTAGACAGGTAGTTACATTCAGTGCTGTTGTAGGTCGACACAGCCATCAGCCACGTATTAGAAATGAATGCATGTAAGCGAGATTCTTACATACGAACGCCATCAACACAGCCTTAACAAGCATTCCCGGTTTCCCCACCTTCCGCGTGGTCCCTTCAGCGTTATGATGAATGATAGGAAAGGAGTCGGACTATAATTTTTAATAATCGCCCTAGAATGTATCCCTATGAGAGGATAGTGGGCCCCCTGGACTTAATGTCGGAGGATCGGCTCATGCCATACACAGAAAGTGTGGGTGCCGGCATTAGACCCCTTCCATTAGCAACACCCACATCGACGAAAGGTTCTGGCCACCTGATATGTATCCACAAAGTGGGAATAAACAAAAACTAAATACACGCATAAATAAATTCGCTATAGATAAAGCTGGCTGTTGGTGCCATAGAATCCTGTGCACCATATTGCTCGTATTGTCGGGGACAAAGAATTAACGGTAAGTGAATTAAATCAAGAACAATCCCCGCCGGAAGGTTTCTCAGAAATAAAGTAATCGATATTTCATATTAAAATTTGGGCATGTGATCTCGAGTTCATAGAATAGGGGTGAGCTTGTGGTCAATATATATAATGGGAAACCTCTCCCACTCCCGAGTTCCTTGATCGTCTTCTCTCGCCAAGGCTATAGGGAAAGCGGTGGTAAGGGTGTCCAAGACGTCTTTTACTGTTATACAGTAGATGTGGCAGTCAACTAGATAAATATTTGAGAGCATTTAAGTTATATGGCTGCTAACACGTAGTTATACTCATGTATGTTTCGCGATGATAGTGATCTGCTGGTCGTCTATTTGTCAGCCGCTAATACTAGCCAGCAGACTCAATTTTAATGCCTCTTTTATCTTAATATTTGCCTGGTTGTAGATGATAAGCGCTTCAATGCAGGTGATGGTCACATCCTCAACCTCGCCTTCATTGGGAGATTGACACGTTCACCAACGAAATGACTTTTGCTATGGGCGAGAGACGACATTTTATTCATTTGATTGACGTCGAGACTATACCATCAAATACAGCTAAGTACCCGTAGTCAACTTATGTATCAATCTGATGAGCTTCCTCTTTCCCAATCCGTCCCAGTACTAACACGAGCTGGCTCAAGTACAATGTACTGCCGCTCTAATATTGCTATACTATAGTATGTATCTGTATACTATCAGAATCCTGGAAACATTTGCACTCATTGCTTTTGGCAGAAGTGTAAGGCTCCAATTTCCCACTGCATCTGTTAGGTCCTTAGCTGTCGCAACCTGATAAGAACCTATCGCAGACCCAGAAGTAAGCGCTACCTGTTTCGTCGTGGTCAATGTAATGTCCTCTACCATGTTAATCTTTGTATCAGACAGCACAAGCACAGAGATAGTCTCAGCCTTAACTTGTGTTCCTCTTGTAAAAAAGGGTAATCGATCCTGCAAGGCCGATAGGGGCATTGAGGAAGGCTGTGTCTTATCCGCCGACACTAAACGGTGCCACTCCGTAGGAAAGTCATTCTTCAGATCAAGCAAGGCAAACATTCCCTCAGTAGCGGATAAACCAGCAGCGTTCTTTTGGAAAGTAGATGCTGCATCGGACGCTGCCTTTCGGAATGCAGCTCCTCCCTGGATAGCCGTGTATTTAACATGGAGAACAATATCGCTGATTGTGTTGTAATCAAATTGTTTGACCGAGGTAGGCAGTTCGAGGCGCCATTTGCTTATAGCCCCGGCCCCTTCAAAGGGGATATACCTCTCGTCCCTGAAGTCAAGGTTAAAGACGCCGCTGTCTTGCTGCCCGTGAGAAACTGCAATACTCTGTATGGGAATCTGGTCTGTTTGGAACCTTTCATCTGAGTCTTTCTGGGGGTAGTCAGCCCCATTCTTAGCATCTGGCTTAGTACGGTATCGGTGTTCCAGCAAGGTCAGTGTCGCGTTAACGCTAGTGTATGGGCCGACGATGCACGGGATAGTCATCCCTACTGACTTTATCCGTCGAGAATAATGACCGGGAAAGTCAAAATCGAAGAGGACCTCGGGCAGGTCAAACTCCGCTGTTCCCGTCTCGCGGAGGGTTAGCAATGCCCACGGCCGAATCTGACGTAGCGAAATATTCTTGACAATCTCGAAATCATGGAAGCGATGCTCCATGTAAGCAGTCTCTAGCCGCTTTAGCGATAAATAGAGATTCTCCCCGGAGAACATTCCCTGCCTGCCCTCATCCCAGGTTGATGGACCGATGAAATCAACCGACTGATCTCCTTTCTCAAATCGGAACGCTTTTTGCGCTTTCTGAGCGAGGTCATCCGCGATCAAGTATGTTTGGTGGTACAAATTGCGGACCACACCTTCCATCCACCCGTACAGCTGCTCACTGGTGTATTTGCTCCTCAGCCATTCTTCCGTATCACGCGCTTGCTGAGCTTGCTGTTGCTGGATTTCAATGTCTCGCTCACACATCTCCACACGTATTCGCGCCGTTGCTATTTGCTTGTCTACCTGCTTAATTTCGCGACCGGCCATGTTGGCCTGTAACCGCCTGTCCTGGAGTTGCTTGATGAGAAACCCTGTGCGGGATGCGCGTGTACCTTCGTATTCCGAGGATTGAGCTTGGAAACGCATCACACTCGAGTTGATGAGCATAGCTTCAGCAACATTTCTGGTGATAGAGCCTATGGACACTCCTACTCCGAAAGGCTCTATTTCTTCACTGATATCGGGTATGGCCTTGACGATGCTGGCTGCTATGTCGAGAATGGTGGCCTTTTGGTTGAGTGCTGCTGCTTCATCTGCTTTTTGCATCTCAAGCTTCTCATGGGATGTCATGCGGAGATTATCTGTTGTCGGTTTCTCAATGGCCTGAGCGATGTCTTCCCAGTCTTTATTCTCATCAGGGACCGACACGTCATCACTACCAGAAAGAGCGAGGAAGTATTCTAGTCTAGTGACTAGGCCCTTCCGAGACTCGAGGAGTGCATCAATGCTTGACTCCGCCTCAGTTTTGGCTATCTTCTTCGCTTCAATCATGAGCGATTGAATCACGATATCTTGACGTGCCCGGAGGTTTGCCAATGCCTCTGTGTCCTTTTTCTCTTTGATGGACAACAGGGTTTGCCCCATCGATTTGAGTTCAATACACAGCTCCAGTGCCTTCTGTAGCAAGTATTGGAAACGATAATTTGGCATGGGGCCAACGGTACTGCTCAGAAGCTGGGAAATGCTAATCCCATAGGCCGTTGCGCGAACCAGCAACCCAGGATCGATTGGAGGCTCGAAGAGAGCAAGGCTTCGGACTACGCCATTGATGTCTTGACAATTTCGAATCTTAAAAAGTCGATCATCAATCAAGTTACGAAGTTCCACAAGCTTCGGATTTGATGGCACACAAAAGTAGGTGGTTTTCAAGATGCCCATCAAAGCAACACCGCCTTGAGCCGTGGTTGTACCTCGCGATGCAGGGTCGCTGTAGAAGGGAAAATCAAGCTCCATATCGAACTGAGAATTGGAAAAATCGTCAAGTGTCTTCTCAAGGTCTGCATATGACTGAAAAACCGGTTTCGTCAACTTCGGAACCGGTATTGGTGCCGACCCGAAAACGTGGGACGCTTCCACGTAACGCTGGATGGCGAGAGGTAACGCCTCGAGCGTGTTCTGCCGGAAATAAACGTCTCCACTGGCGACTAGAATCTCGATGTACTTCATGATGATCCTGCGCATGAATGCCAGCGGCCTCGTCCTTGCCACAATATGAGCATTGAAGGGATTCTTCCGCCATTCTAGTATATTCGTCGCCATGCCATCTTCCGACCCGCTAGAAGGTTTGAGCTTCTTCAGGATATCTTCCACAGAGTCAATCTGGCCGTTTGCGAGCTCCTTAAATGGGAGAAATAACCAGCACCGATCAAGTGATGTCCCATCAATGGTCGGGTCAAAGACAAGGTGAGCTATACTAATTGCGAGGTCATACTGTCCAGTAGCTTGTAGCCTCTCCATAAGAAGCATGATAGAATGGGCACCCAGTTCCCAGTTATAAAGAGCGTAAGGAGTTGAAAGCTCATGAACTGGGCCGTTCCTTTTACCAAAGGCAAGGAAAGTGTCATCCGCTGATACGCTGCTAAGGAAGGCATACAACTGGTCAACGCCTTCATATGATGTCGACATGGATATTAGATCCCGGTCGAGGGTATGCTGGAACACGTCGGAAGGAAAGGTGGTAGTAGAAGTACTGGTCGGGTACGTAATATACGATATTGTGGACTCCGTAGTTATGATATCTTGGATCAGGCCAGTCGCTTTATTAACCTGCGAGTGATTGAATGACAGTGTCCACTCCACATCTTTCTTGGGGGTATTGTCTACCAATTTGGTCACAATCCCCAGGAGTGGTTGCTCTGGTCCGGATCCTCTGTCTATCGGAATCTCGGGGGTTCTCTTATCACCATCCTTCTCTATGTGCCATGACATCTTGTTGAATACAGTTGGAATGGTTGACAACCACGGTTTTTTGAAAGGATCTGTTGCAGGGGCGGCGCTGAGGTCGACTAAGATGACCTGCGATCCGCGCATCTCGAATCGACCCAATGGGTAATTGATGTATCGAGGCAGTAGCGATCCTTGATCCACCTCAATCCATCGCTCCACTTCAATCATTAGGATGCTAGTACTAGGCTCAGGGGCCTTTCGTGGCGGCGAAGGGCTGGAGTTTGTAGTGTCGGTTTTTGGGGGGATCAGGCCAGTCGGACGGGATTTGATCCAGAACTTGAATGAGGAAATGCTAGGGAACTCTTGCGCTTTGAGCCAGATTTTATCATCCGGTTTTTTGCCATTTGCTATGGGGAAATCAGTTTCCTGGGCTCCCCTCACCTCCAATGCAGCCTGAGATACCTGCTTCGGCGTCCACTTGCCGTTGCGGTATTCTGCCCAGCCCATCTGGATTTGCCAGCACTTGGACGCCTTTAGGGTGTCAACATCCTCATCGCCTACGCCCTCGATTATTTTGCCCGTGGCATTAGGATTTGAGGACGTCTTGAGCACGATTTGAGGGAAGAATAGAAATAGACGTTCTCCATAGAGGGCTGGAATGAGGTAGGATCCCGACAAGGGTAAAGGTTTTCCGTCTGCGTCAACTTCCAGTATGGGAACTTCGATGTCGATCTTGGTCCAAGGTTGCCAGTACATGTAGACCAACGCACCTCTAGGCCTCGGCACAATGTCCAAGGTACGGTAGTAATAAATATATGGGGCCGTTCTCGTTCGGGCGAAGAAGTGAAATGTCCCAGTAAACTCATCCTCTCCTTTCTTCCACAGATAGGCCTGAACGTCGAGGTCTGCGATCTCACCTACCCCATAGACGTAACCCTTGATAAGGTCGATGATCTTATTGCTGTCCAGATCGTTCTGTAATATACTCGACTCAAGCATCTGAAAGACCTCCGACTTATCATCCCGAAGAGACGCATCTAGCCAATTCTCAGGATAGAGGAAGACTTTCCTATTAGCCTCCCATATCCTATAATTCTGCATCCAATTCCAGCGATCCATGTTCATTGTATCGCTACTAACGCCCTTCCCTTTTTCTAGGCCGAGGATACACCTTCGCACATAGACCTGCACGGTAGAGATAGCCTGCTTTATGCGTGACGTTTCAAGACAAGGTCCCATTTGTACATCAATTAGTAGGAACTCAAAGAGACCGTCTGCGTCTGTGATGCCCTCGCTTATTATGTATTTATGCTGCAATAGATAGCTCACCAGTGCGACACGCTGGTTCTGTCGCAGCCCGCTGTTTACCTGCGCCCTTAGGTCTGCTCCATTGGGGGAGGATGGCGTAGATCGGAGGAGAAGCCGTACCTTCGCGGCATTGTCAAAATCCGTGGGCGCGGTAGGTGGGATGATTGGAGTGCCAAGCGTGAACAGAAGCTTGAGAGTCAAGCCAGGCACGCCCGTGCTATTGACGAACGCAAAGCAATCCAGCAGTATTTTCAACTCTGTTACTCCGGAGAAGAGAGTGACTATTTGCTGCTCTTCTTGGCCAGGGAACCTTTGGGCTAGATACTCTTCTATTTGAGTTTCAGAGAGCGCTGTAAGCGTGGCCAGAGCGGTCACCAAACCATCATGGGGAGAAGTGCTGGTCCATTTGAGGAATTGAAGAAGAGCGGTTGGGCCATTCAGTTTGTCAGCCAAGTCTCTATATCTTTGGAGAAATTGTATTGCTGCAAAGCTAATGTTCCCAAAGTCGACAGCAAGGGTAGGGTTGACCTGAACTTGAAAGAATTGGACCTCATCGACGCTGAGTTTCATGCTGACATACAAACCAGTCGCTCGCGATACTATTCTCAACATACTTTGCGCGAAGACGGTGGTGTCATGTGCGAGAAGTGTGCCAAGGGGGAACGGCTGACTGGGGCTTCGTAGGGTAGAATAAGAACACTCCGCTAAGCCGCCTCCGTCGGTTCGATGGAGGCTGTACGCTTGGCTATTTGAGAGGCGGATTTGGTTCGAGATCCAACCCCCCGTGTCTTCCTCAAATTTAAGCGCGGTGCCATCTAGAGTCACGCTAGGGCTCGAGGATAAAGTTTCGTCAGGCACGAAGAGCCGGTATGAGTCTGCAGCAGGGGGTTTGAAGAAGACATCTGATGAGTCTTTGTTGAGAGTAGACTCGTTTAATGCTGACAAACTGCCCAAAATGTCCAGTATGAGTTTGCGCACTGGAGGCTGGTCCCATGAATCTCCGTATAGGTCATCGAGCAAAACTTTCAATATGATAGGGTCCGAGTCGGGGTAGAGTGGGGTGAGGACCTTTAGGACAACGTCTCTTTCAGTCTGTGTCTGAAGCGGTTCAATGACGCTTTTTAGGAAGAATACTCGTCGAGAGTTTAGTATAGCTTCCCAAGCAATAGCCTTTTCCTCGTCCGTCCCGGTAGGTTCCGGTTGCTCAAAGAAGATTTTGTGTGCCTCTTGGCTATTGCTGGAGAAATATGGTAGGAGGACCTTTTGGTATACCGACGAGGTCTCGGTTAAGTCCGTCCCGGGAACCACTGGACAAGTCAGTCAAAACCCTTTTTGTATTGATTCAAGTTAACTCACTCTCAATGAACTCTGTGACTAATTGCGCAGTCGCAGAATCAAACAACTTGACTGATGCGGTAGTCACATCAGCTGGCGAAGCCATCATGCCCTCGGTGATTACTGGTAAAGTATCTTTACTGCTCTGAATGTTGATTATAATGTCCGAAGCGGCCAAGACGATCTGCAGCATAGATAGCCCCAAATCTAACCCTCTCGAAAGCATAGCTTGGTCATTACCAGTAAAGAAGAGAAGCTGTTCTTGGCTCAAACCAGCATCCACCAACTCCTGAAATTCCTTTATGATGCTAAATGCAGCCTGCGGGCTTTCAAAAACCAACGATGGGTTTAGCAGACCTTGTAGTCCTTCAAAATATTTCGGATCAATTGCAAGTATCTGGCAGAAGAGAGATATGCGGTATATGCTAGTTACGTTAGCCAAATCGAGCTTGTCGTTTTGGATATTTGCTGCAGCCACAATAGCAGAGAAGCTCTCCTCTGTCAAACGGAATGCAGCCAGTAGCGGCGCACGGTTCTCCTCAAGACTCAAGCCACCCGCTAGATATCGTCCCTGATCATCTTTTCCAAACACGGCATCCTGTCTATCTGCTTTGCCCCCGAGGAATAGTTTGGCGTAAAGTGAGTTGTCTCCGTTTGTGTCCATAAGGTCCCAGAGAGGCATAAGCCTAAACACTTCAATGCCGGTGAGGGTCGAGATGCGCTGTACCGCCGACATGGCGACAATAGTCTGTGGCGTAATGTTATACAGCGTGTCTTTAGTGCCAAATGATGTGATGAGGCAGTCAAGATCTTGTACTGTCCATCCAGTCTTATGCCACAGCCGTATAAAGGACTGAAGTAGTTTGCAATCTGGCACTGTAAGGGCCGCTTTGGCATTGTCTTTAGTTGGATGACGAAGTCTGAGATCTTCAAGCTTGCCAGAGAAAGTCGGCGAAGCGTCTGCATTCTCAAGTACAAGTTGGCCCTGTAGTGTTCTCGCTCTGAGAAGCCCCAATAATTGCTCAACTGTAATTTCTGATCGTCGGAGAAACTGAGACTTGACAAAGGGCAACCCCTCGTCATTATTCTCTGACAGCATGAGTTGGTCTGACTCATAACCCCAATATTGCGCCGTACCTAGACGCCCGATCTTTTGTCCATAGGCGTCGTCCTGCATGTTTGGATCGATAACGGCCTTGAAAAAATCGAGCGAATAAACTGAAGAGCCTGTAATGGCAACGTGGTCTGCAGGGGAGAGCCCGAGATATTCAGCCGCGTCCGCACTGCTCAACACGTCTTTCGCTAACTTGAGCATATCAGAGGTAGGAGGGGTGCTCCCATCAGTTGTAGGAAATAATCTTTGTTCTGATCCAAAAAGTGCCACAACATCGGATAGTGATACTTTGAGATTTGAGAAGAATAGACGCTGCGTATCAAGGGCCTGGCTGTAAGGGAAAACGGTAAGGGGGAAGTTTTGTGCAGCAATTTGGGTCTGATAGATGCCATAGTCTGTATGCTGCGGCTCTGATAGACTGGTATCACTGGTGTCTTCTTCCGTCATGTTGAACCCCTGGATAGGGACAGGCGTAGGCGGGACGATATTTCCAACATTCTTGATGAAGGACTCCATTGCTTCGTTAGCGAGGTCAATATATGGAATCAACACATTTGTATTGACACAGGACAGTTGCATAGTTAGTAGATCTGGGCGTCTCTCCGTCAATTTGTCAAGAAGGCTTGGACCAGTCGGTTTGCTAGAGTCGCTGGGTGCGTTTTTGAGCATACGCAGAAGATCTACAAAGTAGGCCGCTGGACTGGTGACCGCGTTACAGTCATCACAACCCCCAAGGACAATGTCGCCGAATATCTGCGTATAGCTCGTAGTTTGTTTCGTTGTAGGTGTGGCCAGTGCCACCACTGAGTCTGATGGAGCCGCCGTGTCTGAGCTCGTCAAGGCAGAGAGATGAATATCCGTCTTGGAAGCCAACATGGCCGCCCATACCTGCTCATTGCGCATATCCACCAGGGAGGCATGCTCATGGATAAGGATGGCGCGTTCAGCGGGGAGACCATAGTGGCTGATAGTCGTAACGAATGCGTCTTTCGGTGCGTGTGCAATCTGGAAAGCTGATTTGAATGGCGACCGAAGAAGCGCATCCAGATCTTCGGGGAAGCGCACTAAGGCTTGAAGTCTCTGGAGGTTCCGAAAGAAGGTTCTGAGTGCTTCAGCATCGATTCCGTCTATTACATTTGCAAATTCATCCATATCGAACAGATTGTTTATCGGGTCTTGCCCTATATTAAATCCATAGGATATAGCCACATCTAGCAGCTTGATCACTGCTGGTTTGATTGTCTCTGGTGTTACAGCAATGTGCTGACATGATATAAGACTGTAAATTGAAGCTGTGGGCTCATTCGCAAACAATCTAATCTTGAAGCCTTCTGCGTCGGTTTCATTGGAATTTAACAGGAGGTGGTAGCATCTTGCGGCGTCTGAGACTGCGAGCATCCGCTCTTGTGCAAAGAAGGGGCTGATAAGATTCAAGTTGCCCGCAGCCAGCTTGTCCAGCTTTGCGAGAAGGGCCAATCGAACTTTTGATTCAGGCGAGTTGCTTGCCTCTATGCCGACTGCGTCAATGGCCTGAGAGAGACTTCGAGTGCTATCAATGGCGGCGAAGATCCTATCGTTGTCTTCGACCAAGCCTCGAACAAGGTCCTTTGCCACCTGCAATCCATTGTCGTCGAGCTCGTGAAGAAACATGACAAATTTGTGCAGTTGTTGGCCTTGGACAGAATAAAGAGGTAGGCAGAGAAAAACTGACAAAGGACAGTTGTAGTTACCGTGAGGAAAGGCTTGTGAAGGGTGTATTCAATGTGAATTTAAGACAAAAGGGCCACGGCTACGTAGTCTGAAGTCTGTCAAAAAGGCCCTATGGGAAATTAAGCTCTCCTTGGAGTAAATGGACTGAGGCAAAGCATACAGATGCATGCTGCAGACACAGCAACTCCCCCATTGGCGCTTTGATTTCAGAGATAAATTATTCTGACTCATTAGCGCCGTCAGGCAACGCCTGGGTTCTCCTCATCTGGAACATAGCGGCATACGACCATCCAATCCGAATGCTATCCGATAGAGTCTGCGTTGCTCGATCATCGGCATCACACACACGGCAGGAGGTTCAGCTGGTCTCGGATGCCAAGAGAAGCCCGAAGAAGGGTCCAGCCGGCAATGATTCGACTCTGTGCCGTAAAAACTGGGCACTTACGATAATTTGACCTTGCATTGCATCGCGTTGCCTCACAGGCAAGACATGATCGACGACGTGGTCGAATGGCCGTTCAACACGCTTCATGATCATGCGAGGAGGGTGTGTTTGCGTAGCATCAACCGCGGCACCGACGTCACAGTGAAGTAATTCTGAGGGGCACTCGAGAGCTCAGCTGGCATCGAACGCAGCTGAAAGACATGGGTTTTGCATGCTGCATGGGGTGATAGCCAAGCTGAAGTCGCGAGCCGTGTTTGCTAGGGGTCGTACATATCAAGGTACCAGTACCGCTAGGCTGAATATCGCGCGGCACAACTAGGGCAATATCTAGATAAAATCCGAAGGGCGGTGGGGCTTGCCCTTCCTCTCAAGGTACTAGTACGACTAGCGCACGGGAGCTTAGCGGCTTAGTGCGACGATCGGAGTATTTCGAGATGTACGAGCAGGCCATGGAGGCATCCCCGCAATCAGATGGACGGCATCGGATGTGTTTGGGCGGCTGCCGTCGCGGAACATGTTCCGTCCAATCGGAGGCCCGCTATGGCGCACTCCCATGATGCCACGGCTGTCGCAGGATGAGCAGCAGAGGCGGCCATCAAGAAGTGAGGGCGAACAAACGAGAATCACCTTGGAAAGGAGGCAGTTGTGAAAGGTATAAAGTGCGGGACTGCCTCGCCCATCCCATCAGCCAGAGCTTCATTTCGTCACAGCGACTATACAAGGTGCTTACATACCTAGACTCTTCATTTCTCGCAGACAAGCAAATATACGCCGTGCTTGAGCTTTGAACTTCATCCCCCTTACACCATGACTGACTCGGACGTTCTCCTGCGTCTCAAGACTTCCTGTGCTACAACCTACGACCACTATGATCAAGTGGTTGCTGTCTCCCAAAAAATCATCAATGACGCTTTCGTAGGTTTGTACGATGAAAATCCAGAGTTCGCAAAAATCAGCTTTTCCGACAGGCGGGTTGGTAGCATCGAGGGGGATTTGCTTTCGCCTCACCTTCTTCTCGGCGGTCGCGAAGGCGGCGGTATCAACTTGGCCACTGTCCTCTATGTGATGCGGTACGTACTATGCTCTCTACCACCCGAGTATTTGGACCGCGTAAGTTGACTGACATGCGGAAATAGCTTCAAAAGTGGCAAGTTGATTATTTACGGGGCAACGGAGGAGGACGACTTTGAGGATGACCTGGATGGCTGGAAGCTTGCTGTCAAGGTTGATCTCGACAAACAGTTTGTTAAAGTCGATCCGACTGCCGATCCTGCAGAACAGGAAAGACAGCAAAAAATCTGGGACTTTATACACAACAAGTTTTCCATCCCAGGTGATTACAGCATTTCCCGACTGTATGCCAAGCTATCTGGTGAGTTCAAATAGCATCAAATGACAACTGCGAGTGTGCTGACTGAAGCATAGATGTCACATGGAAGGATTATGACTACGACGCCTCACAATTTGGCCACAACTCGGATGGCACACCGCGGTCTTGGGCTCAGCTCATCAAACAGTACCCAGACCTCGAGATTGGCCTGCCGCTCTTCTTGGGTAAATGGGCACAGCAACAGGAGGATGAGAGCATGACCATGGCTGGGATCAAGCTGATGGGCGAGCCGCCTGAAGAGAGTGAGCGCAGCCGAGAAAGTTGTTGTCCCATCTTTAGCTGACCTTGATGCTAGATGACCCCAAGGAGTCTACGTTCGAGCCAACTGCCATGATTCACCAAGTCTTTGGCTATCAAAATCCCGCCAAGGGTGTTCCCGAACCAGTCGTATCATACGACGTGCCAGGAAACCTGAATTCGCTTCTATATTGCGAAATGGTCGAAGATAATCCCCTTCCCCAAGACTCCAAGCTTGCTTCTAGGGGTATCTTTACCACTCAGCCCTCGAGCACCACTCCACGCATTGATGGCAGTTTTGTCCTTAGCCATCAGCTCTTCCTGGAGAAATTCTTGCTCCCTATGCTGAACGCTTTCAACATGGCCACTATTATTTACCCTGATTCATCGAGATTTTCCTATTCTGGCACTTCAAGCACGGTTTCATGGAATTACGCCATCGGCCTTGATAAGAATCACCCGAATCCAGGTGATTCATTCTATTCCTTCAAACCTATTTACAACCCAGGATCACCACAAGATGTTACTGCCTACAAGTTCACTTGGGAACATTCCGACACCCTTACTCCCAAGGGTTACAACCCCAACAGTAAAGTTTGGGGAGGTTTTACAGCCATTGGTTCGTCTGAAGTTGACTTCAAGTGGGAACCTGGCACGAACAGCTTTAGAGTTACAGGTTTGTCTGAGTACAAATACGACGGAGAATGGGCAGATAATGAGGGCATGAGGTATCCCTTCGGGTGGCTCAGGTACGTCTTCATCTTGTTGGTCCGGGGATGGGCCATAGCGCTAACTCCCGTAGGGACACATATCAATTCACTTGGGGCATGAAGATCGACATTAGCAGCGTCGAGGGGGGTGTTCTCAAGATGAGCCTTGACGCAGGCCCCAGGGAGGACTGTAATGGCAACCTAGCTATGACGCGGCATCAACAACAGCAGACCTCCACACCCCCAGGACAGACGGAAGACATCAAAAATAGGATTACTAGTGTTATATCGAGTCAAGTCCGAACACTCAAGGCAAATCTCGCGGAGGCGTTCCAGACAACCGGCCAGCTCACTTACCCCGGTTACGGGACCTTTGACTTCTCCGCCCCAACGATTGGCAATACTGGGGAGGTTTTGGCAACTATTGCCTTCAAGAAGTGAGATTATTACCCCAGCACGATGTACGCCAGACGAGTGCAAAGCTACTTGCTAACACGCCTTGATTTAGTGTTACCGGCAAGATCGAGGTTCCTCCGCCTCAATCACTCACCTTGCGTCCCCCCGAGAGTGTCCCCTTCCTAGCTGTTCCCTTCAGCGCCCCTTGCGTGGCTCCCATCGCTAAATTATCTTGGTCCTTCACCAAACCAGTCAAGGGGTCATCAGAGAGCGTTGAAATTCTCATCAACGGCAAGAATAACACTGACAAGGCTATCTCTCTTGTTAGTATTGCCTTCACCCTCAGTTCTCAGCCGAGTGGCCAAGGTCTCGTCACCAGTACGGAGTTCAAGGCCGATAAATGGACCATTGGCGAACCGGATGAGACCAAGCACGACATCTTCCAGATCGTGGTGGACACGGATGGTACACCAGCCTTTACCGATGTCGCTGCGGATGTTGGCGAGGATAAACCTCCTGGTATAACTCCCATCACCTTCTCTGGTACCGGTGATGTGTCGATTGAGCCTGGTAATACTCTTACACTAGCACTCTGGACGGGGACGGGCTTTCCAAATACGTATCCCGTGTCAATTGTCGAGGGATGGCCAAAGAAGAAAGAAAGGGCCTGCCACAGTCTGCGAAAGGCAGTCAATGTTATCTTGTCGCCACCATAGATGTAGTTTGCGAATGACGCCTGCAGGCATGGGTTTGAGGCGACAAGAGCGTGCGGTTACAACGTGCCTGGACTTGGGCTGGTCGCAATTTTGAAACTGGGGGCTCGACGGCGGAGATGAGCTACAGGGACAATCCTTACTCCAATTCCACCATATTGTTCTCAACTCACTGGCGCAGGCTATGTTGCAAATGGAGTGCCGAGTAAGATAATATACTTAGCTATGCAAAACTTGTAGCAGATGAATCGACCCATCGGTTTTGAGCACTTCGAAGACATTACATATATTTTCGCGCGTGCTCTGTTCCGGCGTAGATGAGTGTGTATACATAGTTTACCAACATCTCCGGCGAAGACACATTTTTAACCTCTGGCACATACCCAGCAGAGATGTTTGCTGCTGGCCTGGTCTTTGCCTACGGTATGGTCGGTGCAAAGGTGACAACCTGTAACTCGTCGTATGTTGATAAAACCGAGTCCTTCAAGCAGAGGCGGATCATCCTATTTGATATTGACGATGCAAATGGTAGGGATACAATCTACATTAGTTTAGAAGGGATAACACTTTACTTTGACTTCTCTGGCAATGGCTGGGCCGTTCCGGGACAAAGAATCCCACGAATATAGTGGATCTCAGTGACAGGCTTCGTATTTCATTAGCTCCCGACATAGTTTCAGCTTAGCCCCGACACAGTCCTGACATAAGTCCTCCAGCTCTCTACAAAATGTCCCAATGGCGAGTCACAGCCGAGCATCCACTGCGGGAAGTTGAAGGGCTTGACCATGAACGGTGTGCCGCTCTGCACAATCTCATCATTGAGCGAGGATGGACTGCAAGCGGTCGCAGCCTGACGGATCTTGATCGCCGGTCGTGGTGGGAGTGCTATGGCGGGGATGCTAAACTGCTACCACACGCTGCGAAATTGAGCCCTTCTATAATCGCGTTTCTCAAAGCGGCGTGGCATGGCTACGTGATTACGGCACAACCACAACATGCATTCTTCAGATACCTTGCCGGACTTTGCTCACCGGATGATCTTTGGAAGAACGCTCACTACGGCGACGACGAAGATGACTCGAACAAGCGGCGCTACGTGACGCTCTACATGGCCAATTGGGCGCTGGGCACCAGTCATCCACTGGGCCTCGTTTTTGATCAACAGACGTCCACGGCCATGCAGCACATATCTATCCATGACACGAGCGTCACAATGAATGGCCGACAGATTTGGCTACCCCTCGAGCTCATCCTTGAAGCCTTCCTTAATATGATAGACCAGGGCAAAACACTTGCGGTGGACTCGTCCTACTGTGGGGAGCAAGAGAGAATCGAGCCCTGGATTATGCCCTCGTATACGATCTGTGACTTGGACGAGACTCTCGAAGCCTTCAACCGACTGACATGTGCGGTTGAAGCTCGTATGCCTGGAGATCCCAGTAATAAAACGCGCCGCCTTGGAGATGCGATCGAGTCGAGCGCACTCCCCCCAAATAGCTTCGCTGGTCGGTTCTTGGCGCGGGCTCGTGAAATTCGATTTAGCCAGGTCGCACCGGGCCTTCGTATAGCCCGCCAGCAGCCATTCTATTCGGTCAATGTCGAAGAAGGACAAATACGGCCTATACTGCTGTTCGAGAGCAGTCAGGAGGCCCACCAAGATACAGAACGGGCGCCATGGGGGGAGGATCTCGTCATATCACCATTCCCGCAGCCCTTTCGGCATATATCAAATTACCCGGCTGGTGTTTATCTAACGGAGACGGATCCGCACGGCGCACATCCATTTGAGGACGGCTGCAAGCTCATCTTGCCTTGCACTATCGGAGAATATGGTTGGGCTCGGACAAGCGATGGCGCACTCTTTGGAGAGAATGCGCACGCCAAGGGACCAACCGCTAGTCCAGTGGCGCTCAGCACACAATTGTACCAACAAGGATTCAACCATTTTATCCAGACGCACGATGTGCAATTGAAGCACGTGTTGGGGCACTGGGCAGACATGGTGGAGAAAGGAAAGTGGGAAGTCGACGTTGACGGCGTAGCTGGTGGGATAGAGAAATGGAGGGAGGCTGACACAGAAGATCATTGGCGAGACTATCAATTACCGATGTCTTGGTAAATGCATGCAGCTAACGCGGTAATTATCCATCGAAGTTGCTATTCGTTCCGATAGTTTACCCAATGGCATCACCCTCGAGCCTATATTGAAGCTGTTTGCACTGCTACAGTTGCCAATGGACACAACTGCAAGTGTAGGTTATGAAGCGAGAAATAGGTACTTGACTTTCCATCCAATTGCATACAGCCATAATTAGGCTGTGGAGAGTTCGTGGTCCAGTCAAGGTCTTACTCTAGCGACTCATGTAACCCTGATCAAAAGAGATCACGTTTAATAGAAGTTACCGGCCAAAGTGTATGAGCATGCCGGTTAATAGAAGAAAATAAAAATAAAAATAGACTTGGAATTAAAACACCAGATTTAGACTCTTTTTTGGGGCCTAGTTGTGCATTTGTTATATACGCTAATATCGCAAACTTCCATTGCTTTTCCTATTGGGTCGTGATCTCTTCAATAGAGCCCAACTGCCATTAATACGATACTCTTGTGACCCAAGTATTTTTTTTTTTATGGTATTCATTTTTCTTCACTTCAGGGCTTCACATCAACTCCCCATTGATGGATGTAAACTATCCAACTGCTATTAATACTCTACCCTGGATTTGGTTATCTGTCCAATCTTACTCAGCGCTAAATAAACTGGATATGAGATAATGCACACAATTTGATAGTCTTACTGGCAAAATACGTCTTTCTTCAGTTAGATACATGGGTACTTGTTGAGGAGCAAACCACATATATAATGACTAAATTGCTCTCTTTCTTGGTCAGACTATATGATGGATACTTTCTTGCCGATTCCTTGCTACAGCTAACTGATCATGTCAACCTTGCCCCTACTAGCCACTGACCTGGTTTACCAGGTGGATGTATTGGAGAGCATTCGCCAGGGCCATCCAGTACGAACCACGGAGCTTGCTACCACCCCCGAACAGAAGAAAGCAGACAATGAATATGTCCAGACTGGGCCACCGATGCTTACATTTCAAGGTATTGCTATACCCGCAACAACGTATCACACCTACATACATCCCACCTTGATCGCGCACTTCGACCAAATACAGTCAGCGCTGGGGAAAGTCACGACCAACATCATTGAGAGGTGGTTCTCTGACGAGAGGGCGAATTTTCCATCGAGGATGCCCATAGATGAACACGAGGAAGATGTACTCAGGGTATGGGATCCAGAATATTTCGGTCGCTCTTATCCTCTAGTCTAAACAGATGCATCAGTGGATCGCCTCGTCTGGCATTGTGCCCAGATATGCTGGGAGACAAGGTTGTTCGCGCCCAGACTTTTTATTCACGGCCACTTCTGAAAATCCATGTCAGCCCATTATTTGTGAGATCAATGCCCGCTTCCCATATAACTCTTGGTTCTATGTCGAGGCCGTGACAGAGCCATTTGAGAGAGCTGGCCTCCAGAAGGGTGGGTTGAAGACAGGCCACGATTCCATGGTAAGTATCCAGAGGATTCCGAAAATAGTACTTTGACATTATGTTATATTGATATTTCTATATGTAGGCCTTTGGCGATGCCGTCGTGAACCTTTTTGATTCATCGCGTCCTGGCCACATCTTGCTGGGCAAACAGTGGATAGGATTTGACGTTCATTTACTCCCGGACATCTTCAAACAGAGGACCGGGCAGGAGATGCGGATAATCTCACCATCCGATCTAAGGCTTACGGAAGATTCCAGCTCACCAACAGGGTATCACCTTTCGTGCACCATCAAGGATAGCGAGGAATTAGAGCGAGTGTGGCAGATCAGCATGGATATGGTACAGGCCGAGATCCGAGAGTTTACCCCTGAAATACTGCGCGAGATTGCTCGAATTTGCATCAACGATCTACGATCCATCTTCTTGCTTCATGACAAGCGCTTCCTGGGGATTGTGCTTGAGGAACTCGATACCTTGTTGGAGGCAGGAGTAATTGATTCCACGGAAGCTCAGTTGTTAAAAGAAAGCATTGCGCCTACATATGTCCCAGGCTCAGCCGGTTGGCAGGCAGCGATTTCTTCACCAAATGCCAAGGAAGAACTGGTGCTGAAAGATGCTCGTGGGGGAATTGGAAGAGGCCACACCTTTGGACACAATGTCACGCAGGAAGAATGGGACGAGCGTCTGCGAGCGGTTGGCGACGGCAAGCTTGTTGACGGTAAGGGTAATGCTCTTCAAAGGAAAGTTAACCAGGTCTCCTTTGACATTTTAAACCTGGCTGGAGATACCTTCCGGAAGTTGTATCTCATCGGAGCATGGGCAGCCGTCAATAACCAATATCTCGGCATTACCTCAATGAGGCTCGGCAACGATTTAGGATGTGTGCCGCCATTAGACAGCGGGGCCATTCTTTCTGTTACAGCTGCTTCATAGATCAGCTCTTGCAGGACAGAGTATTGTCCGTCAAGCATCAACATCATCTGGTGTTCTTCCGAAACATGGTAGGGGATAATCCTTAGATGTACATGTATAATATAGAATAGATTTCAGTATCAGTAAAGCTGAAGTGGAATCGGAAATGATGAGACAAATTTGGCCGTACTAAGGTATATTATGCCATGATACATTGAAGTTTGATGCATTGCAGCTCCCTATTATAGCGAACGTATCATTTTGTGACTTTTTGACATATTCCGAACCACTTCCCGCCGCACCACATGCCTTCCACAGTCCTACCCGAATATACGAAATTCATTTTCCAGATTTCCTCGTGAAGCACAAGAAGATTTGATAACGCATGAATACCCCGCAACACGTTATTTCAATGCAAAATATTGCCCAAAATATCACACGCTGTAGACGGCTATTGCAGTGGTAAAGGCGCCTGTCAGCTGTGCCTTAATCGCCAGAGCACCGGGTTTCAAAAGGAGGGGCTCAGCTGTTATAACAGCATCAAGAAACTTGGACGTCGCGGCGCTCGATGATTGGAGTTGACTTAAAATCAAAGATTTTCCGCCCTCAATGGAGCTCCAAGACGACTCTTGGGCCCCTAAAGTCACTAATACTGCTAAAAAGGTGGGCACGAGTTGTTGAATGTCTGCAAGTATAGTTGTGCCAGACACGATGCCAAATGAGCCAGTGGACTGGATATCGGAAGTTGTGGTATCCAAAGCAGCAATTGCATTAGTAAAGTCTTTTTGGATTGTGGTTGCTCCTGCTGAGCCGCTCTCTGGGAAAGCAGCGATATCTTGGTTGAGGGTAGTCCAACTTGGGCCAATTTTTTGCGTGATATCATTCTGAACGGTAATGACATCGCGCCGAACGATGGCCGTAGCAGTGGCAGCAGTGGCAGTTAAAGCCAGCCAAAGGATTTTCGTGATTGCTACCATTTTACTGTTTTTTGATGAAGAAAATAAGTTGGAAACTGAGCGTAGCTAGAGGGATGATAGAAGCCTAAACAGAGAATCGGCCGTGAGGTAGATTGGGAGAGGGAGAGAGAGAGAAAGGGGAGAAAGGGGAGGCTTTATATTCATCTATCCTACCTAGGCTGGATACGACCTGTGGCAGTCGTAAAATCGCAATCGCATTTGTCATAGGTAATCACAATCCCGCGTGTCTCAGTTGCAATCCCCAATGTCTCAGTTGCAAGCCTGAGTGTCATTCACAAAGATGCATGTCTCAGGACGACCATATTAAGTGCTTACTAGGCTTTTACAGCAACAGTGCGGTGTGCACTGAATATTATGAAAAAGGTATGTGTCAATACCGTAATGTCGCCAACTAGAAAACCCTGATGTTGCGTTAGCCAAGGGATACAAAACTTTAACATGGCTGAATACATGTAGCTGTCCTATATTATTGAAGCAGGGATGGCGCGTCTTCTATGCAACTTGTGACACATCGGCTCATATGATATCTATTCCGAAGGGACATACCCCCAGATTCTATGTTGTGTTGGCGTAGCTGCCAGGTTGGTTACGGCCGATGCAGTATTACATGTACGTAGGTAGTTAGCAGAGTCGTAAACGAATGGCAGTCTGCTTGCTGTGTCATTGACTGGCTTTCTAAGCGATGTACTCCGTAACGAGTATGGAGAAGTGAACTTACCTATACATAGTATTTAGTTAGCTGGGCTGAATTATGTTAATCCATGGATAATCTCATGCTGGACTTCACGATGCTAGTTTTTCATCCGAAATGATGGATATGTCGCGGGATAATATTGACAATACTTGTAACTTCCCCAGTACAGAGTAGAAGGCACGGATGTGTTAAAGACCCAGTCCGCTGAAAATATACGGAAACCTGCTGAAAGGGGAGAATATGTGATGATCCGCTGAATGCAAAATCAGCTTATTCATGGAGCTCAGGGCCAAAGCGCTTGGTTCAACTGAAACTATATCTATGTACGTGTACATGTATTATCGTATCGCATGGCAGTCATGGATCTGAAATCCCAACCAGCAAGCGGTCACTCCCCATCGCATTTTAGCATCCCAGGAGGTTGACTTTATGGTACAACGCACAGCGCTGGCCTCAGTGAGCACTCCGCTAATATTTCCCAAGCCACTATTGTGGCAGCGGGCTAGAGTTGGATCAAAACATTTCTTCTTGCGGCGATTCCCATCATCCACCCGAATTTGTAGAAATACTCTGGTGATATAATTGCATTACAACACTGTGTACAGAATAAATCATATCATATTTAAGATAAATACGTGACCAATTACTTTTACTCAGCATAAAAGCGGAAAATGGGGTGATCTTTCAATGTATCAATACCTTCAATGGCATCTATGCTATAAGTCAAACTAGCGCAATTCCTCGAGCAACATGGTGTATGAGTATACAGCCTCGAGTCATTGAGGCGTGGGAGGGGGTTGTACGCAGCCGTGGTGGATATCCTGGCGGCGTTGATGTGGTATATGAGGTGGTCAACGAGCACATCACGTCACATGTTGATGCGATTGTCAGCCTGAAGCTATCAGAGACAGTGCACTGGCCCATCTCTTTGCAGCAGATTAAGAGAGAGCAGAGCTTTGTTGGTTCCTTGACAGTCTAGACAGATATAATTATACACGAGAACAATCGATGAGCACACAGCAAGCACTTAAAGGATCCGTTCAAAGAGAAGTGATGAATTAAGAATCCACAAAGTCTACTTCAACGGCTACATACAAGCAATTGTAGTCAGGTCTTGGTTTCGACAAGCTCTTTAGGGCTACCTACCTATCCAGAATACCGCGAAAAGGTGCCTGACTGTCGTTCTGGGCCACTGTCAGAACTTTCGAACAGTGGCGCCTCCGCTCGATCACTCGACCAAGCATCACCGGCCTATCTACTGGTGCAAGGGCAGATTGTGCAAGGCTGTGCAGAAGGAAAATAAGAAAAGAACAGTACGGGGGATTAGTGGGCTCTTTTAGCGGTTTTCTTCGCTATAACATTGACTGAGAACTATGGGCATGAAAAGAAGGGACTTACAGTACGTTCAGAGAGCGGCAAAGTCGCGGACAAACGCCTGTTCGACGGCGCAGGCCGCCTGCTCGCGCCGAATGGCGAGAGGCCACACCTCGAGGGCGGTGTCGGTGGGATCGGCAAAGTAATACAGTAGTGGTAAATGGGGCTGCCTTTAATGGTAAGGTGACGTGGACACGAAACCATTGGGAAATGCCCTACGGAGTATAATAGTTCCAAATCAAATCGTTGAAAAATGCACGATCGAGCTGCAGCTCGTTGTGTCGCGTTGCAGGCGGCCAAACGTCGGCCGGAAGCTGACCTTCTTGCTTGCTGGTACATGTACCTATAGATGATGGCTTTAGTTCCATGGAAGCCTAACTAACGTGTGAACGTTCGTGTCGAACAGAATACTTACATGGGGGTGGTGGTGGTGGTGGTGGGAGAAGCGCAAAAGAGAAGAAAATGAGAGTGACTACATGTATTCAGCACCCCAAGTTGGCTATTCAGCATCCTATTCTTACATTTAAAACAGCTTGGGTAGTAATGATAGTAGATATTAGAGGAATATATGGATAGTAGTAGATGGTAGCAGATGGTAGCGATAGTAGCAGAAACTAGCGGCAGTAGCAGAAACTAGCGGTAGTAGCAGATACTAGCGATAGTAGCAGATACTTCAGAAACTATGTAATATTTGTTTAAGTAACGGTGATAAGAGATCTTCTTTATACGTTGTTACTCCATTTGAAACTCCTCTTAGTCGCTGGGGATATACATGTATGTACCTTACGGGGGGATTATAGGGCGCTATAGTGGGTTGACTCCCTAAAACCATTCGTCACTTGCTGATTCTCAGCCCAGAAGAAACGGTTTACAGTACATGTACATAACCCGTTTAGGAAATTGAATTGAACCATTTGAAAAAAAAGGAATCATTTGAGAACATGTAAGTAGTCCATCCTTGGACAAGTAGATTAACTCTTTCCAAACTCTTTTCATGTCGCCGTCCTTGCCAATATTGCCGTGTTCTCATAGGCAGTAAAGGTAGGTGCTCTTCAATCCAGCACATGGCTGTCCAAGAAGCAGCTTCCATGACTTGACCCCCTTTGCTACTATTAAGATACTACCAACCCACGTACCTACCAGGACAGAGGAACCACTTTGCGGCGCAAGGTAAGATCTGTTGTACAGAGCTCTCAGTCAAGAGATTGACAGCTTCCTCTCTCTCTCGTGCTGCTGGGAAGCTCTGCAGCTACGCACTCTTAGGCACAATGGCACAAGTGACTACAGTGTCTTGACCTTACGATTCAGGTATCGAGCTTGTCGACACCTTACTCCTTGTTCGCAAACATCATGAGGTTCGATGCACTGCTTGCCACATATCGTGTGTCGTTGGCGTATGCCATATACCCTCAGCTCTCCAAGGCACAAATGGAATAACTCTTGCGCGCCTGATCTACTTGGTCTGATGCCCATGGAATATCCTGTTCGAGATATACAGCTATCGCAAGCTCCTGACAGCGCACAAGATTTTGGATCATAGATCGGTGGCTCCTTCCAGTGGCCATCGCCTCAATTACACAGAAATGGCTCGCTTGCCGATCCGCAAGGGCTGATATGATTATGCAAGAAGCGGCAAAATGCTCTCACGTTATTGCCGAGATGGGTCTCGAAACCGGATGTTGTTACTCGGAGTCGACGTCGACGGGCAAGAAAGCGTGAACTTATTGCAGTTTACAGGTCATATCATGACGGAGGCTCTGGTCTGACCGGCACAAAGACTGAGATTTCTGGCCACTGAGGTAGCTTGCCAGAGACCAGGCTGCACAAGGGCACGGATGTGGCCAATGCCATCCAGACCAGCCATCGAAACCAGGCCTGAATGCAAACCAAGTTTTGAGGGAGCATTTGCACTGTATTAACTACAGTACTAGTATTATTTCGTTCTCTCAATGAATATTGTCAGTTAAACGGCGGGCCGCGGAAGCTCATTAATTTGAGTTGCTTTAACAAACTTGAAAAAGCGGGCTGTAATGCAGTATATTATGGAAATTCCGGTTGAGTAATGCAAATGATTGAATCTTTACTCTACGTCTTAAGTAAGGGTTGGGATTTCATGCTCTAGTATAGCGAACTCTCCCTACCACGAATTGTGCAAGTGTTAAGTGGTAAGCTCAACCAAGTCAACGCAGCATAGGCCATCCGCAACTTTGCCACATTTACAACCTGCGATCCAGATACATCCAGCCTGCTGTACGGCAGTATACACGACCTCCGGTCTCCAGAACGATCTCACAGCAACAGTAACTCACTAGGTGGCGCCGCTACTGACATCTTAGGGTCTACTGCTAGGCCGGTTATACTTCTTTCGCCCCCCTACCACAGCTCCGATCTTATCATATCAGGCTAGGCGGTTCTTATTAAGCTTATGGAGGTACGTTAATTGTGTGGGTATTAGCCGATCATCCTGGAAGACGAGGGCCCTGTCAATCTTATTCAGGAAGGTGGGGGACAAGAAGAGCTGTTTCAATGTTTCAATATTTCTTTCCGTCAAAACCATAGAGCTTTTCGGAGTACAGGAGAAAGAATGGAATAGATAAACAACTAAAGGACTATGTTACATTCAACTCCTGTCTACTCAATCAATTCAAGTTCTACTTGCAGAAACTCCAGCAGGTGTTTCGTACGTAGCCTAAATACTTGGGTACAAGACGTAAGACCTCTAGCAGAGGTAGGTTCGGTGCACGTTGCAGGCGAGGTTGGCCGATGCGGAGCGGCAGTTACTGTTGAAGGAGCCGTCATCATTTACCAGCCACAGAGGGCCACCGCAGCCCTCCAGCATGTACTTGAACCCGTTGCCAGAGAGCCCGTTAGCGAGGTGGATGTTGCATGGGTTGTCGGGCTGATTGTTGATCCTCGTCCAGCGGCACGGGTCAGTACCATCGACCCACATCACTAATAGTTAGGTCAGAAGCGTTAGTTTTAAAAGCTCTATTGAAGGCATATGGCGATCATAGAACTGCTATAGGAGGTAGGTAGAACATACCGTTGAAACCTGCGGCGGTCCCGATGGCAATGGTGGCCTCAGCACTCGTCGCAGATAAGGCCAAGGCCAGGACAGTTGGGATAAAGTCTCGTCCGAAAAGCATGGTGAAGGGTAGAAGTTTCTGATAAATAGCTAGAGGAGGACTTGTCTGTTGAACTACTCGAGGGACTGAACAAATATTGGGAACTGCTGGTGAATATTCCAAGCTGGACAGGGGGTTCAAACTACCTTTTATATATTCTACTCCGTAGCAATATCCTTTAATTTTTTTTCACCAGCGGTTTAAACAAACTCGGCCTTCACTCAAAACAGAGTGGCGTGGTGTAAGCAAGTACTACCTTTCCCCTGCACTTTCGACGTACTAATATGCAGATCAGCAGAGTTGTTATAGTCTAATTGGCCAATTGTTGAAACACTTACTTAATGTCAGATAAGTGTAGGTAGCGGGGCCGTGTGGGCGCTCTTGAGAAAGCGGAAGGTATTTAACACGGAGGCAACCGGTATCAAAAAGGTAAATCCTTTATGAATTGAATATAGACGAATGCTATAACAACAGATAGAATAATTACTTAGATTCAGTCTTGATCTTCTTATTCTAATCTGATCTATGCCCCGACCGCCCCCCCTCTCCTTTTCTTCTTCTTTTTATTCATTCGCCTTTCCCTTGCATAATTCATGTTTATTCCGTTCGTCTACGGTCTGGTCCTTCGTAACACCTAGATCCCTTATAAGTAGCTGGTTCCGTTACAATACTTGTAGTTGCTACAATTGCGGTCACTGGCTTAACCTTTTGCCCTTTTGGTTCTAGGGTATAACGGTGGGGAACGTAAACGATTACTCTCTAAGGGTAGTACAGGCGTATTGGGTCTAATATGCTGGCTTATCCCGCCCCTTGTTCCCAAAGCCTTGCTGACTTCCATACTTTACCTTCCTTAAACATCATAACAATATTATGTCAGATATTATATAAAAGAAATAGGAGTTGATTCTAATTTTGAATCCCGCATAACCAATTAGGAAGATATTATACTTTAAGATCTAGATTAGTAAACAGCTCTTTGAGGAACTTGAACTCAATTGCTATAACGGTATGATAGCCAGCAACACTTCTATTATATGGCATACATGACATAAGAGTGCGTAATAATCTTTTATTTATTCATCTGCAGTTGTTCACTAAAGATGTAACTAATAGGTAACGCTGAAGTTGTTCGAACACTTCACGGCTCGCGCCACTATTGGAGGAAATATATATCCCGAAGGACTTTATAAGGTAATATTACTCGTAGTAGTGGGGAGTGCTCTGTATGGCAAGGCAAATTGCAAGGCCTAGTTGGAAGAAATGTGTCCGATAAGTCGCCCGGTTAATGTTCCGCCAACGATATGAAAGGATCTGAAGGCTATGCCATGTTTTTACGCACTAGCTCTTGAGTTGACCAAAGCCCACTTAATTTGTATCTGCTCTCTGCGTATTTGAGTTTTTCTTCTGCAGTTTTGGCTACTATAAGTAACGTATGGCGCTCGAAGGCTCGCTGCTTTTGTCTCTAGTAATCTTAGCTCCGGTAGCTCTTTAGAGCCGACGATGTAGATGATTTTGGTTGGCTGCATCTATTTAGGCTGATCGCAGCAAATGACCCAGTGAAGAGTCTTTGACATTTCTCGTGGGATTCATCACAGCCTTGGAGCCAAGAACGAACAATTGACAAAGATCTACGACTACTTGAAGACTATTCAGGAAGATGCAATGTGCAGAATATTTCTCGGTCGCCATTCAAGTTCTCTATTATACTTGGTGAGTAATATTTTCACAGTGATAGTCTTGTATATTATCATCACCTGGGTAAGTCAATTTCTCCATGTAAGTCACAGCCACGGAGTTCAAACTCTCTCCAATCTCGATCAGGCATAATGTTAGATATGTCTTTTTGGCCACACTAGTAACTGGCCCTATATATTTAGCTGGAAGCATTTTGAGAACACCATCAAGTGTTCTATCATTTCCATCTAGGTATGGATACTTCTCTGTTGCAATTTGAAATTATCAAGGCGTACAGTGTAGGTAAGAGCCGAGGCAAAGATATTGGGAAGCGTGTGTATATATTTTCCCTTCAACGCCAGTCCCTTCAGCGTAACAGCCAAACAATTACGGCAAAGAGGCATCATGTGTCAAGACAATCAATTTAGATGAATGCAAATGGAGGAGCAGATGATCCAGACAAAGTTAGAACCGAAGGTGACAAATTGCAGCGATGGCGCTTTATGCATACCGATGGCAATACTTCGTGCGTATTGAAGAGACCCATAAATACCTAGTACCCAAATGATTGGGCTACTAATATACAGAGGTACCCGATTATCGCTATAGTGTTGTGGCCCAACACCGCATAGACGTAACATCCGGTGTGTATTTAGGACAAGGCATGGACTGAAAATGAACCAATCACATCTCCTTTTCCAATAAACAGTTTTGCCTTCTGCAGAGCTCTCTACCTATCACTAACAATGATCTAACTGCTATTTAGGGTATTAATACCAAAGGGAACTAATCTAATGACATTATTAATTGACGAAACACAACATAGGGACTAAGAGTACATGTATGTGGGACCAATAGCATACCGGGCCAGGCGTCCGTGGCTGGGTTACTGGTCCGGAAGGCACTGTTGACTATAGACAAGGAACGTGAGCAGTTGTTGATTGAAATTGTATAACAATACAAAGGAAGGCTAGAATTGTTCTTAAATACCACATAGAGAATTGGATATGTTTCAAAACTACGGAGTACACAGTTGTCTCTATCCACAAACGTTGCATATAGTCTGCAATGAGATAATCTCCACCCCATACGACCATAGGTAGTAGAGAATTCCGGGGCCATCAGTCCTTTTCCTTAAGTTCCACATCCTCTATATCTTCTATATCTTCCATGTCTTCCATGTCTTCCATGTCTTACTCCCCCCCCCCCCCCCCCCCCCCCCCCCTTTATCTTGGGACCACGATTTTCTAGATAAGCATTGCATTCGTAAAAGACAATGAACTAGTGCCCAGACCACAAATACACATGCAGATAGGCCACATAATGACCACATGATCTCTAACTGTAATACAGAACTCCGTATTCACTCACAATATTGGATAAGGTAGTCGACCTCTGCGTAATATAACCTGTTTCGCCAAGATATAGTAGTAAGCACGAGTACTATATAAGCTGCCTAAGATATGGCATTAGCATCGACATCATACTATAAAAGGAAAGGTCCACTGTCGGAGTCTTTCGAGGGAATACAATAAAGGGAATATAGCTGGGCCCCCTGGTTTACATAGCCGACGCTAATACTCGTATACAGCTTTGCAGTTCAATATTTGCAGAAGCCACCAATTATCACAGATTTCCTCATTCATGTACAAACAGGATTTTGTAGCTTTATATGAATACTTGTATTGTAAAATTGCATATCTAGAACCAATGCTCTTCATAACCCGTCCCCTTAAGGAATATGCAATATTCTCCGAGCCAAAATTTGCAAAACTCAAATTGCCCCTAAAACTGAATTATAGGTAATTGATAGTCACCGTGCTGCCAGAAAAGCTTGATGATGTGATGGAACTGTTTGAACGTTCCAGGTCAATGATAACCCAATTGCCCTCACCCGGTGTAATAGTGGCCCCGTTAACAACGGCGGTTGCTCCGGTAAAGGTGACAGATCCAAAGTCCGCAAATGGAACAAAGGGGGGACCGGCGACTGAATATTCATAGTCTTCGACAATCCACTCAGCACTTGTGCCAGGCAAGCTGAAGTTTTCTCCAGTAAAAGTATGGGATACGGTAATACCATCAACCGTTAATGTGGTGACTCCACTATTAGTGCCAGTCTTCGTGGCAGTAACAGTAACAACTGATCCAGCACTTACAGTAACCCCCTCATATATGGTAATAGCACCAGGGAGATACTCATACCAAGGATCCCAGAAGGTTTCGCCCTCAGTGATACACCAGAGGACACCGGTTTGGATGAGATCGCCGTTAGTCCACCCATCAATTCCCACCCATGCAACACCACAATATGAAACACTCGGGTCGCCACCAGCTGGAAGTTTTGGCTGCGGGACTGTAAAGGTGCCGGAAACCTCGGTAACTCCTGTTTGCGAGATAGCGACGCCTGCCCAGTTAGGAGACGTTGCATCGGCAGTCCCTGCAGTATTGTTGGAGCGACGGAAAGATCTCCTTGCACGGAGAGCATCCATAGCCGCTTGCTTACGGGCAGAAAGAGGGGATGCCAAGGCGGTAGTAGCCACCAAAAGCAGGTTTGCGGTTAAAGAGGTAAACTTCATCTTTAATAGCTGCGGACAAAGTTGGTGAACTGAGATAATCAAGGTTATAAGAGGTTATAGAGATTAAGATGAGAGTAGACTATTGAGTATTGTTTAAACGATATTTGCTTGTGTAGGGATCTGAGTTAAACAAGCTCCAAGAGGGATTTTATATATTTACAGCCTCCTCAGTATATCTTACACCGACTTATATCTCCCCGTTTCAATGTTGCTTGCTTCGTATATCGTAGGCAATTCCACCTCAACGAGCTATCAACGTAACGCCAGTGGTGAATCGGAGTAGCGCCATTACAAAGCCAGATAAACAATTCCCTGAAAACGTGCCAGGTAAGACCATACTGAATAGTATACGAAGGATTCATAACCGAATACGAGACTCGTCACTTCTATACCCTTGGATCGTCTTTTGTCTCTATACTACTCCGTATTCTTTCCTTGTCTACGTCGTCAACCCTTGCGCTGACTGCAGCAAAAAGGTCTTGCTGCACCGGATGGCTCGTTATTGATCCAATAGTACTGACAGAATTTCTCTGTTTTTAACTTCTATACCTATTGCAGGCATTATCGCGATACATTACTGACAGGGATTTTTCCTTCATCCTTAGTGGAGATAAGTTATATATATAAACTCGTGTTATAAATCCTTGCTAAAATGGGTATAGCTTGACTTGTACGACTTCCAATCAAAATCTGTATTAGAATCAGCTACCGAGAATGCCGTTGGCGTACGACAACGCACCAGCTCACAGGGCTATCTCGACGGGAAGTTGGCTTCACTATCACGGACTGGATGCCGTGAACTCAGCACCGTACAACCCGGACTTGAAGCTCATAGAGAACGGTTTGGTCCTGATGAAGACCTGGTTGACCCAGAATTTATGAAATTATGCGGCCTTCTCTTGTCCAACTTCACCAAGCTGTGCCAGAAGACCTTGTTTTAGTAGCTTTATGAATGCCTCGCCGGCTGCAACAGGTCATCAACCGCAACGGTGGTTTGTCAGATTGCCAGTCTTCGCGCCAGTACTTCATATTATAATATTTTATTAGTCAATCAAGATATCCAAAATGAATGCAAAAAAGACCAATAACGGGGTTGTGTAGGGGTGAGATCCTTGAGGGATGTATAGTTCCATCCATTAGCTTTGCATCAACCCCTAAAGGCGGAGTCATTTGTGACAAAATAGAGACTCCCACAGTGACTTTCGACTCACACGAGGGCAAGACGTTCGATAACTAGAGCGTATTTCTTGTCTGCGCCCTTATAGATAAGCCAGTAACCGGAAGGGTGATCACTGGCAAATACATGTTGAAGTTTTTTGTTTTTTCTACCTTTGCTCCCTTTTGAGCATCTACATGTGATATCATTATAATCCAATTCGTTACAAATTCAAGCGCATACGACCATAGGTAGTGGAAAATTGGAGGTCCTGTCAAGCTTTTTTCATGAGTCTGACGTCTTCTTTTTTTGCCATTCCAAGTTGGACTCACAAAATTCCATTTTGTAATCAGCTAACTCTTAACACCAACACTTTAGCTAAGCGTTAATATAGCCTAAATAAATGATAGATGTATATGAAGACGTTGGTGGAGGAAGGCCGGTAGAAAATTTCTCAGGCGCCTAAAATTATGAGCGGAGTAGGCGACGTTGCCGGTTTTGTCCTGCTAGTTAAGGGATTAATTGACCTGGCTGTCTAGGCATGCCTCGGGCTGCGCTTCCATAGGCCAGTATTTGGGTTGTGTTGCAAGTAAGCAGTCATCCTTCGAGGACCCCTTCGTGCTTAGCTTTGCTAACATGCCTCCAGGTTCTTCGGGGTCCCGCGTAAGCGACGAAATCGAACCTTACCGACATCGCCTATATTATTTCCAAGATGGACTAATACTACGCCCTCATCGGAAATCTCCAAAACAAAACATCGTTACTGCTGGCAAGGACCTCAAAGTATTCTCACACCAACTGCAAAAGAGGCACGATTACCAAGCTCTACAAAGCTCTTTTCCAACACCAAATAAGCGTGTTTGCTCCTACTATCGTCAGGTTGTCCTGGAGTAGGATCGAATTAACTGCTTACTTTGCCCAAACAAGCTCAATGCCAAGACCTTTTGAAGAAAATCTTATTCCTCAGAGCTTGGATGTTGGCCTCGGACTTGACGTTAGTTTGGCTGAGGCTGGGCTCAATCACGAATCTAGGCTCGGACTTCTCAAACAGTGGTTAGAAGATGCGACAATAAACTCTCGAAATGCAGACCAGATAATACGGTTTACAGCTAATTTTAACCGAGGGCCGCGACAAGGCCGTTGAGAACAACTCTCTATTCGAGCTTACCTCTTCGCATTCCAGAAAAGCCCATCAGATAACCGTCACCGTCATCCTCTCGCACTTCTCCCACCAGCACGGCCTTTCATACGTCTCCGCCTTGGCTAGTCCTATCCGCTGATAGCAGCCCTCCCGGTCCGAACTCTCCACGAGCACCATCATCCGGCACCGTGTCGACTGGGGACACATGGTTATATAATTCGGGCAACAGTATGGGTAGTTCCTGTGCCTGATCGCCCCGGGTTTGTCGCCGAGGACCAAACAGAGCACAGCGGTGCGGCTCCGGTTCCAGTCTCCAGACCCGCCGTCGCTGATAAAGTCGGCGTTGGGAATAGCGGCGCCCTCGTTGTCCAAGAGTTCCGGTGTGGTTGCCTCGCCTGCATCAAGCCACAGCTTGTTGAGGTGTCCGCGGATGACGAGATCGCCGCCAGTAACTGCCCCAAAGGGATTCTTGTCTGAAACGGGCGTGGTCCTGCACGACACAACCTCAGCTCGGGCATAGTCAGTGTTGCCGCCGTCATACTGAAGCTCACCCTTCATGGTGGCCCACGACCACGACGGGGCCCCCGTCTTTGTGGCGTTGGGATTGGAAAGCCAGTTCTCCCACATGAGGTCATGCACGAGGAAGCGGCCCCAGAGCCCGGCGTGGTACTCGGTCTTGAAATGGGCTGCAAAGGCCTGCGCGATGGCCGAGATGGCAGGAAGCCGGTCGTTTTCTTCGGTGAGCTGCCTCGTCGTGTACTTGTTCAGGATGGAGTGCCAGGTTGAATAAGTTCCTCCAAGGCTGTTGAATGCCTCCCCGGCCCGCGGAGTTTCTGGAGCGGCCATCTCGTCGAGCTCCTTGAGAGGCGTAAACGAGTAGCCGCAGAGCGAGGACCAAAAACGCCAGGGGCTATCTTCCCCGCGGCGCCTTTCGTTGGCGTCTCGGGAGGTAGCGTGGAAGTCGGGCTGATAGCCGCTCTGGCATTTCCAGACCATGTGCATGTTGGTGAAGATTAGAAGGCGGGGCGTGAGCAGGGCCTCCTGGAGGGTCCAACCCCGAGTGTTGATGGGCTGCTGGTGCGCGGCGACGCTCGCGAATGACGACGAGCTATCCGCAATGAGGACCGAGCCCATGGTTTCCTTCTTTACACGGAGGGGGTGATAGAATGTTCCAAGGCTGGAGTCGTGGTAATTAGTATGGAGGAATCCCTTGGTAGCGGCCAAGGCACTCGCTGCCGAGATAGTGAACTGCGTCTTCTGGTAGATTCCCATCATCTTGGCCATCTCGGTCTGCTTATCCTCATTGCTGTCCTGGATGATGCAAAACGCATCGATCCAGATGTACCTCAGACCCATGCTCCGCGTGACCTGAAATGCGTCCTTGATTGTCTGGGGCAGCTGGTCGTAAGGGAGTTCCTTTTGGTATTGGCTGTACCGTTCGCGAAGCGTCTTGAGGACCTGGTCTCCTCCCCAGCAGTAACTAAGGGCGCAATAGTGGCCCTTTTGCCCGCCGGTCTCGCATAAACGCGCAGATTCGGGCTCGCCCAGACGAGACACCTCAATAAGTCTTGTGGGCAAATCGGCGGGCAGGTGTGCCGGACACTCATGGTGGCTGATGAGGCACTCGTCCATCCATCCTCGTGCCTCAGCAAAGCTCTCAGGCGACCCAAGATCCTGGAGCAGTGCTTGCGAATGGACGATGGCGGCCGCTGGATCGTCTGGGGAGACTTGAATAAATATGAACTCGCTATAGCCAGGATATATGCCTAAACTTACCCGGGGTGGCGTACATGCTCCATGACAGGTCACCCCCGCTCCACTCAATCCCGCTCCGGCTCCAGATGTACAAAACGTTGTCGACCCAGTTGTAGCGGATTCTCAGCTCTAGCTCTCCGTCAAGCGACGGATACCAAGTCGGGCGCCGCTCGTTCAAGAAGAGCTCCATCCCATCCTCGGAATTGTCCAAGCCGTCCGAATCGCCCTCGTGCTGCTGATACTTGCGGTCGCGAGAAGCAACGGCCTTGCAAAACACGCAACCAAAGACAGCGGCACGCTCGAGCTCACGCCGAGTCCGGCAATACCCATATCCGTCACGCTCGTACCACATGTGATACTGGATGCTGTTGGGGTCGGACCTAGCTTCATCCCGGTAGTCGGTGAAGAGCCGGGAGCAGGGGTCGCAAAGCTTGAGGCGAGGGAAGTCTTGAGCCGTCTTCATCTTGGATGACTTCCAGTCTACCATTGATTAGTACTTACAGTATTGATGCATGCGTTTCCAATTTACCCTGCTCACTGATGCAGCAAAGGCACAGAAAAGAAGCAAATCTAAGGGTTCAACGACTGTGTGTTGAGAAAGATGGATGATGGAAGGTGGAGGTTGCCCTGCAGTGCCCACGGCCAACCTTTGCTTGCCGTTCAAGATGGCCTTGAGTATGTAGATAGAGACCGGTCAGTGCGGTACGCCCCGCGCCGCGTTTAGCGCCAGAGTGGAAGGGCCTCCGGCAAAGTTCAAAATGTTAGTAACAAAAGCACTGGCGATATTTACGCTACAACATGAATGCTTTTTCGGCTCTACAGTACCTCTTATGCTTTGTAAGAGTCGGGAGAAGAATCGATTGCCAGCCCGCAGAATATGTACCGAGTCGCGTTTATCATAGGAGCGGACAACTCGAAATCTCATCCAACACCCTATAGACAAGACAATGAATCTACAAGGGCTCATGGTTAGTACAGCAAAGCCAACAATGGAGAAGACGAGCAATGAGCCGCGTAAGTATTCCGGGTGCAGCCGTCTGACTAAACAACGGGGCGGGAAACTAATCGACGAGAACTAGCTGCATTTTGGGGCATTATTTCAGAGAACATACAGGTACGGAGTACTTGGTTGACAGATTACATTTGTGGGTCAAAGTTCATGCTTTGCCTTGATCCTTGCTTCTCGACGTTAGCAAGCTTGCAATCAATGAGGTAAACCGCTTGTTCACGGCCGTCGAAGCGAATGATGTCCAAGCCAGTTCGTACAGAGTTACCCGTAAGCAATCTATCATCAGCAAGCTTAAGCGCGACGGCCATCAGTTGCCCAGTGAGCAGACGCTACACGCATCAGTGGACAAGCTTTAACTGGGGCGATGTATCAGCCAAATCTTGCCTCTTGAGTGGAGAGGTGGGGAAACGAAGAGCAACCAGACCCCTAGCAATGTTGTTGGTGCAACCCAGACCTTCAACAAAAGTGCTCCTCCCGACCTTCTAATACGGTAGACTTGTTTCAGAGTTCTAGGCAGGCTGATAGTAGGCTGTAATAAAAATTTGTTCACGTCTTATGCAGGGGCGGGCCAGGGCCCGTTGGATGCTTCGTATAGTCACTCAATGGAGGAGGCGGGATTTCAAACTGAAGGTAAAGGCTGTTGGTTTGGTGGTTTTCATCTGGCAGCCATATCCCATTTTCTTCTCCGTTCGTGGCCATCAATTTCAGACCTGTGTGCATCCGGTAAAGCAACACTTTGGCAAACACAATGGCGGCGACTATCTCCTCAGGAGAAGCTTGGGTTGTGGGGATCGTCTGTATGGCCCTGTACATGGCCTATCGACGGATCCTACCGAAGCCGATCCCTGACATCCCATACAACAAATATGCGGCAGCAAAGATGTTTGGGGATGTGCCAGAGATGATGGGCTATGTGATACGTACACAACGCATATTTGTAAGACACTGCCACTACTCAAAACATCAGCTAGTTGTTCATCGGTCTAGGCATATGTAGATTGCTAACATGTAACCTTGAATGAGAGTAGTGCTGGTTAACGTCTCTTACCACTCGCCTCCAAAGCCCTATTGTGCAGGCTTTCATCAAGCCCGGAGGACTACCATGGGTGGTGGTGACTGACCCTTTCGAAAGCCAAGATATCCTGCTTCGGAGAATCAAAGAATTCGACCGCAGCGAATTCTTTGGTGAGCTGATCAATGGCATTTTGCCAGAGCAACATATTCAATTCATCTCGACCGACCTCCGATTCAAGAAGAATCGGAACTTGATCAACCACTTGATGACCCCGACTTTCATCCGAGAGATCAGCGCGCCTGAGGTGTACATGGCCGCAAGCACCCTTATGAAGTTGTGGAAGATAAAATGTAACATGGCCAAGGGCCGTCCCTTTTCGGCCCATCACGATGTCACCTTTGCTGCGTTGGACTCCATCTTTGCCTCTTCCTTTGGTCTGGTCGAGGACGAGACCAACACCATCCAGCGCATCAAGGCGTTGGACAGCTTTGAGCCTGTGTTCGCCGATGATGACGACGAGCCCGTCGCTTTCCCTGAAGGTCACACTCCGGATATCTTCTCGGCCGTGCTCATCCTAGCCAACTCGGTCACAAACACTCAGCTCTCTCCTGCCCCGGTGCTAACTTCATGGGTCATTCGCAAGTTCCCCTACATGAGAAAGGCCAAGAGTATCAAGGACAAGTACATCCAAGACAAGGTAGAAGAATCCGTCCGATTGATCGAGAAAGACCCCAGCATCAAACCCAAGAGCGCGCTCCACTCCGTCCTCCTTCGAGAACGCGACGTGGCGACCAAAGAAGGCCGCCAGCCGGACTATCGCAAGGGAGCCATTGCCGACGAGTTCTTTGGCTTCATGACAGCTGGCCACGACACATCTGCTACCACCATCGCCTGGGGCGTCAAGATGCTGACCGACAACCCAGCCGCGCAGGACCGTCTCCGTAACGCGCTTCGCTCCGCCTTCCCAACTGCCGTCCAGGAGAAGCGCGACCTGACCTACGCGGAGCTTAGCAGCGCACAGGTCCCCTACCTAGATGCCGCAGTGGAGGAGATTCTTCGCCTCTCGAACACCATCGCCTTCGTTGTCCGCCAGGCTCAGCGGGATACCACTGTCCTCGGCCGCAATATCCCCAAGGGCACCAATGTCTTCCTCATGGCCAATGGCCCAGGCTACCTCGAACCCAACATGAAGCTTGCGGACGAGTCACGCAGCCCCGGGGCCCGCCAGACGGCCAAGTCAGCGCTGACGGGTGCTTGGTCAGACGACAACATTGACAAGTTTTTTCCCGAGCGCTGGCTCGAGACGGATCCGGACACCGGGGCCGAGGTGTTCAACACGATGGCCGGGCCGTCGCTGGCGTTCGGGTTGGGGCTTAGGGGATGTTTCGGGAGAAAGCTGGCGCTGCAAGTGCTCAAGATTCACTTTGCGCTCATCGTGTGGAACTTTGAGATGTTGCCGATCCCAGAGAAGCTGGCCGGTTATGAGGCGGTGCAGAAGTTTGCCAGGGAGCCGACACAGTGCTACATCCGGTTGAAGGAGATTGATCTGTAGGAGGGGTTACGAGCAAGTCGTGGCTATTCTAATGGAAGCTGGTGCGGATCAATGCGTTTTGGATGGCGATGAGAATACGGCGGTTATTAATATAGCAAAGCAGAGTGATATGAGAGAGTTGCTAAGACATAACAACCACAAATAATGAAAGTCTTAATCGGCAGATTAGTAATCCGTAGTTGAATGGGTGGCCGTTAGCTGTGGTATGTTTTTATTTTTCCTTTTTTCTTTGCCTTGGCCGAACCAACCATCCTCTCATAATGGTGGTTGTACAGACGGCCTGGCTTTTTCTCCAGTCGCATTGTTCTCGATCTACAGTACTTGGCGCTGCATCTCCTCTTGCCTTTTCAGGGCATGTACATGTACTATGATGAGATGACATTAACTACGCGCTATAATATAGCACGGATTAGCTCCAGCGATTAATACGGGGAAGCCTTTGTCAGTCGATGCCCCCTTTCACGGTTGACGCTGCGGGGATTCATGCGTCGGCGTTCAGCGGCTCACCCTGTAGACTTGGACATTCTCAAATCTGCGAAGAAAGATATTACTCCGGGTTGCTGGTATAAGAGATTGTGATGATCCCGTTTTGTGGCGGTAGTCATTCTCCTTTCTCGATAACAGCTTGTCCTCAATACAATACCAGTGAACAATCCCTCACAACGTCCGCAAGATGAGCGTCTCGACACCAACACGCCGCCCCTTCCACGGCTCCTGCCACTGCGGCTTCATCAAATACATCGTCTTCCTCACACTCCCGCACAAACCGCCCTCAATCGGCACGCCCCCTCCTACTGACCCGTCCCGCTCCCATCAGGAGTTCTATCGCTGCAACTGCACAACCTGCCACAAGGCCGGCCACTTCCACATGCGCATGGCCTGGGCCCCCGAGGACTTCATGCTACTCTCCCCGCTAGATCCCATGGCCGAGCTTGGAGACTACACCTGCAACTCCGGACTCGTCCACTGGCTCTTCTGCAAGACGTGCGGCGGGAGGTGCTTCGTCTTTGAGGGCGAGTGGGAGACAGCCGAGGTGGACCTGGACGAGATGGGCGTCAAGGACAGGGATGGGGGCAAGATGGGCAAGAGGACCATCTGGCGGCCCAAGGCCGATGGCTGGAGCGAGCAGAGAGAATGCGGGTGCTATCTCAGTGTGAATGGGTATACCGTCGATGCGGCGCAGGAGGGGTTTGAACTGGGTGAATTCATAACCAACAGATGGGTCGCGTACGTAGACTGCCTTGAGCTCAATGGTCCGGAGCGAGAGCCGCGGTATGATAAGCCTTACAATGGCGGCGCCTTCTGAAGAATGCCTTCAACTCGAAGTGAGGGCTGGAGATAAAAAGCATCAAAAAATTTATATGCATTGTGTAACTCAAATAAGCTATCTGTCTTTGGCAAGAATCAAAACGCCATCCAGAAACGTAGCAGTGCTCCTGTAGCGTATGGCCAGGAGCAATGGATACAGAAGCTAGCGGTTCTCACGAGCCGCCATTGCCTCACCAATCACGGCAACGCCTTGAATAACCCGGCCTTGGCTTGCCGAGTTCCAGAAAGATTCTGTAGATATGAAAGAAAGTTGGCATTCTCGCGACTAATAAACTCGTCTTCTCAAGCCCATTTCTTAACGTACTCAAGAATACACGTAGCTCCATTTAAATCACCTAATTTTATAGGGAGCTTATGATGCTTTTCAAAATGAGAATGATAAATTGTATAGTAGCTGAATTTATTTCAGATAATCTTGAGTTTGCCTAAGTGCAGAAGCTGATACAGATTCTCTATGCAAATCATGCCCAGGTTGCATGGAGCTTGGCTTTTTCCAAGACCCTATGAACTTTCAAAGCGTCATCAAGAGTGGCGTATCCATCTTCTTCACCTTTGGCAAACGCCTCGTATACCCTAGCTACATTTTGTCCCGAATAAGACACCTGACTCAAATGGTCCGCTTCACCTCGGTTAAAGTCAATCTCCTTTGCTTCACCCCCAAATTCTCTCAACTTCAGTTTCAGGCCTGTAGGGCCCCAGTGGAATATGCCAGGATCGCTAGTCAATTCAAGTTCTCCCTTAGTCCCGCTAATGATCCATCGGAAGCCGGTGTTGTCGACTGGTTCAGTGCACGTGCGCATTGTGAATGACGCCACAGCACCATTTTCCAAGACTCCCTGGAGGAGAATTGTGTCGGGAGCCGTGATATCAAAATTTTCCTGGATGATGTTGCCTTCGTTATCCACAAGCTTCGTTTTGTTGTTTTGGGTTTTGAGGGTCGACTGGATATCCTTGAAGTCACCGAGGATATTCAAATGAGTGTCCAAAACTAGGTCGTATTAGCAATGGTTCTTTTTACTTGCCATTCATGTATGATAATTGGACAAAACTCACTGTGCCCAACAACGAGATGCAAACGGCTGATGCCAGAGTTAATATTCAGAAAAATTGACTGCGACTCTGGCCACATGGGCGTAGCCATAAGAGCGTTATGGCTGTTGAGGGTAGAGAACACCACGTCGCCAATGGCACCGGACTTGATCAAATCTTTCATACGTCGGAATACAGGATGGGCACGGCCCTGTGAGCCACTGAGGGCCTTGACTCCAGCACTCTTGGCCAGAGTAGCCAACTCCTCAACCTCTGCAACTGTCGGCGCGATGGGAAACTCGACCAGAACGTCCTTCTTCTGCTGGAGCAGAGGCTTTACCAATTGGTAATGTTTGCCAATAGCAACAACGATGGAGACCATGTCAATGTCAGGATCACTAACAACCTCATCGAGAGAGCTGTAGGCCTTGACATCGGAGCCAAGTTTGTGCGACTCGATGGACTTTTGGGAAGAGGCAAGTGAGGAATTGCAAACACCGACAATCTGATAGTGAGGAGAGGATTTAAGAGAATTTAAATGTTGGATGCCCCATTCGCCTGTCTTGTAACCCGCACTGGAGGTGGCAGCGAGCCCGATGATGCAGATGCGGATAGGTGCCATTGCAAGTTTGATCTGCGGCGAATGTATATGAAGCTAAGAGTTATATGAATTGTAGACCTTTGTTACTTGATTCAATGCTTTCTCAATTTTTTTTCTAGAATTTATATACATATATATATCTATACATATATGCGAACCTACATTCTTTACATATCACTATTCTTTACAGGTCTATCAACACGGGTTGTAACAGGATCCACAAAGTCCGCGGTTGCTCCACTTGAACTCCGAGGAAACTAGATCCTATTCTCCGCCACCCATCTTGGATGCCGAGTTCATGGGTCAGCTATCCTGAAAAGACTCAAGGCCAGCGTATTGGAAATGCAAGCTCATTACTAATCCGTTGCCATAAACTGAAACTTCAAGGTCAACAAACCCCGAGGACTTTCTTTAGCCGCATCTTGGGTCGATCTAGCTTGTGTTTAATGTGCCTCACTATATCCGCGGATAATTCGACATGCCGTTCTCTCGCCAAAAATCTTGCACTCACTGCAGACAGTCAAAATTACGATGCAACCGGGCAACTCCGACATGCTCACGCTGTGCTGAGCGCAATCTAGCCTGTGATATACGCGATATTCGTGTATCGCCATATTCGGACTCGCGCCGTTCGAAAGTCCCCAGAACGGAAGCTGTGGACATTGAAGCTCTCGAACACCAGCACAGTGGTTATGGAGTCCCACCAGTTATTTTCGATGTAGTCTCAACTGATGCGGTTACAACTCTCAGTGACGAGAATGTAAGCGCCAACTGGATGGTCACTGATGGTTTGGAAACCGGTCATTTGAACCCGAAAAATCTCGAATCTGGGATTGGCGATTTTGGTCTCAACACCTTTCAGGACGAATTTAGCTTGCAAATGATGGCTGAGTCAGAATTCTCGGAGCAAAATGTCGTCGGCACGTGGACATCTGCTTGTGTAGTCCCCCCTGATAATTCCGCTCCAATCTCACATTGGGACCCTCCACCTCTCGTAGGTGAATCTGGTTCGGAGAGCAACATCACCTCGTGCGATGACATTGCGTCCACTCTAACTGTACGGACTCCCTCCAACCAAGGGTCCCTGCGAAGCCGCCCAATCCTGAAAGGCTGCATGTTGACCAATATGGTCCTGGGACAAATTACCGGCTATCCAAAGATGCTCGTCCTAGGAGACCGCCTTCCTCCGTTTATCCATGCGCCTTGCTACATAGACGAGACGCTTGCTCCAGAATGTGGAGAGATGGGGAAACACCAATGCTTGCCCAAGAGGCTTGCCATTTGCGCCAGCTTGGTGGATATGTTCTATTCGCGGACAGATGCCAACGCGGATTTTGTCTGGCAGACGATATATTCTGAGGGACAGAGATTACATGAAGAGGTATGGTTTTCTTGCTTCACGCTTACTGAGACTAATGTTGCGTTTAAACTTACAAGATTGGCCTTTCTCTAGTATAAAAGCCTAGACCCATACGGCCAGCTTGCTGCCTTACAGGCGGTCATCATATATATCCTCCTACAAGCTCAGGATCCCGAAACAGCGGAACGAAATGGCGCCAATGCTCTGCTCTTGGTTATGACGGTATGTTAACTCCATCTAGTCTCCTTTTGGACAATTAATCTGCTGTCCAATAATATTTACGGACTGTATTGGCCTAAATTAGGAACTCTTCACTTGCCTCACTGAGAGCATTGACTGGGATGCATGTGACTTTATGGAAAGACCAGACAGACAGCAATGGGTATTAAGGGAGTCTTTAAGACGGTAATCACAAAAACACTCGAGTCCCAGACTAAAAACAAGTTTCAAGTCCTAACTAAATATTCAGGATAGTCGCCTTGCTGGGCCTTGTCGAACTACTATTCGAAGGCCTAATCCCACCTCACGCAGCCCAAGCCAACCCTCCCTACAAAAACTTCCGGTCTACTCCTCTACCATGTCAGCGCGACTTGTGGGAAGCCCGCACCAACAGATCCTGGAGGCGAGAGCTGAAGCTCTACCTCTCAGGCTGGACGTCGCACGAAGTGTTAACAGTCGGAGACCTGCTTGAGTTGGATGACGCGGGTTGTTTCAAGAACACTTGGAACAATCAGCAGGCGTACAGCAAGTTGCCGGATGCGGTCAATTGGTGCGGAAACTCTGATTCGTTGGGGATGTTGATCTGGATGGTGCTTCCGTTTCAGAGATGGAGAAAGAAGGATGCCCGCTGGTAATTCGAGGAATACATAGAGGCCAATTTGCCTATAGCTCAGTACCATTCAGGTGACACTACATTCACTTTACCTTATTATGACACTTCACGGTGGCAAGCTACACTATTTGGCTTTGCGGGAACACTTACAATCTAATAGAGGGGCAATTGGCACAATGGCTAATGCCGGTAGTAAAAAGGGCACCTGCGGTGTACACTCCAAAGATATAAGAGAGTATTCATTATCTGCATCTGCTGAATAAGCCTCGATTCCATTTCTATATATACTGATTCACACTATTCTCTAGCACATACGACCATAGGTAGAGGAGAGTTCGGGGTCCCGCCAAGCACTTCTTTTGAGTGTAATGTCCATTGTTGACATCCTATAGCTCCAAATCTGTAGTTACATGTAAGTAAGCCCGTTTTTGGTGGTTAACCAACCCCGCGCTAAGATGCTCGCCATCGTTTAGTCTATCGCTATTAGACAACTTAAATCCTGGAATAACTTCAAAACCCGCTTTCGCAAGAGGATTCCACTATTTTACTGAATTAACTTTTTAAAGTATTTCAGCAAAGTTTCGAAAGGTTTGAGTTAAAGATTACTGACCAGCGTGACCGACTCAGGGAATCAATAACAAAACTATTACTGGCAAATGACGAGCGGATTCCTTTCACGAGTGACGAACAATCTGAGAGAGCTAGAATGATTACACTTAAAGGAGTACGGGCTTATTATTACCCAGTCCCAAGGGAAAGGCATTTTAGCTTCAGGAATATATTAGGATTGGAGGGAACGAAATCAGAGAGATGGAAATCTGTGCGATATATGGTAAAGAGTGTGGTTGCCAGAAGTCCGGATCAAGTGAAGAGTGATAAAGATGAAGAGGTAAAGGGTGTATATATTAGCCGAGAATACAAAACTACCTAGGTATCTGATAATGACTGTACTTATCTCTGAATTCCTCTACAAAGAGAGGATATTCCTTTCCTTTTTATATTTTTCTTCCATAACCCACACAGCCTTCAGTTCACCCTCAGATGCTTCCTTTCAGGTATTACGCTGCGAGGCCTCTGACATTACCTGATATATATATTTAGTGTAATATTTTGTCAATGTCTAACAGAGGAAACAGACGGATAGTATAACAGTTTCTAGCACAGTTGTTTACTAGGTAATACTAATACAGCCCCCACTCAACGTACTGACTACCCGCATCACCAGCACACTCCATATATCCTTTCGCGCCGACTTGACCGCCACCGCCATACAGCGCGATTGACTGAGTAATGATGTTGACGATATCCTGACTGCCAGTATAATAAGTGACATCGCCAGTCACGCCGCTGTTGTCGACGCCAAAGTTGCAGGTGCCGAACGAAGCAATGTTACGCTGCGAGCCGATGCCAGTGGTCCACTCGCCGTTGGTGCCCTGGATGTTCTTAATGATGGTCTGGCAGTCGGACACTGTCGGCGAGGCAGAGCTGGTCTGGTCCACGTAGGTGTAGCCGCTGCACTTGGTCACGCCCTGCAGCGGATTGCATGGGTATCCTGGGGCAGTGGCGTTGGACTGCGAGGGATTCGACCACGAGGCCCAGGCAACTTGGGGGCTGCACACCGGGAGAGTGATGTAGCCGGGCGTCGTGATGTCCTGGTTTGCGAGGTCTTGGATAGTCTGCGAGTCCGCCGGGTTAGCGGCGGGCGCCCCGTTGGCATTGCCGTTGGCGACGTATGTGTTAACGGATCCCGCAATAAGGTCGGACACAGTAATACCTCCCCATTTCGAGCCGAGGCTGTCTAGTCCTACTGGAGCGGTGAACAGGGAATCGGTGCACGGTGGTGGTGGTGGATTAACGGTGTCAATAGTAAGAGCAATATCTTCGCCGGTACAGCTATGATAGTCTCCGGCGACAGAGACCAGATAGTACAGATTGCCGTTGTGGCATGAATAGGTGGCCTCTGCGGTGTCGTTGCTCATGTATAGGCCCAAGGGGTTTACCGTGCCGCAGGGATAGCCCGAGTCGACAACGAAGGCAGCAGCACCAGAAACGGTCCAAATGGCCGGGATGGCGAACCCGAAGAAGGCTCTTGTCACGTATTTCTCGATGTCGGTGTATGTGCTGTTGTCCGAGGGGTCGCTCTGCGACGGGGAACTGCCATCACACTCAAGGAGATTACCATTACCAATCATGGTCCCGAGGAGAGCGATGGAAGCTTCAGATCCATTGAATAAAGCAGCGAGCTGGTTTTCGACGATGGCAGCCCAGCCGCCGAGTGCTGCCCCCATAGTGTCACTGAAGGAGGCTTGAGACTTTGCTGTCCAAAGAGGTCTGCACACAAATTTGGTCAGCCAATTGCTGTCGTCGATACCAATCCGAAACAAACGTGTGGACTGCCGAAAGGGACACCCTGATTCGATGATGCTTCAACGAAAAGGGATGATGGCACTTACTCTCCACCGCCATCGAGTACAATGGTAACAATGGCGGCTCCGAACGCGAGGGTTGCATAGGTAATATCTTTGACCGTGTCGGCGGCGGCGTCTCCTAGAGCGACAAGAGCTGGCAGAGCCCCAAAGACTATGAGGCAATTAGCAGTTGTGGATGTGATGATTCAAGATGAAACTCATTTCAAGAGGAAGCAAGGGCTGTGACTCACCTCCGTCGAAGAATGGCGCGGCGATTGCAGTAAGGCCGAGACCTGCAAGGTTGGTCAGGATCAGCTTCCACTCGTCGTCTTCTTCCGGAGGCACCGGTGCGAAGGTGTTCTCAAAGTCCGTGAGTGCGTCGCCGATGTACGTGTCGGAAGCATAATTGATGGCGGCGTAGAACTGGCTGTACATCTGAATTATGGGTTTATGTCAGCTACTTTCAACATGCCAGCAACAGCACTTCAACTATGTCTCTCCCTCTCCCTCTCCCTCTCTCTTACATAATGCCATCTTGTCTCGAAGCGAGAGGGGTGAGACTTACCTCGTTGATAACTGTGAAAGAATTATAGATCAGATAGCCCGCGACGCCGGAACCACCATTGGTGCTGGTGCCTTGAACCACTGCACAAGTTTCAGTCTGGTCACAATTGCTTTTCGGAGGGAGAAGTCCACAGTCCACGTTTTCAGGGCCATGGAGTGTGTTCATGATGGACAAGCTGAAGGTAGTCCTCGAGCTATCAGACGTGTTCCAAATTGCGATGGCGTCACTCCAAGCGTCGTTGGCGTCCAACCGCGACCAGCGCTGGGGGCAACTCATATACAGGGCATCTTGCACAGCGGGATCCGTACAGTTTAGGTTAGTCCAGTTGCCGTGACGGGTGCCCTCTTGAAAGGGGTCTGTGCCCATGAGGACGTCGCTGATCAGCATACCCCAGTTCGAGACGACGTAGGGTGGTTCATTGTACTCTTGCAGATCGGTAGCCCAGTCGGTCGTGCCACCCATCGCCAAGCCCTTGTAAAGCGCTGCTCGTGAGGCCTTGATGCCGTTGCTCATCCAGCCGACCCATTGAATGTCGTCGTAGACAAGAATATTGGTGTTGCTAGCTGCGTCGATGAAGTTCTGGTTCACCCGGCTAGAGTTGGCGAGGATTTCCTGGATCTCGGCATTGGAGATGTAGCCCGCGGTTTGAGTACAAGGACCAGGTGCAGCTTGCGAGTCATCAGCTGAGCCCAAGAATGTGCAATCTGGCCCATAACAGCCCGCATCAGCCATGGCGAATGATCGCCCGTAGCTGGTCGTGCCGACCACGACCTTGTTGGAGGGGACACCGGCTTTGGTGATCTGTGGACGCAAGAGTTTGCATTAGCGATGGAAAAAATAAAGGGGCTTCCAGTAGTAACGGGGCCTTTCCAGCGTAAACTCACCATGACCAACGCGCCAATTGTTTCGGTAAGGTTCACGTCTGTACGTAAACAGTTGCCAGTTGGGCAACCAAGCTGTGACCACGCATTCTGAGAGTCCCACTATATAGGGAGAAGAAAGCTCGATGTCAGTTCCCCATGTCACAAAATTGCACGCTAGGTCGAGAGGGTTATCATACCTGTCCATGCAGATCGTACGTCATGTATATGATATAGTCCAGGAGCGGAGCCATCTTCTCGATGGGGAAGCCCTGTAGATACCAATATGACGCCGGAGCGGCAATTGTGATTTCTTTGCTGGGAAGAAGATTCCTCAGTATGGCGAGAAAGGCGAGGTAATTGGTACCATCGCTAGTACTAGCCGGAGGGATGCCAGGGATATCCGGTGCCTATAAAGAAACAAGGGGGGGAAGACGATTAGCAATTTAACACACAGACAAGCGCAGAGCAAGCAAAATGGATGAATGCTCGTACCCCTGGATACTCCCAGTCAATGTTGACACCGTCAAGATCATTATCGTTGATGAATTTGGCAATATTGGTTGCCATGGTTAAACGATTCGCGGCGGTGACGCCCTCACGAAAGATGTTATAAGTGCTGGGGTTGGTGGAGAAGTCCCAACCGCCGATGGACAGAATACGCTTCGCGCCCACAATCCGCTGAAACTCGTTGAACTCATAGAGAGTTGTGGCGTTGGGAATCTGGACCACATAGGACGGGGTGAGCACACCGAAAGCGAAATAGATATGTGTGTAAGCATTAACATTGATTTGAGAGACGTCCTGAAAGAGGCAGGACCGCTGCAAATTGAATCCCTCGTAAAATCCAATGCTCCTATACTCCGAGGGAGGACTGCTCAGCACGATATTGGTGCCGCAATTGGAAATGCAGCCATTGGTGCCCTTAGCCGCAGTTCCGGGGGCGCCCGTGCCAGTATTGGTGCAGAAATCGGCCGTCGTACCGCACTGAGACTATCGTTAGCAACATGATTGACTGATCTGAGGAGTTGTGGCAAGGAACTACTGCACTTACTTGGCCCCACACATCGCAGCAAGCATTCAGAGGACATGGGTTGAGCGTGGATATGTTCGTCCCACTGGGAGGGGTCGGCGTGCCAGGGACCTGTGGCCCACAGAGAGCATTGGAGACAGGCGCCGGCATTGGCGGGTTACCCTTACTTATACAGATAATGTTGTTAGGATAGAGGGGGCGGCTGCAGCCACCCCAAGCCCAGGTGTTGTTGTTAAAGTTGCCGAGTTCAGTCACCGTGAGGCTGTATGACGCGGCAATGGTGGAACAGTCGTCATTCGGCTGGACGGTGTAAGTCGCGCAAGTGCCATCGGCTTGGGGCGGGGGAGCATAGTTGGGCAATGTGCCAGCCGAACAGCAGACGTGTTCGCCCGGCTGGAGCGAGGAGCACTCGTTTGATGCGGGATTGTATTGGGTGAACTGAGCCGAGGTGATGCCACATCGCTGCGCCAAGGAGCCACAGGTATCACCATACACGACTTGGATGGTGGTACAGTTGGCCCGCGGTGTGAGTGCTCCGTGTCGAACAGAGGCAGCACTGCCATGGGTCAAGGAAGAGTTGTTGCTGGTGATGTTGGTGGAGGGAGTGAATAGGGGCGTCCCGAGCGGGATAGTACCCGTGGTGTTCTGGACGACTGGGAATGTCAAGCATTCCGCCTTTGACCATGACTTGAGGGCGTCCTGTACGGCAGCAAAAGTTCCATTGCCAGTAGCTATCAGGCCGAAAATGTGATGCGAAGTCTGGCCAGGCTGGCAGAATTGCATCGCCACCTGGGCAGAATGGCTGGCGCTGGATGTGGCGATGGAGTTTTCCAAGTACGCCAGCGCGATGTTCCCGATTCCCCGGTTCTGCAGACCTTGGCCGATATAGAGACCAACCGAGGTTGAGCCAAAGCTGGCGAAGAGAATGGTCGGATGGTCCGCGGCACCAAATCCGTTAGACAGATAATGGCGGATCTGGGTGGTGATTGTGGCAAGAGAAGTTGAGACGATTGAACCTGGAGCGGAAGGCCAGGATCCAATCTCATATGTGCCATTCACGAGGACTGGGGCTTTTGCTGACTCTGAGCTGAGACTAGAAGTGTTGGCTGGCAGATTTGCCCAATCCGGGCCGAAAGAAGTGCAGGCGTAGATGCGGTGAACTTCATCAGCATCATCGACCGGGTCGAGGAAGGAAAAGGAGTAGAAGATGGACTCTTGGCACAAGGCAAATTGATTGAGGTTGCGGTATAGAGACCAGTTGGCAGGGTTGGGCCCCGTCACGGCACATCTTGCTGGACAAGCATTGGATCTGCCTTGATAGCCCGGGCTCGCAGGTAGCCTAAGGGGCGTCGTTATGGCAGAAGATGTGCCAACGAAGAAGGACAATGAGGCAAGTGTCATGTGTAGGAAGGCAAGGAAAGCACCGCGCGGCCGAGGCCACGCGGAAGAGTTGGACAGCGGCATTGAATTATACACGTGTCGTGACTAGGAAAAAGAAGAGCAGATGCCAAGATGGCAAAGCAGGCGATGGGCTTGATTAACCCCGTGGAAGATGGGAAATTGTTGCCGTAGATTTTATGTTGTTTGATGCTTGACCATGTTGTAACCTAATGTGCAACCTATGAGCTGCCAATTGGAATAAAATGTAGACTATGCCTCCTTGACTGGTTATTAGCAGGTGACTTATAAGGCCAAATCAGCCAATTCAACTGTAGATAAACAAAAAGAGTCGTAGTTTACTATACCTCGAGGAGAGCAACTGCAGAAGTAAGATTGTATATAGAACCGCAAAGATAAATGAAACAAAGTGAAAGTCTCGAGTACTATATAAGTACAGAGGAATCTATATGTTTGTAAAAGCTTTTGCAAATGCTTGTATGAATCACAAGACTCAAATATAACGAGTGGTATAAACTTATTAAGGCTGTATCATAGCTGGTCTTTTACAGACTTTGAAGAGTTATATATTGATTTTAGAAAATCCCCGGGAGCATATTGCATGCCCCTTGAAAGCAAGCTTGGATGAACGATGACAGGTGTGATCGGAGAAGTTGCTTATAGCAGATGTCCTCCGAGAAGACCGAGAATACCGCGGTATGAAAGTCATGCCTATCCTCACGCAGACCATGTTGTATAGATGCCCATAGGTCAGCTCTGCCGTGATAGCCGTATGTTAGAAGAAAAGCAGAGAAAACTCTTCTCAAGATTAATAAATTCTGAAATTATTCGTGACCAACGACATCACGACCAACAGCTTCACAACCAACAGACATAACAAAGAGTACCGTAGACCCACACGAGAGGTTCGGCTACTGGTGATGCGGACAATAGTCGGCGATGGATCCACCATGTCGAAGGATCAATCGCCAAGGAGCGGGAAGCGAGACGGGGGCCCGATCGGAATGCGGCACGGCGATTATGGAAAAAAGGAAAAAAGGAAAATAAAAAAATAAAAAAGGAAAGGGGCAGCGTCGAGGAGCCAGAAGCAGATAAAAGATAGGGCTGAGACGGCAGAGTGGTCAAATCGTCTTGCCCCATGGACTTGTTCAACATTACCTACATGTATCAGAGCAGACCATCGGGATGGCCGCAGAGTCTTGGTTGCTGCAGACGGCGTCCATATTGGCAAGGGTGTGCTGACAAGGGTACCCTGTAGTTTGAAACTTCGCTTCAGAACACAGCTTTTTCAACGGTCTCCTCTTTGATGCCGGAGAATTATCCATAGATGACCCCGTAGTATAGATAATTCTTCCTGCGGAGATTAGCCTGCTGGGTCGAGGACTTTCTGTTGGTGGAGTGGCCAGGGGATAATACATGGTAGTCAGGCGCACCTATCACCAGAGAGCGCTGATGAAGAAATTTCAGCATGCAATCGATACCATGTTGACAATTGGTCATCTATGTATGATTTTTTGCCAATGATGACTCTCTAAAACTATCACAACGATCTACATGAAGTGAACCCGCATAGGCTTATTCAGTTGTTCAGACTGGATCCAAGGATCCACGGTAGACCATGTCGGGGATCTACATAGTGTAGTCAATGCTCGAAAATCTTTTCCCTAACTAGCTTTTTCTATACATACTAATAACCTTAATAAGTCTTGTCAGGATCTATTGATGCTTAACGCTTAGGTTCTTATAATGAGGGTGCAATACGAGCAAAGACTACCAAAGATTAAACACGCTGATCTCGTATATCACATGTATGTTGCCACAATTTCAATATGAGGAGATGAGAGGAGGAGGAGGAGGAGGAGGGTTAAAATATATCATCATCAAAGGCCAGCTAATTGCTACTTGTAGAGAAAGGAAAAGACCAGCGCCCGTCTTTTAATCAACCATGCAGAGTGCATGCATCTACCTCATGCAAGATGGATCAGGGCACCCAATGCAGCCAGTAGCGTAAGCAATGTTGACGCCGCTACCACGCGAGGATTGGCTGCTGAAGGTTGACCGGGAGGCGGGCTCGGATCCAGGCAGGTGAGGTTGGAACTGTAAGAGGTGCAGATAGCGCCCGTGGCTCTGGCCAAGGCAGATAGACTGGATGCGGCTGCAGAGTCGATTGTCGCCGCACATGGGTTGGTGGTTGGGCTGGGACCCAGCATACCACATCCCCAAGGAGAGGTTATGTTGAATGCTTGAGCCTGCGCGGCGCCACAAACGTCAGACGATGTAGCCGCCTCAAGATCGATTGCCTTTCCAGACTTGCTGACGGTGAAGACGGTGGTGAAGTTTTCGCTATGCGTTGGGCCCCCGCAAATGTTGTACTGCACGTACCAGGCGAGAGTCCAGACGCCGTCTGGGTAAGAAATGGTGTTGACAGCACCGCTGAGCATATAGGGGTTTTTGGGTGTGGATGTCGCCGTCCTCACATCGCCGTCCACATCAAAACCACCACCGCCGATATGGCCTGGCGACCTCGTGCTATTACCCTCCCACATGCTCCACTGGATTGAAGCAGACAGCGGGACAGCCAGAGATGGATTCTGAATTGCAAAGACGACGGGCATCAGCCAGCTCGGAGCGTAAGTCTCATTGCGAGGGAATAGCAAGTCCACTTCAAAGGTGGCAGGCAAGGTAGGAGAAGCGCTCTTGTCACCCATTACAGTCATCAAGCTGGCCATCAGCGCAGCGAAGGCGAAGCGAACGTGGCTGGAAGCGCCCATGATGGAAGATGAGAACGCTTAAAGTTGAAGAGAATAGAATGAACGAAATGGCGGGTAGCCCAAGGGGGGGGGAAAGAGGGAAAAGAAGAGAATGCCGAGTTTGAGGCGGGAGACCATGGTGAAGAGAAGAAGGAAGAAGAAAACGACACCCAAGGCGGTGCGAGTGGTGATGTCGAGATGGCCGTGTCGTTCGAGTCGGCGGTGGGCGCGTGCCATCACATGCGGCAGTTATTTTCGACTATGGAGTCCAAAGTAGTACAAAAGGCCCTTCTCAGGGGGTCTTCGGCTGAACCAATACTCTGTGTGAAAGGCACGGTTTCGCGGGAAAGACGGCACGCAGGAACCGTTTTGTGTTGTTGGCTCACCCCTGTCTGATACCCTGTAGATCCTCCGGGACTTTAAGCCCCCACTGGTCTAATCTAATTGCAAACCAGATCCGCTAATTAGCTTCCCACAGATATTCTCCTCCAACCCCATAGCTTTATACCAGTTGAAGCAAGTCAATAGGGAAGGCAATCCACGCAGTGTTTACCATTCAATCTGGCAGAGCCAGTTACATTACCTATATTGATATCAACCGCGCTACAACATCGCAATTGTATGTTTGTGCAAAGCACAGCTGCATTCGGTAGATTAGCCTAGACAAATTAGAAAGCAGTAAAGTCCGCGGGCGAACATAAACAAGCTTTCCGGCTTTTTACTTTACTCCGACAACCCTTGCTAGAAAGACACCCCGGTCGATGTTGTATAGACCGTTATTAACAGACTATCTAACGTCTGTTGGTTCCCCCATGTTCTTTTTTTTTTTTTTGGCCTGAAGTTGGATCCAACAACTCTGCACTATACAAACATACGATGCAAGTTTGCCGTTTCCAGTGAGTTCGTTGACCCAAATGAAGAGAAAGACGGCTCTGGCGGCGACCTTACTTACCACAAGTGGCAAGAGAGCCGTAGCAAGAACCCGAATGTGGTATGTAACGTTGAAGACTTGGGTTTTCTTGCCCGACCAACAGCAGCTGGGTGTGGATTTGATAGCAGATGTGGCCAACAGGATGGATATCTCCGTCGCTTGACTCAGGAGAAAGGTTCTATCGTGGAGTGCTTCACGCTCTAGACCCGACGAGACCTCAGTACATCGCTTCGGACTGTCGCAACTTTTGTTGTTTCCCTCGGACCTCTAATATGTGTGCGGCATATACTCCATGCTATAGGATTCATGGCATGGGATAGTATACTGCACGCTGCGATGGATTCAACTTCTAGCCTCAACAGTGCCAAGACTCTCCAGGTGCGCTCTAGGTACAAAAAGGCCGCCCATTATGCCCTTTTCCCTCGACGAGACAAGGCATTGCATCCTCTTCTCGACAGTCGTCTTCAGCATCACTCTGGTAACTTCTGAGTTGCTCTAAATCGTCATCTGTCCTTAAACAAGCATCGTCAATCATGATGGCGCCAACTTCCCTCAAGGCTGGCCTCCTCCTCCTCTCTCAGCTACACCTGACTCGGGCCATGATACTGGCCCCCCGTCAACAGGTCACTTGTAGCTTTGCAACCGCCGCCAGCTCTGGAGATACCTGTGACTCCTTCGCTGCCGAATGGGGCTTGACCGAGCAGACTTTTGAGTCTCTTAACCCCGGCGTCTCCTGCCCGAACCTTGTGGTCGGTCAGAACTATTGCGTGGTCGGCACAGTTTCATCTGCGCCGCCCTCGAGCTCCTCCTCGTCTCAATCGAGCACGAGCTCTTCGTCTTCGGCTCTGCCGACCAAGATCTCCTCCACTCTCGTCACCTCCACGCTTGTGTCGACCACGTCGTCATCAACGACTTCAGACCAGCCGCAACAGACGGGTACCGCCGCCAATTGTAACAATTTTTACCTTGTTCAACCCGGTGACACGTGCCCTGCTATTGAAAGCGAGTTTGGCATTAGTATGAGCCAATTCATTACCTGGAACCCATCGGTTAACACAGGTATGTCCCATTCTATGTTCTGATGAACTGTGCTCGCCAAGATGAAAAAAGAAAAGTAAAACACTGAGTTACTAACACATTCTACAGGCTGTACGAACATCATCGCCGGCTACTACTACTGTGTCGGCGTCCCCGGCGCCTCCAAAGTGACCACCACCACCACGTCGACCAAAACCACCGGCAACGGCATCAGCACGCCCACGCCCATCCAGACTGGCATGACCACCAGCTGCAACAAGTTCTACCTTGTCCAGTCCGGCGACTCCTGTGCCGTTATCGCCACGAGCTACAACGTCCCCCTCGCAACCTTTTACTCCTGGAATCCAGCCGTCGGCTCGTCCTGCGCGACCCTTGACGTCGGCTATTACGTCTGTGTCGACGCCATCGGCTACACGCCGCCGAAGACGACGTCCACGACTACGACCACTAAGAAGACCTCGACAACCTCGTCGGGCAACGGCATTACCACGCCAACGCCCTTCGAAACGGGAATGGTGAACAACTGTAAGAAGTTCTACCTCGTCAAGTCCGGCGACTCATGCGCCGCTATTGCTACTAGCCAAGGAACGACGGCTGCCAACATTGAGAAGTGGAATCCAGGCGTCGGATCCACCTGCACGACTCTGTGGCTAGGCGATTACATTTGCGTCGGCGTGTAAATACATGAGCTCGATTTTATAGTAGCAAGTAGTAGAGCGTATAGTTGTAGATTATATTAGTAATGGAAAAGGATGATTTTACGAGAATAAGGGAGTAGACAAATTGCTGTGCACTGTTAGCTGCAATATATGAATTTTCGAAATTTCGTAATAAAACGCCGATTGCTTTCTATGAAATTAGCACAGTGAGCATGCGTTTTAGAGTTGATAACCGGTAGCAAGTTCATATAGCGTTACCTATGTAGATAAATCATTGCAATACAGAGCTAAATTAAGAACAAGTAGCATAAGGACAACGATGTGTAGTTGTTTGCACCGTTTCACGGCTCTACTGACTATATAAACTCCATAGATTTACAGTCATTGTGAGATAAGCCATTATTGAATACGCCATTTGGGGAAGGCTTGATATTGGTGAATAAGATTACCTGTGGGGCATATGATAATACCACGTAAGTTGTTTAAGAAGTTTACAGTAGTTGCAATTGCTAGGAAAATAATATTACAGGACTCAGAAGTACTGATATTCATTTTCCGATTCGAGTTATTATATTCAACTGCTTACAAGGCCGTTTACAAAATATATTTTACACATATTTCAACATGAATCACTCAATTCTCCAGCCCTCAAGCATTACCACGGAGGTTATTTTCCGTACCTACCTATCATGAGATAGCATTAGCAACATACCCATATTGTAGTATATAAGTGGAATAGAGGAGTAATTCTATCACATACAACCATAGGTAGAGGAGAATTTGGGGTCCCGTCAAGCACTTCCCTTGAGTGTAGTGTCTTCCATTTTTGGCATCCCAGGCTCTAAAACTAAAGTTGCATGATTCCTTTTTTAGTGGTTAGCCAACAACTCCGTGCTAAAATATCCTACTTTTTAGTCCCGCGCCCATTATTGAAAACGAAGCTGCTACCGTTATTTTTTGGGGCCGTAGGTTGCCCGACATCCGGTCTGCGCTTATCCAAAGAGCAGACTTCGGCGAAGGCTATGCTCGACGATAGATATGTCTATCTACCAGTATAACTGCCTCGGCGTACGATACCTGCTTTTGTATTATAGCTATCAAGCTAGGGAAAAACTACATACATGTAGGCTGCTAAGCGCATTACTCACCAACTCTGTCCACCAATGTATAATGCGGTTAACCTGTGATACAGCGTTCCGTAGAATGATGATTAGGAAACATGTTGCTCAAGCAATGCAGTATACACAGCCGCATGCTCTGCGAGATAAATTGCAACACTAGAATTAGTAAGGTAATTACTAAAGCACCCGGCCAGCGCCCGGAAACCCAGTCGGACTGCATGCACAGGGCTATTTACCGATATTTTATTTGACCTTGTACCAACTCTTACGCTCTTAAATTATGGTTCTAGAGACCGTTGGCTTCATTGATCCATCTACTTTAGTTCATAATTCTGCTACAAGTTTTACATGTTAAATCGCGACCCGGCTACTCACAACTATGATTCCAAATACAACATCCATCCCAAGCAACGGGAACCGCTACAAAGCGAACAGGTGTAGCTATTTATACTACACTCCTCCTTGACCCTGAATGATATCCGAATAAATTCTTTTTGTCTTGCATTCATTGAAACATGGAGCGTCCGTGTTGTCCACGGCACCACGAACAACTCATATCAAGACAACCCGGCCTTTCCAGCTTCATTAAGTGTTCTTAAAAGCCACACTACGACATGATGCTCAACGTTGGAAAATATCTACTGGCGGGTATGCTACATATAAATGCCTTGAATGTGTCATTTTAGCTAATTATTCATGTCGAATAGGTTTGGCGTTGGGAGGAGCAAACGCTCGCAGTACTAATATTGCTTCAGTTGCAAACGAGCGCATACACGGCCATGAAAGTTTCGTTGACAACGATGGCGTGAGGATCCATTACCGGTCATACGGCTCTGGACCTCTCCTAGTTTTACAACAAGGTTCCCCAGACAGAGAGACCACCTGGAACACTTTTCAAATCCAAGAATTCGCAAAGAAATACACCGTTGTGACTCCCACACTGCGCGGATATCCACCCAGCGATGTCCCACCAGAAAAGGAAGACTATGCTGCTGCCGCCCATGTTTCGGACATGTTGAAGGGCCTCGTTATGGTTAACACACCAATTATCCCAGTTTTCCTCCCCTTGATTGAGTTTGACAGCTACCAGCACCTGCTATCGGAATACACAATACCATACTATGCGTACCATCCAGGCCAGCCGAAAAATGTTTCCACCATAGTGCAGCACATCTTGAACGAAACATACCGCGATCAGATTGCAGAATACGTAAACAAATCTCTTCGCTATGGGATGCTTGACTTTTACAACGAAAACTTTCCTGCGCCTCCATATGGACAGAATCTCAGTACTGAAGGCTTGACTCAAACTGTCCCCAGCGCCATTATCTGGGAAGAGCTCGATCCATATTTTAGTCCGGCTATGCAAAATGGCCTCGAGGCTTGGTTTGACTATGACATTAGATTAGTCGTGATTCCAGGCGCCGGGCACTAGTCTTTCAGACACAGGCCTGCTCGGTTCAACGCGAAGCTAAAGTCTTTTCTCGATTTCCTTGAATACTAGAATTGGGGTCTAGAGCCTCAATGGTTCATCAACAGTAGAGATATAATTTCTCAGGGACAAGAATGCGATATCGCTCACACTACTATGGCAATGAACAGTTGTATAATACTTCGGGATAAATGGGTTAATATTTAATAAAGATGCCCCTTCCTAACTCCTCTTTGGGCTCTTTCTTCTATTTTTCGTCAGAGTTTGCTTGAATTTTTTTTAATTTTTTTTTGACTTGGCTAGCCAGATGCATCTAATAATAAAAATTTAAACTCCCTATATTTTATGCCGAGAGCCCAAGAATGCGTTTAGTATCAGGGACTGTGCCATGACAATTTCCCCGGCCTAAGAACTTGCCTCTTGTGCGCCTTTATGACGCCTTAAAGAACACAAATTTCGTAGGAAAGCAATGATTTTGCAAGCGAAGAACAAACCCACTAATGCGCTTTATGGCTTTTGTTTGCAAGCTTGAACCTCCCGATCGGCAAAATTCACAATACATTTCTCAATTAAATCGGTATTCGTATCCTATGCAAATCATTTTGATCTAAAATAGTATGTATCGTGCATGTGTCCGTAGATCAAGCTTATAATTACGACTAAAAACTTGAAGCACTTTGAAGATGGGAATACAGCTAATTAACAATTACAAACCCATTTCGTCTTATAACATTCACAGAAATTCCTCTCGATAGCGGCGTGCAAAATCACTCATTTTTACTTCACTTGAGATGTTACACACTTTACTATAACGCTCTAGCTCTATAATACAACTGCTCTTTGAGATGCTCTTTCAGGCGACTGCTCCGGACATTATCAGGTACTTTTTAATCAGCTGCAGCGACGTCTAGCCAATGAGCCACGTGCATTAGAATGATCTGCTTAGATTAGTGCCGAATCAAAGACCTGAACCAAAAGATAGGGAAACAGACCAGCTAAATTTCCATCTCCATTGCTCTGGCTAGCCTGGATGCGGAAGCTCGAAATGCCAACGTATGGAGAACGCCGCTGAACTTTTGGCAGGTCGTCGGTGGTGCGGCAATGCAGCCATCAGCTTTGAATGATAGTCGGTGCTGTCTCAGAAATCGTTTCAGCTCTACGAGATATAAGAGGGGTAACGATGCTGATGTTGAGAAATATCTCAGGTTGAGTAAAACTGCTTCTTGTCAAACTCATACATATTCTGAGTCAAAATGGCGTTGCGACATCTCGTCTTTGGAGCCGCGTGGGCCGCCGGATCTGCGGTGGCAGCCTCAGTAACATGCGCATCTAATTTGCCGCTGAGTTGCCAGAATACCACCGCGGTCAGCAATACTTGCTGCTTCAACTATCCAGGTGGCCAGCTTCTTCAGACGCAATTTTGGGACACCAACCCATCCACGGGCCCTAGCAACTCATGGACTGTCCACGGCCTATGGTAAAACGCTTATATTAGCACGATTGATGCGCCCGTTGACTGTTTCACTAACCGTTTAATTAGGCCAGATAACTGTGATGGAACCTTTCAGCAGAACTGCGACCCATCAAGAGCGTATACCAACATCTCAGCAATTCTAGCAAAATCAGCGCCTTCTACGCTTTCGTTTATGCAGACATATTGGAAAGATAACCAGGGCAACGACGAGAGCTTTTGGGAGCACGAATTTGGCAAGCACGCTACATGTATCAGCACGCTTGATCCGGATTGCTATACCAACTATCAGCCAACCCAGGAAGTTGGGGACTTCTTTACGCGAACCGTGAGCTTGTTCCAAAGCCTTCCCTCGTATGACTGGCTTGCTGCAGCTGGCATTGTTCCTTCAAAAACCGCCACGTACACTTTGGCTGCTATCCAGGCTGCTCTCACTGCACACCACGGCCACAACGTCGTCATCAACTGCGATAATGGCGAGCTCAATGAGCTATGGTATCAGTTTAACGTCCGTGGATCTGTTCAAACCGGCACATTTACTCCTGTTGACCCTGTTGGCTCTGCCTCTACTTGCCCCAAGACGGGCATCAAATATCTGCCGAAGTCTGGTAGCAGTGCGCCTACATCGACTTTCAAGACAGCTTCCAAGACAGTGTCAAGCACTAAAAGCTCTGGCCCAGTATCCACCACTCCACCACTGGGAGTTCTGTCAGGTAAAGGATACCTATATATCGATACCTCCAGCACAACAAGCGATGGCTTTCTCGTTAGCAGCGGAGCCTGGTATCGCGCTGGCGGTACTCCAGCCACCTACACTGCCACTCCGAATTCTGACGGTTCTACCTTTTCACTCAGCTCAAGCAAGGGAAAGTGTGCTATTCTGAGCGACTCTTCTTTAAGCTGCAGCAGCTCCGTCTCTACTGCCAGCGGCTTTGCCTACGATGGCACGCACTTGACTTTCCAGGGATCGGCCAAGTTTTATGCAGCCGCAGTTCCAAGCGGACAAGCTCAAGGCACTGTTTTCGCAAGCACCAAGGCTGTTTCTTTGGCAATTGCATGGAATGCCCAATAAAGATTTTGAGACAGTTACTGGGTACGCCGTATATTATGTAACGATTAAAAAATAAATGGGTGCGTGACCGGATGATGGGTTATGACATAGTCCTGGGCTAAAGATGCACTTGTCCTATGCTTGAGCGACAATAGCAAGGTGTTGATAGCATAAAAAATTAATTATTCAAAGGATGTTTTGATGATACAGGCATGCCAAACTCGCGAGATGCCTTCCTTTAAAATTTCTTCTCAGCGTTACTCCGATATCTTTCTGGCTTATATTTGACAAGTGAAGGAAAGAATTCTTGCATCAAGGCAACTCCAGCCTTGGGGAGAGCCTATTCTAGCTCTTGAATAGCACCACGAACTCTAGGGGTTGCTTCATAATCCAGCGCTTGTCGCCACTCTTTACTTATATCGCCTAGGTCTTTATTAGAAGTCTTATATTATACAGTAAATTACACCCCAGCCCGAAAATGGTTGGCAGCAGCGAGTATGGTATGATGTTTATATTGAAGGCGCTGATTAGTTTCGTCGCGGCATTGGCGTAGATGTTCTGTACTATGCTAATGCCGCCGATGAGCATAAGGAATTAGGTGTTCTACTGTAGCCCGGAGATGGTCATAAGTACATAGGCAGCCCCAGTAACCAGGGCGTCTTAAACTTCTGATCGACTCAAATGTCTCAGTTCAAGTTGCAGGAATTGGTGATGTAACAGTGATAGTGAATCAATATATACTGTACTACGTAATGGCTTACACTGGTGGTGATTAGTCGGCGATCATACGGTAGTGGCTGGAGGGCTGAGCCGCTTGGCCTCTGTCCATAATACGGATTACCGGTGAAGAGACGGATGGGAAAAATTGATGAGCTACTGTAGATTGGTCTTAATATTTATCTCATCATGGCTTGCACTGACTCGATATTATTGGTACACTTGTTGTCAGCAGCAAGCCTAAGCGGACCGTGTTATTCGATAGGGGAACGGAAGCAAAGGCATCATTCCCGCTATCTCAGTAGACAGGTCTAGAACCCCTTGGTTCGGATGTTACATGTCGACATTAATGGAGATGTCTGGCTGTCAAGGTGTACAAAGCAAAGCACAAAGCCAAATAATGAATCAAACCATCTTCTCTTTCTCCGATACACTTTTTCTGACATGGACGGACACTCTGGAAATTGGATGGCGTTATGGTTGGAATGACAAATTCAGCTGTGCAATCAAAATTCCACAGCATTCAGCTCCTCGTTGATGGTAACAAGGCTGCAAGCCTGTTGTAAGGTGAAGGGCACATTTGAAGGAATGAGCCAAACCTTACAAGGCAAAATCTCGTTTACCTACACACAAAACCTTTGTTTTAAATTTCCGCCATGGTTTAATTAACCCATATCTCTAAAAGCTAACCTAACTTTAGCAAAATATTTATACAGGAATCAAGATTAAATAGTCTACAGTCTGAGTTGCCCAACATTATCCGTTTTCCTATGACTCTTGTCCTCGGGCTGCAGCAGGATTTCTGACATGCCGCCGACATAGCCAATCTATTGCCAATATATTGTCTTACCATTATCTCAGCCATTGCCAAATCCATTGTCTAATAGGCTGGTTATATTGCACTATTTGCTCCTTCGTACGCCACCTTTCAGGTGGCAAATCGCCTTGTCTCGCTTTCTCCGTGTCACAAGCCACACTTCCACCCTTGCAAGGCTGCAGTGTAACCAAGTTTGCTAAGATGCCAACATTCCATCTCAAAGTTTATGGCACTATCAATACAATAACTCTATTGCTTCACTTTCTTTTTATGCCATCAAATGAAAACTTATGAAGCAAAAAAGCCCAAAGTCAGAGAAGGATAATTGATATCTGGTCTTTGGTGCCCACCTCGGGCTCTAACTGTACAATATTTTCGAACATGGCGAGCTGATCATGAAGGATTGCTTATGAAGGATTGCACTAAGAGGCGAGGCAGTGTAAGGAATGACAACATAGGTGATACAGAAAGGCATATAAGAGGGCGTGAAGGTCCGGTCATCAGTACAAACATCACTTCTCTTCTTTCATCACATCTGTATTCCGAGAAAGAAATCCAATTGTTTGCACACCATGAATCCCGATCCTAGGTTCCAGGGAAGCCAGCTCAGGCCAGGAACAGCAGCCTATGAGCAGGCGAACAATATATACGCCACATCCACATATGGACAAGAGCGTAACATGAACCCTGGAGAGATTCTACAACCCACATGTGTAGAAGACATCCAGGGAGTTGTTAGATATGCCAACAAATTTGGCAAGCCAATAGCCATTAGGACTGGCGGCCACCAATACAGCGGTGCATCTTCAACTGGGCCAAACGGCATTCAGTTGGACTTGGAACTCACGTTCAGAGACAAGAATAAGGACCTTGTGTTGATCCGTGACACCGCCAATGACAAGGTCTATATCAAGGCCAGTGTTAGCTGGTCCCTGTCTGAAGTCTTCGACTTCCTCTTGGCCAATGGTGTCTTTATGCCAACAGGCCAGTGCGCCACGGTTCATCTCGGCGGACACGCTCAGACAGGCGGCTATGGCATGCTGGCTCGATCCTTTGGGCTTCTTGGAGATTACATCCGTGAGCTCGACATTGTGGACCATAACGGTGAATTGGTCACGGTAACCAAAGAGACGCACCCCGATTTGTTCTTTGGCCTTCTCGGCGGCAGCCCTGGCAACATTGGAGTCTTGACGCATTTCAAGGTCGAAGTCCAAGATGACAAAAAGTATCAAGGCTCCAAGGGCCTTTGGATGGCATTCCACTACCGTCAGGAAACTCTGAAGGAGCTCCTCGACCTCTTGGTGGAGAAGGCCGAAGACCCAAATTTCCCGCGCAGCTACGACTTCACCGTCAACATCGTCAGCAGAGAGGCGAATCTTCTAGACATTTTCCCAGGCTCAGAAGACGAGCTCAAGGAGACATTGCCAAACAACATCCACGACGGCAAGAAGAACATCGCTGATGTTTTCAAGTTCAAGTACGCAGTCATCGTTGTGTACGCCCAATGGGTCAACTTGGGGACCGATAAATTCTCACCAGACCTTTTCAATCGCATCAAGGGCGTCTCCCACAGTCTTTTCAAATTTAGCAAGGAATCCCCTGAAGATGCCCCAATGTCTTACATTACATCCATGTGGCTCTTCAGAAGCCCGCGTGAGTTCCCATACCCCTACATCAAACGCACCAACACGACCAACTCAACCACCCTCTCCAAGACTGGATGGTCTGACTGGTTCTCTGGGCGTATCGACGAAATTCTCGCCGTCAAGGGCAATGGCCTGTGGGTCTCGTCTCAGTTGCAGGTTTACGGCGGAAAAGGTTCCATGTTCAGGAACAATGCAAACAACGGCACTGCTTATAGCTGGAGAGATGCTACTCTTAGCGGAACTTGGGATGTATTTCACCAGGACAACTATGAAGGAGCCCAGAAATGGCAGGATGAGAACGACAAGGGGGCGGCTACTCACTTCAGCAAAGATGACCGCCGTGTTCTATGGGGCTCTTATGGTGATTGGAATATGAAGAATGTTTGGCAGCACTATTATGACTCTGCAACGTACGAGAAGCTGCGACAGATTAGGAAGAAGGCTGATCCCAATGGCGTGTTCACTGCCAACCCCTTCTGTGTGGAGGCAGCGCAATAAAAGTGGTATTAATCTTGTAGCTTATTTGCCAATTGGAACATATACTACATATACCTATAACATATGCGCAATTGCATGATTTACCTTGAGGTTTCAATATTTATATCAGATAACTCCTTCATCAGAAAGTCAATGACCTGGGTCCTGAACTCTAAGCACAGACACCCTTTTTGGAGTGTTTCTGGATTTTGGGGCCAACCTAAAGCCGAATCCTCTGAGTTAATTTACTGAAAGCCCCGCTGAAAGTTACACCAACAATGTATGTAGTTTTTTAGATCTTATAGATAAAAGCCACTGGCGCATGGGCTGTATATCAACATAGCTGATAACTCATCACAGTGTTTCCTCCCTCATATAACAACCACTGAACACCAATATCTCATCTTCACCTTCTTCTAATCTTGAAACACTTCCCTACTGTCTTTTTCCACTTCTCTTAATCATATCACATCAGAATGACAAGTCATAAAGCACGAGTGGCAGTCCTGCTCGACCAACTCGCGGCAGCACATATTGACCTTGTGGAGTGGGAGCAACCGCTCCACCGCCGACTAGGTGTTCCTCTTGCGACAGATGGAGTAAACAATCCCTTTTCCTTGAGCGCTGTTGCTTTCTCTAACATGTACAAGAGTCTGTTTTTCTTAGTCCCCGACCAACATTTACATCATGCTTGCCAGATTGCGGCTTCCTTGGGGTACTATCCAGAAAGTACCGAGTCCCTGAGGGTCGCCTACGCGTCCGAATTCCCAGGCTTAGGTGTGCGATACAATATTGATGACGCAACAAAAAAGAGTCTAGGCCATGACTGCTTCCGGAGGCTTGTTCTTTTACCCCTGTCCTGGTCGGGGCTGAACTTCCACGAGCTCGAACCAGCAGAGTTACGGTACTCAGGCAAGCCAGACCACAACTATAACATCTGGACAGTACCTCTTGCGGCAGCTTGCACTGCCATTGTGCGTCTTATTTGCGCTGAAGGACGAACAAGCTCTTTACGCCGACGACTTAAGGCAGATTTGGCCAATCTTCTTGGGTACAACTTTTATGATACAAGCTATGAGGGAGACTACGAGGAGATCATAGGAAATGAGGTGCCGTTGTCAGAATCCGAACTTTTGGAGATTGAGAATGCAGTCACGGAGATCAAGTCTTGGGAAATGAGAGATGGTGAGGAATGGATAAGGGAGAATCTCATCAAGCTTGTTTCTGGTACCATGACCGAAGACCAATTACCCTGGAAAGATCACTGAAAGTTTTAGCGGCTCAATAATACTTGACAAATACCGACTGTAGTCCCATCCTTTCTTTATTCCTAGACATCAGGATCTGTCATAGGTAAGATACTTTGAACCAGTCTCTAATGCCAGTTTCACCATATGATAACATTGACTAAAGGCAACACCAGCCACTATTCTATACCATGGACCCTCTCCGTCTTCAGATTGAATCAATCTCCGCATGGTCACCTTCCTCCAATACCGAAAGGGGTGCCTACCATGTCATCCAGCGCATAGTTCCAATACCATCGTCTTCATCAAGACGGATGACTTCCAAAGGAGGAGGAAGACTATGGGAACCAATTAGAAGCGTTCCAATGGGAACGGAGTAGAGTTGTTGCTCAAGGACGGAGCCAGTGTGAATCTGCAAGGTGGCAAGTATAGCAAAGCACTACTCTCGCCACTTTCTGCTACTCTCGACATCTTCCTCTCAGTAGTACCTGCTACTATCATCACCTATGTACATAGGCAGGTAGGTAGCTTTAAAATTGCGACACGGGATGCTGGATATATGTAGCCACTTCCTATCAAAAGGGATCAAAGCAGTCCGTTCTCACTTAACCCTTTAATGTCCACAGTTCGATGCTACAGGCAGTGGATCGCGCGTGGAGACGCCTGAGGAAATAACGTCACAGCGCGTCTCGGGACTGCCAGCCTGCGATTTAGTGGTCCATTGGTGATTTTAGTGGGGGCCTCGCTCATTGAAACCCTTTGGCTTGATTGAGGTTACATAATTCCGATAGTCGCCATCAATCCCGCACTTTAATTTTTTATCATTCAGCTATTCTTAAAACTTCAAGATATCATATTTGGTTCCGTTACAGCCCTTCTATTATTTCATAATCCACTCCATTCTTTCACTCTACCTTCTCATAGCAGCCAACAACCAACAACCAACAAGCAAAAGTGAAAGCAACCATGGGCGCCTCGTCGTCAAAAGCTGCAGTTCGCGGAGCCGCTCGCAAATATCCCACCAGAGCTCCCGGAGCTGTGCCTCAAGCTACCACAACGAGGGCCAGACCTCAGCAGCCTGCGTCTCGTGGCGATGGATCCAAAGATGATGGTGAGAAGACCAATGCTCAAGTGTTGCATGCGTCTATCTAACTATGTTATCAGCTGTTCGCGCCGACGCCATGGATCCCGATTTCGCCCCCGCTGACTTCTCTCGACGCCTCCATCAGATGGGCATTGTACAACCAAATCCCACACTTTCCCACTCTTCCACAGCGTCTCCCAATCTCTCGCCCGAGTCATTGGACGTGCCTCCCGGTCCGCTCTTCCCGCCGGCCAGGCGAAACACCACGTTGTCTGTGCTCGAAGCACGGCGCCGCCTGGAGCAAATAGCTTCCGAGGACCTTGAGATCATGGGCCGTGACGGAGGCCGGCGCCGCCAGGCTGACATGAGGACCATCATTGACGCAGTTCAACTATTGAACAATGGGATTTCCGTTGTCGATGTCGAGAAGAGGCTGAGGCTCACCCCTGGATTATTGAGCAAGCTTGGACCTGCCGGTGTCCTGACACACATTCCCGCAAATTAAGAATGCGCCAAAGTCGACATTGTGATTGAGTTCTTGAATTTTCTACCTATTCCCAACTCCAAAAACAAAAAGCAAATAAATATAAAACAAACTAGATATTACAGGAAATGCTCCTCTATCCCTCTCGGCACGTTTGCCCTGTTACGCCATGGCAAGATGGTCAACCGATTTTATCTGCAATCTTTGCTTCGATGATATTGATGGGTGATGGAAATTGTTGTCTAATTACCAGGCAGCATGTCCACCGTCAATGCGAAGGTCACTGCCCGTCATGAAGCTGCTGGCGTCGCTGAGGAGGAAGACGGCGGCACCGCGATACTCCTTGGGAACGCTGAACCGCTGAAGCATGTTCTCCTTGGGCCACTGCTCTTTTCGGTGAGGATAGTCGTCAAACAGGTTCAGCAGCATCTGAGTCAGGATGTAGCCAGGAGAGAGAGTGTTGACACGAATGCCATACTCGCCCCACTCGGCAGCCAAGCTTCGGGCCAACTGGATAACAGCAGCTTTGGAAGCATTGTATGCTCTTCATGATGGATTGGTCAGATTCTCGAAGCGTCAATCATAAAAATAGGGGTCTAGAGGACTTACGGGGCAAACATGCCACGATTGGCAATGGTGCCGCTCATGCTAGCAATCATGCAGATGCTTCCGGGCTGCTTCAGCCGAACCATCTGGCGCGCGGCGGCTTGGGCGGTCATGAAGGCGCCTGAGACGTTGATGCTCATCATGCGGTCAGCTTCCTCGGGGGAGTACTCGAGAGCCGGGCTCTCGTAATTGATTCCAGCAGCGACAAGGCAGCCATCTAGGCGGCCTCTCTCGTCTGCAATCCCCTCAAAGATTTTGTTCAACTCTGGCACGTTGCGAACATCAAGCTCGTGATACGTCAGGCTGGAGCTCAGCTCCTCTTTAGCACGCTTAGCAACGCGAGCGAACTCGGAGTCGGGATCCGAAGTGGGATCGGGCAGTCTGTCAATGCAGTGCACTGAGATGGGCAAGCTGTTTAGCACAATACAAAGCAAATTGGGATGGCATGTATGCGGCTTACCAACAGCACCTGCTTCAAGCAGCGCCTCGGCCTGGACCAGGCCCAATCCTCGTCCACCACCACTAATGACGACGACTTTGTCTTTCATGCTGAACTCGGCCAGCAAGTGAGGCCGAGTGGCAGGCTCCAGAGGAGGAGATTGGAGAACAGGTGAGGAATGCATGGTTCGACGAGTAGCGGTAACTAACAGGGCGCTACTACGGTTAGAGGTTCTGATGGCGAGGTGCTGTCTGGCGAGCAGCCTGAGAGCGGGAGCGAGGCGAGACATTACTTGATGGGTGGCAGCGACAAGAATTGAAAACAAAGCTTGTATGCTCAATGGATACTGAGTAGATACTCAAAGACTTTGGACGGGCTATTCGAAGCTAAGGAGCCAGACAAGCTTGTTGAGATGGGATGGGATGATCAGAAATTGGACGAGGACGCGGATGGGAATTGGGTTTTAAGTTCTACGGGGAGACAGGCACAGTTCAATGCAGCCGAAGCTGCTGCGGGGAAGGCTTGGTGGCGTGAGGGGATGGAGGTAACACTACGCCGAACTCACGATCGATACGTACAAACAACATCACGAAGAGGAGGAGAAAGTTGTGTGTGGCAAGCCGCAGGTCATCACGAGGGCATCAAAGCAAATTGGAGATGAGGTGGGGAGGGGAGTGTACAATTGGCTTGGGGAGTGGTGGTAGCAAAGGAACAGATGAGACTCGAGCACAACACGACCAATACTCCAAGATCACACATGATTTGAGAGCTCTTGAGGAGCTCGGGAGGTTGGGCCGGGGAGGTGCTCCGGCCCCGGAAAGGGGGGTGGCAGCGGGGAGGAGAGGAGTGAATGTGCGAATGGGAGGGGGCACGGCAAGTCGCGTGGACAGAATTCAAATTGAAAAGCCCCCCATTTGTTCCCAGGCTGGAAATGCGAGCTGACGAGATGGAATTCATCCGGAAGAGGATTCTTTTTTGGAGAAGCAAAGCTGCAGTCTGTTTACGGCAGATTGAGCTTGCGAGTGCCACCATGAGCTTCGGATTACCAGCGACGGTTAGCCGGCTTTTGAAGGGTGGCGGCCCTGGCTATTCTGCCGGGTTTGATTTGTGGAGGAGAGAAGCTAGCCACTAACCTCCGCCAAAGAACGCCCCCGGAAGCGCCACTTTAGATCCCCCACATAGGAGGAGCAGGCCGAACCTGAGCATTTCCGTTCAAGGCACGCATCTACCAGTGGGAGAGGGGGATGGACGCAGGTACTTTGTCCGTAGCGCGTGTGTGGTGCTATTGAGGCATCCGTTTAATTGAAGTGACTGCGAATGAAGAAAGCAGCCAGAGTCTGGTATGGCAATATGGATATAGGTAGACTGAGCTAGTAGTCCATCTTGGGAGATCTTCTCGTTTGATATCAAATATGACAGTCCCATGACCTTGGGGTAGGGAAAAGCTTGGTATGGTAGGGGCTTCCATTGCTGTTAACGATCGTCTATGGATGATATGCGGAGCCGAAGTCTATTATCACCATTGAATCGGGGCCAAATACTCTGAATTGGATCAACTGGCAACCCACACTTGTGCTAAGTAGGTAGCTGAGCATGCCCAGCACGAGCTTCAAGGGGGAGTGCTCATAGGTACATGTACATACAACACACACACTCCATCTCGCCGCTCGACTCTGAGAAAGCAACAACCCGTCGGCAGCATATACCAATGCTCCGCAATCGGTAGCCTATCTACCTGTACCCATAACAAAGGCAGCATGGGGTATCATCAAGCTTCTGCATGCCCAACACGAGCTGCAAGACCCTTGAACCGTAAACAGTGGATCGCCAGTAGGCAAGCTGTGTATTTCTCCGTTCTAGAACCGGATCGTCGGATTTGGGAAAATCGCAGCGTCTAAATAAAGCAGCGGTTTTAACACAGTTCATGTGAGAAGAAGAGGGCATGGGCTGTGTACGATTACTGTAAGAGTAAGAGACTAGATGAGATGGCGCTTGTTGGGGCCGCTGACTGGGTTACCCGAATAGGCAAGTTTCAGGGTCCACGATGGTATCTCGGCTGGGAGAGGAGGAATGGAAAAGGTGAAGCATGGGGGGGGTTTTGTGTATGCAGGGAGGCGGTCTAGATTTAAAAATTAATTTACAGGGATTGGATTTTTGTTTTATTTCTTCTTATTGAAACAATTGACTCGTGCAAAGACCTTTTTTTGCAATGTGGTTACTCTGCTGGAGGAAGAATGCAAAACACTGAGAATGGAGTCAGTGGCGCCGGCAGCTCGAGCAGGCTCGGGTGAACGACTTGGGCTAGCCTAGATTACATAACCTTTCGCCCGTGTTATTGCCTCCCATCCCCTGTGTTTAAGTCAGGTCGAGTTGCTATATAATCTCTTCTCTTTATGTCCTTTTTTTCTTTTCTCTTCAATCCAAAGATGAATAGATCGGGTCACTGCAGGGCGTTGATACTGGAGGGCGTTGATACTGGATCTACAAGCATATCTGTGGAAATTCACTGAAGCCCGAGTTCCATGCTTATTTTGAATCAAGCAGCGATTTTCGGCGCTTGCAACCTTAGTCAACACCTCCTCCAGCCTTTCCCCGCATCGAGATGTGCTGATCCTCGATATTTGATTTGTTCAAAGAGCTACTGGTGTCGCCGTCCGCCTCAATGGTACCATTCTTCGTTCCATAGCTGCATCATAGATGGATGAAAAGAGAGGCTTGCCGTACTTTTTTTGCTACTCTTCCATGGCTCTAATTGAGTAAAAAACACGAGGGTTAGAATTTGTATTTCTTCTATTGGCCCTCAAATTAAATTGCCACAGTGACTTCATCGCATCATTTTATTCACTACCTAGTGATAATATCGTTTGGATAAAGGCGTCACACATACTCCATACTCATCATACTCATGACCTACACATATCTGAGCCATAAGCCCAGAGGACATGCTAACGTAATTTCTTCGTCTCTTTCATTCAATGAAGTCGAATAAATGCAGAGTGTGATGCCCGCTAAAGGCGTTCATAAGGGCAAGCTAAGCAACTGCGCCGATCGCGGTCGGCTAGTTCGATCAAGGTCAACCGGATTGTTCAAGGTCACCCCGTTCATTTGAATCTACCTTAATAGAACGAGGCCACCTAGATAGATCATAGCCAGCTAGTTCGATCAAGGTCTTCCAGTTCAATCAAGGTCTTCCAAATTGATAGAAGCTAACCTTGATACGAGACCACCTAGATAGATTGTGGTCAGCTTGTTTGATTAAGGTCTTCCGAATCGTTCGAGGTCAGCTAGATTGATCGGGCCTACCTAGCTGGATCAAGGTTATCCCGTTCGATCAAGGTTCAAGTTATCGCTATCTATTATAGATACCTACTACATATATCCAACGGAAATTTTGTTATTACCCTCCAGGGGCGCCTGCAGCGGGCTTTCCTTCGGCGCTGTAACCTGCGGCGCTTAGCCTACGGCGTTATATATGAGCATTTATATTATGTGTTATGCATGTGTAGATAGCCCTGATTCTCTAGTTTTAAGATATTCTAATATGCTATGCTACATTCGCGTGTGTGGGCGCAGGCAAGCTAGAATATACAGTGGTGTTTGGCCAGCTTGGGTGGATCGTTTTTGTGGAAACAGAGCACCAGAACATCGCAATACTTAACAACGTCACACAACACAACAACACCAAAAAATGAGGTTTACGATACACGAAGTAACCAATCATTACATTAAAAAATAGCTAATTTCGACGAAAAAATTCACGTGACATCATAATAATGGCCATAACGGCCGCGACCCACAATGTCCCCTTATACACTATGCCAGCCCTACAGTTATAATCAGTAAAAATAGCTAGCCACTAGAGTATATCATAGGAACAACCCTTACAACAAAGACACCTAGTGCTTGATGGCGGGGGCGGTGACGGCGGCATAGGCCGCGGTGATGGCGTCGGTGACGGTGGCGATGGCGATGGCGGCGGTGGAGGAGCGGCGGCGGGAAGAAGAGGAATCCCCTCTCTCAAGACTGATAACGTCAGTTAAACAACTCTATTCAGATCCAGCAGTAGCAATTCAAGACTCACTCAGAGGGGGTGGGGGTGGTGGTGGTGGTGGCGGAGGGGACGGGGTGGAGGAGGGTGAGGGAGGGGATGCGGCCTCTCTCCCAACGCGGTCCCATTCGGAATTGTTCGCTTTATGTGAATACAAGTTAGCAACAGCGTACGGATGCTTGGATTGTAAGATGGTAAGGGGCTACATACGCCATTGCTGCTGCTGCAGAAGAAGAAGAAGAAGAAGAAGAAGAAGAAGACGAAGACGAAGAAGAAACAAAGTAAGAGTGCTGGGAGTTGGATGGATTCTAAATAACTCCAATTCCGGGTATAGCTTTTCATTATTATGGCTTTCCATTATTATCCTGTTGTCACTTTCCGTCTATATCTACTAGGTAGGCAGTCGCGGTCACAGTCACAGAAGATTGGGCAGGTCAGCCAAGGTTTATGCCAGTAGTACTTGCCTATTTCAGGAGGCAGGATATAGACAATTCCAACGTGACTCCTGCCCAAAGGTACGTAAACACTATCCTGTATATGGTGAATTTTGGCGACGTCGCAGCCTTCTTTGACCCCCTTAATACATCGTCATAATGAGAGAAACGCCAAAAGTATCAAGCCAGCCATTCCCACAAGAGGAGATTTACTTTTGCTTCGGGCCGATTTCTCTGGATATATAAACCAGACGTACAACCACATGTTGCAAAGCCTCAATTCGCGAAAGCCTGCTATTTAATGGACAAGACACTTGCACAATCATCAACCATGACCGCAACATCGTCACTTTTGACTGCAGAATCCTCAACCACGGGCGCAGAATCATCAGCTACATCTACGCCTGTAGACAAACCTCGCTGCACGCACTATATCCCCTGCCATTGTCCCTCGCTCCCCGAATATGCTTCTCCGCCGCTGGGAGATGAATCGTCTCCATTATGGCTGCAAAGACCTTATCAAGACGAAGACTATAACAAAACCATAATTAAGCATACGCAAAGCTCGGCTTATCGACGGATAGCGGCCGCCTGGCATCATACGTGGTTGGCTATCAAGATTAGTCGTCCGCTTCGTCCGCTAACACCACCGAAAGTACGATCATTCCGATGGCTGATATCAGCTGACCTTATTCCCCGGGGATATGAAGATGGGCAAGCGCCATGGCGCATGCTTATACGGTCCTATCTTACAGACCTCCCCTTTCAATTAACTCAAGGAAACATCAGTCGAAAGTCTGTATTTTTATGGCGAAATTTTCCAAGATATCTAGGCCAACTGCATAACCGCACAAAGCTTGATAATGCACCTCCTGAGATAACATGCGGGAGACGAGCAGTTTTCTCCCAATATAGCCAGGATTATAAGTGCTTAATTGGAGACTGGCTTGTTATAGTCTACATTTGGGCTACTAATAAAACATGGATGGAGAGGACTGACTTTTTAGACTTGGTCTCTGATGATAGTGTGACTGGGTAAGTAACTAAAGCTTATGCCTTATACCTTGTATTATTTTAAAACATGGATTACTTATATATTATTTTCTTTAGTATTCGCGCTTGGGAATTTGTTAATGCAGTTGACGACGCTTTTACTAAGATTCCACACCTATTCTACCAATATCAAATAAGGGACTCTATAGGGCAGGATGCCATATACGCTGGGCACCCATATCAACACTATAACTCTGTTCAGATAAAGCCTGGAGACCCTGTACCGGCCAGACTTGCGGGGTTAAGAAGGTTAATGAAGGGGCGGGCAAGACATTTGTATTGTGCGCCATATGAGTACGAAACGTGTGATGACAGGCACCCATAATAAAACTGCCTGTAGGGGGTAGAGCTTCAAAGACACTTGAATTGCCATAAGATGCAGGCTTTGTCTAATAGATCGAATCTTGGAAATTTTCAACATATAATTAGTTTGATTTCAACGCTGTATAGATTTAATTGTCATGTATTTTTAATTTTAGAAGCCAAAGGCGCCGGATATAAAAGACTTTGAACTGCGTTATAGAACTTGACAGGACCCCGAATTCTCCCCTACCTATGGTCATATGTGCTAGATGATAGCCTCACCTGGCTTATATCGTAGCACATTTACAATTGTAATTGTTAGCCCAATCTTTTGCCGTGTTTGACGCAACTGCATGACAGGCTGGTACACAGTGTGAAATTTTTCAGGACGCCTTCATTTTCTTTTTCATAGGTAATTCGCATTGAGTGCTTCCTCACGCCAGTCAACGATTCGCAACTTATAGCTTAAGTCCCATTAAGGCTAAATCTTGGGTCTACACTATCGCCACTAATAGTGTCTCTATTGTATACCCGCCATCTTAGAATTGTAAACTGTTTTTTTAAATATTGAGCTTTCGGGAGTATATATTATATAAGACCTATGTAGTGTTAAGCGAGCGTACCATGTAAAATACTTTTTGAATACTCAATCGCTAGATCCAGCTATACTAGGTAGTTTCAAGTGACAACTACCAGTTCGAATGGAATTATAGTCACCAGTTACCGCATTGAGCACTCTTTCGCATAATGTCCATATGCGCAGCCTATATCACTTATTGTTAATACTCACGAAGTGAAGGGAGGTACTAGAACTGACATTTATAACAGTGAACGTCGTTAGCGTAATGTCCAATCCGCCGCCCATACAGTTTAATATTAAGATTCATAAGGTAAAGGGAAGGACTAGCACTGACATTTATCGCAGTGAATATCGTTACCATAATGTCCATACTCACCGCCTATACCGATTGATATCGGTAGTCGCAAGACAACGTGAGGCACTGGCACTGACATCCAAAACAGTGAGGGTCGTTGGCAGAATGACCGGATTTATCGCTTATACTATTTAACAGTAGCACTCGCAAGACGAAGGGAGGTGCTGGCACTGACATGTGACGCATTGAAGTTTTGCATGCTCATGCTCCCGGCAACAGTTGATTTATAGCTGTAGATCATAACCCGAACTATTGGCCGATCGTTGGTCTCCGAGGTGAGATTGTAAGGGAGAGAGTCACGCAGCCACATATAGCTTCCGCCTTTCTCTTTAGACGACCCAAAAGCATGTCCACCAAGGCCGGACAATGCAATAATAACTTTCAGAATTAGCTATAGGTCGCTTCATTCACTTACTATTTTATGATCTTGTGAAGGTGGTGTGTAAAACGTAAATGTATTTAAACCATGAAAATCCAGTACTGATCAGGATGTTGTTGTCACTGATCATATTACTCGGCTTGGTAGGGTTGTCCTGAATGGATCTGAGTGATCACATGACCATTCAACAGCCAATCTTCAGATGCCCTTTCGCCTTCCAAATATGTACTTGATCCTCCGCCTTTACTGGCACTGTACTGGCACTTAAACCTCTCATGGTAGCCAGTTGCTAATCATCCTGAATCGTTATCGTGGTTGTTGCTGAAGATATCTAGTGACGATATGAATCATATGATGGCTAGCCCCGCTTTAACAACAACTCAACTCATCCAGATACTAGGAGGGGTAGCGACAGCGTCCAAGGCTCCAGTAGACATTGTTGAGCAAACTAAGCAATGGTTCCATCAAATTGCATCCAGAGATGATTTATCTCGCAATTGTACTCAAGAGGCAGAGAAGACTTTCCCTTTCGATGTAGAATCATGGTTCTGGGCTCTCTCTCAATGGCCCCCTGGTTATGGCGATGGAGCGTCCGCCCTAGCTAGCCTAACAATTGCAGTCACGACTCTACGAGAGCATTCTCGCCGCAATTTCATTGTCAGCAAAACTAAATTAACTCGTCTTTGGGAAACAATCTTGGAGGCCCTAAACTGCCCAGTCCTACAAGACACCTGGGTTCCTTCGCGGAGCGCCCAGGGATTTCTCGCCGTACCCATCTGTAGTATCACTCAAGACGGAGAGATTGACGAACTCATCAGGCTTCATGTCTGGCTTCCAGATGGAAACCGAGGGAATCCTGACTTTTCCATTCATTCTCACCAGCCATTTGCCCAGAGCTGGATCCTAGCCGGAGAGGGCACAGATCACCAGTATGAAGCCTATCGAGTCGCACAGACTGCAGATGCCACGCACATGGAGTTCGGCTTATCCTGGAATGCCGGGAATGGCCTGAGCAGATCATATTCGACGCACCAACATTCTTCTGTTGTCGCACCGACTGGAAAGTTAGTCCGAACTAGGGAAGTCGACAGAAACATTCATCGACGAAATGACAGTTACACCATTCCTGCTGGGGTATTTCACAGCTCTCAGGTGTTGCCCGATTTACTGCATGCGACCCTCTTCTATTTTGACTCTTCGCGAGGTTTTGTCCGAGATGCACCTATACTGGGACCAATCAAAGGAGACGCCTTTACTCAGATCCGAGATCCTGCCGGCGAGACGCCCAAGTCTCTAGCAAGTTATGTTCAACTTATTCGCTCGTGGGAAACCCACATGGAGGAAGGTCGAGAGTATGCTCGAAAAGCTGAATGGGAGCGCTCTCTGCGAGCATTCACCAGCGGTCTGAGCTTGTGTGAATCTCCTCAAGTCTTCAGGAATGTCAAACGATACCGTGGCCTTGTGTTTGGTGAACTTGGAAACACGAATAGACGGTTTGGTCGGTATGAAGTCTCTGAGGGTCTCCTCAAACAGGCATGCCTTGAGCTACAAGGCTCCCCCGAATATGCAACGTTCAATGGTGAGCTTGGTGTGGTATATCGGCATATGAATCGACTGGAAGAGGCAAAGGACGCCTTTCAGTTACAATACGAAACAGCAAAGGAACTTCAACTTGAATCTGAAGCTTGCCGCGCCATCGGCAATCTCGGAATGGTGAACTACCAGCTAGCTGAGCAGTCCCGTGATGATGACCTCCTAAATCTAGCGATAGACCAGCTACAGGAACGTGTTGACCGGTGCGATCGCATGAGGAATACCGTCGGCGCCGCGGATCGGGAGTCTGTTTTACCTGAACGGAAGCTGAGCCAAATAGAAGTCTGGGCAGCCGTAGGCTTGGCCCGTCTATCACTCTGTTGGACTGCACAGAAGAATGAAGGGGAGGCGCTCAAGGCTGCAGAGAGCGCCTTGGAGCATGCGAAGAACACCGGAGACCCGACGGTGGTGGCAATCTCACGATTCTTCTATGGCCGAGCATTTGCAATGAATGGTCAGCATGAACAAGCACTTGAGCAGTTTAATGCACAAGATGGGTGCACGCCTGCGATTGCATTTTGTAAAGAGCCTTCAGGGGAACATAATGAGTACCTGAGGTGTTTGGTTGATGCAGGAGCGGATATGGACCTTCTCGACGACCAGGGATACAGGGCCTTGGATTACGCTGTTTTTAACGGTGACGAGACTAGTCAAAGGCTTGTTCTGGAAGGGCTACGACATCAATTCAGCTCCGAGCCTGACGTGAATTTTATGCTAGAACAGAGGCAAAGGGAAGCCAAACTGAGAAAAGGGTATCGGGAACTGTTCCAAGAGAAGCTAAGGCTGGTTCTCCTCACAGGTGGCCAGGATTGCATCAAGAAGCTTCAAATTGCTTATTCAGAAGCCTTAGCAGCAGACAAAGAGAAGGATAGCATGTTCGATCATTTCAAGGTCATATCCTACGCAGAGCTGCTACGTTTTGGAAGAGTGCCTCGATATAGTGACGGGCTGACCCGGAGGTTCGCCATTAGCAACGAGGCAGAGAAGAAACATTTTGTTATTTTCTTCTCCTACAGGTGGCTCAATCCAATGAAAGGCCAGGATGGTGGAACTCCTGACGATGGAAATCACACCCAGTATGCCAGAATGATGCAGGCTATTGAGAATTTCTTGGAGGAACACAAAGATGTCGATTCCAAATGTCTTCAAATCTGGATAGTAAGTCCTCTATGACACCTCTTTCCACCGTTACCTAGCTTGGATGATAGGCTGATCTTCCATAGGATTATGCCTGCGTGAATCAAGACGATCCTACGAAAGGCGTTGCCGCTCTTCCCATGATTTTGGCGCAGTGTGATGCTGTAATTAGCCTCACAGATGATCAATACTACGACAGAGCATGGTGCTGTGTTGAAGTGATGATGATCAGTGCATTGAGGAAGTCTTATAATGTTCACTTGTGGTATGAGCAGCCTATTGAAGGGGAAACGGCGGATGTAGTGGCACCAGACGCCAAGAGATATGGTAAATTGAGAGAGGCGCCGATGGATCTTGGTATTCAAATGATCGACAAGAAACTAAGTTTTGAAGATGACCGACCAAAGGTGTTGTTTCTAGAGAGACAGAGTAAGTTGCTTGCATGATCTATAAAGGATGAGAAGTAATAAACATTTACGTATGAAGAGACGGCCTTGGTTTTGCTCTGGTTTGATCTTAGGACAAATAGCAACTTGAGAAGCTTCTGTATTTACGTAGTTTTATGAACGCTTCATTTGCAGTTTCAGTGCCATACTTCCTCTGCGCACCGTTTATGCCCCCAGAATCTACCTCGTACACTAAAGAATCGCTATGGATGATTCAATGACCTCATTTTTCACATATACGCCATTATTTTTTACACGTCTTAGTAATATTTCATTAGAGTTATAAGTTATATCCTGTAGTTGACCTATATGGGCAGAGCTAAGTCTCTTACCTCTTTAAACGAGAGAGACGGCAAGATAAATGTAACAGGATTGTGTTATAGGCCTTTGCAAAGGACGGTGCTAGCTAATAAGCTGCTGGCATTGATGAATCTTTTGATCTATTGGCTCAATTGGCACCCTTTCCAATCGCCGTTACAACTCTTATCGCATACTTATGTAGAGGAAAGAAAAGAATAGAAAAGAGCCACTAGAATAAACAAGTTTTTTTCTAATTTCCCTCTTCAATACAATGGGAAGAGATAATTCATATAGGAATAAAGATTACAATGAAAAACTAGTAGAATCGTGAATGGTTGGCCTGTATGATTGCATTTCTTATATGGATACCGATATCTTATACGATCAAGGGAAGATTTTGTAGCGTATAAAAAGGTACAAATGTGCTCCGTTTTAACTGTGAGCCATATGACTCATAATAGCGATGCCTAGCGTTCGGATGGTTGTCTTTTGAAAACAGAAGAAGAGGACTCGAAAACTGGATATTTGTAGCGCCAAAAATAGCAGACATTGAACTCCATATAAGATCTTGACGGAGCCCCGAATCTACTCTACCTATGGTCGTATGTGCATGGTTTTGGACATGATTTGACCTATACGTGTATTGATAGCGACTCTGCAGCAGCTTCGGCTGGAAATACATGGGTGTATGTACATCTTGGGAAGGGCTATTCAGCACCCCAAGTTAACTACCTATCCAGCACCCCGTGTGGTTTAAAATTCTTAGTGGCCACTGGGATGCTAGATAGCCCTAAGATCCCTTTCTATACGCCATGATACAAATGTCCGTGATGTTATTGCTTTGCATACATGCACTATGGTGGAGGCGAGACAGAAACGTACGCTTGGAGGAAGAAGAGGATCATCACCATTGATGCTCTACTGTACCGAGATAAAATAGGTCAGACACACGAACACATGCACATATATAGAAAATAAACAAACTCTTGTCAATTATTTAGGGAGTGACTCATTTACATCATCAAATATCCATAAATCATTACCATCAAGCATCCATCTCATCCAAATGCACATAGCTTCGGCCAACATTATATCCTCCGCTCAACATCCTTCTCTTCAGTCTTTTCCGTCTTTTCTAGTAAATTTTATCTCCCCCTAGCACTTTCTGATATACAATCCAATAGGCGACGGGTTATAATCCTGGAAGTACCTAAACGAAGTACCTCCACCGTTTGCATCCGAAATCTCATACGCAATAGTCTGTCCAGCCGGGCAATCAAAAGTAGAGATCACATAGCTGTGTCCAGGCGAAACCGTAGTGGTTCCAAAGTCCTGCTTCTTGCCCGGCTGGTTGTTCCATGTCGTGCCTTGTGTAGCAGGGCTGTTCAGCTGGGCAAAGTCCAGAGCGCCCGAGCCGGAGAACGTAAAGGAAGACGTCTGGAGATCCTTTTGCTCAGGGAAGAGGAACACGAGGCTGCACTTCTTGGCGTTATCGCCGCTGGGAATGTCAAAGTTGAAGATGGATGAGACGCTGCCGGAGACTTCGCCGAAGTAGGATGTTCCAGGGGCATTGTTAGGCTTGGTTCTGTCCACAGGGATGATGAGGTGAGGGAACTCATAAGGTCCATTGAGATCAGCTGGGCAGATCTTTGGGGTAGGATGATACAGCGGTGGTGGTGGAGGGCATTCAGAGCGGCAGTTATCAGCATTGAGGGTAATTTTGTTGCAGTTGATGCCTTGCCCACCATTGAGGTAGACGTTATACTGGCCACTCTCGCCAGTCTGGCACTCCCAAAACTCCGTCTGTCCGTTGTACGAGACACGGCCATCACAGCCAACCTGGAATCCATTGTCTGGATATTGATTCCAGTCACACTGGAGCACATGAGTCGGGGCTGTCTCACATTCATTCGTCAGCATGCAGCCCACGATCCAAGACATCTCCAGTCACACGTGCATATGCATGTCTCAAACAGAAACACCAAACATCACCAAAACAGAGGGTAAAACTTACGAGTCCACCAGCACCCACGGCCCTTGTCATCCCAGAGCTGAGCTCCCTGCAGAGTGAAGGTGGTCGATCTCACACCGCCACCAGCTCGCACCTGGCCAGATGAAATCTCGCCAACAGGGCCAGAAATGGCTCCTGATGCTGTGAGGTGTAACTGGCAGCCAGAATTCCGCACGACGGCAGCTTCAGTTATGGCCGCGCCGAGGCCTAGAGCGAGGAGAGAGTATAACATAGTGAGCAGATGGATTGCTGCTGCTCTTTGAGTTTGAGAGAATTGCGTTGCCTTGTAAGGCAAATGATGCTATTCGTAAAGGTAGGTGGTCACCTTTTAGAAGTGTTCGACTTGTTTCTTCATAGAACAAGATGTCTTCCAAAGGGGATAAACATGGAAATGGCGGAGAGAAGCCATCATTATATACCTACACAAAACAAGAGTCTCATGTCAAGCCTCCGTCTACATCCAGCCTTCCGAGATCTCACCAAGCCACCGATTCCACGATACCTCTTACCTCACCCATGCTAGACACACACACACCAGAAAGAGTACTCCCCAAGGCAGCCTGAAAAGATCTCCGGGAACCCACCATTGACCTCACCATTCTTCCGGAATACGAGAAACAAGCCAACGCATCATATCATCATCGCCAGAAGTGAGGGGGAAAAGGCACCTAGCCAGCCAGCCAGAATCCTCTCGTCCACCCAAGCAAGGGAAGGAAACTAACCTCACCGAAAGATTGCATATAAAACTAGGCCAATCCGGGAGGCTAAACGACAAAATGGCCTGAGGGCTCGAGGTGACAACAATGTCTTACTTGTTTGTGACAACGCAGCCCATTAAAGCCGATGCTAACAGCCGCAGAATCCAGGCAGGTAAAACATTTCACACACTTCGTATGCGCCATGATAAACAGGCAGCAATCACAGAAGAGAAGAGGAAACGGTTTAGCCAGTGCCCCCAACATCGTTATCCAAATGCCCAACATGCACCCCAGCACTCCCGGATATCACATAGAATGTAAAGTCTAACATCCGTCTCATATACGATCAAAGGTGGTACATTACCTCGCTATGAGTTGCCATCCCCATTCAAGTAGATTCACGCCTCTAGTATAAAGCCGCAACTTAACGCCTGAGTTACCGGATACTAACTCTCGGTGTGCCAGCTAAACCTCCTCCCAAAATAACAAAGCAGTGCAACCAGCCGAAACATCGACGCACTTTTGACAGGTAGATCCCAGGTTGGAACCGTCGTTAGGACCATCACTAAGCTTTGGTTTAACCAACAGCCGTCATCCCAGCCAGCTGACCGGCGATCCGCTCAGCTAGCAGAAAGAGGAGTCGCCTGGTTACACAAGGAGGAACCTTGGAGGGAAAAAAAGCTCGTATCTGGCTGATCCGGGAAAGTCGAACAAGGTTTCGTTCAACCTTGATCTGGCTGCGACAGCTATGTAGTCGCAGCACGGAGTACAAAGCCGTCATAGAAACTCATGAGCGGTCTGTTGATCAATTGCTTTTCTGCAGTGCGAGACATATCAATTCGCACTACATGTGGAACATGACCTCCCCCTACATAATAGATGCCTTGGGACTTGCTTGGGATAAACGATTCAAGAGTTAAGAAAGAGGCTAAAATCACAGTCACGATGGCTCCGTTCAGAATGGTAGTACGAATTAATTAGGGGGTATTATTTCAACTGGTCCAAGTCTAATTCTTGTCAGACAGTGTAGTCCCAGGTCTAAAAGAAGTCTGTTTACTTTCCAGTCCATCCGAGCAAGTCTCCATCATGGTTGATCGACATGTCCCTGCGGGGTTACCCCAACTTCGACAATTATTCCAGGGCAAGTTGCCGATTTGAATGAGAGGGTGTGCTTGTGAATCGGCCGATTTCTGGGAGTGGACCGCCCTACATAATAGGCACGATTAAAGCGTCCTGGCAAGGGCAGCTAGGTGTTCCTTTGCTAGAGCTTGGCACCTCTTGATGACGTCTTTGGGGAGCATACATCGCGTAAGTCCCTGCGTTCTAGCAGCTACAGCTTTCCCTTTCTGTGGAATACTCCTTGATTCCACATGGCAAGGCCACTCAAAGCCTACTTGGAGCGCATTGTGCTCCTGAGCTTGGTGTGAGATTGGGACTCGTCTCTGGCCAATGCCCATATGCTTGAAATACTGCCAGTCCGGATACCGCGGATCTTTTTGTACTGCACTAGGCAGTCTATCCTAAGATGCGTTGATCTTAGCTAACAGCCTGTCTCAGCTGGTAGTGCCTTGCGCCAAGCTAGCATATCTTTCTCTGTCAAGTCCCGATGCTGCAGGAAGCGAACGCGGTATACGCACATAGTCGACTCCCAAGGGCAGCATGCATAGTGTATTGCTCAGGCTTGTTTGAAGATAAGGGTGCCAGTCTCTAACGTGGATTAATATAATCCCACCTCATCGCGCTTCAGCGTCGTTGTCTTTTGTTGGGTCGGCCAGCCTTGGATGAGATTTGGGCTACGGGAGCCTCGCCTTGACCCTCATCACCGCTTGGCTCGCCAATGGACAAGACCTCGTCTGAGTTGCTCTCAGCACCGCTCTGTGCTCCACTGGTGGCACCAAACGAAGGCTTTCTCGACAGAGCTTCATCGGTGCCGCTACCGAACCCCTCAAACTCCTCGTTGTCAGATGACTCATCTCCTTCTGGCTTGTCTGCAGGGGCATCAACATCGGCCTCTGCGGCATTATCCAATGTCTCGGAAGCAGGTCGCTTCCGAGGCATCTCACCCAGCCTGCCGCCACGACCATTGACGTTGCCACTTCCCTCCTCGCCCTCCTCATCTGATTTGGGAGCTGGAGTGTACCAGGGGATCCTGCCCCTCATGAAATCATTCAGCATCATTTTCGCCACACCATCCAGGTCAGGCTCTCCTCCGCGAAGAAGACGGCCGGCCTTGCGAGCAAGGATCTCAAGCAGCTCAGTTGCGTTCTCCCATCCCTTGACGTCATAAGTCTTTTCCATGTGGTGTTTCTTAACTCGGCTCAACAGGGCGTCAATGTATTGCTCAGGGTGCTCCACCTTCTCGACTCGCACAACACCTCGTAAGACGAGATCAGTTGGTGTATCTGTGCCCGAGGGAGGCACAATACCAGGGCAATCGATAAGATAGATGCGCTTCATCAAGCTCACGTATTGCCACACCTTGGTTTCACCAGGAATTGGCGCCACAGTGCACACCTTTTTCTTCGACAAAGTGTTGATAATTGAAGACTTTCCAGTATTTGGGCCACCAATCAAGCCGACAGAAATCTGCTTCCTATCTGTGTGAAGAGCAGAGAATTGTCGCAGCAGCTGGATCAGAGATCCCTTGCCAAACGAATTGTTGATGCTTGCATGGAAAGCAAGTGTTGGGTATTCCTTGGAGAGGACTCGCACCCAGGCAGCCTATTCTCATGTTAGACGAGAACATTTAAAAGAAAGATGTGAAAGAGCAAAAAAAAATTGTTAAATGAAAAAAATGTGTGTGTCATCACTACGAAGCTCCTTTGGATGCCGGTAAAGGCGAGGGAAGGCTTCAACTCATCAGACGCACAGCCTTCTCTTGATAAGTAACCAAAACGGCACCTATCAGCCTGCAGCCGAAACTGAGACAGTCGAGATGGCAATGGATCTCCCAATGTTGTAACAGACGGTCCTCCACGGAGAGTATGCGAGGTGTCCTGACAGGATTCATTGGGGGCACGAGGCCAGACAGGGACAAATAATGTTGGAGAGAAAAAGAAATGTAGGGTCAGTTACTTACAGCAACACTAGTGGGGACCAAGTCACACTTGTTGAGGACAAAGATCAAGTGCTTGTGAGGCGCCTCCTCTTTGAGATACTTCTCGACACTTCTGCATCGAGTTCCGACAGGATCTCTAGCATCGAGGACGTGGATGACGACATCTGAGGAGTCGATGACCTTGTACAGCTCGTTCCAGATACGCTTACTCTGGCCCTTGTCGAACACAGGCTCGATGGCCATGGTGAGCGCATCAGGCTCGCCGTCATTGCCAGAGTTTCCACTCAGGAGCCTGTTTTGCTCCATGCGCTCTTCATAGGTATCCATGCTCTTTTCAGTGTCGTCGGCGAGGTCAGCCACGGTGCTGACTCCGAGCTTGACACGCTTGCGCTGAGCCTTTGGTCCAAAGACACCGGCAAACGGCGAAGTCTCAATGGTCATCTTGGCCTTGTGTTGCTTGATGCCATTGGTGGTATCTTTTCCTCCGTCGTGGATAAGGCTCATGGGGAGCTTGTTTGTCTTGAGGAGAACCTGGTAAGGATCCTTGGCCTTTTCAGCCATGGCCTCACGGAAGGCTGTGAGGGTATCCTGAGAGACAACACGAGTATTGGTAAACCACTTGCGGTTTGGCTCGATTCGGGCATTGGGGATCTCTCTCGACTGAAAGCTGGCAGCCTTTGTGATTTTCCCGTCCGCGTCTCTCTGGGCCTTGCCATCCTTGTACATGTTCACGAGCTTGACCTTTTTCGCATCGCTGTAGGCATCTTTGTTAGCATTGCTTCCAAAGAAGAAGAAAAATCTTCATCCAGAGCACGAGCTGCACATACCGATAAAAGTTCTCGCCCTTGACACGAACATTTCCCATGCCATCGCCAGTCTTGCCCTGGCGCGTACGCCGGGCTGCTTCCTTCTTCCCAGTACCCATGGTGAAGTTTTGGGCTTGCTAGCAAGCACAAAGATCTTGGGAAGAAGTAAAGAGAGCAGGAAAAGAATAAAATTGCGGCTACTGCTTCTTATCACCAACTTTTTTTTTTTTTTTTTTTTCGAAGGACCCCACTAGCCCACATCTCTGCAGACGGTGGCTGGTCAACTTATTTAAGCAAGACAGGGGTTAGGCGGAATGTCGGCGCTAGATAATCCGGGTCGCTCTGCGGGTTTGGCAATTTTCTGTAAGTCGATATCACACAACCACCTTTGTGGACGAGCAACAAGTGCCAATTCCCAGCTCAGCTCAACTCAGAATGTCGCTCCATTCTGCTAGCAACTGCCTCAGGCCGGCAGCTCGGCAATTGTCGGCCGCCTCACGAAGCTTCTCATCAACTCCGGCCATTCTCTCCAACGCCGTCCCGCCTCAATCCCCCTCCTACATCCGACTTCCTTCCCCTCCTCAGTCCCAAACCGACGAAGCCAAACCCCCGCGAGTAAGAGGTTCACTGCCAGTGCCTCGGCAAGTTTTCCCCCGGTCAGAGGGCGATCGCAAAATCAAGCCCGAGTACATCCAGAAGACTGCTCCCAGGTCGGCCAACGAGCGAGAGCCTTCAAACGAGTCCCAGCGATGGAAGCGGGAAATGGCCGAGACCCGAAGGACCAATTTGGAGCAAGGTCTGAAGGCTCTCTATACACGACGCGAAAAAAGTGACGCAGCCAGAAATGCTCGTGTCAGCCGTAAATTCAAGGAGCACAACGAGGCTGCCGCTGCGCCAGAACGAGAGGACGACCGGCTCACGCGAAGCACCGTCTTGGATGCCATTCTGGACACCAAAGTATACCCAGACCCCGAGCGCTTCGCCCGAGCGCAGCGCAGCAAGTTCAAGGTCCAGGCAAAGGAAAAGGCCAAATACGAGGCCCGACGAGATGCCCTGATGGAGCTGTACATCAATGCCTCCAATTTCATCGTTCAAGAGAGCGAGCTCAAGGCTGAGATTGATGAGATTTTCAGCGAGGACTACTTTAGAAAACAAAGCCAATACTTCCAGCGTTACGGCACCACCGAAAACTCTTGGGGCATCTATGGCAAGCCTCCTTCCATTGCCAACATGCTGGAAACCACCACTGGGAAGTCAACCAAGCTCATGGATTACTATGAGTCTGAGTATGATCGCTCTGTTAAGCGACAAAAGAGGATTGCTGAGGAGTTTACGGGAGGAAAGATGGAGTAGCGGCGCGGGGCTTTTGTTTTTGTAAAACTGTAGAATATCATGCGCCTGTACTGCGCACTACATGTATTATATCAGTATCACTTGGAAAAATCATATTCACGCTTCACGAATTCAAGTCATGTCAATCAGAGGGTTTTCCTAACTTCTTAACCTGGGGGAACAGAAAATATTGGTGTACTGAGACCAACCATATTACTACACCAAGTGCCCAAAACTATAGCCATAAAATAACACATCAAACAGTGAAGGGGGGTTAAATAGTTGTGCTCCTTAAACGCCAATTGTGCAAATGTCCAGGGAGTTTACCTGATATGAGTATGTGTATGTACATGTCGCAACCTGCACAGAAATATTTCTTCGCGTTGGGGATAAATTCTAGATTGTTGATCTATCGCTTCTCGACAAGCAAGATATGCATCGCGGCATAGGCGAGAACGATGAAAGCAGCAGCGAAAATACCCAGGTTTCTGATGTCGGACCAAAGAGCGGCATTTTGGAATCCAAATGAGCTGAGAATGGCTGCACCAGGCACGGTAATATCAAGACCATACTTCTTGTCTACCAGAGTAAGCTCTATTACTTCATTGACGATGAGTGACTCGAAGCCGTAGTGGAAGATGGATAATGTTTGGAGCCACAAAGCACCTTTTGGCGTAGCGTCATGGTTGAGAAGGAAGCCGGCGAAAAGGAGACTGAAAAGCATCACCAAACTGCCGATTAAGTTGGCCACGCCAGCATCTTTACAAACGATGCCGATGAACAAGCAAATGGCTGCAGCTGCAAGATTAAACAGAACCAGAACCAGCATAAACTTGAAGAAATGCGCGGCATCTGGGACCAGGCCCGTCATTGGGTAGATGATGGACCCCATGAGAATTGGGGGGATGATTCTCAAGGGAATAATGTCGAACAGAACCTTGGCTGCAAAGTAAGTGGCCGGGGAATAGTAGCCATTGGCTCTCTCTCGAGTGAAGAGGAGACGTTCGCTGGCAAACACATTGAGACTTGTAAGGGTACTGAAGCCAAAGAGAGCCAGAAGAAAGAAGAACAAGCCAAGTCGGTTTTGGAAACCAGGAATATCATCAGTGAGGCCATAGAACAGGTACCCAGAGAACGCGGCCAAGATGATGGCAATTGCGTAGTGTGTAAGCATGAGCATTGGGTTCCGGTACAGGTTCTTCCAGGTTCTTCCAGAGATGATAATGAACTGGCGCAAATATCCAATCCGAGCATATCCCTTTCCAACAGCGCTGGTATAAATGTTTGGCCCATCTGCAGCATATCCGTTTGTGTTGGCCCCATTTGCGGTTGCAGCTTCACCGATTGCCTGTTGGATGTCTTCGCGAATAGAAGTCGCAATGTATGATTTGCTGAAGGACCGGGTGATGATGTCGAGATCTGTTCCTGTCATAGCTGGAGGGGGCAGATCATGAGGGTCTTCCACTTGGCTAGGCAGGGTGCTTGAAGGGTTGTTCTGCAGCCGATAGCCACCTTGGCTGTCGCCACCAGCGTCTGAAGATGCAGCAGTATCAGTCTGTTTTCTACGCGTAAAGAGCTCCCGTTCCTGTCGTACTCTAACAGAATCACGACGTCGGTTCTTGGGCCGCAATGATGGCTCGGCGCTCGCTTCGCCAGCACTTCCGAGAGAGGCGCTTGCAATAGACTTGACAGCCCGCGTACTGCTTGGACCGATGCTTCCAGCGTCGGGAACAATGCCGCCATCATCCAAAGTCTGGGTGCTGCCCGCATGCATAGTGAGGTCTACAAGGTAGTCGGCAATATTGAAGCCTGGTGGACATTCATAGCCAATATCATCAAAATAAGTCTGGCACTGAGAGAAGAGTCCGGAATAAATCAGTTTGCCCTGGGCCAACAAGATGAGCCTGTCGAAGAGAGCGACAATGTTGGAGCGAGGTTGGTGGATGGTGAAGATGACGGTTCGCTTGTAGTTTTTGGCCATTGTAACGAGGCATTCGACAACATTGTATGCGTTATAGGCATCCAGTCCACTAGTGGGTTCATCGAGGAAGAGGATAGAGGGGCTGGTGACCAGCTCGCAAGCAATTCCGACACGTCGCTTCTCACCACCGGAAATTCCACGGCCATTTCCTTCTTCAGAGCCGATAAGGGAGTCTCGAATATGGTAGATGCCAAGTTCTTTCTCGACTTCCGTAACTCTCTGTTCCTTGGCGGCACGGCCCATATCGCGGGGGAGTCTCAGGAGAGCGCTGTTAAGAATAGTCTCATGAACTGTAAGAGTGGGCAACATGGTGTCTTCTTGATCGACAAATCCAACCACGTTCTTGTACTCGGAATCGCTGACTTTTTCACCATTGACGTAGAAGTCTCCGCTAACATGGCCGCGCTTATTCTTTCGGGCAAGGATATCCAGGAACGTCGTCTTTCCGGCACCCGAAGATCCCATGATGGCAGTCACTTCTCCAGGTTGGCAAATTCCTTGGATTCCGGTCAGGATATTCTTCCCATTGAGGGAATAGGCGACGTTTTGAAAGTATAGAGCAGCGGGCTTGTGATCCACCATGAGCTTGGTGCTCTCATCGTCAGAATCCTCTAAGCGAATCGCTCCATAATGCAATCTACGACGGGACAAATACCACGTCCCGATGATGACGGCAGCCAGGAAGAGCGCACAGCCGCCAATCACGCCAGCGATGAGAGGGGTGTTGATTTGCTTGACGGGGCGGTGATAGCCTGGTACTTCAGTCTCGTACAAGCACTCGCCTGCTTGGCAGTCCAAGAGAATACTAGAGTCTCCAATTAAGCTGACGATGAGGTTATCCATCTCTGGCTCTTTGAAGGCACAGTCATGGGCACCGCCGCCCTTTTGCGAACATTCGAATCGCCCAGGGCCTTTGATTGCTTGATCCAAAAAGTCGGTAAGGTCGAGCGAGCCATCCTTGCCACACATCATACGGCCGGGAATGCAGCTGCAGCTGATGTGGTCGCATTTGTAGGCAGTGGTGTTCTTCTCATCGGAATACTGGGCACCAGACGCGCAATCCGACAAATGGCAGTAGAAGGACTCAATCTCGTCAACCCAGACTAGAGAGAGCGGTCAGCTTATGCAATGGAGAGAGGTTGAGAATAGATGAAACTAACACTGGAAATCGCAAGTCGCATCCTCCTCCTTGCAAGTAAATGTGACTTGTGGCTTCTGCTGTCCAAGCAGATCGGTAATCTTCTTGTTGGTGACCTTGCAGATTTGGTTGTTGTATTTAACGAGCTCGCCATTCTGATAGCAGACGCCGCCGCTTCCAGTTTCCATGAGAGCATTGCAGGCGTTGTTTGATGTGCAGACATTGCAGTTGATACCGGTCCAGCCCTCGTCGCATTCGCAACTCGAGCTTGAGCGCATTGGCCGGTCTCTGCCGCGCCCAAGAGAGCCACACACTGGGGAAAGGAGAAATCGCAGGTTAGCAAACATGAATGCGCGAATTATTATGGAGGTGCCAAACGCCGTGGTGGCATCAAGCTGACCATGGGGACGTACGTGGTTCGAGACAGTCGTCACCGCCGAAACCATCGGGGCAATCGCATTTTCCGTTGTACTCGTTGCATCCCGCGTACTGGGCGCAGGTATGTGCAGGCAGGAGGCAGTTAAAGCTAATAAAAGATGCGTCAGCAGCGATGTCGCCGTGATGCCAGGCCGGTATGCGATGCGTCTCTTACCATGGCGGACAGTCCTTGGGGCGGTCATCCATGAGCGCGAACTGGGCTCGCAGAAGGTCGACGTTGTAGCTGGTGTTTGCATAGGCGGCTGCCAGCGAGGGCAGGACCGCCACGATGCCTACAAGCAGGCCTCGGCAGCTGAGCGGCGCCATGGCGATGAGCTGCAGAGGTTGCGAAGGGCAGAATCCCAGGTGAGGTTGTTGGAGGGAAGAAGCAGGCTGAACTGTCAAGCCTCGGAGGCACCAGCACCAGGTACGTACCGCGGCTTGGTTCCTGGCGCGAAACAAGGTCGTCATCGAATCGGTGGTCTGGGGCAACCCCAAGTCCCCCAACAACCCCCAACCCCGCCCTGTTGTCTGATTGGTACAGCGTCACATCAGCTCTAGACTTGCTGGAACACGGCGCGTTACAAAACACGTGGTGACGATCAGTGTGTGAGAGCTTGTACAGATGCGGCACATCGGCTGTACCTTGCGTGTACTGCAAAGACGAGAGCTCTTTTTCGTTTTACGCGTATTTGCAGTGACATGATTCTCAGGCCATGATGCTGAGCGAGCAGCCTGCATGCAGCCTGCATTCTCCGCTAGTGCTAAGCTCTTCTGGAGCTGTGCAGTGCAAGTGGCAAAGATATCGATCTTTTCTCCATTTCCATTTCAAGCCAGGAAGCGTATTAAAGCCACGCGCGGAAAATAAATGGGGGTTCCATGGTCTCAAGGTTCAGCCTGGTGGGCGACGTCTTCTGCGACCAGCGTCGCGATGCAGATAGAAGAGCCTCTGGATCCGAGAGCCTGTTGCCATTGTTAGTGGTTGGGTCACAGATGTGACAACTAGGTTTCCGAACAGCTCACCCAATAATTCATCTGGTGATGTAACTCGTAACGATGGGCTTCTCTTGGTCGTCTTATCGGTCATAGTTTGCGATTGGGATCAGTTGGCAGATGGATGGATAGTAGACCACAGTCTGGATAAAGGTAATCAATGCAAGTTGAAGCAGCCTCGACCACACAAGTGGGTTAGGCAACCTTGTGACGAGTGAATATTGGAGGGGCCTGGTGAAGAGTGCAGTATCGAGGTTATGTGAAGAGAAATGAATTCACAGAAGAGGAAAGTAGTAGCCACAGAATACTTGTCCCAAGCGCGTGCAGAATTTTTGCTCGAGAGAGTTGACCGCCTAGCAGTCGAAATGAAAATGAATGAAACACGGCGTCAATTGTCAGGTGGCAATCAGGTAATGCTTGTGCTAGGCTGCCCTACAGAGAATTATCTAGATGAACAAAGATGATGTGGATTACAAGACATCAACGATCAGGCGAGCGAGCCCAATTGGTCCGATTGTATATTGCTCCTATCTCCAACGTAAATTAGAGAGTCATAGCAAGCTGCCAATTCAGTTGAAATGATTCCCATTTGGGTTCATGAACACAAGTAGATTTGATCCATCTGTGGAGAGAATTCGGCCATCACAATACGTCGAATGGCTAGCTATAGGTATCTTTCCATCTGGCCTTACCACATTCCACTCTTCAATATCGTAGTCAATGCCAAGACAAACGCTTCCAGCCAAGGTGAAAAAAATTACGACATATACATCAGAAGGTCAGAGGGCTCTATTAGTCCTAACACAAAACTGTATCTCCTCTCAGCGAGCTTGCAAGATATAATGCATGCTTCGTTATTCTATAACTCGCTATGGTGCATTGAATACCTAGGTACTAATAATTCAACAGCCAGTTAGATACCTGACCCTTAAAGGATGCCTTCTTCCGCCTAGATACAGCAATTTAACAGCAGACCTTGAAAATATCAGCCTTCCATGTTCTTTGCGAGTAATTTGCGTCTCCCGTTATAAAATCGTTTGCGTGTAGAAAAGCCCATCCTTTATATGGAGAATTAGTTCGGCCGAGTGCCAATTCACCAGTCTAAGCCATAGTAATATAGTGGTAGTATATCAGTTTGTGGACTCAGCGAAGCACTGACGGCCGAGGTTCGATTCCTCGCTATGGCATCGTTTTTTGACCTTTTTTTTTTGCTGCCGCTCTTAGCGATGGCTGTGCCGATGAGCTTCGATGAGCTTTGTGGGCTCCCGTGGGTAATGGAGCAAAATATGCGCTACATGTGTGTGGTATCCAATCGCTCGACATGGAAATTCGTCGCGATGCTTCACTCGTGATCCAATTATGATGTCAGCCATCGCCAGTATATAGCTATTGCGATTCTCCCTTGGCTTGGGCTATTCGCTGCCGGATTGCCGTGCTGCTAATCTTGGACGCAAATCCATTGCTCGCCGTTCCACTGCCATCCTCTGTGATATCGCTTGGATCCAGAACGTCAATCTCAAAGACCTCTAGCGGTTTCCATCCTTTCTCGGTTCTCTTATCATTGATAGCCTGCCCGCCACTCCGTGTCTCTCCAGAAACCACAATTACATCCATGATTTCCTCCGTGATGGTTGGGCCAAAGGGGTCATGAATATTCACACAGCGAACCAGCACTGTGCCGTCGCGGAATGTGGCATGAAGCTCGTCCGGCGAGGGAGTAGATGTGGGTGGTAAAGTATTTGTGTTGGACGAGGAAGCCGAGTTGAATATGGTGGAGAGAAACTGCAGGACTTGGTTTGCGCGCACATCCCACGGCTGCAGCACTTGAGCGTACTTTTTGTTCTTTAGCAGCTCATCTCCGGAAATCCCGACAATGAGAACAGAGTGCTTCCCCGTGTGTTTTTCAGGGATACCCATGAGCAAAGCAGTGGCGTGGAGAAGGAGTTTGTGTCCCGCATGAAGATGGTCAAACGTGCCACCCAGACAAACTGTATCGTAGCCTTTGATGAAATCCTGCTGAGCAACAGGTGGGGCTTCGCTGGTGGACATGGTGATGCCGCCTTCAACAGCAATCATTTGGCTTTGAAGGAGAGTCTGCTTCCCCTGTGAATATTCCAAGAAAGCGTTGAGGAGCTCATAGCCCGCCTCAGTGCTCGGGTGGAATACCGCCCTCCAAGGATACACCTTCGAGGCAAAGGCGGCCAGGTCCAACACGGGCGTGCAATTTGCTTCATAATCTCCATCAAAATTGCGTTGATACGTCCTCTGTCGCTCATGGTCGACTAGCACAACGCGCGGATCGAGGCTGCTACTGCCCGGTTCCCCTGATGTGTTAATGGCCAGCTCATCACAAATGGCCGCAGTGAGTGTGTAAATGCGGGCGAGAAGAGATTGCGCCGCCTTCCAGTTTAGGGATTTGCGTCTCGGTGAGGGGCCTGTGAGAAGAGGACAGGCGATTGCAATGACGAGAACATGGCTGGCGCCGGTGCTGGGACTGGTATCGGAGTTGTTGATATTGCTGTTGCCGTTGATGCCAGTGGTGAGGCGCTTGAGAACCGCCGTTAAAGGCGCTCGGTAGGCGGCGGCGAGAGAGTGAGGATTAAGTGGGAGAGGAGGTACGGGCAGCAAGAGAAGCGCAGGCGCACTGCTGGTTGACGGAGCCATGATGAAATAAAGCAAACCGATGTTGATAATTCAAAGCTGAAGCTGAAAGAACTTGTATGAAAGTGGTGTCATTGAACACATCAGTTGATTCTGACCGAGGCTAAAATGATAGCATCCTTGGGATGTGGGGTTACGTGGGAGTGATAGTACATGTAGTAGGGGTCCTCATCCCCACAGTCACATGGGCCAGGAAGATTGAATTCAGATTCCTCCCAGCATCTGCAAATGATAATCGTGAAAGTTAAGGCCATCGCTAATCTATGCAGCTAGACGACTGTGGCTTGAATGAGCAGAGAGGCTGTAGTTTTAGTAAACTTTGTTCTGTTTACATGCACTCTAGAAGCCATCCAGCAAATGACCAGGAACAGCTAAAGGTGATATGAGTCAAGTTGTGACGGATATACCCTTCCTATCTTGGTCATTTTCTGAATACTTTGATGCTTCTTCATCTTTACTTTTTAACCATTCACAGAGTAAACTAAACGCAGCTTTGGTGCTGTTTTATCTTCCCATCTCCTTGCATACATGTACCCCTCTATGCGCGGTAAGCCACTTTACAGCACTTAACCTAGAGCTCCTCATCTACTCTGCCAATAGCAGAATACACCAGCCTAGTTAGATGGGCGGTGCTTCTTTTTGGTTCTTTTCTTACCATTGACTTTATCGAAATACATCTTCATGGCATGCTACCCGGCATGTGGCCAATAGGTACTTTGAACTGCGCTTCCAAAATGCTGGATCTGGGATCGACGCTATGACTACCAATGGCTACCTAGATACAGAATCACATCTTAGATGGGCCAGTATCAACGCTGAATCTGGTATCGGTAGGATTACCGGTGCCCGATAGACCGTCAACATGGAGCTTGAACTAATCCATGTTGAATACTACTATCCGCCGAGACAACAAGGCGCGCCCTCAAATTCTCCGACAGTCGCCCTAGTCTTTCTTACCCCACGCGGGGCTACGGCTCAAACGAGCAACTCATCATGATCACAACTCCTATTAATAAGAGAAGCCTTCCTGTAATCCCTTCCTCTAATTGGGATTGTATTGAAGCTTAACAAACAGACAAAACGAGAAGCAGCATCTGTGAGAGTTTCAGGGCGCCTGTACTAGATCCAGCCAACATGGTGCGCTTCGAACGGTTTGAGGTTGAGCAGTGGATGGACACTTATGAAACAACACCCGGGGTCCTCAACGTTGCTGAAACATGCGCTGAATCCGTCTCCATTGACGAGCTAATGCAGCTCTCCGAGGACAAGGCTGTGAATCCGCTACGAACCAGCACCGTGCTCACATACGGCGCCATTCGCGGATCGTCGACGTTGAGGGAACGCATCGCGGCGCTCTACGAAGGGGACCAGCTGTCGGCCGAAAATGTCATCATCACCCAGGGCGCCATCGCAGCCAACTTTTTAGTGTTTTATGGCTTGATCGGGCCTGGAGACCACGTCATTTGCGTGTATCCCACGTACCAGCAGCTCTTCTCCGTCCCCGAGAGTCTTGGAGCAGAGGTTTCGCTTTGGCGCTTGCGGCCCGAGCAGGGCTTTGTGCCTGATGTGGATGAGCTGGAGAAGTTGGTCAAGGCAAACACCAAGGTCTGTAATAGCAAGCTACTGCAAAAGCAAAAGCAAACATCAACGATTCATTCATTTTGGGTTATTAGTCCAAGGCGCTAACCCCACAACCAAAGATGATTGTCATTAACAACCCCAACAACCCTACCGGGGTGCCCATACCCAGAGATGTCGTTTATAAGATTGTGGACTTTGCCAAGGCCAGGGGGATCATGATCCTTTCTGATGAGGTCTACCGCCCGCTATTCCACGACGGAATAGAAAACAATACAGCCATGCCGCCGTCGGTCGCAGACTTGGGCTTTGAAAAAGCCATTGTAACAGGATCTCTATCCAAGGCGTACTCTCTTGCCGGTATCCGGGTGGGCTGGATTGCGTCAGGCGACAAGGCCATCGTCGAGAGACTGGCCGAGGCGCGGCACTACACGGCAATCAGTGTATCGCAGCTAGACGACCAGGTGGCAAGCTATGCGCTCTCCCCGGCCGTGCGCGGGCCACTGCTAAAGCGGAATATCCAGCTGGCAAAGCGAAACGCCGACATGCTCAAGGCATTCGTGGAGGCGCACTCCTCACTCTGCTCTTGGGTGGCGCCAAGCGCCGGAACAACGGCATTCATCCAGTTCCATGTGGGAGGCGCGCCGGTGGATGATGTGGCCTTTTGCCGCGACGTCCTGGACAAGACCAAAGTCTTTTTCGTGCCCGGATCTCACTGCTTTGGACGGGGCCAGGACTTTGCAGGCTATGTAAGAGTCGGCTTTGTTGGATCTACAGCAGTGTTGGCAGAAGCGCTGCAGAAACTGGGGGTCTATGTAGAGCAGAACCTGGGCCAATAAGCCGCGACTGAAGCAGGATTTGTCACCTGGCTTTGTTCCGCATCAGGCAAGCATGGAATCAGAAGAGCCTCAGCCACAAAGCAGCCTTCTATTTTTATACGAGTAGTAGTTCTACAGTAGTGTACAGCCAGCTGAGTGTCTTGGACAGTGGGTGGCTGCATTGATCTGTGTTAGGTAACTGGTAACATGGGCATCCGAGTTTTGGCGACAGTTCCTGGCATATGATGCGCCGTATTGCAGTTGGCCCTCGGTACTCGTAAATACTGGACTGTGTAGCAGATCCTTGGGGTCGCAGTAGGAGGAGCCTCAATCTCAAATGTCATCCCGTTTAAATCCTCCATTTGTTAGCCGAGACGGGGCTGTGAGGCTGAGTGGACAGTAAAGCGGAGGCGGACGGACGCACAGACCGGCGGGCAAAAGAAAAAAAGAAAACACACAGCAAAGCACAGCACAAGAAGTGGAAGCATCAGAATCTAAAAAACCTTTTCTGAGGCTGTCGTCGTCATTTCTGCTCTGACAGCGCAGCATCGCCCGTTAAATCCGCTGGTCCAGCAACGCGCGTTTCGCTGCCACACTCGGCGACTCGGCATCGCCCCAAGCGATTCAAATCCCCGTTTGCCGGTCCCCACTGCTTGGGCGCTAATGACGACGCCTGTCAGTGCAGCTTCTCCTGTTTCAGCGGAACGTCTCATTTCACAGCCACGCCGCATCCGTTCGTGACAATTTATAACAATGGGGGGCCCTGCTTGGCAATGCAAGCCTTTGCCTGGGATTTCTGAGCTTCCATCTTGTTGATTTCTCTTGAATTTCTGTCTTGGCCGTCTATACCCTGGAGTTTTGTGCGAACCATTACTATTACCTGTGTTTTGTTGCATCCAGTTCCATTCATACTACCGGAGCCTCACGGCAGCAATTCCTTTCTACATACCAACAACACCTTATTCTCACAAAGACGCGTGGCAACATACACGACACATCCCCTACCTATACCAGAAGCCCTACAAGGTCCTCGACACTGTAGTATTGCTACAAAGTAGATATCTCTACCAGTATTTCTTTTCCCCATCGTATTATCCAGTAGCCTTGCACCATGAAGGCCTCACCCCTGGCCGTTGCAGGCGTCGTCCTAGCCTCAGCAGCACAGGCCCAGGTCGTCCAGTTCGACATTGAGAAGCGTCATGCGCCAAGTCTGCGCCGCCGAGACGCTACCATCGACGCTACTCTATCCAACGAAAAGGTCCAGGGCGGATACTTTATCAACGTCCAGGTTGGCACTCCTGGCCAGAACATCACACTGCAGCTCGACACAGGGAGCAGCGATGTCTGGGTCCCTGCTTCAACGGCAGCCATCTGCACCGAGGTATCACAACAAAACCCTGGCTGCACTTTTGGAAGCTGTAAGACAAAGGCCCCCCTCTATATTCCTTCTCTACAGCTCATCTAACTCTTCTTCTTCTAGTCAACCCTGATGATTCATCCACCTTCCAAGTTGTCGGACAGAACCTGTTCGACATCACATATGTCGATGGCTCCTCTTCCAAGGGCGACTACATCCAAGACAACTTTCAGATCAACGGACTAACCGTCAAGAACCTCACCATGGGTCTTGGCTTGGACACGTCCATCTCCAATGGCTTAGTAGGAGTGGGTTACATCAACGACGAAGCCTCCCTTGGCACAACCCGATCCACCTATCCGAACCTTCCCGTCGTCCTGCAACAGGAGAAGCTCATCAACACCGTAGCCTTTAGTCTGTGGCTCAACGACCTTGATGCTAGCACGGGCTCCATCTTATTCGGCGGCATCGACACCGAGAAGTATCAGGGCGAACTGACCAGGATCAACATCATTTCCCCCGACGGCGGCAAGACCTTTACTGAGTTTGCTGTTAACCTGTACTCGGTCCAAGCGTCAAGCCAGAGCGGAACCGACACCCTCAGCACAAGTGAGAATACGCTGGTTGCTGTTCTGGATTCGGGAACCACCCTGACCTACCTGCCACAAGACATGGCTGAGGAGGCGTGGAACGAAGTGGGAGCCACCTTCAGCAGCGAGCTCGGCTTGGCCGTCGTTCCTTGCTCTGTCGGGAACAAAAACGGCCACTTCTCCTTCAAGTTTGCCGGCGCGGATGGCCCTACAGTCAACGTCACCTTGTCTGAGCTCGTCTTGGACCTCTTCAGCGGCGGCCCCCCGCCCCAGTTCTCGTCTGGTCCCAACAAGGGCCAGTCGATCTGCGAATTCGGCATCCAGAACACCACCGATGCTCCTTACCTGCTTGGCGACACGTTCCTCCGATCAGCATTTGTCACCTACGACCTGGTCAACAACCAGATTGGAATTGCTCCGACCAACTTCAACTCCACTCAGACCAACATTGTTGCCTTCGCCAGCAGTGGCGCCCCTATCCCGTCTTCCACCGCCGCGCCGAACCAGAGCAACACTGGCCACTCCTCATCGACACAATCTGGTCTGTCTGCTGCTAGTGGCTTCCAGGATGGCGGCAACGACAACGCCGCCCCCTTGACAAGCGCCTTTTCCGGCCCTGGAATGTTTGTTGTCGGCATGACCATTTGCTACACTCTTCTCGGAAGCGCCGTGTTCAGCTTTAGGTGGCTGTAAATTTACATGTACACATCCGTCCAAAATCGGCAATCCACTACCCGTGGATGTTTACGAACTGTTGAATTTGAATGATATTGGGGCGTCATGGTATAATATGGGATCCTGTTTCTTTTTTCTGTTCCCTTTTTTTCTTTTCTTTTTTGCATACAAGCAAGCATTCCTACTGGAGTTGAGGCTGGCTTCCGAGACATTCGCTATAAAAGAAGCGTTCAGATACCTAGGCTACATAAGCACAAATAGACATGCAACTGGGATTATAAATAGTAAAAAAAACTTCATTATATGCATTCTTCAGGCAACGCTCAGTGATAGTCTGTAAAAATCGCCAATAATTGAGGCTATTTCCAATGCACACTGTGGTGGTGGTCCGATTTGCGACTGCACGTGAGACGTCGAGCCAATTGGAGGGACCCTGACGGACTAAAAAAAAAAAAAAGTTTCAAGCGGCAATTGAGCCGATGGCCGATCTCTGAGTGCCATCACCCACTTTGCCCGTGGACAAGCTCGCAATATGAGGGCATTTGGGACTGCCAGATGGCTTAACTGCCATCTGTTTGCGGATGCCCAGAAGGCAACTTCTGGAGCTCGCAATTTCCAAGCTGCCATTCTTCCCTTGGCCTTTCAGAGCCAGCTACGAGCTTTCAGCGCATCGGCTCCGCGGTGTAATGCTGCGCAGGAAGCGTAAGGACCATCTTTCATGTCTTTGGATTTTCAACTATGAGGCGCAAGAGTTGAATGCAAGTTGAAGCAACAAGACTGACATTTAGAGGATGCATAGTTTGAAAAAGGCGCAGAATGATGCTGCCAGTCTTACTGCCGAATCTGTGGCCGCCAACCTGGCTCCCGAGGAGATTCAGCGTCTCTCTTCAGTTCGGAACATCGGTATTGCGGTACGAGACCACCCTTTCTGTTAATGGCGCATATATAAAAATCAAAAAAAGAAGGAGAAGAGAAGAAAGAGAAAAGAAAAAACTAACAGCATATACAAAAACACAGGCACACATTGACAGTGGCAAAACTACGGTAACGGAACGGGTTCTCTTCTACACTGGTCGAATCAAGGCTATCCACGAGGTCCGAGGCAAAGATGCCGTCGGCGCCAAGATGGACTCTATGGAACTGGAACGAGAAAAGGGTATCACTATCCAGTCTGCGGCTACATTCTGCGACTGGAAGAAAACGGTAAACGGAAAGGAAGAAGAGTATCACGTCAACTTGATCGACACTCCCGGCCACATTGACTTCACCATCGAGGTCGAGCGTGCTTTGCGCGTGCTTGATGGTGCCGTCATGATTCTCTGCGCTGTCTCTGGTGTTCAGTCCCAAACGATTACGGTCGATCGCCAAATGAAGCGCTACGATGTTCCTAGGATTTCTTTCGTCAACAAGATGGACCGCATGGGTGCCAACCCCTGGAAGGCCGTCGAGCAGATCAACACCAAGCTCAAGATTCCCGCGGCTGCCATCCAGATCCCCATTGGCGCCGAGGACGAATTCGAGGGCGTTGTCGACATTGTCGAGATGAAGGCCATGTACTTTGAGGGCCCCCGTGGCACCAAGGTCCGAGTTGCCGACCAGGTTCCGGCTAATCTGCAGGACTTTGCCGCCGAGAAGCGACAGGTCTTGATTGAGAAGCTGGCCGACGTTGATGACGAAATTGCCGAGCTGTATCTCGAGGAGCTGGAGCCTACCATCGAACAGATCAAGGCTGCTATCCGCCGTGCCACCATTGCCCGCAAGTTTACTCCTGTCATGATGGGTTCTGCTCTGGCCGATAAGGGTATTCAGCCCATGCTGGATGCTGTCTGCGACTACCTTCCCAACCCTGGTCAGATCGAGAACACTGCTCTGGACAAGACCAAGGGCGAAGAGACGGTTGCGCTGGTCCCCTACAACTCGCTTCCCTTTGTCGGACTTGCGTTCAAGCTCGAGGAAAACAACTACGGCCAGCTTACCTACATTCGTGTCTACCAGGGAACCCTGAGCAAGGGTACCTACTTGTACAACTCCCGAACCGATAAGAAGGTCCGCATCCCCCGCATTGTTCGCATGCACTCGAACGAGATGGAGGATGTCAACGAGGTCGGTGCCGGTGAGATCTGCGCCGTGTTTGGCGTTGACTGTGCTTCTGGTGATACTTTTACCGACGGTGGTCTCCCCTATACCATGTCTTCCATGTTCGTCCCCGATGCCGTCATGTCCTTGTCCATCAAGCCGAAGCGCACTGGCGATGCCGATAACTTCAGTAAGGCAATGAACCGATTCCAGCGCGAGGATCCCACCTTCCGTGTCCACGTTGACGCCGAGAGTGAGGAGACCATCATTTCTGGCATGGGAGAATTGCATCTCGAAGTCTATGTTGAGCGTCTGAAGCGAGAGTACAAGACGGAATGTGTTACCGGCCAGCCCCGTGTCGCCTACCGTGAGACAATCTCTCGTCGTGCCGATTTCGATTACCTCCTCAAGCGACAGAGCGGTGGTCCCGGTGACTTTGCCCGTGTTGCTGGTTACATTGAGCCCAACGACAAGCCGGAGGAGAACCACTACGAGAGTCAGGTTGTCGGTGGCCACATCCCGGACAAGTTCCTGTCCGCCTGTTCCAAGGGTTTCGAGCTTGCTTGCGAAAAGGGCCCCCTGCTGGGCCACCGCGTCATTGGATCCAAGATGATCATCAACGATGGTCAGACCCACGTTACCGATTCTTCCGACTACGCCTTCAACCTGGCCACTCAGATGGCCTTCCGCAAGGCCTTCCCCGAAGCCGGCGGCCAGGTTCTCGAGCCGCTGATGAAGACGACCATCACCGCCCCGAACGAGTTCCAAGGAAACATCCTCATGCTGATGAACAAGCGCAATGCTACCATTCACGACACGGAGATTGGCAGCGAGGACTTTACGCTCATCTGTGACTGCAGCTTGAACGCCATGTTTGGCTTCAGCTCGCAGCTGCGTGCGGCTACGCAGGGCAAGGGTGAATTCAGCATGGAGTTTAGCCACTATGCCCCTGCTCCCCCTCACTTGCAGTAAGTTTTTTTTTCTTTTAATTCCATCCCACCAGATTTCTAAGATGAGGCACCGTTGCTGTTTCGTATCGTCATTGTGACTAATCCCGTTTATAGAAAGGAGCTGGTCGCCAAGTACGAGGCCGAGCTTGAGGCAAAGAGAACCAAATAAAAGGCTCACGGCTAGCTGATGAGAGACGCAGCACCCCCCGGACAAAGTGATATCATAAACCGCTTGCCGAGGGGTCGGGCTGCCTTGTATAAATACCCCTGTGAAACAATATCCTTATATGGAGTGCGGGAAGGGAGCAAGCGATGTGACTTGTCCAGTATGATTTCTAGAAACGAAAGAAGCCTTTCACGTGCCCAATGAAGAGAAAAAAGGGTTCAGGGATATAAAAAAGCAAAGTCACTGTTACTGGGACTGGTAGGATAGATGCAGATGGATAGACTTGGGTCATGTATGCACATGTACACTAAAATCACAAACGGACTTGACTCTCCCCCAGAAAACACCCGATCCCCGTGAACCGTTTCATTTCGTGTAAGCCAGCTCGACATTAAGGCGGCGAAACAGATCCATCATCTCATCTCACCAAGGAAGGGCTCCGTATGCCAGCCCCAGCCTTGTCAAAGAGGCCTACAATCTACCGGGGGAGGCTGGGACGAAAAGAGACAAGTGGGAACACCTGCGTTTTCGTATTGACCCAAAGCGAACCGAAGAAAAGGTCTCCATCTCGCGTGTTACCGGGGCTACATTTTCGCTTGTCTGGACAGGATCCCCCGTACGAAGACGGGAAGATGCTAGAAGGCGTCTAGACTGGGGGGACTAGCCTCATTAAAGCAAGAAAGCGACGAAATAAAGGGACGGGCACTTCCGAACAGGCTGTGGTTCCCGCCTGACCCTTGGGGGTTTGCTATCGAAATCATGGATAAGGGCATCCGTGCGTTCCGTCGTGACACGGTGTCAACTCTGTGTTCAACGGTAATACTACAGGCAACTCATCTTGGGGTTGTTGAAGGGTTGATGCCAATGCCAGGCGGTGGGAAACAGGACTAGTGATGCTTCAGATGGAGAAGCTGTTGTTGAGGGAAAGTTTGAGGAAGAGAGAAGGGATCGGTATGGGGAACGTGCTTTGGCTGGGACCCCTTAACACCTCTGCTGACTATGCAGGTGATGCATCCATCCGTATTTGCATGCGAGAAAGAAGAGGCTTACCCACTCCGAGCGATGCTAAAGATGCGGGCACGCATTGAGCACAACCGATGATATATTACGGAGCACTCCAGACTCCGGAGTAGATGGTGGCCAAGATGATACTCTTGATCGCTTCTCAACGTGGTTGTGTCACGCTCAATAGTCAATATTGGCTCTAATGCAAGGGGCGGATGTCAACTCGTATTAGTGTTCGGCTCGGAAGAGGATCTCGCAGAGCCAATGTGACGAGATGCTCAGCTGGAAAGCACCAGACGGGCTAGTACGAGTCTCGAGTACTTTGGTAATACCCCGAAACAGGGTCCTTGGGTTGTACTCGTACTGGGTTTTTTGCTGTCCATCCATATCTGAGCGTGGTGTGGTGTGAGTGGCGTCATGGAACGCCTAAAAGCCGAAATGAAGCTGTTGATATTAATTGCTCTTGTTTCGCTGCTCCTGACATAAAACCGCCCAGCTTAGGGAGATTACAAGTTCTGGCTAAAGGTTGCGTGGCTGGGCCAATCACGGGAGGTGTTGGGCTTGGAGTGGCCACATTGGGGATGTCTTGGGGGCTTGCCACGACCTACCTAGTACTAATGTATTACATTGTATTATTACGAGTACAGCCTTTTGTGCTACTATTTGTGCTGATTATACTGTACAGGACTTTTGTGTTCTATTTAGCATCCATGACTACTCATAGATGCGGTGAGCGCTGCAGAATGCAAGAGAAGCCGTCAGCAGCGCATGATCGGTGTCGGTCAGAGATGCAGCACTCCATCTAAAATGCCGGGGTTCGCTGCAAGTACCAGCTCTACGGCAGTACGCTGTAGACGGCAGCACAGCGCTCGTTGCGGAAGGTAACTGGAGCCTTTTTGTCGCCTGGGGAACTGCTATGTGGTATACTCGTACTAGCATAAGTAGCGGCGTGGCGGATCGGCCCATCCGAACCTCATTTCTCACAAACGCGCCTTGTGACGGACGCTGTTAGTGGCGGATTCGCAAGCAATGGCGCGCAATGTCGCGTTTTGGAGGTGGTGGGTTGACTGACTGATGGATGACAGACTGGTGATTGGGGACGGGAGTCAATTGGATGGTGGATGGGATTGCAGTGGGTGAGAAAGGCGGTGCGTGCGGCGTAAACAACTTGCTGCTGCATGAACCTATTACGAGTGGATGCGTGTACTGTAGAAATCAATCTACATGTACTACAGGTGGCCGTTGAGTGGTACCTCGTCTAAGGGAATGGGTACTTGGGCCCAGAAGTACCACATGTACTCCCGGCAGGTACCTATCGTTGAACCGCACAATGCAAATGGATGGCTTCTTCCAACGGTGACGGCAGCAAGCACGCGTGTATAACCTGTGCATCTAGAACAATTGGCAGAAGAGGCCACCTTGACTGCATCCCTGGCCGACCTGGCACAAAAAAAAAGTACTACTGTACCTTGGTACTACACTTACTGTGCTGCAAACCCCTGATTTCCAATTGACCCGTGTCGCGCCATGTATGGAGATGGAGCAATGGAGACCGGAGCACGGAGGTACTTGTGTCGCATGTACTCCCCCAGGTACTGCTGAGGGTCTGGTCTGGTCCCTTTCCCTCCCTTTCTTCTCTAGCTCTATTTTGTTCGTCAATCTCCCCAACCTGCGAAAGCTATTAGTATACTTTTCCTCTTCTCCTGAATCCTCACGGATGGTCTTCCCAGAACCTCCAGTATCGATTGCGCGCAAACCATTCCCTAGAGCCCCCGCGGACGCGGCCCGTCTTTCACCATGAGCGCGGTCAAGAACCTGCGAGCCATGTTCGAGAACAAAGGGGACGCGAGCCCAGCGGACGAAGATAGAGGTAGATCCCTTGGTGTCTCAACTCCATCTCCAACCCCAGGAGGTAATGCCCTCAGTGTGTGCTGATGATTTGCCATTTGCTTGCTCTCTCTTCCCGCTCTCCAGCCTTTAATTATGTGCCCTTCAAGAAGCCTGTTTGTTACTGTCCATCACAGACGCTGCTGGGCTGCTCCTGTAGCTGTTAGTTCCGCTAAAGGCTGGAGGCTGCTCTAGATGCATACCTTAACTGCTGCCACCACAAAGAGCTTAACTTTTGTCGCAAAAGCTAACCCGCTCTTCTTTCCGCCACTAGCTCGAAGCGGTTCCCCAAAGCCGCTGATCAATAAGGTGCGAAGCAGCTTTGTTGCTGTCGAACGAAACGGCGTCATCGGCCTGGTCAGGGAAGACAGCCTCTCGAGAACCTCTTCCCCACGAGGCAGCCTCGACATCGACCGCGACGCCATGCCCAAACCCAAGCTCGACAAAGCGCCCAAGTCCCCGCTGTCCCCCTCGTTCCTTGCCAGCCTCAACTCCGCCATGGGCGGCATCTCTGCGCGATCCGCTCGAGCCTCGCTCGAGTTCCAGCAGGAACAGCAGGCCAAGCAGGGAGCTGTGACGGACAAGCCGAGCCACAACCCGGACCACGTTGTTGACGAAGAGACTCCCACTGGCGTGCTATCGCCAGCAGACCCGACCACCGCAAAGGCTGAGCCTGTGGCCAAGTCTCCCTCCGAATCAGTCGCCGAATCTGCACCGGAATCGGCATCAGAGTCGGCTCCTGAACCTGTACGTGCGACGAAAGCCGAGCCTGAGAAGCCGGCGCCCAAGGAAACTGCTGCCCCTGCCAGCAGCACTGACAATGTCTCGCAAAAGTCTGAGAAGACGACCAAACCAGCTGCTGCTGCCACCAAAGCTGCAGCGAAGCCTACCGCAGCCAAGACTACTACTACGGCCGCAAAGACTACCACCGCAAAGACTACAGCTACTGCTACTACCAAGACAACTGCGACAAAGACAGCTGCAGCTCCCAAGGCGGCCACCAAAGCCGCTCCCAAACCTGCAGCAACTGCTACCAAGGCCACTACCGACTCCTCCAGGCGAGCGAGCGCCAGGCCATTGCAGAAGACTGTAGAAGCCTCTGCCAGAAGATCCACTTCTGCTGTCCGACCAACTTCAGCTACCAGGTCAACTTCTGCTATCAGATCATCTTCTGCTGCCAGACCAGCTTCCGCCGCAAAGGCCGGGGCTGGAGCTGCAACTACGGCTACCAAGAAGCCACAGCCCATCAAGATTGACAACAATTCTGCTGCCTTGAAGCCAAAGACCAGATCGCCCACCAAGCCGGTTGGCCTCCCCGCTTCTCTCACCGCTCCCACCGCCTCTTCCGTCTCCAAGACTGGTGCGGCATCTGGGGCAACTCAGTCCAGACAGACCAATTCAAGACAATCACTCGACGGCCGGGGCGTGCACCCGCCTGGCCATTCAGTATCCGGTGCTCGGACGGTCAAGCAAGAGGCCGCTACGCGGGCCCTCAAAGAAAAGTCTGCTGCGCGATCTCGACCCAGCATTGGGCCGCCGCCCGCCAAGCCTGCTCGTGAAGCACCTAAGAAGACAAAGGATGTTGACGAAGGCTTCTTGGCCCGCATGATGCGACCTACGCAGGCTTCGTCCAGCAAGACGCAGGGGGAGCCAACCACGCCTCCTAAGAAATGTGGATCTCGACCTTCTACCGCTGGAACGACAGCATCTGGTGGATCAGATCACGGCCACTTTGATGGTAGTCCAAGGAAGAAGTCTTCTCCTAAGAGGGTGATTAAGAAGTCCCCTTCGCCTACATTGAGCGAGGAGAAGCCTGTCACCAAGCCCCAGGAGGAGGCTGTCGAGGAGCCCGTCAAGGATGTGGCTCAAGAGGAGACTGCTCCTGTCAAGGCCGAGGAACCTGAGCCTCTCCCAGTGGAGGAGGCGGCTGCTGAGACTGCCAATGTCGAGACTGTTGAAGAGGTTGTTGCTATTGCTGAGGAGGCCGAGCTCACCCAGGCTGCCCCTGAGCCCGTGGTTGAGGTTGCTGAGGCCAAGGCCGAGGAGACTCCCGCTGCCGAGCCTGTGGTTGAAGCCGAGTCCGTTGCTGAGCCCGTTGCTGAGCCTGAGACCGTCCCGGCCGCTGAGGAAGCTCCTGTTGAGCCGGCTGCTGAAGCCACCGAGGAGCCCAAGGCTGAGGAGGCTGCTGAGCCCGTTGCCGAACCCGTTGTCCTGGAGACTTCTGACAAGGCAGAGGAGCCGGCTGTTCAGGCATCCTCATAATCAACAACTTATAAATCAATGGCAAAATAATAATAGCAGTTTGGTGTTTCGTCGGTCAGGAATGGCGTTTGTCAGTTTGACATTGGTAGAGATGCGTTTTTTGGTCCTTTCGTTTGCTTCCGAACCCCCTTGTCTATGTAATACTGGACAGGCCTCCGCGGCCCTCTGTCGAAAAGGAGAGATGTAGTTATTAAGATACCTTAGATACCTTGTTTATAGCGACCACTGGTGATACTTTTTTTTTTTTCTTTGGGACCTTGGGAGTATATGCATAAACTGCATTTTTATTTTGCCAAACCGTCATCAACGAGCAACAGGATTCCTCGACCATTTGATCATGCATACTTGTTTGTAATTGATTCTATTCATACAGTGAGATGTACTTCTTCTTCTTCTCTCTCTCTCTCCTTTGTGAGACAATACATAATATATATATACACAACCACAACTGTTGAAGCCATCTCCGCGCCTTTTCCTTATTTTTAACTCTATTTTCTCTTTTTCGTTTTTCGTTTCCGTCGTTTCCCATTCGAGATCATGATACTCGGCACATCAGCACACCGCCAACCTTCTTTGCCAGCGCCTCCCTGACCTCGAGCACACCACTCGACGTAGACACAAACATGCACTCGCCAACGCCCAGCCCCTGGACGACGCCGCCCTTGAGCTTGGTCGGGAACCCCCTCGTCAGGCGCGCCAGCTCCTGGACGTCGACGGTGAGCTGGCGCGAGGGCTTGCTGATGACGGTGGCCTTTGACAGGACGGGGCGGCCGTCCCAGTACTTGAGGCCGAGCCAGATGCGCATCTTGGCGACGGTGGCGTTTGTGACGGGCTCGGGGACCTGGGCGACCATTTGCTCGGGCGTGGGCGGGTGCGGGCCGGCGCGGTAGACGGAGGAGAAGAAGCCGGAGCGGTGGAGGGCGAGGGCGAGGTGCAGGTTGTACTTGTTGCTGGGGATGGAGGTGAGGCCGAGGCGGGCTTTGGAGGCGTTTTGGAGGTGCGAGCACATGTGTGCGATGTTGAGGATGGACGGCATGGTGGGCGAGTGTTTTCTGTTTTTCTTTATGTTTGTCGTCGAATTGTGTTGTTTTGGTGGGTTTATCTCTTCTGGCCGTAGAGGTTAGATGATGCTTTGCTCAAAGGGAATGAATGGTCGTTTGCGGCATTGGCTGGCTACTCACAGCGCATCGTCCAGACGCTCCCTGACCGGCCAATCGCCCAACTACAGCTGAATTTCCCACTAGCTATTCGCCCTGCGAAAGATGCGCTCTGCACAGGCCGTGGCGATTTGCAACAAATGAGTGGAATGGCGGAAGGGGGGGTTTTTTTTTTTGGCCTTGGGTCGATTTGTCGCGATTGTTCGATATGGTGGTGCTACTGCGAATTGGGCCTGTCAAAAATTTGGAGGTGGGTGACTAAGCCGAGCTGGGCCAAAATGTGGCACGCCTTGTTTTTTGCTGGTGGCAATCTTGGGGACGATGGAGGAAAGCATAAGGTATGAGAGGTATTGATTGGAGATGGTCTGTGTATTATTTATTTTCTGCTTGTTCAAATTGACTTGATTTGATACTGTATTTATCCAGATATCCGCTTGTATCAGACTATGCCGCCCATATTGCCATTTCTACGAGTCCTTGTTGAAATCCAACCGCTGCTACAAAGTACATAAGGTACCTACAGATCCACGCGAGTATTGATGTACATATTTGACATTGCCTCCGGATTCGTCTCCCCTTGTGTCGCCGCCAATCTGCAGAGTCAATCAAGACATAAGTGCCGTATTTCAGACGCATTAGGTAGCATGTCAAGAATGATAAAAAAGCAGCGGCAGCAAACTCCCTCGCCTGAGCCTCAACATCGGTATTATTTCCAACCGAACAGCCCTCCAATAAAGGATAAAAGAGACCCGCGGCGCCTGTATGCCAGGACAAGGGCCGTCAGAACAACAGGGCTTGAGACGAGCGCAATGAAGCTCTGCACCAGAATCTGGCCCTGGCGGTCGCTTTTGCGCACCACGTCTGCGTATCCCTCGTTGCCGAAGCTGACTCGAGAGTACCTGGTCTGCCAGCCGAAAGACGGAAAGTGCACGCTCATAAACTCCTCGAGGTACTTGCGGAGCCTGTACCGCCTGGAGAGGACAGAGGATCTCATTTCGACGTAGTTTTGCAGGGCCAGGTTGTTGATGGCGTAGGCGTCCTCTGCTCGGACCGCCGAGTACTCTGCCAGCGCGAGAGATCGCTCAAAGGCGGATGTCTCGGCGGAGTGGATGAGCTCCCCGTCGGGGTTGTTACTCTCATCCAGGTTCACGTGCTTGTCGAGGATGGAAAACAAAATGCGCACATCCTCCATGCCAGCGTTCATGCCCTGGCCGTAGAAGGGCACCATGGCGTGGGCAGCGTCGCCGATGATGACTCCGGAGGAGCCATGGTGATAGGGCTTACACTTGAGGCTTATCAACGGAAGGTGAGGGTTTTCCTCAAACGATTTGATAAGGTCCGGCCCTGGTATCAAGGCGGTAACTCCGGGGAAGTGCTTGTCAAAGAAAGCCGGGACCGTGGAAGGATCCCTCTCCAGTTCAGATATCGGACCACTGGGGATGAAGAGGGTGCAAGTGAATGATCCGTCCTGCAAGAGATTAGTAATTGTCATGATTTCAAAGTCGAATTTGTAAGCGCGGAAAGTCCTACCTCGCTAGGAATGGCAATGAACATGAAGTCCTTGCCTGGCCAGATGTGCAGGTGGTTCGGCGAGATTCGGAACTTGGCGTTGGGGTCTTTCTCATTCTCATCCACGGCACGAGGCGGCAGATGGAATTCGCACCACAAGGTGTCGATATACTCTTGCTGATAATCCATTCTGGTAAACTTCATCAGATGATAGCGAACAGCAGAGTGTGCGCCATCTGCTCCAATCATGAGATCGAATGTGATTTCGATTTCTCTAGGACGGCCATTAGGAACGTAGTCCTTGTCGCGGGCTTCAAACCAAGCCTTGCACTTCTTAAAGTCAGCTCCAGTGAGCTTGTGGTTGAAGAACAGCTTGACATTGGGCAAGGCTTCCAGAATGTCTAGCAGTCGCGCGTTGAGGGCTCCTCGGTCAGTCGCATTGATAGCCTGTGTATCGGTTAATAAAATTGGCTAACAATAGAAGCGGCAGTTGAAATAATTCAGGAAAATGAAACAAGACATAAGAGAGCTTGAGTGCGATGGCTCCTTACCTGTCCGTTAATGCCGTAGTCCTGAGAGTGCTCATAGAGGGTTCCATCTGGTGACTGTCCGTGGATCATCCGTCCACGCATCGGAATAGTCGCAGACATGACATGGTCAACGAGCTTTGGCTCGCCAGACTTCTGCATAGCATGAAGCCCTCGTTCGGACAAAGCCAAGTTGATGGACTTTGTGAAGTTGAGCGGCACGATGCTCGGATCGCGAAGATCTGAGGCCGGTTAGCGGAGTGGTTGACAACCATGACATCAAGACAAAGAGATTTCTTGTTTTGAGCAAAGCAAAGACAACAACCCATTGTCATTGGGAATAGAGAAACCACTGCAAAAACATTGTCCAGTACCGTAGAAGAAGAAAAAGATGGATTATTACGGTATGAGTACATCAACACCACAAGCCCGAGTTCGGAGGCGTCGGGCTCGCCATACAAGAACGAAAAAAAAATCATAGCTTCACTCACCCGGCCGCAACTCATAGACTTCGACTTGGTATCCTCTCTTGGCGGCATATAGCGCCGCCAAAGATCCGACAGGACCAGCGCCAACAACGACAATCTTAGTGTCCGCCATGGTTTCCCGAGACGAGTCCGAATCTCCAGCTCCAGCTCCAGAGATCTATTGTGACAGAGGAAGAAGAGGAATCGGGAGCTCTGGAGCTATAAGAAGCCCTTGCCTCGGGCCAAGGGGCGAAACATGCTGGCACAACCCGTGTCTGGCAATTAATAAAGGCCATACGAGTAATAGCCGTTCTGATCACATCATGCTAAGCAGCAAGCCACGCTTGGGCTCATGTATTATTGGTTGTAACGCTTGTTACTCTGATTAGTCTTAGTGGCTTTTACGAGCGAGTTTCAAGAGAAATATGGCCTGTGCTGTTTGCAGTTTCCAAGAGCCTTGGAAGAAGAACCGCAGAGAAAGAAAGAAAAAAAAAAAAAAAAAGAGGTTCAGCGAGCCGAGCGTATCCGCCACACTCCGCCACGCCCAGCTTCTTCACATGTACCGGCGCAAACTGTGGCACGCACATGAAAATGGAAGTATACCTTAGGTCAGGTAGCCTAGTAGGTACTTTGTAGCGTGTCAATGGCGCAAAGCCTTCTATAAGCACGCAGCCATTAGCATTTCGAGCCCTTCCCGTATTAGTCCTATCGCAAGTATTTTTATGCCGTGATCCACACTCCGCGATATCTGCATCCCTCCACGGCATCATCTCTCCAGCCTTGTAATTCCTTGTCTATATACTCTCTACCGGCTTTTAATCTTTCCACCATGGCCTCCGAACCTCCCGCCAAGAAGAAGTGCCTAGGAGCAGACTGCGACAATGAGGCTGGAGCTCTGCAGTGCCCGACATGCTTGAAGCTAGGCATCAAGGACAGCTTCTTCTGCGCCCAGGACTGCTTCAAGAGAAACTGGGTATGTATGGAGAGCCCGGTCGTGGGCACAATGCTTCAAGATGGAGAATGAAAAAGAGAAGGGAAAGAAGAGAAGAGAAAAGCGGGAGACAGTAAGAAAAAAGACACACTGGCTGACATCGCGTGAGTAGGGCGACCACAAGAGCATGCACAAGACGCAAAGTAATATCCTCCACCACTTGATTCCCCCGAAACCACTCTTACCAGATCCAGTCACCGGCTACTACAATCCCTTCCCGAGCTTCCCCTTCGCCGGCCCGCTGCGCCCCGTCTATCCTCTGTCCGAGCATCGTACCATCCCCAAGTCAATTCCTCATCCCACGTGGTGGCAGGATGGCGACCCCAAGTACAGCCGATCTCTGGTGAACCGCAACAAGATCGATATCCACGATGCGAAGGGTATTGCTGCGATGCGCAAGGTCTGCAAGCTGGCACGCGAGGTCCTCGATCTTGCTGCGGCCGCGGCTAAGCCCGGCGTCACGACCGACTACATCGATGAGCTCGTCCACAAGGCTTGCATAGAGCGCGAGGTGAGTGCTGAACATTGGGGGGCCGTTTGTGTGAGGCCAAGAGCCGTGGTTACTGATTCATGGTTTGACATCTAGTCGTATCCCTCACCGTTGAACTACAACCACTTCCCCAAGTCTTGCTGTACATCCGTCAACGAGGTTATTTGCCACGGCATTCCCGATCAGCGTGTCCTGCTCGACGGCGATATTCTCAACATCGACATCAGCTTATACCACGGCGGATACCACGCCGATCTCAACGAAACGTATTACATTGGCGACAGGGCCAAGGCTGACCCCGATAACGTGAGGGTTGTGGAGGCGGCACGAGAGTCTCTCGACGAGGCAATCAAGGCAGTCAAGCCAGGTGTCCTGATACGGGAGTTTGGAAACATTATTGAAAAGGTGGCCAAGCAGAAGGATTGCAGCGTCATCAGGACGTACTGTGGCCACGGTGTCGGAAAGCTCTTCCATTGCCCACCCAACGTCCCGCATTATGCCAAAAACAAGGCCGTTGGCGAGTGCAAACCGGGCATGACCTTTACCATTGAGCCCATGATTGCCCTGGGCAAGTACAGGGACATTACATGGCCTGATAACTGGACTAGCACAACCATTGACGGAAAGCGAACGGCCCAGTTCGGTATGTTATAATCCCTAGTTTGGCATTTTTCGTCTGTGGGACAGCCACTAACTTGCGGTCATAGAGCACACTCTCCTTGTTACAGAAGACGGCTGCGAGATTCTCACAGCACGAACAGCCGACTCACCTGGAGGACCGATTCCCATGCCGGAGAAGGTGGACGGGGCGGCGGCTTGAGAGTCTGTCTGACATGGAAATGTACGACGGATATATGGCTCTGACTTAGTGATTTGATACCACCATTATGTAGCGTATTGTATGATGCGGCATCCTAGAGTTGAGCGATAGGGTACTGGTGTCGTTGGGTGTGCTGCGAGTGAATAGAGCCGTTGTTCTCTGCTGCAAAACTGTTGGATTGTGCGTGCCGTTGCTGCCAGTTCCTCCACTATGAGACTGGACGAAAGAGCACGGCTGTTTGCTCTCTGTTTCTTTTGGGAGCTTGGGGCAACTTAAAAGCTCGAGACGGGAGCCGTAGCACAAGGCTCAAGTTTTACAGCACACTGGCGCTACCTGGAGATAAGAGGCATGTACCGGTACTTGCGGGGTGTGTGTGCCCTTGCATCAGTGATCGGTGAATTCACATGAAAAATTCCTCTGAAGATGCTGCTGTGCTCTGTGCTCCTGTAGGATGGATGCAGGAATATGCCGCTAACAACAGCAAGGCTGGAGGTGACATTTTGCCGATAATGCGTCTGGTGATTTGACAGAGAGCAACGTCATCGCTACGACAGGTGATGTGCCAAGGCGTGAGCCAGATCTTCAAACAATCATGGAACTTGCTAGGTACCTTGGTAGGTACTTTAGTATCAATCACAGCTGTAGCAGTCCTAAAAACCCTTCTGCAACCAAAGACACCGAGCCCCCGTACTAAGGGCAGAGCTACCTAGGTACAGGTACCTGCACAACCCGCTATCAGCCCAAGCTCTCCCTCTCGCAGCAGACACGTTAGTGCTTGCGAATGCGCTGGAGTCCCCACTGGCTGCCCAGCCGAGCACGGGACCGCAGATTCGGGCTGGTTGGCTGGCGAGGCCAAAATCTTGCCCAGGTATCGCCACTAATACCAGACGAGGTCACCAGCTTTTTCCCAATTGTCTCTCGCCCACAAACTCGACTTGCTGTCCCTCCCCTCCGCCGATCGCATCATTCGCCCGTTCCCGCTTGAGGCCACCTCGCATCTTTTGCGCCCTCGCCGCCTTGCTTTTTCGCCATTCCCTGGTAGGCCGAGCACAAGCACAAGCTTTGTCAGAACCCCCCACTAATACTAGGTCGACCAGTTCCCCTCCCTCCTGCACGCCGCGCCGGAATCAAAGCTCGTGACGGAGCTTGAGCAACACCAATCCGCTAGTCGCCAGGAAGCACCGTTGCTTCTTCCTCTTCTTTGCTCTCTTCGCCTTCATCTCTGCTAGAGACTCCCCCGCCCGTCTGCTCGGAAGAACCGCCATGATGTCTGGAGAAGCGTGGCTGTTCCTTTTGGCGGTGTTGATCAACGCCGTCAACCTGTTCCTTCAGGTGTTCTTCACCATCATGTACAGCGATCTGGAATGGTATGACGCCCTCCTCCAATATCTCTGGACAGCAGGCACATGCGCGCAAGGAAGCAGCCTTGCCAATGCGTCTTCTGCGAGGCATCTTCGTACATGGCTGACTCGTATGTCAACAGCGACTACATCAACCCCATCGATCTCTGCAACCGTCTGAACGCCTACATCATTCCCGAAGCTGCCGTCCACGGCTTCCTGACCTTTTTGTTCTTGATCAACGGGTACTGGGTTGCCCTTGTTCTCAACCTTCCCCTCCTCGGCTACAACATCAAGAAGTGAGCTGCCCCCGAACCGCATTATTACCGCATATGGGCCTTTCTCTAACCAGCAACCTCCAGGATCGTTGATAACACACATCTGCTTGATGCCACCGAGATCTTCCGAAAGCTCAACGTTCATAAGAAGGTGCGTCGATTTGCGCAAGATCCTCGGCTCCTCAGAGCACATTGCTAACAATCCTGATAGGAGTCTTTCATCAAGCTGGCCTTCCACTTGATCATGTTCTTCTTCTACCTGTACAGCATGATCGTCGCCCTCATCCGTGATGAGTCTTCGTAAACCATGTCGACTGGTTGGCGAAACTGCCCTTACCCATTATACGATACCAATTTCTCTGGCAGGACCGATAAAACTAAACATGACGGGAACTCTGACGAGGCGCCGGTAGGGCAAGACAAAGCATGGGACAAGGGCCGTTAATGTTTAGAACTACGCTACAATGAAGCAGGTGAAGCGAATGGCGCGGATGTTTGGGAACGGGCAGGCTGGCTTCACTCGCAGTTTTAAGCACTGCGTCCGGTGATACGCTGGCGTTTAGAGCCTATGCCGAGGGCAATCCTCTTCTCTCTTCTTCAGAGAAATGAGTTTCGCAACCCGGGTAGTATAGCCTCCCCTTTCTTTATTTCTGCAGGAGGACAATCTGTTGGTCGGGGGTGGTCTGATGGAGTAATGATAAAACTTGAATGTCAGGAGGACGAGGTTGAAGCAGGGGTTACTAATACAGTTAATTGTATCATATCGTTGTTTGCGCCTATGTTAAATACGAAGTGAAAATGCATAGCAGGATCCATTTATATTCTCTACGTCCCACGTCATAGTTTGTTGCTTAACTGCGAGGCCGGACCAAATCGGTGCGACTACGACCTCAAACCCAACACCTAAAGCTCTCGTCCACTGCTCTTCGTCGTATGGATCACCATCAGGACTGCTACTATCAATTTTACCCATATTATCAGCATCATTATTCACCCAAAACCAACCTACCTATGCTCTTCCTAGAGAGATAGCAGCTATAATACTCACCTCTTCATCGTGGTGTATCACGTGACCCATCCGCTGGTCAAGACGCGCCACGCTCCTCTTCTCTCTACTTTTCTCTCCCCCAATCCCAATCTTCCCTCGACTTCAATCTTAATCGACAATTACGCAATCATGGCCGATTTTGGCGAATATCCGCCTAACATGGCGCCGCAGGATGCGCTCGTTGTACGACAGCAGGCGCAGCCAGACCACGAGGTTGTCCCTTATACCGCTGAAGATCTTGCACGGACAAAAGCTGGCCCTGCCTATCCGTACAAGCAGTCAACAAACACTCTCAAGCGCAAGAATATTTTAACAGGTCATGCTGAAGAAATGTTCCTGAGCGAACATTCGTTCAGAGCCAAGCACAGAGCTTTTGAGACCAACAACGGCCCAACTAAATCGCGACCCAGCCGAGAAAAGAAGGGAGACGCAAGTGTTGCCCAAGGAGTTGGCGAGTACGTCGGCCCCTGGGCCAAATTCAAGACGAAACAATATGAGGAAGTCGAGGTAGACGAGGATGACGACGAGTACGAGTACGAAGAGGTGGAGGAGGAGGAGGAAGAAGAGGTTGTCGAGAGCGGGACAGTCGTACAGGCACCTGCCGGTGCTCTCGCGCGGCGCAAGGAAGTGGAGGATCTGGGAGAGGAAACGACTACTTTCCACGGCTCCGAAGAATTCGACTACCAAGGCCGAACATATATGCACGTTCCCCAGGATCTGGACGTGGATTTGCGCAAGGAGGTCGGAAGCGTCACAAATTTCATACCAAAGAAGCAAATCCACAGCTGGAAGGACCATACCGGAGCCGTTACAGCACTGCGCTTCATCCCAAGATCAGGACACTTGCTTCTGTCAGCCGGTGCAGACACGACAGTCAAGATTCGCGATGTGTACCACGACAAGGAGCTCCTGCGGACGTATTCTGGTCACTCCAAGTCATTGTCCGACATTTGCTTCAATAATTCAGGAACCCAGTTCTTGTCTGCTTCGTATGACCGTATGATCAAGCTTTGGGACACAGAGAAGGGTATCTGCATCAACAAGTTTACGACCGGCAAAACTCCTCACGTTATCAAATTCAACCCTGATCCTGAGCACTCAAACGAATTCCTGGCTGGTATGTCGGACAAGAAGATTGTTCAGTTCGATATTCGAACGCCAAGCCAGGTGGTTCAGGAGTACGATCATCACTTGGCTGCCATCAACACTATTACTTTTGTCGACAATAACCGCCGCTTCATGACGACGTCCGACGACAAGTCGCTCCGCGCATGGGACTACAACATCCCCGTGCCCATCAAGTACATTGCCGAGCCAGACATGTATCCTATGACTAGAGCTGCACTTCACCCCTCTGGCAAGTATGTCGCATACCAAAGCTCGGACAACCAGATCCTCGTCTACGGGGCCAACGACAAGTTCCGCCAGAACAGGAAAAAGAGCTACCGGGGTCACAACAATGCTGGTCTGGCTATTGATTTGGACTGCAGTCCTGATGGCCAGTTCCTTGCTTCCGGTGACCAGGCCGGCTACGTATGCTTCTGGGATTGGAAGACGTGTAAGATGTACCACAAGCTGAAGGCAGGTAATCAAGCCGTGACGTGTGTGCAGTGGCACCCGCAGGAGACGAGCAAGGTTGTTACGGCCGGTCTGGATGGAGATATCAGATACTGGGACTAAAAGGTTCATGGTGAAAGCGAGCATGATTTTTGGCGTTGGGTGTGGGATATCCTAGAACTTGGGTTTGGAAAATAAACTGGCATTGTTACGAAGCGGCGATGATTTATGATGTTTTAATGCTTGCCTCTCAATGAAGGATTTTTTTGGGGGGTGTTATATCTTCGCTTATTGCGTCTTTATTCTTATTGATCTACTCTTCGTTCGACTTTTTTGCCTCTATCGACCCTGATCTCGCGGTCTCTCTGGTATTCGTCAAGGAACAATCCCTGTTGCAAGTACCCTTCCTCTTCATCCCATTCAGAGGACCGGTAACCCCGACCACCGAATTGCTCCTCACTCTGCTCATACGCATGTTTATCTTCTTGCCAATCACCATAAGTCTCGCTATCATCTGAAGTCGCCCCAATATCCTCAATGACAAAGCTTGTTCCCGTCGCAGTGCCAAAGCCGTAAGGGAACCATTTCATGGCAGCAGCTTTGAGGGCGAGCTGCTTGCGTTTGCGATCTCCAGGTGAGTCGTCATATTCCTGGTGAAGTCGTGACGCCCTCGAGGTCGTGGGTGTGACTTGAATGGACGCCGGGTTGAGCTGTGCGGCTCGAATCGATCTCAGAGCTTCTTCCGAGCCTAGGTCAAGATGGATCACGAAACAAGGCAGCATTGCTCGCTCTTCATGAATGATATATTCATACCTGCCGTCAAAGTGTGAATCGTAGCCGCTGACGAGCGGGCCATGGACAGAACCCAGCTTATTGTCCGATTTGGCGGCATACGTCCTACCCATCACGGTAGCGCAGACGAACAACCGCATGCTGGGCAGCATTCCGAGCGGCGTCTGTTCTCGCTGCCCGCTGGCGTAGGACATTGCGTATGCTGCGGACTGGGAAGAATAGATGCCGCGATTGAAAGCTATACCGGAGCGAGGCGACTCTATGCGTTTGCCGTCGGCGACTTTGCCGGGGAGGAGAAAGCCGTTGCGGATGATGGAGCGGACATTACGCAGGCTTGTGCCGTGGAATGTAAGTCTTGGCTTGACCATGTCTTCAACGACGGTGTCGATGGAGAGGGTGGTGCGGTAACGACCTTCTAGAGAAGAATGCGGTGGGAGCTTCTTTCGCAGACCGGGTTGCTCTGGAAGGACTGCGCGGAGGTGTTCTTGGTATCGTCGGAAGCGCTTGAGGAGGTCCTCGCGCATGATATTCTCAAAGTGAATTATTCTCCATGCTGAGGGGATTTGCTGTGCAATTTCCTCAGGGGTCATGCCGAGGAGGAACGAGGCTGTGTCGCGGATAGTAGAGACGTCGAGGCCGAAAGGGTTGGAGACTATATCTTCCCAGCTGGAGATTTCAGAGGCAGACCAGCCTTTGGTGTGAGTGGTGGTTGTCTTGGAGTCGGTTTGGTGTTGTGCTTCTTCACGATATTCCGATATGTGCTCCAAGGCTTGGAGGATAGCGATGTGAAGATGCTCTTCTCTAACACGCAATGAATCGTCATGTTCGTTGTAGAGGTTGAGGAAGATGGAGCGGACATGTTGCCGTAGGGGATCAAGGATGCGGCGTGGGATGGAGCTGTTGGTGTCGAGGATTCGGCTTGATAGGAAGATTTGGTGGTCTATAGAGAGACATAGCTGGAATGTGAAGTTGGAGAAGTGGAAATGGAAAGTTTGCTCGTTTAGGTCTTCTGCTGTGTCCTGAGACCAGGTGGTTACTGCTGGAGGGAGATGATTGTCGATGAGATTGATTGAGAGAGCCATGGTGGGCGATGATCTGGCATGGGTGGACGCGGTAATGAGTGTGATGATTTGACGAGCTGCAATGAATTAAAAGCAATTGTATATATACAAATGGTATTTGATATTATATGTCCTTTAAATGAAGTCGTGAATGTCGAGCTGATGGTGCCGCATATATACAAATGAAGCAGCATCCTCGGCAGAATGTATCCATAATAAGACGCCGGACTATGACTACTCATGCGACAGAAAGCGTCTCATCTTTTCGATACGTGGGGAAATGCATTTTATACATGTCTGTTGTCAGATCCGACCAGGCAGCGACAGCATCTATTAGGTCAATCCGATTGGTCCTCTAGCTGGTGGCATTGGCGATGGCGCATTTTTGGAGATGGCGGCGAGGAGTCATACAGAGGCGCAGGGCTGACTTTGTGGGTGATTTGATTGAAATACAGCCTCGTGGGACATGGTATTATAACGCGAATTAATGAATAGAACTTGGGATGAATAATTTGATGGGATTTAATGATGGATAAATTGTGTGCAGTTTGGATCCATTTCAGCTGAACTGCGTATCGCTTAGCTTGGTGTCTTACACGATATCATGCTGCATACTATGTGCCTATATAAAATAATGTTGGCACCAAGCACAGCGAAGTTACTTTAATTTTAGAAAGTGGCAATCATGCTCATCATATAAAAAGCTTCCAGGAACTCAATATTCAGCAATACTTTGGCTTAGATAGCAAACGTCAGGGGACTCGTACACTTCAAAAAGCATCACAATGTTGGGGCACCTCCTGCCGCATCGGCAGAGAGACCGGGAAGGAGGAGTGGGACGTCCGAGCTATTTGAATAATCTAGTATATATACTAGATTATTCAAATAGCTAGACATATCATCATCATCTTCTCCCTCTATCTTTGTCGTCACATCCCGCAGTGACGTTTGTAGATGTTGCTGGAGATCTGATACACAGCGTAACAGCCAAACCCCCAGTCGGTCCTTTACTGAGAGAGATCATCCATAATATAAAGATGGAGCATTCAAATCTCCATATACATACCCCGATGAACAGACTTTCTGTAGAACTCTCTCAACACCAGAGTTTTGGCATTATACTTCCTACCACGACATTCGTCATGGGCCAGAGCTGCCTTATTGATCGAAGCTTTCCACATTGTGTACGCAATCCAAATCTTTCTTATCATTAAAACTTTATGTAAAGTATGTATCACGATGGCCAGTGCAACTATATATTGAAAACATGTCCACATGAAATGCCTTTTCACTTTTCCTATCCTTCCCTCCTTCATTCCGTGGTTCTCAACTCCCATTCTCGACTTCCTAGTCGCTTATAGCTACCCTTTATCCTACAAATACTTGCCAAAGGATGGATGATATAATACGGCCGAGGAGCCCTAGTTTTGGACTGTGGCCAACTGCTATAGATTCTGACTGGTTCGACGACGAGGTGACGATCATCGCATCGGGGGCACCATCATTTACAGCCTCATCCGACACATGTGAGAATGGCTTCTCAAATTTCCAGCAACTTAAATTTACTAGCACTAACAATCACTTAGATGTGAATCGGACTCAGTACATAGAGGATTCTGAAGAGGAGTTTCCGTTTCGAGAACATGCCACGTATTATTCGAGACCTGAGAATCGCCTCGCGAGGAATATCAGGAATTTCTTGAATACTGCCAGAACAGTGGCTGGAGCTCTGCATCGTCTCCAAGGATGGTGGACACGAAGGCTAAGGCGGCGACAACGGCAAAATCTACGATGACGGGAACGAAGGCCATTAATGCGTTAGACGTTTGTCGCGACAACAGAACGGTGGACGGAACATACAGTTGGAATGATGTTGTACTCTAGGACCATCAGTTTGCTACGACTGGCGTTTGGGGTTGGAAATCTAAATTCGAAAGCGCTATAATGTTTGGAATATGCCTGTTAGATGGATAAATGCCTGCGTCTTATTGAGGGAAGCTCGGTTGTGGGCCACGAATCAATAGCTGTATCGCCATTATGTCGTTATTTAGGCTTGCGTCTTCCTAAGACTCATTATAATACATACTGCCATTTAATTGATAAATACTAGCATACAACTCCTACACAACCAATTCCGAGTTGTGGGTGCCTCATTCTTTCCTTGGCGCCTTGACTGGTTTTGCAACCATAAGCTCAAGGATGGCGTGAACAACCTCCACAGCCGCAAGTGCAGTCGTCTCGGCATTATCATCGTATGCCGGTGCCACTTCTACTACGTCTCCTCCAATAATGTTCAAGCCCTCCAACCCAGCCAAGATGGTCGTCAACTCGCGGGTGCTCCAGCCGCCTGGCTCAGGAGTACCGGTTGCTATTTTTCGTCAGTGATCAGAAACTAGTTTCAATTCTATATAGGAGTATCATACCAGGAGCAAATGCAGGGTCGAGAACATCGATATCGACACTGATGTAGACGTTGCTATCACCGACGCGCTGTCGGATACTATCAACGATCGACTGAGCTCCCTTGGTGTCCAACTCCCGGGCAGTGATTGTGTCGAATCCGCAGCGTCTGTCATTTCGCATATCCGCCTTCCGTCGTGTCAGCGGAGCGCGAATGCCGGCATGGATCGATGAGTTGAGAATGAGATTCTACAGAAGTAAGTTATTCATCATCATCTTCAAAAGAGATAGATGTGTGAAACATACCTCTTCATGCGCAATGTGCAAAAAAGTTCCATGGTTAATTCCTCTGGAGAAATGTTAGTTTAGTAACAATATTTGCCAGACTACAGGTAGTTTTCGCCTTACGCATAGTCTGAAATACCACCGCCTTGTTCAACGTCAGCATCATAATTTGTTTGGATAGCGGCAAGAGGTTATTTCGTACCTAAAACTGCTGGATCCCAGGTGTCAATGTGGCTGTCAAAGTGAATAACCGACACCGGCCCCCATCGCTTATGTGTAGATCGCAGCGCTGACAGAGTTGTCGTGTGGTCGCCTCCTAGCGTCACGATTCTCGGAATAGTTGACTTGTCAGGGTGAGCCGTCGATCTCCCAGAAATAACCCTGTGGGCTTGATCAAGCGTCTTGAGCGCAACGCGATTATCGAGGAATGTCAGCGGGGCGTCAAAGCAGTCAACGACTCTGGCCCAGTCGTGGACCGGATCGACGCCTGAATGTGGAAGACGATTAGAAATTTGTCACGATTACTGCTTAAACTCGCTGAATGAAGCAATTTGAGGACTTCTCACCGGTATATATGCTGTAGCCGTATGCCTTGCGCTTACTGGCGGTCCGGATAGCAGTTGGTCCAAAGCGCGCCCCGGGACGTGCTGTTACTGCCTTTTCATTTCACATTGTTAGTCAATGTAAAATTAACAATCCAATGGCGATACACACCGTGTCAAAAGGCGCGCCAAGAATGGCAATATCGAAGCCCTCTGAAGAGTCATTCTCGACAAAGCAATTCTCATACGGCACACTTGCATAAGTGCCGATGCCGCCGAAGTCATACGTCGACAAATCAATCTCACCAATGACACTCTCGGTATGAGCCCAGAAAGGAATCTGGTTATCGCCGTTTGCCACAAATTGATGTGCATAGACGCCCGTATGGAGCATGTATGTGAGCGGTACTATGGATGAAAGCAAGTGATACATGGTCAATTAGTTTCCCTCAAGGGACTTTAGTATTGAGCAGCTTCTGGTTTAGGCATGAAAAGGCAATTGGCCGGTGATTGAGAGAGTAAGAGAACAGCGGTATGAGATTCATCAAGACTGGATTGTTGATAAATACAGGTAGATACTAGGCATCTGTAGTTAGTTTAGCTACCCCGCTGAATGTCTATTAAGCTTCGCCCGATTATCAGTTGCCGAATTGACACGGCTCCATCCAACCATGCCACTACTAGGTAATAAACTGCGATATCCGCATTCTCATGCCACGATATGGCATCACTTACTAACCTCAATCAGCGCCCTTTCAACACAGCCACTCCTCTCGCCGTCGCCGAAGCAATTCACACTATCCACAAGGAGACGAGCTGGTGCCTCCGAATTAGGCGGGTTCAGTTCGCCGTTTTCGGGGGCTTCAGTAATAGTGATGAACGCTAGCAGCTAAGTGCCACTCCAAGATAGGCAAAGTGAAGCTACCTGTCAGTTTTATGATACGACGGGAAGATGAACCTTTTACTTAGTCGACATATACACCAAGGCTGACAAGATGAACTACACCTTAACTACATTACTGTAGATATCATAGACAAGGCTTCTTATGCCTCAGTTGCGCCATAACCGTAGTTCCGCTTAAAGTCTCCTGGGCTTAATGGTTCGACCTTGGTCCTAAAGTTGTATTCAATCGGTGTGACGCTCTCATCCCAAGTGACATGGAAGTCATAATAAAAATCGCTCCCGTAGCTTAATACCCATGGCAACTTCCATCCTGGCTTCTTCTTATAGGCCTCAATTTTCTCAGTAGGCGCGCGCGACACTCCTGCGAAGGCTTTGTCTTTGGAACCAAGATGTCGCACATCTGGGATATGATCACATATAAATGGGTATCTTTTACAGCTGGAGTCTATATCAGGTTCAAGCATAAAGTGATACATGATGAGTTGCCTTTTTCTCATTGAAGAGATCAGAAAGAGAGACGCCAGTGCCGGCAGCGGTTCAACAGACGTAAGGTTTCGTAACTTTTACCATGGGGAAGATTGCGAACTTGGGCAGCCAAAGCGTGCTTGGCGCGAGTCATCTCCTTTTCTTTGATGAGGAGAGCCTTGCGGGTGGCAACCCACTCTTCCTGGCTAACAATCTGGTGGATGTCATTATCTTGGCTTAAAGGGAGCTTAAGAAAGGGGACGATATCAATGACCGAGAGTTTACTTCCTTTGTGGACATGTCTACTGTTCCTTGAGATAGTATGTTCTTGGGAAGCTTTTTGAAGCCCCAGTATCTCGAAGTTCCTAGTTTCCCAGTACAAACAAGAGTAAATAAAAATTTCCGGTGTAGGGATATGATATACTACCATATTTATATAATGGAAAGCGGGACAAGGAAGATAATCCATCAAAGAAGCGGAGAAGGTCGGACTAATTACAGTGGAAGTTGTTTATACTGCTAGCAGATTACACACATAGTCATGAAGCGGGCTTCAAAGGTTCCCAACTACCGACTACTCTAACGGACAGTTGTGATGGTGAAATGCAGTGAATATCTATCTTGCAGGGTTACTGAAGTCCAAACTGAGCATAGTGTTGTTGAGAGAGGGAAGCTAATATATCGATCCTCCGAATGAGTGTCAGCCGTATTTGTAATATATCTTTACAGCAACTACATTTCCGCTAATCAACAGCTATAAGTGTGGCTAATGATGAATTCAGACGTGGATTGGTAATACTCGTAAAGTTAAATAAGGCCCAAAGGATTTCGCGAGCTCAAAGGTAGGTGTGGTGTATTCAGCAGGGTTACTAAATTCCCTATTGGGAAGAGCGTCGGTTTTTATACATTTGGCAGGGCTACTGGTTCCCGTATTGGGAAGAGTGTCAGCTTCCCAAAATCGCGAAGCGTTTCAATACAACGTAAACTCGTCATAGATAGAGCCACAAGCTGTTACTTCAGGTATCTCGTTATCCATTAGGTGGAGTCATCGGTCATTATTACAACGGCTCAGAGTCCGTCGAGGTCGATGTCTGGGGGAAGCTTTGAGTATAAATACACCTCCTTTGAACCCTTTCCAAGGCTGTGTTTTAACAACAACATCAACAAGATTCACCAACACTTCTTACAATTTATTCTACATCTCCAATTCACAAATCCAAACTGCCCACCATGTCCAACCAACCCACCATCAACGAGCTTCTGGAACGCAACAAAGAGCTTGCAAAGACATATACCCCAAAGCCCACTATCGCTGAAATCAAGTCAGAAGGACACCCCTTGCCAAAAGTACTGGTTGTAACCTGCGGTGACCCTCGATGCGTTCCTGAACAATTCCTCGGAGCTACCGCTGGTGAAATCGCCGTCTTTCGCAATGTGTGTGGCCATGTCGCCGCTGAGATTCCTTTTATCCTCTATATGGATTTGATACTTCACTTTGACGAAGTCATGGTTGTTCATCACACAGGTATGTGCTGCCAAGTTGAGCAGAGTCCCATAAGTAACCGTGCTGATGCTGTTGTAGATTGTGGTGCATTCCAGTTTGACGATGCCACGGTTCGGAAGGTGCTCAAAGTCCGAGCACCGGAGCATGCAGCAAAAGTAGATGAGTATACGGAGTTCGGTGTCATCACAGAGTATTTCTACCCCTCCAAGAAAAGCCGTGATGCGATGAAGCTAACGTTGGGCAGTCTCGACCAAAGTATCAAGGAAGATATTGCCGCGCTTAAGTCTTCTCCTCTGATGAGAAAAGAACTTGTTAGCGAAATACGCGGCTTTGCATTTGACATCAAAACCGGTCTGCTTCGAGAAGTAGAAGCCTGAGACAAGATGATAGGGGTCAACGGCTTCGAGCATAAGGATTCAAATTGATGGAACCTCTGAATATCGCGTCGATGACTCACCAAAGTGCTCATGATGGAGGGACTTGATGCCAAAAGGAGACCCAAGCTTTCAATTAGAGTCATCAGTTAGTGTCAAATATATCACGTTACTAAAGAGAATCGTTCTCACCATGTACCGGAAGATATTGCATCCTTCTATGCAACTATTATTCCTTGGCCTTCATCTCCCCTCTGAATCCCTTCAGCTTTGCCCACCGTTCAAAGACTGGCCATGGAATCGTGCAGAGTGGCGTCGCCCTATTCTGTGCCGCTTCCTTATATGCATGTATCCAATCCAATTCTGTCTCGAGTGTAGCCTTTGCCACAACTAACTTGACAGCAAAACAAAGAGATGCACGGGGAACTTTCATCCGAGCGTTGTACTCTAAATCGAAAAGGTCACTGACATGCTGCCGAGTCTCATCTTCCAGTTCGCATCCTATCTGCGGTTGAAGAGCAGCCGAAATACGATTCAAAAATATCATACTCTCAAGGTAGATGCCGATGGCCTCTATGCCCCGACTTTGCTGATACATTCTGTCTGTTTTCGATAAATTTTGCGCAGTTGATAGGGAAAGGCTATCATGGCATCTTCGCCAGGTTTGAAGGGCAGTTCGGATGACATTCACGCGTTCCACTAGTCTAGCCAGACCGTCCACACCGACATCGTTGGGTGAGTAGACTGCAGCTCGAACATCGTTCACAAGGCGAGGGACCAGAGCAGTGTGCCGTAGTAGCGAGATTCTGATTTTACTGCAGTCGGAGAAGGTGGTGTGCTCGAGAATAGCGGATGAGAGAACCGCACTCCAATCATCTTCTTCCAGGAAGCATGGTGCGCCCCATAGCATCGCCTCTGTGAACTGCAAGACATTTAGCGATTTGGATGGCGAAGATCAAAAGAAGTGCAATATAATAACGTACAATGGAAGGGACGAGAGCAAGTAAAAGTGCCTTTTCAAATTCTGTTTGGAACCGTCTAGGTCCTCTGAGCCGTATCAATGCGCTTGCGCCAGCGACATGCGTTCTGCACTGTGCCTGTTGCACAGAGGGAAAGTCAAGCAGCTATTCATAGATGTGTAAGCGCTCACGCTACTGATTTAGTTAAAAGAAGCTGGCGAGGAATACCTCATATATTGCAAGGATTTCTATAGCGCACAAAACACCCGGATCCAGACGCCTCACCGGGTCATCTAAGCATTCTTGAAGCGTGCGTAAGGCGACTTGGTAATGACGGACAACAGCGTCATCTGGTGTCTTCTCAGCCGTGCCTACATATTTTCGTACTCGGACAGCAATACAATGAATCGCGTCATCCAGGCATTTGCTGTATCCATAATGGCTTGGAACGTAGGAGAAATAAGACCACTGGTGGCATTTCATGAGACTCGATAGGCGATTGGGTTTTGCCTTGAGGGCTTGAGATGCAGGCTCGCCAATGTAGAAACTGGTCAGAGCAGAAAGGTCCAGCACGTCAAAGCTATAGTCTATTCTCATTCTCTCATAACCTGTGGCCGTCATGGGCCGAGGGACTGCTCTCGTAACCACAGGTACAACCTGCTTAGGGACGTTGTCTTGAGATGCATCGTTCAATTTGGCCGAGAGTATTTGTTCTGGGTACTGTCCGGCATTAGCCTGGTTGTAATTGCCTCTTTGCTTTCGTTCAGATGCGGCTTTGCTCATCGCCTGTCGTCTGATCTGTTTACGAACAGATCCTGATTTCGGAAACGATCCATCAGAGGTCGTGACGAAGACGATACCAATCTCATTTCCGTTGCGTGATGATGGCATGCTGCTGAAGAATTTGGCTTCCGCTCTGATCTGGCTCAGAGGCAAAGTCCAAACAGGTGAGTAAGAGGATTCCAAGAGGACCTTTACATTTTAGTTACGATATATGCTGAAGGATCTTGTCAGCTAAGTAGCAGTGCTACAAGGCAAGTGACAAGGCTGTGGCAACAGGGACGAATATTAGCGTGAATTGTCTTGCAGGGTTACTGATGCCTGCTTTGGGTAAAGCATATTAGACTAGATGGGTTTAAGTTGGAGGCTGACGATGAAGCTCTCGCGCTAGCCTTTGGTTGCAGCGATCCTTTGTCGGACGTTATGCACAGTAGCTCATTCGGAGCTTTTATTTCGTAAAGAAAAGTTTCGGGCAGTTATTGAGAAGAAGTAGAGAGCGATATGTTCGGCGTAGATTAACCGTTGACAGGGCCGTTCCGCTAACTAACCCGCGTTCCTACCGGAATACGACACCAAACAGTTGGACCCGAATTCTGAGTCACCAGTTGCGAGCCTGAACTACTGTAATGCAACGCAATTATCTAATGTTGCAATGAACCCATGTTCACAGCACCCTGATTCTAGATTTGAAGCGGCACGATACATGTACTTATGAGTACTACTTACAGGATAACTGCATTGCTGGGGGAGCTTGGGGGTATGGATGGCCATTGTGCGGAGAATGTTTGGAGGTATGTGTACCTACTTCAGTGTATTACAGCTATTAGCACATGGAAAATTGAAATCGATAGCAAGATAGCCACGGTATTCCCCCTGATATAATGCCATCTAGTGGCATAAATGATGATAGTTCAATCATGATATTGTGCCCACTTCTTTCCAAGACTCAAAGATACACCAAAGTAGAGTACCCTAAACAGCTCCCCATACCCAAGTCTAAGATGTGGGAGAGTAAATCCCTTCACATATTAACCACTACAAGCTATAAGGACTCATGATGATGATCCTTCATACCAACTACCCAGATGCGATGCGCCGCCTTTTCCACATTCCGCACACCTGCACTGTAACGTAGATACCGAAACTAACTTGTGAGTTCCACAGGTAGTGCAGTGCCCCAATATCGGTCGTTGCAGATATGACTTGGCAAGATCACTAGCGAATTCGGGAATCTCATCTATCAGACCATCCAAAGACTCCTGGACGCTGGGCTTGAGCGGAGTCACCGCGACTCTCTCTCTAATAGACTCGACCACAATGTCACGCAGTATTTTGCTTGACTCAAATTGTAAGTCGTAAACCTCTGCCACATACTTGCAAAAAGTGCAAGTATTGCGTTCGTCTCTGATAGTTTTCTTAAACTTAGTCTTCGATAAGGTGAGAAGCCCGTCGATGAGATATTTGTCCGCTAGACTGAACATTCTGACGTGCTGGACTAATTCGGAACCCACATCACTCTCTCCAGACGGTTCCCCACCCGGCATCCCAAAAGCCTCCTCGTCTGGTTCCTTGTCGTTGGTTTCATAATTGCCCGTGTATAGGTAGTCTACCATTCTTTGGACAGTATCGAGAGAGAAGTCCTTGATTTCGTATCTCCCAGAGGACTCCTAAGCGATTGCAGAGAAGCAGCAGTCTCAGAAGTAGCCCATTTATTGGTAAAGATACATGGACTTACCTTAAATGAACCAGTACATGCTGCTTTAATGACTGGGGATTGCAAGCAGACAATAACCTTATGGACGGGTATCGTATGGCCATTGCATACAATTTCAAGATCACAAAACTCTCCATTATTTTGGGCACTATTCCAGATAGAAGGTCAATAATTATGAACTATTCCGTGTAATTTTCACTCACTTTAACATTCGCTTGGATAATTCATTATAATATGTTGTTAATTGCGATCGCATCATTTCGTCGGTGCCAGTAACAAGGCAGGAGTAGATGACAGGATAAAACAAACTGGGAATTGCTCTGCTTGCGATTTTCAAGGTGAAGACATGCCGGCTATTGTTTCCAGAGGCGCTAAACCGCAGCTTATATTATTGGGGGCTTCGATTAACTCGTCATGTTGCCGTCACTCTGGTTCGGTGCTAAAATGGCACGGAATAAGCCACATTCAACACCAAGGTTTGCTTACCGATCACATATCAATTTCGTGCTGGATTAGAGAAAAATATTAAATTAGAAATTCTGGATAAGGTATCCACGTGCTATCTTTCTCAAACGTACAAATAGCTTGCCGTAATCCATCGAATTGCAAAGTTTATTCAGCCATAAGGTCATGTCTATGAATCTCCACTAATACCTAGGTATAGGAATATCCAACGATGCGCTATATCGAGATACTAGAATTATAATGGAGATCCAGAACGAAATCCATATTCTGGTGTCAGCCGCTGCAAAAGTGACATGGCAAGGTCTCTCGCGAAGTCAGGAACCTCTCCCATAATGCGATTTAAAGAGCCCTTGATTTCGGGATCAAGCGGAGCATTCGCAATTCTCTCGCTAATAGACTCAACCACGATGCTGTGGAAATCTCGGTTGTTCCTATTTTGTGGTTGATAGACCTTCGGTATAAATTCGATTAGGGCGCAAACACTCTCTTCATCCCTAATAGCCGCAGAACATTTATTCTTCGATATATCGCGAAGCCCCAGGAAGCCATAATAGCTTGCCAGCCTCATCATGTTACCATGAATGATCAGATTAGAAAATTTTTCCTGCTTCATGGCCGTGGGTGGAGGCAATATGTGGTAATTGCCAGTATATAAATAGTCGACCATTCGTTGAACGTCTTCAAAAGAATAACCTTTGATCACATATCGTCCAGAAGCCTCCTAGGCAGCCGCAGATAGACGTGAGTTTAGAGAATAGCCATGATCATCAATATTTGTAGGCTTACCTCGCCTAGCCAAGTGCAGTCCCCCTCAATTTCTTCGGATTGGGAGAAGATGATGAACTTATGGACAGGTATTGTTCGGCCATCGTCGCATGCAAGTTCAAAGTCGCAATATTTTTTACGCCTCCTGGCGCTACTCAAATGCAAAATGCAAGGTTAGCCTTATACCAGGTAATAGTGTAATGATCGCATACTTGTCTATTTTCTCGCAACGATGACACGAGGACATTGCCGAATATATCCGTATATTCGGTCGAGTTCAGAAACAAGACGGCGACTTATAACGAGATGAAAATGACTGCGTTTTGCTTTGCTCACATCAATGAACCAGTTGGTATTCTTTTTGGGGATGCAAAATGGCATATATATCCACGCCATCTTTCCAATGGCTTTAATTGTCCTCACGTGTTGCTTTACTTTCACCTACCACAGAAGTGAATAAAGGCACACTCACATAGGCAGCCGTGATGCTGTTATTAAAATGGAAACAAGTTATTCACATTACTATATCACCGAGCTACAAAAAAAATTATTAATTAAATATATTAGTACTATAGAAAATTGGCCTTGACTACCTAATAAGCAGAAATGGGAAACAGCTAAGCAAGATACAAAAGTACAATGCTGTAGAGGAACAGTATAAACTTAGAAATTACGGATAAGATATACACGTGCGATCCTTCTCGAATATACAAATAGCCTGTCGTAATCCATCGAGTTGCAAAGCTTATCCTGCCATAAGGCCATGTGTCTGAGCGACTTCGCGGCAGCCTGTATGTAAGAATAATCAGCAATGCGCCGTATCGGGAATACCAAAACGTTAAATTGGGATCCGGAAAGAGGTCCTTATTTTAAAGTTGATCACCGCAAGACGTGAGATGGCAAGGTCCTTTGCAAAGCCGGGGCCCTCTCCATTATGAGGCTCGGCAATTGAAGCATTCCTGATAAAATCGATACCAGAGCAGAGGTTATTTTTATTTCCTGGTTACAATACTCTCTCCAGTAGCATGAATGATAAGGTATATATATATATATACCCTCTACTGCTACTCTCTTTCGGTGTCCAGACTCATAGCAGAGCGCTATAAGAATAGGTGCATGGGAAAGATATTTTATTAACACCCGTAACTTAGGCCGATGAACAGATGGGTGTGTTCAGCCACTCTCTTCATGTATAGATCACTGCCATCTATTTAGATCAAGGAGCATTCGTTCTTCCATTTCTTCCAACTTAATATTGGTCCGTTTCGTTCTTTGCCTTGTCATAGTTTACTTACGTTTTCTACCACATTCGCTGCATCGTCCCGAGCTCGGCTCTGCCAGAAATGATTCAATAAGGTCTCTCGCAAAATCGGTAGCGGTTTCGCATGTATCCTCCAAAGCCTGCAGGACTGCAACCCTGATTGGATCCTCCTCGATTTTCGTCCTGATAAAGCGAGCCACGGAGCGGCGGAGTCTTCCGTGTAGGGTAGGCTGTAACTCATAGAGTTTCAATGTAAGTTGCACAAGATCAATCGGATTCCGCTCTTCCTTAAAAGCAGCGATAAATTTATTCTCAGACAAATCAAGAAGTCCCTCAATGGAATATTTGCATGCCAAATCAAGCATTATAGCATGAATGATAACTTCAGGGACTACCTGTTGTTTCTCCGATGAGGCCTGAGATACAGTATCATAGTTGCCAGTATAAAGGTAATCGACTATTCGTTGGAGGTATTCAAAAGAGCAATCTTTGACTTCATATCTACTAAAATCTAACTACACAATCACAGAGAAATATGAGTATAGGGAATAAACATGGAATTGAAACATGCCAGTTTACCTTGCTTAAATCTCTATATTCCAATGGAATCATCTTGGTTTGTGCGCAGACAATAACCTTATGGACAGATAATACCCAACCATGGCATACAAGTTCAAGGTCAGTGTAGTTTCTGTCCTCTCTGGCCCTACTCAAAGGCAAATGTGCAGGGTTAGTATCCATTGGGGAATTCTTGCACTGGTCACGTACCTCGATAAACATCTGCTGAGATACATTGCTGAATTGAACGGTATCCTTTTTTAATTCGTCATGAATATCCTGAGTGCTACTAGCGATGCGACAGGTTACGAGGTGACGAGGTTGTTGGGAGGATAAAACGGTCGCGCTTTACTTTCTTGCGATTTCATGCTGGCAAAAGGCCAGTTATATGCTGTTCAACGTCTTTAGATCTCAGCTACATATTACGTTCGCGCCAGACTCACTTCTCCAAACGTGTTGCCGTCACCTTCATCTATTGTTGCAAGTGAATGAACCACACTCTTGGCAACCACTACGGCTACTTGCGTAACATGAACGCGAGACATTTACTTCGATACTAAAAGTGAAAGAATATGCCCCTGCTACATGTATCAGCAGGCAAGCTTAAACACAAATATTACATTAATTCGTACTGAATTATAGAAAGAGAGAAGAGGAAATAGCATCGGCTAGTCAAGACAACCGCTAACTGTCGACACACACCAGTAAGCAATTCTCGTTACAGATGCTTAGAGAGATGAGGGTTTACATTAAAGGCCATTCAACACACAGCCAAGTCTAATATACGTGTGAATATTTATGTTTATTGCTTGTAGCTGTCGTATGCGTCTTGGTATCAGTTACCACTGCGTAGAAATAGTATCCACCTCCCTATCACTCAACCCCTTACACCCCCCACAGCTACATCTGAAGCCATAGCACAAATATAAGTCCTGCGGGCTCAGATTCTTCCCATATGAAATCTTGAGCTCTGTTCCAGCAGTAATATCTTCTCGCACCATCATCGTAAGAACGCCATTGTCATGGTCAAACTCATATTCCACGTTGTTGACGGGATCGCACGCATGGTTGAATCGCGCGGCGATGGGGAACAAGCCGGCCGCATGGCGACTAACAGAGAAGCTGCATGCTTGTCAGTAACTTGGTAAGTAGATTGATGGAGACATCCGAACTTGCCAATTGGTCTGCCAAATCGCGAGAATGAGGGGCGTGCCCCCCTTTATGAGGCGATGCGCATGAAGGCTCAGCGCGGCCTTCTTAGCATCCCCGTCAAGCTTGTAGAATTCGTGAAAGACATTATCAGTCTCCGCCACAAACAATGGAGTCTCTCTCAAGATGACGGCTCCCTTTGTGAGATCCCGTGTCGCAAACGCTCCCCATCCGGCAACACTGGATTTCGCAACTTTAAAGTATTCGTTGTGGTATATGGGGCCTGGCGACGTCTTTAGTACGGCTGGAGGAATCAGAGGCGCTTTTATAGCCTTGACTATCTCCAAATCGGCATCTGTATTATCGGCGCTCTTTTGCGTCTCGCGACTGTCGTTCGCTTGCATTTCAAGCAACTCACTCGTCTTCTCTGAGCATTCGCAAGTCGCATCATGTGAGCTCAATGTATCACTCTGTATCTCTGTCGCAGAGCTAAACCTCATCAGCCTTATTTCGTATCCAAAGTGAAGCACACAAAGAAGGGCAAAGCAACCTTACGCTCTCCTCCTCCTCAGCGACTTCACTTTCCGCGCCATCTCCCAGTTGATCGAGCACCCATGAAAGATCAATCGACAAATTCTTGTGTCTGGTCTTGCTTTTCTTTGCTCTGGATGGACAACTCGCGACGGTTATCGGTATCTTGTTCGAGATGGCCCATTCATTTCGGCGCAGAGGTAAACGAGAAACAAGGTCGATCCGCCCCGACCATGGGTGCAAAAGTGCTGCGACTGTCAATGAGTAAGCCATAGTGATGTGAATAAGTATATAACAAGAAACTGATTAATAGGAGATAAATATCGGGGTTTTTTGTTGTGGGCTGTATGAATTGTGTCGGGAATGGATTGAGAGGGAACCGAGTGAGAGGCAATTGACATTAAGTTGGACGAGCGAGGAACGTAAAAGCTCGAAGTGCTAATTAAAGTTGGAAGTAAGATAAAAGTGAAGTGAACTGAAAAATGAAGGTAGAGTTGAAGAAGTTAGGAAATAAAGAAGAAGCATGCCAATGTTTAAATAGAGAGCCTGTTTGCTTTGCTTGGGTCACGTTTTCAGACGCGAGGCAGAAAAGAGGGCGGTGATAGAACAACTGAACACCTCAACAACGGCTAATCTAAAGATGAAGAAATATAACCACCGAATCAGAGTAATGGACTGTCTTCGCAGCCACCTAGTCACCCGGCGAGAAGAAGACACTCCCTTCCACGGGAAGACGCCGTATCCACACCGCCGTTTGCCTCCCGAAAGCAAAATCGCCATGATAAACATTCACTGCGTTCAAAGAAGACGCTGCGACACAAGAGCAGATACAAGATGGTATAATGTATTAACTAACTTCAGTGAATAATAGACTCCTCTTTATACCCAATAGCGCCTTGTAATAACCGCCCAGCTGATGCCCCAATATTCCTTTGCCCCCCTCCGTTGACGCCAGCAATGCATGGTTTCTCTTTGTGCCCATTCCCGTCTTGTGTAACGATGCTACCCTTAGAGTCCCAGTCCGCTAGGCCGTAATTATATCTCGTCCAAAGAATCCATCCACGCTCCTTGCTATTACTCGTATACCCCCCATGCCCAGGCTGCTGATATACCCGACTCCAACACCAGTGTATCACTTCGAACAAACTTGATCAAATACCACTCGAACAGCGATCGATAAAATGCAAAATCACACGCGGTCCACGCCAAGCTTCCTCCTCGGTCGAAGGGGGCAGTCACCTTGGCAGTCGGGACACCGCAGGCAGCCAGGCTTGGACCAAACTTTCCTGCACCTGCAGACCCAGAGATCCCGTCCCGTCCTTGTAGTAAGACAGTCAAAGGGAGCGTGTATACCTGTCTCCACACCACAGGAGATGCAGAACCGCCGAAGCATGACGAGTCGATCCGACCGCGGGTCTGGCTCTCGATCACGGACAACGTGTCCATGGACATCGACGTAGACGGATTGGGGCTGCAGCATGTCAAAGTGCTCCGGCGACCGCACGCGAAAGCAAATGTAGCACTCGAAGTTGCCCGGCTTGTAGTCATGCCCCTTTTCGCTAGGGCGGTGCTGTGGAAAGTCTTTCGCGGCTCTCATGACGAACTGTGCTTTGTCTGCTGGATCAGCCATCCTCTGGGGGTTTATGGTTTGATGAAAGTATCGGTTCATGGTGGACAGGTGGATGAGGGCTTGGTAGTCCAGGTGAGAAAAGACGAGCCGCTGGAGCTCTTGTGGTAAACGTTCGATGAGGCACGGCATGGTACGTGAATGTTGCCGATGGTGAGATGACTGATGAAGTTGCGGGGAATGATACTGCTGGTGTGGGAACTGGAGCTGCTGCTGCTGCTGCTGGGGCGCTTGGTTTTGCATTTGAGGCTGGTAATCTTGCCGATGATGGTGACTGTGCTGGCGTTGATGGCTCATCTGGGGCTGGCTGTGGTGATGGGGGCTGAGAGGTTGGCGTAGAGGTTGATGTTGGTTGGTGTAAGGATGATAATGGTGGATGAATCGTGAGGCAGAAGACTCAAAAGGTATGTTGTGACCACTAGGGGCTCCCAAATTCGGAGTCATGGTAGGTCTGGGAAGGACGATCATGGCGGGCTAGAGAGATTTGTCGACAAGATTGATCTCGATAATATCATGCAAGACAAGGCATGCAGAGGGAATATAAGCCCGTAACCCCAGGTCGTCCAAGTGCTACTTCTGGCAGATTATCCTGGATCAATCTAATAAGAAGGCACTTGACTACGGGAAGCGCCGCCGCAAAGGTGGCATAACGAGAAGAGGGGGGAGTGGGTGTATGGACAAGGGCTGCTGGCTTAGATGCACCCACGCGGTATCTCGAGCATACTCATACCCGCACGTTGGGATCGCAGTGTTATTTCCTCACAAACCCGCCGTTGGCTGGGTTTCATCTGCTCCGTACAGCTGAGACAAATTCGCCTGGAACATGGTCGGTGGGCCATTTCGAGGAAACATGGCAATGGAAACAAAGGAAGCGCACATGGAAAGTGCTCCACCAAGGGAACACAACACCAATCCCTTCTCCTAGTCACCGTCTACGGCCGAGCGAGATTCTCAGCCAGGAGGACGCAGAACCCCTCCCCAAAAACCTTGGACATGGGACCGGCAGCATGGTTAGCTAGCTAGCCCGTTGGGGGCAGGATAGACACACAATCGCCGACTGATAGATCCCGTAGCTTGGCCAAATCTGCATGGATACCTTACGGTAGCTCGCGGCACTGACAAAGTTAGCAGATGAAGGCAAGGGGGCGGAATATAGCATCACCTCATGCGTGTGGGGGGTTAGGTATGGAGATGATACTGCCGTTTCCGCATTGGCATGCTCCAACTCCTAGACATTTCCATTTCAATCTCTAGGCTATCCACCAACCAACGCGCAAGAGTGTGTCGTTTACTATTCGGGGTGGGCGTGGACCATGAAATGCTACGCAATTCCGGTGCACCGCTCACCGGGCCACTTCCCCGGCCATCAACAACCTGTCAAGCCTTTTGGTCATGTGTGCAAGCTTGAAGTCTCAGAAGGGCCTAACAGCGAACCGTCCAGCCGGGTGAACCGCATGGGGAACATGTTGTTGTGAGCAAGGGCAGATATGGCCCTTGTACGGCCCTCGTGCCTAACCAAGCGGCCCTTCAGCTGAACCTTCCAGAGCAACATTGATGCTACGCACGTACAGTGCCCTATGCCTGTATTGTGTTGGCCAGCTTCGCAACGGAGACGACGCACTGACTTGTCGAGGCTGCGTTGTGCGTGCTTGTCTTGTACCTGAAGCACGCACAGGAGCACTTGTCAACGTACAGGCCCACTCGCTATTCTCACTTTGTTGGCGGCTTCGGCCACCGTTTTCCCGGCGTTGGCGATTTCGCACGCATAAGTGCATCCTCGATCCACCGGCAGTTCTCCAGGTCTCAAAGGGGCCTCGTACTTGCACAGATGATGCCCGGCTTTACCATCGCGGTCAGCGCGGTGACCAGGGAGGACAGTCGCCCTGACTGACGGCGTCGGCCGTCCGCCTCTCGACGATGGCTATCGCCCGACATGTCCGCTGGCGACAAGCATTTTTGACCGATCCAAATAGCTGGGCCCTCGAGCTGGGCGGCTCATGTTTGTGCTGCACGTGGATCACGCGTGTGTGCTTTGGCGCTAGGCTTCGTTTGATGAAGATAGGGGACAAGACTCTCGCCCTCCCTTGAACAAGATGTAGCCTGACAGACAGGGCATCTGGCGCGGCGATCGTTATTACGGGCGACTAGCGCTAAAGATCTCTCAATGGTCTCGGCTGAGAGGCGAGAGTCTAATCGGGGATAGGCAGCGTTACACGGCATTGATTCATATTGCACAGCTGCTCTGTCCAAAGCGCTGAGAACTCGATATGATTGATCCAGTCGGCCGGTAATGGGGCGTTGCGCTGTAATGTCTCAGTTGTCTCAGAAAAATGATGTGCCTAGTGGCGTTGTGTTGTCTGCTCATGAGATGAGGTGGTGGCCAAACGGTACGGCTACTCGTACTGGACGCTGTACGAAGTCCAGGTAGTACCCCATGTTTCTATCACAAAAGTTTCAATCGTTTTCCTGAGATTTTTTTTATTTTTTTTTTAGAACCAAGTCATCATCCCTGTGATTACAGCTGTTCAGCAGGCACATTGGATTGGTTAATTGTCTCCGTAGAGGCGAGCAAGTGGAGCTTTGTCAAAGAGGTCGGCCGCACGTCTGTCCCGATTGCTGGGGGTTTGAAGTTAAGAAAGACAACGGGGGTGACCGAACAAGGCAAGGGAGGACACAGCCACGGCTCATGAACTTCTTTTTCCCTTTCTTTTCCCCTTTGAAGACAATACTACATACACCCATCTTGCATGCCTGCCGAGGACACGGCACTTGTATCAGCGAGGGAATCTCAACATCCAATTTCACCAAGGGTCAGTGTGGTGCGACAGCAATGATAGACATGCATATGGAGTAGCACTACTCCGTGCTAGCAGCAGAACATGTCGCCCTCTCTCTCCATTCTCGGCGACCAACTGTCACAATTCATTTAAGAATAGAGGAGCTAGACAAGCAGGCCGCGTGCTGGCAGGCTGACACGGCAGAGGATGAGATTCCCCTCATGTGATTCTCGCTGTGGTACGTCTTGTTAGCATCGGCGCTGGCGAGAAATTCATGATACCCTGCAGCAGCACTCCTCCCAAGCCAGCTATAGGCTAGGAAACATGCAAACTCAAATATGACGGGATGCCGAGCTAGGTGGACAGACAGGGTTCCTGAGCTGCAGGGTTGCAAGACAACGCCTCTTTCCCAACGCTTGGTGGAGTCCGGCCTGGCCAACTGCCGGGGTTCAATGGCGGCGGTAAGGTAAGTGGGACAGTGCACCTCCAGTCAAGGTCAAAGTGGCTAGTGATGATCATCATCCAAGGCTTTCTCCCTTTGGGATTGGTAGAGCGAAGAGCAGATCCTGGTAATTCTGAATCCCGCCCTCCGCATTGTCTGGCTTGCCATGTAACAGCCTTGTCGCCCAGAAAACTGAGCCACGAGCCACTGTGGCAGAGGTAATCAACCTGGGCCAGTCAAAGGTGAGCGGCTCCCGCATCCCAAACAGGTTCTTGGGCGTTTCAAAACGAGCCGCCCATCTTCATCATCGGTCTTGTCCGTAGATGTCATACGAACAGATTGGATAATAATAGCACCCCACCGTTGCCAAGGCGTCATAGGTAAATTTGCTTTTTAAAGTAGAAAGTCGCAGGCTGGTTCGTTTTGAAATTTGATGCTGTTCGTAATCGCCCCCATACCGTAAAACCCATCATTTCATCATGGGGACACTGAACTGCACGTCTGCACCCGAGTCCACCCCCAGTGATTCGGGTGTCGCAGGGCAAGGAGTATGTTGACAGGCACTCGCAACAGAAAATCCGTGGGGGAGCAAGCTTAGGGATCCCCTATTGCCCAAGCCGTATTAACCGTTCATCAACAGATTCTCCTTTCTTTCATGATCACGGCAGGGCTGGCCCTCATCTTATCTGCGAGCGTGATTCTTGCAGACTTCCGAGGCAGAGAGTCAACAACCCGGCGAAAATTACTCAATGGATACAGCGACTCACAGATCATGCAAGGGATCGGCATCCAAAGTAAGCTGCACGCACGAACCCCGGATATCTCCTGGTAGCACGACGCTAAATGAAAGGCTTCGCAGGCGTTGGTTTGGCCAAGATGAACTCCCTTGTACCGTATCACTTCTTCCTAATCTGGATGCTTTCCCTCCTATCCATGGCAACGCACAATGCTACGCTTCTGGCGCTAGTCCGAGACTATCGCCGGGACTGGGTGTTGAGATGGATGAGACAGTTGCTCATGTTTGTCAACCTGGCGCTGTCATCTGTCTCCGGGGTCTTCGTCCTCCAGACGGTGTCCAAGGGACTAGACAAGTCGACTCTTCCCGTGGCCTGTGTCTGGCAGGTTCACGGAGAAAAGGCTCCGTCTAACGCCGGGCTGTCGTATGTCGGTACCATTGCGGCAATGGCGGGAAATTTCATCATTTTCGTTCTTGCGACATGGTATTTGCATAGCCGCAAGCAGAAGTTCTACAAGACTGTTCAGATTGTAGGTTGGGTCCTCATGGCAGCCGTTGCCATTGGGGCTGCGGTACGCATCATTCTGCTTTCTCAGGCGTTTGGGCATCCGTCAGTAAAGCTGAGCGACGAGGGGGAGAAAGATTGGAGCTTCGGCCAGCTTCTCTCGATGCTTCTTCTCGTCCTGCCCTTGGTCTCCGTGATTGAAATCTACCGCGGAGAAATCAAGGTAGCGCCCCCTGTTGGAGACGAGCGTCACCGGCTATATGACGGCGAGCTGCAATCGGATCCGCAGGTTCTCACGCCGTTCCAGCCGAATCCCTTTTTCGGTTCCGAGACAGACCTCTTTAAGAAAAGGGGGAACAGAGGGTAGAGGGTTCAACAAGATTGAGCGGGGTGGCGGACGAAAGGCTGTCGGTGTTTGTGTGCAAAATTAGAGTTTGAATGAATCTACGCAGCGGAGCATAAAAAAGAGTCAAGTAGCGTTTTATTACGAATACGTATATAGATAGTCAGGGACCAGAGTATGGTTCTATAATGGGGTGATTTTGAAGCTGGAGAAATGACTTCGGCATACAAGAGCCGTTGGCCGCACTGCACTTGCCGAGTTTGCGGGTGATCGGGTCGTATACTCGTACGTTACTTATCTCGCTAGAATGTCATGAAAGATATAGGCGGCGGGTAGCTTAATAAAGTTCTGAATAAGGTAGTGTGTGCCTATTGTAGGATTGCTCTTTTCTCGCGATGTTCTATGAATTTGCAGGGCAGGGCAGAAACGATCGTGGATATCGGTCGAAGCTGCCTCTTCTATTCTCCGCTACAGCAGCACACTCCCATGCCTCTTGCCTATCACAGATTCACATAATGCAGCTAGTAACATGAATGTAAATCATTCTCATAAACAGCTATCCAGTAGTAATGGAACTAAAACTCGCCAACATCCACCTCTTGATCCTTGTCTGCTGCATTTGAAGATCGCCACGAACCAACGTCACGATGTCACTCAACCGATCTTTGTCCTTAGCCTTCGTCATAGCTGCTTGCTTGTTTCTCTATGCCCTTTCTAATCAGTGGGTTAGCGTAACGGCAGAGGCCCTACGGGGAAAACTCGTCCCTCATCCGTGCGTATTTCTTCCCAAGAGAGTGAAACGCCATTCAACTGAGTGCCAGTCGAGCCTCTGGTCGAATTTGGTTGAACATGCAGCTGATGGCACTATAGAAGCAGCCCCAGCGACAAATCCACCAGCAGACGCCCAAACTTTGAGCAGACTGCCCGAAAATACGGCACCGACAAAGTCACCACTCACAGATACCATTTCATGTACGAAAAGTACCTATCCAGCATTCGAGATGAAGAGCTAAAAGTCTTGGAGATCGGACTCGGCTGCAACATGGTAAGCACAGACTCTGGCTTGCTATAACAATTCGGCCAGCTCATAGCAATTTGCAGGACTACGGCCCCGGAGCGTCCTACTACACTTGGCTCGAATACTTGCCGTCCGTCGATCTCTACTATATCGAGTACGACAGGCAGTGCGCCGAAAAGTACCAAGACAAAACCGCCAACGCACATGTGTTCATCGGCGATCAAGCAGACACCGTCTTCCTCGCAAGGTTCTCCACAGAGGCAACGGCAGACGGCTTATTCGACGTCATTATCGATGATGGTGGGCATACGATGGATCAGCAGATTACATCCCTAGAGTTTCTCTGGAAAGCTGTTAAACCCGGCGGCTTATATGTGATTGAGGATCTGCAGACTAGCTACTGGGAGTCGTTTGGCGGAGACCCTGCCGGGAGGCGGTCCTCAAAGGAGACTACAATAACGCACTTGTACCAGCTCATCGACGACTTGATGATTGGGAAAAGCGCGAAACAGATTAGCCGCGACTTGCTCTCTATCGATTGTATGGCAGAAATTTGTGCACTGCGAAAGAAGGAACAGTTGTAATCTAGGTATTCACGAGATCATGCCGTAATTAGAAAGAATAATGCACTTCAATTCTATTGCATCTAAGTACAAGTAGGTATTTTATTCGATATTAAAGCAAAGAATTGCAGGGGATATATAATTATGTTTTTAACGGTTTTCTCTTTCCATCACATGATGGAGCACTTCACTGGCAGACCACAGAAGCTGTCCTTGCCATCCTCTCTCTCCGGGATAGGCTCCTGCTTTGGTGCCGCAGCAGCAGCAGTCGTAGCGGGCGCTGATCCGTTAGTCGGAGCAGCAGTCTTGACAGCGCCGTTCTTCTCCTTGCTACCATGTAGTCAGTTGGAGAGAGCCTCAGCGAAAGCCTTGCCCTGGGTAGTGGCGATTCGGAGCTCGAGCTCGGTGGGCTGGCGGGCACCAGTGGGGCCGGCAAAGGTACCGGCACCCCAGGGGGAGCCACCGTGAACCTCCTCGAGGTTGGTGACATCGGGGAAGGTCTTGGCGTAACCAAGGGGAACGTAGATGATGCCGTGGTGAGCCAGAGTGGACATGGCGGAGATGGCGGTAGACTCCTGGCCACCACCGGGGGTACCGGTGGAGATGAAGAGACCGGCCTTCTTGCCCCAGTAGCCGCCGGAGGCCCAGATGCCACCGGTCTTGTCCCAGAAAGCCTGCAGTTGAGAGACTCGTTAGTGATGCTTCTATGCAAAGTAAGTAGGACAGATGATAAACGTACCTTCCACTGGGCGGGGAAGTTGCCGTAACGGGTGGGAATGCCAAACAGGAAGCCGTCGTACTGGGTGAGGGTGTTGGGGTCCTCAAGGACGGGGATGTCGGTAGGCTTGGCGGGAGCGTACATCTTGGCCAGGACCTCATCGGGGAGGGTCTCGGCGATCTGGTAGATGTCGACCTGAGCGCCAGCCTCCTCAGCACCCTTCTTCTCGGCCTCGGCGAGCTGCCGGATGTGGCCGTACATGGAGTACTAGAGGGGGATTCAGGTCAGCTATTGATTGAGGGCAGAGTATGGAATGACTGTGGATAGGCATTGGAACGGGATGTTTGATGGCAGTGTTGTAATGTTGTTGTTGCAATTGACGACTTCTTTCGAAGCTGGTGATGCCAATTGCAGTGAGGGGCAGCAGTAGCCCAACCGGGTGGAAGTAGAGTAGATTGGCAGGAAGATGGAAGTAGAGGCTTCAACTTACGTAGACGACAGCAATCTTAGGAGCCATTGTAATAATTATTTAAGGGGGGTATCTCAAAAAAAGAAAAAGAAACTGCTTGTTCAGGTGATTGTTTGTATGTTGTGATGAGGCTTCTGAGTTGGAGAGGGGGAGGGAGGCCCTGAGCTCTTATAGCTGAGACCAAGCCCAACGGATCCCGGGTCGACTGGGACAGAGAAGGATCAATTGGCGTTAGTGGAAAGGTTACGGCTGCATTCTCCGTAGCAAAAGTTGGTGTGGACGCCTTGCTGCATTGGTTTACATGTACATGCTAATCAGGCGATGAGATCATGGCACCGCAAGGTACCGGGGCTCCTCTTTTTTTTCCGTATATCCAATGGCGCACGTTTTGCCGTGGCCATCGCGATGCGTGAATCTCAATCTCCGTGCTGTCTTGTCCTGTGCTTGGTTAGAACGGCTGCAATGGCTGGAATGTTTTGCCGCAATTGGTAATCAGAGCCACCCCAGTTGTGCCCCAACTTGGCAAGAAAACGACAGAAACAAGCACAAAAGTCATCATCATGTCAGCATTTTGCAGCCGCGACTTGAGCGAGTTTGTCCGCGTATCGGTACCTTGGACGGTCTCGGCTCTCTCGTAGGGCGACACTTGGCAGCTCAGGTCGTGGCACAAGTCACCAAGAATCAGCATTACTTCAGCCTGACAAACTGGTGGCCGCACCCCGCATGTGGAGCGCGGATGGATAGAGGGGTTCGCCGGTGGAGCGCCGCAGCTTAGCTAAAGCTTTGATAAGTCAGGACGCGCGCGGCTGCAGTTATTTTGGCCTCGTAAACTGCTTCTTGACAATTCTTTGTTTACTCTTTTTTTCTTCTTCTCTTTGCAATCAATCAATGCGAACAAGGCGAGATACGCGATACGACTCATGACCAAGTCGAAATCAAATCGAAATGAAATTGCTGCGTCGTCGCAGAGGCCGCATCGCAGCTGGTGACGGACTGCAAGTGCTTGGGGTGGGGCATCACCAACAAAAGCTCCCCCCTGCGGCATCGAGCCCATCGGAAGACGCGATACAGGCCCTTGCCAACAGAATATCTAAGCCTGCAGGGCCAATTTCTAAGCAGCAGCAACAGCCAAGCATCGATTCATCTTTCCAACCTCACAGCATCCTGTTTTGCCAGTCTCGGTCGCTGGGGGAACCCCAAGTGATGCCGCTCCGTCAACAGCAGTCCTCCCAGCCTCTGTGTCTGTGTGTCGCAACACCCCATCACTGAGTCTACCACACTCGTGCTACTATACCGCCAGTCCTCGGGGCGCCTTACTGCCACTATTGAACGCAATGGCAACAAACCTTTTTGCGTCCAGGACACATACACGCGTTGCCCATTGCAATTCCTCCCGCCTCGGTTGCGTCGCCCGGCTGGCGAGCAAGCGCCACTTGGTGCTGCTGACCTGCATTGCGCCAGTGAGACTGAGCGGTACGAATTCTCAACGCCAAAAAAGCTAAAACCAAATTCGCTTTTCCGCTCGAGGAGCCGCTCAAGAGTCCGCTCAACAGAATAAAAGGTGAAAGAAAAAAAGAGTTTAAAAGCGAATGTCGCCGTTATGCGCTCGGAAGACTGTCAGACTAAGCGCAATCTCATCTCAATAAGATGGGAGACGTGCTCAGTCTTGGGTAATCGCTGATCATCTACGAAGAAAGAACTCAATGGCAGATAATCAATCGCTCATGATGTCCCGACACGGAACGAGTCCCGACCCGTCCACCGATCCCGACCTGCCCCTCTCGCTCTTTTTCCCCTCAGCTGCGACGCGACGCAAACCGAGCTAGAATGCATATACGGGAGCAAACACGATTGAGGCCGCAAAGGCTAAAAGAGACAAAGATGGGCTGGCACGTGAATTTGGTGACTTAGGCGCTGTCCAGCCCTGCGGGGGCGCCGAAAGCATGTGCCGAAAGCCAATCAGAATGACGGTCTGCAGAGCTGCCAAAGATGCGTTTTCGACGGGCGAATCGAAGAGAGACAACAATTTTTGCAATTCAGCCAGATAATGGCGGTCAGTTGGTTGCCAAGGACATGTCGTGCGCCTGCTCCCCAACCGCGTATGAGACGCGTCTCAACTTTAGAACTTCCGGGTTGTACGGAGTAGATTGAAGCAGAACCTTGAGTGTCTTGTTTCTGCGGTCCACTTATTGTCACAAATGACAATTCCGCCTCTTTTTTAAACTACCCACTTCACGTCAACTCATCTGTAGGATTCATATGCATAAAGCCAAATCAAGACTCCCCATAGGTGGAAAATAGAGGTAGGCAACTGTAAGTAATATAGGCTATAAATGGTAAGACTTCCTATGCTGCGTACTATTCACATAAATCCACACTCTCAATTCATCCTTATTTTCTATGCAAAAACACCCCCTTCCTCGCCAAAACACCGCCCATGAAACAAAATAGAGAGAGAAACCCAAACATCCATCTCCAGAAAGGGACTCAGTATGGACAGTATGACGCCCGCTTCGCATCCGTTTGCAATCCAAGCAACAAGTCCAAGCATTAGAAGAAGAAAAAAATGAGAAAAAAAAATCGTCCATAAAATCATAGCTTCATTCCCGTCGACAAAGAGGGAGAGGGGGGGAGAGAGAATGGATGCGGAAAGGGGAGGTTCCCATATTCTCGTGATGAATATTTACTGTCTTGGCTCAGCCTCGTGTTCCGGCGGTTGTGCGCTTGGAGGCTCGACCGCAATCGAAGGGAGCTCGCTGATTCGCAGACTTGGCAGTTGAGGGATGCCGCCAACACCGCGGCTGGACCGCCGCTGAACGTCTGCTGAATTGTCTTCGCTTGAGGCCGACACAAGAGATGGTGATGTCTGGCTCCGCTGGCTCCTCTGAGAACCCGATCGATGTTGTCCTGGATAATCTGGCGGCGGCTCGTGTATATGTGACAATGGTCGGTCCTGGAAGTCGTCGTCGTCCAGAGAAACATCTTCGTAGCCCGGAGGCGGCATTGCTTCGTCGCCCAAGTCTGCCTCCACGAGTTCGGGACTTGACTCTGCCCTGGCTTCGCTCTGAGCTTGGCCCGGGGTGTTGGTATGCGATTCTCCAGACCGGGTCAGTGCGGGCGAGGGGAAGTTGCTGTCCATGCTGACGACGGAGCCCACGCTCATTCCACGGTTGTGTGCCTGAGATCGCACATCAACCATGCCGATGCTTGCAGAATCCGAGAGTAGACCTATGCGCTCGCTCTCGCTGCTATTGGCACGGACCCTTGTGCCGTCGTGGCGAGCCAGTCCAACGTCCGCATAAGATACGCTCGACACGGATAGATTCCTGTTCTCCTTTGCACGCTCCATTTCCCGCCGAAGCTCGTCGATGGCGGTGCTGTTATTCGCAGCCCTGGTGCGGGCACGGATATCTGCCAAGGCCGCATTGTCGCCTCGTCGTCGGGCCTCTTGTCGCTCCACCCTCCTCTGCTGTTGCTCCTCAATCATCTGCCGCCGCGCAAGCCGAATCTGATACATGCTCTCCATCTCTTCGTCGCGCAGCGCTTCCAATTCCTCTTCGGTGGGCAAGTCGACAATGACATCGATACCATCTCGCTCGCCTTCTCGTCCTAGAACCTGTTCGTTGTGCGAAGCCATCTGGCGGTAAGCCGGAAGGGTCATGACCGAGCGAACCGAAGTGTTGCGATCCACGTTGCCAGCAGCGGCATTGTTGCGGTTTGACGATGCAGATGGAGGCTGGTTAGATCGACCACTTCTTGGCGCTGTCGATGAGTTGGCTGCACGCGAGTTGGACGCTACTTCGGTGGTGTCGTCTCCGTGGGCTCGCTCGTATTTGGCCTTTTTGCCCTTTCTTCTTCGCTTGAGATATAGCACAAGGAGTGCAATAGCGACGATTCCAACGACGGCGGCTATGATGATCTGTAAACGGCATCCCGAGGTCAGCAAAACAAATACTCTTGCATTTCTCATCTCTTCAATCGTAGACATACGACGCCTATGATGCTCTTGCCCATCCCGTCCCGCCGCACTAGTGTATGGAGGTGGCGAGTCGATTGCGACAGCTGCTGTGCGCTGGCATCAGCACGTTGCGCCGTCCGACTGTGTAAATACATCCTCGCCGGCCGCGAGAGACATGTAGGAGGACCAGAGTCCGATGGATGCGAGGAGAAAAGGAGACAATCGACGGATTTGGTTTGTGGCAGAGTGAGATTTTCGTTAATAGGCCCCTTCACGAGTCTGCTGTCCGCATTGGGTCTATGGCCGGACCAGTCAGCTCCAATGCAATGCGGGCGGCGCCAGCGTCTCTCCAGTGACCGAGGGTCCAAGCAGGAGATGGAGGTACGAGCTCAGCCCGTTAGCGAGGTGGGCCGGGAGCGAGGACTGTGTTTTGCGGTGGTGCTGGTGCGGGGAGCTAGCGGAAACAATCGCACGATATACGACCAAAGGCGACGCAGCACAAGAGGATGAAAACAATGCTGGGATGAGGAGGAGGAAGAGATTCAAGAAGGACGAGGGAATCGTAGCGGGAAGCAGGAGATGCAGGGTCGGGCACGCGAGACCTGCTGGCCTGATTGCAGTGGGCAGGCGTGCTAACTCGAGCGCCCAAGGCCCTGAGAGGCGCCCGGCGATACGCTAAAGGTTGCATGTAAGCCCCATTTCGTGACGCTTTACGAGGAGCCTCGAGGCTAAGCCACCGACACAGCCAGCATGGCGAATCCCCCAATGCCCGTTGTCCAGCCACGCTTTTTAGGGCTGGCGAGCAAACCACGTCCTCGTAAGTAAAGCCCGGCTAATGCATGACGACGACGTATGTGTGGAATCACTGGGCTGACACTATCCTCCGCCCGCAGATGAACCCAAGTTACCCGCTGGACGGGCCGCCGCTTTGCTATTAATGGCTGCATATGATGGGCTTGATTGTGCGTAGTCATCCTGCTAGTGCGTCTGTCATACACGTTCTGTGGTTGCGTTCCGGTCTGCATCTCAAGATGGACGATGTGATATCGGATGGGTGGCACGAGCTTTGAGATCGGACGGGCATTTCGGGGGTCTGGTGTGGAGAACAAAGGCGAAAGATTCTATGTCTGGGAGCGATGGCAAGCCGTCAGTCGCTTGTCATCCATGGGGATTCGTACAAGTAGCTCCAACAAACACAATCGCCGCAGAAATACATATCCACAGGTACATGTCATCCAAAACAGTGGCTTTTTAGACTACCGACGACATCTCCACTGCAGCAAACGATAATCTAGAGGTAGGTACATAAGATTGCACCTAATATTAGCAGCCGCGACAGCATAAGGTAGATACGCATCCACGATGCTTCAGGCAAGGATAATATAATTCATCCATTGCTTCCCATGTCGGACATCGAGTCTCACCGCCAACGCACCACCTACCCTGTAATAACTCAAATCAAAAATAGAAGCATCAGTGCTGACGCCCTTAGCCACCTGGCATGCCCAACTCCGAGAGAATGAGGTAAAATGATGGAAGCGAAAGTAAAAGATAACGGCATTCGTATTATAACGTCATGTGACAAAGTATCTCTTTCGTAGAAACCCGGTACTCCTTCTGCCTGGATATCCCTGCTACGTACTTGAAAAATCACCCGCATCATACCTACCTAGTATCTCCATCATACTAATCCCTTGCCCACCCAAACCCATCTCACCTTTATCCAAACTTCTTTTCAAACTTCTTCAGCATACCCGTCACACCTCTCTCGATCCGGCCGGCGTTTTCCTCGAGTTTTCCTTTGCCCTCGGGCTTCGACTGGTACTTATGGGCTCCTTCCGCTTCCGTTGGCCGATATACCTGCTGGTGTATTGAATAATCTACTGGCCCAGACGGCGCGTAGTTTGACTGGGAATATGAGTAGTTGGAGTACCCGCCTGGTGGAGGGCCAGGAGGGCCAGGAAGACCTTGATTTGCCACTGGCGGCTGTGATGCCGGTGGTGGAGGAAGACCTGGCGATGCTGGAAATCCCGCCCCATAAGTGCCGGGCAGCCCGGGAGAGGGCAAACCCTGCGCTGGCATCGTCGCAGCTCGATGAAGTCCCGGATGGACTGGCGGTGCCGCGAACTGAGGAGGCACAAGTCCTGGGCTGGTAACCCCCGGTGCAAATTGAGACGGAATGCCAGGGGTAAAGGGCTGTCCGCGATAATCATAAGCCACCGCGACCGCCAAAGGATTGAGAGGATCCTCGTCCGGAGGAGGAGTCTTCTCGCGATGGCGGATAGCCTCCGGTGCAGCTGGCGCAGCGGGATTGTATGCCATGGGCGCAAAGCTTGCCGGCTGAGGCGGAGGCGGTGGAGGCGGTAAGGAGATGCTTGGTGCTTCTGATGAAACGGCCGAGGCATCTCCAGGACCCCCGATTGAGCTCAGAGAAGCCGACTGCGACGAGACAGCCCCATTGCCGTACTGAGGATCCGAAATGGCCGCGTTCTCAAGCTTCTGGACGACGGAGCTCAATCCCGCGGGCTGCTGAGGCGGCGGGCCTGGCTCATCAAGAACCTCAACCTGGTTTGGCGGCAGCACGCGCCGGACGCCGTTGACAAACTGCAGCGCGTCCTGCTGCGTCCAGAAATAGACGTCGAGTGAGTGCAGCTTGTAGTGATACTTGTTCTCATTGCGCGGGTCGTAGGTGGGGAGATGCCACTCGCTCTGATCAACTGAGTCGGCGACGGTCAGCGAGACGGCGCAGTGCTGCTTGTATGAGTACCGAACATGCGCTTGATCGAGGACTATGCGAAGGAGAAATCAACGCCGTTAGACTATGCTCCACGGACACGGATGGTGAGCTTGCGGCTGGTCTATTCTTACATCCAAAGAAAGCATCTTGGTCGTCTGTCCCCGGATTGTTTGCGATTTCAATCCGGCACCTCCTCTCGCTGGCATTCTCAAACAGATAGACATATGATCCCTTGTCAAATCGGTGATGGCGAGGCTTCACATTTGCCGGAGAATAATAGTAGTGTACATCTCCAAAGCTGCGAGTCGCGGCGTCAGCAACGGCTGTAAGCACAAGCACCTCGATTGCGACCGTCATCCACTCACAGCGTAGCTACATTCTCCTCACCTGGCCTTGCTGCCATCTTGTCTGTCTTCGTCTGACCGACAAGAGATACTTTAGACGTCACCGGGCAGCTTGAAACGAAACGGGTGAGAATTAAAACTCCGGGCCCCTTGAGCTGCTTGCTGTATGAAGTTGCTCTTTATACGCTCTGGCGCCACTCGACGACCCTTATTTCTCAAAGCGAATCATGCAATCGCTTCTGTGAGATAATGGCGTCTCGGCGCTTATACGTCCTCGCAATGAGGGGTGTGAGCACAGCCTCTGGCCAATAGCGATCGACAGCAGCGAGTTCAGTCACAAAGCCCTCTGAACCAAACCCCACTGGACGCTGCTAGCACATGTGCTGATTGTGCTGAGCTATGCCCAAAAAGGTTGAAGAATGCTCCAAGCTCCTCACGTGATACCGTGTCGGAGTCGTATTTCCCGCTCTCTTCTCTTGACATTAGGCAACGCGCTTCAACCCTGTCGGAATTCCGCCCGTGCGTGAATGCTTTATTTACCAGACTCTAAGCTGCACTTTTAGGAATGTCAGCATGAAACTAATAATCCCTCTATGCTGTCTGTTACATGATACTTGGGACTGCGACTTGATGGCCCCAGCAACATGACGTCTGCGGAATCAACGGAGGAACCAGCGCATCCTGAAGAAAACCGGGAGGGGCATCAGGAGCAACACCAGGAGGAACACCAAGACGATGCCCTCAAAACTCTCAAATACCACCTGCTCGGGCCTTCGCTGACCAAGGCTGGCCAAGACAAGGTCGACCAAAGCAAGGTTTCTGACCAGAATCTTGTCTCAGATCGGAGCCGCATTTGTTAACTCGCAGATTCAGGTTTCGGAGATTATATACAATGCATCCAAGGGATCCAAATTCTTCAACCGCGAAGAAGAGCGAGACAAGATCCTCACGAAAAAAATCGAACAGATTCTGTCACGGAAGAACAAGCTGGAACAGCAAGATCTGACACGCGACCTGCGAAATGCCGATCGTCTTCTCGCGGAGCTCGAGCTGTCCAGAGACCTCACCCAGTACATTGTGCATCTTGATTGCGACGCCTTTTTTGCGGCTGTGGAGCTGCTGGAACGACCCGATCTCAAAGACGTCCCCTTTGCGGTTGGCGGTGGTGTTCTCACTACGTGCAACTATGTTGCGCGCCAGTTTGGCTGTCGATCGGGCATGGCCGGTTTCGTTGCCAAGAAGCTTTGCCCACAGCTCATCCTTATCAAGCCCAACTTTCACAAGTATGGTGCAAAGGCTCAAGAAGTGAGGGCGGTGATTGCAAACTATGATCCGCGCTTCGAAAGTGCTAGCATTGACGAGGCATACCTCAACATCACCGAATACTGCGACGAACACAACATGGATCCGGCAGCAGTGGTGGAGCAAATGAGGAAGGAAGTCCATGAAAAAACGAGCATTACAGTGTCGGCGGGAATTGCTGCGAACGCGAGGCTGGCAAAGATTTGCTCAAACATTAACAAACCGAATGGACAATACGTCCTCCCCAGAGACAGAAACTCTATCATGGCGTTTATGCGAGATTTGCCAACGAGAAAAGTCAATGGAATCGGTCGAGTCCTTGAGCGCGAACTCTTGGAGATTGGGGTCAAGACATGCGGTGACCTATATGAGCAGCGGCAGTATCTGAACCGGCTGTTCGGGGAGAAGTATTCTGTGTTTCTCCTCCGCTGCTATCTGGGCCTTGGCCGCACGAAAATCCAGCCGGCAGAAGAGTACGAGCGCAAAAGCGTCGGAACTGAGAGCACATTCCATGACATATCAGACCCTGCGAAGTTGAGAGACAAACTTCGCTCGACGGCTGAGGCTCTGGAGAAGGATCTGAAGAAGAATGAGTGCAAGGGCCGCACGCTCTGCATCAAGATAAAGCTCCATACCTTTGAAGTTTACACTCGGCAAGTCGTCCTGCCAAAATCAATACATCTCGCCGAAGACTTGTACAACTATTCGTTGCCGATGCTTGCGAAGTTGGAGCAGGAAATGCCGGGCATGAGGCTGCGACTCATGGGGCTGCGGTGCACGCATCTTGTCAGCACCAAGAAGCCCGATACTATGGCATTCTTTGGTTTCAAACCTCGCCGGCAAGATGCTGGGGAATCAAGTGATGCCGGGATGGTCAAGAGGAAAGCGAGTGAGCCATTGGAAAGAGAAGAAGAGTGGGACAAGTTGGATGGAGACGATGAGGATTTACTGGAAGATTTGGACGATGCCTTGGGCGACATATCTCACGAACACGAGGATGGAGAAGATGAGATGCTGCAGGAGCGAAGACATGGGAAAGAGATTGTGCCCAATCCGCCCCCTGACCGCGAGGCTCCGCCACAGGAGGACTGGTGGGAGTGCCCAATATGCCTCCGCCCCCAGGCAGCAAACGAGCGGCAATTTAATGAGCATATCGATTTGTGTTTGTCTCGGCAGACAATTCGAGACGCGGTTCAAGCTGACGACCCGAAAGACACAACAAAGCCTATCCTGTCTGACGTGAACAAACGGCCCAAGCTGACAGAAAAGAAGCGGGGCCGTCCACCTTCTACAGATCCAAAGCAGAAGAAGCTTTCTTTTTTCTGAATGAGCACATGATGGGTTATGAATGACGATACCTATAGAATTGTTTTGGGGCTTTTGGATATAGCCTTTGTTGGAAATATGTGTACGGGTCTCATTTCACATTGTGAATATTAGTCGCACTTTTCGATGTAACGATGCCTTTGCCAGGCCGACCTACCTCCACTGATCTGCGATATATCGACTGATGTTTGCATTTTCCATGCATGAACTTTACTGCAAATAGAGTCGTGATATGACGTATGGAAGGTGAATGGAAAGGGTGCCTAACGGTGATTGATAGCTGACGGACGATCACATCTTCATACTGTTGAACTCCAGCATCTGGCGGAAACGTTTCATGTACTTTTGGGATCCGCTATGCGATCCGCTATGCGATCCGCTATGCGACCAAAAGGAAAATATTTACAAATCATCATGTCGTTTACAACTCCCCGTGACCCTCATCAGTGTCGGCAATAACCGTCTTGGCGGCATCGACAGCCTCGGAGGCGACGCTGGCAACCTTCTCGGCCACTTTCTCGGCCGCAGGCTTCTCGGGGGCCTTGACGCCCTCGATGGCCAGCAGCTCGGTCTCGAAGACTATGACATCAATTAGTGGTCTGATGTCGATGCGGCGTGGGGGTTGAAGTAGAAGTAAGAGGAGAGAGGGTAAAGAGGAACGTACTAAGAGTCGAGCCAGCCGGAATGGGGCCCATGTTGCGCTGGCCGTAGCCCAGCTCGGGAGGGATCGTGAGGGTTCTGGAAGAGTGATGTAATGTTAGCCATGTGGTTTAAGCAATTAGGGGGGCAGTGACGCAGTGTTATCCTTACCTCTTCTCTCCAATGCACATGTCAAGGAGACCCTGATCCCATCTAGAGTGGCGAAACCCGTCAGCTTCAAGTCGCGAGAAATCCCAATGTCGTGGGGAGGAGGGGGAAGGGGGAGTGTAGAAACAAACCCTTTGATCACCTGGCCAGCACCCAGCTTGAAGGAGAAGGGCTGGTTGCGGTCGTAGCCTGCGAGACAGTGTCAGCCACGAACAGCTCGAAACAAACAGAGATCGTCATCTAAGACCCTCCCGGGGCAGACGGGAGGGCAGACGGAGGAGGGAATTTAGCGTACTGGCATCGAACTTTTGGCCGTTGGCAGCCAGAGTGCCGCGGTAGTGCATGGACAGCTTGTCGCCCTTTTGGGACTTGCGCTCGCACTCGACGGCGTGGGTGACCTCGATCTTGAGGTCCTCGGCGGCGACGACACCAATGGCGCAAGAGGCCAGGGCGGAGAGGAGCAGGGCTGCCTTCATGGTGGCGAACTTTGTGGGTGAGATGGTGCGCGGACTGGTAAAAAAATGAGGCGAAACGGGGCGAGGCGACGACAAAGATGAAGCGTGGGTTACGTCGAAAAAGGGGGAGGAAGAGAAAAGGAAGAGAGAAAAGGCGATGCTGATGGGCTTCACAAGATGCAATGCCAATGCGCCAGCTGAGGGGCTTCCAAAGTGGCCAGCTATCCAAACTCCACTGAGCTTCCCGATTAGAATTGATGGATTGGATGAATCTGCTTTGGCCGTTGAGATGGCGGAGAAGCATTGGCCAATGACATGCTGGCAGTCTCGCTCCCCCGCCAATTTCAATGCCCAGGGGGGGCCGCTTCAATGCCCTGTATCGCTTCGTTAGTGCTTCATTTGCCTTGACATTGGCTTTGCTCATGGCCCGATTATGATGAAATTCAACATTTTGGGCATGGGATTCTACGCAATGGCATCGTATTTGCTGGCGGATTCTGAAATGTCGTCACCAAGGGGCAACTCAGCGGCATGTTTATCTCGCGTGATCCAGTGCAGCCTAAAACAAACTGCAATTACAAAATGCGAGGTGACGATTATTGGTTGATTTGCTTACACGGGGATGCAGCAGAAATTATTGAGCGCATGCATGCATGGGGGGTTAGAAAAGAAACTTTGGCTTCTCGGTACGTCATGGCCCTGCTGGACCCTGTTCTGGGGGTCATGTGGGTGCGAGCGAGACGATAAAGAATCGTAGAAGGGGCTGCGATGATGCTATACAGGAGGCCCCAGCTGGACAGGGGAGAGTGAATGCAGTCGCCTTTTGGCAAATAGCCCAAGCAAAGCAATGATGAAGGATTCGGGCAGCGTAGGTACGTAGACGAGGCGTCTTTGGGCAGTACGGCATCGACGTCAATACGGCCAATTCGAGATGCCAAAATCTTAATTCCCTTTGACATGTGGCGGAGAAACTCAATCGATCCCAACCAATTCAACGATATGACGTAGTTGAGCCCTGAAAAGCCCCCTCCCAATTCAGGAGCCACGCTACTATGCAAGGCTACCGGGGAGGCTGATTGCAGAGCCACATGACTTTTGGAACTTGAGCCCAGATAGGAGCGGGCACCATGCCAAAGAGAGGCCGTTTCTTCGCTTTCTGGATTCTATATGTGGGTTCGTCGATCAAGGTTTTAGTTCCAATAGACGTCCCTTGCATCATGAGGCCCTTCCCCGGCGCACCTCGCTAGCCCCGTTTCCGCTCGCCCAAAATGCTCCCACGCCCTGTACGAAGGGTCTTGTGTGGGCAACAAGCTTTTTCGGAAGGGGTGTACTCCGTAGTTGGGCAGAAACGGTGAGCAAAAGCGAAGAAGTGGTTGCATCGTCTGGTCAGAAGAGGATTGGGAGTGGGAAATGAGGTTCCTTTCCTGGCCATCCCACGTATCGCGGACGAAGCCGGTTGAGGCCATGCCGGGATCCTCTTCCGGCGAAACAAGCATCGCCAAAGTCGCCGGTGGGCATTTTGTCTCCTAGTGTTGTTGCCAAGCGAGTTGCGAGTAGCTTAAACCTATAGTATTCGTATACTACCTAGTAGTACCAGGTCATCTTTCTTACAGTTTCCATGGGCACAACGGGGCTTGTCGTGTCGTCACCGAAAGAACAAGAAGACACAGCCTGCTTCCATCGTGGCTTGTTCACCCACGACAAGCCGCAGGACAGACAGCTCACGAGCAAAGAAAAAAAAAAGGAGAAAAAAAAAAGGAGAAAAAAAAAAGGAGAAAAAAAAAAGTTGTTGATCCCAACTAGCGGCTCTTTGTCGCACAGCGATTCTTTGCATTTGATCCTTGGTGCGATACCATCCAAACGCGTGACATGTGCTGCAGGTAATCTCTGGCTTGTGGCTCCCCGCGAATGCACGAATGCATACGCATACAAGTCTCCCTCGCAGATGCGGTTCCACCAGCCGCACCTTGTTTGCCATGAAGGTTCCCAGCCACCCACTAAAGACAAAGTGAGGGGAAAAGTAGATAGAGAGAGGGAAAAAAAGAGAGAGAGCGAAATAAGCCAATCCCAAACTTCACCCCCAACTTGCCGCTTTGCAATCCCGTTTTCTCGACTCTTCGACGACTCATCAGGGCCTCCGCTGATGCCTGCTTTTGCGCCTTTCTGCCTAGCAGGTCTAGGACGGCCTAGTAGAGGCTGGATGGCACGGCGAGGCGCTGGGCAGTGGCTTCGTGGGTCACTTGTTTGACCGTCGCTGGCCGGTACCTGGGAGCACGGCAAAGCACACAAGTACATACAGCACGCTTGGTACCTGTCCGCTAACACCCGCTCTGTGCTGGGCCCTCGCGATGCTGTTACGCGCAGCCGTACTTTCTAACTGACGAATTGCATGGCAGGTACACGGCTGTGCTTGGCAGCCATCCATCTTCATGTCGTCCATCTTACCAAAAACACTCACCGTCGACGCGCAACCGCCGCGACTGTGACTCGAAGGCAGACGTGGCATCGCATCGCATCGCATCTCCATCTCAGCAAAGCTCTCACTGCCGCTGCTGTCCCCCGGCCGTCGCTGCTTCACTGTTGTGGCCATGCTCACCGCGAGCCCAAAGTGCCGAAACCCCAGCCCCAACTCTCGCGTTCCAGGTCCCTCTTCGCCCTGCCTAACCACAGACACACCCCTGCTCTCGCCATCATGAGGCCCCTCAAGCCCTTGTCGCCACTTGCCCGGCGTTTCTAGTGCTCGACTTTTGGGTTCTCACGATGGCTTTGGTCCGATTGCTGAGGCCAATCACGGCGATTGGCGGCCCCTGTCTCGTTTCCCTGTTTGGGGGGCCTCGGCAGATCGCTTCCAAGGCGTATGTTTCCGTTGTTGAGAGCCTGAGTCACGACGTGTTTCTCTGTCAGAGCTAGTACCCGTTATTGTTGCTGCTGCCTCCCTAACGCCTATTCGCCCTATCTGCCTATCGTCTTGAGTGAGCATGCTGCCAGCCAGTCAAGTAGACTGTCATGGCGGTGCATTCTCTGAAAAGTACAAATTCTCCATTCCCCGTCGTCCTCAGGAAGCACTTTTCCTTTCCTCATCATCCCTATCAAGATAGATACGAAGCAAAACGCAATTTACCAACTATTTTATATATCAACTACTGCTACTATTACTGCACTTGTCTATTCTCTGTTGGCTCTCATTGCTATACCATACTTTGACAGTTCCAACTCTCCATCGATCATCAAACCAAGCAATCCACCAACAGCAAAACAAACAGACCAACAACTGTGACAATGTCCAGCAGCCAACGCAACGTCTATGTCCACCAGAGCAACTCTGGCTCTTCCACCGCCGGCTCCTCTAGCCGCTCCTCCAGCTCATCTGCTTACTATGAATCTTCCAACTCCCGCTCTGGCTCAACCCGCCGCGAATATGAAGCTGGTATGTCATTACGCCCAACATATTCTACCAACTCCAACATGCTAACAAGAACTGTAGCTGGTCGTACTGCTGAGGTTGTCCGATCCGGCCACAATCTTGTCATCAACCACAACAGAACGGACTACGAGAGGGGCTCCCCTTCTCCTCGCTACCGTAGTGGCTATCAGTGATGCGTCCTCCATCGCACGGCATCGATGGTCCATGCTCTGACTGTCTCGCTTCTTTTACATCTCCATGGAACATTCTGGGACACATCTCGTTCTTGAGTAAGCCGGCTCAGGGTTAGCTTGACTATCCACTGCTACCATGGCTACTCTACACATCCACTCATAGAAGTGCATGGCGTTATTGGCTTTCTTTCTTTCTTTCTTTCTTTCTTTCTTTCTTTTTTTCTTTTTTTCTTTTTTTCTTTTTCTTTTTTTCTTTTTCTTTTTTTTTTTTTTTTTGCTATTTTTACTCTTTTTTTCAACTCTGGGATACTGGCGACATGGGCATGGGCATATTAACATGGGTATGGATATGGGCATAGATCTGACTTATCACTTGGGAACCTACGGATCATAGCTAAGCGAAGGATGGGTGGCGTCTATAGCGTTTTGTATACGAATGCAGTTTATTTTCTTGTTTATTTTATTTCTATCTTTTGTGAAACGAAACAGCCTATTCATGCATATTCTGAGACATTTCCTTTCCTCAGTGAACGTTTTTTTTTGTCTGAAAAAAAAAAAAAAAAAAAAAAAAGCGCCACGGATGTCTCGCAGCGTATCAGCACACGCAACTTACTACTGCAGGTACCAAGATCGTCGGGAGGCAGCCCTTATTTTCGCTCTATGGGCGATCTATTTTTGGTAGCAGATGTAGCCCCAGCAGCGCTACCTTGCGCTGTAGCGTTGCTGTATACGGGACACGCGGGCGAGAAAAATAGGCAGCGAAATTTGGGATGTTATAATTTACTCGACTTGTCAATTTTTTTTTTAAAGGTTTTATTTTTAGGCTTTGCATTGAACCTGAGATTGGGAACGGCTGTGGCAAAACTGCCAATCTCAAGATGTAGGCCTTGTTTTGTTTCAAATCCTTGTTGGACATCACGCGAGCTCCTAGACAAACACACTGAATCCCAAGCTTTCAAACAATCCCATCTCCTCCCAACTGTTTCTCCAAATGGGGACTTTCCTCATTTGCGCAAAAACGAGTCGCATTTCCCAGCATCCGCTTCTAGCACGTGTTCGCTCTACAGCTCTAAAGCTGTTTAAGCGCCGCCCTCCCGCTTAGCGTACTCCTCCTCGATGGCCTCTGCGTACTTTTCCTCTGGAGAGCGCGGGTCTTCGTGTAGAACACCCTCCTTGAGGAGCTCATCGGGAGACGGGCGATGCGAAATCTTGTCGTTGAGCTTGTCACCAAGCATGTGTTTCTGAAGCTGTTTGATTGGGTACCCCCATTAGCACTTCCTGCCCCATCTTTTTTTCTTGGCTGCAGTATTAAAGATTCTAGGCTCCCAAATCTTGGGATATTTAAAGACAAGATTTTGGTGGTGAATTATTCGAAGTTGCTTACCTCTTTTTGCTGAGCGAGGAGACCGGGTGCGGCTGTAGAGTCTGGGAGGATGTTCTCTGCAAGCTCGATTAGCATGACGAATCTAGCAAGACGTACGGCGCACATCGCAGCCTCCATCATGTGGCCGAGAGTGCTTCACTTCCGCAGTAAACGGACAGACGGAAAAGTTGGGCATCATCGAGACGTACTCTCTACAAGCTCGGAGCGTTCGGGTCGGTGCTTGAGGTAGTTGGAAAGGGAGTTCTTGCGAGCGGAGTTGGTCTTGACGGAAGAGATGGGGGTCTCGTCGACAGGGACCTGGTTTTCTGTGGTGTCTGCCATGGTGATGAATTCGGGCTGAGTTGCTCCAGTGATGAATTATGGTATGTAAGAATGTAAGTGGTGAGATGTGGCAAGAGTCCTGGATCAGAGCCTTGAAATGCCCAACGAAGCTCGTGTCAAATGACGTCAGGTGCTTGCAGAGCTCCCTCTAATATGTGGGGGTGGGGTTTTGCGGTTTGCTGGAAGCCAAATCAACTCCAACAGAACAGACGGATTGTCAGATTGGAAAAAAGGCAGTGTGAGAGGAAAGAGGAGCAGAAGTAGGTTGTTTGCCGTGAAAAAGAGGGGGATGCAACGCTGTTTTTAACACTGAATCCTCGATGAAGCATCGAACCCACACCGCATCGCCCTCAGGCCATGCTTGGACTAAAACAGCGACCTGGCGATGGTGGATAATTGGGCATGCGGGAGCGCTATTTTTCTCTACCCCGCAACTCTACTCTCAATTGCCCAGTTGCTGAAGACGAGGGCAGGGATTGCAGTTATTACGGAGTGCTGGTGATGGGGTCACACAGAGATGCCATACGTGCGTGGTTTGAAGGTCATGGGCTGGAGGCAAGGGGGGATGGTGGTGTCGCGTGGCAGCCCAAGGACAAAAAAGAGACGCCTTCTTTTTTTTTTTGGGAGGCAGAGTATCGCCGAGCACATGCTAGCAGGCAATGCTCATTTCCAGGGCATCAATTACGGTCTACAGGTGAGTATGTCGTGGAGCATTAGCTGCCAGAACGAGGCGTGAGAGGAGACAGAGCATGAGGCGGCATGACTTATGCATCCCAATTAAGGGGCCTCAACTCTGTTGCGCCGATGTTTGGTTTCAGCTAGGCGAGCACTGCGGTGTCTCAGAAAGGCTGGCGCCAATTGCAGAGGGCCACGCGAGTGGCTTGAGTGGAAGAGTGCTAGAACAGGGCATGGCTTGATTATGTGTGGATGGTGTCTTGCCTTGGACGCTGAGAATACATGTAAGAGTATTCGTAGGCGTGCAATGTACAAAGAAGGTTATAGTAGTAGGCATGGAGAAGGTTGTGCACTCCGGGAGACAGCTCCATGCCGGAGAGAGGCTGAATACGATAGGTAGTTCAAGGAGTGCTGTACGGAGGGGTAAGTTGCTTTTCGCTGCTACTGATATTTGTTTCCAGTATTGACATCCTCTTCCAGTATGGCCATCTGTTTCTACTAGACAGTATTGCTACCTGCTTATAGTATCCATCTATTATTCCAGTTGTACATTTGGAATACAGGTACCTGGATGGCCAAGTTGGGTTCGGAGATTCTCGGCAAGCAGACATTCCGTCCTTCTAGTGCTTCGATGGAGGGGGAATCTTCACTATGGAATCCGGGAGCAGAAGTCTATGTATAGGTAGCTTTCACCGGCCCGCGTATCGTCACCGGCCAGAGCGATCCCACGCATGCAAGATCTGATGGCGAGCAAATCAAACCGTGAAATGGACGCTCTGGAAAGGGAGAGTCTCCACCGCCAAGGGAGCGTTGACGAAACTTTCTGGCGCCAGCAAACAGTGCTGGCGGCCAGGATATCCATTTTTTCCTTCTTTTGGTCGATGAGGTTGGCTAGCGACGGCACCGGAATTCGGTAAGGCACCTGGTAGGTTCCTAGGTAGAAACCGGGAGAACCATCGGAACTTGAATAATGTATGGAGTCGTACTGTGTGTTAGGCACCGGTTTTCTGTACCTTGGGAACTATTGTATGTATAGTACTCGTAGGGCACAAGAAAAAAAAATGCTAATGCGCTATGATGTGAGGCTACGGAGGCGCCGGAGCGACGCTGCATGGGCTGTTCGTATCAAGAACGAAGATAATAAGCAGGAATCAGGGTTCTCTGCTGCACATAAATTAAAACGCGGGTACCGAAATTGAAGAGTCGTGGATTTCAAGAGATTTTCCATCCCTGAACCAAACGGGCGGGTACGTACTGCAACTTGTCAGCGGAGTGGCTGTGCTATCAGGAATCAACCACAAAGGCGACGGCGGAAAAAGGTCGGCCAGCGGCACTAAACGTCACTCGTCAGGCACCGCATCATTCGGCCGCGAATGCTCGACAAGCCACATTCAAGCCTTTGGGCCAAACGATTCCCCTCGCTCGCTCACTTCTTTCTCGTCACTCCCAGCACAATCCGCACGAGTGCTAGATTCCACGAATTAGACATCTGATGCTCGAATAAATCGTGTCGTCAGCCTTCTTCTCTTTTTTTCTCTATCTCTCTCTTTCCCCCCCTCCTCCTGTGCCGTCTCTCCGTCTTCCACAATGGTAGGGCCGCTCGACTCCCCCCCGTTCTCCCCCATTCCCCCGCCAAAAAAGGCTTCGGCATCGTTCTAACAGGCGCTTTTTACTTTTTCTAGGGTATCTCGAGGCGTCCCAAGGACAAGGCCGCTCGCAATGCTCAGGCGACGGGCGGCGGCGGCAGCGAAAAGCCCAAGAAGGCGACCTACGAGGTGACTAAGAAAAAGGAGATCGGTGTGTCAGACTTGACCCTGCTCAGCAAGGTCTCCAACGAGGCCATCAACGACAACCTCAAGAAGCGTTTCGAAGGCGCCGAGATTTACACATACATTGGCCATGTGCTGGTTTCCGTCAATCCCTTCCGGGACCTGGGCATCTACACCGACCAGGTCCTGGAGAGCTACAAGGGCAAGAACCGTCTGGAAATGCCGCCGCACGTCTTTGCCATCGCCGAATCCGCATACTACAACATGAAGGCGTACAACGACAACCAGTGCGTCATTATTTCGGGCGAATCAGGAGCCGGCAAGACCGAGGCCGCCAAGCGCATCATGCAGTACATAGCAAGTGTCTCTGGTGAGCAGTCGGGCGACATCAAGAAGATCAAAGACATGGTGCTGGCAACCAATCCTCTGCTTGAGTCTTTCGGAAATGCCAAGACGCTACGAAACAACAACTCGTCGCGATTCGGCAAATATCTCCAGCTCTACTTCAACGCTGCCGGCGAGCCCGTCGGAGCCGACATTACAAACTACCTCCTTGAGAAGACGCGAGTCGTTGGGCAGATTACAAACGAGCGCAACTTTCATATTTTTTACCAGTTCACAAAAGCTGCACCAAGCCAGTACCGCGAGCTGTTTGGCATTCAGAAGCCCGAGACCTACCTTTATACCAGCCGTTCCAAGTGTTTCGACGTGGACGGCATAGACGATGTCGCGGAATTCCAGGATACGCTCAATGCCATGAAGATCATTGGGCTGAGCCAATCGGAGCAAGACGAGATTTTCCGCATGTTGGCCGCCATCCTATGGATCGGCAATATTCGATTCCAGGAGGACCAGGGCGGATACGCCGAGGTTGTCGACAAGTCTGTGGTGGACTTTGTGGCATACCTGCTGCAGTGTACAGCCGATGATGTGGTCAAGGGCATTACCATTCGTATTCTGACACCGCGAAACGGAGAGGTTATTGAGTCGCCGGCAAACCCGGCGCAGGCAATGGCAACCCGGGACGCGCTGGCCAAGGCCATTTATAGCAACTTGTTTGATTGGATCGTAGAGCGCATCAACATCTCTCTCAAGTCTAGACAGGCCACGACCAACACCATTGGCATCCTGGATATCTACGGTTTCGAGATTTTCGAGAACAACAGCTTCGAGCAGCTGTGTATCAACTATGTCAACGAGAAGCTCCAGCAGATCTTCATCCAGCTCACCTTGAAGGCTGAGCAGGAAGAGTATGCGCGAGAGAAGATCCAGTGGACGCCGATCAAGTACTTTGACAACAAGGTTGTGTGCGACCTGATTGAGCAAATCCGGCCTCCTGGAATCTTTTCTGCCATGAAGGATGCGACCAAGACGGCCCACGCAGATCCCGCCGCCTGCGACCGAACTTTTATGCAGAGCATCAATGGCATGTCACACGCTCACTTGATTCCCCGACAGGGTAACTTCATCATTAAGCACTACGCCGGTGATGTCGGCTACACTGTCGACGGTATCACGGACAAGAACAAGGATCAGCTGCTGAAGGGACTGCTGAACCTGTTCCAGACCAGCGGAAACGCTTTCGTTCACACGCTGTTCCCCAACGAAGTCGATCAGGACAACCGCAAGCAACCTCCCACAGCGGGAGATCGTATTCGCACATCGGCCAACCTCTTGGTCGACACACTCATGAAGTGCCAGCCATCATATATTCGAACGATTAAGCCCAACGAGAACAAGTCGCCTTCCGAGTACAACGGGCCCAACGTCCTCCATCAAATCAAGTATCTTGGTTTGCAAGAAAACGTCCGCATTCGAAGAGCTGGATTCGCTTACCGACAAGCATTTGATAAATTTGCCGATCGTTTCTTCCTGCTATCGCCAGCTACTTCCTACGCTGGTGAATACACATGGCGGGGCTCCGTCGAGGACGCTGTCAAGCAGATTCTCAAGGACACGAGTATTCCCAAGGAAGAGTGGCAAATGGGTGTGACAAAGGCGTTTATCAAGTCCCCAGAGACGTTGTTTGCGCTGGAACACATGAGAGACCGATACTGGCACAACATGGCCACTCGTATTCAGCGTATGTGGCGAGCCTATCTTGCCTACCGAGCCGAGTCTGCCACGAGAATACAGCGTTTCTGGCGAAAGAAGCGAACTGGTGCAGAGTACTTGCAGCTCCGTGACCAGGGCCACAAGGTTCTTCAGGGACGAAAGGAGAGGCGGCGCATGAGTCTTCTCGGCTCCCGAAGGTTCCTCGGAGATTATCTTGGCATTAACGCCATGAACGGACCGGGGGCTCCTTTGCGACAGGCGGCCAACCTTGGCTCAAACGAGCGCGCCATCTTCTCGTGCCGTGGTGAGATTCTCGAAGCCAAGTTTGGTCGATCCAGTAAACCGAGCCCTCGCATCATCATCATAACCAATGCCAAGTTTTACGTCATCGCTCAGCTGCTCGTCAACAACCAGCCACAGATTCAGGTGGAAAAGGCAATTCCTCTGGGAGCTATCAAGTTTGTTGGTGTTTCTACGGCCCAGGATGACTGGTTCTCACTAGGAATCGGCTCTCCCCAGGAACCGGATCCGCTCATGAACTGCGTCTTCAAGACGGAGATGTTTACCCATATGCAGCGTGCCATGCCGGGAGGCTTCAACCTCAAGATCGGCGAGACGATTGAATACGCAAAGAAGCCAAACAAGATGCAGCAGGTCAAGGTGCTGAAGGATTCCCAGCAGCGAGCCGACTTTTACAAGAGTGGCACCATCCACACCCAGCCAGGACAGCCTGCCAACTCGCCATCGAAGCCGTTCCCCAAGGCCAAGCCTGTGCCGGCACGACCCATCACAAGAGGCAAGCTGATTAAGCCTGGTGGCCCAGGAGGAAGGCCGTCTAGAATCACCGGTACCCGCAATACCCAGCCGAGATCAACGGGCACCGGCACCAGGACTGTTCCTCCGCCACCTTCTGCTCTTGGTAGCGTGGTGTCGGTGTCATCGTCGGCATCGTCCAGTGCTGGCCCGTCTGCAAGCACAAGCACATTGAGCTCGGTGTCGTCGCATCAAATCCCAGTTATCGGAAATGCCAATAAGCCACTGAGCCATGCCAGAAACCAAAGCGGCAGCGCAAATGCACGAGCTCCACCGCCGCCTCCAGCTCCTCCAGCTCCCCCTGCTGCGAAGCCCAAGATCATGGCCAAGGTGTTATATGATTTCGCCGGCCAGAAGGAAAACGAACTGTCTATCAAAACAGGTGACTTGCTTGAGATTATCCAGAAGGAGAACAATGGTATGTATCATCCAGCCCGTGAATCCTCTATTCGTATGTTTATGGTGTGATCTAATACTGTATGACAGGTTGGTGGCTAGCAAAGAATGCTCAAGGACAAGCCTGGGTACCGGCAGCATATGTTGAAGAACAGGCACCTGCCGCCCCTAGACTACCCCCGGCGCCGCCTTCAGCCAAGGCGAAGCCCGTACCGCCGACGAAGCGACCGGCAGCAGGAGGACGCAAGCCCGCTGACTTGGCGCAGAGGGATTCCGGAATGAGTCTCAACGGCACCGGTGGCGATAGCCGCAGCAGCACACCGACGCCCAGCCTGGGAGGCAGCTTGGCGGATGCTCTCCTGGCGCGCAAGAATGCTATGAACCAAAAGAGAGACGATGAGACTGACGACTGGTGAGCCACGCCACGATTTTTAGATATGCTTCACGATGTTGCTTGTCACGAAGGCATTTTATACAGTTCAGTTGGGACTCTTCTTTTTTTTTCTCATTTCCGATGTTCTTTTTTTTCTCTTTCTCTTTATTTTTTTTTCTCCTTGCTTCTACATCAATATCATGCCGCAATGACTGGAAAAAACTTTTTCTTTTATTTTTTGGCAGACTTGTTGTATACACGATGTGTGCGAGAAATTTGGGCAACCATTGTGTCATACGGTCTTGAGTATAGATCTCGGAAGCGCGTGGTTGTATTTTACGGAGGAGGGGAGAAAGGGAGGGGGGCGGCCTTGAGAGCCTGGGGCCTGGGATGCTATTTATACATATTTTAAAATGCTTGTTCTAGAAAAAATAAAGTTTTTATTTATAGTAAAAAATACTATTTTATGGTTTATCCAATGTTTTTTTGTGCGGTTTTATTCGTCTTTTTCCTTTTCTTTCTTTCGCTAGTTCGTTATTCATCCTTGTATGATGCTGCCCCCTTTCTGCGTCGTAGCAGCTCTGCAATGGGGACGTCTTCGTCATGCTGTTCTGTGTCTTCATCAACGCCATAGTCTCGCAGACGCTCTCCGTCTCTGTTGACCCAGCCGTTCCGATAGCTTCCCTTGTCACTACCATGATCCCCGTCTGAGCCGTACTCATCTATCTCTTCCAGCTCTGCCATTAGTCTGTTTCTCCTCTTCAAGTCTTCTTCCTGACGCCTCCTGAACGCCTCGACCTGCTCCTCAGGACTCAGCCCAGCATCCTGTAGCTCCGTATCATAGTTGCGCCGCGACAACTCCCAGTCCCTGCCGGCGCGACGGAGCTTCTCGGGGTCTGGAGGCGGCCACATGCCGAACTTGCGGTTGAAGCCGTTTTCGTCCCACGTCCAGCCGGGGCCGGTGCCGGTCTTGCTGAGGCGGGGGTTGCCGGCGAGGGGCAGCAGCCACAGCAGCGGGTTGGCGGTGCCCATGGCCTGGGCCATGTTTGCGAAGAAGCCGACGTCGTAGGGGAACTCGATTTCCTCAAACTGCAGCTTCTCGCCGTCGGGCCCCGTCACGTCCCACCACTCGCGGCTGCCGTTGCGGATGTTGGACTCGTGCCGGTCGACTTCCATGTCCTCGATCGTGGTCCGATTGAGGACCCAGCCCTGCAGCGTGGTGAGGAGCATCAGGCCCAGCGCAAGCGTCGTGACGCCCCAGATGATGGACGTCATGGCGAGCGATATCAGCGCGAAGAGCGAGGGGCCGAGGTGCGCGGGCATGTGCCGGGTCTCCCACAGGGCGTAGAAGCGCTGCCAGAAGAAGTATCCCAGCATCCACAGCGACACGTTTGCGTAGAGAAGGAAGCGCAGAAAGTGCGGAAACGTCGTCATGGACACGCAGTTGCGCGTCCAGGGGCAGTGGTGGTCCATCTTGGGGATGCATCGCTTGCAGTGCCGGCAGTGGTGCGCGCGAGGGGGCTTCGGCGCCTGGCACTTCTTGCACCACCGCCCGTCGGCGTCGAGCACCTGCTCCTCGAAGACGAAGCGGCCGGGATCGATGGTGACGGCGCGGAAGTAGCTGAACCAGAGACACAGCAGCAGCGTGTTGAAGACGACGCTCTCGTTGCGGGACAGCGGGCCCGGGTCGAGCGCCGTGGTGTTGAAGACGAACTGCGAGAAGTAGCTGAGGAAGGCGGTCAGCACGCAGACGGCGGGCACGGCGAGGATCTCGGCGAAGGGCGCATCGCTGAATCCTGCCATGGCGGAGAGTTATGGTGGTGGTGATGAAGAAGAAGACATGTCTAGCGGTGCCTTGAGTTTGGAGATTCTGCCAGCTTACTGTACTCGTACTTACACAGCGGATTGCTAGACTATACGTTTGGCGGAGAACGCGCGGAAGGGTCGATCTTATGTAAGCGGTAGAGTCCCCTGAAACCAGTGAGATTGAGAGGTGACGAGGAATGCTCCGTCCGATGAAAAAGGAACAACTTGAGTATAATAATACTGCGATTGAGATTGTTCCGCCGGAGTTTTCTCATCGCCACGAGGCCATTGGACTGCAGCAGAATGATAGGCTTCGTATTGCACTGCTCAGGCTACTAGAGATTTACAAGAAAGACGCCGGAAAAAAGGACGTGCCCGCGTCGGGCTGAGCCGCCGGGTTGGGAGCGTTGAGCCATGGCACGAATCCCAGCGGTGCATGTGTCTGCTCTTTGGTATTGAATGCCTCTCCTCCAATTGCAATGACCAATTGCTGACCTTCTCTGCAGCAGTGTTTTGTCATTTGTTTATATTTCTCATTCGCTGGAGCGCCATTCATTAACCGGCACGTTCACTTTCCTATCCTCTCACCAACACCACGAAAACTAACTTCAGCCCCCCCTCAGAACGACCTCGGCTTTCCTCCTTGTTAGTCTTGCTTTTATCAGGTCTTATTTGCTATGGCCTCAGTGCTGCGGCCAAATTCATCCCCGGGGCAGACGGACGCTTCGTTTCCGGCACCGGGGCCGCCGGCGATGAGACGCTGCTGGGTGTTGCGTCTGACGAGGCGCTGCTCAAGGGATCCAGCGCCCACCTCCCCAATCGGCCCCGGAGATGGTCTCTGCCGGCCCTGATCTTCATTATTGTCCTCAGATTGGAGGTATTCCATCTTGTGAATAAGCAGCAGCAGTGTGCTACTCCTGGACTCGAGGTAGGATGACGTCACTGAAGCAAATAAGGAGAAAGAAGTCGAGATGGGTTTTGATATGCTAACAACACCTCTACTGCATGACTAGTCGTTTCTGATTATATTCCTCATTGCATACGAAATCTTCTCTACGCGCCGCAAATGGGGGCTCCCAGCCTCCGCCTTGGACGACGACGACCCCTGGCGCAGCGTCTTCGACGACATCTACGACTGGTTCACCGGGGCTCGCGTCGTCATGTTCAACACCGTCGTCAGCGCCTTTGTCTTTTCGCTGGGGACCTTCTTGTCCATCAAGCAGATTCGGAGGTCGACTTACTTCTGCTTCCACCTTATCGATAGTCGGTTCACGACTGTCTCTCTGCAGCTGCTTGGTCTCGTTCTTGATGCCGCCATTATAGTCCTGCTGTGGCGGATGTTGGCATGGGCAAGGACTATTAAGCTGCGCCTACGGATCTTGAGCACGGTGCTGCTTCTGTCGGCTGCCTCGGTGGGCTTAGTATGGGTGGTCAACGCCATCTTTAGAGGCTCTCATAGAGTCAATGTCTCCTTTGGATCCCTGTATGGGTTTGATGCCGTGGTTGATAGCTTTGCCTTTGCCTCCCTCGTCACATCATCCATGTTTTGGATATGTGAGACGTCAACCATCACGCCCATCGGCACCTTGACGTTCTTGATAGGTATATGGAGCTCATGTGATAGGATCTTTCGCTACGGGGACTGGCTACACTTATCACGAGTCGCTGCGCTGGGACCGCTATGGATGATTGTCACTGGTACCATACTCTTCTTGTATCTTCACGACCTCCGTTCCGTCCTCTTCATTCGACGGATTCTGTTTGCGATCCTCCTCTTGGCTCTCCTCGTGGGCACAACCATATTCATTTTTGTAAAGAAGCCTCAAACGTGGCACAACAACATCCATCCCGCCAACGACCTCGTCTACACGGCTCACGTCGAACACGACCGCTGGAAAGCAAAAGTCAGCGTCAGTACGACGCTCTCGACGGCTGTAACAGTCTACCAGGAGCGACACAACGGAAGGCTGCCGCCCCCCAACTTTGACGCATGGTACAAATACGCCGCGGATGACTCGGTTATGATTGACGAGTTCCAGCAAATCGACCGAGACGTCGCCCCCTTTTGGAACGTGGCCCCCCTTGTACTCCGCAAAAGAGCGACCGAGATGGCGGCGATGCCGGACGTCGCAACCATCACGGTCAAGGACGGCAAGGTCACTCGGAAGGACACGGGCAACGCGGACGACAACAAAGACCTCGACGAGCTGGTCGCCATGATTGCCAAGTTCGCCCAGCACCTCCCGGACATGGTCCTGCCCATCAACCTTTCGCCGGCGCCCCGCGTGTTACCGCCGTGGGAGGAGGCGAATTCCAAGAACAGGGCTGCTCAGCTCAGCTCGGTGGCTGACCTATTATCTCGGCGCTCCATAGATGAGGCGAGCAACGGCACTGCGCCAGCGGAGCACGAAAAGGACAAGGAAAAGGAAAAGGAAAAGGAGCCAGCCGTTCCTCATCCCCTTCAGAGCACGGTATCGGCTAGTGCCTTTCGTCGGATGCAGGTCGAAGCCTGCTCCCCCTTGTCGCGCAGCAGGACGAGGCCTCACTGGAACTTTATGGAGTTTTGTTGGTCGTGTGCCAAGGACCACACCTTCGGCCAGCTCCTAACAAACTGGCAGCAGTCGTTGGACACATGCTCTCAGCCTGACCTGCGTCTGCTGCACGGCTTCTCGCTCACGGACCCGCCGCGGCCGCCGCTCCGGCACCTCGCCCCCTTGTTCGGAGCCTCCAAGACGGACGAGTTCCGCGACATTGTCATACCGCTCCCAAAGACGAGGCTGGAGAAGCCCGACATTAAATGGCAGTTTACACGAAGATACGATAGTCTGGTCTGGAGAGGGGTCGTGGGGGAACACGCGCCCAATAGTCAGGCCCTGCGCGGAAGTCACAAATATCGCCTGTTGCATCTCGCCAGTGCGCCGTACGCGCGCGACGATGTCATCATGGTCCTCCCAAAGCCCGACGATCACGACACGTTCGGCTACGAAAGGGTATCGGCCGCAGAGGCCAACGCCGTCGTGCCCTTCAGCGTGGGCGTGACAAACTCGACGGCCTGCGCCGCCGATGGGTGCAAGCTGGTCGAAAAGGCCTACGGCATCCGCGACGACGCCACCGAGCCGCTGGAGTACCGCTACGTCCTCCTGATGGACGAGGACGACGGCCCGCCGCAGCAGCTCCTTCGCACCTTGCGCTCATACAGCGTGCCACTGGTATCAACCATCTTCCGCACGTGGTTTACCGAGCGGCTGATGCCGTGGCTGCACTTTGTCCCTGTCGATCCAAGATACCAGGCACTTCACACGACCTTTGCCTACTTTTCAGGGACGGAGAGCCGGCCCAAGGTCAACGGCAGGGAGACGTCCATGGAGGGTAGAATGGCAGATGCCGAGTGGATCGTACAGCAGGGCCAGCGATGGGTAACAAAGGCTCTTCGGGATAAGGATATGGAGATCTATCTGTTCCGGCTGCTGCTGGAATGGGGGCGGCTCATTGACGATCTGAGGGATGAGATTGGATTCCGCAAGGATGACAAGGGGGCGTTCCAGAACGACGCCTGGACCCGGCAACAAGGCGGGGAATAAGAGAGCAGGAGCAGGATTGCCGATTTTTTACGTATTTGATTTTTTCTGGATGGCAGTATTGGATTCAAATCAGAGTTAGATTGGGTTGGGATGCATCTGTCACATACAGTTACACAACAGCTGCTGCGCGTTGTGACATGAAGAAGTGATACCCAGCGTGGATCCTTTCCATAGGCATGAATCCAGTTGGGCTAACTTGTACTCGCATGTCTTGGACGAGATGCGTTATTATTGGCTTGGGCCTAACAATGTCCTTCTGCTGTATGATATATGAGCTGCATGACAAGAGGGGGGAAAAAATTTACTAGTACGTGCCTCTACATATGCCACGCATGATGGCGGCTTCTCTTTTCCAGTGGTATATTGTAGAATGGCTCGGGACGCCACGTGCATGCAGAAGCGGTTGGACAGCAGAGCGAAATGAGTGAGGATTTGCCGCCCCTTCATGCAGACAAGCGTTTTGGGAAACGGGCTGTGACAGGGATGGGCGCTTGTGTGAGTGGGATGTGGTGGGATGTTGTTATCATGACTTTCTTCCATGGTGGAGGTGAATTCAAGGAGGCTGGTGGTGGTGGTGGTGATACAGCACCATCCTCGTAGCAAACACTCGCCCTCTTTGTAAGGCGGATGCAACCAAAGTCGTATGAGGTAACATGGCGACGTACGAGTACGAGCAGAGAAAATCCAAAAGTCTGTGGCGTCCCGAGATCCCTTGAGCTATAACCCCATCCATATTTCGTCCGTTATTCGGCAGTCACATCTTCGGCAGAGTGGCGTCTCCCACAAAATTCTGATTCGGCAAATAAGCACGGCGGAGTATCAAAACAACAAATCCGGTGTTGGTAATGCGGCGCTTCCTATCCTGTAAACATGTGCGTCTGTGGTGTTGCGTAAAACATGTGGTACCCTTCTGAACTATTATTATCGCGCTAGTAGCAAAATACATCTACATCGTCGAAATCCAATGCGCGTACATAAAGACGCGGTGGGAGTCTCGCAGGGCGCTCGGTCTGCCAGCGGATTGGCTCGATGTGAAATCATTTGGGGGGGTTGCCGATGAGGCGGATTGGACCAGGCGGATTGGGGAGGAGAGTGGCGCAAGACTTTGAACTGACAGCGCCTTTAGGGGCGAGCCGGGCCGCCGGTCAAGTCTCGGACGTAGCATCGACGGCAGAAAAGAGGCGCCTTGACGATGCCCTTGGCGTCATCAGTACCCAAAACGATGGGGTAGCCGCAGCATCGTCCGATATGCACGTTGTTGAGCAGAGGTAGGCACGAGGCTCAATGTAGGTGCGGGAAGTAAAACCACCATGCGGTGGCGTTTCCCTCACTGTAGCTAGTGCAAAGAGTTATTATTACGCCGAGGAATAACAACAGCAGCAGCCCTCAACATGCTCGAGGTACCCAGCTGTATAAGCGGACTTGAAGCCCAACATGGCGATATCAACATGGGCTGTACTGGTCCAAACGAGATGAACATTTTAATATGGAGCGCCGAGTAGAAACATGTTAGCGTCTCTACTGCCCCCGGCAACGTTACTCGCTGAAGCTCAACCAGTGGAGATCAAGAGCCCGACCGAAACTGATGCGCAGCCTAAACACTCCAGGGCTGCATTTCCAAGGGAGGGGAGAGAGCTGAGGGAGCCGATATTGTGGTGAACTGGAAGCGACATGATGCTGCAGGTAAATGGAGAAGTAGGAGCAGGTGAGAGCATTTCTGTGGCGAGAGGAGGGACACACCTTCCACAAGCTACCAGGGTGCGGCCACCTCAGGTGAGAATCCTAGTTTCCTCCCCATGCTCTCGTGTTGTCTTTGGTGAATCCCGACTCTGTTGTTTGCTTGCCCTGATGCCGGGGAGACGGGTATAGAGTATTCGGCCAGTTGTCGGTTTCATAATCGTGCAAATGCATTAGCACGGGGTTTCAGCCGAGCATCCCTTGGGAATCAAAGCCATTGCCAGCGGGATTTAGTCACCGCGCTGCTCATTGATAAGGACGCAACCAAATCAGCCGGGCATTGGTTGTGAGACAATGCATGGGCATCCAAGTAGGTAGAAGGCGCCTTACGCGCAGTAGTACGTTGTGTGATTTGCCTGGCCATTTTCAGCCGCCCCGTTCTTGGTGTGATTGGGCTCTTTTTTTTCCTTTTTCCTCTGCTCCTTTCCCCCCCAGCGTCGCTTCTTTTTCCTCTCCTTGGTCAGCAGGCTCCCTGCGGCGTGGAGTTTAGCAGCATCCAAGGTCATCCGCAGCCAGAGGTAGATTACTCGTATGTCCCTTGTGGGAACCCGGTAGGAGTGGCTTCTTGGGGGGAGAAGCTGGGTTTGGTAGGTGTATATCGGCAGTCCGGATTCCGGTCCTAGGCCGGTTCCAAAGTATTAGTCTCCGCAGCAACTGTCGGCGAAGGATGCGGTTCCGCGGCGGGTTGAAGAAGCCCCCTGCTGGAGGACTTTTGTGTTTTGCTGTTCGTGATTTGACTCTTTTCGTTTCCCCCTGATAAATGACGAGAGGTTATCTGGGTAACTGGCCTGTTACTTTCGAGGGGTTGAGGTAAAGGAATTAAGGGCGTTTTAGGTGTGACGGATTGGGGGACACGAACACCGAGCTGATCTTAGTAGAGATCGCAAAAGATCGCACTTTCCTTCCCTGTGGGCAACGGACTTTTGGCAAGTGATAGCACCATGGACGTCACTACTAAGGTACTACTAACTACCTGCTAGGACCTTACGTGCCTGCCTGTCGGAGCCGCTACCCACGGCTACGTGACCGGTACGGAACATTTGCGCTGGCCTGTGCGCCTGTGGTTCCCGCGCCTATGGTTTTTGCCTCAGGGTACCTGGTTTGCTGGTATTGGCCGGCACTCCGTCATCGTTCGTTGTACCCCTTGTACCCCTTGTACCCTTTGTACCCTGGAGGTACCGGCCAGACGTTAGCCCTCCCCTCCTTCCCCCAGATTCTCGCTTGCGTCCAAGCGCTGCTGCCATCCGATCCATCGACAAAATTTTCTCTTCGGTGTGATCTGATGCAGCTACTGGCGCTGAGCTCCTGATCTGCAGGGCCCCTTTCCGCCTCCTCGTCCGTGGGTGGTTCTTTCTTTTTTTCTCACTCTCTCTTTTCTTTTTACAATCCCCTCATTTCGCTCCCACGATACGAATCACACACAAAGTACTTCGTAATACTACTCCTATTCCTGTTTTCTCTTACTCTTATCTTTTTTATTATATCCTTGTCTCCCTGTGTTTGTCTCTCCCCCCTTTTTCTCCACATGTGTCTACATAGTATGTCGTCGCCGGCCTGATATGATTCGTAGCCTCCAGTTTGCTGTCCAACTTGACCATTGGACTTTGGTTCTCGTCTCGACGCCCGGCCCCAAGCCTCACGGCCATCCTTTACTTACCAACTTCCTTTTTGGTGACATTGTTTGTGCCGTGCTAAAAGCCTCAGCGGTCTCTAGTCCTCTAGTCTCGCGGGTTTTGGCCTTAGCCCTACCTAGGTTTAATCCGGAGCAACGCATCGCATCGAGCTCAAGTAAGCGAGCGTATTCGCGATGCCGCTCCAAAGCTCCGTCTATGCCCTACTCGGCTCCGCCCTGGAGGGCCTCTGGTCTGCTTCGAGCCCGTGCAAGTCGAGAACTCGTACTTCCGTGATCCCTCCCGCCTTCTGACGACGTTCAACTTCTCGCCTGATGGTGTGGTGGGCTGCCGCTTCGATGGCCTGAGCCTTGACCTTGCTCTCAAACAGGCTTGGTCCTCCGAGCCCGCCACTACGCTGGATCCTCGTGCTAGATCCCGAGCAAACCCGCCTGCTCAGTTGAGTGTTTCGCTCTGTGACCGACGTACATGGGCCCGGTTGCAGGGATCCGTGGTTAAATGCTTCCGGTAGGCCATTGTCGTTATTATTAGCCTCCGTGCCACAAGTTCTATGTACTGGGAGGTACCGCAGGCTGCATACTTGGCGTGGGAGCGCTTTAGGTACACATGGATGCCACCCTTGTCCACCTTGGGTATACCTGTGCCAGTATCATGTCCCAGACCGAAGCTCTTTTCATCCAACCTCGGCCCTGTCCAGCTTCACGCTTCACGCTTCACATTTGCCCAGCGACTCAGGCTGGCCTTGGCATCCCATCTCCGTGTTGTGGCGCCTCTCGCGACGTAAATTGAACGGCTTTGCGCTGAGCTCAGGCCGCGTTTTGGGCCGCTGCCGCTGCAGTCATTTTCTTGTCTCTCCGGCTTCCTCTTCCCTGCCACTTTTGTTGGCCCTCCTCTTGGACAAGACCCCGCGTTCCTGTTGCGCCTCTTTTCTCCCTCAGACCTGTTCGCCAATTTTTTTTTTCCCTTGAATTTTTTTTTTGGCGGGGTTAACTTGTCTTTAACGCGCCTGGCCACTACACACGCTCACCTCCGCATACATACAAGCCGGACGTACAGAGTACAGATACGCGCAAACCAGGACGACGAGCGGGAGCGAAACCGGGGGGAAAGGGAGCGATTTTGCAGTCGCCGTTCACCTGTCAAGTATACTTGCCTATCTAGTACTGCTGCCACTTTTCTAGCCTGAGTCCTCCCCTTTCCCATCACCCTGTCTATCACATCACCATAAACACACACGGCGCATCGCATACCTTGGTAGCTCGTGCAGTGGGTATTATACAAGCTCTCAGCCCTTTTCTCCCTCTGCCAGTCGTGTTGATTTCGCGAGACTAATCGCCTGCAAGCCGCACCACCTCCGCGCCACTCAAAGGGCCAAAAAGCCTGCATCCTGCAGCATCCGATTCAGTAGCTGTTGCCGAGCTCACACAGCTGTGCGAATCACAGTCTCAGCTGCAATTTGCGCGGCGAGAGGCGGCCCATAAACCCCCGCCTCATCTCCATCCTGCTGGCTCAGACTCTCACCACTTCGCTCTCTCACCTTTCTTCACCTCGCTTCACCGTGATCGCGCTTTCTGCTCCGGGCCCCGCCCCCCGCCAATAATGGGATTTTGATCGTCCGCGCCGGTCCGCCGTCCTACAGCCATGAACTCCGTCCACAGCCTGATAGACGCTCCAGCACCAGCCTCAGCCCAGGGCCCGACGCAGCTTGGAGCCCAGGCCGGGCTTCACCTCCACGACCACGCTCAGGAGCAGTCTCAGCCGCATCACCAGCTGCACCGCCTAGCCTCGCCCACCCCGATCCCGGTGTCGGCTTCGGGCCCGGCGCCGGGCCCCGTCGGCCTCTCGCTGTCTCCCTCGTCGGCGCCCCCGTCGGCGCCAACTCCTGTCCATACCCCGAGGCCAGATGATCTGCATCAGAGACAGCTGCCGCCGCCCTCTACGCCGTCCTTGGCGCATTACGCCTCCATTGCTTCGCCTCCTTTGAGACAGGATACTGGCTCGTCAATCTCAACTCAGGCCACCACGGCTACCCTGGCCTCTACAGAGACCAACAACACATCGTACAGTGCCGACACCTCCCCTAACCTGCACCAGTCCATTTTCTCCCTCAAGGATGGCTCCGACGTCTCTAACAGCCGTCGAACCAGCAGGAGACGTACCGGCCCCCTATCTCAACAGTCCAGAGAACGGGCCGCCCTGATCAGAAAGCTAGGAGCCTGCGTCGACTGCCGCCGCAGGAGAGTTGCCGTAAGTCGAGGCCCTCTCCCCCCTGCGCTCCACCCCGGCCAGCATCTTGCGGCTGACACCTCTCCGCAGTGCCACCCAAGCCATCACAACATGACTTGGGAAGACGTGGTTAGCAAGTTTCACAGGTCGCACAGCCCAGCTGTTCAGGATATTGCTCCCTCCCTCGCTGCCGCTGGCCGGCCTCTCAGTCCCGCAACTCCTCTCAACGCTGTCCAGCCCATGTTCACTCATGACCCCCAGGAGATGGAGATTGATGCTGGTAATACTACGCCTAGCCATCATCACCAGCCTGGTCGTCCACCGCTTAGTGAAGCCCGCATCCGCACTCCGCTGCCGACTGGCCCCAGGCTGGAGAAGTCGCTGTCTTTGCCGGGAATTGAGAGCCTCAAAAACGACATTCAAAGCAACGCCGCGCGCATGTTGTCTGCCACTACCCGCGGCCGGTACAACTCGGTGCAGGCTCTGTTGTTATTTTGGCAAGAGGACGATGAGGCACTGTTGGTCCAGAGTGCAGTCAGAGAGCTAGCTGACGTCTTTGACAAGTACTATCACTATACGTTTCAAATTCAAACTATCCCCTCCTCTTCAGAAAGCTGTAAAAGCTCATGGAGGTGGCTGTCGCGAAAACTCAACGACTTTGCTGAGGAGCGCGATCAGCGTGACGTTTTGAAGATCGTTTATTACATAGGCCATACTTATCTCGACGCGAGCCGTGATATGGTTTTGGCAAGGTAAGATCCCGCGAGGCAAATCGTAGACGTATGCGTTCGCGAGCTAACTGGAGTGCCTTTCTTCTCTCTTTCCAGCTCAAAAGATCCTGAAAGGGCCTCGACAATCCGCTGGAGCGGCATTCAACAAATTCTCGAGGAAGCCTGCTCGGATACTCTCATCATTATGGATGCCGCATACTATCCCCCAGCTAGAATCGTACGACAGCAAGGCGTACTTGAAATCATTGCGGCTTCCTTATCGGAAGATCACCTTACAGCTCTTGATCGTTGTGCATTTACTCTGGCTCTCGCCGAGCAGCTACGCACGCGCGCAGCCCGCCAGACGCCACTCTCTGTAGTAGAGCTGCACTCTATTCTTATGGCTCTCTACCCTAAGATGGCGCGAGACCGAACGCCCGAGAGAGAGATGATAACGAGCTTCCCCTCCCCGCTGCACACGATGATGTCCGGAAATTCGAGGCTACCTTCGATATTTCTCTCACCCGTTCAGCAAAGCAGCCCGTTACGAAGCAGCTTTTCCTACGAAAACAGCCCACAGCTACACTTGGCTATCAAGCTAAACGATGACAACATTGACATCGACAGTTGGAACGAGTGGCTGCGTATGATGCCTGAAGGAATCAAGGACATCAAAGTTGACGGTCCATTCCGGACAACTTTTAGGTAGTTGAAAGGGGGTTACTCATGCGCTATCTGTGGACACGGTTGAGTTGCGGCTCGATGTGGCTACGCGCTGGACCTAGCGTGGCAATCCCACCGCTATATGTCTCATTTGTAGGCTTTGTTTCTTTTCTGTTTATTTCAAACTTGGAGTTACTCCGAACTCGGCTGGCGTACGGGGTCTTTCCCCCCAATATGCTCAAAAAACAAGCGCGCGAATTCTCACACATACCATAACACCCTCTGATGAGTCAATGATTTAAACCTGCACATCATGACATTGTATAGCGAAGATTTGGGATTGGCAATAGCTGATTTAAAAGAATCCTGTTGAAACTGTATGGTAGCTAAATAAAGAAAAAAATTCTTTAAGTCAATGGATCCTAGTGCCCAGTGATGATCTACTACGTCTACGTCACTGATTGCCGCCCCCGTCATAAGCGCGATTATCTTTGCGCCATGTTTATCAGATTCTGGGGACATTGACATGGATACAAGGTGATGATAACTGCCAAATCTTCGTACTAAGATACTTTGGCTTGTTTGGTGGCTGTTCATGCGCATCCGTGTTTGTGATGGATCGCCTGGTGGATCGCGACGTTGCCCAGCAACCGGCAGCTTTGCAGCTAATCCCCACTCCTGCACAACAAAAATGCCCCCCAGCCTCCACAACGCTCCCCTGTAGTATCAACATTCACCGCCCAAGTCATGTCAACACTAAGTCATTTTTGAACCGCGTCTTTTTGTCCATATCTGTAGCACTCCATCAGCATCACGTACGCAGAGGAGCAAACAGCCACACCAGACACAATGCGCTCCCCACCCCAGCGTCAGACACGAGCCAGGGCCAAGGACCCTGAGCCCGCGACTTCGAAACCAACAAAAATCATAACGGCTGCCGCAAAGGCAAAAGCATCCGTTCCATCAACTCTAACCGCGAGCACGAAGAGCACGGCTGCTAAGAGAAAGGCGAGATCCGATGACGCGGATGAAGAAGAGCGTCAGGCATCGCTAGCCAAGCGACCACGAGGCCGCCCCCCTAAGAAGCCTGTTGGAGAAGATGAAAAAGCCATCGCCATGGCAGCGACAGTACCAACGACGTCCAAGGTCTCTGAGCCAATTCGAGGGGCACGAGCCAAGCCTATCCTAAGAAAAGGGGTCGCAGAGGTCACAAAAGAGGCATCAATAGCTCCAAAGCCAGGGCGTGGCAGACCGAGAAAGGTTGAATCGAAGCCGATAGAGAGTGAGAGCCAGCCTGAGCCAGTTAAGAGGGCCCGTGGCCGGCCGCCAACGGTGATGAAGCCAACCTCGTCGACGGCAACGACAGTAGCCAACAAACCGCCAGTGAAAAAGGTGGTCAAGTTCCGAGAGCCAGATAAGGAGAACGTGGAGCCTGCCGCAGTACCAAGGGAACCTGTCACTACCGGCATGCGCGGTCGTCCAGCACGGCGAGGTGGTGCGACTGCAGCTCGAAGTACTCGACCAGCTACAAAGCCCTCAAAGCCTCAGGCTGGGGACAAGAAGCCACTGAGCCCCAAGAAGATTACGCAACTGACTCTTTTACCCGACGACTCTGAAGACGAACTGGCATTAGAGAAAGTGTCTGCGAAGCCGTTATCAAAGAGCCCGATCAAGCCTCCGTCCAAGAAATCGGAACCTATTCATGCTGAATTCGAGAATCTGGATACGACCATTGCCGTTAATGCTGTCATGTTCGATTTGCCAGAGATCAATCCCACAATTCTTGCATCACCAGCCAGGCGGCCTACATCGCCGCCGCGAGACACGATAAAGTCTCCAGCCAAGAGAATGGCAATGCCCCTGCCTGGATCTGCGCTAAAGCTGGGCAACGATCCAGTTGGCCAGACGCCTTTCAAGTCATCGACGCTTCTGCAATCTGCTGCTAAGCGACCCCAATCTCCCATCAAACCCTTCATCTTCTCAGCCCAGAAGGCACAGCCAAGTGAACCGACTACCAAGTTCTCCATGCTACAGTCGCCAGCCAAGAGGGCGATGCCGGGCGTCAAATCGCGTTTGGATGCGCAGCCAGAACTCCCGGCGCTGGATGAGTCTCCTGTTAGAACCCCAACCAGGTCAACCAGATCTTCACATAAGCTTATGTTGGAAGAGGAGGTGCATGAGGATAGCGAGGAGGATCCTTTTGTAGGACCCATTGAGCTTCCTCAATTTTCCATGCGCCAATCTCCCGAACTGCCTTCCGAGGTCCACTCTGCTCCTGCAGAGGTGGAAGACGAAGTGGAAGATGAAGCGCAAGATGAAGCAGAGGCAGAGGCGGAGGTGGAGGCGGAAGATGAAGAAGAAGTCGAAGCAGAAGTCGAAGTAGAGGCAGAGGTGGAGATTGAGGCGGAGGCGGAGGTGGAAGCAGAAGCAGAAGCGGGAAACAACGACGAGGAAGAGCCACTACAAGCCACGGAAACGGCAGAGAGTCTGTCGGCTGACGAGGAAGAAAACGAAGTAGTCGAGGACAGCATCATTGTCGCAACGGGAGAAGAGCAAGTCGAGGACGAAGAGGCACCAGCCGACGACGATGATGCCCAGTCAGAAGACACCATGGTTCTCGATGACCTTGACGCAGAAACCGAGGAGCTTGTCGAATCTCCGCCAAAAGCAGAGTCCCAGACAGCAAACGGCTTCTATCAGCTTCGGCAGAAAGACTTGGATCCCTGCCATGATTTAGGTTTAACATCTGATTCCGAGGACGATACCCTGCCCTTTGAAAGAATCACGGCCACTCCATCTATCAGCGGAGAGAGGACGCCAAGAACTCGAGCCAGCCGCAGGTCTACTTTGGGATTTACAACTCTCTCTGACCAGCTCGGCACTTGGTCGGCTGCCAGCCCTGTCAAGGGTGCTCATCCGTCTGCGGAAGAGGCTCATCCAGGAAGCGCTGAGGATGAGAGCCTTGAACACGGATTTGAGTCATCGAATCAAGACACTCCTATGAAGAACGTGTTTCCGGGCAGCGAGATGCTGTTGATGCAGCCCGAAGCGGCCACATTGCCGGAGATGGAAAGCGTTGTGGAAAGTGTTGAGGGGCAAAATTTGGACGAGGAGGCCATGACCACAGACGAGGATATGGCCCTGGCTCAAGAAACAAATGAGATGTCTCTGACAGATCCCAAGGAGGAGGAAGATGCTTCCAATTCTCGCCACTCTTTCGACGACGGTTTGTCGGATGCTAGCCAGGAATATGGAGATGAAAACCAAGTGCCCGTCGACGGTCCTGCGCCTAGTTCGGAGCCTCAGGCAGCGCCACCAGTAACGCCGGTCTCTCGTCCAGTAACGCGGTCGTTCAACACAACCACCAAGATACCACTCAAGCCAGCCGACGAATCAACACCAAGTCCATTAAAAAAGAAGAGCTTCAGCGCCTCACGAGCTGCTCCAAAGCGGCCACCCCAGCCCAAACGGGGTGCCCCTGTTTTATCTTATGCGGACAAGCCTCGAAGGAGGAGCTCACGAAATTTCAGCGCCATCTCCGAGGAGCCAGAGCAGAAGGCCGAAGAACCCTCGACGCCAATGGCAAAGATGGATATGTGGGCAAGCATTGGAACGCCGGGGCGCACTCCTCGTAAGGACCTCAACCCCAGTCTGCTTCGCGGGGCCATTGTGTTCGTAGACGTGCACACAAGCGAGGGTGCGGATGCCAGTGGCATCTTTGTGGAATTGCTCACGCAGATGGGTGCCCGGTGTCCCCAAAAGTGGAGCTGGAATCCCAGCAACTCAAGCAACGGCGAGTCAACCAAGGTGGGCATTACTCACGTCGTCTTCAAAGACGGCAGCAAGCGGACCCTGGAGAAGGTCAGAGAGGCCAAGGGGGTCGTCCAGTGCGTGGGTGTAAGCTGGGTTCTGGACTGCGAGCGAGACAACAAGTGGCTGGACGAATTGCCATACAACATCGACACCAGCAGCGTTCCTCGCGGGGGTGCCCGTCGCCGGAAGAGCATGGAGCCAAAGTCCATTTCCAACATGAACGGCAGCGCGGTCGACGGCTCGTCCAAGAGACGCGAGTCGGCGCCAGCTTCGCCTTCGCCCAAGACACCCAATCGTAGGCAGAGCAGCATCTGGATCCACACCCCCTCGGATGAAGGCGAGGAGCCGGAGAAGGAGGAGGAGGACATTGAGTGGTCCAAACTCATTCTGACACCTGTACCCAAGACGCCGGCTCCGGAGACGATTATGAATTTTGCTATGGAGACGCCGTCAAATCTTGACGATGTGGAGGAGGAGGACGAGAATGATGCAGCGTTGACGAGAGAAGAGATGTTGACGCGAACATGCCCTCCCAGGGCGCAAAGATTTGTCGAGCTCGGTGGTGGCATCTTGTCCGAGACACAGGATGACCATGTGCTGCAGCGGTTAATGGCTGCTCGGCGCAAGAGCCTGCAGTTTGCTCCCAAGGTGGGCAGCCCCTTGGCCAAAATGTGGCGATGAGGTGGCGGTTGTTATGCCTTGTAAATGAAAATCTTTATTTCACCAGATAATTTTTTTATTCTTCTTTTTTTACTTGTTTCGACCCAGGATGGGATACTTGCATGAGGAAAGGGGTACAGATAAAAGCTTGCGTTGGCTAGTCGCTCACTTGGAAACGAAAAACGGTTGTCTTTATGATGCGCATAAAGCATTGGGATGGGTTATACATGGGACAGGACATGTGGCGTTTCGGGATAATGAAATGTGTGGCATGAGGCATTGTTTATACGAGGACAAATATAGAAACAGTCACGATATTGACCTGAACGTAATGGACATTGAAGTAAAAATAAGTTTTATGTGCGCTTGTTATCTAGTCGTGGCGTATTCTAGCTGTAAGGCGCTGCTTAGTGATGGATACTGCGTGTTGGATATGGTGTCCAAAAACTTGATGGGGCAGCGATGGCCTTGTTTTAAAGAGTAGATATATATGTGTGTGTGTGTATGCTTTTGTTGATGATTCGCTCGGGTTTCGCTGGTGAATAATGGATGTGTATTTCCTTGCAGCGCTTCCGAGGGATCGAGTTGTCCAACACGAAGCCGGCAGAGGTGGTGGATGTGGCAGTGTTTGTTGTTTTGTTTTTGTATCCTAGCAGCAGAACCGCCGTTCTCATACAGCAGCAGCCATATATCTGAATTTCCAAATATAGTCTCCTTGTTGCATGAAACATGCCTTGTACTTGTTATCCCCCCCCTTTATTATTCCCCTCCTCTTCTTTTATTTACAGCTTCGTCTTTCAACCCCTAGCCCACGCCCTCATGACAGCAACAGCATCCCCATCATGCGCCTTAAGCAGCTCGGTGGCCTTGCTCTTAGTAACGTCCAGCTGGTCCACGACGAGGGCGACGTCGGCGGCATCGACCTTGACGTTCTTCTTGGCGGTTGTAGAGGTGCCGTGGGCAGCGTTGAGGGCGCGCATGGCCTTGGAGACGGCTTCCTGGTCGAGGTTTGTCGGGGCGGCGGCGGAGGAGGCGTCGGTTGGGGTGTCGAGGGCCGCGAGGGCGGAGGCGGCCTTGCGGTCCTCGGCGGATTGAGGGGGGGGAGGCTGGTCTGAGGCGTCGGGGTTGGACATTTTGGGCAGTTTGTTTGGGGGATTGGAGGGTGAGGTTGTTGGGAGTGAGAGTGGGAGTGGGATGGGTTGCGGGTTTGGTGTTGAGACTTTGAGAGGTTAGGTAGCTGTAGTGGGTTGGAAGGTACCTAGGTTAGGTATGGACCACTTTTGGAGTACCTGATGGAGGGGCACAATTGCTGCGTGAGCGCACGTACCCTAGACAAGGTACCAGACTAGGGAGCCTTTTACCTACCTCTATAGGTAGTGCTTACACGATATAGGTATGGACGATATATTGATGCGCTTGGGCTAAAGTGGTTTTTAGACGTCTTATTTATGACAGATGGATGGATTCACAGGCATTCATTAGGTATAGTAGCTGTTGTTTCTCGTCCTCAAATCGGAAACATGTGGTTCCCTCTCTCTGATGTATTCTCCTTATTACACTGAATAATAAATTCAACCAAAAGATGTTTCCATCCGGATACAAATTATACAATGCTCATGCTTTCTGATTCAAAGCCTGCATTTCTTAATACAGGCCAGTTGAGAATTATGTCCTATTATTTCATCGGGGATGCATGTGTTGGCTGTATCTCTAGCAACTTGCACCATGTCAAGCTGTGTTACTCTCGGGCTCAAGACATCATGTGTCTGTCGTCTTCACAAATGCAATAAATCATGTGCAGCCTCTTCAAAAAGCTAAAATCATCAAAGCAAAATCAAATTTGATCCAATGTTTCTCCTATATTGCATCCAAAAATAATTGTAGGTGGCATAAAATAGCAGCTATAAGAAGGTCAAGCACTGTAGTTTGTATGGGCGATGCGGCGTCGCCTCTGATTCGCCAATGCAAGGATCGCCGTCGCTAGAAAAAAAGAACCCTGGAGAAAAAAAATTCAAAATCGGCAGGTACGTACCCACGACTTTGCTGCATGGGCTTTAACTCAATGCGACTCTGTGTTTCCAGCAATAAGTGGCCCTGACTCATATTCATTCGGAAATCGGAGGCTCTTGCAACATAAATATTGTCGCTGATAGTCTCGAATCATCTCGTCTGGGGATCTCGAGCCCGTGCATGAACTTAGCGAAAAGATCGAGAGACGTGCGCTCAACGGCAATTGCATTGTTTCTTTTTTCTACCGAGATCGAACGCAGCTAACGATATACTCACTGACTCACCACCTCTCATTTGACCTCCCTCCCTCACTCTTGTGCTACCAGAGGCTTCATTGCGCCTCTTCTACTTCCTCCTCTACTTCCTCCTCTTCCTCCTCTTCTTCCTCGTCCTCTTCTTTTTGATCCTCATCAACATCCTCATCAGCATCATCCGCCATGGCCCAGCAACAGACGCCTCTGCCCGAGGACATCTCCTCCCAGCCCTGGGATCCCTCAACCTGGCGCTCAAAGCCCATCAAGCAGTCTCCCGCCTATCCCGACCCTTCCAAGCTCAAAAAGGCCGTTGCTGAGCTGGGCCGAATGCCCCCTCTGGTCCACCCCAACGAAATCAACGCCCTGAAAGCCCACCTGCGCGAAGTCGCCCAGGGAAATGGCTTCTTGCTGCAGGGAGGCGACTGCGCTGAGCTGTTCGACTACTGCGAGCAGGGCGCCATCGAGTCCAAGATCAAGCTGCTGCTTCAGATGAGCCTCGTGCTCATTTGGGGCACCAACAAGCGGGTGGTGCGGATTGGCCGCATGGCTGGCCAGTATGCGAAGCCGCGATCCAGCCCGACTGAAATCGTCAATGGCCAGGAGCTCCCGAGCTTCAGAGGTGACATTCTCAACGGCTACCATGTCGACGAGCGAGAGATTGATCCAAACCGGCTCCTTAAGTGAGTTCACTGCTTACGACATGTCCATCTACTTGTTCATCCCTTGCTAACATTGTTCCAAAAGAGCATACCACCACTCAGCTGCTACTCTCAACTACATCCGCACCGCTCTCTCCTCTGGCATTGCTGACCTCCACCGACCTCTTGACTGGGGTCTGGGCCACGTCCGCGACCCGGTTCTCAAGGAAAAGTACTCCAAAATCGCCTCCAGCATCCAGCAGACCCTGCGTTTCCTCCAAGTCATCAACGCCCGGCCTGGTGAGCTCGAGACTGTCGAGCTCTACACCAGCCACGAAGGCCTCTTGCTCGAATATGAGCAGCCCCTGACCCGTCTCATGGAGAAGCCTACCCACCCCGGCGTCAGCAGACCTGGCACTCCCCCCAGCTCATCTCCCACCATTAAACCCGTCGCCGGCGACGAAGCCAAGGAGTACTATGACACGTCGGCTCACTTCGTCTGGATTGGAGATCGCACGCGCCAGCTCGACCACGCCCACGTCGAGTTCTTCCGTGGCATTGCCAACCCCATCGGCATCAAGGTCGGCCCCTCAACCCCAACTGAGGATCTCCTGGCCCTGCTCCGCACTCTTAACCCTTCCCGCGAGCCCGGCAAGATCACGCTCATCACCCGCTACGGCGCCGGCAAGGTCGCCGACCTGCTCCCCAAGCACATTCGCGCCGTCGAGGACTCCGAGTACCGCAGCTGCGTCGTCTGGCAGTGCGACCCCATGCACGGCAACACCCTTTCCACCCCCACGGGCATCAAGACCCGTCGCTTCAACGACATCTACAGCGAACTCGAGCAGTCGCTCCGCATCCACAAGGAGCAGGGCAGCTACCTCGGCGGTGTCCACCTTGAGCTTACGGGTGATGCTGTCACTGAGTGCCTGGGTGGCAGCGAGGGGCTTGACGAGGACGACCTTTCGACAAACTACACGTCCTTCTGCGACCCTAGGCTTAACGAGAAGCAGGCCCTTGAGCTGGCCTTTTTGGTGGCCGACCATTACTCCCGGGAGCACAAGAAATGAAAAGAATGTATAAGATTGCATGTTTATGAGGTCAAAGAAAACTGAATTGAAAAAGAAGAAAAGATGAGCAAGGATGAAATGTAAAATCAAAAAGAATGATGTTTCTGTATATAAACGAATTGGGTACCGCACTGGGAAATGGAAAGTGGGCAAAAAGAATGGCATGAGATGAAAACACGAGGATATCCCCACAGACAGGATGAGTCGATATCTAACAGGCAAATGCGCAAATTCAACATGATTTCAATTCCGACATGACTTTCGGTCCCAACAGCACTCACTCTCGTGCCAATATACTAAGGGGGAGCGACTCCCACTTTGTCCAGGTCACTGATTGCCTCCCGACAAATACGTATATATGGGTATAGACAGGCTTATGCATTCTCTAGACACCTCCTCTTCAGTTCAAGTAAATAGTTTGCGCACCCTCAAAGGCATCCCCCTTTTCCAGCTTCTGCCACGTGCTGACAGCGCCAGCCTCCACGCAAACCATGTTCTTCCAGCCGTCCTTGGGCTGGAAATCGCCCATGCCGGCAGACTTGTCGACCCAGGGGTTCCAAACGACCACGTCGTCGAGGTTGTCGCGCACAACGCGGAACTTGGCCACGCCGCCGTCGGTGATGACGACGGGGTGTCCGGGGCCCTTGACGGGAGTGTATACGCGGTCGGTCTCGCCGGAGAAGGTGATGGGATCGGAGGATTGGGTCTTGTCCTTGACGCCGTCGACCTTGTCGTGGAAGGGGGAGTCCTCGAGGCCAGTGACTTGGACCGAAGAAATGTCCTTTGTGAAGCCGAGTTAGCTTTTGCTGCTTTCTTAATTGTACAATGGGGATGGCGCAATCTACCTTGATCTTGAAGTAGGTGTGCAGAAGAGTCTGGCACTCAAACGGCACATCGCCTTCGTTGGTAATCACCAGCACGGTGCTCAAGCTCTCGGGGGCAAGCGTAACGCTGTAGAGGAGGCCAAACTTGTAGGGCCACAGCTGGCGGGCGGCCTCGTCGAGGTTCTCAGAGGACAGACCAAAGTCGAGCTTGACGCTGTTGGAAGACGACTCGTTGCTGGACTTGCCGAGGAACTCCCAGCGGGAGTTGCGGGCGAAGCCGTGCTGGGGGAGCTTGGAGGTAGCTTCGTGGTCGGGGGCGGTGCCAAAGACCTAAGGGGCATGATGTATTAGACAGAAGTGTTTTTTGAAATAAGCTTCCTTGTATCCAGAAGACAAGGTATATAGCTCTTCGTCGACATCCTACTCGGGCCACAGGCGAAGAGGGCAGAGGAAACAAAACATACCGGGAAGACCAAAGGAATACCTCCGCGCACAGCCTTGGTTCCGTCCAGCTTCGCGCCCTCACTCAGCCACAGCTTCTCATCGCCAGAAGCATCCTTCCAACTCAGCACGGTAGCGCCATACAGGAGAATCTCGACGCTCTCGCCCGTGGGCAGGACTGCTGTGACGCGCGAGCTGCCGTCTGAGATGGTGACCTGGGCCTGAGGGGGCAAGCTGGGAGTCGCAGCCAGAGCTGACGGCTTGTTCGGGCGGTCCACCATGTTGACGCGATTGCGATTGATGTGTAGAGAGGGTATGAATGGTCTATCGACTGGAGAAGAATGCTCGGATTAAGGAGCTTCGGCGGGCTGTTGGAGATGCAGATATAGAACGATGAACTGGTTTGACCGGCAGTCGTGTCAGCACAAAGCAAGCAGAATAACGAGACCAGGACAGCTAAAGATGTCGAGGAAATACGAAAACAAGCAGCATCAAGCTTACCGTTTAGCTCAACTGGCACCGAATGAGAGCGGAAAAGCTTCAAGGCGGGATGAAGCTGAAAAGGATGAAATGGACGAGTGACTGCATGCATTGCTCCATCTGGCGGGGTAGCTGTTGCAGCGTTGCAATTGCACCCCTCACCTCCACTTGAAACGGGGTGTTTTGTACTTGCTACTTTAACGACGTCAGCGCTGCAGCTAAATTTGCATTGAAACCAACCGCTAGTAAAGGTACATGTACTTTCAACTCTGGGCCCTTTGTGACAAAAGACGAATCGTCTAAGAAACCAGGCGCTGCTCTTGTAACTTATTTGAAACAAAGCCACTGCAGCCAGCGATGCTTGTGACACTGCCGAGATGCAGATGAATCATCACCACCACATGCAGCCCCTCATTTTCCGGTCAAAGAGACGGTCAGCAAGATATAAGATACATTAGTGCTAGGTAGGGTATCATTGCAAAATTATGCATTGCTGGGCATGGGACTGGGACTGGACAGTCTATGTAAGCATCAACCTGTACAGATAAGAAGGGAACAGCAATTGTAGTAGGCAGAAATAATATATACTGAGACGGAGCTTTGGGTACATCTCAAATGCACCCAACGGGATCCTCTAACCCTATTCGTCTATTCTACCTTTGTCCATTTGAAGCCTTCAAAGGGCCGCACGCATCCTCTTTGTCCATGCAAAGTTCGTTGAACCAGTGGGTATATGTAGCCTCATTCCTCAACGTGAAATGGCCAAAGAAGAAACAAAAGGGTAAAAGAAAGGAAAAATCATAACAAAAAAAGAATGGGAGATTATCAGACACTGCATACGCATGTGCGGCAAGAATGTTCAGAAAGACTAAGAGGCTATCGTGTAGCGATGCGCCTTAATCGACACTCCGAGCATTCTCTTCGTCTACTCCCGTAAACATGCCCTTGTTGGCATCACTTCCCTCGCTTGTGCTGCCGTTGTGGTGCTCGGCGTTGGCCTTCTCATCAATCTCATCAATAGGGATAAGAAGCTCGCCATTCTTGCCGTATCGACGTGGCTCGATTTCTGCCTGGCGGACGACGTCGAATGCTCCGCGCCAGCCTGTGACTTTTTGGAAGATGGAGTCCATTTCTTCGAGGGAGCGGTAGGCTGTCTCGGGGAAGAAGAAGTAGACGCACGGAACTATAAATGCGTTGAGGACGGCGAACACAACATACGTCTTCCACTTGATATTTGTGAAAGATATGGGAGTGATCATGACAACCTGTCAACCAATGTTAGTCTTGCATGCCAATCCATCAGGGCTTAGCATATGTCAATGGTGGTAACCATACCAAAAAGTTAAAGATCCAATTAGAGGAAGTCGACAGGGCATTAGCCGGAGCACGAGTTCGTAGAGGCGTAATCTCGGCTGGGTACAGCCAAGTCATTCCCAGCCAACCAACAGCAAAGAAGGTGTTGAATACGAATAAGAAGACAATGCCTGCAATCTGGAAAGGCTTCTCTGTTGGGCGTGAGTTTACTCCAGCCAGGATGGCCATGGTCGCGGCCTGGCCAACGGCACCGAAGAGCATGAGCTTGCGACGTCCAACGCGCTCCACAAGGAAGACGGCGGGCCAGGAGGCAATGAAGTATTCGGTACCATTGAGAGCAGCGAGAAGACGAGACATGAAGGGAGACATGCCAAGGTCGGAGTAGATCTTGGCAGCGTAATAAGTGATGAGATTAATGCCTGAAATCTGTTGGAACATCTGATTGACATAGGCGATAATGGTTCGGTGGAGGGTGCGGTTATGGTCGTTTGCGAAAAGCTCGCCATATGTACCCTTGCTCATCTCCAAGGCGGTCTCCTTGATGGCTTGGAATTCGTTCTCGACGTGCTTGTCTCGAATGTCCACGTCTGCAATGGCAGCGATAACCTCTCTAGCCTCGTCTTCACGACCCTTGAGAATGAGCCATCGAGGCGACTCAGGCAGGCCAAGGACAAAGGCGAGAATGAAAATGCAGAAAACAATCTGGAAAGCTAGCGGGAATCGCCAAGCAACTGAGCCAGGGGCAAATGACAAGCCAAGGTCGATCCAATAGGAAATCATGATGCCACCTGTGATGAGGGCACCCTCAACCATGACGAGTTTTCCTCTTTTGTGGGCAGAGCATGTTTCAGACTGCCACATGGGGACTGTAGATGTGTTGCCACCGTTGCCAAGACCTGTTATGATACGACCAATGATGAAATGCTCCAGTTTGAAAGCAGAAGCTTGCAAGATAGCACCAATAACCATGATGGAAGTACCGAGGAAAATCATGCGTCGACGACCGAGAGGATTACCAATGAAGATGGTGATAATGGCACCGAGGAAGCATCCTAAATTGTAAGATGCCACGGCAATGCCCTGGTAGGTGGAGCGTTTGGACGCATCAGCGTCATCAATAGCGGCTGCTGGATTGATGATGGGGAACTGGTTAAGGAAGATGGGAAGAGTCAGGATACCGCCCATGACACCCTGATCTATGGCATGTCAGCTCATGATGGAAGAAGAAGATGATGATATATCAGAATAATCGGACTTACCATAACCGAAAAGGAGAAAGTCACAGCCAGCAATGGTGCCGATTGCCCAGTTGAGGGCTTGGCCTCTGAGGCCGAAATATTTCTTCATGATGGCGGCTTTGGCTGTCTCTTTTTTTTTCTGCTCCTGCGTTCCTCTGCTGAATCTTGAACTGTCCCCGTTCTGATATGGAGGAGGAATAGAGGAAGGAGTAGATGAAGATGACAGGCTGAGAAGGACAAGATCAGCACCACGGAGGAGGGAGCTATGAGGGCCTTTTAAGTCGCATCGCGCAAACAGAGTCGGTATGCAGGTTGAACCACGGACTAGGCCACCGACACGACGGACCGGAGTACAAAGTACGAGCCTGGGGCAAGATGAAGATGGAGGGCTCCGTCAGACTCCAGAAAATTGGGGACTCTCAGATCGTCCATGGCCGTTCCCGTCAACCCTTGCAGCAGCTGGTGAAGGGACTGTAGCAATCGAGCAAGCCGGATGGATCCCCCTTCGGCCTAGTTGGTCGCCTTGTCATGCTGAGGGTGTGTAATGCGGCAACGTGCGAGAAGCGTCTTTTCGTTTCATGTACTCGTACCGTATTCTCCGCGGGATGAGGAATTGGAGGCCAGTGGCGTGGAGAAAAAAAAGAAGCCGATCTTTGTCTAGTAGAAACAAGTACGAAGTAGTTTGGGGTTTCCTCCAATTCTGGGTTTGGACCTTGCAGAAACCCCCACCGCCTTGCACGTGCGGGAGCAGCTGCCGTTTCCTCTCGTTTAGCCATTTACCTAAGCTGAATATTTCTGCTATAGCATCTTCTGAAACCCTCTGATCACACATACAGCAGGATGGAAAAACCTGATTCTGTGCCTCATACAAAAGAGTCATACTGTGCTGTGGAGAGTCTGTAATTACCGTCTTCGTCGTTTGGCCCCTGTCCGCTAACAGCTCTAGTGCTTTGCCATGCAGAGAAACCCACTTAATAGTTCCCCGTCAGCTAACCTACCAGCCGAATCGTATAAGTCGACACCAGATGGATGCCAACTCGCACAGTACGTGATAGGAAGCCTTATGCAGTGGAATGTGGCCAAATCTTATTAGGCGACCTGTTCTGATTTGCTCCTGTGCTGAACGAGCAAGCCATCCATAAATCGAATTACCATAAGCCAACCAACTAGCTCTCGACGGAGAACGAGAAAATTGTCGGAACCAAAAACAACAAATTTGGCGATGCTACAAGCACGGCCGTTCTGGAGAAACGTGGGGAAAGCGACGTCACCCACCGAATCAGATTCATGCTTAATACTCCAGATGGTGGACCTTGGTGGGAAATGTTTCCATGGCACGCGCTTTGAACAAGGGGGGAAGGGAAGCAAAAAGCCACCCAACATGCTGAGTCTTGACGAGAAGTGCTGTGGCAACGAGGCTTGCCAGGAGTCAGCCAAATAGCGGCGTCGAGAAGACATCTATGGCCGGTGGCGTGCACCAGCTGGGAAACCCGATATCCTCTGTTTGGCCTAATGTCCTGCTAGTTTGTCTTTAAAAATCATTCCGGCAAACCAGCAAGCTGACTTGAGTGAGCGCGGGAGCCGGGGCGGATCGGTCAGCAAGACAAAGAAAAAGGTGCTGCGTCGGAGAAAAACTAGGCACATCTTGTCCCAAACGCTAGCTGATCGAAGCATGCTAGTCCTTGGAATCATGCCGCTTTGTCTTGGTGGTGTGCAGGGAATTCGCGGGTGCCTGGCCGTCAACGATGTGCTTCGACGCCTTCTGGAGCGATCACCTCACGATATTCTCTGGATGCACATGCTCAATGGGCTATATCAAAACGCATCAGGCATCAAATATCCAGCTGCTTTGGATCCCCCTCACGGCGAGAAATATTGGAGAATCTGGGGGAGGGTCCATCGCATCAGTCTCGACTCTTCTTTTTCCCCGCGTCCTAAAATCTCGCTTTCCTCATCTCGCGTGCTCCCCAGGAAACCCCCCAGATTTCCCCAGACGCGCAGCATTGAAGCTATCCCGGCCCCTTTCTTCCCTCTGGAAATACCAAAAGAAGCGATCCGAGGCACACATGGCAGTGCGAAACCTGGGGTAAATTGGGTCTGACTACTAACCCGCCGAGGTCTAAGCAGCCAGGGAGCAGATTCAACAGAGGAGGTCCAGACTGTTCTATTGCATGCTACTCTAAGTTTTTTGCAATCTCACGATGGTGTCAGCCTTGTAGGAGTGGTTGACCGATCCAAGCTTCGGGAATTCCGTGCTCCCAATGCCAAGCATGGCATGGGCAAACGAATTCGAGGTATCATCGGCTTCTCATCCAGGTCCACGTCCCGAGGGTCCACATCAAGCTCCGTTGGCCAAGATGCACTCAGTTGTCACTAACTATTCCCCTTTTGACGTCATTTGCTGCGACGATCCGGGTCCCGAACAGCTGATCCAAGTTCTTTTTGGGTCTTCCTGTTAGTCGCTCGTGTACCTTTGCATTAAGCGCCATCCAGCTTAGGAGTTGCTCTTGTGGGCATCTGCGTATACTCTCGCACAGCACTCGTTCGTTTACTCCTGGTAAGTAACGGCGAGATCAACAGGGCGCATGCAGAGAATACGAATGAATTGATAGCTGGAGAACCAATTGTGTGTGCGAATAGCACACGAGCTCGGAGTTGGCTCACAGCTGTCCTCCCACATCACATGCGAGTACAGCTGCGAGATGATACGTAACTTCGGACTGCTCCCTGAAAGTGATGATTACAATCACTCCGACATTCAATTCAAACCTGCCGATGCTATCTTGGGCCGTCCAGTAACAAGTGCTCGCTACGCCCGCTTCGCCAGTCACTGTCCCTTCCCCTTCTCTTCTACCCCGTTTGCCCGTACCCCAAGCTGAACTCCAACGGCCAATCTATCCTTGCCAACATCGAAACCAACCCCCGTATTAAAAAATGGATCTGCCGGCATAAGCGCTTCTTCTTAGGACAGCCGTGTGTGTGCCTCGGGATTTAGTTCCCAAAGACACAGTGCATGCACGGCCAACGTTGCGCTCGGGCTTCCTATTTGGGTCATCCGAGAGCCAAATATCCTGGACGCGGCTGTTGTCCGCAGCCTGGTTTTCTGGTTTGGCCAGGCTGGACCCTTTTTGCTCGTCATGGTGATGTCGGCCGAGTCCCGTAGCATGTAACATGCTGGAGGATTCTAACCCTGTCACGAAATTAGATGGGGTGAATGTTGCCTGGAGAAGATGATTTGGGCACTATGTCAAGATGGGGCAAGATGAGATGTTTTGAGAAATGTTGTAAAAATTCACTGAGACCAACTTTCTAATATGTATACACAATATGTTCAAGGCAACCCATTTCCATGTGGCTGCTCTCATCGTGAATTCTATCTATCTCCATGCAAACATCCCCTACCGTTCCGGGACACAAAATCAAACATCTGGTATCCGTACAGCCCGTTCCATCCAGCCAACCAGCCCAGGCTCCAAAACGAGAAAGAAAAAAAAAACTGTATAACAAACCACGACTAAAAGCCAAGTAAAATAAAGCAAAGAAAAAAAAAACATTCTCGACGCCGTACGATGCAGCATTTGCATTTATGCATGTCGTAATAATTTCATTCCCTCCTCATGCTCTAGGTGCTGTCCCTTCCTCGTCTTTCTGCTTCAAACAACTCTCGCTTCAGATCCATCAACATGTCCTCCATCTTGTATACTTCGCTTCGGGGCAGAGCCACCTGGCGTAGCTGCTCCAGACTGTTTTGTAATGTTTCCATGATCGTCAGGGCCTTTGCCTTCTTTTCCTCCTCTGCACGCGGCGGCTCGCTTTCCGCTTCGTCCACCACTGTAGCGTTCGCAGCTGCATCCGCATCGACGTCCATATTCCCTGGCAGTTGATGCGGCTCATCCTTGGTGCTAGGTACTCCTTCTTCTTCTTCTGCATCCCTGGTTGCTTCCTGGCTCTCAGCCGCTGCATCTGATTCCTTCTCCAGCTGTGACACCACCTCGTCGTCCGTATCCCCACCCCGGCGCTTCCTATTTCGCTTGCTGGATCGTTTCTGCGAACCGTTGGTCTTGTCTTCTCGCTGGCGTTGCTGGCGTTGTCTTCGAGCACTTCCCCTAGTCTCCATTCCTATGGACGCAGGTTCGTTCTCGCTCACCACTGGTACTTCGACTTCTTTCACAGCTTCGGATCGTTGCTTCTTCGAACGGCTCTCGCTCTGCCGCGACCCTGATCGCTTCCTCTTTCTTTTGCTTCCACCACCCTCACCGTCACCAACAGATCTCGCAGGAGTGGAGGGAATGATCGCAGGAGTGGCGCGCTTAGCTGCCCTGCGAGTCCTTGGGGGCGAGGGCGGTTGAGGTTCTTCGGACTGCACGCTGGAACGCTCATCAGAGCTGTCCTCAGCCTCGGCATTTTCTTGTAGACCGACGCCGCCACCCGATTCGATTTCATCCGCAAGTTTCATCATTCGGCTCTCGTCTCCTTCACTGAGGGCGAACGACGTGTCGTTAACCTGTGGAAAGATGGGCTTTTCAGGGCTGCTCCTAGCGTCGACAAACTCGTCATCTCCCGACCTTGGACTTTCCTCTACAGCGGCGGCATCACGTAACAGCCGTTTCTTGGTTGGGGTTTCGAGAAGCCGCGGTGGTTCTGGCGATGAGGAGACATCTCTATCCGACAAATCCGTCAGGTCTGATGATGATTCCCTTTCTATAAAGCTGGATGGAATAACGTCTCTCGAGCTGGTAACAAAGTCTTTAGTTTTTGTTACTGCCTTCTCGTTGGCCTTGCCGGCTGGCTTCTCTCCTGGTAACTGAACCTCCGATATTGCCTCCTGGTCACCAGGGACCGGCGAACCAGGAGGTGATGAAAACTCCCAGCTATCTAGGCTATCTAGGGAGCTAATCCTAGATCGAGATTGAATTTCTGAGAGAAGCGGGTATGGTCGCGGTACGGGAGGCGAAGACGGAGGATCGGTGTCGTCCACGTGCACAGGTTGGCCTCGCCTAGGAGTTGGTGTTGAGGTGACTAGGTTATCGTAGGACGTAGCACGACGTGGGGTTGTCTCTCCAGCCTGGTTATCAGTAGTGGCTGATGTTTCAACCGGTTTGGTCGAGTCTTCCTTGGCGAGAGATGGGGAGCTTGTTCGCATATCCGAGTAGATATTTTCATTTTCACGCTGCCTTTCCCGGACTTCTTTTTGTCTCTCCGTGAGGTGCTGAGAACCGTCTGCTGGAACCGGAGACGATGATGCAACAATAGTAAACTGGACCTGAGAGTTGTCATGGCGGAGTCTAGGAGTGCTAGTTCGCTTGGTTGATTTTGTGCGGCTTGGCTCAGGAGTCTCTTCCATGCGACGTTTCCGAGCCGACATCCGGGTGGCTGTCCTTCTGCCTGAAGCTGGCTCAGCATCCAAACGAGAAGAATCTGATGAGAGCACAACGATTGTTTCGTCTGGTAGCCGATTGGAAGGAGGAGCCTGAGCACCGAATGCACCACCAATCTTCCCAGTCTCTCCCAATCCCATACGTTGTTTCTTTGATCCTGCTTCTGAAGCGACAGATTTTAAGCTGTCAGAGCAAGACACTTGCTCTTCGTCCTTGGCAAGCACATTCCACAGGTCTATCGTCTTGTCAACAATAGTGGGCAGCTTGCTCTTGAAAGCAGAGGTTAGGAGAGGTTCCATTTGATCAAATTCATCCTTCGTCAGTTGTTCTCGCCCCGCAAGTTCCGCAGTTATTCGATTCCAAATATGAATGAGCTATCGCAAATTAGTACAATTGCATAAACAGTAGGGGTTTTATTGTGTGATATTCTTACAGCCTTTGATAGTAGTGATTCTTCGTCATGTTCGTAGCAAGATTTGTCATCCTCAATCCATAAACACAGGCTAGCCTGGATATTCGTAAAGGCCTTGACACCCAGTTGAGGGAAGCATCTGACCGAAAAGCTTTCAATGCTCTCAATCAAAGGTATAACCTCAGTATTGGAGTCGAACAGGGAAATCTTGCTGTAGAAAGTCCCCAGAGCCTGATTACCGAGTTTATGAAGGTTGTCAAATGGATCTAGTGAAACTGCTCGTGTGGCTGCCAGAGACGTCCCCCATAACCGCTGCCGAGTAGTATTCAGAGCAGTCCGATCACGCGGAAGCTTGGCAACATCGAAAAGCGCGCGGATTGCTTTGAGAGAAGTTGCAGATGGGGGGTTTGTGCTGCCATTTTCAAGACAGTCGAGTAGGGCCTTGGCCAGGGGTTCGACAACAACAAGAGCACGCCCAGCATCGCCGAGTTGCTCAACTACGTTTTCGGAAAGTCGCTCAAATAGCGAGAACCATCGATCTAACGGAAGCTGAGGGTATCCGACGAGCCCGCGTTCAAGCAAGGAAGTAATGTCTCGATACTTTGGTCCTAGTATTTTACTGCTACCCGCCAAGTTGGATGTAGGTTCGCCATTATCAAGAGATAGAGACAAGTTCTGTGCAGCTAACAGCCATGGTCCATACGGGGATGATGACTCTCTAGGCAGTAGTTGCAGGAGCTCGTGTGCCAGCTCCAGGCGCGCTTTTGTCGCTTTGCCGTTAAAAAAAGGTTCAAACACGCAAAGAAAAAAGTCGGACAAGGCTTCGTCATCGGTGACGCCTGGAGGGACAGAAGAGAGCATTGAGAAGAGGTGATGTAGAGGGGTCCGAATGATTCCCGGAGAGCTTGATCGACTCTGATTGTGAGATGGTGTTGCAATGGATTCGAAAGTGTTGCCTACTGTCATGGCGAGTTTCTTTTCTGTAAAGGGAAGGATGCCGAGTGCCTTGACGAGAATGTCGATGAAGTTCCTGACGCTTGAGAGAAACGCCGGAGCATGTAAGCTGCCATCTGAAGGCATTCCCGCTAGCCACACCTTAGACAACAAGCCAAATGCGTAAGCAAAGAACTTGGCAGTATCTTCCGACACTTTGATATCCTTTGCTGATGCCGCGGCAATTGACCCGACCAAGGCATGCCACAAGCGATATACCAACGAGTCTTTATTGGCCAGGTCAAGGAACCTTTTTTCCAGAAGAGGATTAACCGTTCGAAAGACTTTGTCACAGTTTCGCCTCACCCATTTCGAATCCAAGGGTGGAAGTTCATCTGGGTTTGCTGGCGGTGTCTCCATGATACGATCTTGTCTCCACATGCGAGGTGTAGCCACATCCAGGAGATTCGCCAAGATACGACCAGCCTGCATGAGACAATCTCCCGGAATTTCAGGCTTGCCATCCAAACCAATAAGCTGTGATAAAACAGGCTCAACGGCAACGTCCCATATTGAATCAGGGGAGAACTTATCATTCCCTGGAGCGAACGCATAATAGTAGAGATTGCATATGCCGCCAATGACTGTCCTTTGGAGCTTCACAGCTTCTTCTAGCTGTCTAGGATTTGCTCGTCTCCGTAGTTGACTGAGGAGAGGCTGACAGAGGGTTCCTAGTATTTTGGGGGTGCTTTTGCTATCGGCCAGGGTAAGGTAGATATACCGATTCCAAGCAAAATTTGCTTCCTGTTTTGTGGAAGCATCTGCCATGTTGAAGGCAGATTGGGCAAGAGTTAGCCAAGGGCCATAGTATTGCCACCTCTCCAGCGGGCACCGCATGAAAAGAATGATGGCACTCCATATCTGCGGTACAGCCGAAGCGCTTGTCCTGTCCTTGAGCATTTCTTGTAGCCTGTGAATATAAAATTCGATATATGTTTGATCGTCATTCGTTGTTTGGAATATTTCGCTCGTTTTCCGCATAAGCTGCTTCTCGGAACGTAGAGCAAACCCAGCCTCAGTCGCAAGGCTGATTGCTTGAGCTCGAATATCCTTGACGGTACTTAGCATATCCGAGAGCATATCCTTAAGCCAGTTTGAATGAGTAACCATATGCAAGCGTGCCTGTTTGACAAGGCGCTTATATATGTGTATCCGACTCATGACAATACTTTTGCCTTTGAGGTGGCCCTCTATATGATGCAGCGCAGTCACCAGGCGTCCCACTCGATCAGATGTCATCACCTTGGGCGAAAAGTTTTGAAAGGCAACAACTTGCATCAGATGCCGTACAACATCTTTGGGGGTGCTGGCATCCTCAAACGCACGAACAGAGTGGTCGATGACGAATATTCCAAAGTCGGATGTGAGGGTCGAGGCAATGGCAGGAAAGTGAAGAAACGTGGCGAGAAGTGTCAGGGCGTGGTTTATTAGCGAAGAATCGAGAGCTCCCGTGTCGGTTTTTGATGTGATATCACGCTGAATGAACTGCATGAACAGGCTCATCTTGTCTTGAAGGGCAACTCGGTCGGGGAGATTATTGGAGGCTTTCAAAGCCCTAGAGAGCACCATGTATGCATCGAGTTTCGAATCCCGGTCGGAACCAGCCAGTTGCTTTATTGTTGAGTCCAACATTTCGATTATGTTAGGCTGGCCCAATACCAAATCAAAATCTCCACCAGACGACAGTGTGCGTGGGGTCGGAGACGAGGACGGTTTGAGAATGCCTTTGATGGGCTTCGACGTGGGTGAAGGAACAGAGAGAGGAGACGACTTGTGGAGTTTTTCGATTGACCGATAGTCAATTGGATCCTTATATTCGGTGTGTGCCGACCAGACGACCTTCTTCCTCGCCCTGCTTGACATCAACTTGGAGTCGGGGACATCAGTCGACGTCGGGGTGTTGGCGGCTGGAGGAGTCTGAAGGCTGTCCTGGGGGTCGGACGAAGAAGCGCGGGTGAGAATGGTTTTGACTGAGAGGTCGCTCTCCTTGCCTGCTTCCCGTGGAGGCGTCGGGGGTCGAGGCGGCAGCGATTCGAGGTTGGATGATGGAGCCGGAGCTGAAGATGCCATGGCTGCGATGCAGCGCCGGCGATCTAGACAGCAGTGAATCAGCCAGAAGAGAAGCGCGGCACACTCGACATTGGGATCCCACAGAAGCGATTTCGAGCAGGACAAGCCAGGTCAGAGGTCGGCAGGGGAGAAAGAAAAAGTCATCAAAAGGGCCGCCTGGCTGCCATCACGGCCGTCGTTGCGATGAGCTGGGAGGAGGTACGGAGTGACACGGCCCATAATTTTTGCCGAAATCAATTAAGCAAAACGCGATCACGCTCAGTGCACGCCTCGACACGCGTTTTAGCGCAGCCCCCCACTGTAAGTTGGCAGTATAGCCGCTGTACTGGACGTTGCGCTGCGCTGGCCCGTGCCCTCAGGCGAATGTCGTCCCAAATTTGTCTTACAGGTACAAGCGATTTGGTGTCTCGGCGGAGGCTCTGCATGTACCTAGCAGCCCGCCTCTCCAGGGGCTGCAAACAATTTGCAGAGCTCCAGCGTCGCCTATCGCACCATCTCCGCAATTCCATTGCCACCGACGGAGCCGCTGATTCATCGCCACGGCCAATGGTAGCACAAAGAAGAGAGCTGTCCAGTTCTATGGGATGAGATGGAAAAAACATACAGCCAATATTTGCCTTGTTAATCGGCGGAAACCCCTGGCTTTTCGACAAGGTTGCGTCAGTCGTCTCATGAGGACATACGGAGCACCTTTTTTAATAAACAGGCACCGTCACATCTTATTAATCTCATAGCCCTTGCGCCCGGCTCTCATGACTTTTCCCGACAATCATCAGACCTTGATCGTCTCTGCCTCACCATTAGCATCTCTTCTTCCTTCCTCCAACTCCTGATCGCAGCTTACTCACCTCTCATCCTCTGATACTCCGTACGGAACAGCTGTAATCCGGTGGCGACCAGTCAGAATCCGACTCTATAGTTGGCAGCGGCTGAATCATTTGACCCTTTTCTTGCTTGCTCTTTTTTCATTTAACATTCGTCGACCATTTTTACGCGCAATCCGACTCACGCCAATTTCTCTCTGTTTCATGTCCTCTCGGCATCTTTAATCTGACTCGTTTTCGTCATGCCTGGTATTCAACTGGGCACGGCAACTGGCCCTGGTGAGCCCATTTAGCAGTCGCGGAAAACTCAAGACCTCGCTGTAGCTAACCCTACCCAGCAAAACTTAAGGCAGTGACCGAGTTGGTCAACAAGCTCACCGAGGATCTTGATAAAGCCTCACTTCTTCCCAAAGGTTTGTCGATGCCAGCATCTTTCTTTGGCTTGTAAAGCTTCTTTATTGACCATCCTTCAGACCGAGATGAGGCTCTGGAAGAACTGAAGATCTACGGGCGAGACCCCCGGAATGCAGATCCTATCTTTACCAAAGATGTCAGTAGTTTGGAAGCATGAGCTTATTTACACCACCGTGCCCGACTAACATTTTCAAGGGCATCTCTATGCTTTTACGGCATGGATTCAACAGCTCGTCCGGTGACACAGCCCGAGCTGCCTTGAGAGTTTTGGCTAATTCGATGCTGCTAAAACCTGAAACAAGGCGAATGCTCGTAGACCAAGGATTTGCTATAAAGGCTTGCGAAGGATTAAAAACTGACAACTGGGATAACGAGTTTCTCACGTCACGCATTCTCTTGCTTTCTACTTACGGAACAAAGGAGCATTTGGCTAATCTGATTGCTGAGCACCAACTCGCTGAGAATATCACGGAGAATCTCAGCCGCCATGCTAAGCTTGCAGCTACCAAGCCCGTACAGCCACAGCCTATGGAAGATATGGCGCTCGCCGAGATTCTTAAGCTGCTGTTTAACGTCACTCACTTTTGTAAAGATGAAGCCTCTCGATTTAGCTCAGCGGTGCCGCACATTGTCGAGTTATTCTGGAAACAAGATATCCCAACATCTAAGCCATTAGAGTCGCCTTTCGGTCCATTAGCCAATACTCTCATTAACCTCGATATATCCACGGCCACAAACCAAGCAGCCCTCTTCCCCAGCTCTGAACCCAATAAAGTCGCGGCTAGACTGATATCTCTCCTTGATTCGGCAATGGCGAATTATGGGGATAATGATATCGACGTTACCGTCACACCTTTAATCAGCACGATGCTCAAGGTCCATGAGAATGCTCCCAGCTCAGTCCGTCAATATATGAGCAGCAAGCTGCTCCCAACCGCAGAGGACCGACAATCAGTTCTTGGGAAAGGCAAGACACTATCCGCAAGATTACTGAAAAACTCGACCAACCCAATGGCTCCTGCTCTACGAGATGCCATCTCTCACCTCCTCTTCAATCTATCAGACAAGGATGCATCGAAATTCGTTGAGAATGTTGGGTATGGGTTCGCTTCAGGCTTTTTGTTCCAGAATAATGTACCGATCCCCGGAAATGCTTCAACGACCTTCAATGCAGGCGACTCTACCGGTGCTCAGAGGCTTGTAAATCCCATCACTGGGCAATTCTTGGATCAGGAAAAGGTTTCGGAGATGCCACCAATGAGTGAAGATGAGAAACTAAGCGAGGCAGAGAGATTATTTGTGCTCTTCGAACGGTAAGATCTCTCAATCACATCACGACATCGAGTAACTAACAGTTGGCCATTAGACTTAAGAAGAACGGCATCATAGATGTCGAGAACCCCGTCGCGCAGGCAATGCGAGAAGGGAAATTCCGTGACCTTGGCGATGATGAGGTGGAAGAGCTTGACTAAGCGTATCACCCCTCATGCGATGTACATGTACCCAGTTATTATCCGTTGCATAAACATCTTTTAGGGCATAGCATTGAAGTTCTAGAGTCTTTGCGAGCGGCAGGGTTTTGGTATACCTACTTAGACCAGCAGATATTTTGTTGTGCCTGAGGCGAAGTCAGTCCTTAGCATGGATACAATCGATTAATATACTATTTTATTTACCTTGAATTAGAGAGATGAAGGAGATACGGCTAAGCTACTAGATATATAAGAATCAACTTGCTGTGATTACTTCCGAGTCCAGCTGTCAATTAACCAACAGCTCCCAGAAGGAGAATCGAAGACTTCACGTGACCCAATACTTCAGATGAAATGGCATTCCTCCAGGCCGCAGCACCTGGAAATCACCCGTAACCACAAGAGGGCTGACGCGTTTTCTCTTCATCATCTCTCACAGGCGCATCGGTCGCGTTTTCCCCAGAGGTTACTGAACCCCGTCGCGTTAATTTGAACGCTGCAAAGACTCAGCAGCCATGCCCAGGTTATACGATGACCCTGAGAATGCGGAAGCGGAAGAGCTCACGTCTCAGTAAGAAGAGCGAGGTTCACTATCGCTAGGTATTCACGCGCTGATGTAACGCCTGGCTAGGCTCTTTGAAGAGGCTGGGTTGGTAGCGTCTAGTCACCAGATGTCACCACTACCAAACCCTCTCCACCTGCCAACAGATTCCCAGATTTCATCAGCCGATCGGTTCGCTTCCCCGGTTCACTCTCCAGTTTCGCCAGTCTACAAATCAACTAGATCTTCGACGCGGTCTTCACTCGCCAGGCAGCTTGATGATGTAGAAGACAAGCCAAAGAGTCCAGCGCATTCCAAAGACGGCAAAGATGGCAAAGACGGTGGAGGGCTATCCCCAGCCTTTGCTAAACCAAGACAGTCGTCCAGAGATCAAACTAAGCCTTCTAAGAAAGCTGCATCTCCCCTAAAGCGGGAGCTACGTCCAAGGGGACACATCAACTCGAAAGGCGCGGTTCGAAAAGCTGGACGAGCAGCCAAGGTAGTGCCAGCCAAGACAGTGCCAGCGCAGCGCAAAGGCAGACCCGCGAAGAAATCTAAGGAATCCAAAGCCACCGTAAGTGCTCAAGCGGCGGATCGAAATGAGTGGGAAGTGGAGAAAATCGTCGACTCCAGGATTGAAGAGGAGACATTGCAACACTTCTTTAGGGTTAAGTGGAAGGGCTTCAGCGACAAGCATAACACGTGGGAGCCAAAGAAGAACCTGGCCAATTGCAAGGGCCTAGTTGATGCCTATGAGAAAAAGGCAGGAAAACAATGATGAGGGCATGGAGCTCGGTGTTTTTCCTTGAAAATTGGCCTCGAGAGATGGTAATACCTCTGGGGAAAGGTATATAGTCGTTTTCCTATGCTGGGCATCTTTACCTCCTTTAGGGTAAGAGCTATTAATATCATATTGGTCATGGAGGAGGACATGAGATTTCTTCATCTTTGACTAGGGATGGCTAGAAGTCCTCTTTGCAGTTTATTGGCAAATGGTCTTAGTCACAGACCGAGAAATGGCAATATTTCGGCGTTATGAAACAAAAATTCAATTGTAGGATGCATAAACAAGAATCAAAGATTTCATCAAAAAGGTTACTAGACAAAAGGTCCATAAAATGGCGTGAATCAATTTGTTTGCTCCGTCCACCACTTGGCTTCGTTCACAAGTTGAATTAGCAATGCCTTCCTTCAACCAATTAGCTTGCGACCTTAGCTCAGCTGGGAGAGCGTCAGACTGAAGTTCCAACTTCAATCACCTGATATCTGAAGGTCGTGTGTTCGATCCACACAGGTCGCATGGCATTTATTTTTGGAATTTTCTCCTTTTGAGAAGCGATCCTCTTTGTAATGGAACTCGCCTATGCTTCTGGCATTTTTTTACCTTTTCTTTCTTGTTCGTTTTGTGTCGTAGGCAAGTCGGCGTCAATGCTTGTAAGATGATGGAAATAGTAAGGCTGATAATTTAGTACTGAAGTTGAGTTACTGCAGCAAACTAGTTGACCAGATAATCGCGAGAATCAAGTGGGTCATTATGGCCGTATAAAACGCTTTAGTTCTTTGATTTCTTTTTTCGATGACAAAATATGACTGACTAGGTACACAGGAAGACTACTATCACCAAGAATGACACACAGACGCTCGCTACTCAATACACATGAGGGGCCCCGAAGTCGGTAACATTTATTTGCATGGATTATATATCAACAACAAACACTGACTCATTGGCCTTTTTTTGTTCCTTTTTTTTTAAAAAAAAAAAAACCTGATTTCATTCAAGCTAAAATAATAGTGCTGAATATTAATCTGTAACTAATCAGTTTATACATTTGGAAACGGTCCTGCAAGCCCTGCCTCTCTAGCCTACGGTTACATACATGTATATTCTATTCATCCATCGTCCATTTCCAGACCTGTCAAGGTCTCTCGTTTATGTAGGCCAGCGTTAGTGTATTTTCTGCTTGGCAAGCTTACCGAAGAGGCCGAGTGAATGTTCATGCTTGTTTTCCGCTTCCCTGTTCCCTGGTTAACTTGGGGCTAGCTTGTGAGATCCCTGGCTCGCAGTGCTTGACAGCATCTGCCCTGCTGGTCAGATCCCCGATGGAGATAAGCACGTGTATGCAGACGGGGAAGATCGGCCAAGAAAGTGTCGCTTCTTATTGTGCATATCTGCAATACATGACACAAGCATGGGCCATCGCATATTGATATTTTGTTGCCATCTAGTGGTGTATTATCCGTCATATCTATACCGTAAAGTTCGAAATGGGTGTCGCGGGTTTTCTCTGTTAATTTAGTAACAGGGTAATGGCTATATACTACCTGTACGTTATAGTATTTTGCTCTGCGGCCATTACTCTGTAAACGAGCATCTCATTGCGGCAATAAAACAAACTGAGACGTTGCTACACATGCTGGAAACTGCTGTATACCTATTATATGCACTCTAATGTGTGCGCATGTACACATAGCAAAATGAGGGGTTTCATCAGGCAAACTGTGGTGGCTGCCATACAAATACAATGCTGCCCAATGATCAGGCTGCATCAAGAAGATTTCAAGGCCGTCTTCTTTTGGACCTATAATCCCATCCTGGCATCTTGTAGTCGATTGTTTCTCGGGTCTTGTTTCGCGTCGTAAGATTTTAATCTCTTGGAAGATTTTAATCACAATGGATCAACCCTCGCGCGACATTACTGGGAACCACTTTGGCAATAATAACACAATCCACTAAGGCGATGTTCATTACCACTCGCCCAATGACATAAAATGTCTCACAGACTTACGTACAACGGACCCTCGCCACGATAAAACTCGGATTGAGGCTACAAAGGGCGGCCTATTGAGAGATTCATACAGCTGGATCCTCCAGCATAGCCATTTCCAACAATGGCGCGACGACGAACGCAGCCGCCTGCTCTGGATCAAGGGCGATCCCGGCAAGGGCAAGACGATGTTGATCTGCGGTATTGTGAATGAGTTAAGCTCTGAAACAAAAACCAACACATTGCTATCCTACTTCTTCTGTCAAGCCGCCGACGAGCGCATCAACAGCGCTACGGCCGTGCTGCGAGGCCTTATTTATCTGGCTGTTGAGCAGCGCCCGCAGCTGATCTCCCACCTACAAAACAAATATAAGTATGGGGGGGAGGCAATGTTTAAAGATGTAAATGCATGGACTGCATTATCAGAAATCTTCTCAAATATTTTAGAAGATGCAAGCCTGGACCGGACTTATGTTGTTATCGACGCACTTGACGAATGTGTAACCGACCTACCAAAGCTGCTCGACTTTATCAATACAAAGTCCACTCTTTTTTCCCGCGTCAAGTAGATAGTCTCCAGTCGTAACTGGCTAGAGATTAAGGAGCGTCTTAATTCAGCCGCTCAGCAAATGAGGCTATGCCTAGAGCTCAACGAAGAGTCTATATCTGCAGCCGTTAATGCATATATCAAACACCAAGTCAAATAATTAGCCCAAAAGAAGAAATACAGTGCTACAATAAAAGATGCTGTTTACCACCACTTATCCTCTAATTCCAATAATACCTTCCTCTGGGTGGCCTTAGTTTATCAGAGTCTAGGGAGGATCTCATTGCAGAGTCCTCTCCGAACGTTAGCCGAGTTTCCGCCTGGACTCGATTCTTTATATCAGAGGATGCTGGAGCAAATACATAATTTAGAGGATAGCGATGCTCAGTTTTGTTACCAGATCCTTGCGACCGTGTTGCTTGTGTATCGGCCTGTTACAGTGGCTGAGCTTAGCACCCTTATTAAGTCTCCAGACAATAATCCCGCAGATACCGAGTTAATCAACAAGGCAATAGGACTTTGTGGCTCATTTCTCACTATGAAAGACAGCCAGGTTTATATTATCCATCAGTCAGCCAACGACTACTTAAGCAAGGCGATGCCTAATATCCTCCCCCCTAGCTGCGCCGACGTCCATGGTGTCATCCTCATGCAGTCATTACAAACTATGTCTACCACGTTACAACGGAATATCTATAATTTATACCCTCCTAGACTCCCAATCAACAAAATCAAAGCTCCAGATCCAGATCCGCTAGCTGCTATAGGGTACTCCTGCGTCCATTAGGTCGACCATTTCTGTCAAATCTATAGCAGCAATAGGCAGTCTCAGGACCAAGTTGACCATAGGTGCCAAGAGGTCTTCCTATTCCTTCGGAAGTACTTCCTATACTGTCTTAAAGCTTTGGGCCTTATGGGTAATGTAGAGGATAGGGTTCTTTCAATAATAAAGCTAGAGAGTCTACTAAAAGTAAGCTGATAGCGCTATAATAAGTAAAGTAAAACTAATCAATCAAAGGAAAGTCACCGGACCGCCAGTCATCCAACTACCAATTACTAGAACTTATCCAAGACTCACGGCGATTTATTCGGCAGAACAGTTCAGTAATTGCAGATAGTCCACTCCAGGTATATGCATCTGCGCTTATCTTCAGTCCATTAAACAGCTTAATACGGAAAGCTTTCGAAAAAGAAGAACCCGAATGGTTAAAGGTTAAGCCCGCAGTCGACTACCATTGGAGCCCTTATTTACAATCACTGGAGGGCCATAGAGAAGAAGTTTTGTCGCTGGCTTTCTCGGCAGATAGCCGCTACCTTGCCTCAGGGTCAGGCGATAGAACTATTAAGATCTAGGATGCAACAACAGGCAAAGTGCAGCAAACACTAAAGGGCCGTAGCGATAAAATTATCTCAGTAGCCTTCTCGCCGGATAGCCGTTACCTTACCTCAGGATCACGAGATAGCACTATTAAGATCTGGGATACAATAACAGGCAAAATGCAGCAAACACTAAATGGCCATATACGTCAGGTTAACTCAGTAGCTTTCTCACCGGATGGCCGCTACCTTACCTCAGGATCATGGGATAACACTATCAAGATCTGGGATATAACAACAGGCAAAGTGCAGCAAACACTAAAGGGCCATAGCGATAAGGTTAACTCAGTAGCTTTCTTACCGGATGGCCGCCACCTTACCTCAGGATCATGGGATAACACTATTAAGATCTGGGATACAACAACAGGCAAGGAGCAGCAAACACTAAAGGGCCATAGCAATGTGGTTACCTCAGTAGCCTTCTCACCACCAGATGGCCGCTACCTTGCCTCAGGGTCATGGGATAACAATATCAAGATCTGGGATACAACAACAGGCAAGGAGCAGCAAACACTAAATGGCCATATACGTCAGGTTAACTCAGTAGCTTTCTCACCGGATGGCCGCTACCTTGCCTCAGGGTCATGGGATAACAATATCAAGATCTGGGATACAACAACAGGCAAGGAGCAGCAAACACTAAATGACCACAACGGTCAGGTTAGGTCAGTAGCCTTTTCAGCAGATGGCCGCTACCTTGCCTCAGGGGCAGATCACGCTATCAAGATCTGGGATGCAACAACAGGTAAAACGCAACAAATACTAAAAGACTATAGCAGTCGCGTTAATGCAGCAACAGGTAAACAGCAGCAAATAGAAAGTCATAGCGGTCTGGTCCATTCAATGGCTTTTTCAGCAGATGGCCGCTACCTTGCCTCAGCGGCACATGACGCTATTAAGATCTGGGATGGAATAACAGGCAAAGTGCAGCAAACACTAGAAGGCCATAGCAATTGGGTTGACTTAGTAGACTTTTCGGCAGATAACCGTTACCTTATCTCAGCGGCACGCGATATGACTATTAAAATCTGGGATATAGCAACAGGCCAAGAGCAGCAAACACTTGAGTTTCAATGGCCAATATATTCTACATCCTCCGACGATACGGCATTAATCCTACATACTAAAATCGGCGATATAAAATTAGGCATAGAACATTTAACTGAAGCCCAATCTACCATAGTAGCCCAAGCTCTGGCTCTGGATTCGGATTGGGCTCAGGATCAAGATCGACGCCGACTCGTTGCTGATGATGCTCAAAAAGTAAACTATTATGGCTACGGCATAAACACCGTTACACGTTGGATCACCTGGAATGGGCATAATATGTTGCGGCTTCCGCCTGAATACGGGTATTCTTTATCGGCCGTATGGCAATATTCTCCAACTTCTATGTCGCCACAGATACCATTAACAGATTTAGCGATAGCTCTGGGAAATATTTCAGGGAAAGTGATGGTATTTAGGATGTCGAGTTTGGGGCCATCTTCCCTCTTATAAACTCTGAGTGTAACACGACTTCCTCTTTTTTTTAACAACTTTGCAAAGTGAAGGTCTTAGGGGACTATGTTAATTTATAGTATGTCTTGCGACGAATTTTCTCGCATCCTATAGAGGTACTGCAACTTGTAAGCTGACACGCAGGTGACTGTGACTCTGGATTTATGGAGAGCTAGAATTGGCTCATTGTTTATCTGGTAACAAGGAAATTTAAAATAATACTTTATACAAGTGACTAAAATAGACGCCACTAAATGCGATAACTAACAATGCCCGCGACGCCCATGTCGAGTTTTATTGTATCGCTAAATCGTAAACTACCTATGCTGACGCTTGGCTTCCAAAGTGCAATAAGTGAAACTGATATTCCGTAACCGCCCCTTGATCCCTTAGGCATTCGGCGTTTGCAGGGCATATCCATACAGGAGCTCCATCACTTTAGTACTAGGCTCCTCTTCCTCCCATTTCTTAACCAGCTTAAAACCAAGTTTGCCCAGTACGTTTTGACTGGGCCCGTTGTTATCCAGTGTGACGGCGGTAATGCGCTCTGGCTGTGGCTCGTTCTCGCTGCCCTGGACGGTGCTCTTCTCCACCTTGAGCTCGACTTCTTCTCGGGGAAGCGCCCAGTAAGCCTTGAGCACGGCGGTCACGAGCTCCGTTGCGATTCCCTTGCCCCAGAACTCGGATCGAATCATGTAGCCGATGACGGGCCAGCCGAGTTCGCCCTCGCGCATGTGAGAGCCGCCTGTGCCAATCATCTCGCCGGTCTCTGCCCAGCAGATGGCGAATTCGTACGCTGACTCGCCATCAGTGCCCGGTAGCCTGTTTGATAGAACCTTTTCGGTTTGTTCTAGGTCTGCATCGGGCTTGCCCTGTGATGTCCACTTCATGACTTCGGGCTGTATGCGGAGGAGGTGGAAGTCATTGAGGTCTGTTGCGGCGTATGGCCTGAGAATTAGGCGCTCAGTTCGAATAGGCTCCCGATCTGACATGGCCGGATAGGGTTTCGGTAGAGTTGTTTTGACTGTCACCCATTCTAGGGGAGCAGCGCCATTACTTGATTGTGCCATTGTGTAGAGATTTTTGTGATATCGACGGAGCAGTTTTGTAGTGTAAATGCTGCAAGTTCGGCAAACGCCAACGAAAAGACTCGAAGAAATCTTGAGCTTGAGCTAGATAAGACTGATAATGAATCTAGAAAAGAAAGAAAAGGAAGGCTTAGAGTCAGTTTAAGTATTCAGACAAAACGCCGCATTTTTTCTATAAGATGCAGACATCGTTCTAGCGTGAGTCATACCGGGTTGATACCGGATTGCTAGCTGAGAGTGGAATCATTACCCATCGTGTGGCATATAACTTTAATAACTTTTTTTTTCTCCAGTGGTTTGGACCGTTTGTAGGCGGCTCCTGATTAGTATTTTAGTAGGGACTTTCTTGGCTGTTTTCTCAAATGGGTTGGTCGGCCGAAACTTGTCGCCGGGTCCGCGCCAGCACGGCGAGCCCGATTTGGAAAGATTCGAGCGGACTCTTTTTTTATGTTCTCTAAAAGGGAAAACGGAGAGAAAACGAAGAGAAAAATCATAGGGTAGAAGAGGAATAGGCCGTTATTTGTCAGAGGAAAGACAAAATGCTACCCAAATGCTGCGTGGAATTGTGTTACTGCTGGTCCATGCACTGGAAACAAGAAAGATTGGGATGCTTCGTTGAAAGCTCAATTGTTTTGTATTGTGCAGCCTGAACTCGATAATTCGACTTGCCGAGTTTCCACCTGCTTTTTTCCCCCATTGAATTATCAGGTTGACACCGATTCACGTCTCGGTTGAATCAGTGGTGCCTCCCCAGCCATGAACACGGGACGCTGTACAAAAAACATAGAGACATTCACATTTCTTGCGTCATAAAATCTACTCCGTGTTCAGAATTTTTTGGTTCATTCAATGCTCTTCTTAACGAGCAAATGCAGTGATATTTCCATGATCCGTTGTAAACACCCGCAGAACCTAGCCCAACCGTCCTCAAAACCAATAACACATCTAAGCGAAAGTGGATGGTCGCTTCGCGCTGAACAGCTTCTGGGTGCTGGTCTTGGTGATGCGGTGGGGGAGAGGGAACTTCAGGCTCTTGGTAACCAGCTGCTTGATGTAGGGGCGCTTGATGTCGGCAGTCTTCTCGATCTCAACAACACGGAGGATCTGGCAAATTGTCAGTAATCAAGTAGCACCATCTGTGTCAGTTTCTCTTGTTCAACATACGTGGATGGACCTGAAACGAGCACGGTGGCGAGCAGCCATGTCGGAGTACAGGGACTCGACAGCATCGGTTCTGGTCAGCTCTCTGTACTCCTTGTACATGTTGTGAGTGCCAGAGCGAGAGTCGTATCGCAGCCAGATACCGAAGTTCTTGACCTTCTCGGGGTGCTTCTCGTGGATCTAGAATTCCCTCTTCGTCAGTTGCTGTTTTTTTCGATGGAATTTTCGCATTGGGAAACCACATACCGCCTTGATGCTGACGATCTCACCGGTGGCCTTCTTGACCTTCTTGAGACCACGCAAGAAGTACCAGTAACGGGACTTGGCGACCGTCTCGTTAGGGGCGAAGATGGTCATCCGGTACATGGAAGGGGTAGGGTTGGCCTCGGTGGGCAAGTGGCGGCCAATGACCTCGTACTCCTGAAGGCGACCTGATTATATGCTGTTAGTATCCAAGGCCACAGAGATTTCTGAGAGATGGGTTCCATCGAATGCGCGCTGTCGGTAGTCTCGTGCCAGAATCGCTGTTTATCTCCATGGTCTTCGTATCTCGAATTTGAAGAAATCTTCCATACTGAACTTCCTTGCTCTTCTTGGATGCAGTATGATGGATGTCAAGCCCAGTCCGTCCTCCTCCAGGCACCACACCATCATTCTTCAATCGATTGACTGAGTCGAGATTTCAGTTCGGCAGTTGGCGATTTTGTTGATTTTATGACGAAATTCGACGGCACCATATCCTCCCAACAACGCGCATTCTCGGAAGGGTGAGCTGTGAAAGGAAGATTCTTACCCATCTGGACGATCGTTAGTATGTACAATATCGAACAAAATATTCTTCCGACTCACTGTGACTGTGTCCTCGACAAATCGCGAAATTTGAAGATTGTCAAGTTAGAGGTGATGCAGCGATAATTTTTGTGTGCGGGTGAGTGGGGAGGGTTGAGCACCAAACTTGTCGCAGGGCTTTAACCTCCACAGCGATTGGTGGACAGCCAGATCCACAGCCCCAGTAGCGTTCGAAAGATTATCACGTGAAAAATCACACGCGAGCTCCGCTTACCTCACCCGCAAACTGGAGCTAAGAGGTACGTACCCTGATGCCTTTACCTTGTGGTGGTAAGGCGTTGGAGCTTCCTTTGTGGTATGGATAGACGTTCTTAGCTATATCAATCACTTCCTATAGAGTGCATCATCCCGAATCAAGCTATAATTCATTTTCCGCCGAAAGATTCCATCTGCGCTCTTGTACGAAGCGAGTTGAGAGCGAACTAGCATTCAACCGACCGAGCCTATTTCGGACTGTCATCGCCGTCGATATGAACGAGCTATTCAAAGGCTTTGCGAGAGCCTATGCTGAGCAGAATGGATACCTGCTCGCGGCAACGCTCTCACCAATTTCCCCACCAGAGAATCCCCAGCGGCTGAGATTAATCCTGAAGAGCAGCAATTCGTCCAGCATCAAAGGCGACATCAAGCACTTGATCAAATCTAATGCATCTCACCAGCGGGGTCTGGATCACGAGGAGATCAAAGGGTGGGTCGAAGTGTATGCCGCATATTGGAATGCTGTTGGGGACATTGTTGCCGGAGAGGATGGCAAGGTACCTAACATGAGGGCTGTATACTGAGAACCATGTGTGGCTGCTAACGCTGGAATAGTCAACGTGGACCAAGGTTTATGAATCGTGGAAGGAATTAACCTCCATACTGATTCGGGGGTACAACAACTTTGGGTTTGAGGCGTGGACAATTCCGTGTCTGTACATGATCGGCAAATACTTGAGATTATTCGCCATCAGATCTGATACGGAGCGTAGCCGCAATATTGGTGACAACTCTGGAGGAGCCTCCCTTATGCAGGATGACTTTGACCCAGAGACCGAAAAGCAAGGCCAGCTGAGGGATTGCGAGCAGCATCTGAAAAGAATATTCACACTTTGTCTTAATGACAGGTTTGTGATCTGCCTCAACATTGTCTCAGGTGATTCTAACACTCATGCTTAGGGCGCCACTCGAAGAATCCAGGAAATGGGGCATCTATTTCATCATCAACCTGCTGTTCAAAACATACTTTAAGCTGAACTCGGCTTCGCTCTCACGAACCATTTTGAAGACATTGAGCGCATACAGGGGAGATATGCCACCATTGTCAGCGTTTCCAAAATCTCAAAGAGTTACCTTTAAGTTTTACGAAGGAGTTTTATTTTTCCTCGAGGAGAATTACGTTGAGGTGGGAAGACACGCTTCATATTAATCGAGTTCGTAAAACTAACATTATTACGCAAGGCCGAGAAACATCTTGTCGAAGCATGGGAACTCTGTCACAAGGACGCAACGCAAAATTTGGAGTATGTCTGAGCATTCGATCGTCGTCCTGATGCAGTATTAACAATATCTAGGCGTATACTTACCTATCTCATTCCATGTCGCCTCCTCACTACCCACGTACTGCCCACTAAGGCACTTCTAGAGCCATTTCCGCGCCTACAAAGGCTCTTCTTTCCCCTAGCTCAATGCATCCGAAAGGGTGATCTCCGCGCCTTTGACGTCGCGCTACAGGAAGGTGAAGATGAATTTGTCAAGAGACGCATTTACCTGACACTTGAACGTGGCCGTGACATTGCCTTGCGAAATCTACTGCGCAAAGTCTTCATTGCAGGAGGTTTTGACGAGCTCAAAGAGGGAGAAACCACTCCAGTACGCCGCACACGAGTACCTGTAGCAGAATTCCGCGCAGCTATTTGTATGGGGAGCGGTGGAGAGCTGGTTGACACTGATGAAGTCGAATGCTTGATAGCGAATATGATCTACAAGGTATGGTTTCTAGTTTCTTTATTTTTAATTCGCAGATGCTTCTTATCAACCCTGGCCATGTCACCATTAGAGCCTTGTCGCTAACACCGAGAACTAGGATTTGATGAAAGGCTATATTGCCCGCGAACGAGGCATTGTGGTGTTATCCAAGAAAGGCGCCTTCCCAGGCACAGGCGTCTAAAAGAGAGTAAGATTACACCATGTGATCATGGTTTCTTTTAATGATACTCAGAGTTTTTCTGGCCTCGTAGCTTCAGACACGAAGCATCCCGCAGCTTAGTACTTCTGGGAAGAAGGCTTGAGCGCATGCGCATGTTGCGCTGCTCACTGGCTATACCTAAGCCTAAACTACTATGGCACCCATAGCATAATAGATAGCCAAGATATCCAGGTCTAAAAGGCAAATAGGACCTTTTCTTAGCAGCCGCTTCATCCAACAGCCACACCACTTGGTTGGTTGTCCAGACGCGCCCTGCATGTGCATGCCCTCCACTACTACCACACCTGTCATCTGCCTGGTTGTATTTGCATTGAACTAATGACTCATTCCCGAAAACATATTGTAGGATCTGACCAGGATGCCCGTCATATGCACGGCTTCTTCCCCCGGGAGTGAGTAACGAATGAGAGCCTTGGCACTTTAAGCAATGCTTTCAAGATCACATCACTTCAAGCGCCATGCTAAATCCAAGGAAACTGGCTTTAATTTAACAACTGGAGTATACCGAGCAAATCTTTTCTGCTAAACCAAAGAAATATCCCATTTCCATACAAACTCAGTGTGTAGCTCTAACGCAACGAACACTGTAGCTCTTGTGAGCCTCAATCCCTTTATATATGCGAGCCAGCCATTTGATTCCAATCTCAGCTCGTTCAAGATAATGTATAACTGCCCCTTCATAGATATCAAATCGTCGTAATTTCAAATAGTGCCAAGAATCTTCAAGTGTCGACAAAGGAGATGAAATTAAAAAAAAAAAAACAAATCGCAGCGTGTGCCGGCTGAAAAATAAAGTAGAGACATAATGATACATGAACTGACGTGGGGGAATAACCGTGAAATAGTTAACTGCGTAGTGAAAACATGATTGCATAAAAGCGCCGTAATCATTTATTTTTGTGATTGGGTTGTTGCCATTCTTGTGGTGGGTGACATGGGAAAGGAAAATTAAGCCTTGTAAAGATGGGCTTAAGACATTACATCTGGCGGGAAGATCGTGAGGTATTTCTTCTTGATTGTTAATCACATAGAAATCAACAGAAAATGACAAACCAGAAAGACCTACTGTGTGGATGAAATATCATCAACGTGGTTGCAGAGGGCAACAAAGAGGTCAAAGAAGAGCGGGGTGCCTCCATTGAACATTTCGAGTTGCATCGTGCCACTTCGCTTGAAGGTGCTACGAGATCGAATGATGAGAGCCAAGTAATGGGCTCGGAGCTTTGAGTCGCTGTCCGGGGTGTTGGCATATGCATATCTTGCCGAGGCCAAGATGGTGCTGCACTGAATGCCCGATTCTGCTTTTTGTTAGTAATGGCGTATGGCCTGTAAGGCGCCAACAACTTACGGAGGCCTTGCTTGCGTAGAGCCAATTTCTTCAACTCATCCAGGCCATATCGTTCGGCAGCGCAGTAGATGACAGTATCCTTGAGAAGGTCACCGTCAACGCCGCGATGGTATACTGTACTTTCCGCGGCCCTTTTATCATCATCATCGGAGATGGACTCGAGTTCCCAAGAATCACGCCGCTTGTTGTGTACCAAGCGGGGGTAGTAGTCTCCTTTATACATGTACTCCAGCACTGAGCTGAAAATCTCGGGCTCTTCGTCCGGAAGAGAGATTCTCTTTGCAGAGGGGTCGGTGTACAAGTTTCGCAGGGCGTTGTCAAAGAAAGGGCTCGAGGAGAGGATATTTTCGTGAGCGGCAAAAAGCCGCTGTTCGGCACCGACAATGAGGGTCACAACAGAAGAGCTCAGGTTGCTAACAGCCACATTAGTTGACAGTCTTCGTATTGCACAGGGGAGAATAATTTACCTCGTCATGATAGTGTCCTCGCTGGCCGTTGCGGACGAAGCAGTAGCCGGTCTTCGATGGCGAGATTCATGGCGCTTCTTGGTAATGCCACTGTCCTTGCTAAAAGAAGAGCTGGATCTGGACACCTTGTGGCCCTTGGAGAAGCTCCGGCTGGAGGTTTCGTAGCGCTGGGAGAACATTGTGGACCCGGCGAAAGACGGTGTGATTAAAAAGAGTAATTAAATAAAGACACAATTGTCATAAAACAAGAGATGCACTCTTCACATAACCAAGAAATAGGAGCCGCCGAGCAAGAGGAAAGTCCGGAATGAATCGACCGCTCCGTAAAATCGATTCACTTACCGAAGGCACCGAGCCGGACGATGCTGAATTTTTTGCATAAAGCGAGGTGGACGCCACGGTTTTATACGACACCGGACCTAAGCCCATAGGAGGCGCTGCCTGCCTACAGACACCCCCCGAATCCATTAGTGAGGCGGTCTAGGCAGGGTTGGTGATAATGGGATGACACAACGCGTCCACTCGGTTAATTTCGCGTCGAGCTTAGCACAGTAATAGCCCACAGTGCGCCACTGTAAACGCCAAAAGATTGCGAAAGCACGTGATGTTAGGCGGCACTTGTATCGACCATTCTGGGAGGCCAAGGCGGATTCGCTGCCCGATGACCAAGGATCCTTGCTGAGTTCGTCGAGTCAGAGCAGAGAATGGGCGTAAAAAGGGGGGGCCGGCCACGGGCGTTTCAACAATTTGATGGTGGCTGCAGTGGGACAGCCTGGATGAGCCGTGCGGTGCCTGGAGTCGTGCAAGGCATCCATACACGGGCCTGCAGGAATGCATGATAGTGCATCAAGGCTATGGGGCTTGCGGAATCAAAAGTTTTTGGATGCGAGTTGCTGGAAACTTGAGATGAGAGGAATGAGAGAATCTCGGAGTCAATTGGAGCCAATTATACCAAGGCTTTGTCCCCGACCAAGGTAAAAGCAGTCATAATGCCTTGGACTCTCTATCTAGTTCTCACGACAGCCAGTGTATCACAACCGACGGCCTGCAACAAGCCGCACGCTTGGGCCGTGCTTTTTGCCAGTGGATCAAGCATAGATTGCATTGCAAGGAACAGGCCTTGTTGCAGCTGAGTTTCTGGTAAGCTACTGCACCAGCTAAGGCCGGTACGAGGATTCCGTGTGTGTGATGGGCACGCAGACTTGCCCATGAGTGGAAGTGGTAGCCGTGGCACAGCTTATCTGGCCAAACTTTCAAGTATAAGATTCGGGTCCGGCGTTCACGTTCAAGTTTTATTTTTTGCCAGCCCAGGCAGGCGTTGCGCCTGATCGGCAGAGAGTTCCTGCGCCCGTGAGACGGCCACAGCTATAGACTGTGCAATGGTGTGTTTGCCTTGTTTCCTCACCATCACATCATTGTGAAGAGCTCCGCGGACTGTGTGAAGCTCCGCAAACAGCTGGACATCCTGGCAGCGCTGATAAAGGATGCCACCGTGATCAGAGGGCACCAGTTCGTCCTTGCCCGCCTCTACTATGTAAACTCCTGGTTTTGTGGCTTTTGCAGCTATCAGCTCCATGTTTGCCCAGCTGTCGAGGTGGTTGCGCAAGAACGGCCACAGGTGTCGATACGGCAGCCACTTTTGCGGATACAGCGCCGTGAGCATTGCTCGGGTGTTTGTGAACGGCGTCTCTAGCACCAACGCATTGATTGGTAGATTGGCGGCATCTTGGGTCTTGGCTGCCAGGTTTGTTGCAAGGCCACATCCAATGCTTTGCCCCCAAAGAATCGTGACTGGTGCCGCCTGTGTCTCTTTATACCTCTCATGATGGAGCTTTGAAACCCATCGAAGTGCAGCTTCAGAATCCAAGTTGATGCCCCTCTCGGAAGGGCGATCGTGTGATGTCCAATACCCTCTGTAACTCAGACAAATAATAGTGTAGTGAACGTGTCCTTTGGTTTCTGCTTTCAACAGGCGTAAGATGCCGGAGATATCTGGCAGGCGAGGGGGAAGAGATGAAGCATTTCCTGTGCCTCGATTTAGCCAATCGCAATAGCTTTCCGTGGCAACAGATTAGCATACCTTGAAAGTAGAGAATATATACTGGCGTTTTTGGTCTGTTGGGTGAACCACCACGCTCGTCGCCACAAGAAATCTCACTTATACAGAGCGCAATCTCTGTGCCATCCAGGGACTTGATCCTATCCTCTCGCCATTCGACGCCCCCACACTGTCGAGAAAACTCAGAGATCGTCATGCTTCGGGCATTTGGTGGGAGAAATGGATTGTATATGATGGCATTCTGGAATAAGACAAGCATGATGCACTTGTAGCACCAAAGGGCAAGAAAGAGTCCGGTGAAGATGATGGGCGGCATCAAGACTTGGCCAATGTGGATTTGCCTCCTGGCCACGCCATGCCCATGCTTATATCCATATTGGACGATAGATTTCCTTGCTTGCCATGCTAATGGCGTAGCTATTCGGAAGCTCCTTGTCGTCACATGTATCAACGGCACTCTGAGAAGCGCAACCGACGACGACGAGACGCGCATTACTGAAAGCTCAAGCTCTCAGGCCCCGTAATCAGGTACAGCGTGGCTATGATACCAATCCTGGTCGATCTTTCACAACATGCTCGACGACGGCAGTCTTGTTTGCTCGTATTAAGCGGTTGAGCTGTTTAGATGAGGTATCGTCAAGGTACAGCCAGAAAAATGGCCACATGCAGCCGTCAAGGTCAATTACAGGACTTTTCGTAAGGATGCAGCCCCCCCTGCCGCCCCGCATTAGCCTGAAGCTGCCATGCAGTTAGTGGGCTTGGGTGTCACTCATCGCTGAAAAACCGCCACTCTCGGGCTCCCATCTGTCGCAAGGCTCAGAGAGCTTAAATACCTAGAAAGCTCCAGAAAATATTGACCTGCTAAGGTACTTACAGGCAGCCATTTCCCGATAGACAAATTAACCGTCCGCGACGATAGCCTTCTCCGACAAACAACGGCATCTTCTACACGAGCCTCACAGCCTCGACAACCCAGATCTCTGCTGCGACGATCTCGCCCCGGGCTTATACTAGAGTCGGCAGCGCGCCATGGACGTCCCGCCGGAAAAAGATAACGGAAACGAGGGCACTGCTCACATCGACATCGTCGACGACCGGCCGTCTCCTCGCGTCGATGGCGAGCCGAGCCCGTCTCTCAGAGACAGCAAAGGATGGGATGGCAAGCTGCGGATTCCCAAGTCTGCGCTCATGACCAATCCCGAGGCCTTGTCGGACCCAGAATACTCAGACGACAGCAATGTCCTGCACGGCGAAGAGATCAGGGCAGACGAGCGTAGGACATCCCGCCGAGACTAGGCATATTATGAACTGACGTGTGGTTTTTCATGGCAGATCTACTCGATAGCGAGGATTCCGGCACCGAGGAAATCATGTGCTCGCACTCTCGCATCTCGTCTCTACCTGCCCTGCGGCTAGAACGCTTCAAGAACGTTACTCGCATTTGTCTCCGACAGAACGTCATCCAGGATATCGAAAGCCTCGACAGCCTTGCCAGTACGCTGGAAGAGCTTGATTTATACGACAACTTGATCTCACACATCCGGGGCTTGGACGGCTTGACGAAGCTTACAAGCCTGGATCTCAGCTTCAACAAGATCAAGCATATCAAGCACATCGACCATCTAAAGGACCTGAAGGAGATATTCCTGGTCGCTAACAAGATTAGTAAAATCGAGGGGCTAGAAGGGCTTGACAAGCTGAGGTCTCTAGAGCTCGGCTCAAACCGTATCCGAGAGATCCAAAACCTCGATAGCCTAAAAAATTTGGAGGAGCTATGGCTGGCGAAGAACAAGATTACAGAGCTGACAGGGCTTGGAGGGCTCCCCAAGTTACGCCTGCTAAGCATCCAGTCCAACCGCATCCGAGATTTGTCTCCCCTCAAGGAGGTGCCTGGATTGGAGGAACTCTACATTGCCCACAACGCTCTCGAATCCTTGGAAGGTATTGAGAACAACACCAACCTCAAGATACTCGAAATCTCCAACAATCAGATTAGCAGCCTCAAAGGTGTCGGCCCTCTGGAAAATCTCGAAGAATTGTGGGCCAGCTACAATCAACTGGGAGACTTTGCAGAAGTGGAGAAGGAGTTGAAGGACAAGGAGGATTTGACAACCGTCTATTTTGAAGGAAACCCCCTCCAGCTTCGTGGCCCCGCTCTGTACAGGAACAAAGTCCGGCTAGCACTCCCTCAAGTTAAGCAGATTGATGCTAGTGAGTCTTCCCTTTACCCCAATATTTCCGGTTTTGATCATCCTCTAACCTTTCTTAGCATTTGTGAGAGTATAAGTGAGTTTCGCGATTTGAGTTGGAGTATAGAACGACAGAAAGGGCTGTCTTCTGGAGGAAACATTATGGCGTCAATCGAATTATTATGTGATAGCATCTTTCACTACAACAATGAAGGCATTCGTGTCCCGTTTCATTGAAATGATTTGAAGCTCACTGTGAACAAAATGGAAACACCTACGGTGAATGAGGAAACAAAGGCCTTTGCCAGCTCTAATGGTTCGGAATATTCTGATATTTATATTCTATACAGACTGACCGCCCAGCTATTCTTTGAAAGGGGGACAATGAAATCGTGATCCTAACACCAACAAAGGAATTTTACTAGCACAAAAGGTTTTCTTTACTTTTTCTTTTTTTATCTTTACTAAACCATCTCCTGATTTAGCCAAAGAGGTACAGCTTGTCGGCGGAGAAGTACTGTGCTCAAAGGTTAGCAATGAACAATGTGATACAAGAGGCAACAATATGAAACTCACGTTTGTGGGCTTGTTGAATCGGATGTTCAAGTCCATGTCGGCAATCTTGGCCAAGTCGCCGCTGTCCAAGTTGAAGTTGACCGAATCCAGGTTCTGGGCCATGATTTCCGGTCGGTTGGTCTTGGGGATGACGGCCAGGCCGCGCTGAGTGGCCCATCGGAGGAGGACCTGAGCAGGGGTCTTGCCGTGCTTAGAGGCAATCTCCTTGATGACGGGGCTGTCCATCAGAGGAGCGGCGCTCTTGGCACGAGGCATATCGAGCTCCATGAATCCAGTGGGGCCAAAGGAGGAGTATGCTGTGACGGTGATGCCCTCCTTCTGGGCAAGGTTGACAAGGTCGGGCTGCTGGAGGTAAGGGTGGTGCTCGATCTGGAGCGTGGCCGGGCGAATTCTGGAGTAGATGAGGGCCTCGTACACAGACTGGGCCTGGTAGTTGGAGATGCCGATGCTTCGGGCAAGGCCGGCGTCAACCAGCTTCTCCATGGCTCCCCAGGTCTGCTGGAGGGTGGTCTTGCTCCAGCGGACCTCGCTCTCGCCGTCATAGAACCATCCAGGAGGGTAGCGGACGCTGGGGTCAACGTACTCGAGGGCAGCAGGGAAGTGGATGAGGAAGAGATCAAAGTAGTCAATCTGCCAGTCGGCGAGCTGTCTGCGGGTAATAGGCTCGACCTTGTCCACATCGTGGAAGGTCTGCCACAGCTTGGAAACAATGAAGAGGTCCTCACGCTTCACGAGACCCTCCTTGATGGCGCGGGCAACACCCTCACCACACTCCTTTTCGTTGCCATAGTCTGTGTAAGTGGGAGAATGACGTTAGCGCCGATGCTGTTTCTAGTGACGCAACACAACTTTCACAAGCAGAATGCGGGGGGAGAGAGATTTTTTTTCTCTCTGTTTGGACTTGAATACGATTGAGACTTACCACAAGCACCATCAAACAGACGGTAACCGGCCTTGATGGCGTTGTAAACGGTATCCGCGCACACGGCGTTGTCGACCTTCCAGAGGCCAAAGCCCACCTGGGGCATCTCATATCCGCTGTTGAGCTTAATCGTGGGGGACGCCATCTTGCTTGCTAGTCTTCCTTGAGTCGAGAAACAACGGTAGGATTTGTGAGCCGGTTGAGCGTTAGATGGGATAGACAAACGAGACAAGAAGAATGAAGGTTGTCGCGGCTTATTTATGTACAACGCTCGAACTCCACTCGGCAGGATGCTCGCTCGGTGCCTCATGGCTTTCTTATTCGCAGCCGCAGCCTTGCTATCGCCCCAGCGGAGTCCTCTTTTTGACGCAGTGGAATCCTAGCCTGCCAAGTAAGGGTCAGCTGGGGCCCGGGATGGATGGATGGCTAGATATGAGGAGGCCAATGTCCAAGCCAAAAGCTCCAGTAATAATCCGTCGGACCCAGGGCCAGTTCTTGTTTGCCGCCTATATGCATGAGGGCGGGTAGGAACTAGCAGATCTAACCGGCCCGTATGTATGGCTCTCGCCCATGAGGTGGGGGAGCATGTGGCTGGCCGAGCAAACTGTCATCAAACACGCAGAGTTCAGGGTCCAGGTGGCTCATCATGCTGCTCTCCCATTAGTGCGTTTAACTGCCCATTACTCTCTTGTCTCCCATTTGTGCGTTTAACTGCAAGCTCATCTCTACCAACATGAACCGATGCGGTCTACTAACCTACGTAGGCATGATGCCACAGACATTTCGGAATATGGCGCTTTGCCTTGCAGCACAAGCCCTCTTTTCATTTACATCACCGAAAAAAAAAACATGTCATTGTGGATCTGATGGGGGGAAGGACATGACCATTGGATGCTGCGGCAACTGTTGCATTCACCTCAGGTTCTCGAAACTGTCTTCGATATCCGGGTGATCAGGCTGAGGAACCGCAATGGCAATTTAGCCTAAATCGCGAAGCTCCGCAGGCCAGGATGCGGCTAATTGTCCGGTTGGTTGCCGCTCTGTGGCTCCCGACGCTTCGATGGAGCTTATTATCCACTAGGAGGAGGAAGACATACTAATACGGACGACTGGTTGGACGAAACTTTGACTTGATTCAGGATAGGACGTGGGAGGCTTGCGTGAGGGATAAGATGGCATGGCGTTGGCCGGGATATTGCTACCGCGGGTATTTGCAATTTCTGTCCAACTTCTTCTTACAAAAACCTCTTACGAGTACGAGGGCTCCTCACCGGTCCTGCTTATGGTGACGACGCTTTTTTTTGAAACCATTTGGTGGAGACGCCAGGAATCTATTTGCGGTGGCGTGTATCCATTCTCTTTGAGGGGTTGGTTGTTCGACAGCGGGGTTCGTTTCTTTGAGCCTGAACGAGATGATCCAGGACAAGGACAAGGACAAGGACAAGAAAGCGACCCCTTGTTGAATTGACGATTCTCCATTATCAATTGGAACAGCATGTCCTTTGCCATCACCAAAGGGAATGAACAGGATCCAAGGCGTCAGCTCATGTTCAAAGCGACGAGAGAGCGTTCAAGATGAACATACAATGTGTTGGATTTCCTCTTTGTTGATGGGTTGTTGAGGCTGGCATCTCACTCACACATATATCGTAGCAACCGACTTGGATAGCAGAAGAAGAAGAAAAAAATGGAATCGTCAATTATATCCGCATTTTCTACCACGCTCTCGCGTCATCATCGTCACAGCCAAAGATGCCGTCGCCGTTGCCCCATCTCATCGTGCGCCGCACAGCGGTAAAGCAGACGCCTCTTACGCCAGCCCGAAACATCTCGGCCATTCGATCAGCCTTGCTTCGCGGCGACAGAGTTGTGACTCTTCACAACACCAGCAGAATCCTTCCGGAGCACGTTGACAACATCAGGGTCCCCTATCATCCAAAGCACATGCAACATGATCAGCTATTCGAATGGCCTTTTGGTGACCAGTATGGCGATTCCCGTAGCAGCCACTCATATCAACCAAGACAGGTCGGCCAATTTATTGATCTCTTAGAATGGGATGGCTTCAGACTCGAATGGATCAAAGTGCTCGGCCAAGGCGGCTTCGGCATAGCTACGCTTTGGCACGTCATCTTTGAAGACCACAGCCACATCAAAGTTGTCATCAAGATACCTGTCCGTGTGAACGCTGACTTTGATAGCGAGCTAGACTGGCATCTGAGATATGGGGGCGCTTCTCACGTTACTCAATCTCTAGACATACAAGCAATGGCTGACAGCGTTAGGCGTAGGATCAACAGGGGCCACATGATAGGCCGAGGGGCGCGATTTGTGCAAACTAACATGAGTGTTCTTGTTCTAGAGTATGCAGAGCATGGGAGCCTTTACGAGATGTTGGCCAAGGCTTCGTATTTTGACATTAGCTTTTCGAACAAGGTACTGTGGGAGATTTGGGAATGCTGTGAGTTTTACTATATCGGATTCTTTAGAGGGGAGGAGAAATCTGAGTTAACTTGACAACTACAGTGGTGAAAGGCGTTATATCGACGGCATTGCAACCAGACGCATCACAGCGATGGGGGGTGGATGGCCTCGATAAGGTACTGGACTCGCTGGACGATGTTCAAAATATTGATGAACTCCTTAGGGTCTGTACATTAATTGACAGTCATGATGTGCACTTTGATCTGGAAGAGCAAAACAGTATGTAATCACTTAATACTCTTCTATATATGAGCTGGCTAACGTAATTTGAATAGTTCTCGTTTCTGAAGATGCTCAGCATTCACACCATCCTATTTTCAAGGTGAGCATGAGAGAAGATGCAGGCATTGACTTACATAAACTGATACGTTTTCGACTAGCTTCACGATTTCGGAGAATTCAGCAAAAGGATGAGGGAGTGCTGGCAACACTGGAAAGAAGCTGACTACTGGAAAGTGAGAAAGTGTCCCAAATCCAACCGCACTCCTCCGGTAAGTATTATGTACATATGCTTTACAATAATCACTGTTGAGGACGCCTGCTCACATGACTATTAGGAAACGATTTCAAAAGATTGGGACAAGGTTGATCTAAGTAATCCGGGCCCAGTATCAAGATTCACCGGTGAATCCTTTGATCCTCAGCATAATGAAGTCGCAGGACGATATGGTACTTGGACAAACATCTTTATGATAGCTAAAATTGTGAGTGGCCCTCTTTAGTTTGATTTCTCATATTGTATGTTATCACGCTAATGAGACCATTCATCAAGATGGAAGCCGTCATCACAAAGAACTGGGTAGGACACCCAATGACCACGATGAGCTACACGGCTCAAGACAGAAGATGTATAGGCGGCTCTTACGGCTGGCGCATATGCAGACAGAGATATGACTACATCGAGGCGGAGCTTCTCGATCTCATCATTCAGTGCCAGTACGAGAAACCGGCGGACCGCCCCCAACTGGCCTATCTGCTGAGGAAGATTTGCGACCGCAAACATCGTGGTTTCCCAGAGTCTGATGATGAGACGCGCAGCTTCTGGGATGACTTTTGGGCACGTACAAAAACCAATCCAATTCCTTTCTCACAGGCTTCCATAGTTGAGATTCCAGGTCTAGAGAATTATGGCAACAACGGATTGCCCATTGCTCAAGCGACGAACCGCAATATTCCGCCGTCACTATATGCACAGGCCGGGAATCCGCCCATCACGAATGTAGCCGCTCTGCGACGCAAAAGCCACCGATCACCACTCATTGTATCTTCCGCAGATTCATCTACAAATCATCGTTACCCACGGACGGGGAGAGCTAATCCAGCAGTCGCTACACGTGTGCCCTCTCTGCGACGCAAAAGCCATCGGTCGCCACTCAGTGCGTCTTCTGCAGATTCATCTACAAATCTTCACCCGCAAGCAGCTTTGGCCCCCGGCGCACGCAGGGCGAGAACTAATCCAGGAGTTGTTACACGTGTACCCTCTCTGCGGCGCAAAAGCCATCGATCGCCACTCAGCGTATCTTCGCCAGGATCATCTATGTATTTTAGCCACGAAAGACCTTCCATGTTTGGCCAGACGACGGGAGCGGGCCCAGCAGCTAATCTACAGACTCAACGAAGACGGCCATCCTCCGGTGACGATTCCGCAGGTGAAGGACCATCAAGGGGAACGAGGAGGCAGAAACATGTCCGGTTTGGCAGATTCCCGGTGTCTACGGATAGGACCGTAGTGGCCTCTCCTGGCAGTGAAATGGATATCTCAATAGGCGATGGACCAGAAAGCAGAGGCATGGCAAGTATGATGGACTTGGATGAAGATGAGGATCAAAGCGGCGAAGCTATGGATGAAGATGAAGAAGATGAGCCTATGGGTGAGAATTCTTGGTGAGTAGATAGGTAAGTTGTTATGCATTGTAATTGAGTACAGGTAATCTTATAGAGGAAATTCAATATGTTCTTAGAGACGTTTCGAGAGAATGTTAATCCCCTTGTTGTTTTTTATAACAGCCATGTATTCGCTAATAGACAAAAGAGCCACTCACGGCCGAATACGCTAGCCATCCCTATATACATTACGCATTTTTATACTTTATTATTCACATATCCCTTTCCCAACATCAGCCTCCTTATTTCCACCCCTGTGTCCTATAGATACACGCACAAGTCCCCATCTCAGCCTGTACATCCGCAATCACATTCCCCTGAGAATCCACACACTCCGGCACTCCAAGAGTAGCGTTCTTAATCTCTGCAATCTCCACCAATCCCGTCCAGTTCCCATACCCCGTTCTCTTTTGAACTGCGCTGTACGGCTGCTGCGTTCCGCGCTTCGTCCAGAGCGTGGCCATGAAGGTGGTGTCTGTATACGTACATTTCGCAGCCCGATTGGTCGTGGTAATTGGCGGCTCAAAGGAGACATTCCACTTGAAAGAAAACGCCAATCTCTCGTCCTCTTTGCCGCCGTCGAGAAGTGTCAGGGGGATATTCGAAAATGAAGAGGCTATGGGGTCGTTGGCGGAAGAAACTTGGTATCCCGAGTTCGATTTCGTAATATTCCAGTTAAATCGTATCAGAGGTCCTTCTTTGGAGGACGGGCAGCTCCAGGTACTTGGATTAGAAGTACATGCTGTGGATGAATCTTGAAGCACCGTGTCGAATGCGAATGCGCCGGTTGACAAGCCTGAGGGTAAAGCGCTTCGACTACCGCTTTGGCTGTTGGTGTCTGATCTGTAGTACTCAATATCAGCTTTACCTGCCCTATTAAGAGTACTTTTTCCTAGCACTTGTATCCATATATCATCAAGGGCCTGTGAAAACTCACGTCTTTGTAAGACCAAGCGTTAGCCCAACAGCAAGCCCTACGAGAATCACAATAATCACCGCCACGACCAAGACTACGTGACATTTTCTCTGCATAGTATTCGACTTCCAGCCCTCGCCGTCCCACTGCCCATCCTCGGGACGCACAGGCGGCGTCGGCGTCATCTGCCCAACAACAGTGTCCTCATCTCCATCATCGCCCTCGTCCTTGCATTCGACTGGAGTCAGAATTCCTGGCGGCATGGCCAGAAAGCCAACCACGTACGGTGCAGCTTCTCCTTCAGCTGGAGGCCCCATGCTTCGTCGAGGATTCTTGGCCGGCACACGGAGCATTGCTGGTGGTGGCGTCGTTGGTGCTGTTGACATGGCGATGGCGTTGCCGTCTTCGTTGATGACGGGCATCTGTCCGACTGAGACGAGGGAAGCTCTCGATCCGGCTCGCGTATGAAACTTGGGCGAGTTTGGCATTGCGTTTTGGTACAGGGCGAAAAAGAGAATAGATGAAGAAGAATGTATTACGATTAGCTGATGTTCATCATCCGCAGTATAAATGATCACCACACATCGAGCAGACAAAACGGCAACGAGCAGAGACAAAGAGCAATAAGAAGAAAAATCACACCAAAATCACACATGGCATCGAAAAGAGAAAAAATGCTCGCTACTACTGCCCCTATAATATATATACTCCATCACAAAGCGGTGCAATGTGACTCTCGTCTGAGACACCCACCGGTGAGACCCCATCCAGACCAACAGCCACACACAAGGCAACTTTTCTTTTCCCATTTCCTCTACAGTATTTCGGTCCAAAACTAAACAAAAAGAGGTCTAGAAACGAGGTCCGATCAGCCACCGGCTCCATTCCCCCATGCAGGGCGGGCTGTCGGGATGAAACTTACGGAGTGTAGCAGATGCAAGGGAGAGGGAAACGCCCTCAGCTCGCCATGCCGTTGGTCGGGTGGGATTCGAGCCGCAGAGACCATTAAGTGCGCTAGTCACGACGGGCTGGGATGCGGGAAATAAGAGCTTGGTCTCTGTCTCAAATGCACTTGTGGTATATTGGGTGGTTTGGGTTTGATTTGCTTTGCGGATGTGGTCGTTTCTCCTATCCGGGCATTCTCAATCAGCATAATAGCTTCTGTTCTGTTACAGCTCTCTCATGATTCAAATACTTATGCTCGTGACATATAAAAAGAATGAATTCACCAGAACAAAGCATCCACAATACCACCATCCTCCCAAGAACCAGACATCATAAGCAAACCGAACAAAACATCACGGAACGCCGTCCGGATCAGGCCTCATACCGCCTCGACGCCGAGTGTCTCAAAAGAAGTCCCAATGTCTCACAATAGCGCTACACTGAATGAGACAAGAAGGGCATGGCAGCTGAACAAGTCCTTTTTGTAATAAGCATCAAGATTGCCCCATCACCACGCCGAAAGTAACATGCTTCCCAGCTTCTGTTCTAGGTAGGATAACAAATATACAATGTATAAAACTGGGCATCACGTATAAATCAAAACCAATCTCCGCCAAACGCACATCAAAAAAGACCCATCCAGTCATCCACACCCATGCACACATGTCTCTCATACAGTCCCGTCCCATCCTTACCGTCCCCCCCTTGCAGAAAAAGTCAAGTCAGCCGCTCTTCAGGCCTCGACCGGCTCCTCGTGCTCAGCTTGCATCTCATCGACGCCGATATACGACGGCGCGTCAAGAAAATCGCCCTTCTCCGTCCACACCGCCGCGAGCTCCTTCTCAATTTCGTCTCGCCTCTTCTTCAGCTCGTCGACTTGTGCGAGGCGATCGCGCAGCTCCTGCACCTCCTTTTCCACCTGCATCTTCTCGCGCTCCGTTCCGATGCGCTCAAACTCCCAGCTGTCACCCTGTTCGCCGACGCCCAGCTGAAGGTTGTAAGTGTGGTACTTCTTGAGAGAAGCCCGCGTCGAAATGGTAATGAGGGCTATTAGATGGAATTGTTAGCTCAAAGCTCTGCTCCGGACAACACAGGATTACTCACTAATGCCCCTCTCCTTGCACGTTTCGTACAGTAAGCCCTCAACGTCACTTGAGACAGCACTCGTACCCTCGTCGATAATGGCATACTGTGGCTCATGGTACAAAAGGCGTGCAAACTGCATCCTCTGCTTCTCGCCCCCGCTGAGCACGTCCTTCCACTCCTTGCGCGTGTCCCAGCCCCCCTCCCGATCCGGCAAGTAGCCAAGGCGGGCCGCTTCAAGGATTTTCTGCAGATCCTGCTCAGACTTGCGCTTCTCCCGCATATCCACGTGGCCATCGGGGTAGATGACCTGATCTCGTAGAGTACCGGGGCTCAGGTACGGCCGTTGGGGCAAGAACATGATGCCATCTTGACCGATGCTCTTGGGTCGACTAACTAGCCCTCGGTAAACGGGCCAGAGGCCAGCCAGGATCCTGGAAATGGCACTCTTGCCCACACCGTTCGGGCCAGAGATCTAGAAAAGGGGGGGAGTTCGTCAGTTTACATTCAAGAAGTAACGAGGACAAAGCCTTGTTGATACATACCAGAAGATGCTCGCCTCTTCGAACAATCATCGACAGGGACTCCAGCAGCTCCTCTCCGCCCTGGGGCCAAAGGCCAGGGGCAACAACCGGCACCTGCTCAAAACGGACACCGTCAAATCCCTTCTGAATCGTTCCCTGGACGTCAGACAAAGAGTAGAGCTCGCTCTGTCCGCTTCGAAGGTAGTAAGCGTTGGCATGGACCCGGTGAAGGGTTGAGATGAGCGTATACACGCGACTAGTATACCCAGCCAGCTCGGCCAAGTCCTTGATGGAGTACATCATTCGACCACCCGCGTCGGCCAGCGAGAGCATCAGCCGCTTGTTTGTGATGAAGCTCTTCATGCGGTTCCGCTCTCTGCTTCCCTTCTCGCTGCCCTCATTCATCTCAGCGGCACCACCAACGCCACCCCAGGCCGGTAGGAAGACGGGAAGCGAGGCAAGCAGGTAGCCGTACGCGCTCCAGCTATACTTTAGGATAAAGTCTTCCAAGATGTTGTAACGAATCTTGAGCATGTATATGCCCTCCATCCAGCTCTTGAGCGACTTGTACTCCTTATTGAGAAAGGTCTTCTCCATCTCCGCGCCGCCATAAAAGGCTACTTCTTCCGCATTGGCAATCAGACGAGCATGCAGACTGCGAAAGTCTCCTTCCTTTCGACCCTCGACCGCTTTCAGCTTGCCAAACGGCGGTGACAGCTTCCGGAGAATGCTTGCAGTTAAGAAGTAGTTGCTCATCAGACCCATCCAAGCCAGCGGGCCCAGAGATCGGTAGAGCTGGAAACTAAAGACGCAAATGTCCACAAAGGGTTTGCCCAAGGATGAATAGAGGTTGGCCGCTGCGGCACAAAACAACGTCAGGTCTTGAGTGATGAACTGATCGGCTCCTTGTCCCACGCCTCCGTCTAGATTAGATAATTTATAATAATTCATATTTTCGTTCAAGTATATGTCGTGGATATACCGAGTAAGTCGAGTTCGGAACGCAATCGATACCTTTGACTCGAGGAACTTGATCATGGCATTCGTATAAGAGGCAAACGTGCCCAGCCCACACCACTATAGAGAAGGTTTCAGTTAGAATACAGAACTATGTGGCTGATGTAAAGCTTCAGTAGAAAAAAACATACCTTTACAATACCCCAGAGGAAGGCCTTTCCATGGCCGGCGACGAGATCTCGAACAAGCTCACCGTCCAAGCGAGCCACCACCAGTGACAGATATGTCCGCAACATCAAGAAGACGCCATGGCTAATGAGCAGACCAGCTTCCTTGCTGGACCACCGCGGAATCATGATGCTCATAAGGCTGAGGAACTGGTGCAGAAAGGCTAGGTTCAAGCCAGGCTTGGTCTGGGCAGACGGAACCGTGCCATCGCCAAGGCCAGATACTCGCGGCGGGTTGAGAAACAGCCGCCTGTGGGCCTCAAAGGTCAGAGGCTTTGTGGTGTTGATGACCACCTTGGAGGTGCCATCCTTGTAGGGAACATAGATGGTTCGGGAGCCATCCTTGTTGTGTAGCCACGAATTGGTGCGGACCAGCTTGCGGCCCTGCTCGTGCTCGTGCCGCCGCTTCTTCCACCACCGCCTTCCGCCCTCAGCACCAAGGATGATGGACAGGGCGAGGGAGAGCGTGGCGAGAGTGCGGGTGGTTCGCGACGTGGAACGCAGCCTCTTGCCCAGAATGTTGGTCCATTTCTCCAGGAATTCGGCCAGCGCATCCTCCGCCGCCGTCCTGCGCAGGTTTGACTGCGCCGCCATGGCTTATAGTGTCCGGTGCGGACGCTGGACGTGCTTCTCGGACACCCCAAGCGTCGCAAGTCCGTCTAGAACAAGTCGAGGGTCATCAAGTCGATCGTATTCGCGTGTGAGAGGATGTTGCTTAGCAGCAAAAGAAGCAGCGCATCAATCGTGTTTGCAACAGAGCAACCGCTAAGAAAATGCCATCAGCCGGCGTACAGGGCAATAATCGTGTCGTCTATTGTTAGCGGATGGTGCTGGGAAGAAGATGAAAAGCGACGACTTGGACTGGACATGTGAAGCCGCGCCCAGCTTTCCCGAGGCCCAGCCTCAATCCCGAAACGGAGCAATGACGGAACCGCCCCAGAACAGCCACACGTGACTCCACACTGTGGGGCCAGACTCTGGGGAAGCTGATGGCTGGTGACAAAAAGAGCGAGGCGATCTTGTACAATTTTGTATGGGTTTTATAATCTGGGGAGTACGTTCTGCGGTAAATTCCGCGGTAAAATTCCATTGATATATCTCTAGCAGGATAAACATCTGCATAGCATCAAACACTGTATCGTACAATCAATAGATTAACCCACAGATGCATGCGTACTTGTATCCTTCCTATGCTTTCACTCGTCCATCTCTTCCAAGTCTACGGACAGCACATGCATCCGTCCTGGACTTCTAATCGCAGCTCGTCCAGGCTTTGTCGGCTGATGACGTTCTTTCTCGTCCTGAGCCGTTGGATAACATCTTGATAGTGCCGGAATTCATCGCCAGTCCCTATAAGAGTGTGCTCATCATGTACACCAATCCGGCAACCATGGTTCTTGTAGCCCACAAATTCCCAGGCCTTGATAACGTGTGCGTCAATGACCAAATCCCAGGTGCTGTGCCACGCTATGTAGGCTTCACCGTGCTCCGCGTGATACTCAAAAACGGCTGCGTACCCAGGGCCACCATTCCATATCTCCATGGTTCGAAGCACGGGCATCGCAAGTGCTGCGTCGCCAGCCGCCTTGAGCATGCCATTAATCTCGTCAGAGCTTCGCTTAGAATCCAGATATCGCGATGTTAATGTCAGGGACCGCAAGGCTGCCCAAGTCCACTCTCGCTTATACGCTCGGAAGAAGTCGTTCGCTTCGACAAGAAATGACGCCGAGAGACTCTCAAAGTTGACGCTTCTCTTTGCCAAAGCGGCACCAACGAAGGGATTTGATGTTCGTGCAGATGCATTTTGTGCCGAATCTGATGGTACAGAAAGTCCCGCCTGTCCATATGGGTGGTCTTCCAGAAGCGTAACATGTTTCAGCCCTTTTGGTAGTGAGCCCTTGATAAGATTGACATATCCTGGTTTTAAGAGCCATGATTAGCTCATCAGTTCATCCGGATATACGGACGGAGTGTCAACATACCTGCATCAACAAGGTCCTGTACCGTGTCCAGGGATTGTTGCCATGGCTCGTAAACCAGGTCTTGCAGATGCGGAAGTTTGGAAAGTATTTGGTGTAGCGTAAACGATGAGACCCGCCGGCGTGTATGTCTCTTCATAATGAATCTTGTTACCAGATTCAGCTGGGGAAGGTTCTCGTAAAATCGGATGTGAATAGATCCACCAAATACCCTGGCAACGGCCCCTTCGTGGCCAGCCTCGCTTTCCCAGGACAATCCCTTTTCCAGTCCTGTTGCAGTGACTCCTCTGTAGACGTATTTGGGGTCGCTCGGTGAATGCATACTCATCTCCAGAGTTATGCCGCGATAGCTCGGTTGAGCCCTCTGAAGCTCCTTCTCCCAAGATTTGAGCACGCGAAAAAGGTTTCCAATGGCCAATTCGATAATGTCGTTGTTTGTCGCTATATCTTCCATCCGTTCCGGTCTTATCACCAGCACGGGACCGGCCCAAGGGCGGTACTGTTGCATCTCAATGCGAAGACATATGTGCCTAACATAGGGCCGGCACCGCTTGGGGATCTTCGCAAGGCCATCCAGGTCGGCTTGACAGAGGACCAGGCGCCGGAAATTGGCTCTTTCGAAGATGCTCTGCCATGACTTGCAGACAAGAGCATAGTTGGTCAGGTCGTAGGTGCCGTGGAGAGGATCCTGCGCAAGGGTCTCCAGCACCTGGAGTCTCATCTCCTCCGGGAGGCGGCTCCACCTCGACATTGTGATATAAAATCAGACTCGTATATAGAAGATTTGGTGGTAATCTAGCGGGTAGCGTGATAGTGCGGTGAATTTTCAGTGCAGAGATGATGATTACATGGTAACGTAGGAGAGGCCTGGGGCGATATATGAGGCTGGAAGGCCGTCAGCCCATCGTATTTGGAGCCCTTCGCCGTTCTTTAAAGGCCAACAGCGTAAGCCCTTTATTCTCTCTTCTTTGTGGCGCTTGCGGATCTGTGGCTCTCAAGGTTGAGGCTAGACCTGCTGCCTGGTTGTTTTTTGTGCAGAAATCCAAAAATGAGTTGAGAAGCTCCGAATACGCTTGCAGAAGCCACAAGCGGCCCCACAATTCTAATCTTCAACCAGATCCGGTCTCCGGAGAATTGTGCCAGATGCTGATACTTTGGAGATACTGCCAGAGTACTGCTGAGGTCGCTCTGTGGCGGTATGGACGTGCCGTAGCTTGTGGGTATGGCTGGAGTTTTTACGCCTTGTTCATATTGGCTAATTTTATTTCACTGTGGCGCCAGGTATCTCGAGAGGGAAAAGCCCTGTCTCAACGGGGTACATTTGGCGTTGAAATTGCGAAATCTACCGACTTCATCTCTTTAAGATGCGAACACCCCCACGTGCCAGAATTGTTTGTGAGATCCCATTGGAAAAAAACCTATAGTATGAAAAATAGAAAACGAAAAATAATACCCCACTGAGCCATATAAACCAGGGACCTAGCAAGAAGATATTAATATGTACGACTGATCTATTTTCAATTGATTCCTCCCTTGCATGTCAACAGCCTACCCTGCAGACAAGCTGTATCGCACGGTACAAACTCGGGGGCCTAAAATTAGCACAAAGCTTGTCCAGGAGGCTCAGGCACCTAATCTGCGAGAGCCATCGATAGCCAAATTTGCATGCCCTGGGAGAGCTCCATAATGCTGCCGGACACTGGATACCGCTACGACTAGCAGATGTGACGGAGGTGATCCTAAGGCACTAGCTGGGTGCCAGGTAGATGAGCGCAGGATCACAGCAGGCATTCGCCGTGGGACGACAGCCACCGAGACAGAGAGCTGAGCGAGCTGACGCTGCGAATCCATCGAATCCGATGCCTTGCCTGTGCGAGCCGGGAAACAATGCGCCCGGGAATACAAGGCGGGCCAGGCATTTTGCGCGAACAGCTGGCCACATGCACGGCCGCAGCATGTGTGACGACGTGCCGGGCATGCCAATCAAACAGACTCCATCCGATGCCGTACATTACATGAATATCCATACCCGTTTATGCGTGGCTGCTCCGTAATCACAGCCAGCGTCCGGGGGACCAGGCCTGATGCTTCCTGGGAGCATGCATGCCGCCAATACGAAGCGAAACACGCTCATTCACCGAGGGCCCCGACGCCGTTTTCCCACGACTCGCACAGCGGGTAGGCTAGTGCTGCGACTGGGTACATTGTGAACGATTGAAGCCTGGGCGCCAACACGGCCAATCACGAAGCCGTGGTCGGGGCTCTTCACTCGGCACGCACAACGAGAGGGGGATGGCGCGCCCGGGTTTCTGGGGGAGACTCGTCCCTTTTTTTCCCTCTTCTTCCCCTTCCATGTTCCCTTTGTCTGCTCCAGAGCTGTGATTTGCTTGACGGCAACGGCCAGTAGGAGCAGCAGAGAGATCTCGACCCACCGCCCGACCACGCCATGGGGCAGCCTAACCAGAGGCCATGGACGGATTTGGCGCCTGCAAACATTGCTGTGAAGCTCAGCCCAGCTCAGCTCCTCTGCGTATCCGGTACCGCGCCGTAGGTGGCATCCAACACTCCGTGCCTGGTACCTGGACGGCGGTCGCGCCGTATTGTCGTAGCATTGCACGAGTGTACTGTATGTCGATGTGCTATTGAGGCTGGCTCTCTGCTGGCCTGGATCGAGGCCCGTAATCGAGGCTTGTGCTGTAGAGGGCCCTGTCTGGCTGGGTCCTGCTCCCGGGCGGATGGCCTCGACTGGCAGGCAGGGAAGAGCACATAATACTGCCCGTCCATACAGTAGCCCAGCGAACAGCGACAATTTGCCCTGTCGCAGCGTGTGAGCGGGCCGCCGTGCAGAGCGCCGGCCGTGGCCACGCTTCTCCTAAAGAGGAAGACTGAGAAGCCCACAATTGCAGCGTTGGACGGTAAGATGAGAACTTGGCGGCCGCCATTAGCGGAGATTGGGACAGGGCGCCATGCAGTCGCGATTTACTGGCCTAACAGATGCCACGGTGAGCGATACTGTATCGGCACGGTGCGCGAGCATGGGACGGCGCTGGACGACACTGGACGACACTGGACGATGCTGGATGCAGCCCTGAAGAAGACACAGTCCCCCCCCCGGCGGCCCACTAAGATGCCCGCAGCAACCGCAGCGTGTGATGGAGAGCGGCAATGCGACAGTGCCAGCAGCCGTGCGCGCACCGTTGCTGCTTGTTCCCCCACTAACGCCCAGCAGTCGCTAGAGCCGTTGGCTAATCTCGACAAGCACTCCACCCACACCTGGATCCCCCCAAAAACCTCCCCCAGCCGTCCCTGCACGCCGGACCATCCCCGACCTGGCCCAGCCAAACCATCACGTTTAAAGGCAATCATCTCGCTTGAGCCCTCACCTTCTTCGGCCGGTACGTCGTTGCCGTCGTCGCCTCGCCTCTGCATCGTCCTCCTGATCGCGACAGAATCGCCCTCACGAACTGCCTCGGCGCTGACACCGGCTGTTTGCCGCCACGCATCGCTGCTACGAGTATTTGGCGCCACGGCCGCTCCTCGCCTCGTCTCTGCCCGACTTGCGACCAAAAAGCACGGGCGCCCATCGTCGACTCCCTAAATCTTCTGTCTGTCGGGCGCGTCTCAGCTCCTCGCCAACCCCCGGTAATTTTTGCTTGCAAAAGGGCATTCGGAGCAACGAACGGCACGGTCGCTGCCAAACGCCCCTTGTGGGCTGACATTCTTTTCTCTCTTTTATTTTCAGTCTTCTTCTTTCCTTTTCCTTCCTTTTTCTTTTTGATTGCGTTGGAAGCTTGGAAATTCAAGCCAGCTCAGTTTGTCTGAGTGTTTTTGAGGTACGTGCAAGATGCCTTTAGCAGCTGCGCTAAAGCCGCGCAATTTTACTTCGTCCTGTCCACAATTGCCTATGGGGGAGCCTCTTTGTTGCCGGGTTGCGAGGCATGGCCTTCGATGATGGGGAGGCGAGTGCTTTGGTGTCTTGTTCATCCGCGATGGCTTCCCGGCCATACCGACCAGCGTCGCATTTTGTTGCAGCCCAACCGAGCTTCCAAGCTTCCGTCTAAGCTTATATCTTCAGGCGCACTGTGACGTCGCGTCTTGCTTCATTGTTGGATGGAAAAAAAGGCTGACTAGCTCAACACAGCGACAATTCACAATGTCCGAAACAGCCGTGGCAACGACTGCGGTCGTCGACTTCAAGCAGGATAGGATCCCGCTTAGTTCCGGGTCGGGCAAGGAAAAGGATATGCTGTTGCCGGAGGACGGAGAGGGCTCCGGCAAGGGCCGAGGGCTCCTCAAGGTGCCGTCGCGATCGTCATCTCAACAGAGGAACCAATCTTCGCCGACCACGACTGGCTTAAGCGGAGCTACCATCACCGATCCGCGGAGCAGCATCGGCAGCAGGTCCAGAGAATCCAAGGGCAGCTTTTTGGATAGACAGCGGAACGGTAGCTCCAGTGGCGAAGCTGAACCCGCTCGCACAGGCGACATTTCCCAGCCCAGCTCTCCATCCGCAAGCGAACAGAAACGAAAGAGGAAGAAGAGCAGTGGGTTCCTGGCACTGTTGGGATGCTGCGGTGTGCCCGACTCGGCAAATGCCGTCGATTCGCCTCAGGGGATTCATAAACTGGATAAATTGCCCCCCCGACCGACAACGGCCAAGTCAAGGACACACACGCCCCAAGACCAGACGCCGACGAAGCAGAGCAACGAAAAGCCCCCCGTTCCAGCAAGCACCACACTCCAGGGCAAGGACTATGGTATCTCGTCGAGCAGCGCTCAGGACCAGACCAAGTTGGAGGAACAAACGACCGAGGAAGCGAAGCATCCCGCCCCGGCAGTTACAGTCGACCCTCCGAGCCCTTTGCCCGAACCGAACGAAGAGGTTCGAGAAATAGAAGAAGTGGTGGACGACGTGGAGATGCGAGATGTGCTAGCAGTGGAGGAGGCCCAAGAGGTGCAGCCTGAGGTTGTACAACAAGAGGCTCACGAAGTCTCCATCCCTCCTCCGCCGCCTGGTCCCGGTCCTAGTCCCCTAGTGACCACGGCGCTTCCTCTCACAGATGAGGGTCCTTCAGCACCAGAGCCTCAAAAATGGCTATTACCCCCCATTACCCCCGAGCTCAAAGGAAGGAAATGTCTAGTTTTGGATCTTGACGAAACCTTGGTCCACAGCTCATTCAAGGTTGGTTCTCCTATTTCAAGTTGGGGCAATCCTGGACGAAAACGAACTGAAGGCTAACCAAAATGCTAGATTCTTCATCAAGCCGACTTCACAATACCAGTTGAAATTGAAGGCAATTATCATAACGTGTATGTCATTAAGCGACCTGGTGTAGACGAGTTTATGAAGAGAGTTGGAGAACTTTACGAAGTAGTGGTCTTTACGGCATCAGTCTCAAAGGTAAGCTTTTTTTTTTCTTCTCGCCCCTGAGCCCGAAAATCGGCTGTGCTAACGCATACGCGTGTGAACAGTATGGCGATCCTCTGCTAGACCAATTAGATATACACAATGTTGTTCATCACCGTCTATTCCGAGAGAGCTGCTACAACCATCAAGGAAACTATGTCAAGGACCTTTCACAGGTTGGACGAGATTTGAAGGACACCATCATCATCGACAACTCGCCAACTTCCTACATATTCCATCCCCAGCACGCTGTTCCTATCAGCAGCTGGTTTTCCGACGCGCACGACAACGAGCTGCTCGACCTTATACCCGTCCTTGAAGACCTCGCTGGCCCCAACGTTTCTGATGTCAGCCTGGTTCTCGATGTCACTCTCTGAGATACCACATACCAAAAATTTCCTTCAGTTTTTTATTTTCCTTTTCAGCAAATTCAACAGCCCGATCTGCAGCATTGCCGTCATAGCGGGAGGCGTTTGGTCGAAATCTCTTCGTTTCCGGGTGTAGATGTACTGTCTAATCTTATATAATCAGCCTTGATCTATGGAACGCAGCTCCTCAGCCTGCGGAAATTTTCCTTTTCTATTCTCAGTCAACAAAGACCGAGCAAGGGGTGAAGTCGGCGAGGGGTTTGGGTTGACCAAAGATCTCCAACTGACACCGCAATCGCATCTAAACGACTTGAAGAACAAGAAAGACGGAAACGCTCCAAGAAACCAAAACCAAAAGGGGGAAGCTCGAAACAGCGTCTTGGGATAAGAACAGGTCATTCTTTCCTATAGATAAGGGGTCAATTCTCGGATCTTCACTACGTGGGCAATGGGAATATGAGCCCGCGGTGGGCTCCTGCGGATACGTCTCCCACGTCGAGCGTGTTTTTAACAGACTGTTGGCAATATCCGGGCTGTTTGTGCTGTAATTTTTCTGTGGCAAGCTGGCACCTTTCTCTCTCTCTCTCTCTTCTCTTTTTACTTCTCACCCTTTCCTCTTTTCTTCTCCCTCTTTCTGTGATTCCCTTTGTGTTTCCTCTTCTTTTTTATCTTCTTCATCTTGTCTTTTTTTTTTTTTTTTTTTTTTTTTTTGCTGTCTTGCATTGTTTTTGATCTATACACATACCACGCAGCGAGCCTGCAAGCAGGGTTTGAAGGATGGCAGCGAGTGATGCGGAGTCTGTTGAGATGGAGGCGAACATGATTAGCGAAGGTTGGAGGTTGCTGAGGGCCTCCGTTATACATAGTCTCCCCAAATTGTAAAAATACCCCGAGCCTCTATGGCCTTAGTAATGAATCAATGTGAGATACTCAGGATGTATGTTGATAGGGGAGTGTTGGGTTTATTGGCTACTGGCGATAGGTTGTCCGGCTTTTGCTTCGGTTTGTTTTCTTCTTTTTATTGCTGATTGAACGCCACGGCTACCTGCAGTATCTTGTATTTTGCATTTTGCAATTTTTTTTTTTTGGCAGGCTTCCAGCTGGGCTGCAAGCACATCTGCTTGATATTTCCTGTACCTTAAATTCTCCATAATACAAACGGCCTGGAATGGAATTCGATAGACTGCGTGCGCTAAAGGACTCCATACTAAGTACTCGTAGTGGTGGATGTTTTCTGGGGTAGCGGAGAAATGTTCGGCCGCTGCTGCTGCATTTCTGTGAATGTGGCCTTAACTCTGGTGCTGGGCTGGGGCCACAATTTCAGCAGCGGCTGCGCCAACTCCAACCTTCGATTAAAGTACATCCCTTCATACTCTGTCAATTCGTCCCAAGAGTCCTGCAGTGATTCTCGGTCGATTCGCTCATACTCCTTCTAATACCCAAACACACTCCTTCACAATGGTATGCGCCTCTTCTCCCATCAGCCTATGCTTCGCTTTGATCCATCAGCACCCGCGATTGGAAGCCGGATTGCGGCGCTGGCATCGCGTCACAAGACCGATGTATTATGCGCTTTGCATGATTCTGGCTCGCGCAATGCGGCAGCAAATGAATTCGCAAGCATTGCGTGAATACTCAAGCTAATATACACATCCTTTTGTAGTCTTCTCGTCCCTCTTCACCCGCCAATGGCCCCGCCGCGGCCAGCGGTTCCAGCATCAGCCGACCTTCCTCTCCTACGCCTCCCGGCGGACCTCGAACTGCGATCCGTCGACGTGCTGCTGCTGACCAGAAGGAGAAGCTTGCCAATGCTAGGCCAAGCAGCACACGGGCCGCTGGCGCTGGCGGCTCCAGCAGCACCATGCTGAGTACGTTGCCCTGGATGGAGCTATATAGTTGGCTCAGGTTAGATATCGTGTGTATCGCTAACAGAAAGCCACGTGTAGGACTCTACACCGACGAATCCCCCGGACTGAAGGTCGATCCTGTCGTTGTCCTTGTCCTATCCCTTGTTTTCATCTTCAGCGTTGTTGCTCTGCACAGTTAGTATCCCTCTAATGTTTAGCCACGCAGCATTTGCTAACTCCAGACCAAAGTCATTGCCAAGATCAGCCGCAAGTTCTCGAGCTAAACACGTTATATGGTGATGGAAGTGATACACGAAGGAGAGTTATAAGGGGTGGTATGAGGGGGAAACAGTTCCGCGACGGCGCAGGTTATGAAGACCAAATCTAGCTGATGTGAGGTTTGACGCAAAAAAGACTTACCCAAGGAGATGTATGGATTTGGCGGATACAATGACCTGGCCCCTAATCACCATGGAGTCGGAGCGACCATGATATTTTGTATTATATGAGCAAAACGGTTATTTCAATTTCGTATGCGTTTTTGTAAGATTGCCTTGTTTCTTCTTTGCATCACGAGATAGTTCGCTTGTTGCGTATTTGTGATTTGTCGAGTTGAATCTCGCCCCGGCCGAGATATCCATTATGGAGACCAGAAGGTTCCCGAATAGGAATCAATTGAGCGCAGGAGGCGTCCCACTGCTATTTTGACATGTTTCTCAGGCCTCCTCTACCCAACTAGTGGCGATCTTTGCCGGAACGTATTCTCAGGGCCCCATTGCGTGGCTGTGAGGAATTAATCTCGATATACGTAGTAGGGCGTAAAAGCTGTTGCATTGAGACGAATTTAGCAGCCAGTAGGCTGTGTGCCTTGTGCCTTACGTTGCGACGGCTCTGCGCCTTCCACGCAGCTTCCCGTGCTCCATGGCGAGAACCGAGGCAAGTGTTCAATCCTGCAGCAGGAGCGAACGGCTCTCTTAGATAAGCATATCTTATCAAGCACAAGCAGACGCCATAGCTTGTGTGTTTGCTGCAATTCACATCAATCATCTTACTGGATACAGGCAAGTTGGAATGCAGGACTCCATATCACGCGCTGTGTCTTGGATGGATGACTTTGCCCGGACTGCTATGCTAATCACTGCCGCTAGCTTTGCCTGTACGACTCACACGAGCCCAACCGTTAGTGGGCACTCGAACTAGCTTTCGCTAGGCATAGCACTGATACAGAGACGGAGCAGCGCCATCGTATGCCTTATGCCTGGGCGCATTGTTGGTCATAAACAGGGGTGTGCCAGTCGAGTCGGGCTCGATGATATCAATCGCAGGCAAATTCTAGCTGAGGCCTCTCATAAAAGCCACACGTCATCACCCAACATCTGAAATCGAGTCTCAGCCAGTGACAGCTCCGTTCTGTCCTTGTGCTACCGTTGCGTCCTTTTGCGATTTGGACATTCCAGCCCGCCAATGCACTCTCAAGCCTAAGATCGCTCATCAGTCTAGTCAACGATGCTGTCGTATATCTGCAGGTGACTTCATTCGCCCCAGCTTGTGCTTTCAACCAGACGCTTTCCGGGCTCTCTTGTCCATTCTTTACGACTACAATCATACCTGGACAAGAAATTTCATATCATTTCTCCGTCAACGACTTTTTAACCATGGCGCCCCCCGAGAACGAGCGGAGTAAACCCAGACGGCAGCCCTCATCCAGACCTCCGCCCGCCTCAGAGGCCGTGGTGACGGATGGCTTCGTTCTTCCTACCCTCGAAGTGCCTCCCGATGCGCCTCCAGCATATGGAAGTCATCATGACCAGCTCCAGTTCTCGCGGACAGGATTTGAGGCTGGGGCGGCTGTAACAGGTGTGCACCAGCTACACTCCATTGCCCCTCCATACGCATTGCGATGAGCGAGGGGCGAATGGCGTCCTTTTACTGGATAGAGAGAGCTTTCTGACAATTGGATTTCTAGGCGACGGGAGAGTCAACATTAGTATCAACACCAAGAACAAGAGACTGGCAGAGCTTCTTGCACCAAGCATCGCCAGCCAAATTGCTGCCCAACCGTCACTACCACCGGTGTACAAATTGCCCAGTCTCGCAGGCGAGCCTGGCAAGGAACCTCCCCCACGGCTCAACGTGGTTATCCAAATCGTTGGATCGCGTGGCGACGTCCAGCCGTTTATTGCTCTTGGAAAGGTCCTTAAGGAAACGTACGGCCACCGAATCCGTATCGCCACGCATGCGACTTTCCAGACCTTTGTCGAAGAGAATGGCCTCGAGTTCTTCAGCATAGGGGGGGACCCCGCTGAACTCATGGCTTTCATGGTAAAGCATCCAGGTCTCATGCCCGGTTTGGATGCCTTGAAGAGCGGCGAGATCAGCAAGCGCCGGAGAGGTATTCAGGAGATGATGCTTGGGTGCTGGAGATCTTGTATCGAGGCAGGAGATGGACTCGGACCGCCACCCGAACCACATAGGAGACTTGAGCCTTGGGATCCATCAGCAGGCATGCCTGGAGATCCGAACCATCAGCCGTTTGTGGCTGACGCCATCATCGCAAATCCACCTAGCTTTGCTCATATTCACGTCGCGGAGAAACTTGGAATTCCTTTACACATGATGTTTACGTGAGAATCTTCTCTCGACCCTTACTCTTACTCCACGACTAACATGCTTAACCAGAATGCCTTGGTCACCTACACGAGCGTTTCCTCATCCTCTTGCGAATATTCAATCTTCGAATGCCGACGATGTCCTCACTAACTACTTGACCTACACGCTTGTGGAAATGATGACATGGCAGGGACTGGGGGATGTCATTAACCGATTCCGCGAAAGCGCATTGGATCTCCCCCCCCTCTCACTCATCTGGGCCCCAGGGCTTCTTAACAGGCTCAAGATTTCTTATACTTATTGTTGGTATGTATATGATGAATCAGCTGTTTATCGCCTTCTCTTCTGACCATTTGTCCTTAGGTCTCCAGCCTTGATCCCGAAGCCAAACGATTGGGGTCCACACATCGATGTTGCAGGATTTTACTTTTTGAATCTGGCATCTTCATATACTCCAGAGCCTGACCTGGCTGCTTTCTTGGAGGCCGGGCCTCCTCCCGTATATATTGGTTTTGGTTCTATTGTGGTGGATGATCCAAATGCCATGACTAGACTGATACTGGATGCTATTCATCTTGCTGGCGTGCGCGCTCTAGTTTCGAAGGGATGGGGAGGCCTGGGAGTCGATGCGGTAGGATTACCTGACGGTGTCTTTATGCTTGGAAACGTCCCTCACGACTGGCTCTTTGAAAGAGTCTCTTGTGTTGTCCATCACGGCGGCGCTGGAACGACTGCAGCTGGTATCAAAGCCGGCAAACCCACTATTGTGGTTCCATTCTTTGGTGACCAGCCATTTTGGGGAGCCATGATTGCGAGAGCCAAGGCCGGACCTGATCCAATTCCTCACAAGACCTTGACGGCTGAGAAACTTGCTGAGGCGATTAAATTCTGTCTTCGGCAAGAAACCCAAGACCAAGCTCAAGCACTTGGTCGCAAGATTCGAGAGGAAAAGGGTGCGGAAGCTGGAAGCCGAAGCTTTCATAACCACCTCGATATTGATTCGCTTCGCTGTTCAATAGCTCCCAGTCGAGCTGCCGCTTGGCGTCTGAATCAGAGGAAAACAAAGGTGCGACTTAGTCCTCTGGTGGCGGCTGTCCTCGTCGAACGACGTCTTCTGAAATACTCAGACCTCAAGCTGTAAGATCAACTGCAACCTCTGGCCTCTATGTGATATTTACTGACCGTTTAGATACCGCCCATACGAGTATATTACAGAAGATCAGCCCCCCGACCCAATCACCGCGGGCGCAACGTCTCTGGTGACTGATATTAGTGACATAGGTATGGCTATAGTGGACATGCCTTTGGATATATTCAAAAGCCCCAGGAAAGCTAGAGAACGGTGCGATGCGGCCAGTCAAGCTAGCGGCGATGAGAGCGATACAGGATCAAAACCCAATTCGATTCAAGAGCGCTCTGGTAGGAAAACCCCAACGGCCACCAGCCAGGCAGATTCTACTGGCGACTCAAACGCTGCAGCACCGCTTGCCCATTCCCCCTCATTACCGGCTGAAATGAATCGGACGCGATCTCCTACCGTCGATAGCGCAGGAAGCCGGTCATCATCCCGCCGCAGGGCGATTTCTGCAGCGGCAACCATGGAGGCCGCAGTGGGAACGAGCAAAAATGTTGGGCGTATTGTGACTACCGGAGTCAAATCCCCCATGAACTTTTGTCTCGGCCTCGCAAAAGGGTTCAGGAACATTCCACGACTGTACAATGATGATACTGTTCGAGATATTGAAAAGGTTACAGACTTTAACAGTGGCGTACGGGTCGCGAGCAAAGAACTTGGCTTTGGTCTTTACGATGGAATCTCGGGGCTATTAACACAGCCAATGAGAGGGGCGCAGAAAGAAGGTGCTGCTGGTCTAATCAAGGGTGTCGGAAAAGGCATCGGAGGACTTATCGCGAAGCCCGCGGCAGGTGAGTGATATGCGTATTTATCTATTCCCTTTGGGATGTACTGACTGTACGTGCCAGGTTTCTGGGGTCTCCCAGCTTATGTGATGCAAGGCGCCTATGCTGAGCTTAACAAATTTTTATCAAGGAGTGTGCAGAACTACATCATCACCTCAAGGGTTGTTCAAGGCGAACGGGATCTGCAGAATGCATCCGAAGGAGAAAAGGCTGATATTATTAGTCGCTGGAAACAGGATGCTGATTTGGCGAGCGTATACCAGAAAAATGCAAACAGTCAGGAACGAGAGGACTCTCGAGCCAGGTCTGGAGGCGGATCAAGCTCTTGGCGCTTTTCTCCCCAAGAAGCACGCCGTCAACTGGTTGCTGCTCTGTCAGAATCGAAGCCGCAGCAGAAGCCAGGCCGGACCGCAAGGCGCTCGTACTCCCCCGTTCCGAGAACCCCGGATACTGCATCCGCTATCGATACAGAGTACGAGGCAGCTATAAGGGCTTCAGTCGTGGAGACTTCTCGTGGAGATGCAGAAGAAGACGCCATGATTGAAGCGGCTATTCGTGAGAGTGTCAAAGCTATGCGACAGCAAGGCTCTCTGCCCGATCCCGTTCGCCTGCCTTTGGATAGCAAGCATCATGACATTTTCGAGGATGAGGAGTATAAGATTACGGATGAAGAATATCAGAACCTCATTGAGCAGGCCATTCGCGAAAGTATGATTGGACACGTTGGCGATTTCTCTTTGCCATCAGCATCTGGTGCTCAGGAGCTCGACGCTGTGGATACCGCCATCCCAGCTCATGGCGACGAACCGCGCAGCAGCGCCTCGGTGCTAACTCCGACTAGCGATGAGGATGCAGATTTGCAACGTGCCATTGAAGAGTCTCGCAAGGTGCCTCCTACTCTTCCACCGCGCACTTCGCCATCTCAAGAACAGGAGGACGGTGATGAGGATGAGCACTTCCGCAGAGCTATTGAAGCTTCTAAAGATGAGATGGAGAGGGCACGGCACGAGAGAACGGAGGAAGAAATTGTGATGGAATATGTCAAAAAGCAAAGCCTCGCTGAGGAAGAGTTTAGGAAGCAGCAGCTGGCTAAAGGGAAGGGCAAAGAAGTATCCGAAGCGACAAACGATGGTGACGATGATGATGAAGAGCTGAAAAAAGCCATTGAGGAGAGCTTGAAGATGAGCGGCGGAAGTAGTTCAGCACAACCGAGCTCTTAAGTGGAATGACGAGGGGGAAAATTTTAGCAGTGCTTTGGTGTTTAGCGATATGTATAGCACAAGATGGGATCTAACTTAATATGATGATTGGCTGAACAATGTAATATTGAATTTAAACTAATATTGGAAGAAGCGCGACAATAAGCCATCTCAATCCATAAAGTAAATAGAGCAACAAAACTGAAGATCCACGAAAATACATGCAATTAATATCATGCTCACGTCGCTGGGTATCTTTTCTGCAATATGGTAACGAGTTGATATGCTTCGAACTAGCTCACGAAGCCTTTTAGTGATTCTCTCTTAGAATCTTCGCTGCGAATATGTGATGTGGGTGTCTCGCTTGATTCGTTGTTCGTACAGGCAGACATAGTTATCTGCTATAGCAGAGTCCGTATGGAGCTGTAGTTGATTAATTTCGAGATACATTTCTGGTAGTGAATGACCACTCTGACGTCCCAGTCACTGCAGGGTGTGAGAATGAGCCGATGAAGGTTTCCATGGGGTTGAGCGGCGGAATTGGACTGAAGAGGAGTAATTGACTGGATAGAGGGTCACGGTCCAGCGCTTGAAGTGGCGGCTCGATGAAAACCTGCGGGCCTCACCATCATCGTAGTTGCACCTACACAACGTATATGCATGTCCCATGTTTGTGTAGACCATGATACAACACTGCACACGCGCTTGGAGGCTGTTGACAGCCGCAGTTGTGCTGGCGGTTAGCCATACCTTGCCGGAGGTTGGCCCTGGTATTGCTGCTGACCCCATCCTGGATTTGCCGGCGGGGGATATGGCCCAGCTCCGGGGTTGCCGCCGTTGGCCATGGAGACGACATCAGGACGATTCTTCAGCGGCTGCTTGAAGTTGCATATGTGGCAGACGACTTCAACGAAGCCCGATATAGTGAATGGGATGATGGGCTATGGCAGGATGTCAGTCATCGTAATTGGCGTCTAGGATGAGATGCGTATGGCATTAAAGTCGCCGTCACATATTCGGCATATGAGAGTGACTTACGACGAAGCAAAAGGTGAAGAAAGGGCGGCTCTTGATGACACGGCCCGACATGTTGCCACAGTTGTGGCACTGGCAGATGACGCCCTCATAGCCCTTGACCTCGGACCGGAAGGTGTATTGCCCACAGACGAAGAAGAAGAAGACCATATTGTATATGTTGGTTCACTGTATGTATCATATAATTTTTCCCAAGTTGTCGGGTTGACAAGAAAAAGAAAGAAGAAGAAAAAAGAGAAAAGAAACGAGATAATAAAGATGGAGATGACAATAAAGAAAAAAAGAGTTGAGGCTGTGTAACCTGGGCACTGGGGACGAAAAGAAGCGGAGAGGGAAAAAAAGAGGGAGTACGTATGCGCCAAGCTAAGTTCTTGGCGGGTTGTTTTTGGGTTTTGGGTCGGTGGCAGGCGCAACCCGGCGATGAATGTCTGTCCGCTTCCCCAGAGAGGCGTTCTGCTTTTCAGGCTAAGGCAAGAGCGGACTTGACGGCTTCTTACCTTGCCTTTTGTCGAGGTACCTATTGCTACAGTATCACTGTGTATTTAGTAGGAAGTGATGAGCAGAAGATGCAAAGGAACAGAACAGGGTTTAATAAGGTAGACTGAGTCATCACACGCTGAATCACAATTTATTTATTTATTTTTGAAGTAATCGCAGTCTCCCTTGTTTGGTTTCACAACAGTCTCTCCGTCTCTTCTCTTCAGAAGCTCCCAAGATCCAGAGACTTGGAGCACCATGCAGCGACTGCCTCGATATGGCCTAGCGCCCCCCAGTACCTTACCTGCGACCCCACCAACAGCCGTCCGCTAAGAATAATTTCTTGCAGCCTCTTCATCTCGAAAAGCTGTATATATGCCTATACAAAACTCCATCCTCTTGCGCCTCGCCTCATCCACTCAACGCCGGGGCAATTGACCTCCCCCCAATCTCAGAAATAAACACCATATAGACAATTCGACACTTGAATAATCATCGCTACTTTGCCCGCGTCACTTCCCCCTTCCGTAATGTCCAGCTCATAGCCGAATCCAACACTCATCAACAACATCGCCATGCTCTACGACCTCAACATCGCCTGGTCTCCGGCAACGCCCACCGACCGCCTCCTCCAAACCCTCACAACCGCCCACTCCCTCGGCTTCGCCACCGTCGCCCTCAACCACACCCTCGAGCTGCCCTTCCCAGCAAATCCCACAACGCCATTCCCAGCGCTCCCACCATCCTCCCAAGACTCCAAGCTCCCCCACGTCCTCCACCGCGCCACCCTCCCGCTCGCCGACCCAGCAGCCTCAAACTACCGCCTCCCCTCCCTCGTCGGCGTCTACGACATCCTCGCCATCCGGCCCCTCACCGAAAAGGCCTTCCAGAACGCCTGCCTCACCCTCGACATCCCCCTCATCTCCCTCGACATGGCCCAGCACTTCCCCTTCTACTTCCGCCCAAAGCCCTGCATGGCCGCCGTGTCCAGGGGCGTCCGCTTCGAGATTTGCTACTCCCAGGCCCTCGCCGCCGAGCCGCGGGGCCGCGCAAACTTCATCTCCAACGCGACCAACCTCATCAGAGCCACCCGCGGCCGCGGCATCATCATAAGCAGCGAGGCGAAAACAGCCTTTGGCCTGAGGGCCCCCGCCGACATTGTCAATCTGTTCAACGTATGGGGCCTGCAGAGCGAAAAGGCCATGGAGGGGCTAAGGACAATACCGCGGAGCGTCGTCGTCAACGAGGGCATGAAGAGGGATGGCTTCAGGGGAGTCATCAACATTGTCCAAGTGATCAAGAAGGATGTCGTCGAAGGCGATCAAACGGACGACCAGTCCTCGGCGGCAGAGCAGCCCGGCAAGAGGAAGAATCAGAAGCGCAAAAATGGCGGGGAAGATGCCCAGCCCATTAGCAAGCGAGAGGCAAAGAAGATGAAACTGGCGGCAAGGGCAGCTGCATCTGAAAAAAGGTGACATGACATATAACTGGTGTTGGGAGCATTGCGTTTGAGGCGTTGTGGACGTCTACGGAAATCGTGCTAGAAGCACGAAAACAAGCCATGGAGGCTTTGAGAGGCATGATACCCCGGATCAGAAGACTAGAGCAAAATCTTGTTTTCTCGTACAAAGGCAATAACTGAATGATGCATTACCAATATATAAACATACATGTCGTTTTTATTCTTAAGCAAACTGTGACTACAAATGGTATATCATATTCTCTCTAAATTCTCCAAACTCCGTTTACACCCCCTATATACGCTACATTATACTACCCATCTGTTTTCTTCAATCCCCTAGATTTCCCTATCCGATAATCAGCGTGGGCGCTGCGGCAGCCGCAACTGATGGCGTAGCTATAGCTTGTACGGCCACTAGGGCACCCAAGTTCAACGCACTGCTAAGCTGATATCCCTGAAGATCGGGTGGTGGCGCGGAGAAAGCTGCAGGTGCGGTCGGCGTTGCAATAGGGAACAAGGGGGGAGCCGGCTGTCCGTTTGCCAAGGGAGTGTTGGAAGCAAGGTTTCCGAGCACAAGAGTGTTGGCTGGCGCCGCGGGGACAACTGGACTGGGTGTGCTTGCTGGGGTAGCTGAAGTTTCGGGGGCAGGCGAGCTCGTGGGGCTAGCTGACGTCTCGGAAGCAGCTGCGCTTGTTGAAGTCGTTGAAGTCGTTGAAGTCGTAGCCGATGATGTCGTTGACGTGCTGACAGCTGTAGTAGTCGCAGGGGGCTTAATAACAGAACTGGAGACCGTGACAGACGAAGACGAGGCACTCGATGACGCAGAGGTAGCTGCTGATGTTGACGAAGCTTGAGAGCTTGTAGTTGCGGCCGCAGATGTCGATGTCGCTGATGATGCAGCAGCTTCACTTGTGCTCGTAGTCTCTTCGGAAGTCGACGATGCCGCCGAAGAAGCACCCGCCGCACTTGATGACAAAGGCAGCGTACTGAAAATAGGAGAAGGCGTCAAATTTGCAGTGTCCGTAGTTGTAGAAGAAGACGACGGTGGCAGACTTGTCGTAGCCGGAGGAGGAGGAGGAGACGGCGGCGGAACTGTCGTAGAGCTCTCCGCGGGGGGAGGCGGAGGAGGAGGCGGCGGAGCAGCGCTCGTAGCAGGAGGAGCAGGAGGAAGGTCGGTTGGTGGAGGGCTGGCGGCAGGCGGAGCTGTTGTCGCTGGTGGCGGCGGAGGAGGAGGCGGAGGCGGGGGAGCACTCGCAGCTGGAGGGACAGTCTCGGCCGGAGGAGCTTCAGGAGCAGAGCTTGCCGGAGGAGGTGGTGGAGGCGGAGGGGCTGCGGGAGGGACAGTCGTTCCCGGAGGGACGTCTGTAGCAGAACTTGCCGGGGGAGGAGGGGGGACTGCCGGAGGGGGTGGTGATGCAGCTGGCGGAGGTTCTATCGTAAAAGTTAGTCTCAGGGGTTCACTTTCCATAGCCGTTCAGCTAAGCATCTACGCTACTCACCCAGAACAAACGTTGTCGTCGGCAGCAAAGACGAGGGAATTGGAATCGTAGTAACGCCGACTCCGTTACCGTTGGCGTTTGTCGTTGCTGGAATCACAGTGACGCCAACTCCATTGCCATCAGGATTCGTTGTCGCCGGGACGACTGCCGGAGGAGCTGAAGGCAAATCTGCGACTGCTGTTGTGACCGGATTCTCGAGCACCTGAGTAGCTCCAGGTATGAGAGTGGTGGTTATGGTAGTTACGGCGACACCCCCATTTCCATCTCCGAAGCCAAGGAGTTGACCCAGCTGATCCAAGAAGCTGTCACGTCGTGCCAAATTGCCATTTGCATCTCGGTTCAAAACGGCACCCTAAAAGCTGTGAGTTGCTGAACTCCTTGGAAATTCCATTTGTATGATGGCTACATACCTGAACTGCAGAAGAAGCAAGCAGGGCGTAAAAGATTGCAGACCTCATTGTAAATACCAAGAAAGATGGTAATTATTTATCCCCCAAAATAAAAATAAAAACTGTGAAAAAGAATACCAAAAGAGACCAGAATGAATGACTACAACACAGCTATTTCCACAACTCAACGAGATGAGATGAAACTGCTGATGAAAAGCAAAACGAAGATTTTTTTGTCAGCCAGCTGGATATCGAAAGAAAACAATGACCGATGCCAAATCAATCGCAGTCGAACACGACGGAGCGGTAGAACCAAAATTAAAGAGCGAACGGCAACGGTTGTACAAAAGGCGGCGCCAGGCCTGTAAACCCAAAAATGAGGGTGAAAGAAATCGCCACCGACCAAACGGACGATGGTTCAACGATGAAGAAGAGAAGTGAAGATGATGCAACCCACGCGGAAATCGGTCTCGTGAAAAGAAGAAAAGGGAAGAGCCCGGTAGAGAGAGAGAGAGAGAACCGGCCCGGCTGTCGTCAGCGCAAGGCACCCGGCCATTGGAAGAAACAACCGCCCTGTTGACGAGTCTCCCCTTCATTTCTCCGACTAAAGGCTCGAAACATGGCAATGTTTGGAGCATTGCCAAGACGCCATTGCTGCGAATCCAACACGGAGCTCAAACAGCGGCGGCGCGGCGGTAGCAGTTTAGACTGAGAGCCTGGGCCCGACGGCGTTACCCCATACAGCGAATTGTTAGCATCTGCCGGGGCTGGGACCTGGATCTGAGACATGGTTCAGACGCCTCCTGTCTGAGAGCTGGTTCGCGATAGTGGGGCTGGGCCAGGACACTATGGCAAGGCGCTGGCCTAAATTTGGGACCGGGCATTTCTCGAGCTCGTCAATGGCTGAGCTGGATGTGACTGTAGATTCCCGTTTGCAGAATCTGGTGATTTTCATGTCATGTTGATTAAAACGCAAGGATGTGTAGACGGTTTGGGATGTTTAGCGTCTTGTAAATCATGCGATGCCGGCCGGAAGTGAGAGCGAAGAGGCTCTCCCAAGGGATGTGGGGTCGCCAAACGGCGCCTAAAGTTATCAGATCTGATTTTGTGATGATGATTCACATCCTGGGCAGAGGATTTGGTCGAATTGCGTCGAGGCGTGAGGGACCGGTGGGAGATGTGTGAAATGATCGGTTTGAACTAGGCCGAGTTCGTCAGGGCGGCATGGTCGCCTACGCATGCATGAGAAAGCAATCTTGAAACAAAATTGATCAGATTTATGCTGGATAGGCGAAAGTGATGTGGTGAAATGGAATGGAATCGGAATCAAGATTACTTCAGCACGCAGATGCAGATTGGATTAGATATATTCCGGATATGTGTATTTCCCGTGCCGATGTGCTTTCCTTTTCATTCAACCGATATTACGTCAAGAGCTGTGAAGAGCAAGAGCAAGGTACTCCGCACCTGCCAAGTGCGTACCTATTGCTGGCATTTACTTTATAATTAGCCTTAAATTCTGAATCATCAACCTCCAATAACACGCTCTCGATGCTGGTGGCATGTGCATCTCGCGCTCATCGAGAGGCGACAAAAACCTGCTTTCCACCAGCCATGTCTACCTATATAGCAAGCCTTTGATAGCATTTTGCATTTACGCCTTTCATCTAGAACCTGGCTCATCATTTAATTAATAGCATACAATAATATTCCTCTTTATGCTTTATATGAAATGCCAGCCATTCATGTGTTAGACGACTACTACCTCGCTATCACCGCTCTCATCACCATCGGCTACCAGCTCTTCTTCTTCGCCATCGCCTACACCTGTAAATTCGACAAAGTCACTGGTTCGTCCTCATAACCACCAACAAAATCTCACCATTTCCTCCCACTAACAACCCAACTTATTTCGCCTCTCCAGACTTCGCCGGCGGCTCCAACTTCATCATCCTGGCCATCACAACCCTCTCCCTCAGTCACCACCACCAGGCCCGCCAACTCGTCGCCACCCTCTTCCTCATCGCCTGGGCCATCCGCCTCACCTTATTCCTCCTCTTCCGCATCCTCAAAACAGGCAAAGATGATCGCTTCGACGAGATGCGCCAAAAGTTCCTCCCCTTTCTCGGCTTCTGGGTCTTTCAGATGCTTTGGGTCTGGACCGTCTCGCTGCCCGTCACGGTGCTCAACTCCCCAGCCGTGACGCCCTATCCCCAGCATCGGTTTGGCACGGGGAGGGACATTGCGGGCGTGATCATGTATTCTGTCGGGCTGGGGATCGAGACCGTGAGCGATGCGCAAAAGTATCGGTTTCGGAGCACGCACGATGGCAGAGCTGTTTGTGACGGAGGCTTGTTTGCTGTTTCGCGGCATCCGAATTACTTTGGTGAGATACTCGTTCATTTTGGTAATGCCATCTCCTTGTCCTACCTTGCATTGAGAAAAGAAGAGAAAATAAGGTCATGGCTGACTTCATCCAGCCATATATATGATTGCCGTTTCATCAGCCGCAGATGGCTACGTCCACGGCCAAGCCTATAAAGCCCTCTATGCCACCATCCTGGGTCCATTCTTCCTCACATTTCTTCTCCTATTCGTGTCAGGGATACCTCTCTCGGAACGCCCAAAGGCAAAGGCGCAATATGAAAGCGGCAACAATTGGCATAGCTACAAGCGCTGGTTAGATCGTACCAGCATCCTCATCCCATTCCCCCCACAGCTGTACGAGAAGATGCCGACGATCTTGAAGAGGACCGTCTTCCTCGAATTTCCCATGTATGTATTTGACCCAAAGAAACACTCCGATATGAGTCAACCGGGAGGAGCAGCAAATGAGGACCAGGTAGGCAGGGGAGACGACCAAGACGATGCTCCACAGAGCGGCGAGGAGACGCTGATGTAGTAATTTTTCTATTATGATGAATGAGATGAAATCAAAAACTCCCTTGGTATATATATATGTATGCGTATGTGTATATGTTTGCTCTATGCAAATGCGCTTATCCCGCGCACCAGCAATCTCCCTCGGCCTGTAGCAACGGTGTTTTGCTATTGAGCCACCGAACATGAAAACTGCCATGGAAAATGATTATTTCCTCGTTTTCTGATTGAATTGAATCGTCAAATGAAAAAGGAAAAGAAAAAAGGAAGCAAGGGAATCTCGCGACGCCACATTACATCACCGACAGCACAAATGCACTCAGCATCATCCGTCCTCACCATGAAGAGCCAGCCATGTCCATATCCATCCCTCCCCCAAGTTAGTCAAAAGATACGAAAACATGAGTTAAAAAGAAAACAGAAGAAAACAGAAGAAAACAGGGAAAAACCAAGATGTTTTTTTTTTTTTTTGCGTGTGTTCAGTCCAAGAGCTCCTGTGTCTGGCCCAAGTCGACGCTGCTGGACCGCTCGGAATGCGCCTCGGAGCCCTCAGGGATGGGCACCATGGCGCTCTTGGTCCAGATGTGGATGGCCTTTGTCCAGTCAAGGCCCTCGATGCAGCCGCCCTTGACGGAGAGGACGTTTTTTGACTTGTGGCGGAGAGAATTCGAAGATGGGCGTTAGCTTTTGGGGAACTCGCGGGGAGGTTTGAAGAAGGGTTTTGATGATGGCTTGAAGAGAGCATACCGGTGTCATGTGGATGAGTCGTGTTCCGCAGTTGCGGCAGAAGTAGCTGTAGAATATCCATTAGTCGTCCAAAGTCATCGATTCATCAATTCGTAAGGCCATATCGTACCAGTAGAGCGTCTGCCCTGAAGCCGTCGGTCGCCTAAACTCGACAAACAAGTAACCCCATCAGCATCAAAACTTCAATCCAAATCTTCATTCTCCGCCCTCAACTCCCGACACATCTCATAAATCAACCAACTTCTCTCTTCTTTGGAAGGAAAACAACATACGCATAGCAGCTCAGGTTCTCCGTCTCCGGCAGCTTGAAATGCGGGAAAATGGCCGACGTGCCAAACGCCGAGCCCGTCTGTTTCCTGCATTCGGTGCAATGGCATATATACAGCGCCAGGGGCTCGGGCAGCGGCGTCTTGAACGACACTGAGCCGCACTGACACCGCGCGTTCATGGCGGAAAAGGAGAAGAAGAAAAAAAAAGAAAAAAAAAAAAGAAAGGAGGTTAAGAGAGGATTGTGTTGTTTTTGTTTAGGGGAGGCTCGTGGTTTTGATTGATTCGAATCCGTGACGACAGGGTTTCCCAAGTTTTGTTCGATCGCCCAATACGATGGATGTTGAGGTTTGTCAAGTCGAGCCCAATGAACTCAAGGGCTTCTCTGTCGTTCAAAACTCGACACTTATGCGCGTTTCATTTTCAAGGCGAAAAGACGCTTCAAATGAACTTTTTTCGTTTGTAGTTTTTAAGATCGAAGAAGCAAAAAAACGTCAGCGACGTCGGATGTCTGAACGCAATTGCATGTGCCTAGAATTAGGCTATGCATCATCGGGTGTGCTAATGTGTTAATGTGGTAATCAAAAACAGCCCAGCGGCCTCCTCTCGATCGACGTTAGTCTTGTGTAGGTACATTTCCAAGAAAATTAATTAAAAGCTTGTGATCAATTCTATTTTATTTTTTATTCTTATTTTTTATTATTTTCTGTTAATTTCTCATCCGAGCAATAGTTCGTACGGAGTAATACCTCCAAAACCGCCCCCATTCTACTCCGTAGCTGAAGAGTCACCTCCAAAACAGCTCCAAAAAGGCAAGGATGTCGCCGGTCCTCGCATTCTGAACGAAGCCCGGGGGGGGGGGGGGGGGGGGGGGGGGCCAGCGGTTTTCAGCTAGACACGGAATAGGCAGTAATCGCACGAGCGTCCAACGAAGCCCATCAAATCGGACAGTCGCATCGCCTTTTGCTTCCATATCCGGCCGGAGCTAGGGGCTTCAGACGGAGGCCCGCTACCGCATCTCGGCAAATGCAGATATACGCTTAATCGCCTATATAAGCCCATTTGGTTGTTTCCTTTCTTACCAATCTGCCCATTTGTTTCCTTCTCTTGACACGTCAGGCACAAAAGTACTATCTTCTTCTTCTTCACCTGTTTTTTTTCTTTTTTCTAAGCCGAGCCGCGTGACTCATCCGTGTAGCCCGAGCCCGATAGGAAAGCCACGTTTTGAAAAAAACAACGCGCCTTCTTCACAACCTCCACGGAGGTGGGGGACAACTCAACTCAATACGGCGTCTCGACTACTTCAGCTCCATGCAAGCTCAGCTCCCATCCTGTCGTTTCTTTCTCCCTTCTCGCATTGACAACATATTGGTCCTAGCTATTATTAATATTTGATAAGGTGGATTTGTAATCTCCACAATCCACGTGTCTACGGGCCATATCGCGTCTTCTTTTATCCTCACGTTGCTGTTGAATTGCAGCTTGTAAGCGGCTACTTGCGGCAAGCCATGGCATCAAACACTTTGCACTCAACTACTACACCGCAAAAAGCGCCTTCTCAATCCATTGTTTTTTTCGGCCAAATACACAACTCATCATCCCCCTTCAAAGCAATTCATAAAAGTCCCGTTCGCTCGTGTATTCCTCCGATAACCGGTCCGCTCTTCCTTCCGCGGACTACTTGGTGTGTACCACTAACGATCCCTCGGTTCTCCGATGTAACAACTAATACACACTTAAATAAGAGACCTTCTCAATGCATGTAACAAATAGTTCATGTTACTTGGCTTTTGTATATTGTACTCGTAGCAGCAAGTTGCGCAATAAACAAGTCGCCTGGCGCGCAGCCACCCGGCGTCTCAAGTCAAGTCCGCTCATCCTCGGCGGTCCGAATAAAGAGTCCATTGTCCGGTGCTAGCTCCGCAACTCCATTGGCACGATGCTGGAATTCAGCGGGCACCTTATGGAGCTCAGCTTCAATCTGCTGAACACAGGTACAAAAACGAGGCTTATGATGGCGCTGCCAAGCAACTGCGGACCAGCTCCCGAGGCCGCACTCTGCAGCTTTAGTTGAAACCGAGGCCGAGGCCGAAACCGAAAACGCCTTTATACACCAGAATAACAAGATTGATATTATTAGCAACGAGCACCAGACTGAAACGCCAGCTGAATCCACCCACATGCATCCATGCCCTCCCTGTACGACAAATACGAGTAGTATATGAAAAAACAAACCCTCGGGATCACAGGATCCTGCCCATGCTCACAACCACCGCCCTGGACCCCTTCTCCCTCAACGCCTCCTCTACAGCCGCACACCACGCCATCTTTTCCGTCGTGCCCCACGAGTTCTTGATAATCTCAATCTCCAGCCTCTCCAAGTTCTCCATCTCCGCCAGCCGCCCTTCTTCTACCCACCGCTTGGCACCGCCCGCCTCCTCCAGCCCGTCAACAAACTCGTCGTCGTCCTTTGAGTCCTCGCTCCTCCTGCCGACCTGGCCCACAATTTTCAACCGTAGACCCCGGAGCCCCCGAGTCCAAGATGCCGACCGTCCGGGGCCGCACAGCTCCGCCCATTTCTTCAGCGCCACTGTCCGAGCCAGATCCTCGGCCATCATCTCCAGCCGCGCGTACCGCATGGCCAGGCGCTGCCACGGCCGCTGCGACTTAGTCACGGCCGCTGCCGCGTTGAGCCCTGAGGAAAACCAGTTGAGAAAGACGAACTCGTTGTTGGCAAACGGCACTTCACGCGCCTCAAAGTAAATCTGCCGACAGGTGCATAGGAGGCTCGTCGGTACCCCCGCCAGAGGCCGCTCCGAGTTGAGCAAGCCCGGCGTCGTCTTGTTGAGCTCCCGCATTCTCTCCTTTATCCTGTCCTTGATCAGCTTCTTCTTATCCTGTTCCGCCCTCATCTTTTCCCACTTCTGCCCGCCACCTTCCTTTTGTTCACTGCTCTCCTTCTTCTGCTCGCCGCCCTCTGAGCACTTGTTCTCTGTCGCGAGCTCTATAATGGTCTGTTCGTTTTCAATCTCCAACTCGATCTGCTGTTCAAGATCCGGATCCAGTGGGTGTAGCACGTAGCGGCACAGCATCGGAATCGGATATCCCGCTGCCAGCTCTTTGGGCTGGATTGGACTCATCCGGTAAGCCCAGTAGTAGATCCTCAGCCGCACCTCTGCCGGCAGAGATAACAGGCGCGACGTCTTTGGGCCGTTGACGGCATTTGCGTCCTTCTCCTCACCAGCAACATATGGCTCGATATCCTTGCCGTCTGTTGCTACGGCTTCATCCGTCGCGGATTCATCAATTCCAGGCCCGAAGCGCTTGTAGTAGCACACCGCGGGCGGGTACCAAAACATAAACGGGCAGTACTCATACTCGGCCCCCGCCATGACTAGATGAATTGCGTGAGTATCCTGCACGTTTATATCCATAGGTAGATGTAGGCCGTTCAAAAAATTGAAAGTCATGGCAGCAGAAAGAGAGGGAACGGCATGAGGCTTGGGTTTAAGTAAAAATTTTTTATCTCGTCTTTGCTACAGCCCTCTTCCCCTCTTCGAGAGAGAAGGCCTTTGTCGGTCTCACCCAAAAAAAGCCTTCTCTCACCCCATGGATCTCGGCGAGTAAGATTGAAGGATGAGGGGTGAAAAGTAACATACCGATATGCGTGATACAACATGGCAGCATTGTGAGCACTAGATTGGATGGTCAGCTGTCAAGTCTTATATCCTCTCACTAGCCAGAGCGGTGGCGGCTTACTGCTGGGCCGGTTGGCGACAATATAAGAGGTAATTGGCTTGCTGAGCTTGGACAGGTGGGATTCCGCCGCTCCCAGCAATGAGCTCATGGCGCACAGAGTTTCCAGGAATTAGAAATGAGGAGAGCACTAGAGGACCAATTTCGCCATCCGATCGGGGCCGGGATGGAGGGGAAGCTTTAAAGTCCTTTGCGGGGAAACGTCACGATTACACACTGCAGCTCCTCAGCTGGGCCGAAAGCTGTCGCATTCGATGCCATTTCGGGCTCCCTTGCATCTCAACGCGCCATCCGTGGCCTTCTGATTTGACTGCCCTCCTTATCGCTCCAGCCCGAGATTGAATCCGGACCGTTCGATGCCAGCTATAATTTGATAGCTTCTCTCGCTTCCATTCGTTAAAAAAAAGCAATAACATGCTTAATCCCGGAGGAATGTGATTGAAGTCACCATCATCTCATAGGTCCAACCCCAGGCTTTGCGGCTCCATCCTGCGAGCCTATCCTTGTGCTTGAACACCCTCTCAAGCATGTAGTTCAGGGGCCGCTACATGGATGTCCGTCGAGCTCCGACTAGCGCTTGCGCCAAAAGAAAAATAAAGAGAGGAAAGGGAAGAAAGAAAGAAAGGGCAAAAAAAAAAAAAAAAAAAAAAAAAGGGTACACAACTCTGGCATCTGATGCCGTCGCCATGATTGTCTCTACAAGGCAACCCACGCAGACTCACACACTGATGATTAAGCATTCGATTCCTCCTCGTCTAGCCGTGCTAAACACGCAAGGCTCTCGGCACCATCTTCAAGAAAGGTGGTAAACTCGTCACCCTAAGACGATCCAGAACCTGGTGGTATATTCACTCCGTCATATCCCCTTTTCCCCCCAGATTTTCTCTCATATTCAACGTTCCGCGGAACTTCGAAATCTCCCCTGGCCGCAAACCAAAGCAGCGTTTCCGGCTCCGGTCCCCTGCCCACGGCCGTCGCTTTCGCCTGATCATTCGTCGCGTCCATGGCATCTTCGTTGTCTTCGTCCTCATCTTCGTCCTCATCGTCTTCTTCATCGCTTTCTTCGTCGAGACCTTTTCTTAGACCTGTGCGCACCTTGTCGATGCCCATCTCCCGTTCTTCTTTTGTGTAGACGTCGCCGGCCTCTTCTCTGACATATCTGGCAATCCTGTCGTGTGTCCACTCGCGCAATTCGTCCCATATGCTCTGTAGCTCAGCAATGCCCTCGGGCGTAGCTAGGCGCGCCGTCTCGCGGCCCTGTGCGACGAGCTCTTCTACATCTGGCTCTAGCTTCTTCCGCAGCAGCTGCGTCAAGACACCCTCTTGTGTTCGTCCGGGATAATTTGTCGAGGGATGTACAGCGATGCGCGAGAATAGCTCTGCATTCTCGCTCAGGTTGTCTAATACCGTCTGGAGGTTGCGTTGGAGGATCTGGGCCGAGGCTTGTAACGAGGAGCTGCAAAAGAGTGAAACCATTAGAGCTGCCCGGTAGTGCGTAACGAGAGGAGCAAACCGTACGGGTGAGGAAGCGGATTGCTCTTGAGAATATCCATCTTTAGGCTTTGTATGCTGCTCGAGAGCTGCGCCAACCGAGCGAGCGTTTGCTCAACCGACTTGAGCTCATCATCGTCCAAGCCCAGCGTCGCCATCGTATCGCTTGCCCAGTCGAAGCGATTGTCTCTTTCTCTGGCCTCTTGCTGAGTGTACGTATTGAGAGGATGCAGTCCAGAGGCAAAGAATTAAGCAAGAGGTCTTTGTAAATAATTGGATACGTGGCACAATCCGAGAAGAGGCAGAAATGCAGCGTGTGTGAAGCAAGGTTTACTTTAGCAGTGACGTCGGGATTGAAATTATTCAACTACAGGCACAGACACGCTTTCGTGGGGCAGGCGCTAGGAATGGTGCCTGCCGTGGTTGCTCAAGTGGGGCTACCACTAAACAGGCATTGGGTATTTACATGAAACTCTGCTGGGAAACTGCAGGTATCTGTATATTGGAAGACATATGAATTATTCGCCAGTGCATTGATAACGGGATATGATTCTGATAGAGGCGCTACATGGCGTAAAGGTTATAGCAGTTTAATTATTCTTTTATATATTTAAATTTTCAGCTACAAAGCTAATCCTAAATGCTACTCCAAACGATATTATCTGCCAAAGCTAACAAGAGTCCCTTCGCTATGTATGCTCCACCAATGTAAACAAATTTCAAGTAATCACTCCTTCAGAGTCAGTCTGATGTTCGTGATGGCAAGTAGCTAATGTAAAAAAAGGAAACGAAAAGAAGAAAAGAAGAAGAAAGCCAAGCCTTTTGCTTAGCCTCGAGTCGAATTAAGCGTCTTTGAAATCTCGTAGCCCTGCGAGTCCACAAAGGGATATCTCGCACGCCTCTCCAAGTCATCCAGCGGGATGTTTGACCGAATGTACCTAAAAGACCAGTGGTTAGCAAATTAAATCCTTCAAAAGCACAGTCACGGGCATTAAAAAGAAGGGGGTGAAAGGGACTCACTTCATTCTGCCATCGTCAACTGGGTTATGGTCCCAGCTCGTAAACGTCCCCTTGCTCAACGCATCCCACACCAAGCGCCTGCTTCGCTGAGACTGCAGCACCTTTTCTGTGATGGCGTCAAAATCCCACTTGGCCTTTGCTTCAGCCTCGAAATTCTCAAACACAGTTCTGGCCTCCTTCTCAGCCTCCGTCTGTGGCTCAACCTTGCCAGTACCGAAGCGCGCCAGGTTATCCAGCTCCAGGGGATCTCTCTCAAGATTGAACAGTTGCGGCTCATCAGCCGGGCAGGTAATATACTTCCAGTCTCCTCGTCGAATCATCATCATGGGGCGGACAGTGCCCTCTCCCGTATACTCGGCGAATACCGTGTCGCCGCCTCCCTCCTTGCCCAGCAAGTGCGGCATCATGCTGACGCCGTCCATTGGCAGGAAGGGCGCAGGCTTGGTGCCGATGATGTCGCAAATCGTTGGCAGCAGATCTAGCGTCGAGACATTTTGCGTCACGCGGCGAGGCGTGAACCACTTGGGATAATGAACCAGCATGGGGACTCGCACCGACGACTCAAAGTAGCTCATCTTGTACCAGAGGCCGCGCTCTCCCAGCATGTCGCCGTGGTCGCCGCTGAAGATGACAATGGTGTTGTCCATCAAACCAGCATCTTCGAGCGTCTCGAGCAGCTTACCGATGCAGTCGTCGACATAGCTCACGGAGCCGTAGTACGCTCTCTTGGCCCTCTTGATCTGCTCGTCTGTGAATTCCAGGTCCCACAGATCACACACCTTGAGCAGACGCTTGCTGTGAGTATCCTGCTTCTCCTTGGCGATGCGGACCTTGGGCAGATCGATATCCACGTCCTCGTACCGGTTCCAGTACTTCTTGGTAATGGTATAAGGGTCGTGGGGGTGAGTGAGGGAAACCGTCAAGGCAAAGGGGCGCTTATCAGGTCCCTCACGAACGTGGTCCCAGAGATACTGAGTGCTGCGATACATGACCTCCTCGTCGTAATCCAGCTGGTTGCTCCGTCCACAAGGACCAGCCTGAAGGATCGAGCTGGCGTTGTGATACCACTCAAGACGGGTGTCTGGCTCGTCCCAGTTCACAACCCAGCCAAAGTCACCCGGGTAGATGTCGCTTGTCAGACGCTGCTCATAGCCGTGCAGCTGATCTCCCACAAAGTGCATCTTGCCCGCCAGAGCGGTGTGATAGCCCTTGGAGCGCAGATAGTGTGCATAGGTAGGAACTTCGGAGTTGATCTGAGAGGCATTGTCGTAGGAACCGATCTTCATGGGCAAGAGACCAGAGATCATGCTCATTCTTGAGGGCGCACAGAGCGGTGAAGGGCAGTAAGCAGAGTCAAACTGGACGGATGAAGCCGCCAGACGGTCCAGGTTGGGCGTCTTGATCTGAGAGTCGGGATTGTACATTTTGAGCTGAGGAGCCGCCAGCTGGTCTGCCATGATGTAGAGAATGTTTGGTTTCTGGTCTGGGCTGCTGGCGGTGGGCGGAGGCGCCTCTGAGCGCGGGAGCGTGTTGAGATCGGGAGCCATGGCGATTGCAGTTTCGACAGCACTGAATAGGATATTTTTCCAATACTTTTTTTTCACTGTATTTTTAAAACAAAATCACTCCCGCAAAGAAGACGTTCGTTTGTATGAAGTCTTATCGTGCTATTTCCAAGAGGCCTGAGACACGGGATGAAATGGCACCAAGACAGGAGAGCGAGAAGTGAGACGAGACGAGATATCAGATTGTCCTTTCACAGCCCACAAGTATCATAAAAGGTAAAAGATTAATAATAAACCAAGGCACGCGACGCACTACTTTTCGTGGAGAGGACAGGTAAAAAAGAAATCAGTTGCCAGCAAAACCTGGTGCGTGCGTCTGCGTCCAGCCATCCTTATATGAATAGCCCATGTGGAGAAGACAAAAGAGCCCCCGACTTCCGAGTGCGCTGAATGGCATCATCACGCGAGCACGCAAGAGACTGAAGGGGAAAATGGAAACTACCTTAGCTCTAGTCTCTCTATTATCTGTTAGACACACTGTATGCAGCCTCACTTTGGTGCATAAAATTGGTTTAGTTGTTATTAGTCGGCGTCAGACTGTTGCAGCAGCTAATCACGCAACAGACTTTGTGCCATGTTCCATGCCAGCTGCACGTTTGTGGCACGAGGCTGACACTGACCGACGAAAATAAGAAAAACGTGTGGTGGCAGAGCATATCGTGATGGTGCAACCCCCTTCATCATCCACCATATTTCTCTGTTGTTGTTTGTCTGTTTGTGTAGCCTCAATGCAATAAGCGACGACCTGAAGTCCATCTCTTCCGGCCCCAGCACTACTCTTATCGCAAGCCCTCTTTTTTTTTTCGCCTTCTGCCTTATTACCGAGCACTTTTCGGGTCACACGGACACCTCCATTCAAGCCTAATCTCCCCTGCGCAAGCGCCCGATAATCCCTTTCCTTTTTACTCCGTAACTTATTTTATTTTTTTTTCCCATTCATTTCCCCTCAGGACCCTTGGAAACTACTCGATTCGGCATCGCCCATCCTGTGGTTGGTCAATCGCCCTCTTCCCCATGTCCAGAGAGATCTATCCATCTTTTTTTTCCCACCACTTCCCCCCATCGTATTTCACCAAAATTCCCACCGATTGCGTGATCTAGACCTTTGTAGGCGTGCGTCACACGGAAAACGCTGCGTTACCCAAAGACCACAACACCGTATGGTCTTGGCCGCGCGAGGACTGTATAAGCTATTTGCTTTGCTGCATGTGGGGGAGATGCCAAATAACCTGCGCCAATACTAGCTGGTGGCGATGAAGCTGACAAAACACGCCTTCGTATTCTGTTGGAAGCAAAAAGGGACCCTGAATCTGGCATTGGGCGTCCAAGTATAGTAATCCAGCCTCTGTCGATCATAATGACAGCTGAGAGGCGTTTTGATCGGGAGTCAGCGGAATGACGACGGCCTCATCACTTGGACTCTTTGTTGACCGCCTCTGACCGAGAGATGGGTATCAAAGTCAGCTGTTTAGTTCAAGCTATTAAAACTCACCGCCAATTCTGACTTTAGTGTGGCGTAGTCGGGACGAAGATCTTCAAGACTATGGTGAAGTCTTATTTCTATTCAACTTGATATAAACAAACATATGAGACCATCCGATACATGGAGAGCTTAGACACCACAACAGTCAATCTGTCAGCTCACGATACACGTTGGGCGTATACATCTACCAGACGATCATGACCAGATTACAGCTTCAAGAGTCAACTTACACGCCATTGACTTTACGTAACATCATTTACACACTGATATAAATACATATATGATCGATTAAGTACGTAGAATTACTCATCTCTTCTTATATTCAACCCAGAGAGTCACTCCCTCCCGCCCAAGACTCATCCCCATCAGAACAAGCAAATACAGAAAAGTATCCTACAGCAGAGAATCTACTATATGTAACCGATGACAATGACGATGACGATTATGATACCCTCACCCTGTCAGCCCGCCTGCCTTTTTTTTTTTTTCACATTTCGACTCTGTCCCCTTCTCCTCTCCCTGCCTCCCTCCTTCATTTCCAATGTCCATAAGCTGCGTGCGCATATTCAGTAATGTATAGTTAGGTAGTTCCCTGGATATATTGATCCCGCCCAGCCAGCCTTTCAAAAATGCAAAATCCCAACTCCAACAAACACCGTGCATGTTCAGTTCGCCTCGCTCCACCTTCTTTGAATGAAAACCACATCATCAGCAACATCAACGGCTCCTGTCCGCCTGTCCACTCCCATCAACCAGGCGTTGTTCTATTATTGTGTCCGGTAAAACTTCCTGTAAATAAGATGCAGTAACAGGTTCACGTTAAGCTTGAGGGTGCCCTCAAACAGCGTCATGAACTGATGCGCCTCAAACTGTGCCTGGAGCATGTCCTCAATCGGCACTTGAGCTATTGCTCCTGGTATCTGGATATGGCTTCGCGTGCCCTCAATGGCAAACACACCAACCTGGTCGCACGAGATTGTAATGTCAATCTTGTCCCATTCGCGGTCAGCCGTTCCGCTCCACGACACCAAGACGCCCTTCTCTGACAGTGCTCGCGCGCTATACTTGTAGCTTCCAAACTTTGGCACACGGCCGCTGCGTTCCAGCTCTTTTTGATGATTGTACTGCTTGGTGAAGGGCATGAGGAACCTCTTTCGTCTATTTTAATCTCGCTGTTAGCCTCTCATTGCCTCAATATTACACCCTAATGATTCGGGAATACTTACCCCTTCTTGTTCTGGAGCGTCTTCATTGACTGCTCAATGTAATCATCGTAGCTCTTGCGCTGCTGCTCCAGGTATTTGGCCTTTTCAGTCAAGTTGGCAAGCGTCAGACGCACGCCGTCCAATTCTCGCTGCCTCTGGACACGTCTACGGCTCTGGGTCCGGATATCGCTGGCAATGGCATTGAGCACATCCTGATACTGATTCTGTTTTGAAATCCTTCCCATCTGCTCCAGCTGCATCACGTTCTCCAGAGCCGTTCGCTTGAGGTCGTAGTAGGACATGGAGGTGATGTCAGCCATCTTAGCGTCTGAATACGCCCCTCGTGAGTTGCTGTTGTCCGAAAATTCCTCTCGAAGAAGCGCCTCCCACTTTTCCTCGTCTTCGACTGTGATCTGCTTTACCAGAATTTCCAAGAGATTGGCCCCGGTTTGCACTCGGATGATGTACAAAACGCACCGCTTCGTCTCCATAAACAAAGCCTTGATATCCGCCTCGGGATCCTCGAGGTCGTGGACCCTGGGAGTCAAGAACATTTGAATATCCGCCGACCCTGCCGCACTCATTTCACTCTCGTTGCTCTTGGCGCTACCCAGATCTTGCATGATTTCGCGCAGGACGTCATCCCGGGTTGGAGCCATGACCATAATCTCTTGCGCTACGAGATTGTGAATGGCAAAGACATCCGACATCTTGATGTACAAGGTAGGTTTGTTTTTCGCATATAGGTCGTTAAACTCGTCAATGTCAAATGTTTTCTCAGCGTCCGGCACGTTAATGAGGTCGTTGGTGATCTGCTGTAGGCGCTCGATGGATTCGCCAATGAAAGCATTCAGGGGCTGAAGATAAATGTTCTCGCCACCAAACGGCCGACCCAGAGCGATTTGCCCTACCACTTTGGCAACCTCGCCCAAATTCCTCTTCTGGAGGGGGCTGAGCGACTTGTCAATTACGCCCACGTTTTCGGGCATGGTGACGGCTGGTTGGAGATAAAACTTCCACAGCCAGTGGGACACCATTTGCAGCAGGTTTTCTGGCGGCTCACGCGTAAAATGCTGGCTCAGGGCCTGGAACATCTCGCTGCAGACGAATCGGAGGCCGTAGGGCATCTTATGCACCTGTTCTTCCAAAGACGAGAATAGCTGGTCGCAAATCTCCCGCAAGTCTCGCAAATGGTCTATGAAGAGACGTCGCGTCTCCGGATCGCGGATGGCAACTTCGCGGGGCACATCCAGGGGCCGGTGATCGGGTCTTCCTGTACGCAGTTCCTCATTGTTGATGGCCGATCTGTAGATTTGCATGGGGTCACTCTCCAGATCCAGTGCTGGGTCTTCAATGATGTTATCGCGAATCAAGGGTCCCAAGAGACCCCGAAGATACTTGCGATCCCGTGGGGACCGGGTGTAGTTGGCGAGCAGCTTGGTCCAAAAGTAGTGGCCCCGAGAATACTCTAGGGCACTTGCTGTGCTTTCAACCTCTTCTCGTATTGATCGGGCAATCAGCTTCAAGAGGTAGTACTCTTCTCGTCGCTTCTGGGCGTAACCAAAGAGGCTCATCATAAGAAGCTCAATGCGCCTGCTGTCCTTTTCGGCCGTCACCTGCACGCGGATGTGTTTGAACAGACGAGCGAGATAATGGGGCTGCGTCTGGAGGCTGAAAAACAGCTGCTGGTAAGAATCCAGCTTCTTTCTGGAGCTCTTGTTGAGCGCCTTGAGGTCAAACTGGTTGGTCGACGCGATAGTAGAGTTGGCCAGTAGACCCATCGAGGTTCCGCCAAAGGTGTGCTGGTGTTTCACGACTTCATCGAGAGTAATCTTGTTTTTGACCAGGAGAGCAATCTTGATATCCAGCTGGTCGATGTATTGCTCCAACATTTCATTCCGGCGCACGTGCTGGACCACCGTCTTTCGCATCCGCTCAAATTCGACTTCTTCGTTGAAGTCAAAATCACTGTCATTGAGAAGGTGCACAAAGTTCTTGACAGCGCTGACCGGTGGGTTTTTACCCGTGGTAAGGCTCTTGTACGCCTCACCCTGCACTTTGGCACGTACAAAGCTCTGAATCTTGATAACCTTTTTCATGTTCTCCTCGTAAAATCGCATCTTCTCTTCGAATCGAAGCCGAATGAGGAAAGCCTTGGCAGCCGCTTGGAAAATGACAATGGAGTCTTCTTCTTCGAGGAGCTCTGTAAGTAGGTCGTCGATTCTTGCACGCTCCATCATGGCCTTGAGGATGGCTTGGAACTCGGCGGTCTCTGCATCGTGGGATGACAACTCATCTAACAAGGCATAGTATTGCTGTCGGGACAGGAAGCCTCGAATATGCCCCTGCAGGTCGACAATTACAGGCTCTTCAATATCAAGCTGGTCTTGGATTGCCAAAATCCTGCGCCTCTCAAACATGGCCCTAATATGTGCTTGGAGTTCAATAATGGCAGGCTCATTTTCTTTCAAGCCATCAAGACGGGTTGAAATTTCTCTCCTCACGGCGGCAGCTCGCATTGCAGCCTGAAGTTGTCCAATCGCGGGCACATGTTCAGCCAGCTCGGCCTTGAGAACCTCCTGCTCATCTCGGGCGGCGCGGCCGCGGATCGCACTTTGCAGTGAGGTCCATACATCTGTGAAAGAGTGGAGATCATTTTGTTGCTGTTCAATTCTGGCCCGAACCAATGTAGCCCGGACGGCGGCTTGGAGACTGGCAACCATTGGGGTATGTTCCTCGAGTTGGCGTAGGTCTTTGCTGATTTTGTACCGCGTCAACATTCCTCTGGCGAGTGCCTGAAGGTTCTGCACTTCCTTGGTGGCCTTCTTTGTCTCTTGCTGCTGTACGTTTTGAGATTTGCGTAGCAGGAAACCCTTGGACATGGCTTGGATTGCCCTAATCGGGCCGTCACAACGAGACAGGGTAGACTTGAGGCCTTGTATCTCGTTGCGTGCTTTCTGTGCTCGAAGCATGCTCTGGAAAGCCAAAATAGCAGGCTCCGCAGCCTTCCTGGCTTGGTCGCTCTTCTTGAGTCCTTTGCGTACAAGGTATCCGCGGACAAGGCTCTGGACGAGGATAGCTGATTGTCTCATCTGCAGTCGATAGTTCATGATCTGGCGGGTGAAGTTGCCCCGTATTCTTGCTTGCAGGTCAATCAGCCACTCCTCCTCATCCCAGAATCCTTGCATCATCTCTCCAAGCTTCAATCGCAGCAGCGCGCCACGAAGTTGGGCCTGAAAGTCGATAATCACGTCTTCGTTCTCTGCCAATTCACGTTCAATCCTCTCTTCTTCGGTTTCTTCAGGTTCCGGCTCCGGCTCCGGCTCGGGAACACCAAAATCAGCCCCCATGTTGCCGAAGCTGGGCATGTTAACCCCAAGCATGTCCAGTCCCTTTTGCATCGCCTCCAGCTCATGGTGCTCGAATTCCAGCTGGCCGATGAGGTTACCGATGCGGAAATCAACAATCCCTTTGCGAAAGAGAAGCCAACTCAGGGCATGGATACAATAGATGACTTTGGGGATATTCTTCTTCTCGTAGAGATCTATAAGCTCAAAACGAAAGAGGTCAGGTAGCTCCACTTCGTCCAGATATCGAAAGAAAATGGCAATGTTGTCGGAATGTCGGAACTGCAGCTTTGGGTTTCTGAATATCCGATACCGTCTCTCAGGGTTGAGAAACTCTACCACTTCTGCCAGCGTAACGCCGTCTCTCAACGCCTCCTCCAACTCAACAATGGGTGGAAGAGTCTGCTGGATGACATCTTCAATCCACTCCTTGGCTTCACCAATGTGGCAAAGGTATTCGTACGCCTGGAGGAACCTGCGTTGCTTGTCCATCCAATTGCGCCCTTCCCACCCATAGTTGGTCTTGGAGCGGCCCGCTGTCTTATCGGCACGCTGCAGCCTGCGTCGGCCTCGGAGACCAGCTACTTCCTGGTCAGGCGAGGTGATGTTGAAGTCTTTCGCATCCTCGGACTTTGCAAGCTGAGAGAGCGTACGAAGCTGGCTTGTAGAAGATCGACCCAGCCGCTCAAGATCAGGGCGAGCTATATGAGCACTGTGGGAGTGAGAATGGCCGTGGTGCGTCGGGGCCATGACTGCATCTTCCGGGATCGCAGGCTCGCCTCGAGACATGAACATGGAGTTTGGCCGTGCCGGTAGAGGTCGCGACGAAGGCGCTGTGGGAGAGGTGACGCCATCGTTTTGGGACAGTGACAATCGGCCAATGTCTATGCTCTGGCCTCTCTCGCGCGGCTTGGAAACGTGAGGTGGTGCCGCGGGGGGGGCTTCGACGGAAGAAGTTGTTGGGGTTCGCGGCAGCGGGCGAAGAGATTGCCGGACTGAGCCATATATGTTGTCCTGGCCTCTGCCAGAACTGGCGCTGCTCGTCTCGCCCGTCTCGAAAAATCGTGCTCTGGATATGACATCGCTCTGGCCGCGCTTGTGGCCAACTGATCCATAAATACTACTTGCAGACGTAGAATGGCTATTGGCGCTGTGGTCCGAGGAGTACGAGTAGCCGGAAGAGGCAGATGACGTTGTTGAGTTATTGCGATTGATGCTTGAGTTGGCGGCAGACAGATCGATGGCGTGGGACTCTCGCCGCGGACTATTTCGATACGACATGTTGCTGGATGCTGTCTCGCCCAGTCGGGGCTGAGGTTCGGGTAAGCGCCTATATCGCGTCTATGCTTGTGCTGTGCTTGGGGGTATTAGAAAACTCTGTGCAGCGCTATCAAGACATCCTTCCTGCGATGGCCGGAGGTTCAGATGAGAGGAATGCGAGCAACGGGCGCGAGGTAAGAAAGCATAAACTTTTAAGACATGCGCGTGGGGAGGCCTGATGTCAACAAAAGTAGAGCGAACAACAAAAGGAGCCGCTGGTGTGTGCGAGACCGGGTTGATTGCAGATGCGGCTCCAGCAATGCGAATGCCGTCACAGATGGATGTTTTCGTTTCTTGATTTTCCCGCCTGCAGTAATAATATTTACTCCAGCAGCTACAGTACCTGGAAGCGCCGGCAGAGCAGGGGATAACCACAGCGCGGGGTCCCTGTGCATTAAAGCTGCATTACCGTTGGGCAGCGAATGTAAACAAACACCGGGACAACTGCCTAGCAACGCCGGTTTTCGGGCCGTGCCATTGGCTAGAATTGTCGTGTGTCTCCAGTTTTTCCAGCTCGGGGCTGTCGAGGCCGCTGTAAGCCATGCCTGCTTGCTTGCTTGCATTATGTACATGCTTCTGCAGGCAAGTCACGAGGAAAATCTATCTAAAACTATGGAGTAGGGATCGGATATGGCGATTTTAATGACGGAGTCCAAGCGTCTTTCTTTGATGATGGAATAGGGGTGGGGAAGATGATTTTCTCGGTTGGTGCTCCTGAATTCTGGACAGGGTTGGACGAGGGCAAATATAACTACACACTGCTGCATATACTCAAATACCTTGCTACAAAGGAAAGAAAGGAAAAGGAAAAAGGAAAAAAAAAGAAAGAAAATAAGTAGAAAGTGTATCAGAATAGTCTACAAATGGGGAGACAGGATGATACGGCTTTCCATCTAGAAGCATCGCAAAATTTATGCAATGCATACGAGTATGCTTAATGGCAAATAGGCAGTCAATCACGACGACTTCAACTCTAAAACTAGTGGCGTCATGATCTCACCAAACTTACGGTGTGTTTCATGTGTTATTGGTCAACATGACACCGACCAGGTGTCGCTCAGAAAGTTCCAGATGACACTGAATCCAGTCCGAGCCGGTGCCACTTTTCCCAAGAGCGCGCCAAGACCCATATCAGCTGCTTCTACCTGTACAAGTATACGAGTACTGTAAACAACTACCGAAAATTATCCATCAGTAAGAATGGATTCTTCGTCCCCACGAGTAAAGAGTTGGTTCTATTACTACCTAGTATGTAATTCAGTCCTTAATGCATAGAACCCCAAGTTTCTGAGGTTGGGAACCGAGAGCTAGCAGTAAAGTATAAATCCCCTGCAGCTCTAGGGTAGTTTTGGCTAACGGCAAAGCCTAATAACCGTGTGCATGTAAAATTGGGGCGGTACCAAGTATGAGGTCACCGTCGCCGCTAGCAGCAAAGCTGGCGACCTCTCGTCAAACTTCTAGACGCGGCTCAACCTCTGCACAGCAATTGAATTGACGACGCCGCGTCTTTGTTCGCATCTCACGAATAGGCAGCTCGAATTGCTTCAATCAACAGAGTAGGCAGGAACTCAGATTCATTTCGCCGGAGCCACGTCTGTGCCCATCATGTCGGCGAAGCAACAGAGGCCTTCCGTCCTGGTACGTTAGACACCCATAGTTGGGAAGCGCCGAATTGATGCAGCGAATCGCCAAAAACTAACTTTTGCTAAACCAGGTAACGGATGCAAGAGAACGGGCTGACCAGCGACGATCGCCTCGGCGCCCAGGCACATCGTCCGGTGCCCCTGGGCGGACGCCGATGCGATTCATGACTGTTGACAACATCCTCCAGCACGACTCCCAGATTCCATCGGGCCAGCCTCGAGGACCACCGATACCAACACAAAGGCCACATACTTCCGGAGGTCTCCCTTCAAGCAGCCGACGGATCACTGCTGGAGGCCTGCCAAACATCCCATCTCGCACCGGCAAACCGATGCCCTCACGAACCACCAAAATCAGTGAAAAGCTCGTCCTCCTGCCCGTCACCGACGAAAGGGACGAAGGAGACGAGGAATTTGAGGGAGAGGCAGCGATGAACTTGAGCTTACAGGACGAGGCAGGCCGGCCGTTGAGAGACGAGGAGCTGGATGTGCTTCGGAAAAGGGGCGGTATCCGCGGCAAAAGTTATGCAGAACGGCTGCCCAAAATGCAGAGGACGGATAAAGTCAGTCGATTGACGGCATACTGCACTGCGCAAGCGTTTAAAACGAAAGATACGGCGGAATTTTTGAGGAAGAAGCACGAGGCCAAGACCAAGCTCTACGACGATTGTCTTTATGCCATATATGCCCTTCCGCTGATGAACGGGATTGAAGGCTATAGAGTGCGCAGCCGGCCGATACTGAAGACGCCTGGTACAGGAAAAACCGTGCTGGACTTGGAGATTGAACGTAGCGAACAACGAGATCACCACGAGGGCTACTTTGACCAAGACGCGTATGTTTCTGCTACCGAAGACTCTGGCAACAGCCAAAGACGGCCTTCTGCGTTTGCCGACCCTTCTTCGCCGCCCGATGATAGCCTTTTGTCACCGCAAGGCTCATATCCTCCCGTCGACGACGGCATCGCCTCCCAGATGAATCGCCTTGCGCCGGATGCAAAGAACTTTGCAGAGATGTTTGTCTTCTCGTACGGAGTGGTTGTGTTTTGGAACTTTACGGAGCACCAAGAAAAGGACATTCTGGCGGATCTTACCTTTGCCGATGCCGAAGACGGCGTCAACTTGCTTTCAAGACCTTTGGACCAGGGCGATTACGAGACTGAAGAATTCCATTTTGAATACAGTCCCGATGTGCAGCGGCCGCGAATATTCAACGACATGATCACGCTGCTGCCCCGATCCGACCATATGATCAAGTTGACCATCAGCCATGCAATTGCGCAGAGTACCAAGCTGTGCTTTTTCGAGGAGAGGATGAGCGAGACGATGCTTGATGCGCAGCATGTTCCCAAGGAACTAGCTTTGACAGGAGAGCTAGGTATGACTAGGACTGAAATTGTCAAGATTATGGGTCGACTCTTCAAGAGTCGCGTGGATATCAACCTTTGTATGTGTATTTCCTTGCTTCCTCACCCTTCGCCCCATATGCCTTGTGAAGAAACTCTGGCTAACATGCCCGAACCAGCATCAAATATTCTCGATGTGCCTAATTTCTTCTGGGACTCTGAGCCTACGCTACATCCATTGTACGAAGCTATCCGCGAGTACCTGGAGATAGACTTGCGTATTAAAGTGCTTAATGAGCGTTGCCGTGTATTCCTGGATCTCGCAGAGATTCTCTCCGACTCAGACGCCGATGCCAAGATGAGTTATATCACATGGATCATCATAGCTCTCATCGTCCTGAGCATTCTCGTCACGGTTACTGAGGTGGGCCTTCGCTTTGGCATGCTCGAGAAGAGCAAACGCAGCGATGACAATAGCGGGAACAACGGCACCAACTGCGCCGGGACTGACGTGACGTGGAGCACCAACGGCAACCCTACCATGCTGTCGATGCCGGTTGATGGGACGAAACAGGCAGCCTTGGCATCGAGCGATCTAGAGATATTGGCCCACGCTCTAGGCTTGGAGGGCCAGGCCACAGTTGAGGATGTCAGGCGCGGCATTTGGCATCTGAGACATGGCGGCGTCGCGGGATCGCGGTATGACGGCCAGATGGAAGACGTGGATTGATTTGATTGCACATATTTTGGTGAAAAGCAATGATTTGTCTGATTGTTTGGGCTACCGGGCTTTGTTCGTTCTGGCGCTGCGTTTTACTACGTACTGATTTCCATGAACAGGTAATTTTTTTTTTATTCCTTGGGCTGTCTGTGAAATGCAGCCTAGATTTGTTGGTAGCGATGGATGACATTCACGGCGTTGGCCTGGAGGTGCCGCAGCGTTTGATAGCTTATGTTGATTAATACACGTACACACACTTTTATAACATGCAAAACCAATGACGGCCCTCATAGGAGTACATATCATGTTACAGGACACAACGATAGCTCATCTAAACAATATATCCAGCTTACACTGCATCTGATAACCACAACTGGTGCAAATCTTTATGTGTACAGTAGTACAGCATCACTAGCAATCAGCCCTACCAAATTCTCTTCTTCTCCCCCCCATCGCACCAAATAATCCCCGTCCCTCCGACCCCTTATCAGCACCACTTACGCAAGCGCCCCTCCCCATCCCAATATTTCCCTCCGCTTCCATGAAGACTTTCCGTGTCATACACAAACAGAAAAAAAAAAAAAAAAAGGAAGGGGAGCGAACAAACTACGCTAGCAAAGTGGACATACATAAAACAACCCCCGTTCAATAGCTCGGCCTCTAGCAGCCGCACTCATGCAGGTGCAAATTGCATTTTGTAGAATGTGGCGTTTCCCGTCTGCCGATTCCCGGGTTTGGGTCGTCTCCAACGTTTTTATTGCTTGTTCACGATTTTGTCTTGCATCACGGGTTTCGTCATGCTTGACAACGCGCAAACATTCGTTGACGATGTCATTGAGTATATCAAGTGAAGCGCGGAAGCTTCACCAGGCGCGCTAGGACTGATATAATCACGTATCCAAGGGCTGGCGTCTTTTGATTCTTTCAGGTTTCGTCTATTTCATATGTGTACTGTATAAAAATATAGAATCGCGTGATGGTGCTGTTACAAGAAAAAGAGGCAGAAAGAAGAAAAAAAAGGAAGAAAAAAAAAAGAACCAATATTAAGCATGAAAAAAACAACCATGCCTCAAGCTATCCTAAAGACAGTTTTTCTTGTCACACAACACCCGCTGATACACAAATTCTTGTTGCGTTGCCAGTTTCACATCTCCCTAACGCCATGTCCCGTCTGATCGTGACAACTTTCGCAACCCACCAAAATATCTTCCTGTAGCTGCTAATTCGACAGCGAATAGACAAAATGTGTGTATATTAAAACATGGCGCCCATTCAGGCGTCAGAAGCAGCTCCATCTCGCGGCAAGGCAATGAGTCGGGGCGAGTTTTTCGACCCCACCAATACTTGATCTGCCGTTTTTCGAATATCCATCTTCGTAGTATATCATCAGGTAAAGAAAAAAAAGGGGGGATATATCAAAATGCTAAAGAGTTGTGTAGCCAAATGGTCGCTACCTCTGCTCGGTGGGCTTGAAGGCTGCCTCCTGCTGCTTCTTCCGGTTTTTGTTGTCCAGCTCAGCCTTGCTGTAGATGGCGGCACCCACCATTGTGACAGCCATGCCCGCGCCGTTGAGGAAATCAACGGTGACGTTGAACAGGAAAATGCCGATCATGACAGTCAAGCACTGCTTGAGGTTACCGCAGACAGTCATGGTCAGAGCACCGGCCAACTTGTTGGTATTGAAGGACGAAATGTTGAGAAGCAATGCCAGGAAACCGTTGCCAGCCAGAGAAGCAGTTGCAGGAACGATAGAAATATCACCGGTCTTGATGAGTTCACGGAAGCCAGCTACCTCACCAGTAGCCGTGGCGCAGGCCAGAGCCTGAAGAGCAGCAAGGGGAGACATGCGCATAAGGAACTCGACGGGGGGGAGAGCCAATGAACCGGTCATGAATCGGTTGGTGACGACCGTCTGGAACACCTGGTTAGCCTTTCTCTTCTGGTGAAACTTGGGGTTCATGTTCAAAACGTACCTTGAGAGCGGCGAGGATGACACCCAAAATAGTCAGGAGGAAGCCGGCATCCGAGAAGCTCATCTCACCGGCAGTGGTCATAGTAGCACCAATGATTAAAGGAACGAGAGAGAGATAAGTCATTGTGCTGTACGTTCGGCCGTACCACACGCGGAAGATGATGATGGTAAAGATGGGGCAAAGCATGCGCATCGTCTGGTAGAAAGGCACGGAAACCATGGCGAGGGAAAGGTTCGAGACGGCAATGTTGGCAGTGAATAGGGCGCTGAATGCGACGAGGGCAAGGTTCTCGCGACGACCGAGGCGTGATAGCTTGAAGTAACCCATCTGCAGCATGGCGTATGTTCCAAGACTGGCGAACAGAGTGTGAAGGAATGTCAACAGCCAAGGGAAGTGAAACTAGATTTGCGGAATCAATATTAGTACCTATCAATGGGATGAGGTAGATCGAGATGCTCCAGGCGAGAGCCATGGACGTACCACGCCGAGAACCAGCTTATTGTAAAGCGTCAGGACAAGAGAGAAGAAGAAGTAGGTTCCCAGCCAGGTGAACTTGACGGCGCTGGGTATTGAGTATTCATGGTCGATGTTTTGGTCTTTGGATTCGCTCTGGATCTTTCCGGACTCAAGATCATGCTTGAGATCCTGCTCATCAGGAGACAGGAGGGCGACGTCTTGAGAGCGTCTAGACATGGTGGGCGAGTTGTATGTCGATGCAATCGCGTGTACGAAGTTGCGATTTGGAGATTACGTATTGCGCTCAAGCAGCTTAAAGTAGCCCTGCCAGCATAATTCGGAAATGCTGAAACGGGGGAGAAGTCGGTAGTGGATTGCCGGCCGGATCTGGAAGGATGACGGAGCGGGAAAGGAAGAGATGAATACGAAGGTGTCGCGTGCGGAGCGCTCGTATACGGGCCAATTCGTAGGGCAGAAGATGTAAGAAGGTAAGAAAGCGAGGCGAACCGGCTGCCAGACGACGACTTGAAGTCTCCAAGACAGGACAAAAAAGCGTAGGCGGGGCAGAAGAGCGAGCGACAACCTGACGAAGCAAAAAACGGAGCGGACAAGCTCCTTCAACGGGCGCCTTTTTCTTTGGCTGTCTCTCCTGAGAAGATGGGAGGTGGAGGAGGGGAGCAGGTAGGCCTGTGTAGGTACGAACGAGTATGGGGAGGAAAAGTGGCGTGGGCTGTGAGATTGAAGGTTCAGGCTGGAGGCGTTGCTTGCACTAGTCGCTGCGCGGAAAGATTGGAAAATAGGAGCGGAGAGTTAGCACTGGGTCGACTGGAGCCGGCTAGCGGGCTTGCGAAGCGCTAGAGACGCCTGGACGGAGCAGCTGGGGGCGCTGGGGCTGCTTGCGTCTGGGGGTGCGGCGAGGAGAGTCGCACTGTGCGAGGCCTGAGCGAGAGAGTCCACAGGTGGTGAAATTGCACCTCAGAGTTTGGGCTTGTGCAGCAGGAAGTGAGACTTCCATGTTACTTGGCGGGAGGCTGAGCGTTAATAACAGGTACGGGTACAGAGTATGGGCACAAAGTATAGGTACCAGTACTCGTACAGGTATAGTCCAGTACTGTTCTCCGTACAGCTCAATGGATATTTCGGCATCATGGATCAATCCCATCACTTCAAGCAACGGGGGACATTAAAGCCGGGCGGGCATTCACAGGACATAATTAGGGGGCACCTTGGCATTGCTGATTGGCGAAGATGGGGCATGTTCGGGCCTTGGCACACTGCACTGGAGATGATTGATTTCCTGGCTGCTGCTGGTACAGGTACCGAGGACGGCCATACAGTGGACTGCAGCGAATGGCGAGCCGCGGCAGAGGGAGCTGAGCCTGGAGGACAGGGGGCCCTGCCTTGGAAGTCAGCGCTGGCGGCTTGGCACAGGGCTGACTAAAGCGGACGGACGGGCAGTTTTTGGTTTGCGTGAGGCCGGACGGAGTGTACTTGTACTTGTAGTGTTGATGTACTCGTAATTTGCTGGTGCCGGTGCCGTGCCTGAATCAGAGCTTACCTGTGCGAGGACAAATATACAACGGCGAGCGAACAGGTGCTAACATGAATACGAGAGAAAGCAAGAGCCCAGATAGGCAATAATATACCGGTATACGGAAGTAGAAGATGAGCATAGGCGCATTGATCATATAATCGTAATGCTGCACGGCCATTACCACTCCGTATAGCCCAAGGTCCATATTGGCCAGCAACGGGGGGTAGGTTAGTACGTAGTAGGTTTCAGATCGTCAACGAGTGATTTGAGGTCAAGCGCAGACAGCACGAGGTTTTATCCCGATGCATCGACGGCACTCGCTGCTAGCATGAAAGTATATGTATGTAAGCCCACCGTCAATCACAGAGTAGCCGGCACCGTCAAAAGCGTCACAACAAAGACAGGCAAGGCGCGAAACAGCCACCAGATCGTCGAATGGAGTTGCTGTACTCGTACTGAATGTACCTCTTAAGATTTCTCCAAGACGTGGCCCCGGCCCTCCGTAATGCGTGCTAGACTCCGTGTTATTTCTGGTCTGCGCACGGCTTCGTTTATCTGACGATGCCTTCAGCTCGTTCCGGAACACATACGTCATGCCAAGTATATCCAATTGAAGCATTTCAGACAACCTACAAGGTACTGTTAAAGCGCCGTACTGTCGGGCAAGAGTCCAAGGCGAAAGACTTGACTGAAAGATGCATACAAACACGCCAATTGAAAGAGGTTTGCGTACATTTGCATCCTCGGTACAACAATCTCCGAAACAGCCGACGTCGCGGGCCGTAGACACAGCCAACCTCCGATAGAGAGAAAGAGTCAAACATTCAGCGCCCAAGAATAAAAAAAAAGATGCAAGAATCGTTCCAATATTCTGTAAATAGGACATGCAAGAGGGATCGTCGGATCTACACAAACGAGAATCTGCCGGATTGGACCATCTCCCGAAGCCCTCTTGCGGTGATTGGCGTCTGCTAGTCAGGAGGTTAGTCTCCCTGCAAGTGCTAGGCTTGCTAGGTAAGTTTGGCAGTATGAACTCTCATAAACTCAATACCAATGCCGGCTTGGCTAGCAGTACCTGTGGATTTGGACCTATAACTAGTAATATTGGGGGTCATTGCATCAGGTTGGGCATTTTGACAGCTGATTGCGTACGCAGGGGTAGCACTTGTATTACTCGGCAGTCTACGGAGCATACGGTACTCGACTATCTGCAACGGCATGGGTATCAGGTCTTGGTGCTCGGACAAGGAAGCCAGAATGACGCGATTGCCGATGATCCTGAGAGCATGTGATTCTAGCATGCTCAGTACTATTTTCCACGGATTTTATCAAATATCATGACAATCACAAAAGATCATGTCGAAAAGATAAGGAGCAGCCGCTTCTTGATGATGAGGCGTACATAGACAATACGATCGCTTCCACATGGAAACACCTATAATACCCACGATTGAGACGACTTAATATCACAGATGATATCAAGTATATAGACCGTATTGGCAATGAATAAGATGGTATTGTATTGGCCGACACTTTCAAAGTATCTCACCAACACCACCAACATTTTAGATACTCAATTTCCTTTCTGCCCTCTGGTTTTAGCCAGCCAGCCATCTTGCTTAGGATATCAACTACACTACTGAATATAGCCCAGATCTCGATATGCTCTCTCTAGAATCTGTCGAACGCAGTCGTTCTTTCGCTCAGTGTATTCATCCATTGACTCGTTAGCTTTACGAGATGCCGCCGATGCCTCTCTCTTCATCGTGGCGTACAGCTCCCTGTCAGCCGGTGTCTTTGACAGCCAGTCTCGAAAGATCTTGTGCCGCGCGGCCTCGGAACAGTCCTGCCCCCAGACGTGTAGGTTCGCTGAAGGCTCATACCCGCAAAAGAACCGATGTTGATGCCATCCCGGCTCGCGTAAGAGGAAGTGGAACCCTGCCGCCTCAAGCTGCGGCACGTACGCGGCCTCGTCAAGCACGTCCTCAACTATGAGGTCCATGTCGATGATGGGCTTGGCTGGCAGGCCCGGCACGCTGGTCGAGCCGACGTGCTCTAGCGAGACGGCTGTTGGGCCTAGAGCGGAGATGATACGGGTTTTGAGGAGCTCGAAAGTCTTGGGCCAGGACGGATCTGGTTCGACGATTTCAATTGGATTCTTGACTCGACGGTGGGCGACTCTTTGCACCCCTTCCGGGTCGTAAGGGACCTTGTTGAGGATGTCTTCGACTGAGGGAGCCATGTTGAGTCTTGACACTACGAGAACAGCGAGACGAGTTGGTATCACCTGTATAAGTGTTTAGAGATGACAATCTGAATTTGTTAACTAACCTTACCGCAACCTTGACTAAAGGTACACTGGACTGTGAGGGGTTGTGTCCTGTTGAAAGATGAAGAGCGCTGTGTTGCAACTTTGACTAACATCTGAAAAGAGGGGTTTACATAAGATCTACTAGGTTAGACCCCAGTTTGGCCGTTATGCTGAGAGCGCCTGTCTTCTCAGCAAAATAGAATACCTACATGATTGCCACCAACATTAACACTATAACCACATTTTATGGTTGAGTATTCTAGTCAAGTATAATTTTTTTTTTAATTTTGCTGTCTTTTAAATATTTACCTTTGAACTATAAGCTCGACTCCCGGTGACTCAGTTCCGTGGTCGTTAACCACACACTACTAAGGTACATAAAAGTGTACAACATCAACCATTTATAGTAACGGCTAGATTTCTTTGAGAAGCACCGTCGATTCCTGACCACAAAACTCATGTCCAAAAAGATTTGTTACCGAAATTCCCGAAAACAAAGGGGCAACGAATCATGAAAACGAAATAAAAGTGCACTACCCTAATACTAGTGTCCCAAGCATCCTTGAAATAGGAAAACCCGCGTGAAGATCAAAGCTCGGGATCCATCACCACAGCAAACGTTGAAACTGCAAACAAATCGCCAGTGGACCCGTGGGAACCTGCATCATGAGCGAGTTCCCTAGCAAACTACATGTACACAGTATATGCATAGGTAGAACACGCTTGTCTTTCGCATTTTGATACCCTCAAATATGGTTCCTATAGAGAGAAAAGAAGAAAAAAAAGGATCGACCAGCGACGATCACTTTATCATCGCACTCGCCGAATCTAAGACTCCACCAAGTCCATCTTTCAAGGCTGTCGCCATCATCTCGCGTCTTTGCTCTTCTTCATTTCTCTCAAAATTCAAGCATCCATGTGTCTGTGACCTTCCCATTATACCTCTGTCTCACAAGTCTCATTGTGCTTTGATCCTTCCACTCTTTTTTGGTCTTTCTGTTATACATGTGTTTTGCACCACGCTCAAATCCCCTGGCATTTTATTATTTGTCCTAAACCATTTCCTATCTCCCCCCCCTTTTTTCTTCCTACATATTCTCTTTATCTATTTAAACTCTCTTGTCGCGTTGCCCCTTGGCCGACATTGCCGCCAACCAGCATGATTTTTACATCTGGCAGGCGGCCGAGTTTATTCTTTGTCGCGTTAGTTGCTTTGTTCCTTGCTATAGCTTATTGCTATCATTCGTATACCGATGCTGTATGTTTTAATGTCTTCCCGTTTTGGCCCTTGTGTTCTCTCCCTGCCTCTTGTGTGACCGCTTGGAGCTGACATCAACTACCACCAGGAGGGACTCATTGCTATGATACCATATGGCTCCAGATTCCCAACCTCTACATTATCAACATCCCTGATATCATCTTCTTCACACTCTTCTAAATCTCAGGACTCAGACTCTGCCTCAAAACCAAAGGCATCCAGGCTACACTATCTGATTCCAGCCAGTCAACCGAATCTGCATTTCTGCTACAACCTTGTTTCCTCAGCAGTCAATCGTTATCCGGTCCCTACACTGCTTGGCTGGCATGGCGTTGGCGAATTCGATGCAGCGGAGACTCATCTGGCAAAGCTGAGGTCCATGCAGCAATACTTTACCTCGCTTTCACCTGAAGAAGACGATGATTTGGCCATCATCGTCGACGGCTATGACATCCTCATCCAATTACCTCCCGAGATCATGGTCGAGCGATACTTTCAGATTGCCGAGCGTGCTGATGCCCATTTAGCAAAACGTTTCGGTGTCAGCGTCCGCGAGCTTCACAAACGCGGTCTTCGCCAGACAATCTTCTTGGGACCCGACAAACTCTGCTGGCCTACCGACCCTCTGGCGTCACGTTGTTGGGCTGCTCCTGAATCACACATTCCGCCATCCGCCTGGGGGCTAAACAAGGGGGGTTGGGATATGTTCCATTCCGATCCTCGATGGCTGAATTCAGGGACTATTATGGGGCCAGTTGGGGACCTGAGGAGATACATCACTGCCACAATGGACGAGATTACGGCAACTCATGATCTCGTGTACGAGTTCAGAGAATCGGATCAGTACTATCTCTCCAATGTCTGGGGCAGGCAGGAATATTGGCGCTCGAGGATGATGAAGGGCAAACCCCCTGCTGGCCCACCGGACAGGATCATTCCGGTTAAAAGTAATCCTTTTCAAAAGACCGAGTATCACATTGCCATCGAGTACGAGTCTGCCTTGTTCCAGACCAAAGCTGGATATGAGCCTTATTTTGGATACCTGCAGTTCAATGAATCCGGCTTGACGGCCAAACTTGCCGCTGATATCCTCCAGGAAGGGCCTGAATTTGAGCCTTCCCAGATCAAGATGCCTGAGAATGTTGCAGCTTCGCTGAGCAAACTGTATGATGCAATCCCAGAGGCTCACCCAGGGTCTACATCAGCAGACTGGCTTAGCACCGTTCATCTAGGTGTCAACTTCATCACTCATCATATCTATGGCCTGTGGCACTGTACAGGGCCCAAAGAGTTTGTCGAGCTTGAGTATCCCACTCTGTGGTTCTACCCCTTTGTCGAATCCCTGCTCAGAGCGGCCGTTAAGGCTTCTCAAGCCGGCGAGCCTCTGACGGAGAAACTCATCGATGGTCGAAGATGGGTTCCAAAGAACTACTATCCAGCTGCCCACGCTTTGAATGATGAATTTGGCGGGGCGTGGACAGACTTGAATAATGAATTTGTTCCTTGGCGAGATCTCTGCCAGCCTCACAATGAGCTGCTTTTCCAAGGGGAAGAAAAAGGGCTTGGGTCACATCAGGGTGGGCCTTAAGGGCGGCCCAAGGGTTGAATACGGGAGAATAGGGATACAAGGCATGATTCGGTGTCTTTTGGTGGAGCTTGGCTAGAAGGTTGGTTACTTATTATCGACTGCTTGACTGGTTTTCTAGTGTATGGTGTTTTTGTTGGCATTGGAGTTCCATCGTTTCATCGAAGAGAATTTCTGTACATTGTAGGATACGTATTGGTGAAAATATGCAACTTTGGGATGGGACATTGTCTGGGTTCAATAAGAGAGGTCATGGTACTTTACGGTCCTCCCGAGGCAGTGTTCAATAAGGGTGAAGAGACTTTTGTCGTTGTAAGTAGGTTTTCAGGAGAATTATTAAGGGACGACGGCCGCTTACCCCACCACACCAACCCCTGCTTTTACTCCAATCGCGGCACAACCTGCAAAGCTGTCATCCATTGCGAGCAGCAAGAGATTAAAAAGAAAGGAATATTGAATGCAAAAAACTACAAAAAAACATACAACAGCCGGTGTTCGCTGATGGTCACCCACTCAACTACTAATCTGCCGGTTAGAGGCTTGTCTATGGGGGAGCAGACGGGACCCCGAATTCTCCTCTACCTATGGTCGTATGTACTATATTGGACACTAGTATGTAATTATACGTATACTTAGCGCACACATAATAAGAAAGTTTGCAAAAGACTGACAGTCTTTGTTGTATGGTATATAAAATGGGAGGGAAAGAAAGAGAAGTCTGGCTGAGCTAGACGTAAAAAAGACTATGCTGGGAAGGTGTGTTTAGCAACTCTGCTCTATAGACTGTCGGGTACGGTATGCTGCCAGCTGAGCAAGCTGAGGTCGAGATCGAATTGAGAAAGGGCTTGTCCACAGCTAGTTCTGGGCTTGGAACGGAAGAATGATCTTGATGAGGTGGTATTGCGTATATATGAATATATATTATATAAAAAGTCGGATAATCCATCTTGTTTATATAGATCTATATTATGTGGTCGGGCTGATTTAAAGCTTCCATGTGAGTAATCTACTTTTACGCCTCAATTCTTCAGCAGGGAGTAGTCAGAAGCCAATTATCAATGAAAATGAATTACCTAGGTACTGAACACAGACAGAGTTTCTATAGCAGTAACCGTCCTTGTGCATACTAACTACGGTCGATACGAATTTTGCCGATGGAACATTGAGCACAGGCAGGGTTTCAATAACAGTAAGCCCTGCGTGTTCTAAATACGATCAATACGGACTTCGCGCACGTGGCACCGAGTTTTCAGACGGGGCGCAACAATGAGCAGTCATGGAAACCGTATACGACAACTACTCCGTACTATGCTGCGGCGACCCATCGTACATATTGCTAACATCACTAGACTCATTAACCCATGAAATCGCATATGGAAAAACAAACTTCCTGAACTGCCTGGTCTGGAATTTAAGCTGGCTTATAGTTTAACCTATCTAAGCGCCGAGATAGATTCAGCATACATCTGAAGGTGAGATTCCGGTTCAGTATACATCTGCTCATGAGATTGTCAAATGAATTGTAGCTGTATCTGGGGTATCTCATCATCCAGTATTCTACTCCCCATGTGACTGAACAGCGATAAGGATATGAATACGCAGCAACACTATTCAAATTTTGTCGTTCCTCCTCAAATCCCCCTTAGACACACAATACTAAGTGTGTAGATGTTTAATGATGCGTAATCATGTTTGCACAGCTGCTTAACGCATCATAGAGACTTCAGAATATCATTCGGCCAGGCCATCCAGTCTTGCCAGTATGTACCTAGATATTTACTAGCGGATTCTATCATGAATCGACCAGTATCGCCAAACACCCAAAACCCACGGTCGCGATATAGGAGCACGGCCCAATGGGCTAGAACTACCAGTGCCTCTGGCCTTCGCTGCTTAAGCATCTGTAGATAGTCGAAAGAGACGAGTACTGGCCATGCCATTGTGATATGTGGATGGAGCTCGTCCGGGAGACCACGCCGCCGCCCAATGACCCACTGGAGCGACTTGACGGCCTCACAGCATGCATTGAATGCGATGGGCCCGAGGCTTTCGATGGACGCTGCAAGATGGGCCAGGAGCCCGTCGCACTCAACGCAAGAGACGGTTAGCTGAGGGTCCAATTGGTCGAGCGCGCTTATCGGGTCGATGATATGTTTCATCTCGGTCTCGTTAATGATGTGCCAAGACTGTCGAGTAACGGTGCGTATTCCGCGATGAAGGGCAACGAATTGGATAAGCTTGTCCAGGAATTCGGTGAAATCTCTCTGGTAGATAGTTGTGTCGAAGAGCGTGTGCAGGCCGAGGAGTGAGGAAAACAGGAACATGGCGGTACAATTTTCATCGGAAACCCTCGGTCGGACTGCGTTGAAGTGGCCGAGAGCTCGCGTCTGGAGCTGTGCCGCCTGGTGGAGGTATTGGTTCTTCTCTGCCCGATCAAACGCCTGGGTGCTCAGATGAAGAGCAGCCATAGCGAGAAGCTCATCCATCAGAAACGGAGTCGTTATGGCGGATTTGAACATTAGCTTGGCGATCTCCGCTGCTTTCGTGGCATCAGGAAAAAGACCTGCGTCACCGGACTTGAGCAGGTTGCTCTCGAGGTGGTGTAGGAGGGCGAGATGGCCGAGGTTGTAGACATTTGGTAGTAAGCTTTCAATTCCGGATTCAACCCCGTCCGCAGGATAGGAACCGGCCGCCCCGATCGCGGCCACAAGATTTGCTGGGGAGGAACTGGGTGGTGTATCGGACGCAGTGGGGGTTTGCGACGAGTTCGTGAGCGGAATCATCCCAGCATCGTTGGCGCCTAACCGTTGGCTGTAGGAGCACTCGCGATCACAGGTAGAGCAATTGACGCAGATCGGTCGATGTTCGTCACATTTCATATGACGTCGTTTACATTGCTTGCAACCATTGCGCGATTTGCGGTGCGGCCGTCGGATTGTACTGCTGGGCGGGTTAGCATCTCGGGCTTGTTTGGAGACGCCAGCCATTGGAAAGGGAATCGATTCAAGCAGCAAATCAGTAAATGAATCCAGCAGAGCCGAGAGGATGGACTATGCGTATCGCGGAAATGAGCTAGCACAACTGGGGAAGAGCCTCCTTGCATGGGCTGAGCGCACTCAATGAGCCATATGGTGGTGTTGCGTACTCCGTATTCGTAGCTAGAATACGGGCCTTGCCCTGAGTGCCAGTGAGTTCTATACGGCTTCGAGTAGAGAATTCACGCGCTCGGAAGATTGAAAAGGCGGAAGATACTGTGTGGGCTAGTGCTGGAGAGAGATTCTGGGCGTATCGAAGCTCAAACGCATAGGGGTTAACTCGCTACAAACAATAATCAACTTGCGTCATTCACCTTTTGACGACCCATGGCTACTAGGTAGTTTGCTAGAAACTGGAATCGAGATACGGAGTATGGAGTACTAGCGTCCAAAATGTTGGGTGGCTTAGCCCGATACGTAATGAAGACATCTGACATTCTGAATACTAGTACGTAGTCCGTATAGGCATTGGCGACGTCGAAATACGCGTATTCGACGTATTGGCGTATTGGGTATTCTGAGGTGCCGCTTTTCTAGTTCCGTGACAGCTACTACTCCGTTATAGGGGGCAATAATCGGCTGCGGTTTTTCTATTGAGACCATGACTTGCCCCACAAACTTGAGTCAGACTCTTAGCAGTAACTCTAGATGTTGTCGTAATCTCTTTGGCTTTAGGCTCTGTATTTTCTCTGAAAGTTAGGATTGGTGACCAGGCCGGGTCGGACTGGCTTGGTGCTATTCATCCTCATCAAAGTCGTGTGAAGCATTTAAAGCGTCGTATAGAGGTACATTGGCCTATAAATGCTTCATATTATAGCGGTATATATTATAGACGCCTAAAACAGCTAGCATCTGCCCAAAGATATCTTAGAAGGTGATACCAAATTTGTTCTACTTCCCCATCTAAGCCGGCTCAAGCCCGATGTCCATACAACAGGGGAAAAAAAGGACTAAAAAAAATCTAGTACACCCAAACCTATAACCCCAATTCTAATGCTCATTTAAACTTTGTAAGTTAGGCTCATCAGCCCAATACCTTGCAAACTTGGAATTCCCGCGATAGTTGTAAAGCTGAAAGCCGCTGGTGAATGGTTCCTGTCCCTTTAGAAGCATTCCGATTTCTCCGGGGTGCTTCCACAGTAGCCAAACAACCACGATAAACATGGGAAGACTGTCTAAAACATAGAGAAATGCCTCGCTCGTCATCAAATATCCGGAATTTCCCTGAGCGTATTCCACGACGCGGTACAGAGATCTGATCATGATCAAGGTGCTGACGAAGTAGAGCGTATGGAGATAGTTTTGCCAGCGAATTCCCGGCTTCAGAGAACATGCAGTCGGGGCTAGTATCATACGCCGGTGGAAGATTGCAGCAACAATGACGAAAAAGACGAACCATAAGAGCTGCAATACAAGCCCGGCGATGATTATGCCGTTCCCGATATTGGCCATGGATTGGTTGTCTCGGCTCCCAGCCATGAGACCACCGCCTGAATTTCGGTTAGATAACCTTGTGTAAGATATAAAGAGCTTTGTAGAGATGCGAAGAGAAAGGACTTACCTCCTGACTGAAAGAGAAAGCACAAAAGATCACCGATGACGAAAGTTTTCGTAAGCCAGCCCTGCTTGATGATTGAGTGTATCTCGCCATCTGTCAACAGGATAATTCTTCCTAGAATCATGTATATGGAGGCCGCAAACAGCGGAGGGCCTAACAAGATATACATGTTCTGGATAATATACGGCATCAGTCTCCAGCAGCCTGGCTCTTGGCTCGCGGAACCAGCTCGAGCAGCGTAGCCAATGAATTCGACTGACGGGAGAGTTAGCAATTATAATGGTTCGCTAGGGATTTTTTTTTTTTTTGGTTTTGTAAAAGCCCACATACACAAGCACCCAAACACCAGCGCTGTCAGGAACCAGGTCTTTGTTTTGAACATTTGAAACAGATGCAGGCCTGTTGCGACTAAAAACAAAAGGCAAAATATAATAGCAGCCGCTACTGATGGCACATATCTGTAGAAAGACCACGTTGCATGCAACCAGTCGGGGTTACAGACAATAGTCATTCTGAGAGCGGAAACGTTGTATGGGGTTGGTGGATGGATTTGGATCAGGAGATAAGACGATTGAGAACTATGAATGGAGAATTCACGGGTGTGCTGAGGGTTGGGAGAGTTGGTTTATATCTAATTTGAGTCTTATTTCTTCATGCTACATCATGGCACAATAAGCGGCGACAAAGTGTGTGCGGCAACTATACGTTATCCCCAAGATAAACATGGATTATTCCCACCACCGATACGGCAAGGAGATCACTCGCCTAACAATCGCCATTTACGCACTGTGGCATAGACAATGTGTGAAACAGCGCGTACAGATGACTCGACCCAAGTTCGGGGCTGAAGTACGTGGGAGAAAGATCGAATACGCGGAAGAAAAGTTGAATACGCGGAAGAAAGGTTAAATCCGCGGGATAGCAACTCGCCCGTGGTGTGGGTCTAAATGAGCCAAGGACGCGGCTGTCTTTCTAAACATGGTAAAGTGTCGTATGTGTTTAGTAGCTTCTGATTGTTAGTTGTTTGTCTGGTAAAAGTTTTAGGACTGCACTAACATTATAAATATGAGACCTTACGTCCCAATAATGCGTGGGAAATAGCTGAGTTCCAGACTTGACTCATCCATTGTTATCACTGGCTGTGGCAATGTGGAATAATAAATATTTTGTGCTCTGACAGAGTGCTTATTTGCTCGGGTTTCGTTTTTATTTGATTTGTTAATGCACTTTATCGATTTTATCATGTAATGGTAAACTTGATGCTATGGCTAGTGCGTGTTATATTATGAGCGCAATTGGAGCTCTAATGGCTAAAGTTTGCATCCTTCCTAATGCAAGAATCTGTAATAGTCTATTATAAAGTAAACTTGGTATCGAAAAGGATTACCATAACCGCAATTGTATCAATCTTACACTATACCCGATAAGTAGGATTAATAAGTGGCATAATTTGTGATTTCACTGAAGCGCTGTCAAATTTAATAAGAAGGCATTGGAGTCAATAAGCCAATAATAAGAATTACAATTTTTTAAAAGGTGAGTAAAATTATCTTGAATTAACCCGCCATCGTAAATCTTCGGAACTGCCGCCATTTCCTAACGTAGGGTTCATATCCTCCAAAAACGGAATTATAAGACTCCGAGTTTGGAGTCTGGGGAGGCAAAAAATGGAAGATATCAAACTCAAGAAAAAAGCTTAACGGGACCCCGAATTCTCCTCTACCTATGGTCGTATGTGACAGGTGAGGTGTATTCTACAGAAGAGTGTTAAGGACATGAACATTTAGATTAAAAAGCAAAAAACATACAACAGCCGGTGTTCGCCAGTGGTCACCCACCTGACTACTAATCTGCCGGTTAGAGGCTTGTCTATGGGGGAGCAGACGGGACCCCGAATTCTCCTCTACCTGTGGTCGTATGTGACAGGTGAGGCGTATTCTACACTTATAGAAGAGTGTTGAGGACATGAACATTTAGATTAAAAAGCAAAAAACATACAACAGCCGGTGTTCGCTGATGGTCACCCACTCAACTACTAATCTGCCGGTTAGTGGCTTGTCTATGGGGGAGCAGACGGGACCCCGAATTTTCCACTACCTATGGTCGTATGTATTTGGATCATTAATAATATTCTCTATAAGGACATAAGTCCCCACCATGACCGGTTCCAACTCGAGAGCTCAAACGCCCATCAGACATACATACTCTTTGCACCCCGGTCAAATACTCTGGACATTACGGTAGGTAGCGCGATCTCATGGAGCGAGCAGAACGGACGTTGACTCTGAGCGAAACCGGTCGACAATAAAAAGAACGCGTTGAACCACACCGCTATTAGGTTAAACTTGAGTATGCCTCCGTATAACTTCTACCTCATCTCAGCCATGCTATTGTAGACCACAGCCCAACGCATTATCGACACTTTGGTGAAGCACTAAGGAGAGGAGCCCTTCTTCAACTCCAGAACCCTTTCGGCGTCACTTTTTTGACCCATATGTTGGCAGAGCTTCCTAGTAATGCTCGAAGTCTTGAGAAGCTCATAGCTACGCAAAGCGCACATTGGACGCCCGTTTTCTTTAATATTAGAACCGCGATTTGAAGCTCGGCTCCAAAATCCTCAATATTGGCATCCGGTTCGTGTCTTCCCGCAACCCAGAGCAAAGTCTAGCAGCGCTTCTAGAAAGACTGGGCTGTCCTGCATCCATGCCCCCAGCTCATCCCCTGCCCTTGCACGCGTTTCTCGTCGTACTCATCTCATTAATACTTCATACTCATAGTCACGTCCTTTGCCCTTTTCCAACAAGCCTTAACATACCGATCAGCTCTCATCTGAACGCCTCCATTATCTCTTTCCCCGTGTTCTACTATATTCAAGCAAATATCCCCATTCAAAAGGGCGTCTCAACTTCTACCTCCTTGCGCCTATAAGTCTTATGGGTAGTTCTTTTATACATACACATAATAATGGATGCCGTGGGAGGCACTGTTAGCATTTTTCGTTTCATACATCAATGTTTCAGCCACATCAAGCAAGCTCGTGGCTTTGAAGACGAATTCGGAATCTATCAGCTGCAACTCCAAATGCTCCTTGTCCGCTGTGCCTTCATTTCCAGAATTATTAATGATACTAATGGGTCGGGGAATCCGGTCCAAGATGCAATAGAGAGCTCAGAAAATAGATCGGAAGACCAAGAGCCAACAACAGCCGAGGCTCTCTCTGCCATTCAAGAAGCCTTGCGCAAAGCTAAGCGTGACGCCGCAAAGATCAAGACCGATTGCACTACATGTACCACTAATACCCTCCCGCTGCAAGACCCCACTACGGACGACCTCAAAACAATACGACTTCGGATGACGGCGTTTCTTGACAAGCACAAAATCCAAGCTGCGAAATCAATTGAAGGAGTCAAGTGGGCTTTATACAAGAGAGAAATGCGCGATAGGTTTATCACAGAAATATCTACCCTGATTCTACAACTCGAGCGCCAAATCAACACGGAAAGTCTGGCGATTGAGGATGCTGGGCTGATGCGTCTGCATGGCGCGCCTGTGACTCTTGTATGAGGCGGAACACAGTAGCACAAGTGGAAGTTCATGGCAATTAGGACTAACAGGTTTCGTTCATGGCGTTTTGCGTTTTTGTACTGGGTATATGAGACATGTTTATGGAAGGGAAATTAGACTTGAATATGGATTTTTTAAGCTCCTCTCGGTCCTTGCTTCTCTTTTCGCGGCGGCGATTTCATGAACACTGGACGTCAAACCCAAACACTCGACTGCTGATGTTGGCGCGCAAGTTGGTCAGAATGGAACAACGGACGACTATGTTTCCACTACCTATGGTCGTATGTGCTAGGTGAGTGTAACTCAGCTTGTGTTCTTGGGATCTAGTGGGATTGCGTATGTATGTATATTCCGAAAATGTGACATTACATTGATAACAAGGCAAGCGTCGTGACAAAGGGAAGAAAAATCTCATTGATATCTGTTCCTAAACGCCATACATGATCATCTAACACGCGTGCTATGCTCCCTTGGTCTGGCTAATCACCAGCTATATACAATTGATCCCTCCCCTTCGCAAACGGTAAAGAAAAAGGCACGATTAATTCTCCTCGAGGTTCTCCAACGCCACGTAACCCTCCTCGCGCTTCTTGCCGCGGAGTCTTCCAAACGTCTCCCTGGCCCAGCCAACGACGCCCGTGCCGCTCATCCAGCGCAGGCCACCCTTGTGCTCGGCGGAGGCATCGTCCATCCACTGCGGCCGCTTCCAGAACTTGAGCATGAGACTGCTAATCACTACACTAACGCTGCTGCAGGCCATGGCAAATCCGGCCATCATAGGGTGCATGTGCAGGCCCAGCGGCAGGAAGAAGCCCATTGCAATGGGCAATCCAATGAGGTTGTAGATGCATGCCCACAACAAGTTCAACTTGATGCGCAAGAAAATGGTCCGGGTGAGGTTGATCGCGGATGGAATGCTCAGCAGGTCGTCGGGGCGCATAAGCACAACGTCTGCGGCCTCCATGGCGACGTCCGTTCCGCTTGACATGGCAATGCCGACGTCTGCAATCGCGAGAGCGGGGGAGTCGTTGATACCGTCTCCAACCATGGCGACGATTTCTCCTTCCTCCTGAAGACTCTGGACAATGGCCTGTTTCTGGTCGGGGCTGACACCGGCAAAGACGTCCTCGGGAGCGATGCCGACGAGGGCGGCCACGGCTAGGGCGGTAGGTCGTTGATCTCCGGTAACCATGGCTGTCCTGATGCCCATGCGGTGCAGCACTGAGATGGCTCCGAGAGCTCCATCCTTGATTGTATCCGAGAGGCAAAGGTGACCGCTATACATGCCATCAATGGCGACGAAGATGTTGGTTGTGCCAGCAGTTACGGATTTAGCTCGTGTGTTCTTTTCAGACGAGTTAATTTGCTCTGCGGCCTCGATGGCGCTCTTAGGAACCTCGACACCGTTATCTTCAAGGAAGCTCACGTTTCCGGCCAGGACCCTGTAGCGAGTCCTATCACCAGAAGTAGCAGGCTCAACAAGGGCATTGATACCCTTTCCAACAGTAAGCTTAAAATCGTTGACACTTCCTGGAATGGCACTCTCAAGCTCATAGATTCCGAGTTCCTCTTTAGCTGCTACCAGGATGGCTCTGCCGATCGGGTGCTCACTGCCCATCTCTGCAAGACCAATGGCCGCCCACCAGACCTTCTTCTGCGACTCGTTGTCACTCCATCGAGGAACCAAATCCATCTTGGCGACGCTCATCTTGCCGCGGGTGAGTGTGCCAGTCTTATCCAATACGACCTTTGTGATTTTGGTTGTTTGCTGCAGCGCGGCTCCGCCCTTGATGAGGATGCCATTCTCAGCACCCACGCCGGTGCCAACCATAACGGCAGTCGGCGTGGCGAGGCCAAGAGCGCAAGGGCATGCGAAGACAATCACAGATATGCACAACTTAACGCACACCATGATCTTGCCACCGCTGTTACCGGCCAAGAAGATCATGGGAGGATGAACCATCCAGTGGCTGAGAATCAACCACCCGATGAAAGTGAGGAGGCCAAGGATAAGAATCGTAGGTACGAAGTAGCCTGCCAGAGTGTCGGCCACCTTTTGGATAGGTGCCCTTGTAGTCTGGGCGTCTTGGACAAGCTTCACAATCTGGCTGAGCTGGGTATCCCGACCGGCTCGTGTGACACGGAAGTCCACTCTGCCGTTGCCGTTGACCGTACCTCCAATCATGTTGTCGCCGATACGTTTCTGTACTGGCATCGCCTCTCCAGTTACCATGCTTTCATCAACATAGGTCTCTCCTCGGACAAGGATACCGTCCGCCGGGATTTTGTCGCCCGGTCGAATGACAACAATGTCACCGACTTGAAGCAGCTCAGTTGGGATATTTCTCTCTTCATATGCTGAGCCATTCGCATTTCCAGATTGCTGGGCCGTGGTGCCCGTAGATTCATCGGTTGACTTGGCCCATGATTCCGCTGCCTTCTCTGCGGCAATGGGATCCGCATAGATGGTTGCCATCGACGGGGCCAGAGACATAAGGCGAGACAGTGCCTTTGACGTCTGGCCCTTTGCGCGGTTCTCGAGGTAGCGACCAAGAGTCACAAAGGTGATGAGCATGGTGCTAGTATCGAAAATCGTACCGGGTTTAGAATGCGGCGGCAAGATTAAAGAAACAATCATGGCAAAGATGCTGAAGAAGAAAGCGCACGATGTACCGAGCATGACAAGGACATCCATTGTCGGTGAACGGTGTTTGAGTGATTTGTAGGCCGAAACATAAAATCGCTTGCCGACGCCGAATTGGACGGGCATCGTGAGGACCATGCAAATAACGTCGCCGAGAAAGAGCCCAGTATACAGCTCTACATTATTGATGTCAAGACTTGGTGCAACCATGGGTATTATCATATTCATAATGAATACCGGGATGGCAAAGCCAGCAGAGACCTTGAAGGCCGTCCTCCATTCAGCAATCTCTCGAGTTTTGGCCAGTGATTCGAGCTGGGCATTGTTATCGTGGCTGTCTGCAACCAAGGCATTGAGACCCTGTGCTTCCACCGCTTCGACAATTCCTCGAAGTCCAATGGCGGCAGGTTGATGCGTAACGGAAAGGCGGTCCGTAGCCAGACTAAGCGAAGCAGATTTGATGCCAGGAATGGCTGTCAGCGATTCCTCGAGGTCCTTTGCAGCCGCAGCATCCGGGCTACCGAAAATCTTGAACTGTGAAGTGGTAGTTACATTGCCCAAGTCGTTAGTATCATATACAGTAGACAAAACCGTGGCATCAAAACCGCGATCTTCAATGATTTCGGAAATCTGCTCAGCGGAGAGCTTTGTGACATCATGAGAAATTACCGCGCGCTCGGCCAGAAGGCTGATGTTGAATTTCAACACGCCCTCGACTCCCTGAAAGCCTCCCTCGACAGCAGACGTACAGGCACCGCAAGTCATTCCTTCAATAGCTACAGTTGTAGTAGCGATGTTACTTGATGGGTTCTCAGCCTTGGTACTGCTGTCGGGTTGCGCCTTTGCGGAATCGACGATTTCGGCACCAAAGCCGCGGTCTTCGATGATTTCGGCGATTTTCTCGGCTGGCAAAAGCTCTGGGTCGTGTTCGATGACGGCTCGCTCAGAAAGAAGCGAGATGCTAAAGCTTTTGACACCTGGAATGTCTTTGAAGCCGCCCTCGACGGCAGAAGTACAGGCACCGCACGTCATGCCCTCAATCGCAACCGTTGTCGTCACTAATCCGCTGTCAAGGTCCTCATCTCCCTTGACATCTGAAAATCGAAGAACAAGAGGGCTGAGGAGGTCCGTGGACAGTACCTCGGCGTCAAATCCGGTATCCTCGATGGTCTCTCGGACCTGCTCGGCGCTGATAATCTGGGGATCATGCATGACAACGGCTCGCTCCATGACGAGACTGACGGAGACGGTGCCGACGCCCTTGACGCCCTTGAAGCCACCTTCGACAGCTGATGTGCATGATCCGCACCTGTGAGAACGTAGGTATGTCAGCGATGCTTGGGCAAGAAGAATTCGTCCAGTTCGTCCAGCTGGAAACGGCGCAACCTACGTCATTCCACCAACGCGCAGAGTAGTCGTCGCCATGTGTGCGCTCTTGGGCGCAAGGCCCGTATCATCGGTGTCCCGCCCGGGGACCTTGATGTAGCTTGGAGCCATGATTCTTGTTGTCAAGCAGTCTCGAGCGAGGCTGCCTCTTTTTCTCGCAGATTAAAACACAAAAAATGGAAGCACCCCGCGCGAGAGACGTCAGGTCGCGGCCAACTCCAGATATCCTTCACCTTGAAGCGGCAAGCATTGCACAGGAGAACCAGAAGAGGCGATAAATCGGGCGCTGCCACAGGATACTCGATGAACCAGAGATATCCGGCAAGAATGTCGCAACTATTTCCAGAGACCGGCCCTGGGGAAAAAGAAGCACAACTGGCGGTAGAGGATTTAATAATTCGGCCGAATCGGATTTTGTCAGCAGAGTCGTCTCGCCGAGTAAGCCGCGCTATCGTCAGAAGGGGATCCCAGTTGGCGCTCTCCACCAGAAGCAGGATTTCCGAGCAGGATTTCCGACCTTTCTCGGCTGTAGAAACGTACGAGTACGATGCAAGGGTGGAGAGGAGAGGCAGAAGAAGCAGCTATTGTAAATTGAGCGACAGTCCTGGAAGAGAAAGAGAGAGCGCCACGGCGTAAGCCAAGGGTTCTCGAGATGGGTGGGTGACTCTCTCGCGGTTGGTCGCTCGTTGACGAAATGCGAAGTAGCGCGGTGCAGAAGAAGGATAAAATAAGAAATCAATAAGCAAGTGGCTCAGGCCCGGCAGCTGCAGAAGCCGACAATAGGCTAGTGAGTCTGTTTGTATGTACAATCGGACCAACCAGCGATCAGATGCAGCAGCAATGAAAACGGAAGCAAGGAGAAGGAAAGAGAAAGAAACCGACGGATACAATAACAAAGCACCAGGCGAAAAAGGGAAAAGGGAAAAGGGAAAAAATGAAAACCAAAATACGCTTACAGCATTCGCGCCCAAGGAATACCTGGTCGATGCACCCAGTTATACCAAAATATGACTCGGCCAGATAGCTCGAAAAGGAGGGAAGGGATGCCGTTTGGCGCCTCTGCATGTGTCGCACTATGTTTGATGGCGCCTATTGCGAAGCCCCCAGGTGGCAGAAGGGCTTGGGCCTGTGTTTCAGCGGCCTGAAAATGAATCGCGCTGAATAATTCTAGACATACAAACCTGCGCAACCAACGCAAGCACTGACGCAGAGCCCCGGCCTGTCAAGAGGTGTGATGAAGGACCAGCGTCATTTCGTTTCCAGCGGCTTATTGGGCCTTGGGCCAACATAAAACACTGGACATCAAACATTCACACTCTCTGGGTGTGGAGTGTCGTCACCTCAAGACAGGAAAGTCTCCGTGCACCAGGGAGGGCTTGGAGGAGATTCGACATGTCATGGGTATTTACTTGCGTTGCGACATCAACCGGGCCCAACCACTTGCGAGGTACCAGGTGTCTTCAATACTTGTACTGTACGTAGTCCAGAGCACCCTCACAAGACAAAATGACACCTACTCGTATATGAACGCCAAGCTGGTTCCCCTCTCCCCAGCTTTTTCTCTTCAGGATAAGCTCTAATGCAGTGATCTTGCTCCTGCTGGTTTCGGCCTCAGCGTCACACTGAGAGCGGACGTTCTTCGGCACTTCAAGCTTGTTGTGATGCCGGTCTTTGATCAACATTCGGCCCAGCGATGATTACTGATTAGCGCATTTTCACAAGTATAGGTTAAGCTGGTCAAAACGCGAAGACCTTGGGGACTGATTGATAAAGAGTCCATTCTGTGGAGCACAGCTGGAGTGCTGGACAAGTGCAGCCTCTGTAGCTCCCAAGCTCAGCTGAAAGCGGCCTAGTGTGCAAGTAGCAGTGCCTGCTTGGGGCCTTGTAGTGATTGATAACCGTGCTGGAAGAAAACTGGCAGCCTGAGAGCCAGTGTTGCAACAGCCTTCCATCTTCCATCTCCTCTGCTTTCTGTCCAACAGGCATGATATGGATCCATATAGAAATCTGCGATACACGAGATAAATAGATTGAATGATAAAATTTTAAGCCACTCATCTTTCAGCTCTCATTTGGCGGCATCTACTTGTGCTCGTCCACTGGAATGCACCTCCCTCGGCCCTCTCTCCCGAGTCCCTGTGTTTCACCCCACCAAAACCGGCGCCCCGCGGCCTTACCTCTAACCACTTCAACACCACAGCCTCCAAGCCTCAAACTCTCCTTGATGCACACAACAACCCGCAAACGGACTTAGACCGCGGATTCTCGGCACTAAAGCAGCAGCCTCTCCGAAGCTCGTCTCGTAAAGCCCTTCGTTACTCATTCTCTCTAAGCCGTCGTGCCCTCGCCTATCAGATCGAGATCCTACCCCACTCCCGCCTGCGCGTGCCGCAGCCTTGCCAAACGTGACCCATAGCCCGTCATCACGTTTCAGAGATTACAAGAGCACAAGAGCAAGAACCGTCCGTCTTGGCGCCATGGAGCAAACCAAGGCCTTGAATGCTTTGGAGGCATGAATCCCTGAATATCCAGCTCCTCCATGACATCCATTCTAACGCCACGTCTCTACAGCCGTTCCTCGCCCTCTCAAAGTCAGCTACCTCCCCCCGAGCCGCCGCCGATCTCGTCACCCGCGCAACTTCAGCTCCAAACACCTTCCTCTTCGCCGAGCTTCTCCAAACACCGCAGATCCAGGCCCTGGCAGCCAGCCCGGAATTCACCTCATACCTGACGCTGCTCCAAATCTTCTCCTACGGCTCCTACGGGACATACAATGCCACGCCCAACCTACCCGCACTGAACGACACCCAGACCCTCAAGCTCCGACAGCTCTCGCTGCTGTCCCTAGCTAGCGATCGATCAAGCCTATCATACGATGCATTGCAAAACGCGCTAGGTCTTTCCTCGGTACGAGAGGTGGAAGACCTCGTCATCACTGCCATCTACGCCGGCCTCTTACACGCCACTCTCGATCCTGCTCGCCAGGCCATTCAAGTGTCAAGCATCGCCCCCCTCCGCGATCTCGCTCCCGGCACGATCCCAGATATGATTGGTGCCTTACAAAACTGGGCTGGTCGTTGCCAGTCTACTCTCGGGGATCTTGAGGAGCAGATCAAAAGCATTCGCGAGGCCGCCATCTCACGGGAGACAGATAAGCGAGCCTCAGACAAGAAGTTGCAGGGATTGATGGAGAGCATGGGCGAGTTCGACAAAGGGCTCTCGGTTTATCAGAGGGACAATCTCACTCGGAGAGGCATCAATAAGCGTACCATGGCTGATCCCCTAGGCTCAGCTGCCGCCGACGAGACGATGGACCTTGATGATTTATTGGGGGTGGAAGACCCGGCCAAGAGGGCTAGCAAGAGGAAACTGTAGCAAAAGTAGAGACACAACGTTGGTACAATAAGCGGCAATTGGACTTCCAATGCGATATGAATTTTGATAGTCACGAAAGAATACGATATAATACACGAACCAAACAGCCACAGGCCATCCTGTGCCTTGCTTATATATAAAGAATAGAAAGTGTTGAACCCGCAACTCCCAAGCCGTGGCTGATAATACAAATTGCCAGAAATGCAGAAAAGAAACAAATCTAAAAGCTCGCGCCAGAAATCCTCATCGGTATCTTTTTTCTCGGGGTCTTAATATCAGAAGGAAAATATCCCATCGCCCAACTAATCCCTATAAAAACATTGGTTCGTTACGGTCGTGATGTGAATTAGATTAGTCTTGCTCAAGCGGTACGCACACGGAGATAACCTGTGTCCAAGACGTTGCGTTGCTTACAAGCCAGTGTGATGCCCGGCATCCCCTGGTGAAAAAACAAAAGGCAGAGACGGCTGATATGAGTTTCAGAGTCTTTTGCCTGGGACAAGAATGAACAGAACACATAGTCCGGCGTCAATCAGAATGGTCACGGCCAACACCATGAGTGCTCGTTTGACCAGAAGGCCACGAACGAAGGGTTCTCGGATGCGGGAGAAGTTGAAGGGAGTGTACTCGCTAAATCCGATGAGTGCCAAGATAGGGTCCAGGGAATATTCATATGACGCAAGGAAATAAACGCCAATAGTAAACGGAAGAATGACCTAAAAGAACGGGAATTATTAGCCTGATAACGCAAAGGGATTTGTCTAAATGAGAGACAAGCTTACCCAGCATCGAGTTGCTCTAGATTTATCAAGGAAAATAAGGACAAAGGAAGTCCAGAATGCTCCAAACATGGCAACAAGTCCAATAATGAGACGCATAACAAGCGTTGGCGGAATGAGATTACCCAAGGCTTTCATGCGCAAGAAACCTGGGAACGCGTCTCGTTCCATCGCCTGGAATACGTAGTCCTTAGCCACATCAAAGACTTCCGGGTCATCACGACCATATTCTTCAATAGCAGCCGTAACGTCCTGAGTGATGGATCCAGGAAGCGTGATTTCTCTCTCGGCTCCAGGCATCAAGAACGTGTAAAGGATCTTCTCGGCAGAAGCTCTAATATCTTGCCGGGCAACAGTATGGGCTGGAGAGTTCGAATCCGTCGCATGGCTGAATGGAGGGCTAGGTTTTGTGCGATTTGAGCCGCTTTGTGTTTGAGGTGATTCGTGGCTCTGATCTTCCCGTAAGAAGGCCGACATCTGGGCGTCCTGATCCCTCTCCTTTTCCGTCGCATACATCGACGGTCCAGCCGCACGGTTGTCCAATTCACCAAGTTCCAAAATCTGAGATGATCGCTTAGATCCCTTTTCCAGGTCTGGGGTCGCAATGAGGACTGATCGTCGAAGTTCGCGGACATAATGGCGACAAAGTGACATGTGCTGAGCTACATCCAACCTGATCAACAAGTCAGTATTTTTATCGGTTGCGCCATCCATTTTAGCCTCCGAAAAGCTCGTACCAAAAATCTAGATAATCAACAGATCGCTGCTGGTCTCGCATATAGATGTAGAATGAAAATAGATCGACCGGTGGCAGCGTGCGACGGCTCAGCACCTCGAACAGAGTCGGCAATCGGTTGCGCGTCATATCGGGCTGAGGCGTTGTTGACGCCGTGGTTTCGCGAGGGTCTTCCATGGCGCACTATGAGTTTATGGACGATGATAAAACGAGCGGACTTTTCAGGACGAGATAATGAATTGTTTTGCGATTGTCCTGAACTCTCGTTGCTAACTGGGATGTTTGTGCAACAAACAACAGAAGCGCGAGAAGGGAAGAGTCTCCCTGCCTGGGGAGTCTTGCGAGCCGGAGCTGAGGCGATTTGCAGCGACGGAGGATAATGTGATAGGGCAAACGAGCGAGAGAGAGAAAGCGAAGCCGTCACACGGAGGAGCTTGTAGCAGCTCGTTGCCAGTGGTGATGGATGGAATGCGGCTGTGATGGCTTTGAGGCGTATGGAGAACGGGTCATTAGCCTGGCGCTGGTTTCATTTCTCACTTGGGGCGCAGTTGGCGTCGAAATCGATGCCTCAGGAGAAGATGCAGATGCATGATGGACAATCACGTGAATTTCGGTGGGGCCAAACCGCATGCTGCATGATTGGCTCGCTACCCCCACCAGTTGAATTTCGTGCCTGCCCTACGCACAAAGATTTTGTGGAATTTAGCATTTCCGACCTCAACCACCTCTCTCAACGTCCAGACCGTGAAGAGTCGATCCGCAGGTACGAAGCGCACCAAACCTCTCTCCCTCTCATCCACGGAATCTCTGCCAAACTTTGGTCGCAAGAGAATCCCCAGCACTTGCCGCCACGCCGCCCTCAATCCGACCCGAAAGCTGACCGTCAATCAATTCAGAAATGTCGTCAAAGAAGCCTACCCAGCGCTCCGCCATTGCGGACGTGGTTGCCCGCGAGTACACCATCCACATGCACAAGAGAGTACGTCGCATCGAGTACCCGGACGAATTGTTGGGAGGGAAAAGAAAGTTGGAGGTTTTGGGACCAGGGATGCTAACAGTTTGCGTGTAAAGCTGCATGGTGTCACTTTCAAGAAGAGGGCTCCCCGTGCCATCAAGGAGATCAAGTCCTTCGCCACCAAGGCCATGGTACGAATCCCCAACAACAAAGATCCTGCCAGGCGCAGTTTGACTAGCCACGGAATTGGCTCGCAAAATTCCTCGCCGATGGATCGAAGATACAGGGCATTGCTAACTCCTTCCACAACAGGGTACCACTGACGTCCGGATCGACCCCCAGCTCAACAAGAAGGTCTGGGAGCAGGGTGTCAAGGGTGTTGCTTACAGAATCCGAGTACGAATCTCCCGACGACGAAACGATGAGGAGGGTGCCAAGGAGAAGCTGTACAGCTACGTTCAGGCTGTCAACGTCAAGAACCCCAAGGGCCTTGCGACTGAGGTCGTTGAGGAGTAAAGAAAATTTGTTTCTCTTTGGGAATGGTTCTGGGGTGGCATGGCATTACGGAGTTGCAACCGGCTCTTCTAGCTTTTCACGCTGAAAATAAAAGACGGCAATGTGATCAACAAAGGTTTTTTTTTTATTCCACAACAACCTCGCCCATGCGATAATTGCCTGCGGCAGAGAGTCCCTGACTGCTTCAGAAGGGAGAGTGACGGGAAAATAGCCTGGTGAGGCGGTGATTGGTCATGATTTGTTCGACAGGTTCTATTATATGTTGTAACCGGTCATGCGCTTGTGGAAGGGGCAGGTAGCCCTCCTATCCCAGCCCTTGGCTGTGGAAATGCAAAATACACCCAAATACCCTTTCAAAACGATCGAATCGTGCTCCAAAGACTCCAAATACCCAATAACGTAAAATCATAAAAGTCTGCACGCTATGAACTCCTTTACTCCTCCTCAATGTCGCGATGTCGTCCCAAAACCTTCTTCTTGAACTCCTCCATGTCCTTGTCCCACAGCTCTGCTGCCTCGCCGTTTAATGGAGAGGCACTGTAGAAACATCATCAGTTAGCGTCACTTTTTTTTGTGTCATGCGGGCGGGTTAGCATACTTGTTGGGCTCGCCGAGTAAGCTCTGCAGACTCAGCAGAACGGTCTGAATGTTGTAGGCGGCAGTCCACTTGTCCTTGAGAATATCGAGACAGATGCGGCCAGAGAAATCGACGTTGGGGTGGTAGATTGGCGTCTTGAAGAGGACTGTCGGTGGGGCATACGGATAGTTTGAAGGAAACGCGAAGCTCAGCTTAAAGGTGAGTCCCGAATAAGGTGTATCGTCGGGGCCCTCGATGGTGGCGGTCCAAGACATAAGATTGCCGTCGGCAGAGGGGAATGCGGAGATTCCGGGGGCCGGCGATGTCATGAGGGTCATCAGCTCGGTCTGGAGCCTGTTGAGAACATGTTAGCACCTAAAGAGGCTGACATCATTGCTCCAAAAGAATAATACCGTTTGGTGACGCTCTGCGAATCGGGACCCTTGCGAGCAGCATTGAGCTTGGAGGCTTGGACGCTGCCGGGAGCAGAGTTCTGGTTATCCTCGGTGTAATCCATTGTAAACAAAAGCCGGTATGATGGGAGCTTGTGGGGATGGACGAATGAGTGGTTCTCGAACGTGATAATAAATGGTTCAAATACACAAGTCGAACAGAAAGCCTCTTGCAAGAGATTATGGGAGAAGATAAAGGCTGGAAGTCGAGAAAGGGGGGGGATGCAAACCAGCGGTAGCGTTCCGCGTTGGGCAATAATGGGACGCCTTGAGAAGTACTGCCAAACGACAGCGGAATGAAGTGCAGATTGTTACCCAATAAGGTAGGAAGGAGATGGTGATATAAAAGGGATTTTAGGGGAAAGCTGCCTGAATATGAAAAGAAACGGCACACGGCAAGCAGGGTTGGGACCACGAACTAATGACGAGGATCTATAGACAAAGAATGGATGGGAAGGTTCAAGATGGACTGAGAAGAGGAAAAAAAAACACAGGTTGTTGTTTGAGACACGCTTGTTGCCAGTCAGCCTCAGAAAAAAAAACAACCACCCAGGCGCCAAAGCTTACAGGTGCCTAAGGGCTTCGTTTAGTGAACGGCGACCGCTGTAAGGACGGTGGGCCTTGTTTGCCGCAGCAACGCCCGCTAAAATGGAGCTGGAGAGCCAATAGCTTGGTAGAGAGGTGTCGAGAAAGAATGAAAATCTGACCTCTTTACACGGTTTGAAGGCGCGACTAGACTGGACACGCGATCATTCACGATCCAAAGTGCTGTCATCACCGAATAACGCTTGAATTGGCATTGTTGCATCCATCAGCTGCATTCTTCTATTTTCCTTCCTTATCTTTTTTTTCTCTCTTTTCCTTTCTTTGTTTATATTCACTGGGATAAAAGGGAGCTATAACATCGAAACAGTTTCACTAATAGACATCATGGTGAGTGACTCCTCATCCGTGCACGTCTCACAAGGCTCCAATCTGGCACTCATGCGAAATCTGAGCCATCAATCACTCAACCTCTTATGAATCTGGCTGACTCCCTTGTAGTCGCAGCTTGATCCACTACCAAAAGAGCTGCCCTTTCGTATCATATCTAAAACCGTTGGCCGCGGCGCCTATGCTTCGTATGCACAATCTCTTCACTCCAAAGGCTCAATCCCATTCACATTGGCATTAATGCTAACAAACCAAATGAAATCAGAATAAAAAAGGCCATTCCATTAGACTCGTCAAGTCCAGTCTTCGCTGTCAAGCTCATACACAAGGGGTACGCCACTAAGCATGGCCGCATCTCCGCAAAGCAGCTTGCCATGGAGGTCTCCCTTCACTCCCATATAGGCCAGCATCCCAACGTCATCGAGTGGTTTGCCTCGGGAGAAGACTCGGTGTGGCGATGGATAGCCATGGAGTATGCAGAAGGCGGTGATCTTTTCGACAAGATCGAGGCGGATGTCGGTGTCCGGGAGGACATTGCACAGATTTACTTCCTCCAGCTGGTTGGCGGTGTGAGCTTCATGCACTCCAAGGGCGTGGCACATCGAGACCTTAAGCCGGAGAACATTCTCCTATCACAAGATGGAAGCCTGAAGCTGGCTGATTTCGGAATGGCCACCATGTTTGAGTACAAAGGCCAACGCAAGACCAGCTCAACGCTCTGTGGCAGCCCGCCATATATCGCACCTGAGATTCTCGCCTGTGGGAGGGCCGATAAGAGGGCTCCAAATTCCGCCAAATATTCACCAGACCTCGTCGATATCTGGTCGTGCGGAGTAATTCTGTTTGTCTTGCTCGTAGGCAACACACCGTGGGATGAGCCGTCTTCAACAAGCTGGGAGTTTGGCGAGTACGTAAAGACGTCAGGGAAGAGCTCAGATCCTCTTTGGGGAAGAATACCTCCAGAGGCCCTCTCCCTCCTCAGGGGCATGATGTCCGTAGATCCGCAGAAACGCTTCACCTTTGCTCAGATACGACAGCATCCTTGGTATACGCGCCACAACCCCTTGCTCACTGCCGATGGCAGAATCTCCGACCCCATCGTCCTAGCCACTAGGATGCTAGAAAACCTGCGTATCGACCTCAGCCAGATACCTCCGACTACATTTACCTACCTCCCGGCATCTCACGATCCCACTGTTGACTCCGGACTCAATGCTGGTCGGTTCTCGTCCACGCAGCCGGAAGCTCCAGTAACCCCTATCGTCGACAAAGATTGGGATTGGGAGGCCCCTGTTCTTCGCTCTAGGGCCCAGCCATCTTCTTTGCCCACGGGGACATCCAGTGCTCGTCGCATGCTATTTGACTCCCTTGCGGATGAGCCGTCCATGTCGCAATTCTCGCAAGTCCCGGGACCATCCATGTCACTGACACAACAAGCTCGTCGGTTCCGTGACATTTGTCCTCCAGAATCCCTTACTCGCTTCTTCTCTCACGTACCCGCTACACACATAGTGCAGATGCTTAGCGACGCGCTGCATCAGCTCAATGTGCCTCTGGGACCCGTTACACCAAACCCATATGGTAGCCCGATAGTTACCCTCAAAGTTCGTGCCGTCGACGGCCGGCGACAGAGCCTACACGGAGAAATCTGCGTAGACAAACAGCCGCTTGCCGATGGCTTCGAGGTGCTAGACATTCGGTTTGTCAAGATCAAGGGAGATCCGCTCGAGTGGCGGCGATTCTTTAAAAAGGTGGTGGTGCTTTGCAAGGATGGGGTCTATGTCCCAGAAGCTTAGGAGTGTATGGGACAGCTGTTTTCTCACAATGGAATTATAACGAAGAGGACGCCCAGGCCGGTTGTGAAGCTTTCTGGATAGCACGCCTTGTATGTATGCATGTATATATGTAAGAGCATGAAGACATGACGAACAATAATAATGATTTCAATTTGATAATATTAGCACTTGTATACGTGTATCTTCAGGCACACTGATGCTCAATGTATCGGAAGCCTCGTCTCTATCCCACATCATTACCTCAATCTGTTGGTATGGGAGTATCGTTGGGCCCATCCGTCTCATTAGCTTGATCTTGCCACTCGAAAGCTGAGCAAGCCAGTTAGCATGATACACACACTTCACGGGTTCTCAAAAAGGGAAGAAACATACGCTGTCGACACATAGGGCATTGTCCCTTTGCCGACTCCTGCTTAATCCACTCCATGATGCAGTGCTACATTCACGTCAGTGCCATCAACCCTCGTAAGACACCAGAGAAGCACTAACCATGTGAAAATTATGACCGCATTTTCCAGATACTATCAAGACCAGTTAACGCGTTATTTCACTGGAACCGCAATCCATGTGGCCAAAGATTTCACGCACATAGGCTACAATCGTCGCCAGGATATTTGCAGGTGGGACACGTCCCGTCAAAGTGTACCTGACAGATGCCGCAGACGTCGTCTTCAGGAATATCCCACTGCCATGTGGCGACGGAATTCCACTCCTTGATAGTGACTTTCATGGTTGAACTGTGAAATGCCCCTTTATGAAAGGGGGAGGAATTTCTCACAACATGGAGAGGTTGTAATGCACAGGGGCTGCTGTGTTGTTGAAGTCGTGATGGAGTTGCGTTGCCTGGGGGAGAATTCTATGTACCTTGTTGACTCTAGGGTAACACACTCTCTCATGACTAAGCTCAGACTCGCGAAATTCGAGGTCAACTTAGTGCTTGAGTTGGCACACGTTATATCCTGAAGAAGGAGGCTTTCTCTTTTAAGTGACTATCGTAAACTTTTATCTACTCATACGTAAAATTCTAGCTAGTCTTGGCGTGTTCCATTGATGCCATGATCTCTTCCCTCGTAAGCCATCCAGCCCAGACTAACACTCCTGGACCACCAAGACAGCCAATGACAACAGAAGAAAGCAGGATTCGAGCCCAAGATAGTTGACAAATTCCAGCACTCTTCAAATCTCCCAAGTGATATGCCAGCCAAAGCAAGATTGACGTAAAAGAGAGAATGTAGTCATACTGGAAGATGGAAAGAAGCGACGTTGACGTGTCCTGGGGAAGCTCGATAAAATATTTCGGTATAAACGCTTCTGAAACAGACAAAGGGGAAAAGAGAAGCGTATACCAATAGGCCATCGCACTAAGCGTTATCATGAGTCCCCCGACGACACGGATGCCCGTCATATCACGGCGTTTAACAGCTTCGGTTTTGTCATCAAGGAAGAGCCTTATCACACTGGATAGTGTAAAAAGGAGAATTGAGCCCCATACCGGGTAAACCTGCCATATCCAGTTCGCCAAGTGTCTGGTCTCCAAATCAGGGTGAAAGAGAGATATGAGATGAGGGATGAAGAAGACCACAAGCATCGTTGGGAGAATGGCAAGCACACCCGCTCCGTCAATCAGTCGGGCGCTGGCGGTGGAATACTTTTTCAATGGAGAATTGACGTAGAAAAAGTAAAAGTATAGTGGTGCAGTGTTTCCAAAAGTCACAAATTGGGCGATAAACAGGGGCACGGCGAAGCTGTTTAAGAACACAAAAGAGTTAGCAGGTATGATAATCATTGGGTCAAGCACGGTCTCACGTCTGAAAGAAAGTTCCCCTGTTGGCGTTTCTTAGAGACTCGAGCATCAATATGGCAGTGACACCAGCATAATCGGTGAGGAAAACGGCACTCTGCCACCACATTCTGGGGTCGTCGTAGAAGACTAGCTGACAGAAAGTAATTGCAACTTGGGAAATCGCATCGTCGAGACCTGGGATTCCGTACAACCTCTTGAGAATGGGAACACTAGTTCCATTCTGAAGGGTATATCGTCCTTGAAGCTGAGCATCATTAATGAAAGGCCCAGGCACAGCTGTCATTGTCGCTAAGACTCGCAGCATGGCAGCGATTGGCAGCAGGATGGGCAGCCCATACAGCGCCCGACTGAGAGCCATGGCGCTATTGGTCTGCGTCGACTGTCGGAGACGATGGACCGAGTGCTCTGTATCTTAGCAGCGATCAATCAAGTGTAAAGCCATGCAATCACCAATAAACCAATTGACAAGCTTTAGCGAGCAAACGCCACCAATGGCTTAAATTGGCGCATGAGTGAGTGATGATGCCAGCGAGGGGAATTTCCGGGCCGTTGTCGTGCATGCAGCTTACTCTGTACAGCTTATCGCAAATGTCATGCATGGTCCAAGCTCCTCCCCCACTAAGCGCCAAAATCAACCTTTCGCAACTATCTGGGCCCATGATCCAATCCAAACCTCATCTCCACCAGAAACATTCAATGGCTGCGCTGCCAGTCGCTTGAGGTCGGGCCATCGAGACTAGCTGGACGAGGCGTGCATAAAGCAGACTTCCATATCGGCGCAGCTGTGAAGCACAACCATCCACATCGACCGACGACCACGAGCGAAGACAACGGATCGTGTCACGCGGCCAACAGCGCTAAATCGCAAACACATCATCCTCGATGGCCTCAGTTGTTGCTGGCCAATCTGCTCGGATTGGCCTCCCAAGGCTGGGCAACCGCTTCCTGCAGACCAGCATGTCGACCAGACGCAGTCTCTCGTCCTACTTGGTCACTCCCAAAGAGCTCCACGAGGCCCTAAAGAAGAACCCTCCGTCTCCGATCAGTCCCGATCCCCGAGTGATTCCCCTGTGCGCCGCATGGTTCCTCCCCAACGATGAAAGGACCGGCATCCAGGTCTTCCGCGAGCAGCGCATCCCAAAGGCCCGCTTCTTTGACCTAGACAAGGCCATCGACAAGCGCAGCCCATACCCCCACATGCTGCCGGATGCCAAAGGCTTCGCAGCCGCTATGAGCGAATTGGGTATCCGACGAGAGGATGTTGTCGTTGTCTACGACACAAAGGAGCTCGGCATCTTTAGTGCTCCTCGAGTGGCATGGACTTTCAGGGCGTTTGGCCACCCCAAGGTGCACATCCTGAACAACTTCAAGCAATGGGTTGCTGAGGGGTTGCCCACCGAGTCCGGAGAGCTATACAACGTCGAGTGCAACCCGTACCCCATCCCGGAGCTTGCGTCGGAGAGAGTTGCTGGCTTTGAGGAGGTTAGGGAGGTAGTTTTGGACTCCAACAAGGAGGGAGCAGAAGGCATCCAGATCTTGGATGCGCGACCCAATGGCCGATTTACGGGCAAGGACCCCGAACCCCGCGAAGGTCTATCCTCCGGCCACATGCCAGGATCCATCAGCGTTCCTTTCAGCGCCGTCCTGGATCCGGAAACGAAGGCTTTCCTCCCGGTCGATAAGCTGAAGCAGCTGTTTGAGGAGAAGGGAGTTGACCCCAGCAAGCCCATCATCTCAACCTGCGGAACTGGCGTGACAGCATGTGCCATCGACACTGCTCTGGAAGCAGCAGGATACCCCAACACCAGAAGGGTCTACGATGGTAGTTGGACGTAAGTGGCCTCATCTTTGTTTCCTTCCTACGAGAAAAGGGATTGTTTACTAACAGAGAAACAGAGAATGGGCTCAGCGAGTTCAGCCATCAGAGAACTTGATCATCAAGTCGGAGTAGGGAGACTTTTGTACAGCTTGCTGTCGATTTATTTGAGCCACGATACCCTCCCTTTTCTTTTCTATGATTACTATGCCTCTCAGGCCGTGTACAAATATTGAATTACGGAGTCTCTCCAGCTCGTGTTTGCTCTTTGCTTTGTGCGATATCGTGGTCTCAGCCATCTCAACTTTTTGATGCCAACCAATCTGGTGAAACTCAGTGTACGCTGCGCGGCCAAGAACAAAATTGTGTCAACAAATTAGCAAGTTCTCCATTTTGACTTTTATTCTCCTCCCGTCCAGTGATGTTGAAACCCGTCAGTCAAGCTTTGCTTTCATATTTTCAAGCTTCCTCGTTTCCCCGAAGACAGTAACATGCAGCTTCGGTGCTGACTCACCAAGGTGAGCCTTATTCAGCTTCTCGGTGACGAGCACATGGGACCCACATGTTTTTCGCCTAACAATTGAGGCAGCGACCCACAACTCCTGTTAGGGCTCGCCTAACCCAGACCACACCCGTAAAAATTCCCAAGCTGTACTAGACCCCCGCCAGCGAAAAAGTTCCCCCAGTACGAGGGCCACAACTCGAGCAAATACAACATCAGGGCCGATCCTGCGCATCGTCTGTATCCCGACTCCAACTCCCTCGCCCAACAAAACAACAACTCCAGAACCTCACAATGGCTGATCGCGGCGGAGCTCGTGGCGGTGGTTTTGCTTCTCGGGGCGGTGCCCGTGGCGGTGATCGTGGTGGTCGTGGCCGTGGCCGTGGCCGTGGTCGCCGTGGCGGCAAGTCTGAGGAGAAGGAGTGGCAGCCCGTCACCAAGCTGGGCCGTCTCGTCAAGGCTGGCAAGATCAACAGCATGGAGGAGATCTACCTGCACTCCCTGCCCATCAAGGAGTACCAGATTGTCGACCAGTTCCTGCCCAAGCTGAAGGATGAGGTCATGAAGGTGCGGATTGCCTCCTTTCGCCCCCTTTTCACGCTCAATTCTGGCTCGGGCTCCTCTCGGAGGATGGGGAGGAGGCGTGTAGCGGAATCTTGAGCGAGAGCGCTGCAAAAAACGGACAGTTGCGCTAACTAGATTGCTTTTTCACGAAATACAGATCAAGCCCGTCCAGAAGCAGACCCGTGCCGGTCAGCGCACCCGATTCAAGGCCATCGTCATCATTGGTGACTCCGAGGGCCACGTCGGTCTCGGAATCAAGACCTCCAAGGAAGTCGCCACTGCTATCCGTGCCGCCATCATCATCGCCAAGCTGAGCGTTATCCCCGTCCGAAGAGGATACTGGGGCTCCAACCTCGGTCTGCCTCACTCCCTGCCCTGCAAGGAGTCTGGCAAGTGCGGTTCCGTCACTGTCCGCGTAAGCATCACCCGCTCCATCGTCTGTGTGTTTTGAGAGAGTTGGTGGGAATGGTTTATTGACATGGAATTCGTTTGCAACAGCTGATCCCTGCCCCCCGTGGTACCGGCATTGTCGCCTCCCCCGCCGTTAAGCGATTCCTCCAGCTCGCCGGTGTCGAGGATGCCTACTCTTCATCCGCCGGTTCCACCAAGACCCTCGAGAACACCCTCAAGGCCACCTTCTCTGCCGTCTCCAACACCTACGGCTTCCTGACCCCCAACCTGTGGAAGGAGACGAAGCTGATCCGATCTCCTCTGGAGGAGTTCTCCGATACCCTGAGGGACGGCAAGCGATACTAGAGAAGTGGGTTGTGGAGTGGTGAGGACTGGAAACGGTGCGCGGAGTCACGATACAACTTGTGTTTCATTGCATGGTTTGGCCGGTTAGGATTTCGGACATGAGCGTCATGAGGATATAAAATGGCCATGATCTGGAATGAGAAAATAAAAATTTTCAACTGGCGTTGCTTTCTTTCAATATTGCGCCTAAGAACGTGCCTTTGGTGACCTGTGTGAAATCTATTGCTTTTGGTATTGACCTTTTCTCGCAGTTTGGTTTAACTTTCTAGATCTGAAATTGTTGAATCATCAGCCAGCCAGATTCTCCATTCTATTCCGAAATCTATTCAAAAACAACCTATTAAAGTACATTCAATTCTACAATCACAATCACCGCCCCTTTCCCGGCATCACATACTCGATCATGGGCTCATCAACCTCCATCCCATCTCCCACGCCTCCTTCACCCTGAATCCTCGCCTCAGGGAAATAAAACGTAACCTGACCCGCCTCCAAGGACATGCTTCGAGAATAAATCGTAAGGACATTGGACTTTGTACGATGTTTCTTCTCGCCTCTGGCTATTGCGAACAAATCACGTTCCTGTTCCTCACCTGCACTTCGTAGCGGCTCCGTGATACGTCGCCTCTTAGCCGGTCGACTCTGAGGAATCAAGTGTCGAGGCACAGATGACAATCTAAGGTCCTCGTCAGAAGCAGCAACAGGGTCGTTGGCGTTGGCCAAAGAGCCAAACAAGGCTTCTTTGAGAGCGCCTCCCCAGGTACGTTTTCTTGACTGTGGTGCTGGTGCGAGTCCTGTGTTTGAATACTGTCAGCTCATTTTGCTCCTGTCTCCTTATTCTTCGAAAAACAACTCCTCAACGGGTTAAACTTACTCCTCTTCATTCTGGCTTCAAACTCCTTCCGTTGCAACGGCGTGTCTCCCATCCAAAACTCCTCTCTCATAGGAACGAACTTGTGTCTCCGCTCTGCCCGTTTCCAAAACGGCACCTCAGCCGCCTCCTCCAAATCTTCCAACTCCTCAGCAAAAGCAGCCACATCTCCAATATCAGTTGCAGCTTCATCATCCGGAATCTTTCTCGCAGGGCCCCTGGATTTGATGACTCTTTGTCTACTCTCAGATTGCAAGTGTACCGGCCAGTTATTAATGTCCCAAAACAAATGGACGGGCTTCTTCCTCGATGGGTGGCCAAATGTCCAGACTGGCTCGCGCCGCATCGTCGTTAGATTCTGCTTTTGCGCCGCAAGGGCGTCTTGCTTCTTTTCTTCCTCCTCCTCTTCTTTCCGAAGCTGGGCTTTGAGGGCCTTGACACGAGATCTTTTTGTTTCGGCATCTAGATCATTGTTGTCCCATATCTCTGCCGTCTTTTCCAAAAGCCGCTTCTGCCAAATCGTTGGGTCTACGACCTTGTATCTCGTGGCGTAGCTGTTATACGGTAGATGCAGTGGCCACAGCATCGTCTTGTTCTCATGCGCCTCACGCAAAAGATTCTTGCGAACCAACTCATAGGCCTCTTTCGACGTTGGCCACTCGTCCCGTGTCCAGGCATCTTTGTGCTCTTTGTACGCATCCGGGTCGGCAATCTTGACCACGTCGGGATATGTCATTGTGATGCGCCAGGAGCTCTTATTAGCCGGATTCTTGGCCGGGTCGTTGGGACGTTTCTTGGTGTCGTCTTCCCAGCCTGAGATTATGGTGTCGAGGAAGTTGCGGTTGTACTCTTGCGTCTTGGGATCACCCAGCTTCTTCTCGTTTTCCTCGTGCTGGCTCTCGAGCTCCCTGAGCGTTTTGCCCAGGCGGTAGCCCAAACAAAAGAAGAAATTGGCCGTCTTCTTCCGCCACTCGGGGTATCTCACTGGATTCTTGATATATTCTTGAAGAGAGGGGACGTCTTCTCTTCGGGGCATATCCTCAGGATGAGTGTGAAAATCCTCAGCGGATGCGAATGCTGTTAACAGAGTCGAAGCAATATTGTCTGGAACCTCGCATGCGCTGTCTTGAATTTGGCCCTTATTGTTACTCTGAAGTTCGATCTGCGAGGTGTAACAAGCAGGTGGATATTCCTCTGGGAACAGCTGCATTTGAGGCTCATGATCCGTCCACTTTACCAAGTCTTCAGGATGAAACTCTGTCTCTGGCCTGCCAAACATCCACTCTCCTGTCACCTCATTCTTGTAAAGCCTACTTATGTTAGTCTCTCCCATAGCACCATAATAACAGGAGAAGGAAAACTCACTTCAGAATCTGCAAATCACGCAGCTTTGGCGCCAGCTGTTTTACATCCTTCTCGGTGAACTCGTATCTCTTCACCTCTCCACCACATGTGGAATTCAGTTCCCTCAGAAACTTGTCCAAAGTCTTGGGTTCCGTGTCCCAGAATAGCGAAAAGGGGTCGATATCCTGCATCATCTGCGTCACTCTGGATACCATGATCTCTCCTCTCTTCCCAAGAGATTCTTCCGGCTCCTGTGGGCGATTTCGAGAAGGCTGGCATATGTACTCCAGCCACGCTGCCTCCGTTGGCCGCAAATTGGCAAGAGTAAAAGTGGTCCCATCAGTTGATTCATACTCGTGCTCGCCGAATCTCAGCTTCATCTCCTTTGTTACTGGTTTCATCGCCGTGCCAATATCGACAGCTTCCAAGAGCCTGGTAATAAAATGTCGAGGTGCTCGTTTCTCTGCTCGTTTCAGACCTTGGAGAATCTTCTGGCAGCGTCGCAGTAACTCATACGTCTTTTTCATATCACGGTCCATCAGGTCCGGCAGCACAGGGCCCTTCCAGTTTTGAGGAAGCTCCATGACAGGCTTATCGCTTTGCAGCCGTTGCTTGTGGCAAAACGACTCCTTGGTGACGTGCTCCCTCGTCCATTGCGCCCAGCGCAGCTCCTCTTTCTTAAACCACTGATAGGCTCTGGTATAAGCCCAAGGATCGCGCGACTCTTTCTCAGGTGGATTTGCCAGCATCTTGTTAGTGTAGATGATGCCTGCGTCCGGCTTCTTCTCCACGGGAAGTTCAGGAAGGGTGAGAACCCGCAAAGGGGTGCACATTTTTCGATTCTCGTCGTGATTGAAGATGTTGAGGCACTGCTGCAGCGCCGCCCGCTTGCCACCGCGAAACCGGGCAAACCCTTCCAAGGTCTCTCTCTTGACTCGCAAGGCGCTGTCATGACTCTGATGCGGAGGAAGATAGCTGTCTTTGCTGGCAAGGAATCTTGCTGTCTTCGCCATGCCGCCCTTCATGCAGTCTTCATATGTTTCATTCTCGGACGCTGCAAGGTTTGTTGGCTCTGTGGCATCGGCAAACGGACCTCTCGCCCAGTATTTCTCACTGTCATTCCAGTATGGCTCGAGATAATCTCTTCTCAGGACATCGGTCGGCATCTCATACTGCCGGTCATGTGCGCTCGCCACGTCAACGTGGAGGAGACGTCGAGGGCCCGTCGAATCATGCTTCCGACTGCTCTCAGCGCGAAACTCGATATTGGGGCCATCCAGCTGGGGCAATCTCATGCTCCGCTTCGGCCAGAAGTCCGTTGGAAAGTCGACAATGAGCTGCGGTTTTCCGTAATAGTAGTCTTCAAATATCCTATGCGCTACTAGCATATAGAGGACTTCATTCACGTCATGGATCCAGTCTTCGCCCTGAAATTTCGATTGTAGATGGCCACAGTAATCCATAAGCTCTGCACATTTGCGCTTCCAGTCCGCCGTTCGATTGATATCACCATCGGCAAGGAAGTTCTTGGCCCGGGCCAGTTGGATCCTGGGACCCTCGATATACCACCCCTTGTAGGTCTGTAGTTCTAAATCGCGGGGGGTGATTGGAATACCAGGCCCTTGACTTGTGTTGCCTACGAGCTCATCTTCGACATTAATACTCTCGCGTAGGCCTCCATCTTTGTCTGTGTCCTCTCTTGAGCTGGATAATCCAATGTTTTTCTCCAGCTCGATTCCAGACTTTGCAGGCGTCTGACCAAGTATCTTCTTCTGGAATTCCTTTTGAAATCTTTGCGAGATATCCGATAAATTGGCAAAGCATTCTGCGGTAGCCGCCTCGAGTGTTGGCTTCATGTTTTGTACTCCTTGGATGGCTTTGCTAACCGATTCCTTGCTCAGGAGGGTGTTGATATGTTGGTACATTCTCTCCACAATTTCGAGTTCTTGGAGAGACAGCGGCCTCGTGGTAGCCAAATTGCCAACTGATTCATCGTGAAGTGAATCGGAGACATTGTAAGCATCTACACGCTCGGATAGTGCGTCTTTCGATGTCAAATTACTGCTTCCGGAGCCCCCTAGGTTGTGTTCCTCAAGGTACGGATATCGACAACCAAACAGTTGAGAGAATAATTGGCGGCTGGAAGGATGCTGCTGTAAAAAGTCGTCCAAAACATGATCTTTCACGATAAGGTTCAAGCGCTGTAAGAGATCTCCAGGTCTCTTGGAAGCATCCAGCTGCTGGACTTCCGATGGTAACTCGTTGAAATTGCGCGAAAGTACATCTCGTATCTTCTCTATACACGGTAATGATGGTCAGATCTGGTATCCAATCACCCAGGCCAGCAAACGGCTGACTTACCTAGAATATCTTCGACGCGATCCAAAAGCTCGAGCTGGAGAATGCCGACCAATTCATTTTCTGTGTTTACGGATCCTTGAAGTCGAATTGTTAGATTCGACGGGTCAAGTTCCATCTCTTGCACCTCGGTGCCTGGTGTAAAAGTCGACATTGGATATTGTTAATTGTTCAAGTATGGACTGCTCCTTCAACACGTTTAAGTGAAAATATATGTTCAAAATGAAGAGAAACAAATCGATCAATGATGGATTTGATCCTCATTATTTGCAGCATTCAGGATAGGAGACTGTTTTTGAGGACAGCAAGTCTTTCTTTGAGTGGCCTATTCCGGACATTGCGAAAGCACAAAGGTGTTTTGGGCGATCTAAATTTGGCCACCAAAGACAGTGGTGGTCCTTTGTTCATGTCGGTGCATGGAGAGAATAAATGAATTGTGTTCTAGAAGCCTCAGATGTGTTGCCATGCGGTCTGCTATACCAGCACGGCTCGATCATTGCCGGTGTTTGGCCGTTTGGCATCTTCAACATCGTGCGCCGTAAGAAGACATCAGGCATGCGCCTCTCGCCAAGCAAGGTATACGTAAATATTTTCTTCTGCCGTCAATAATGTAGAAGAAGGCTGTGTGAGTTTCAATTCATGGATTCTCCCAAAAGAAAAAAAAAAAACTTTTATTCGCCAATAGATTGCAGGTACGTGTATGTATCATCGCTCCTGCCGCGATGTCTCGTTGTGAACAATGAACATGTGCACTATTATGCCAAATAATGCATCATCTCCGTACAATTTATTCATGCACTGCACAATAAATTTCTTGGCTTACATACCAGTTCCGCCAATTAGAAACCATCCACAAAGCAATTGCTGCACGTGGCAACGATACATCGCAAACATTCATCTCCAGGGTAGCTTCACCTCGGTTCACCACGACACCATCTACACCATAAGATATCACGAAAGAAGCCCATCTGCTAGGCAATCAAAGCACATAGTATTCACATACTGAATCCCATAACCAACCACACAACCCAAAAATAAGCGCAAGCCATGAAACTTCAAAGAAGTTCTCCCCTCCAACTACTCACCACCTCCTAACACAGAAAAAATAGCGTCCATCCACCCCATTCACCCAAAACATCATCACTCAACCTCAAAGGGAAAAAAAAAGCACAGATCTCATACTCAACCCTTACATCAAACCAAACATTCCCTTGCCTCATTCCCTACAGACGAATCCAATTATCCCTCAAACTTAAAAAAGCAATACCGTCAAAGAACCTCAAACATCAAAGGCACCACTCGCCACCAACCTCTCTGTAGAAACGAAACAAAAAGAAAAAAAAAACCACACATAAAACCAACCTCGTTTCGTTTCATCCCACGTCACTTCCACATCCCGTGCATCTTGGTTTTTTTCCTTTGTTCCAATATTTCCTCCCTTTACGACTCCACACACAACCAACCTTCTTTTTCTTCTTTCTTTCTTTCTTTTCGCCTTCCTTTATCCACCAACCTCTTCCATCACTCTCCCTCTCTCTCCCTCCCCCCCTTTCAAGCTCAACCACCAACCTCACCGATTTCTCCCAAAAATCCAATAATTAATTCCCCAACCACCAAAAAAAAAAAAAATTCACATACTCACCCTAATACACTTACTTTCGTTCTATTCTTTCTTTCATCCTCTCCCTTCTAGCCTAATTACGAAACGCAAAGGGGGAACCATCTCACTGCATTACATGTACTCGTATGCAACTTTGAAATTGAACACGCCTTGACGCCTTTAGCACCTCCCGTTTGTAGACTAGCTTAGTCATCTCGCGACATTCCCCGAGTGTTGCCCTCATCAAACTATTCACCACCCGCTCATCTTGGCGCATACCAACGGCCCGGTTGCGTCCGAACTCCAAATTCGCCGAGATTAATGGCTGTAGAAGAGGATGTGTTGGGGGAAAAGGAGCATCATTGTCACCTGTGATACCGATCAATGTCCAAATTGCATTTCAGCTCACTTGCCGTCTGGCTTGTTAACCTCCTTACGAGTCAGCATCATCATCAACATCATCATCACTTTACATAGCATGGAGGAAAGGAGTCTAGTCTTCTCGTCATCACTCGCCAGTGCAGGCGTGAAAGATTACCACACAACTAGCTGTACCACGTTACATACAAGATGGGCCAAACAGGCGCCTACCACTTGTCCAGAACCACTAAAGCACACGCACTGCTTCAAAGAACTTTTACTTCTTTTTTTTTGTGCCTGTTCGCACTACCTTATATGTACAGGCCGAGGGGTATTTGAGAGGCTAACCTTCAATGACGCCTTCAATCGACCAAGCAGGCGGCAAAGCACTCTGTCCAATCCCTTCTTTCCGGAAGAGAGCGATGGGTATCACTGCGCCTGAGCGCTAATCCGTCCGCCGTTTCCCATCTGCTGTTCGAAAGAATTATACACCAATTTTGCCTTGCGTGCAACAAGGCTCATGTTCCTCCCATATGCCAAGTAGAGATTAGATCCGAAAGTCGAGTGAAAAAAATAAAACAAAAACTTCCGGCTGCTTCTTGCTCCCCCCCCTCCGCTCCGTGGTATCCTTGACGATTTTCTTCAGGGGCCACTTTGCATTCTTTAGTGTTCCTTTCCCCCCCCATCTCAAGGCTGGCCAAATCCCCCTTCAACTCCTCTATCCCCTCAAATACTATATCCACCACAAGATAGAAACCCCCCCTTTCTATCGGGGGCGCGCAACTCCTGGATAAGCGTGATTCCCATACCCGTGGAAACCACGCACAGTGCCCAGAAGCGCAGAAACTGAAAATGAAATAAAAAACGACTCGAGGAAAATGGGGTATGATCCGCGTTCCATTTTTTTGGTGCCATAAAGACTTGCTGAGAAATTTGATTGCGAAATAAATAAATAAAAAAAAACTAGAAAAAAAAGAGGAATTAAAATCAATCGCTAAATGCCATGACGTAGATATGAGACAGATCATTCTGAGAGTGACCATCAGGTTGAATGTGATTGCTTGGAAGAGGTTGAGTCCAAAGCCATGACCTCGAAGTTTGAAACATGAACATTTCCCCCCCTCATCCATAAGCAAATATGGACAAGAGGGAAGAGAAGAAGCGGTGTACTGAATTAATCGACGACTATGCCAAACGTATGCGCCACCAAGGCTCCTATTGCTGGTGGATTCCGTGCTGGTTCACAAAGGCAGCATATTGCTGCACGTGCTGGGGGTATGTAGAGGAATGGCTCTGGGGAGTTGGCGTAACGGGGCATCGGGGCGGCAGTTGGTGGTACGAGTCCACCTTTGCCGTGTTTCCGTAGGCGTTGTCGGGAGTAATGGGAGGCGTCAGGTAGCCGTCGAAACCGGTAGCAGCGCCGTGGCCATGGCCCTTCTGTGGGGTGCTGTAGATGTCGGCGTGTCTTGAGGGAGGCTCGGCAGGCGGTGACTGGGGGTTGGCTTGGCGCCTGGCCATCGCAGCCTGCTCGGCCATGAAGTCGGCCAGTTTCTGTGACACCTTGGACAGGGACGATGAAGAGTACTTGCGGGCCAGGGTTGGCGAGGGCTGGTTAAGGTGTTGAGAGAGGGTCAACAGCGTCAGGTTCTCGGTGTGGTCCCAGTCGCCGTCATTGACCTCGGGTCTTCCAAGGATGGCTCTCGCCAAGGCCAATGAGGAGCGGGCCATCATCGAGGGCTTTGTCGAAACAAAATCGCGATGGTACAAGGCAATCTCGCAAAGGTAGGCAGCCATGTGCTCCACCTCCTTGTCGTCCTGCTCCTCAGCAACCATGAGCTGGGTGAAGAAGTCGACAGTGGGGTGGCCAATGGTCCATTCCAGAGTGTTGAGGACGTGCATCTCCATCTGGGTGAACATGCCAGCATCATACAGGCCGCAGCACATGTTGTTGAGTTCATGAATCTGAGGCACACGGTCCTTCTTGTCGCCATACTTGGCCGCGATGAGGAGAGCGGCACACCCAACGAGCTGGTAGTGTTGCTTATATACTACACGCCGTGAGCAGTACCGGTCCAACAGGTTGACGGTGAGGAACAGCGTCTCGGGCAGCAGGGCGAAGGCGGCGTGGGCCTCGATGAGGAAGTCGATGAGGTAGGGGCGCATAAACCATTGGATCTCACGTTGCATGTCGATGAGGTTAGCATCGGGAAGAGTCTCCTCCTATGTGAGTGTTAGCAGGCTAAAAGAGAGCAAGAAGGAAGACAAGGCTAGATTGTTTGTCTAGGCTTTGGAGGTCAACATGCCTCCATATGTCGCATATGCGTCATGATATCCCCCAGGTACTCTTCGCCAGCAAGACGAGAGAGCTCGCAGGCAATGGTGTCTTGTCGGCTGCGCGCGAGCATCTTGGCGGTCTCCCGGGCTCGGGTACTGGACTGGGGTTCATCCTCGATGAAGAAGTGTTCGTCAGGCTGAGCGTAAGCCATGATGTCGGACGAGGTTGGCGAACGAGTTGTGAAAATTAGTTTTTTTTTTGTCGGTGTGTGATTATATGTCTAAAAGAGCGACGGGCAAGTTCTCCAGGAATCTTTGAGTGGGAGAGACTATTGAAAAAAAGAGCGTGCCTTGGGTGTATCAAGGAGTGAATGCCACCCTAGGAATTAAGATATTAAGATATTAAGGAGCGTGGTGAAAAAATCAATAGAAAAGAGTGACTGTGGCTGGGAAGAAATCCGGGATCATGTAGACTGGATATTCAATCGAAAACGCAAAAGGGACCGGGGGAAAAGGGGCGCCGTTCAAGGACCAAGGGGACCAACTCGACAGCTCTAGTAAAAACCAATGGAGTTAGTCAAAAATGCCCGATATAGAAGTGCCATCGCAAGACATGGAGGCGGAAAATGATGCGGCGCAAGAGGGCTTTCCCCTGAGCTGGGCCGCTTCGCTCCCTTTACTGAATGGGGGGTTGGCTGGCATGGAGGTGCAAGATAGATTGGCACGAGGGTGCGATGGACCGAGCAGGGGGAGGTCTCTCTTACCGCCACGTACGAGGAAATAAGGGACAGGATAGTCAATGAGACACCTCGGGCAATTGGCGGGATCAACGAGTTAACGTCTCCCGCAGAGCAATGCACCGAATGATGGTCGAGCGCAGCTGTGGAGAAATGCTGAGAATGCGGAGAGCGGGCTCGGGTATGCAGCTGTCGAAGGGAGCGCACATCAGAAGATTAGATTATGCTGCGGATACTGGCGATGCTCGAGGCTGATGGGAGGGAAGAGAAGGAGAAGAAAGCGAAGCAAGAAAGGAGAAAAAAGTCTTACCTTTTGTCACACTTGAGCACCTTGAACCTGGAGGACACCGAAAGGCGGTGGGAAGTAACGATTAAATCATACGAGGTGGTGAGTGGAAAATTGTCAAGAGGCTGACTCTTTAAAAGCGGAAGCTGGCGAGAAAAGGTGACGGGGAACTGAAGTCAGATCCACCAAACAGCCAAATCTTGCAGATTTCAGCACCGAAACTGGGCGATTGATCGAGACAAAGCAATTGGGGCCTGTCTACGATGCAGTCTCGGAAGAAAAATCTTCTTCTTCTTCTTTATCCTTCTCGATATCGTCTCGTGAGTGGCCGGAGAACGAAAGGGCGAGAAAAAAAAAAAAAAAGGTTGGCGAGCCAGGAGCAGAGGAAATTCCTTGTCGCTAAAGGTAAGGAATTTGGCAAGAGAAGGGCCAGGCGAAGCGCAGGCACAAAACAACGAGGAGCAAGAAAGAATAGAAGAATACCAGTGAATAAAACAAAAAATACCAGTCCTTGATTCACTTTTATTCCTCTCCTCTCTCTTCCGTCTCGGAGCTTCTCCTTGGTTGCTGTATAAGAGGCCGCAGAAGAAGGGGGGAGTTCGTCTTCAAGCGGTAGCCGGTCGGGGATTCGATTCTCCTCAGTCCAAGGCCAAAACTCCTATTTCGACCTACTCTAAGGGTCGGCAGAGGAAGCGGTGGAATGGATGAGGGAATGAGTGGATAGGGAAGAGAGAGAGGGGAGGAAGAGAGGTGGGATAAGAGGTAGGAGGAGGAGGAAGAAAAGAGAGAGGACTGGAGGAGAGGTAGTTTTAACTGGACAGGCCAATCTGTAATGCGAAAGCTAGGGAATCTCCGTAGAGGCACAGCACAGCGAGAGGAGCGGGTGAGGGTACGAGCTGAGCGGTGCTGGAGGTACCTGTGTACTGGGTACATGCGCCCGGTACAAGTACGAGTACATGCCCCGTGCGACAGGTACCGCGCTTGGGGCAGTACACTTGCAAGCTGCTACTGTAGCAGCGCCGCGGCCCCTGTCGGGTACATGGAGGTACTGGCCGAGGCAGGTAGCGAGTACACGACGAGCAGGGCAGGACGGCGCCGGTGCGGCTACACCTGTGCTCCGTACCTGGTACGTAAAGTACAGTACAGTACGGGTACAGTAGCTCGTAGCGTGGAGCAGCACGCAGCATGGAACATGGAACATGGAACCTGGGAAGCGTCCGGGTCTGGCCTGGCCCTTGCTGGGCTCCTCAGTGGTTCAGTGGTTCCAGAGCCCCAGCCGGCGGCCCCCAGTGGCTCTCGCAGGTCCTGTGCCTTTTTTTCTTCTTCCTTGCCTGAAGTGACCGCGTCCACGAGAGAGTGTGTGGGCTGGACGGCTACAGGGGGAGTGAGGCCGAGGGGGTGCGTAGCTGTTGCGGTGTTAGTGGTTGTTGTAGTACGGTACTTACTGTGCTGTAGGTGTACAGTAGGCGTAGGCTAAGGCAGTGGGAGGGGGGTGCCGTGCAAGATGGAGGCTTTTGCTTCGAGTTGTCGGTTGTATCGTAAATTGTTTACATAACATTTCAAGCGCTGGGCTGCGATGCGATGCGATGTGATGCGATGCGATGCGTGTTGTATCCCGCGGATGCGGTACGGGGGACGTGTGTGCGTCAGGGTCGTGTTTGCGAGCTCGAATACTGCAATGCGAGGGGATAATCGACGCGCACAAAACACACAACAAACATCCCCCGAAATCTGCACAAAACCACCGCGATAGGGGGGATTGTCGATTATTATCCCGCCTAAATACTTGTGCACGCATTTTATACCTGACTGTGCCTTGCCTCGCAAAAAAGGATTGGAGACGTATCGACGAGGCAAGGCGGTTCCAAAACAACACAATGCCAAACGAGACAGTCTCCGATCAGTAGGTGTACTTGTTCTGTAGGTACTTTTACTAATTGGAGTTGTTCACAGCTACCTTACCTACCGTACTGTACATGCGCACACACTTTCCTCCTCCCTACATACGAGGACGGGCAGCTCAGCACAGCACAGCACAGCACAGCCAATTTCTTTTGCAGTGGTTTGATTGCTCCCATCAATCAAACGTGCGTGCGTGCGTGCCTCCGGTCCTGTCCTGACAAAGGCGGTGTCCCTGCTGACGAGGGTCGTGGTAGTACGAGAATGGCCACAAGTGCTGTACGCTCTGAGATTTGGCGCCCGGAACCCCCTTTTCCCTCCCAAGTGGCACTTCCACGCAGCAGGGATTCGGCCTGGATTCGGCGACGGAGCGGTTTGATGTTGGTGATGAACAGCACTGGCAATTAACGTCCATCCGTCCAATGTTTCTTTTTGTGATTTGCGGAGCGCTGCTGCTGCTGGTGCCTGGCCTGGCGCGCACGACTTGCGCACGGCGTCCTCCGTCTGCTGCGATATGAGATCAATCAGATGTCGAGGTATGCAGCAAACACCACCACCACCTGCGAATGCGCAATAGCCTCAACGTTAAAAGCTGCTTGTTCCTGTACTCGCTCTTCGGATAAGCCCCCCCTGTCGCTTCCAATGCGGAGTAGTGCCTCATGCATATGCATTCATTACATATCCCACACACATTCAGGCGCGCCAAGGCCAGATATTTGGTGCAACTGTGGCTTGTGCACCGCCCAAAGCAGCCAGAATCGGCATTGACACCAATGTATAATATCGTCATGACTTTTTTTTTCTGCTTCGTTGCTGTGCCCCAAGACGGTGAGTGGTCGCCGACTCGGCCGCTGCATCTATCAAGTCTTCAGCTGACGGGTCGTAGTGCGGTGGCCTGATGTTGCAACCTCTTGTTGATGTTGACATGTGCAAACTTGAATATTTTTTCTGGCCATGCTTTTGGGCCTTGTCTTGCTGTTGTTTGTTTTGGGCCGAGCATCGGGCCTCACTCTGCTCCCCGGGGCCAGAGACCCATTTCCATATTGCGCGTGACAGAACTGAGCTGGTGCCAGCCACTGCTCCATCCTCTCCTGCAGTGCGCAGTTACAAGCGGCAAATGTCTAGGCACTCTGGCAGAGATGCGGAAAAGCTTAATGACGACTATTTCGTACCGAGCTTTTTACTTTTGCTAGCTGAGGCGGCATATATTGCCCGCAGATAAAGGCGAGTGGAGCACCACCTCCATCAAATTCAAGGTACGAGTACAGTAGAAGTAGGTACTATAAAATGTCTGGAGAGCATTCAAGTCTACAACTTCAGTCGACTCCATTGAATGAGGTCTGCACGTGGCCGGCCCCGACGGAGAAACAAACCGTGCTGGGCATAAGCCCATTGCACACCGATAGACGTGTCCAGGATCTCGAGCAAGCTTCGCTTATTATGGAATGTCTAATGGAACGTGTCCGGGGCCTTCTAAAAACACGACCCCCCGTGATGGTGCATGTTAGCCCTGTCAAATTTCCAGCTTCCCCGAGCTCGCGCCAAGTGGGATGGATTCGAAATGATGCGTCGATACAAACGACACCAGACGCGCCTCTCAAGGGACCCGTACGAGGACGTGCATGTTTGGCGAGAAAAGGAAAAATGGCGGTTGTGCCTGAAGCCGATATCAGAAAAAGGCAACGAGCAGCATCACGGGTGCAGTCGGCGGATGCCAAATGCAGAAAATGCGGAGATGCTGCCTAGTGCGGCCCCTGTAGCTCAGTGGTGATTTGATCCCGGATGCTTCAACATGTCTCTTGACCGCGCATTTGCTCCATCTTGACTGCATTTGATAACTACATAGTATTAGTCTGCATGCAACGTCTGATGATGCTGGCACTGGCGACCTATTATCTATTACTCACTGCATCAGATGGATGCAATTCGCAAGGCAGCCGTCGCCTCAGCAGGCCAGTCGTCTCTCGAAACAGCACCATCGATGCTGCTACTGGTGATAGCGTCAACCACTATATCCATACCCCGTATTCCGTCGATAGCGCCACTCGGCATGCCCTTAGGAGCACAGCCCGTCCAAGGCAATATGGATCTGACTTGATTTGATTGCAAACAACTTGAGCGTCGAGCGGCCTCGCGCTCAGTGCTCAAATTAGTGGACGGTTAGTGGTTGCAGCGCTGCGACGAACGCTTCGACCGGGCCGCCACCAGGCATCGTGTCCAGCCAATCACCCGGTCCAGACGCGCTTCTGCACGACTGTCGGAATCCATCTCATTAATGCATGTCATGAGTCCCTCTCACCAATCAATCCGGCCTGCCGGGCTGTGGGAGGCTGCCTCTCGGGGGCCGTGCTGTTGCATTTGAATTGTCGCTCGAATCCCACAGTAAATCGGCTCCTATCTGGGCATCATCATTGCCAGATTGGTGCGCTGCCACAGGTAGACCGCCAATCGACAGCTTGATGAGTTACATCATAGCCGAGCCCGTAACTGCAGCGCCCCGGGAGACAAGCAGCGGCTCCCTCCCCCGAATAAGCAATGATTGACTTGAGTTACATGTACAGGTACTTGTTATAACTTGTGATAATTAAGTCTTGACACTTGACAGGAACAAGAGAGCGCCAAGACATGCACGGCACCCGCGATATCATCTCACAAAGAAATAAAGTTGAAGCGTCGGATCACGTTGCAAGGCACCCGCGATTAGACTTTATTACAGAGCATATTTGTCAGGGCAAGGTAAGGTACCCCAGGTTCCTGGCGCTTGTTTGCCTCCCTGTGCCAGTTGCTGGTATGTAAGTTGGACCGAGCTCAACGCCCGCAAACTGTAAAGCAGGTGCTTGTACCTGGACTGGCTTAGTATGGATGTGCTTTGAAGAGCAATTTCAAGTTTCGTTGAGCTCAGCCCGAAGGAGTCCGCGCTTTAGTGCCATGGATGGATCTCAAGCTGGGCGATAGGGCTGGACAGGCTCTGGACCGTGTGTGTGGCCTGTACTTTGGTACATGTACTTGCGGACTGCTGCGCCAGCTCTGCCGTTGGCATACAGTAGAGCAAACTCAAGTGTCGCGGCAAGGAGACGAAATGTTGCAGATGTTCCCTGGCAAGGCCTGTTTCTAAATGCGGCCTGTCGCAATAAGGGCCATCCTGTCGGGAATCCTCACCTGCCGGCAAGGAGCGGACACAGGGGCCGGCCTTTATGAAACGGCGCTCATCAAGTTACATACTGGTCTGGTCTCCTAGCATTGACTGCTAAAAGCCACCTCAGGCCAGCAAAGACTAGCCCGAGGCCCTGGCAGGTTTGATCTCTATTAGATCACACCCCGCACCAGCCAACGGGCATGCCAAAGGCCAAGAATGAAGCCGGGCTCGTCTTAATCTCCCCGCGGATGCAAACACCGTGCATGAATTAGCAGGTACGAGGCTCCTACTTGGGCCAAGTACGGAGTAGGCAGCGGGACGAGTAATAATAGCAATCACTCGGAGTGCCTGGATGAGAATCCATGAATAAGTGCTATTACGCCTCTCAGCTTATTCACATGTGTCAAACGGGTGATGACGCTGCCACCGAGACGCAAATCAGACCCAAGTCAGATGCAAATCACCAGACCAACCTTGGCAAATACTAACCGGTTGAGACTTTTCAATGAGATATTACGAGCACCAGGTGCTTTCTATATGACATGTGTTGCCTGTATTCGTAATTGCGGACGGCACAAAGTCGCGGAAACAGTGGGACAGGGCGCCTCGTCTGAGCTCCTAAACTCTAAAGTCGGGATACCCATGCTTTGGTCCTTGATCCTGGCCTGACCTTTTCTGACGAAGCTTCAATGGTCTGAGACTCGGTATAACTGATAGATTACAGTCCAATGTCATGGCCAGTATCTGACACAGTCACAGGTGTCCCTACGCTCGCCTCGAAACGGGACGGTGAAAGAGATTGTTACAGGTGTCCCTCAATCAGAGTTTGGTCAGGCACGGGAATGGTATCGAAATTGAGTCTTTTGCCTGTCATTCCACGCACGGGTCACCTTTTTGTTCTCTTTTATCCCTGCAAGCCCAATGCGAGCACAGAGCGGAATGGGGGAAATTCAATGCAATGCAACGACCCAACGACTGCATAGAGGGAGGTAGAAGGGCAAAAGATGACGATTTACACCGGCTAAGACGATATCCGTCTGCATGTTGATGCACAAAGGCTCAAGATGTGCTAATCTTGGCCTCACATCTCCAAAAGCGCCGTATTTAGAATCGCTGGATGAATGACATTTGCTACAGATTCGCTTACTCCCCGATTTCCACTAACAAGCCGGGTGCCACGCAAAGTGAGACTGGCTTCCCAGCTGGGAAACACGGCCGACACCAGGCCAAGATCGACGGCATCGGTAGCTTCGCACGCCATCAAAAGGCAAACGCGATGGCCTTTGCAGTCAAAAGACTCGAAGGGGGAGGGGGGGCGGCCGTCGCGCGTCCTTTATTCGTTCCTTGTTTGTGTGAGATTTAATCAATGCTCAACGCGCGCATCTCCGGGCCTCGCCCAATTAAACGCGCCAACGCGACTTTTCCGGACCAAATGAAACCCCAAATTCCCCCAACACCACCCCACGCCCATTTTTTCGCATCAGCACTACAAGTTTTTGCTGCTCCGTGATTTGGGATTTTGAACTGGGACCGAAAAAGGTAAGTAGGGCTGGGTGGAGAGTTACATTGCCTACGCAGTCCGTCCAAATCTTGGAGGCTCAACTACGTCCATTTCAGGCTGAGTCTGCAATGCTAATCGCTGGGAGGATTCGATGCCCTCTTCGTCTTACCCCTCACTCCAAGAGGTGACTGGGCGAGAGAGAGAGAGAGTGGACCTCAGGAACACGACGAACCAACGCGAGCGCCGTGGCAATCTGACGTTGCTGAATGATGCCATATTGGAACATGTCGGTCATCCCAATCTCGCGCTTGGCAAGCGGCGTCCCCAATCACGGTCTTCCATCGCGACGGACGGCAGCGCATCGAAAGCTGACGCGCATTGCATCTCCAATGTACACTCCCCTTTTTGGTGCAGAGACCTCAATAGGCAGCGGTCGACGCAAGATAATCGATAACCGTCCAAGAGTTCCTATAAGGGATCATCATTTGGGTCCCGTTTGATCAGCAAACAAAGGCCGTTCGGCGGAAACCAGGCCCGTTGTCTCGCGGGGAACAAGTGGTCCGAAATTTGACTTCGCGACGATCGATATATCCGCTTCAGGCAATGGCCCTTTTCAGCAAAGGACGGAGCGCCGCAAAAACTCGCTTCATCCCAACGTCCAACCTTGAACCCAGTCTCTCTCTCTCTCTAGGTTGATCCTTCGCAGCAGCAGCTAAAAAGAGAGAAAACAAGCTGGGTGGGAAAAGCCACGCGATAGCAACCAGCCATTAGCTTTTGGCGCCCTCATTTCGCTCTTGGCCTCTGAAGCCACCATTGATATCAATCTCACTACGTACTACATGCACCTAACTGCACTGCTAACTCCAGCTCAAAAGAGTGGCGCCGCGTCGGAGTTTTTGGAACCAAAAAAGGCCCAAGGCAGATTTTTTTGTTTCGACACCTCCCTCTCTTCTCTAGTTTCATGTACAAATGCCTTGTCCCCTTTTGGCCGAAAAAGGATCTCGAGATTTTTTTTCAAACTAAGCCGCAGTGGCGCATTCCATTGGCCGTTGCGCGCTCGTAAACTGCGACTCTTCAATATCGCCTAAAGTGCCGCCGTGTTACGCGGGCGTAGGGAGAGGAGGGGACGGGAAATCAAGCACTTTGGTTGAAGTAGGGCAAAGTCGAGGTCTCAACAATTGCCGAGTCGAAATGAGGGCTTGGCCACGTTGCTGCCGGTAATTGCGACGAGGCTGTGTCGATCATTGTCTTTTGGTATTTGTGAGGACAAAGATTCACGGCTGAAGTCCCTTTTGTGCATCGACTTTGCTATACGTTATTCATTCATTCTCATGAACAATGGCATGAGACCGGCTTTGCTGGGCAAACACCCTCTACAAGTGCTGTACAGTACAAGCCACAAGCGGACAACTGGGGTGGGGAAGTTCGTCCGACGCCTCTTATTACCACCATCAGAACTGGCAGATCCATTGGAGAAAGATGCTAGCAAAAGCTTCTCACTGGTCAATCCCAATGGGAATATCTTGCCTCTATAGAACGCATGTACACGTAGCCAAGAGCCCGGGTTTCCGTGCCAGCGGCATGACTCCACCGTTCGGACGAACTGCATCGGTTTTTTTTTTTGACGTACTGCAGTCGGAACCGCAGGAGAGCCATTGGTCACTCTACTCCGGGCTTTGTAGATAGATACAAAAGCTGCAAGTATAGCAGGTATTGCTCTATGCAAACCTACGGTATGCTCGGCCCCCTACTTCACAAACACAGCAAGCATTAAAAATTGCGCTCCAAAAACGAGGCTGTGTCAAGACTCGGGAGGGATAGCCTTGCGTTCCGCGAGACCTTGTGCGTTTCAAAGGAAATTCTGTCTAATATCAAACAATTCACAAAAGCAAGGAGGCACTCTCTTGTTTCCTTTGTTTCTTTTAAACCCTGGCCGCGGGAATCGCAACTTGTCTCAACCCGCTACCTAGCTTCGGATATCTGTCGCCCTCCGCGTGTTTGCCTAGGTAGTCGGCGGTCCAAAGCATTTGTGTAACGCGTTTGACTGGAGGGTGCCGAGAGCATCGTGCCATTGAAGAAGCCATTTGGCGATTTTAGTAATGGTACAGACGCATGAAGTAGATTAGCACTCGTATAGCATCACTCCTCTTGCTAGTGGTATAAAAATTAAAAGGCATGGTTTCATGATTGCCTGTACAAGCACGGTACTCCGTACAGGTACCTTGCGTTCAGAAGGGAGTGTGGAATGCAAGCACTTTACCCAAATTGTTACACATGCATGTGCTTAGCCTCCTGCAGAACCTGTCCGCAGCTGCTGTAGGGAGAAAGTATTTCAAAGTGGAAAATGAAACTCTTCAAGTGAGGGGGTGAATAGAATTTTTTTTTCTCTTCGTCTTCACTCTCGTTCGGCAGTGGGATGGGATGCCCTTGCAACTGGTGGGCGTGGTGGATGGGATTTTTTAGTGCTTCAAAGCCCAGCATTCCATTATGCCGAAAAGCCCCAGTTGAGGGGAGGGGGCGTCTGGATCCTTGGTCCGTGCAAAAAGCGCAGGGAAAACTAGCAGCAAAAAAATCCGTACGGTGTGTCTAATGAAGGAGCGAGAAAAAAAAAAAAAAGGAACCGCGCTACTCCTGCAGCAAATCGCAAAAGAGGGAAGAAGAAAGAAGCAAAGCCGTTGAATGAATGACAAATTTGTGGATATCGCGGCTCTTGGTTGTCTGGAGGATGCAAATTCTTCTTTTCGGTATGGTTGAGCGTTGGGTGACGGATTGGGGCCATACTGACATGTACTCTGCATATCCGATTTTTTTTTTACCAGGTGGTGCTTCTTTGGCGGAACCTGCTCTCCTGCTCTTTCACAGGCAGTACTTGTAAATAAATGTCAATATACACAGCAGGATTAAACACGGCTTTTGTTCGACTTAATGCCAGCACTAATGCTTAAATCGGAACTATTCATAGCACAAGCCTGTGCACTAAAACGTCACAAAAGGGAACATCAACTTGTACTTAGGATCTAAATGCTTCTCCAAGATGGGTCTGCCATTCTAGAAGCATTCCCTATTCGGTATGGTCAGATAAATGGACGAAACGAGGCTGAAGAGCTCTCCCAAAGAGGAAACAACTTCTCCGGTTTTTTTCTTTGGTGCTTTTCGGAGCTCTATGGTGGCGTCTGCTTAAAACGTGGTGGGGAATGGCTTCATACCGTTCTCTTTTGTGCAGCGGGTGCTTTTTTTCTCTTTCTTTTAATGAGCTTGATGATGGCGTGAGTGTATTGATTTAAAGTTGTAGAGCTCATCATGCTCTTGCTGGTTCCCGGACGCAGCGCAAAAACTCTTCCAAGCACCTAGTGGAGGCCTACTAGTACGACCTTGGCTATACAAACCTGCGTCCGCCGTGGTATCAGGGCAACTAGGTAGCGAGCCACTGGGGCCAGTTATCCGCCTCATCGGGTCTAAGACTGTGAATTGAATCAACCACAGCGTACGAGTATGGAGTTTGACCAAATGGGCTCGGAAGGAGGGGGCGTCAAACGCTCGTCCTTTCATACCTTAGTTGTTACTGCTACTAGTCGTAGTGCCAGCATGTAGTCAGTTCGGGCACGATGTACCCCGTACTTAGTTCGCGCCATTGCATCGGACGCCAAAAAGAGGCGTCATGGACGGAGCCTGCAGCACGTCAAAATGGCGAGAGAAAAAAAGAGCAAATGGGAGCACCTTGTAGACGCGTCTCCATATCCGCGCTCCTGGGGCTGTTTCGTACATTGCCGGAACCTGCAGCAGATGCACCAAAGGATGCACTGTGCGTGACTGCAGGATTAGGACACGAAAGAGAATCTCGTGGCGTTCAATTGCCTTTTGCGAATGCTCCAATCATGCGGGCCTTCGGTCAGCCTATCTGCCAAGTGCGAGTGCTCGTACAGGTACTGCGGCAATGCGCAGGTCCCCTTGCACTGCTTTTGATAGATGAAGAAAATGGCATCATGAATAAGCACTTGAGTGGCTGCTTTGCGGTTTGTGGAGGCCGAGAAAAAGGGCCTTTCCGAAGCATCCATATTGACCCCATAATCCTGTGGAGGGGACAAGAAGGAAAAGAAAAGAAAAAACTTCACTTTGCCGATTGGAGGGGGTCAATTGCACTATACAAGAGCGGTTTCCGCGGTGGAAAAAAAAAAGCAATATAATTTTTTTTCTCTCAAAGGCCACGAATGCCAATGCGTCGTGACAGCTTTTACCCTGGTGTCTAGTAATATGCAGCATTCACCGCCAGCGGCTTACACATGCACACCAAGGCAGCAGGGTCGTCGAAAATTAGGATGAATTGCGGACACAGATGCAGAGTGGGCTTGACCGCTGCATCCAAAGCGGACGCAAAGCTGGATTCGGCGAATGCCTAAAGCGTTGTCCGTTGATTTGTCTTTCGGCTACTGGCCATGAGGCGGATTGCTGCTGATGAGGCACAAGGTCGACACAAGATAGGCTTCCGCCTAATATCATTCATGGCTACGTGACGGTCTCACGTAGCAGCCGCCAGACTCGGTGGCAAGATTGACGGCGGTCCTACCAAGCAATTAGCGGTGCCTGCTAGTAGGCGCGCATGTGCTCCATACAGTAGCTCATCATCGTACTCGTACCACTATCAAAGTGGCACATAGCTGGGTAGGGGACGATTAGGCCCGGAATCCCGTGGCATGTCGCTTGCAGCAAGCCGGCAGATATCTTGGCTGCACAGTAGTCGCCGCCACGACACGTCTTCAGACTGATTAGCAACGCGACAATCCAAAGAGCTAGCAGAGGCTGGCTCATAATCACAGCCGCAGTGCACAAAAAAGGCACCTCCGGTCTCCGGGCACATGCAACTCCGAGCAAATAGCCGGAGCGCCGGATACCGCCAGCCACGCCTCAAGTCCGGCGGTGGCCGGCACTCCGTCGGTCATGTCTGCGCCGTAGCACACACACACAACACGCACACGCACACATACACACATATGTGCATGTCTCTCTGTAGACTGGGCTTGGAATAAGACTTCCCGTCCATCCAATTCCAGGCTCTCGAATAGTCCGGCTCGATCTGAAAGCTCTCCCCGGAGCACGTGTAAGTATGCCGTATGTACTCCGTGCATCAGCCAAAAGCCACCCAACGCTTGTCACCTCCCCTCATATTCCAATTTTCCTCTTTCCAATCACGGAGGTTCTGCCGTGGTTCGCAGCAACGCCCCTCCAAATGTACGTCGGGCTGAGATCGCGGTGCTTGAATGGAGCCCGGCTTGTTGCGGGTGCCTCGCTGGCGCATACTCGTACATGCTGGCACAGGCAGTGATATGCACGTAGCATGCCAGCCTTTCCTTGCCTATTTCTTTGCAGACAGCATCTGCCAATTAGCTGACGGCTGATTCGAGGCGCGGCCATGTGCTGCGTCGCGTCTGCCCCTCTACGGAGCACGGGCTGGGGTTTCTGTATGCAAAGACGTGGTACGCCAGGGGCGCCATTGGACTGGAATCTCGGATCAAGGCTCTAGTCGCGTGGGGCTGAGCGTCCTGTGAGTCTTGGCCAACAGGCGGCCCTGCATCGGAAAGGCAATTCAGCATGTTGGAGATGGTGCTGATTACTGTACTTGTCCGAGTAGGCTGGGCAAGTGTAAGGATGACAGTCGGCTGCATCAGCGTGAATAATGCCAAAGGATTCAGGCGGTATGATGAACGCAGCCATACATGTACGTCGGCCCTAGGTCACACCGTATGTCTGTGCAGTAGCAATATAGCTTCCTAACACGACACAGAAGTGCCTGCTCGTATGTAGCAGTCCCACCTTGGGCCACGGCCCAATACGCCCATAGTCGGCGACTTCATGAGACTTTCATACTTGTGGTCTAGCACCAACTGTACTGGCCAAGCTAGGATATTTCCAGCTGTGGCCTGTGGGGAGGAGCAAGAAAAAGATGACAAGCTGTCACGAGCTCACGTGTGTACCAACACACAGGGTTCCTCAGTAACATCAAGATATACTGTACTTGCACGCCATCTTTCACAAGCAAGGATATGGCCCCTACCAGAGATGAACATGAACGCGAAAACGCCACGGCTGAGGCGGCGGCTATTGGATACTCCAAGAGGTTCCGATTTCGTAGCGTCAAGGTGCGTGGGGCTTCGGGAAGAGCAAATCCTGGTTCTAAGCTGAGTCTAAGAGGGTTGAAGCCTGTTCCCTGTCACGTCAAGCCCAGCATTGGGTCGGTGCTCGAAAGTGTCCAACCACTGCGGAGAACCTGTGATATACTCGTACTTGTACAGGAATGTCTTCTCGGGTTTCGGCGATGTCGTCTGGCTCCCTATTCAAGTCAGAGAAAAGGCTTTTTTTGCTGGACCCTACTGGGGCGAGATCGGTTGTATAGCGAAACTAGTCAGCCGGAATGACGTCTAGTCAACGACAGACGCCATGGAGCATCTGAATCCACCACCTTTTAGCACATCTTCCAATGGCATTTGATGATCTCAACGTTGGAGGGGATTTTGATACCGAAAGCTCCCGTTCTGCGTATTGTAGCCACCAATTCGCAACATCAAACAAAGCTGAACATCTAGATGGATGGCACAATCCTTCCAATGCCAGCCAATTGTGCAAGCTCAGCTAGTCTCAGCAATTGGCCCTATGCTAAACTCCGTCTAGCTCCGCCAATTGGCAGATCGTGGCCCAAGTCTCGGTCCAGTGCTGAATGGAGAAAGGAGGAGCCGAGAAGAAAAAAATCGTTGACGCATGTGAGGGAGCAGATTCGAGCACGGCATTATGACGGAGTACTTGCTACTTGGTAGTATGTAAAGGTACTTTGCGCATTTGCAGTGTATTTTGCGTCTCTGCACTGAAAATTTACGGAGCCCAGAGTGGTGCTCCGTACCTGCCGCACTGGAACCAGTGTCCAACAAAGGAAGGCGGTACCCGCAGCTTGCCGAGTCCAGACACGACTATGGTAAAAAAAAAAAGAGAGTTACGGTGAAAAAACTACGGCTGGCAAAACTTCGACCTTACAAACACCGGCGATTGAGGCTTCAATGCATTTCCAGTGCTTCTAGCTGTGTTATTGGCATTGATTTGCCCTGTCGGGAGTCGCTCTCAGGCCATGCGCGACGCCGTCGTCTCAGATACGGCCAGATTGGCGGCTCCTTGAGCCCTGCTGGCCTTGAGAAGTTGCTTTTGGCGATGGAATACCACCCCGTGCTGCTCCCGCTGCTTTCGCTAATACTCCCTCCGAAGGTTTGCATGATGGCATAAACAAGATGGTGCTGTGCCTATCAATCATGTCAATGTTCGATGCGCCAATCGCTCAGCCGGACGCCCTCATCGAGGCCATGCCCCTGGGATGGGATGTCGTCCCTCTGAGGCAATGTTGCATTTTCCAGTGGTTAGGCATGCACAGGCTCGGCGTCAGCTGGGCCAGCCTATGAGAGCTCTTATCGACGATAAAGCAGCAGCATAGGGAAACGTACTGGTACTTTCGCCATGCTGCATGAATTAGCCACAACGCCACCAGTCGGATAAGGCTAGATTTCAGCTGAGCTCTGGCAAGTCTGCGGGGATCGTCTCGAAACAAGACCGAGCAAATCATACGACTTGTCGGCGGTGCTCGATTCCACTCAATGCGCCCTCAATCAAAGCCTCTTTCAGCCGAGCAGACTATCATGTTCGTTTAGACTGAGGCGGGATGCCGCGGCTGCAGCTGGTGATGTGAGGATGCGGCTGCATCAAAGATATGCAACGCTGCTCCTATACCGACTTTTCTCGAGCTTCCCAAACCGGCTGCCACATTGCATGTCCTGCCTTGTCATAGCAACCCCCATGCGATCCCAGATCCGATCTGAGGAAGCAGATTGCGAAGTCGCCCGTTGAAAGCACTCTACGGAATCATCTCTAGGTTTGGCGCAGCTTTGCCACGCCAATTTTGCCGTCAGATCCAGGGGTCACTAGTGTGGCCTTGTTGGCGTCAGCCAGTCGCAGGCTCTCCGCGAGAAGTAGAATTCAAAGCTAGCCAGGCCGACCACTGCACTCGACAGGTACGAGCTGTGGCCAACCAACAAAGGCGGTACCTGAAATGATTCAATCCCATGCCGTGCCCGTGCCCGTGTCAATTTTTATGCACACAGAGTGCTCCGTGTTCGACGACTGCCAACACCATCAAGAAATGCGCAGACGGGCCAGCAAACTTGAGTGTTGTGCCACAAGCTGATCGAGCGTACTCGTACCGATGCCGTAATTGATGGATGTTTCCTATTTTGGTATTATGACATACTACTATGTAGCACCCCGGCCAATTTGCTGGGACTTGCTTCTCCACACCCCGTCTTCATTTCGAATACGGAGACGCTTGGTACGGGGCTGCAAAAGGCAACAATCGTCTTGATGGCCGAGCATTCCATTCTCTCGAGCTTCGATGACAAACAAGCAATCTGCCGCCCTTGGCTCCAGGCCTCCTCCTGATCGACCCAGCAGCACAGGATATTGCAATCACGCCTGCGGCGTTGGATGCGTTGACTGCCACCGACGACTCCGTACTTTTACGAGCTACTTATGTTACCAGCTTGCGTCCCACCCGCATATTGGCACAAGTACGAGTACAGACGGCCCCTTCGCTTCTGCCCGCATCTGCGGCTAATAAGCAGGGAACTGGCACGGGCGTATCAAAGTGCTGTGCAATCAAAGAGCTCGTCTCCGAGCTCGCCTGTTCCCGCTTTGAGCAGCTGCTCCGACTGCGATTGACGACACGAGACGCCCCATTTCTCCGTACCTGTAATCCTCTCCTGAGCTGCCCCTTGCCGTCGAAATCTCGATTGCGGACGCTACGGAAGCTGATGAATTTCTGAATACATACTTGTACCGCTCAGTTATGCCAATCGCCGCAACGTGCGTGTGCAAAAGCAGCTGCAATACGCACTTCCGTGACCCATGGCACGACTAGTTGGTGCTTGTACTGCTACAAGTACCTGCCTTGGGGGACCCCTGCTCCCATTAATCACCGTGATACATGCTAAGGGGAACAGCCGGCCAGAAATGGTGCTGGTCAAGCACAAGCATAACGTTGAATAATTGCCTTTATATCTCGTGACTTTGCAACACTGGAGTGCTGTTTTGTTCATCCCTCAGACTCCTAATGCACGGGAAAGGCGCTGCACACGCCCTGTCGTGGTAGCACCTCATCTCAGCCCCCAGTCAAGCAAAGACACGGGATCCTTTCGTCTAGAAGGAAATCTTACCACATGCACGGAGGACCTGAGCCGGCCTTGTCGAGGGCAATTCTGACAGTGCTTCTGGCACAATTACTGGTTCACTACTCAGTAGCGTTACTGGTGCAGTCCTGATATGGAGCGATGATCCCCCTTGGTGGCGTCTTTTTCGGATCCAGAAAGCCAATCTCGCTTTGCCCGGCCGCCTGGAGCCAGGATCTTTTCATCCTGTCTCGTGCAGCCTCACGCCCCCCGGCTCCCTGGAGTCTTGATTGACATCTGCTCCAATGGACGGTGCTTGTCTGCCCTCACAACGCTACTACTAGTAGGGAGCACGGAGCCAGTGACTCCATATGGCCGTTATTCCTGTGCCAAACAATCGCAGCCACGTTGGATCTCCCCCATTCCGCAATGGATATCTCTAAGGGGATCCTGGTCTAGTCAAGCGAGGAGCTACCAAGTCCAACTGACGGCATCGTGGGCACTCTCCCCGTGGGCTTTCTGGAGGCGTGTTGACGGGGGAACATGCAACAGCCCTGCTGACAGTGGCAGCTATTTTCTCATCTCCGCTGCGTCTCTCGTGACTGTGGCATGTTGGGGAGGCGTGCAGCGTGCCTGGATAGGGCTTTGTGAGCTGTCTCTTGCATGTTGCGTGTTTACCTTGCCTGCCAGCTCAGATGAGCTACGAGGAAAGGGGGTGAAGGGAAATGCCATACTGTAGACCCCTTGTAAGCCAACGGCATCGACACCGCCAGAACAAAGATGAATCACCGTTTTCTCGTTAAAGCATGGACGTCATGGCTGTGTTAGTGTGATACCCATTGCCTGTTCCAACACCAGCATTTCTCCGGCTCCCATGTATAATAAATATATTCGCTAGAAGCTTCGTCTGTGGAAATAAGCCCTATTATTTTAAGACGGAGGTTACCGAGCATGGGTTTATGATACTTTGCTTGCCACTTTCGACAAATAAATCCCAGGCCAAGAGTATAATTAGTAACTCATCCTGTGTGTCTCAGGTCTTGCTCGCTTTGCTTCGTGCTAAGAACAGGCGAGAGCGGAATCTGGAGCAGCTTCTTTCGTTTATGTGCAGCCGAGGAAATGTACGGGGTTTTGCTCCTAATTATAGAAGTTGGGTGGCTTTTGGGCACTACAAAGCAGACGGACGGATGTTGTCTTGGAGACGATGAGTATTTGAAGTTGGAAATTGCTTCCAGAAAGGGGAGTTGAGAGATGTACGGGCAGAAGAACATGAATCATGTAGTTGGGGATACGAGGTTGATATGCTGATGGTACGAAAGATGTTCAGACCAAGGTAAAAGGGGCAGCTTCAGCATCAACCATCATATCTCTGTCATCTTAATCGAAACATTGTAGTGCAAAGATGGTTTGAATCAGACGGTCAAATTATCACGAAATAAAGAGTCCAAGTTGAACCACAAGATGTTCTGAAAGGTTCATACACCACTACCCAAAGATCCAAAGAATACTATTCACGGGGACACCAACACGCAACAAGAGTCATCCGCTTGCAACTCCCTTTATACATCTAATATCAAGGCAGTTGATCCAGTGTAGCAATGCTTTTACCAAGTGAACCGCTTTTCATCGACACAATCATTCTCCCTCGCCGATCCAAACCCAACCAACTTCCTCCTAAAGAACCCAGTAGTTAACCCCTTCTTACTACTCGCTTTCCGTATCCATATGATGTCCCATCAACCTCTAGATGGTAACCTGATACCCCAGCGGGGAAAAAAAGGAAGGAAGAATAAAAATATGATACAACCCAGTGCAGGAAAATCTAAAGAGAGTTTGGGTTCCCGTTCATCGCCCAAATGACAAATAACGCTAGCTCTCTATGAATCCGCGGAGCCACATACAGAATATTAAAACAAAATAACCAATGAAAAAAATGGCGAGCCTAGTCATGGTAGGCACAGACGTCCTGCCCGAAGGATGGAAAAGGTGTTAAAAAGGTGTCAAGTTGGCCCGCGTCTAGCCACGTCCATCAAGTATCCAACACACGCGTGTAGGTGTGAATAAGCCCGAGAAGCCACAAGGTTAATGCTGGTGGTTGTGGCCCTCGCCGTGATTGTGGCCCTCGCTGTGCGACGATTCGCTAGCTCGTCGAGTTGAACATGCCGAGGAAGTTTCAACCACGCAGCATCCCTCTGCCTGGCAATCATCAATACAATCAAGGAGGCATGGACGAGCCGGTTCTTCGGATGTTCCATCATGGCTGAGTGCCACGGCGTCGCCGTCGTGCTGATGATTATCATCGAGGCAGAACTCGGGCTGAATAGTGGCACTGTGGATGCCGTGGCCGTGCAGGCATTTCCTGGCCTGCCTAGCGAGCTTCATGTACTTCTCGCCGTTGTGCGTGTCCAGTTCGGAAGATACTTGGAGATGCATGCTGGCAACGATCTTGGTATCAGAAAGCTGCCAGACGTGGATGTGGTGGCAGCTGACGACTCCCTTGAGGTTTTCGATATCTTCACGGATTTGCGCGATGCTGATATTCTCAGGAGTTGCCTGCAGCAAGACACGGGAAGTAGCCAGAGTCAGGGGGATGGATGTCTTGAGAATAATGGCAGTAATGACGAGCGAGACAGCCGGATCAGCGTAGAGCTTGCCGGGCCAGTCAGTGAGCCAGATGATGAGGGCAGTGATGATGACGCCGACATTTCCCAGAGCATCGCCAATCACATGAAGCATCATGGCATGCATACCCATGTCGGCATGGTTGTGTCCACTGACTTTGGAGCCAGGCTTTCTTGGAAGAGTGTGGTTATGGCCCGTGTGCACACCAGAATCTCGTCGAATTCTCGGTTTCTTAGAAGAGGAGCTGTGGGAGTACGAAAGATGGGATCCCTTTGTGTCCTGGAGAAGTGGTGACGTCTCATTAAGGTCATTTTCCGAGTCGGTAAAGGGAGATTCTTCCCCAGAGCTATTCGCACAGACGTTTGACGATGCAGCTCTACTGGCAGCGAGGATCTCCTGTCGAAAACTGGCGGGGTGAATACTCATATCTTCGATACTAGCGAAGCGGGCATGGCCTATGTTGGACTGGCGTTGATGCTCTCGTCCCCTGGACTGGATAGATGCTCGGCTTGCTCTGGTGTTGGACTCGTCCCGATCTGTAGAGTCGTCGCCAAAGTGAATGCGTCTCGCAGTCTCGGGGCTCTCTGTGCTAGCTCCACGCCCTGTCATGACGGCTCTTCTGACAATCACCTCGGGGAGGACATCACCAACGGCTCCATCCTCGTCAGCGATAGTACCGTCGTATTGCCCCTCTTCGAGATCACAGTCGTCCCGATGAGAATGAGGATGGTCGTGCTCGTGGTCGTGTTCATGATCGTGGCCATCGCCGTGTTCATGGTCATGATCGTGTCCGTGGTCGTGTCCGTGTCCTCCCAAAACGACAAAGCCCAGCAAGTTGGAGAATAGGCCGGCACAGCCAACGATCAGAATAAGCTTCGGGTTATTGATCTCGGGCGGGTCGACAAAGCGAGTCAGGGCTTCGAGGATGATGGAGACGCAAAGCGCGATTAAGAAGACTGCGTTGAAGAAAGCGCCCAGGATTTCGGCTCGTACCCACTGCAAACACGGAATGTTAGCTGTGTTCTTGTCCGGCTTGCGCCAAGGTCGAGGTGCCAACTTACGCCAAATGTGAACTCGTCAGTTGTGGCCTTTTGCGACGCAATCACGGCCCACAATCCAATGGCTAGCGAGATTATGTCGTTCAGCTGCAGAGAGTTAGCATTCTCCCTGTGAAAGGAGGAGGTATCGCGCATCGCACCATGTGGAAGGCATCGGCCGTCAGCGCCAGCGAATGCGCCAGGAAACCGCAGATCAATTCGAGCAGGAAGAAGGCCGTGTCGATAGCAATCATGACCTTGATGCGGGTGCTTTTGGACCACGCAAACCGGGAGGATTTCGCCATCGCAAACAGGAATGCAGCGCCAGAGCTGGCGCGCGTTGTCGTGTTAAAGCTGCAGAAGACGAAATAGGATGATCAAAGAAGAGTAAGGAACAAGGGAAAGGCAGAAGAATCGAGAGAGATGGCGGAGGAGAAAAGAAATCTTTGCGACGGAATTTTTTTCTTTCTTTTAAGAGTGTGTGGTGTCGACAAAGAAGTCTAATTGTTGGAAGCTGGGAGTTGAAATGTTGTTGGTTGCAGGGTGGGGTCGTAGCGTCAGACCACTGCAATGGTGAATGGCAGCCCTGTAAATGGTACTTGTACGGATGTAAATGCCGGCCAGCCTAAGGGAACGCCTTCACATCACTTTAGCGCATCGACCTCAGCCGGCGCAGCTAGGGCGGGATATTTTTGTACCTAGGTATTCAAATTGGCGGGTATTGGCATTCGAAGCAATTGAATTGAGACAAGCGGCGGCGTGAGAGGATTGCGCCGCTGGTTAAAAACAAACACAGAATGAGGGCGGCGGCTTCGCCACTTAGTTAATAGGACCGGAGTGCGGGAGGCAAAGGATCTGGATGGATGACAGCGCCATATTACTCAAGGTAGCAATGCCTTGTTTAAATAATCTCGTCAGAGTTTTACGGCCTTACATAAGTCATACCAGTGAAAGCCACTCGTATGTACTTAGCACGGAGCGATTTTTTAGCCCTCGTACAGTATATCCGGCAAAGTACACCCTACAGGTATCATAAAGGTTAGTTGGGTATAAGCCGGAGACATACCCGGTTGATTAGCTGTTTTTGCATAAGTTAAGATACCGATCAGTACTAGGAAATAACTAGGAAAACTAAGTATATTGACTATCTAATAATCTGTAGGATAACTATCCCGGTCGATACATTGCTGTAACCTTGCCGGTATCCCCAAGGCTAGCTGTTTTAGCAGAGACTGCGGTACAGCTTCCGAAAACGGCGCGGACCGCGGCACGAAGGTTGGTAAGCGTCAGAGTATCTGTATTCTCATTGAAGGTCTTAAGGTACATTCAAGATGCCGCCCCACAACAACCACTGTGTTTTACACAGTACTTTATCGTAACTTAGATTATAATAAACCTTACGTATATAAATTAATATATACATTAATTTCGCAATACTTAATATTAACAGATTTAACTAAAAATAGTAATTAAAAAGGTGTTACGACCCAACTCTTATAGTCGCAACAATAGGCCTACAGGGTAGGCGGAACCAGATAAACTAAGGACCGATAGGCTAATTAGGGATATTGCCGCCTCGATTAGGAAAGCTGGGAAAGCTAGCTTTCTAAGATAATCCAGAAAAGCTAGGAAAGCTAGCTTTCCACCGCAATCTAGAATACATAACTGGATATATAAATTTACATTCATATTACTTATTTAAATAATTAAATAGCTAGTTATTAATATAGTAATTAAATTAAATTTAAATACTACATTTATTAATTATATAATATTAATAAAATAATGCCTATAACCGACCTAACTGCTTCGCTAATATAAACCTAGAACCTAAAGGTTTATCCTTTAAAAACAGCTAACTTATATTAAACTATAGAACCTAGTTTATTATATATTAATAACTTTTATTTAGACAGTCACCTTAGACCTATGGGTAATAAAAGATAAAATACTAAATAGTTAGATTTTAAGTCTTAGACGTTAGAACTGATTATAAAAGTAAAACCTAAAGCAATTACTTAAATAGCAATATTAAAATCGAGGATAATCTTAAAGAAAGTAATAAAGTAATAGCTAATGAAGAAACTCCGACCCTGGAATAAGCTATAGTTATAATTAAAATGCTTTAAAGGGAAATTAATGCTCTTAAAGTAAAAAAAAAAAAATATAGTAAAGTCTTATAATTAAAAAGACTTAACCTATATAACGGAGATCTTTAAAAAATAAATAAATATTTTATAGAACTTAATATTTATTTTAAATACTTTTTATTTATACTAGAAAAAAATAAAGATAAAACTATCTTTACTATTACCTGCTTAATAGGAATAGTAGAAAAATAGGCCTAGCTTATTATAAAAGACTTTAAAGTTAATACCTTAAATAACTGGAAATTATAAACCTAGGAAGTTTTTAAAATATATTAAAACTTCTGTAAATAATTAAAGAAATTATTTAGAACTGCTAATAAAAAATAAAAAGCTAAAAAACTCTTTTAAAATATATATTAAAAAAGACCCCTTTTAAAAAATATTACTATTTTTATCTACCTTTTAATAAAGGTTAATTAGACTGAGGAAAGTAAAAAAAAAGCTTATTACTATATAGTAAAACTTAAAGTTAAAAATAAACTATATAAAGTTAACTGTAAGAAAATAAACTTCTTTAACTATATATAATAAGCTATTATTATAGATAATTAAATTTAGGAATATAAATAAGAAAAAAAAGAAGAAAAACTAAGAAATTTCTATATATAATATAATAACGTAAACTAAGGTAAAAAACGAAATTTTATATCCTTTAATAATAAATAACTAGGATTTATAGATTTAAATATTATTAAAGAATAATATAAAAATATTAAATATTTTAACTGTAAAAAAAAGGGCTATATAAAGAAATATTATAAAATACTAAAAAAAGAAAGCAGTAATAAATAAACTTTAATACTTAAACCTAAAGATAGAATAGTTAATATTATTAATATTATTTTATATAAATCCCTTAGTTAAATAGGATATTATAATAATAAATATAAAACCTATTTTAGCGAAAAATAAAATATAAGATAGTTTCTTAAGGTACTTAAAGGAAGGAAAACCTTAAACATTATTTAATAAACTAATAAATATAAAAATAATAAAATTACTAACTAAGACTTAAGAGAACTTTCCAATAAATTTAAAAACTTAGCTAAATTAGAAAAGTAAACTGAAAAGTATAAAGAATAAGATGATATTAGTAATACTTTAATTATTTTTGCAGAAGTATATTTAGTATTAGATAATATAAAAGCCACTGTTATACTTAAAGGAGATAATAATAGTTTTTTAAATATTATATTATAGAAAAATTAAAAAGAATATAAACTTTTAAAAGAAGAAATGTATAACCTATACCATAAATACAGATTATAAAGACCTAGAGGATTATACTATATCTGTGGTATAATAGATAGAGACTTTAAATAATACTATAAGATTAAAGGAATTGTTAAAGAAAACGAAAGATCTTTAGTAAAAGACTTAATAAAATATTATAAAGCTTTTAAGCTTTAAAAGTCTATAAATACTTTATAAAAAAATATTCTAAAAATTAACCTTAAAAAACGCTAAAAATTAATATTAAAAGAACCCTATAAAAACTGTAGATTACTTAAATTATATAAACTATATTATCTTTACGGAATAATAGACTTAGACTATAAAGATAAATATTAAGTGGCTAAAGAATTTAATAATCTTCTATAAGGTTATTAAAAAATAAATAATATTTTATTTAGCCTTAAGTATAAGTAAGTAAACCTAGCGTTTTATAAAACGTTTTACTGTAAAATATATATTATTTTAAAAGTTATAGAATAGTATAATCTTTATAATCCTTTAATATATAATTAGTAGGAATTTACCTTTTATAACGTTAATAACTGCATTACCTACTTTATGTAAAAATAAGCCTTAAGAACTATTATTAAAAATCTATTTAAGTAAGGATTTTACTTTAAAACCTATATAAGAGGAAAAAACTAAAACGATATTAGGAAATATTATAAGCTTACTAACAGATATATCCCTAAAGAAAGATACTATTAATGTAAGAAATATAATATTTAAAGACTAGAACCTACCTAGCTTATAATATATTTTGATAATATATTTTTTAAAAAAGAAGAAAAAATTAATATTTAAAACCTTAATATAATAGGAAACTTAAAAAAGAGATTTAATAAGCTTATATTTAACGGAGAATTGTAAGGATACCCTGTTAATATTTACATCAATAGTGAAGTAATATTAAGTTATATTACGCTTTAATTTATGAATTACCTAAAGTTGCTAAATAATTAAAAAGAATGACTTTATATTATCACTAGTATTAAAAATTAATAATTCTTATATAATAATAGAATAGTTAATTTTAAGATTAATTACTTTAACTTCGCTTTTAGTAAAATTAAAGATTTAATGTATTTTAATATTATAAATATTATGGGATATAATTTATTTTTAGGTTACAATTAGCTAGGGATATATAACCTTATTATTAATTAGGTAAGAGGCTATATAAGTTAGTAAATTTATATTTAATTAATTAATACCTTAGTAAAATTATAATTTAATTAAAATAAGTAATAAAATAATAAGATATTACTGGAAGAATTAAAAGCCTCTGTATTACTTAAGAAAATAAAATTATAAAAAAATAAAAAAAAGAATAAAGTTATAAAAATAGAGATTTTAGAAATTATAAAGAAAGTTAGATTCTTTAAAAAAAAATTAACTATTTTACTATAATATTATTATAAATAAAAAAAAGTAAAAGAAAAACACCTATAATAGACACTTAATATAATATAAAAAGACTTATAAAAACTTAATACTGCACTCCAGTAAGCTAAGAATAGGATAGCGGAAGATAATAAAGACCTTTTAGAAGAATGATTATCTAAAGTCCTAATTATTTACTACTAACTTAAAAAAATATTTTATAAAAATCTTAAAACTAAATTACTATAATATAGCGAATAGAATTATTAAATTAACTTAATTAATAGAAAACTCCTTAAGTTTTATAAGATTTATAATTTAGCAGAAATTAAATTTACTATATTATAAGAATAGATTAAAAAATAAAAAGCTAAAGGATATATTTATAAATCTAAATCCCCATTAGGATTTTCAGTTATATTTGTCTTTAAAAAAAATAAAAAACTTTAATTTATTATTAACTACTAATAATTTAATAAAGCTATAAAGAAAAATAGAACCCTACTACTTTTAATATTAAAAATTAAAGACTGATTAATTGGAGTAAAATAGTTTACTATATTTAATTTTAAAGAAGTATATAACCTTATTTAGATTAAGGTAGAAAATAAATAGAAGACAGTGTTTTAAATGTAATATAGATTATTTAAATGCTTAGTTATACTTTTTAAATTAACTAATGCACCTATAACCTTCTAATAAATAATAAACCATGTTCTATAAGAATTTATCGACCAGTTTATTATTATATACTTAGATAATATTTTAATTTTCTTAAAAACTTTAAAAAAATATAAAAAATATATTATATAAATATTATAAAAACTATAGGATGCTAACCTTTTAGTAGAACTAGAAAAATACCAGTTCTATATACAAAAGGTTACCTTTCTTAGATATATTATCACCCCAGGGGAAATTTAGATAAACCTTAAGAAACTTAAAGCTATTAACCTATAAAATAAAGTAAATAATATTAAAAAAGTATAAAACTTTTTAAAATTAGCTAACTATTACTAATAATTTATAAAAAACTTTATAAAAATTACTATATTATTTATAGACTTTATAAAGAAAAACTAAAAGTTTATATAGTTATTAAATGTATAAAAAGTATTTAATATACTGAAATAAGCTTTTATAAGCGAACTAGTGCTTATTATATTTAATCTAAATAAACCAGTTATAATTAAAACTGATATTTTAGATTATATAATTAAAGGAGTATTAAGCTAACTAAATGAAAACGGAAAATTAAAATTAGTTGCCTACTTTTTAGAAAAATTATATAAAGTAGAACTTAAATATTTAATCTATAATAAAGAATTTATAGTAATTATAGTTATATTTAATAAATAATACTAAAGATATTATTATTTAGGAAGTAAGTATAAAGTTATGATTTTTATAGACTATAAAAACATTATGTATTTTACTATAATAAAAGAACTTTTAAGAAGATAAATTGGTTATATGGAATACCTTTTAGTCTTTAACTTTAAAATTAAGTATTATAAAAGATTAAAAAATGAATAAGCAGACACTCTTAGCTAATGTTTTAATTACGTTTAAGAAATACCCTTTATAGAAGTATAAGCTTTATAGTTTAATGATAAAGGAAATCTTAAACTAAAGACATTAAATATTATATTCTATATTAAGGAAGATAATTTAATATTTAACGATATTAAGGAGTATATTAAAAACTGGACTGCTGAATAATATTTAGAAGGTATTTTTATAGATTAAAGATATTTAATATTTAACAGACTTATTTAGGTATTAAAGGAACTTAGAAAGAAAGTAGTTAAAATTATCTATATATATTAGCTATATAGATATAAAGGAATAAAGAAAACTATATAATAAATTCAATGGTATTATAAGTTCGATGGAATTAAGAAATAGGTATAGAAAGTGGTTTTAGAATGCGTTATATATAGAAAAGTAAAAGTAGTGTAATACCTTCTTTATGGAAAATTGTAACCTTTACTAATTCTAATATGCACTTAGGAATTAATCTTATTTAACTATATTGTAAAGCTACTACCTTTAAAAAAACCTATGACTAAGAACACTTAGGATATAATCTTTGTAATTGTTAACTAATTTATAAAAATGGTATATTTTATTTTATAAAAGGAAAGCAGTACTGCTGAAGACTTAATATATTAATTTATTAGATATATTTACGCTAACTATAGATTACTAAATAAGATCATTTTAGATAAAGAAATAACATTTACCTTTAAGTTCTGGCAATTACTTATAGTACAGCTAAAACTAAACTATAAACTTAGCACTACCTATTACCTATAAACAGATAGATAAACGGAAAAAATTAACTAAATTATTAAAATATACCTAAGAAGTTATATTAACTTTAATTAGGACAACTGGGTTAAACTCTTACCTATTATATAAATCTCTTATAATAATATACTAATAGAATTAATAAAATATTTACTATTTTATGTAAATTATAGATTTAAGCTAAATATTTATAGACTATTAAAGAAAAGAGAAAATATATAAAAAGCTATTATTATAGCTGATAATATTAAAAAACTATATAATAAACTATAAATATAGTTTAAATTTATATAGGAAAGAATAAGTAAGTTTATTAATATATAAAAGATTAGAGGATTAACCCTTTAGGAGGGAGATATGGTTTACTTACTTTAATACTCCAGAAATAAAGATATAGTAAATATTAGAATAAATTAGTTAAGCGATAAACTTAATTTTAAAAAACTTAAACTATATAAAATTTTAAAGAAAATTGGTACTGTTAACTATAAACTTAACCTTTTAGTGTAAAAAGGAAAATAGGGATAATTAATACACCTAATATTTTATATTTTATTATTAAAAAAAGTATTAGTAAATAAGGAAATAAGTAAGGTTATAAAGGATGAAATTATTATTAAAGGCAAAGAACTTAAATATAATATTAAAAAATTTGCTATAATAAAATTTAATAAAAAAACTTAATAACCTGAATATTTAGTAAAATAGAAAAACTATAATAATATTAAAAATATATAGGAATTTATTAAATACTTTAGGAACTTAAAGAAACTCCTTAATGGTTTTTATTAAAAGCTAAACCTAAAAAAGTTAATAAAAAAAGATTAAGATTAAAATTCTCCTAATTAATAGCATTAACTGCAGAACTTAAGATTATAGGATCAGCTGGATTAAGTAATAACGTTACAGTTTGATAAGCAGCCTCCGCTTCCTGCGCCTTACGCTTTTTACGCTTAACCCATTCTAACTTTTTTAAATTATTAATATTATAAGCAACTGCTTATTTTATTTTCTTAGACTATTTACGTTTATAAATACAAAGATGTTTTATTTAGGCACTGGCTTTAAGCTATATCTCTTCAGTATCTTTTAACTTTTTGCTTAATTTTAAATAATAAGACATAACTTTACGTATTTATTATAAGGTAAAACTAAATGCTTTATAATATGATTTTTAATTTTATATATAAAATAAACATTAATAAAAATCTTCTTTAAAAATAATATATTTATAGCCTTATTTTTTACAGTAAGTATATAATTTTATAACAAAGATAGAATTCTTTAATATAATATTAATAAGACTTTTATGTTTTTTTTTTTTTTACTTAGAAATATTATTATCGTTATGCTTTTACTTATAATTAATTATAATAAAAGATAAGAAAATAGAAAATAAAGAGAAAGGTTAAGTAACATTTACTAAAGGATAGAAGTGGATATTTATATACTACCCTAATTAAGTCTTAAAGATAAGATTAATAAAAGGGGAGAATTATATTACAACCTAACTTTTATAGTTGCAATAATAAGCCTATAGGGTAGGCGGAACTAGATAAACTAAGGACCAATAGGCTAATTAAAGATATTACCGCCTTAATTAGAAAAGCTAAGAAAACTAGCTTTCTAAAATAATTTAAAAAAGCTAGGAAAGCCAGCTTTCCACTATAATCCAGAATATACAACTAAATATATAAGTTTACATTTATATTACTTATTTAAATAGTTAAATAGCCAGTTATTAATATAGCAATTAGATTAGATTCAGATACTATATTTACTAACTACGTGACATTAATAAGATAACGCCCGTAACCGACCTAACCGCTCCGCTAATATAAACCTAGAACCTAGAGGTTTGTCCCTTGGAAACAGCTAACCTATACTAAACTATAGGACCCGGTTCGTCACAAAAGGTGTATTTTATAATTAACTTAAATCCCCCATTTATAATCGACGTTAAATTTAATTTAATTTTAATTCCTTTTTATAACCCAGTTGTTTAATTAATACCTTTTAGCTTACTATTACTTTTTTACTTTTTTTTATTTATTTTATTAATTAAAAAATAAATTAAATATATAAATAAAAAGTTAATTTTTGATTTATATAAACTATTTTTTAAATATTTATTTAAATTTACTTAAATATTAATTTTTATAAAAATGGTATATATTTAAATTAATATTTTAATTTTTATAAAAAAGGTATATATTTAAATTAATATTTTAATTTACATAAAAATTTATTAAAAAATATAATTAAAAAATTATTTAAAAAAAAAAACTTAAAATTAAAAATTTTTTATTTAAATTATTTGATTATTATATTAATATTATTTAAGTAATTTAAGTAAATATTTTAATATTTTTAATTTTTTAATTTTTTTTAAATAACTATTTTTTTAAATGATTTTAATATATTAATAACAATTTTTATATATATAAATTATATTTTTTAATATTTATAACCTAAATATTAATATTATTATAAATAAATATATAATTTGTTATTTAAAAAAATTTAAAATAACTTTTATTTTTTATAAATTAATTTAATTAAATTTAAAACTTAAGTTATTACTTAAATTAATTTATATATATATATATATATATTTTAATTATACTTTAAAAAAATAATTATAAAATTATAAAAATTTTAATTAATTAATATTAATATAAATAGTAATTTTTTTAATAAATTAATTAAAAAATATTAACTTTTATATTTTTATAAATAATTTATTTATTATAATGTCAGTTGCGAGGGCTTAAGTCGAAAACGCCGTTGAAGTAAGGGTGGCTTAGGCTAGGGCTTAGTCCCCAGACGCTTAGCGTAATAGAGCTTAAAGACAGTAATAGCTGTAGTAGCGGTGTGCTTAAAGTAAGTATATAGTTTAGAGGCTGGCGTCAATAGTCAGAATCTTTATAGATTAAAGCTATTGCGATTAAGGCTTTTAAGTAGTCTAAAATAACTTTAACTTCCCTAAGTTATTAAAGCTGATTTTTATAGACAGAAATAACAATGATGGTTTGTTGTTGTACTAAATTATAATATAATAAGGTTCCTTCCTATAGAAAATTGTATGTAAAAGTACAACGATCTGTAAGCTATCAGCAACCTATCGAAATTTGGGGTTATGGGGCTTGTACCTAACTAACCTTTATGATGCCTGTGGGGTGTAAGCCGCTTGCAAATTATACCGTCCAAGCATGGCGTCATCACCCCATCGCGGAAGCAACCCGCGCTGCCGCTCCACGGAAGGGGTCTACCAAGGCTATCTTCAACCAGCACAATGCAAGAATACCACTAGTTGAGGAATTGAGTTCTTGGAATGACCATGTCTGCCCTGGGAATTTCACAACAACTGCATGTGTTCCTGCATCACGATGCGACAGTAAATGGTTGACATCATCTGGCAGCCTCACATTGCTACCCGAGTTGCCAAGGCACCGTGCAGATGGCCAGACCAGCCAGGGCAAGGCCCTGTCAGAAGCCATTTAGCGGACCATCGGCTCGGCCGTGGCTCTCCCGTGGCTCCTGAACACGACATTATCGCCTTGGGTGGCAAGATGCGACGCCTAGATACGTTGGGCGGTCCGAATAGGGGGGGCTGACCTGGATAGAATGTAACCCTAATGCATGTTTAACGCAGCTATTTCCTAATACTAGCTGAGTTACGTATTACGTACCGCAGAGCAATGCGGATGGACAGATCTGGTGGTTGCAATCATCTAGAGTGCTGCTGTGTATTATACCATACACAATTAACTTTTGATGGGGTCTATTGTCTATCTCACAGACTTGAGCCAGCCACATCTATTTGGATCGACTCATTCATTGATTCATTTACGTATATAGCAATTACATAGAGTACATACCCAGGCAGCACTACTTCCTTGTAAATGTAAATAATAGTGCTAATTCACCCTTTACTCAGACGGCGGATTGGATGGTATCACAGGGTAGCTACGTAAAGCCTCATATCGCCGCCGTGCGGCAACACACAGTCGCACAACACTATTCTAGCGTCCACTACCCCCTCATTATGATGCACGTGCATGGATCGAGCACAATCTCATGGTGTAAAAATATAAGTCTCACTGCATGTATAATAACATGGTCATTTGTGAAAGCTCAAATGTTGTGCTATGTCAAAAGAAATTGCGCTGTGGGTATCATACGACTAAAAACACAAGCATCAGCAACTACTGGAGGATTTCATGGTTCCTTAGCATATGTGGTAACAAGGTAATAGAACATCCAATTCTAAATATAGTACCTGTGCTACATATTTCACTCTCGGAGTACTCTTGTGATTGCGGAGGATCGGATGGCTGCGAGACACCTCTTACTATGTACACAAGACATGCCACATAGAACAGCATCCTGCCGGTTTTCAACGGCAACACGCGTCGCTCTCCCCGGGTTGAAAAACTCTACGTCAGGCAGGATCTAATTGTGAGTGAAAAGTCGGTTGCATAAAAATCAATGCATCTCACCGCAAAGGGAGAAAAACAAAATACCTAGCAAAACACACAGCCTTGTGTTACAGAATATGTTGTTGGGTGTCCGACTTGCATGTTATCTAAATCCCCCAACCAGCTTCACCCATTTTTGCCGCCCAGGCTCCTGCCCGTGCAAAGGAACGAATAGGACATGCGCTGAGCCGCTCATCCGGCCTCTGTGCTCCACGCAACACAGCGTAGCATTTCACGGTAAACCAATATTATTTGAGCATTTCTACCTAATGTCCACTCCTTGGACCCCATGTAGGAGATCCTGGCATTATGGAGTTTCTGCACGGCTGCCTCTGGCTGGGGGAGGCAGTGCCCTCCTCTACTGCCAAGGATCATTCCTCAGGATTGAACATATTTTTTTTCTCTTCTGATAATTTCTACCATTTGAGTTATTTCTTTGATTGTATTCGCTTACTTTTTGTGTAACTATTTCATTACTTTTATGCGTGATCCACGTCGCCATTGCCCACGGTGCCTGTCTAGAGAAGAGACATGGCCAGCACCAACCTCGATGTGATACAAACCGTGCCACGTGTGGCAACCCTCATTTACCAGACTCACCAGTTATGGCAGGAATTCAGAGAAGTCCCAGACGGGATTATGGGGCTTGTAGAGCAACTGAAGGCCCTGGAATCGATATTCTCCGAGATCGAAGACCAGTTTAACCAGGATGGCGCTTCAGCATCGTTCAAGAACTGTCTTCATCTATCAAAAAAGGCTCATGATTCTCTAGGAATTCTAGTTGCAGATATGAGAACGCAGCTGCAAGCAAAAAAGAGCGTAAAGCGCAAATATGCAGCAGTCAAGATTTTGCTCAACAAGGCTGTTTTGGCGAGGCTTGAACAGAGTCTATCTCGATGCATGAATTTTTTACAATTAGCAATACAGGCATATCAGATGTGAGCTTACGGATTTCTAATTGTCTAGTTTATACAAGCCTTTTTTAACATTGAGCAATTAGGGCAATGCTTCGGAAACTTAGCTCTCAGACCCCCTCTGCAAGATTCCAGCCACAACATCATGCACAGGTCCAACAACCTCTCTCACAACAACTACAAACGAAAATGCCTCAAAAGCAATACGATGAGGATGTAGATGACAATGATGCGCCTATGATCCATAGAAACACGACTGAGCTGTCTAGAAAAACCTCGAATTCATTTGCCTTCTCTTTGTCAAAACATGCACGGTTTGGATTGACTTACTCAAAAGATACCGGCGCCTGGCAAGCCCAGATGCAGCTGCCGAGTTGGCTGTCAAGATCAATTTACGAATTTATGTCTCAGCCCTCCGTCGCAGGTTGGACATATAGCTACCGTGTATACAATATCGTTCCAAATGATTCGGAAATTATGATGAGAATCCGGGCTGGGGACCTAGCAGGAGTACAAGAGCTCTTCAGCACTAAGGAAGCATCGCCTTTCGATAGAAGTATAGACAATGGAACACTACTACATGTTTGTCTCACAAGTTTGAAATCTGATATGCCAGATGGCTAATATTGTTATTTCGCCTCTCCCAATTTTAGGAAGCTGCATCTTGCCAACAATACGAGATATGCCAATTATTACTTAATCTTGGTCTTCGGACTCAGTTAGATGAGGGAGAAATGCCCAGGTTTGTCTTTATAGTATCATTGAGTATACAAGGCACGATATATAGGCTAATCTTGGGACAGCTCGACACCTCTAGCGGGCATTGCAACTTCAGTCGTTGCTGACACTGTCGCACAAACCAAGATACTGAAGAATACGGTGCCAAGGAAAATTGCAAAGCTGTTTGCTTTGTATCTTCAAGAACCGGATGCCTTGCCGGCAGAAAGGCTACTGGATTTCGTAAGAGAATATTCCACTAACGATCTCAAAGTCAAAATATTTCAAGAGCTTTTCATGCCTAGCTATTATTTTCGCTTATTGCGGGATCGTCTAGAGGTTGTGCGACTCGGGGCATTCATTGTCCTATCTCCCAAAACTCTCGAAAATTTTATTTCGGAAGATGGAATCATCACGCAAGCTGATGTTAGGCAGTCAACTCGCGAGAAATCATCACTCATGCACTCTGCAGCTATCACGTTTGGCTGCAGATACCCCGAGGCACTCGTGACTTATCAGAAACCCTTCGCTTGGTTTCGAGCATATGGTTCACTTTGGGGTTCATTTGTAGTGCATATTGCCTCCATGGCGAGCCAACAAGACCTACACAGTATCGAGGAGGTTGTCCCGTGGGATGGTTACCAGGTCACTACTTGGAGAGGGACGCCATTCATATCAGTCATAGGAGCGACTCTTTGCTACCTCTGCCCAGAAATTTCGCTCTATCACTGGGACACTATGCTCCAAGCGAGTATTCGTAAATGGCTATCATTATTAAGAGAAGCAGGGGTTGATTTGATGGAATACGGGACAGGAGAGGTGGAGCTGCTTGGTGATACGGAGGATTGCACCAGAGGGGCTTTTGATGCTCACGCCATTGAGCGTTCAAGATGTATAATACGGCGACGGATGAATGGCGTGGAACCGGTGAAAAAGCTATGCCGCATGTCTGACGATATGTGCTGGACTGACACGCATTGGATTCCGCTTCGGATTATCGATCTCAGGGTTGGGCCAGAGCCAGAGGATTGGAAAATTATATGGGCGCCTGAGTTCGAGTATATGGCGCATGAGTTTTGGATAAGCATTGAGAAGAGCATGGTTCGGATGCCTGGAGCTTGGGTGGATTAAGAAGATGTATAGAAATATGGATGAGGATGATGGGTTCAGCAGCTCCTACCAGTGTCCTACAATAATTGATGAGGAGATGCCATGATGGGAGTACTGCATAAGTTTATATGCAGATTGTGCGTTGTATCTACATGCAACTTGCAGAGTGACTGCAATTGCTGGAGCGGCTTTATCTGTTTTACTTTCACATGGACAGCTGAGGTGCACCGCCGATGACGAGAGAAACAGGCGGCTAAGAAGGTGAACCCCGCCCCCTCATGCGGGGCCAGAATCCATTACTTGCCCATCGAAATAGACTTTGGATGTGCTATCGCTTTTTCTTATACATATGGACGTTCATGCTTATTGAATTTCTGCCTCTTATCGAACTAGTTCATTTAATCAAAGAATCTGAGCTGAAAACTTGAAGTCATGGATACCAGACCAGCAACGAAGGCCGGCTCATGGTATGAAAAGGACCCGGAAATCTTGGCTGGAGAGCTCGACGAGTATCTTGCCAAGGTTCCAGAGGATGTCGATGGTTCTTCGCTGCCGATCCCGGGGGCTCGAATCATTATTGCACCGTAAGCTACCCAAGAGAACTGCAATTTACAAGCTGTAGCTCACATGTCTATGAAGACACGCAGGATATGCATACTCGGGACCAAATGCGGCTTGGGCCTACAGCTGTCTGGATCTCAGCAAGGCGAAGCGAGTCTTCATCCTGGGGCCATCTCATACTTATGGCTTCTCAGGCTGTGCTGTGACCACATTTTCACATTATTCCACACCCTTTGGTGATTTCACTGTGGATAGGGATACCATTGAGCGGGTTAAAGAGGCTGGAGGTATGAAAAATGCGCCGCCTAGGAACGATGTCGCGGAGCATTCCCTAGAAATGCACTTGCCATACCTCTACAAACGATGTGAACAGACTTTCAAGTCCCCGGAGGAATTCCCCAAAGTGGTCCCCATCATTGTTGGAAGTACCAGTCGAGCAGATGAGAAGGATATCGGTCGACTTCTTCTGTCGTATCTCAAGGACGAAGAAAATGCCTTCATCATCAGCTCAGACTTTTGTCACTGGGGCTCGCGGTTTGACTATGCCGTTTACACCCCGGATGGGAACATTGGCAAGCTATCTTCTCTCCATGACCGCAGCCCGAAGCCATCGGGGCCGCCCATTTATGAAACGATTCGTCTGCTTGATGAAGCGGCTATGGATGCTGTCAAGAGCGGCAGCCATGACGCCTTTGTGGATAACCTTAGACTTACAGGAAACACGGTGTGTGGAAGGCATCCAATTGGAATTGCAATGGCAGCCCTCGAGCTCTATGCTAAAGAGCTCAACGACGAAGGCATGAGCCGCTTCAAAGTTGTGAAATATGACCGTAGCAGTGAAGTTATATGGCCGGATGACTCGAGCGTCAGCTATGTTTCTGCCTATGCAGTTTTGTGAGAGCAGGGTCGGCAAGAGATAGAATAAGCGACTAAGGATTTGAGTATTCTGGGCGGTGAGAATTACAAAGGCAATAGCATTACCTAGGGTTTTCCTAGGGCTTTTAATAATAGATTTCCATTTTTGAAGCTGCTTTGTCAACGCTACTTGCTTGCACTTGAGAGGTTCGAGCTAAGGCTGGCTGGGATTCGATGCCTTGCGCGCGCTATTCAAATCCTCATCAAATCATGCCCGCTTGTCTGTTCTTGCGTGATGTTTCCAAACTGTTGTTGGTCCCATGTTGGAGCAAGTTGGGGTAAATCGAAGCAGGTTATTGCGGCTATTTGACGATAGACGAAAATCCTTTCTCTAGATGAAGCAAGAGCTCTGCATCGCCGATTATCCAGAAGGATCCTGCATCGGCCATCTGGCAACGTTAATCCAGATTTGTCGTTGGGCCACTGCGCCAATCCACTGAGCGTGGAGGCAGTGTCAGGAATTGTCGCCTAACGACGCCGTTCTTTTTTTAGAAGCCCGTGGCCATGCTGACGGCATCCAGATCCGTTACGAGGTACAGTACGAAGCGCAGTACGAAGCGCAGTACGAAGCAGAGGCTATGTGTGCTGGTGGCGCATCGCCAGTGTCAGCCAGCTCCTCACGTCGGTCCCCCCAGCAGAGTAGAGCATTTGTCTGATCGTCAGGTCGACTCCAGTCCAGTCCAGTCCAGTCCAGTCCAGTCCAGTCCAGCTCAAACAAGCGCAGGCGAGCAAGCAATCAAGCAATTTGCTCGAAAATAAAAACACCAGACAAGCAACGTGCTAGTCCCTGTTCCATGGCGCTACAGCTGATACCCCCGTAGTGCAATCTCTGCGACTCATCAAAATCCTGGCAGGGCCCCGATGCCACACCCGGCCATGGAGCCAGGCTTGCCAGGGCAAATCAATGCGCGCCACCGGCCTCTAATCCACTAGTCTGTGCTGTGCTGCAGCTGCTGGTCCAATCACGGCCGCTGGTTGTCGACACCATCTGACGCTCGAGATGCGACGAGGTTGAGGTTTGACGACGAAGGGGGGAAGCAAAAAAGCCTTGCCCCGGGGTTTCGATCCAGCTGCTGCCGTTGTCTGGTCGCCGAGGCAGTTCTGCCACTTACCAATCGATTAGCATCGGCTTCAGCCTGCTGTCTACTTATACGAAGCGCTGGCCAGGTCATTGGACAGTGGAAGTGATTTCGTTTGGCCGTCGATCTCCTTGCTAGCGACTGAGTGCAAGATTACGCTCGTGATAGTATTATTGCAGTGCCTTTGTTTTTATTACGCCAGGCGCCACGGTGCAACTCGCCCTTGTACAGGTACCCTTCAGTGGCTGCACACAGCGGCTCAAACGGCTCCCGCGCCACTGCTGGTACGTACCGGTACCGCCACCCGAGACCAAGTCTTGTAGGGCCGCTCCTACCTGGTCTGGGCCCCGCTATAGTGCAGCCGCCCCCTTCTCGCTTTCCTCTATAACCCTTGTCTGGAAACCCGGGCTTGGGCCTCCTGCTCCTGGGCCATTTTACTTTCTTCCAACCTTCTGCCGTCGTGTTTCTGCAATTTACATACACGTTTTGGTCTGCGTTGTCCATCTCAGAGCCATTGCTGTGCTTTTCTCCCTTTTCTCGCCGCTGTACGTCTCGAACGAGCACGGCAGAATCCTCGATCGTCACTCGGCCTCGACCTCTGCCGCTTACAGCGTTTCGCCCAGTCTACCGATATCCCTGGTATCCTCCTAGCCGCATCCACAATGAGTGTGAGTGTTTCACCCCGACTCTCCTACGGCTGTCGTTTCAACACGAGCGTCCGAGCAGACAAGAAAACCATCTGCGTTCGCATCCAATTCCCTCCTCTTCCTGCTTCTCCCCTCCAGATTCACATGCATATTCATTTACACGCCGTTTTATGATTCCTCGAATAGCTCGCTAACAATGGCACAACAGTACGGGTTCGTAGCATGCTGAATGCAATATGCCTGCATTGCCCCTCAAATCCACATTCCAGTCACTAACCACAGTCTCTCATCAGATACGGCGGCGGGAAGCAGAACCCGTACGACCAACGGGACGACAACGGCTATAGCGGTGCCGGCTATGATCAGGGCGGCTATGATAACCCCCCTCCCAGCTATAACAATACCCCCTATGGCGCTGGTGGCCGTGGTTACGACCAGGCTGGAGGTATGGTTGACCATATATACCATTTCACTGGCAGCAATTCAGACATTAACGGTAAACTTGCAGCTACCGCAGTCGAGATGGCTCCTCTAACCCAGAACGCCGGCGGCATGGCCCGTGAAGACCCCAATGCGATCCGCAACGAGTGCCGTGACATCAGCAACACCGTTCGTCAAGTCGAGACCAACCTGGAACAGATCAAAGTGCTTCAATCCCGAGTTCTCAGCGATGTCGACAGCTCCTCGTCCAGCCAGTCTAACCGCCAATTGGATGCCCTCACCACCGAGACCATGGCCACTTACCGTGCCCTTGCCGACCGCGTGCGCCAAGTTAAATCCAAGCCCGAAGGTCGAAGTGCTACGAACAGCGGCCATGTGGACCGAGTCGATCGAGAGGTCAAGGCAGTCATCACCAAGTACCAGACTGTTGAGTCCGAATTCCAGGCTGCTGTCAAGCAACAGATGGGTCGCCAATATCGTATTGTCCGCCCGGAGGCTACAGAGGAGGAGGTCCAGGCCGCCGTTAACGATACTGGCAACGGCCAGATCTTCAGCCAAGCTCTGATGCAAAGCGACAGACAGGGCCGTGCTCGTGCGGCACTGAGCGCCGTTCAGGACCGCCACAAGGAGTTGCTCAAGATTGAGCAGCAGATGACGGAGCTGTTCCAGCTTATGCAGGATCTTGATACCCTGGTCGTCCAGCAGGATGCCGCCATTGTGCAGATTGAGCAGAAGGGTGAGGAGATTGTCGAAAACCTCGACAAGGGCAATGAGGAGATTGCTGTGGCTGTCACAACTGCCAGATCCACCAGGAAGAAGAAGTGGATTTGCCTCGGTATTGTTGGTATGTTGATCTCGATTCTACCATTGATGCTGGAATTCAACGCTAACCTTGACAGTTGCCATTATCGCCATTGTTGTCATCATCGTCCTCATTTACGTCTTCGTCATCCGCGGAAACAACAACAACAAGAAGCGATCTCTGCTCGAGGGAGTTGCCATGCCAGTTGTTCGTCTCGGCGCTCGTATTCCCATGGACGAGGCTTTGGCCCTGAGACTTGGCCGCATAGCACACGGAAGGCCTCACATGCCCGTCGCACCTCCGCTGAACTAAACAAGAGACGGCTAGCAACGAAGTGAAGTTGGAGGAAGGAAAAGAGAGGAGAGGTATAAAAGGGACGCGTGCACACGTTTTGACTCTATTTTCATTGAAAGACATTGTATAAAGTAGCTATCGACATGTGGCAAGGACATATGCCTATATTTCTTTTGTCTACGCCTTTGGATCTGGGCACCACGCAAAGGCTAAAACATTCCGATGGCTGTTGAAAGGGAATGGGCCTTGAATTTTTTTCTTATGTCGTCGAAGAACGGGAGATGGCCGATTGGATTGATTGTGTTTAGATGCCTCTGCGATTGTTTTCGTCTACGCTTGTTGGGCTGCTGTTTCTTTTTGGGAAGATTTATTATTTTTTTGGAGTTTAGCATTTGAGGCGCTCAGCAGAAAGTTCTTTTTAATCAAATTTTAATCAAAATATTCTCATTCTTGCGCGCATCTCTTTAATGTGTATCAACGAAACGATTGCATGTTTGACTGGGTTAAAGCTGAATTGACTATGAATACGTGTAAATCACGAGTAGGATATATAGGGGTTAGATTTGGAATCAAGGTGAGAGGTTCAATACAGCTGTAACAGCTGGTCCAATACGAAACCATGTTTTGGCCAGTAATTCAAAATCCAGAATCAATCCATATATTTCGAGTCCAATCGGCAAAAGCACATAAAATATGATCGATGATCCAGGTTCAATACCAAACTCAAAAAACATGCGCAGCATGGCCTGGACAACAATGTTCAAACACAACGCAACAAGCTTCGAATTATAGTTCAATGAATGAGCAGTAGTTATTGTAGTGTATGGTAGTATTATTATCTGATATGTGAATCAATTGCTAGAACAGAAATCACCATGAGCGGAGAAGAACATGTCTTTAAGGCTCAGTAGTACAAGAAGGGCAAGGAAGAAGAGAAGCGAAGTGAGGGAAGAAGAAAACTCCGGGGGTAAATAGAGATATAAGAAAAAAGAGAGCCAAATCTAAGCCCGGTATAGGCGACTGTACGCCAAGCGATGCTTTCCAAGGAGTCTTGCGAGTGCTGGTATTGTGAAGAAGTCTGGGTAGTTTCAGGTTGGGTGCCTTTGCCGTCATCGTAAATAGGTGCTGTTGTTTGCGAAGAGGTTGTGTAAAGAAGGAGAGTTGAGACAGAGAGAGATAGTCAGTGCCGAGTTTGGCTGGCATAAGATGGACATCCCCGCGTCGTTTGCTTGAGAAAGCATTCATCCATCCTGTCCTTCTGACACTCCCTTCCCGCTGACCTCGTCGTGAACAGCTACCGCATCTTCTCCTTGGTCAGGATGCATCATCCCTTCATTCAGCCTGCCCAGAGCTTCCTTCCGCCTCTCGCCTTCGTCAACGACCTTCCTGAGCACGCCCATGCGGCGCCTAAACTCCTCGGTGAGCAGCTCCACGTTCTCCCGGCCGACAATCTCGCTGCCTGAGCTGGGCAGGCTGTTGGGCCTTGAGGAGATAGGCTCGCGCTCTACGCCCTCGACGCGAAGAACGACCGACGTTGACCCGGCCTCGGCGTCATTGCCCTCGCTGCCGCTGCCGTGCTGCTGGAGGGAGAGCTGGGAGGCTGTGATGGCGAAGTCGGGGGTGAGGCTGGATGCCCAGGAGACGGTCCATTTGCCGTTGGGGGCGGCGGGCGGAGCGAGGTCGACGACGAGGGCGCGGTGCGAAGGGTCGTTTTGCGGTGCGGTGAGGATGGCAGAGGCGTCGTCGTCGCTGAAGAGGTAGTGGACGCGAGGGTGGACGGTGGTGTTTGTGGTGTTGTTGGTCAGGAGGGTGAAGATGGGCTCGAAGGGCGGGAGGTTGGCCGAGGCGGCTGCATGGTTGGCCGCGTCGACGTCGTCGGTAACGTCGATGTTGTGATTGTTGCTGCCATCGTTGGCATCGATGAGGCCGTTGCTGCTGTTGTTGTTATTGTCGTCGCCGCCGCCGCCGTGATTGTGGTGATGCTGTTGCTGCTGCTGCTGCTCGGGCGATTCCGCAGGCCGGGCTGCCAAGGCTGCCTCTGGCCGTTGAGGCTGGGTCTGCGATGCTGATAAGGACGGATCGTTAATCGCCGGCGACGCTGCGGTTAGCGGAGCGGGCGGCTCCGCGCAAGACAGATCCCTATCTGGGCCGGACATGGTGATGGGACTGGACGGGGACGCAGAGAAAGGACGACAGACGCGGCATCTTCAAGGGCAAGGGCAAAGCCTGGCCGTGGTTCTGCTGTCCGTCAGCCTGCTCTGTGCCGTGGTTGGCTTCGTTTTGCTGTTTGGCTTTGAGGCTGCGCGGCTACCGGAAGCGTCCAGGTACCTGGGCGCTACCTGGCGTGGCAGGCGACCGCCCGTATAGCGCCTGTATAACACCCGTATAGCACCTTGTGTACTTATAGCACCTTGCACAGCACCCGGGTTTAGCAGCCGTAGGTGGCGCTTGTTCGCTGTGGCCCAAGGTCTCGTGCTGAGGCGGGACGGGGCCTTTCAGTCTCAACTGGCTCAAGCACAGCACAGCACAGCACAGCACAGGTACAGGTACAGGTACAGGTATAGGTACAGGTGCTGTGCTGTACTGTATTACTCGCATAGTACAGACGGTAGAGCTCCGTAACGCAACAGCTGAGCGAGCTCTCTTTCTGCAGGATGACGCGCGCACTCGACTCAGGACTCTGGCCTATCTTATCGCCACGTGAGCCGCATGCATGCAAGCATCATATGGCATATCAGCAGCGACGCCAAGCACCAGCAGAGCCAAAAGCTCACATCATTCTCCCCAAACCCCATCCAGCAGCTCACTGCCAATCTCCATCATCGGGCAGGGCCCGACCAAATCACCTCAGGCCAAATTGCTAGGCGGTGCGTGGTGCGTGGTGCGTTGTGCGTATACGAGTCCTGTCCGCCGACCTCGTACGTAACCTCTGCTGCCATTGGAAGCCGCCGCCTCGACTCGTGAACCCATCCTGCTAGCGTTGAGCTAATACCTGTCCTAAAGCCATTGGGCTTATGCGGAGCACGCCACGGTTGTCTGTTCTGTGTTGCTGCTTGACTGTCCTCTTGGTTGCATGACGCGGGATTAGTTGTGGGAAGCTGCCAGGTACTCGTACTACTGCGAGCACGAACGACAAATGCGTTAGCATCCGACTTAGCACGGCATGCTTGGATGCTACTTTTTGCGGCCAAAGGTGTAGGGAGGGGCTCTCCGAGGCCAGCTTCCACAACTCTGCAGCTCTCGTCGGTCGTAGTGGCGTCGAATGGGCGGGATGGAGCCAAGACTCGAGGTTGATTTGTTCTAGCACTCGTGGAAGCTCGTGAAAAGCACCGACCTTAGTTAACTGAGTTCCACCCTTCCCAACAGTCAACACGCCGCCCAAAAGCCCGAACTCGGCGACAGCCGCTCCGCTCCAGTGCGTCCCAACTTTGATTCACCAAACCGTCACCGATCCTGGCTGTCCAGTTCCCAGGATGAGCCAGTCAAGACTCCCGGGCCCGGTTTTCTGAGCCGTAAGAAGCTCCACGATGGGGGCTCCAATTTCCATATGCAGACCCAGACGCTTCTACCCCAGTTGGGCGTTCTGATTTGAAACGCACCACCTGCTGAGTGACGTTTTTTCTGCCCGGCGCGCCACAAAAATTTCCTCCTTGATGCTCCGACGTGCCTTTTCCAATGCAGCTGCCGTAATGGCGCTATGAGTGGCCAGGCAATCCGTATGTAACCGTCAAGTGGCGGTCTCTTTGAGATGAGAGCATTGGTTAAATTCAATCCGTCAGTGTGGGGAGAGAAGGGGGGGAGAAGGAGAGAAGGAGAGCAAGAAATTGTTGAAAGATGCCCAAAAATTGTAATCAAAACAAAGGAAAAAAAACGCCTGCTCCCCGTCTATTTTAGGTCTATAAAGGGATATCATCAGAAGATGTTGTTTTTTTTCCTCTCCCGTGCGCATCACTGGAATCTGCGCATCACCTTCTATTTCCTTTTTCCCCCTTTCCTTTTTCAACTTCTCTTTGTTGCTCCCCGAGAGAAACCCAGTGCCAAGAAAAGAACATCCGTCAACTGCGACATGGAAAGGTGGTTGAAGAGAAAAGACGGAACGCTTCCTTCCTTGGTTCTTTTCTGCGACGAGGCTCGAGTCATGCTACAGCTTGAACAAGCCAAGCCTCCCCAGACTTGCTTCTGTCTAGCAGTAGCGGTAAGGTGAAGGGTGCAAAGTGCGTAGGCGTAAGCGGAAAGAGATTCTATATGCATCAGACTGAGAAAAAAATCAAAAAAGACGTCATAATCATCAAGTGAGGCACTGCCTCAAGAGGTATGCAGAGCGCGGAAACCGGCCGCAATCAGGCTTCTGGCTTGATCTCGAGAATCCGCCGGTCCGTTCCAGTAAAAGAGCCCCTGCAATGTTAAAAAGCTTGAGCGTTAGCAAAGTTCCCTTTTACCGTCTCACAGAGATTGGATGAAGATGAGCTCCACAGACCCCTAATCCCTTTTGCTTGCAAAATTCCGCCTTAACCTTGACCGTCTCGGGGTTGTCGTAGGTGACAAACCCCCCATCGCCGCCGACGCATTGGGCCGCAATATAGCGCCTATCCACAATCTCTTTGCATCCCTTCCGTGGCAGCTCGCTGTACTCGAATGTGCCGTCTTGGCCGCCTACGCCGTTGAAATCCTGTCCGGGCCCGTTGGCCTTGAGGAAGCTCCGTCCGTACGTAGGGATTCCGAGCAGGATGCTCTTGGGGGGGAATCCCTGGGCCATGAGATGTGCCACGCCGGACGACGCCGACGGCTCGTCCTTGTTCATGGTGTATAGCTGTGCGTGGTGACCGCTCTTTGATGTCCATGTGCCAAAGAAATCATACGCCACGAGGTTGATGTAGTCAAGGTACTCGGCTGCCGTCTTTAGATCGATGAGGTCGAGCACCTCCTTCGCCGCGGGAAGGACGGCTGTCAAGATGAAGCGGTCATCGGGCAGGTGAATCCGGACTGCTGCCAACAGGGCTAGGAAGTCGTGGCCATGTTTAGCCTCGGACGGGAACTCCCAAGCAACTATTCCGACCAGTGTACGATTAGCCGTGGACTTGCATGTGTGTGTGTGTGTGTGTGAGCGTGTGTCAGAGCGTGTGTGAGAGAGAGAGAGAGTGGGTGATGGCTGTGACTTCTTTTATCCCCCACCAAATTCTCCTCTTTTACTCACTGTCGATGCCATCAAGTCCGGAAGCTTCAACGAGGCCAAGGGCAGATCGGGCAAAGTTGTCCCTGAGCAGAGTGCTGGACGCAACAATGGGAAATACCTCGGACGCGGTGCTGCCGCCAATAGATAAGACGACCTGCAGGTGAGGGTGCCTCTGCTTGAGATGCATCAAGGATCCCAAGCCACCCTGAACGCCATCCACTGGCGCTCTTGCATCGGCCCACTCATCGCCAAGCTGGGCCACACGTCACAAAAGTCAGCCAGCCGTGCAACATATGCAGGTGAAATCTTCTCAACTTGTCCCGAACAAGAGCACGGAATGAAGCCACTTTGGCAATGGTGGCTTCCGGGCATTCATCAGGACTCACAAACACACTGCCGTCCGCAGTCACACTGGCATAAGCATAATACACGTGGTTGATGCAGCCGTAATTGAGCATTCCGGGCGAATCACCTTGGTATATTCTGCTGCTAGGGAAATAGACTGCATTGGTGTACATGACTCTGGCCACACTGGTGGCCATTCGTGACTTGCGTGATACGGCGCTCATGTTGCTGTCGGTTTACGGCCAAACAAGCCGGAGGATAACGGCGGTGACGGAGGGGACGGCGACTTGAGGAATAAGCCGTGGCCGTGGACGGGGTCATCAATTGGCGGCCGAGTCTGAAGCATAGAGAGGCGGCAAGGGGTTTGAGAGGGGGGGAGAGACACAGAGGGCAGCAGCATGGGACAGTTTTGTAGTAAATCGGCAACATTGTGAAGATCCAACTTCAAAAGCCCTGCCGGAGACGTACTACTCGGGACGGGGCTAGCTCCGGAAGGCCAAACGACCAAGACAGCAACTCAGGTTAGGCATCAAGGGGGTGGGCGGCCCTGCTGGGGCTCAGTGCCGGCGTGTCGTGTGTTTCTTGGGGGCATGATTGCCAAACACCATTCACACGCGGCGTGGTACGGAGCGCTCACTCATACGAGCATACACCGATATGGAAGAGGGAGTCAAAACCCTAGGCCGAGCAAAAGACCAGCGGTCCGGGTGGTGGGACGGGCAACAGTCGAATGGCAAGTCGCGGTGGGGACCGGGGGCTTTGAAATGTCTTGGGCACTGAATACAGAGATGGGACACAGGAAGAATGCAAATTACGCACAGAAAAAAAAAGAGATGAGGGTCCGAGGAAAGCCCTCGGAGTGGTCAGAGGCCAGGGAGAGACGAGGCCATCCACGATGCATGACATAATTGCGGGGAGCCCAACTGCTGACTTGCGTGGGAAGAGGAGAATGACATGTACAGGAGGATAGAGAGGCAGTGACAGCATGCGTGGGATGGATGTCCAGGTCCGAGGAGAGCTGCTGGCTGCTGGTCGAGTTGAGCCACCTCTGACAGAGCCGTCTTTCTATTCTGCTTGAGCATATATAGATAGGTCCGATACTCGATGACTGCGGTTTCCTTACGTATTGATGCTAGATAAAACTGTCCTCGTCCTTGTCGGTTGCCCATGTCCAGAGATGACTGGGCTGTCGGCGATCAGAATCGAGTGGAGGGGGGAGATGGCGACCCGTTGGGAGAGCTAGACACGATGGGAGGCTGGATAGCTTGACGGATGAGGTGGACATTGACCAAAAGGCCCGTCCGTCCTAAACCAGATCCCGCTACCGCTCTTTTGCCAGTGACTGCGACGACCGCAGCCCATTCCGTTTCTCGAGGTTTGCAATGATCCCATTGCTGATTTTTTTTCTCTCAGCCTCTCTCCTCTCTCTCTTCTTCTTCTTCTTCTTCTTATCTGGGATTCCTTCTGACTGCTGCCGCACGGACTCTGGGTCCTAAAAATTGGGTCGCTTCCACCCATGTTTGTCGTCCCTTGGATAGGATTCGTGACTTCAAAGAAAACTCTTAAGCGCCGTGGCTACATCGCATCCGTGGACGGCAGGACCCGACCCGTCTTTGCCTTTCTTGACCGCCAGCTTTTCCCTTCCCTGCCTTGTCATATTTGATTGAATCTTCAGTTCGGAGGTTGTGAAATGAGACAGGCTAATGCGATACTAGCCCGACGCCTTGACGAAAGCTCCCCAATCAGCCCAACATCGACAAGGCGAGACAGCGTTTCGGCGGTGGTGAGGCATACTTGACCGGCTTCTTTGACCGAGACAAACGCTGCATGTCACAACAAATCACGTCAGATTCGCCTCGTGGACATGCGTCAACGGTGAGACAAGCGCGTTTTGAGGCGGCGAGACCGAAATGACCGTGGAGTTGCTCCATCGCGGCCATCATGTCCATCACCGCCGGACCAGTTGCGAAGGGAAAACACAAAACGGGGCGCGCCCTGTCGGATCGTCCTCAACGGGCGTTTTGTTCAACGGCAAGTCCTGGCAGGCGGCAGTGCTGTGGAATGTTGACTGTGAGACAAGTAAGAACTCGACCGCAACTTGGAGAGGCTAGGAAAATGACGGCATGGAGCCGGCACAGCCTGTAGTTTCCCTGAATTCCCTTTCTATACGGCCAGTCAGGCCTTGTCCGTCTCGGAGCAGTGCATTTGTGCGAGTGTAGAGCGAAGAGGTTAAGCTGATGTTCAGGAGAAGGCTGGCAAGTACGACGCAACCGCCTGCAGGGTGAGTCGACTTGCGCAAGGCTGTCAAGGAGCGCCCTCAGGCACCAATCCGTCCTTCTCCTTGGCCTTGTTCTCTCCAGCGGTCTTCTTCATCTCCTCTTGTTTGGGTTCAGTCACAATATGTACTCAGTCGGAAGCAGATAGCAATGGAATCTAATTTCCTCGTGTGGACTGAGAACTTAAGCGATAAACCTCCGCTGGCCACTTTGGAGAATGTTCTGAAAAGGAGGATGCGAATTTCTCCATCGAGCGAATTTTTTCCCTCTACTGCTGCTCGGACTCCTCCCCTCTTGGTTGACCAATGAACGGATAGGTAATGTAGAACATTCACCGTTGACGGCAAGCCTTGCTCATTATTCTGCTTACAAAGTACAGAAACTCGCTGGGGCAACATGCTCCCATAAAGTCTGCATAGGTACTTCTAGCCCGGCAGCAGATGTCGTACTCGTAGTAGCCGCTGCTATGCCGGCTGCATTTGGCTACGGCAAGCTATGCTTCTACGTTGAATGATGCTTTTCATGTCTGACACTTTGGCCAGGCCCTTCTCCAAACCGGCACTATGAGGATGCACATGACGAGGTTCATGAGGATTAGGAGCACGGCGCTGACTGCGGGCATTCTACGCGCTTGTCCACTTTCCTTCTGCTCGCCTTGGGAACTCTGTCGACGCATAGCTTGGATGTCAACGGCATCGCTAAAGCGCCAAAGCTTCAGAGAGGGGGATCTGTGCTCCTTGCCGAGCATTGTCACGCCCCTTATGCTACATCCGTCGCGATATTCCGGAAGTCAGTTCACCTCTGACTTATGCTTGCCCCCATTTACGTGTCAGCCGTTGCACAAGCTATACATCAGGCTGCACAAGATGCTGCACAAGGCGCTGCACAAGCTGCCGCGCGGGTGAAAAGAAGCCCCAACCGCCCACCATGCTCAAAGTATGGAGAAACCATGGGCAAGTCTCCGATGGCAAGGCAAGGCGGGGGACAGAAGTCAGAATCCTTGCTACTTGGTGGACACTAAAGTCATATGGTGCAGGCGTCTCTGCGTCTTGACTGGATACCGTCTGTGACTGCCACGTTTTGATCCGCCGCACATGGGGAGATGAAGAGGCGTGCCTGGACAATCATCCGTCCACCATCTCGCAATGTTAGCGTATCAACTACGAAGTGCCAGCATCGTATCGCATACTAGTAAAGGCAGGTAAAGGCGGGTAATTCAGGCGTGCCTTGCTCCCTGGCTTCAATGCTTCAACTGCCCGAGAGACTCATGGATGGATGTCGTGGAAACACGCCACACACAGTTGGTAAGCAAACACCTCCTCAGCCCCCTCATGGTACCCAACAGATAATAACAAGGCGCTACTGTTCAGGCCTGAAAAGTGATCACGAGGCCCTCACGTGTGCTGCTGGACTTGCTTGTGCCCAAGATATGCTATGTACATATGTAACTATCTGGCTCATCCTGGCCCATCATCAACCGCCATGAAATGAAACCAACAGGGATCCGGGCGTATTACGACTTATAATCTACCCGCTCGGACCAGAGGCGCAGCCCTCCCTGATAGGCCGGAAGCATCACATGTCTCTTGATGTTTAACCGCATCACCACGTTTTCGGAGACTGTGATAGGAGGAAAAACGAAGGTCGAAACGGGCCAAACACAGCACAGACTGGATATTCCCCGACCTTTATGCCTCTTTGAAACTCTTCAGTCTCCCCCGCTTGCGCAGCTTCCGCAGCTGCATAACTACTACACTAGTTAGTATGTTGCGTGCCGCTCGGGGAGGATCTCGGATGCTGCCGGGGTGCTTCTAGACCTCCCTTGACGCCTCCAAAACTGCAAGCATCAGCGTGTGTCACATCGTGGGCCTCATAGTTACCTCGTTGGTACTTGGTGGTTACCCAGTAGCGCTGAGGTGTTGCTACCTACCTACCTGTCCTTAGCCGGCTGCAGTTATCTTCATCATAAGGCATCATCGTTGTCGTCGAGCTGGTCGCACTACCGCGCCACCGATAGACTGAGCTGAGCCGGCTTTGATCCCGTTTGCAAAATGTTGCTGACAGCTGTGCCTCGGCTGCCTGAGGAAGGCATTGCTGTCTCGGATCCTTGACCATATCCATGACCATACAGGTACTGTGCTGCAAAGGACAGAGTTCATATCCACAACAGCGATGTAAGCGAGCACAGTATTATTGGCATGGTTGTCTGCGCGCCCGCAGGGCCAAATGTTACTCCCGAACCCTGCTCATCAGCCCAGTGCCACGGGTCTGGCTCATCCGACCTCTGCCCGTAGGCTATTTGAAAAACCTGTAGGCGCGCGCACAAATTATCTGCAGGAGAATCTTGTCTGGGGATTATCCCCTGCACGACGTGAGAACATCATACTATCGTGGCCTGGGAGCCATGACGTTAGAGGTGAACACCAACACTGATGAAACCAGGAGGCAGACTCTCTACATATCAAGTACCCTCGGATGTACCAAGCAGGTACTCGCCCTAGTTGCGCCCAAAATCCTTGGTGATTGTGACTGGTCTTATGCCAACGATTGGCTCAAAGTTTGCGAAACCCAGCCCCGGCATTTAGCGCAACGGAAAGGCAAAAAGGGCTCTTTGCCTTGGATTGCCCCGAATCGCCAAGCTGTTTGCTGCCACCACCGGGCTCTTCCTTCTCGGCAGTTGGCTTGTCAAAGAAGCCTCTGGTGGAAAACACAGAGAACGAACGAGCTGCTAGCAATTAGGGGACCCCTCATCTTGACGGACCGGAAATGCCTGCTAGTGTCTGGCAGGGAACAGATAAAGGGACTAATCTTTAACGGTGGATCTTCAAGGTTCCACTTCGGTCTTAACCGTCTCTCTCTTAAGCCAAACAAAGGGTCATGGCTCCGTCTGGAATCAAAGTCCAACCCAACTCTTACCCACACTCTTCCTAGGGCACCATGTATGACGACGATGACACCACGTTTTCGCTGGTGTCGACGGCGTCGGTGACGGATGCTACGAGCATCACCACGCGGACCGAACTCGAGCTCGACCATGCCGATGAAGACGACGCCGAATTTGCGGGCGTCAGCGATGTGACCAGCGATTTTGAGAGCGGCTGGGAGGTTTCATCGGGGCCGTCAACCTCGGTCCCCCCCAGCGTTTACGAGGATGAGATTGCCTACGGCCGACGTTATCATGGCTTCCGCAGAGGCATCTATCCTATGCCCAACGATGAAGTCGAGCGTCACAGGGAGGAAACGGTCCACGCCCTGTTTCTTCAGCTAATGGTATGTCCGGGGAAGCGGGGAATATTGGTTATCATGTTGTGATCTTCTTTGGCTTCACGCTGGCGTGTGCCATCGATGCCATCAACGCCGTCGGCCTCGTCGGGGCAACTGGGTAATCGAATCGAATGCTCACATGTTTGGGCTGTAGGGCGGACATTTATTCTATGCCAACATTGGCGGCCATCCCCAGAAGATCATTGACATCGGAACCGGCATTGGTGAGTAACGCACACAGTTTTCGCATTCGCTCAAATGCTAATCAGCCGACGAACAGGAATCTGGCCCATAGATGGTACTGCAATTCTTTATGCCCTCATGTATACGTTTACTGGCGCATCAGTTCATCTTTTGCACGCGTGACTAACTGATGTCCTCCTGGTAGTCGCTGATCAGCATCCGAGCGCGAGTGTCATTGGCACCGATCTATCGCCAATCCAGCCATCATGGGTACCCATCAACGTCCGTATGTTTATCGAGGACAGCGAAGAACCCGAATGGCTCCACGGCTCCGAATTCGACCTGGTTCACTTCCGGCAGATGACGGATGTTTTGCGAGACCTGAAGGGGCTCCTTACCAAGATCTACCCGTTTGTTTCCGCCTTCCACAATGCAAAGCCATCGGGTTGTAAAGGAAGTGACTGATGATGGGAGGATAGGCATGTCAAGAACGGTGGATGGGTTGAGTTTCATGAACTCATGACGGAGATCCGATGCGACGATGGAACCATGAAAGACGACGATCCCCTCAAGGTGTTTCTCGATACTGTGAAAAACGGCCTGCGAGTTTACGGCATTAATATCCTCGCCATTACGGAGCTTGAGCAGATCCTTCGAGAGACCGGCTTTACAAATGTCCACTGCATCACAAAAAAGGTTCCGATCTCGACTTGGCCGCGCGACAAGACTCTGCGAGCCCTCGGTGTCTTTATGAAGACGACTATTAACGACTCCCTTGGAGCCATGGCAGCGAAGCCTCTGGCTGCGCTAAACCTATCCCCAGAACAACGAATCGCCATGCTGGAAGCAGCCCGAGAAAGCCTCGAGGATGACAACATCCACCGCTATGTCAACTGTTGCGTCTGTTACGCCCAAAAAAGAGAAGGCCACTATGCCGAGTCTCTATATTGAACGGCCTTGTTGTATTCTTTTATGGTGTTTTGCTATGATTGATCACGGAACTTTTCTACTTTGGATGGAAACACAACCTCAACCGGGCTTGAACTCTTGCCTCGTACTTGTGGCAGTTGGATGGATTTTTTTTATTTTCCCTTTTCCTTTACGCGGAGTTGCTACGGGATTCTTCATTAGAGATTGCGTACACGGGCTTGTTGCTGGTATCAAAAAGCTTTGCGAGTCTGTTTGTTTGTTTATGACAAGGATGGCCTCTCTCTTTCCCTCGCCCTCTCTCGTTTTCACCCACACTCTTTTTCTTCTGGTTCACAATGGATATTTTGACACTTATACTGTATTATAATACCCTCGGCATTGCAATGCCGCTTATTGATAGGCTTCATTTCGCATAGCCACTCATCTCGGCTTCGGGGATATTGCCCGAAGATGGTCGCTATTTGGCGAGCCCTACGAGGCCAACACGGTCAATATAGTTTTGATGCTGAGTCATCTACATTTGAAGTTGTAACCTCGTCCTATTGTATTTCTTTTACAAATATGTTTTCCGTCCCTATCTGGGTAGCACACTTAATCTCAAATATTCATAGCTTGGCCACTTCTTTGAGATGAGAGAGTGATGGTGGCGTGGCTGACACATGCGCCACTAGTGGCTGAAGCTTTCGGGTGCAATTGAACCACTGTTAAGCACCAGCCTTAATCAAAGCTTCAACTTCAACTTTTCGCCCTCTCATCACCATAAACATCTCCACGAAACGCTCCAACGCCCTCACACTGTCATCTTGTGCCACTCAACCCAGTATTTGAGACTTCGCCATTCCTCGAATCTTACCATCGAAAACCAATTCCTAACATCTCCGTCAAGACGGGCGTCTCTGCCCACTCCACCACCACAATGGCCACGACCACGCACGCCAAAGACGTCGCCGCCATCCTCAACCACACCGCGCGGCCCTACAACTTCCGCTTCTCGCCGTTCCTCCGCCAGACATACCAGGTCGGCCTCCCGCCCGACAGGCCCGCATGCAAGGCGTTCCAGGCGGGCAGCTGCCCCAACGGCACGCGCTGCGCCGAGCGGCACGTCTCAGACGGGCGCTCCAAGGACCAGCAGCAGCCGTCGGGCGGGCTCAACTCGCTCGTGTGCAAGCACTGGCTGCGCGGCCTGTGCAAGAAGGGCGAGCACTGCGAGTTTCTGCACGAGTACAACCTGCGCAAGATGCCCGAGTGCAACTTCTTCATGCGCAACGGCTACTGCTCCAACGGCGAGGAGTGTCTGTACCTGCACGTCGATCCGCTGTCCAAGCTGCCGCCGTGCCCGCACTACGACATGGGGTTCTGTCCGCTGGGCCCGCTGTGCTCGAAGAAGCATGTGCGGAGGAAGCTCTGCCCGTATTACCTGGCGGGTTTTTGCCCTGACGGGCTGGAGTGCAAGACGGGGGCGCATCCGAAGTGGTCCAAGGATCTGGAGAAGCCGGTAGCTAAGAGCGCGGAAAAGACAGAGGACGAAACGAAGCTGGAGGTGCAACAGTTTAGGGACGACGAGGGGGATCGCTTCAGAGACGGGAGGGGGGATCGTGACGGCCGTGAAGGCAGGGAGGATCGGGGCCATGGGCGGCATGGCCGGGGAGGAGGCGGGAGATGGAGAGGAGGAGGTGGACGAGGAAGGTTTAGGGGCAGGGGACACTGAGATGCTGAAATGTGGTGATGGTGCGAGGAAGAAGAGGGGAGAAGATCAAACGAAGCCAGGGCTCATGGCCGTTACGATACATTTACGACTTTTTTCGAGTCCTTTATGATACCCTGTTGGGATGGAGGCTATGGCGGGGAAGGAACACGAATCCAAAATGGGCGTTACACACATATACATATATACTTTGAACAACACCAGTCTGTATAGAGAGGACAGCATTATCAATGAAATAATCTGAATGAATGAATTTGAGTCAATAAAGTCGTGAGCGTATCTATGTACCGTCGATGAAATCAGAGTGGGTTTCCTTCCATGCATACATAAAACATCCAAATCGTTAAATACGGGTCTTTCAACATATATACCCATAGGTTTCCAGCTCAGGCCATGCTGTTCCGGCAGGCTGTTTGCGTCATCAGTTTCAAGGAAAATAAAACCGGCTTCTGCCTTTTTTTTTCTCGGTTCTTTTCATTTCTGTTTTTTTTGGTTCTTCTTTATTTTCATTTACCCTTTAAGTCTTTCAAGGAGCGGGGGAATCAGAAGGAGGCTGATCCCACTTGGCCGTCTCGCCCGAGTTCCAGACGTTGCCCTCAGACTGGACGGCGATAAACTCCTTGGACTCGGAGATGGATCCCTCGCCGCCCTCCTCGCCGTCGTCGCTGCCGTCCTCGGAGCCCTCGTACGAGCTCGTCTTCCAGGTGGACAGCTCGTCGACCTTGCGGATGCCCATCATCCAAGAGACGATGCTTCGGGGAGCCCATCGTCCGACGAATCCGTAGATGCTGGCGCCGAGGCCAATGCGAACGGTGTCAGACTTGACGGAGCCGTCGATGACGTCGAAGACAGTGGCGTGGAGGTGTCGCAGGGAGCTACCCTTGAGGCCTCGGATGCGGGCTCCGGAGATGGCCGACGCGGTCTGGGCGACGAAGTTTCGTCCGTAGACGTGTCTAGCACCGTCGGGCCAGACGAGCGTGTCCTCGGGGTTTCCTGCGCTGGTCACCAGGCCCTGGGTTGGCGAGCCGGTGCGGATCGGCACGAAGCCGGAGAAGTCGAAGGTACCGAGCTGCATGTGGGTCACGGGGATGTCGAGAGGTCGCAGTTCGGCCGTCAGGACCTCGGTGAAGGCCGACAGAGCGGAGCAGACTGTAGCTTCGGGGGCGTGGAAGGGCGGGTTGATGGAAGAGATGATGGAGGGGGTGAAGACGAGGACCTTGGGAGGAACCCATTTCTCTCCGATGGGGCCAAGCCTTGATGTGAGCAGCGGGAGGAATGTCTGGATGGTGAGGATGGGCTGCAGCAGGTGGGTGTTGAAGAGGTCGGCAAAGGCTGATGGCGGGATGGTGGCGATGGGAGAGGTCTGGTAGTGAAGGCTGGGGATCAAGAAGACGGATTTGAGCGTCAGCTGGTTGGGCTTGATGTTGGGTCCGGGAGCTCTGGGAGATGTGAGGAAGTGAGCAAAGCGCTCGATGGCCAGGCCGGCATTGGGAGGCTAGATGGAATAGGCAATTAGCAATCTTGCTTTCACATGCAAAACTTGGGACTTATACAGTCGTCCTCAAATCACCAAAGTGAGTCATGATGAGGACAATTGGGTAAGACTCACATTTGTGGTATCAATGGTGAGGGGCATAATGTCAGCACGAGAAAAGGACTTGACTGCGGCCTCGTCTTCAGGTGCATTGCACACGATGAAGACAATGAAGCCACGCCTCTCCATATCCAGAGCCAGCGACTTGGTCAGCGGCAGTCGAGGCGACCCCGCGATAACGACAACCTCGGAGCGGCCGCCATTCTTGCTTCGCTTGGCCCTCCGTACCTTTCGCACATATTTGTTCTGCTGGTAGCCCTTGTAGGCGACGGTGGTGGTGATCACGACGGCGGCACCGATCAAGTACTTGTTCCTCGAGAACCAGTTCTGCAGCTTCTCTATCGTCGACAGCGGCACGACGATAACCTCGGGCTTGGGCGGGGGCAGAGGCTTCACGATGTCAGGCAGCCAGTCGACCGTCGCCAGCCTCTCGCGAACGACCTCGGAGGCCTTGTCGACGCCCTTGTCGATGTACTCGGCGGCATTGTCCGTGACCCGACGAAAGGTGCCCGAGATGGTTGAGAGCTAGAGGGAAATTCTGAGTTAGCCGCGGCTACAAGGCTTTTGCCGCTGAGGCGAGAAAGAGGAGGGCAATCCTTACCACGTCCATCACCTGGTTGTTTTCGGTTGCCATGATGGGGGGGCTCTGGCTCTGGCCTGAAGCGTGGGGAAGAGAAGACGGGGAAGGAAGAGGAGGAGGAGAGGAAGAAGAAGAGAAGAGAAAAAAAAAGCTCGAGTTGGGCTCTGAGCCTGATGACGGTATTCAGAGCAGAGGCTTTCACAAGAAGGTGTGGAGACGGCCAGCTGGTCCGGTCGGGTCCCGGAGGCGGCTTTAGTGGGATGGGAGAAGGGAAGCGAGCGCTATAGGGCGCTATAAGGCGCTATAGGGCGGCGAGCGGTCCTGTGATTGGCGGTGGCTGCACGGCTAGGGGGGACAGGACCAGCTGTCTAGGGCTAGTGGGCGGCACTCAGCATGGGGGAGGAAGCCGGACGAGAAAAATACTGCTGCTACTAGTTGGAACACAATACATGGGTGTAATACAGGCTTGATAAGGAACGGTACGATGGAAAATAAGAGGGCTGGGAGGAGGAATTGCTCTGATGGCGGTTGAAGCAGCAACTTGGGACAAGCACCTTAAGGCACGTATGCATGAGCCATGTCCCAAGATGAGGGGAATTGGGTTCTCACGACTGCTGAATTACACATCATGGACACACGTCGAGCACCTCACACGTGTCACATGTGGGCACTTGATTCAACTCTGCAGCTCACCGCTCAGGGCGCTGAGACGCTGGCTAGCCCCATATAATGCAGAGAGGATGAACCAAAGCCGCATTGATGTTTGCTTTTGGACAAGGTACGAGATACGGGGTACTGTAGAGGACGGCGCCATTTCAAGGGGTTGGTGCGTCTATAGTATCTTAGGCACGTCCATTCAATGGCCGTTACAAGACTCTCCCCCTTCATCATCTCTGCACTCCCAAAGAGGAACAAATCACCAGACACCATGATTATACTCATACAGGCCCATACTTTAACCCGGTCTCCTCCAGTCCCCTTTCTCTGCCCCTCCGGCTCTCTGCCCCTCCCGGTCTCCATGTATGTGCATGTCCCTGTATCCGACGTGTAGATACACACATGTATCCATGTAAGGCATTGATGTATACTACCTACATGTATGTAGGCCTCGCTCGCTCGCATATCAAAACAATGGGGTATCGTCGTTCAACTGCATGTGTCATATCCACCCTAAGCCGATCCTAGACAAACGAAACGTACACAAGCGGGGTGACATATGCAGCGTATGTGCTGGGCTTGAAATACTGCGTCCACGTCAGATAGATGCCGTCGTCATACTCGCGCAGCAGGTGAGGATGCGCTTGCAGGCTGTACGACGGCAGGTCTCCATCGCCGTTGGGCCCTGAATAGAGGAGATACGGGCTCGTCCAGGGTCCTTCTGGGCTTGGGGCCGTCGCGATGTAAAAGTCGGCCGAAACGCTGAGGCTGGCCTGGCCGATCCAGACGTACGACTGGGCTCGATCTGAGTAGTAAAAGGTCCCTTGCCCTGTTGTTCCGGCATTGGGGATTGCGGCAGTTGGGTCGTCGATGGCGGGCTTGGTGCTTGTCCACCTGCGACGCACGTAGTATTCGTATTGGCTCTTGTTCTCGATGCAGTCGACGGGGACCCTTGCTAAAGCGACGCCTCCCGGGTGCAGCAGTCCAAAGAGATAGGCATACTCGCCTCTGACTACATTGCCATAGGTTCCATATGCAATCTCGTGATCCCCCCAGAAGTTGCCATCCACAGTTGCGACAGCCGGAAGCACATCCGGGTTGGGGTCGGGCGTGTATGTCATCTTGTAAAGCGTGGTAGAAGGCTGAGGTGTCAATAGCTCCAAGCTGCTACTGGCCATCCGGTTGTTGGACACCCAAGTATATGCCGTGACAGTTCCATCCAGAGCCGTTTCCGTGACCATTGGTGGTGAGTCTGGCCATGCTGTCCATCTGCTTGCCCCGTCATCACATGCCCCAGAGTTTGGGCACATGTTGAGGCCCAAGGGGTAGAATGTGGGAAGAGTCGGCCGCGGGCCATTCATCAAGAGAATGCTATTGGCGCCATCTGACCCTGCTCCTACTGGTCCTCCTACCTGAATAGCAGGTGCATCGTCTTGCTGATGGTCGGTCCAGCCGGCCGTGTTGGCAAAGACGTAGGCAAACTGGTTGGTGCCGGGGATGCGGACAGAAGTGTCTCGACAAGTCCAAAGGGTGCGGGATCCCATCTTGACTGAGCCGCATGAATCACGGCTGAGGTCGGGATCCGTCACATTGGCCAGGACTGTTGCGCTCTTGGCCTGGGGCATATAATGCGGTGTCAAGGTTGGCTTCTGCGAAATAACAAAGACCTTCTTGTCGTCATATTGAATAGGGGCCGCATAAGCAACATATGCGGCCAAGAGAGTCGTCAGAAAGAGAAAAACGTGCATCATTCGCCGTTGAAGCGTAGTACGCAACGAACAAGAAGTGCCCGGGGAAGAACGACAGTTGTATCTTGAAAGAAAGGAGAGAAAAGCAAGATAAGAAGTCAACTATACGGATAATCAAAGTTCTTCACCAGACAAAAATAGGGTCCCAACAATAGTTCAGATCCCCCAAAAAGAATGTAAAGTGGCGTCTTGGGTACCAGCCCAGACTTTCAGTGGACTTGATGGCACTCGGAGTGAGTAAAGGTACGAGGCCCGCCGTCCAAGAACAAAAAGAAAAGAAAAAAGCATCGCCACTGGTAGCGTTCAATATATGCAAAAGACAACTCACACCCTTGGCGCGTGGCAGCTCGGCCCCTGTCATTCGTTGCCCTTCTTGGACTCTCGATAAGGCAGCGTCGCAACGTATCTGGAGACTCGTTTTAGTAACCCGAGTCAAGGCTCCTATTGCTTCAAATTGCTCAGAGGCTCCAAGCAAGACGGCCGATTAGGCCCATAGTTTTTTGCTAGAGCCAACAACGAGATGCAGATAGTTTCAACCATGGCCCACACAGCGCCACCCTCTTACTTTGAGGGGAAGATTTGAGTGAAACAATTGTTAATCTGGTTTGTGGTGAGATAATCGAGGTACAGAGTGGCTCATCCTGGTGGGAATAAAGGCGGTGCAAGAACGGAATAGACGACCGACTAGGTAAAGACGAAGCCGATCTCCAGCTAGGTCGCTAGCTTGAAACTATCATCTCGCCCTACTAATACCCAGGATTTGATTTGGAGAAGGATTGAAGAGAAAAAAGGTAGTGAAGTGGGGTGGTAGGCCATATATTGTGATAAGGGAAGAGCCTATTTTGATCTCTGTAGATATTTCCTGCTAGTGTGGCGAGCTCTGTCTATAGGCGTGCAAGCTTGCATTGGCACGTGTAGCTGGGGCTTGGAAAACAAGTAAATACATGTAATAGGCGCGCCCTTTCTGTCCTTGAGAATCATAAGCTAGATGAGCAACCCTGCCTAGATCTAAAGAGAATTGCCCATAATACTCGGAGGAAAATTAATATTGATTGGACTGGTTGGATGCTGTCTGGATGCTGGTTTATATCTGGCTTGCACCTGGCTTACAACTTGTCTTGAATTACCGGAGCGATGAACCGCGCCATTGGATTCCAGATGCGGGGAAACTTGATCTGCATAGCATCAGGTGTTTCCATTATCGAGCCGATGCCTTTGATAGCTGTAGGGCGTGTCGTCTTGTGAGATTCATGCAATGATTAGTCCATTAAGGTCAGTGGCCAACTTTATCCTCTGAAATTGGATTTTTACCGGGCTGAACTGGCACTCGTTTGTCAATAGCTTCATACAATCTCAGTAATGTTTCTCCTGGAATATCTTCAACACAGGCTAGACTGGTACGATTCATGGCCCCATTTCTCTACACATGTGTTCACCTCAAACGAAAATCATCCTTGTTTCTGACGAAGTTATTAGTCGTTTCAAGCAAAGCCAGCGAGCTGCCAAAATCAGAGCCCTCCCAGGATGCCATGGCCCCTTCAGCGTCATAGACCGAGAGACCATCAACAAACCAATCGAGAACCTCGTCCTCGAAGTACACAAGGACGCTGGCCGAGCCGATGAGATTTTGAACACGTACGCCAAAGTTGCTGTCAGGGCACACGAAAAGACCAACTGCTTAACTGAGGTTATGATACCTTCCGCGGAGCAATGGCTCAAAGATGGATCGATTAATCTGAGTGGCCCTCTGGCAGGTATTCCTGTCAGTCTCAAGGATACTGTAGATGTAGCAAGGTATGACTCCTCGGTTGGATTTAGCAAGTTCGTTGGCGAGTACGTTGGCGACGTGAAAACAGAGGACGGGGGAATGACGAAGCTGCTGAAAGACGCCGGAGCCGTACCGTATGTCAACACCAACGTTCCCGTAACGTTGTTGAGCTTCGAGTCCAGCAACGACGTTTGGGGCCGATCTACCAATCCTTACAATAGCAAGTACGCGCCGGGAGGTTCTACCGGTGGCGAGGGTGCGCTGCTCGCTCTCGGCGGCAGAACTGGAATCGGGAGCGACGTCGCAGGCAGTGTCCGATGTCCCGCTCATTATTCGGGTATATATTCTCTTAAATGTTTTACAGGCCGATGGATGAAGCTGGGAGCAAGCACGTCGATGCCGGGTCAGGATGGTGTCCCTTCGGTTTACTCCCCGATGGCTCGGACCTTGGATGATCTCACGTATTTTACTCGATCCATTATTTGGATGAAACCATGGACATATGACTACTCGGTGCATCCTCTTCCATGGAGATCTGAAATTGAACAGGAAATCCTACAAAACGGCAGACCCAGGGTTGGAGTCTTCCGGACAGATGGTGTCGTAGACCCCAGTCCTGCTTGCAGAAGGGCCCTTGAGATGGCTGAGACGGCTCTTCGCAATGCCGGCCACGAGATTGTTGAGATTAACCCTCCATCGCCATATAAGGCTTTGCAATTTGTATCCCACCTCTTGTGCAGCGATGGGCTGAAAACGGTTCACTCCTTTTTCCGCAGGGGAGAGTCTAATGACCCCGGCGTTGTACGAATGCGCTTCTACATGCGACTTCCCCGACCCATCAAGTATCTGCATTATCTTTGGGTAAAATACATCCAGAGGGATCCTCTGTGAGCAGACCTCCTTTACAACTGGCATGCCAAGGATGTCCATGAGTATTGGCAGCTCATTGCCAAGCGAGAGGCTTACAAGAGAAGATGGTTCGAGTGGTGGGAAGATGCCAAGATTGACTTTCTCATTGCTCCGCCTAACGCACTGCCTGCGGTTCCTCATAATGGGATGCACGATGCTGCGAGCAGTTGTGGATACACCTTTCTCTTTAATTTGGTGGGTGCTCTTGGATGGCGACATGTTACGTACGTTGGGTCAAGGAGTTACTAATGCCAAGTGCTTGCAGATTGACTACTCCGCGGGCGTGATGCCTGTGACCCATGTGGACAAAGAAAAGGACCAATTGCCAAGTACTTTTGATATCAAGAGACTCAACGGGATTGCTCGAGGCGCCTACAAGTTATATGATGCTGAGGATATGCATGGCCTGCCGGTTGGCGTCCAGGTTGTTGGACGGCGGCTGGAGGAGGAGAAGGTGTTGGCGGCTATGAAGAGAGTGGAAGATGCACTGGGTGGTAATAAATCTAAATTCATAGATCTCGATTAAATAGATGAGTCTGAATTGTTGACGCTTTCGATGTTGCTGCAAACACGTACGTTGGTGAATAGGTGTGATGAGCTAATGCGGTCCTCGCGGAGCAATGTATCTAATACTCACTACCTCCGTAAATACGTGTAAATCACGGGGCTCATATGCCTGTATATATTACACCAGTTCTCCCACGGTAACTCTGTATAAATATTTATGTTGTGTTTATCGGAACATTAATAGCGTGCATCTTGCCACCGAGCTCATGCAATCCAGACAAAATAGGAAACCTATCATGTAGCCAAATACGCAGGACTCAAAAACCCCTACCTTGTGAAGCAAAACGCCAAGTATTGCTGCTCTATAAACTTCACAAAGCTTCATGGTTCGCAGTTCCATTTGACCGTCCAGCCTCGGCTCCAAATATGAGTGATCCGACAGTGTTGACATGTCTTCTCGGCGTCTCCGACTCAGGTAGCCACACTAAGTATGCCTATGCATGTCGAGGGATATCGACACTCTTGAGGCTTAGTCCCTCGGTAAGGTGAACCAATCATCCTACAAAAACCCTTCATCAGCCATCTGTAAATGTGACAGCTTGGTTACCAGGGGGGTCCAGGACCTTTGGGGGGCAAGTATATCAGCTGTGCAAGGTGCTTTCTATAATACGCCGAGTACTTGGTTCAGTTCGGGGTACTCCCGTGCTATTAGACTATCTAGTAACCAATCAAATGTGAACTTGCGCATTGTACTTGTTTGTATCTGATTGTTTCTTTTGGTGGCTGTTTTACATTGATAAGTGACGGATATGCATCCCGAAAATGACAAATTTGTAAGCGAGCCTAATGCCCGCAAAGAACCATGAAGGTTCTAGATGCTGCCGAAGGATTCTCCATAAGACCATATTCTCATGCATTCTGTGCCGAAATGGGTTAACGAGCCCCGATTCCATAAGTGCGCATTCATGTATGAGATGCTCATATTTTTAACTTGGTGAGAGGTTAGTACCTGACACTTCTCAAACTAAACTGCTAGTGAAACGGCCAAGTCTGTGTAGACAAAAAGTTATTTATAGAATTTAAGTGATTTAATGATTCCCCTTCTTTCGTTATTTTGATAGATGTACTCCGTGTTCATTTGTCTTCAAGCTGGGTGTATTTCCCATGACCAGCTTTCCCGAAGTCATTCCTAGCACGGGCATTATCACATGCACACCGAAGACGGTGTTGGACCCTGTTATTCGCCTTTACATGCACCTTGAACGACATATTACTTCTTGCACTTATAAGAGATCACGAATTCATCGTTTTCATCTCTCTTCCTTTCCAACATAAACAAACCCCATATTCTAAGGGTTACACGCTGCCAATCATCTGACAATTTCCCGGCGTCGCTCATTCACCCAGCGCCCGGCTTAGTCATCAAGGGCCGCGTATACTTTGTGCCTTAGCTGTGTGATTAGAAACCGTCGAATCCTAATCATGATATTGCACCTTTTGCCATCGGGGAATAGAAACGCCAGAGTCTGAAACGAGGTGCCGCGATTCAAGGCATCCGTTTGTGACGTGGCGAGTGTCTAGAAGAATCTTTGGGCGACTTGAAACCATGTAGACGCGATTCTTTTCTCTTCTTTTCTTCGCATTAGCCTGCAGCATCGCTTGATATCAACTTCCAGAGCGTCTGGTTTTAGACCACAGACACATCTTTATGCTTGATACCCTATACTTCAACAACTGTCAATATGCCGGAACATGACCCCTTGGTTCTATCATACTCTCACCTCGCACAGTTTCGCCGAGCTGATGAGGCACTGACCATCTTGAAGAAGGTGGCCTCCCTAGTGAAGCCAATCATGCGCAGTCGTGGGTGGAAAGTTGGGGAGCTGGTCGAGTTCTATCCCAACCAGCATAACTTACTTGGTGCGCGTGCACTTACGAATAACATAGTCAACTGACTCACCGACTGACTGACCAACTACAATAGGCCTAAATGTCAATCGTGGGATGAGAATATGTCTGCGGTTACGTTACCCGCAGGACCAGAATCAGTTCCTCCCAACCGAAAGTATCGTGGACACGATGCTACACGAACTATGTCACATTGTACATGGGCCTCATGATGCCAAGTTCCATGCTCTCTGGGACCAGCTGCGAGATGAATGGCAAGGGCTGCTTTTCAAGGGATACACGGGCGAAGGATTCTTGTCCGAGGGTCATCGGCTAGGTGGAAGACAGGCGCTGCCGACTCATGAGGTGCAGCGGCTTGCCCGAGCTGCCGCAGAAAAGCGCAAAGCTCACGAGCAGTTGACTCGCGGGTCAGGACAACGGCTTGGCGGAGGGGATATATCACGGCCGCCAAGGCCAGGTAGAAATCTACGCCAAGCAGCGGCAGCGGCGGCCGAGAAGCGCTCAAAGGCCCTCGAGGGCTGTGCCACGGACAAGCTGAGCGACAATGAGATCCAGATCATTGCAGATACCGCGTCGAAGAATGGATTCCGTACGCAGGCAGAAGAGGACGAGGCCAACGATCTTGCCATTGCGCAAGCCTTGTGGGAGATGGCGCAGGAGGACGACATGGCAAATATGGGTGGCTCATATGTGACCTCATCGCCTGCGGAAAAATTAATGACTGGAAACGGGAACAGGACGGTATCATTGGACGGCTCAAGGCCAAGACCAGGAGCGGGCAGCAGCAGCGGCAATCCTGGCACGAATAATAAGAGAGCAGTGCCTCCTCGTCTGCCTCCTCGTCCTAGCGAAGAGCGATTCTGGATCTGTTCGGTATGCACTCTGCATAACCCGCAGGACTTCTTGTGCTGCGATGCCTGCGGAGTGGAGCGAGGCGAGGCAACATTACACATACCGGTGACGCCGAGACAGCCCGGGCCGAGGCCAGCGGTGATTGACCTAACAGACAGCCCTCCAAAGAAGAAGACGAAGGCTCTCGAGACATTGCGAACAGCCCAGAGGCCACCAGCGTCGACATCGGCCTCGGGCGCCGTGTCGGCACCGGGCCCAGCTCAACCACCTCCTCCGCCCACTTGGCGCTGCGAGTTTTGCACGACGGAGATGGCGCGGCAGTGGTGGACCTGCTCGAACTGCGGACAGATGAAGTTTAATTCACGATAGGCTGACGAGCATGGCGCGATGCCACTGGCACTATTTCTGGCTAGGCAAGCCGAAGCCGAACCATACATACATGGACTACATGGACTGGAGAGAATGCGGTGAAGTTGCCCGTGTCTTTGGGGGGGCCCCATAAAAAACTGCTGGATGCAAATTTGTTTGCGGAATGGGATGGGAAAGCTTTACGAGCAGTACGGAGCACCAAGTAGCTACTACTACAAGTACTACTACTGTGGACTACGACTTGCAGGAGCCCTCCAAGACAAAAGCCAGGGTCTCTGGTGTGCTTTTTTTCTGGAGCCGGGTGGTATTAGGAAAAGCGCCGATTGGAAAATGGAGTTAAGATCGCCTTGGTGGAGCTTTCGAGGCATGAGCCTTTTGATGCGATTTGCTGTCTAAGTCGAGCTGTGGTGTTGGAGTTTTCGGAGGGGAACAAAGGGAGCCAGCGAAGTACTTGCTGCGGGTTTATATGTATGCATTTAGGCCATCAGTTTAATGAAAGATTTTGTCTAAATGCAAGCTGCATGATGGGTACTCGTACGAGATGGCAAAGGGGACGACTGGGAGTTGGTGGTTGGTACGGACCTCGCTCCGTCTTGTGTTAGTGCTGCTGATAGCCTACTGTAGTCGGAGAAATGAATTGTGAATTGTCGCATCTCGGAAAAAAGTACAACGAGGTACGCGGCATGTACAAGTAAGACAGACAGAGACCTACGAGTATACCAAGGTCGAAGGAGGTCTGATGGGCTCCGGATACCGGATACCGGTACACGTATTCGGTGCTAGCCCTTTGGTCCCCTGGGAGGCCATGTCACAGCTACTGCTGCTAGTATTACGGTAAGATTCTCAGCGGCTACGATGGGCAGATGGCTTGCTATCAGCCGGTAAGCTTCGTCCGTCTCAATGGAAAACACGATGCCAACATGTCTCAGCTCACCTCTGCTCGATCCGGGTCACCAGACTCCCCGTCGCAACTCCACCAGCAGCTCTAGAAGCAGCCTCCATACTTTTTGGCCCACGACTCCATAACCCGAAGCCGTGTTCTAGACAACGGGTGGATCCGAGCTTTGCTCAGCATCGGGAGGACCCTGGTCTGCAAACAGGGTTAGCAGGGGTTGCGAGTGAGGCTTGTCATGCAGCCAAAGAGCCAGGCCCCTGCAAGGCCAAAGGGACGAGAGAACAGCTGCGAGAGAGACAAAAAAGAGAGCAAAAAAAGAGGTGCTGGCCTGGGCAAAAAAAAGGCAAAAAATTCCAGGGATCGTCCAACTCTGGCAAATCGCCCCGTCTGATTGGATCCAGGGGCAGAACACATTGATTCCCCCTCCTTTCCCAGCTCTGCATCCTTGCTCGGATCGCGCTCATTCGCCGAGCCTCGTTGCTCTGGCTTTCTCGCCGGCGCTCTCTGCTCGATCTGACGGAGGGGCCTGGCGACACACAGGCACAATCAAGGCGGCTTGCTAGCTTTTACCTAAGCCCTGCGGACTGTGCCCCTTGCGCCCGTCGCAAGAGGACAGAGGACAGAGGACAGAGGACGAGGAGGATGAGGGAGCGACGCCGCGGGCATCGGCCCCTCGTACAGTCACTTGGTTGATTTCCTGCTTGCTCTGCTTTGCATGGGCTAGAAACGCTGCAAGATCAGCGTCTCCGCATCTGCTGGCTGTCGGGTCGAGTCAGGTTTGCCTTGTCTGTACAAGTATAGCAGGGCAGCATCCAGACCTTGGGCGTCTCAGCAGAGAATCCATTTTAGCTGCAGTAGTGATTTGCATGTTGCAGGCCCAAACTCCCAAGCTTGTCGAGGCGAGCTGGGCCTGTACGGAGCCGGGCCTGGTCAAGCCAGTCAGATCGGGAGGGATTGCTGATGGTGGGAGCGGCCGCATTAGCATCCGGAATGTGATAGGACGGCAATTACAGGCCCAGACGGTGCCTTTTTGCGTCTGGTGTGTTTTGCCCGTCCACGCATCCAACTTTGTGCCCTAGCCGGGCCCATGGGAAAGTCAAATGGCAGAGGGGAAAATTCACGTTGGCCTGGGCAAGGCCCGATAGCAGAGACACCATCTAGGCTCATCGCGGAAGCGTTCATGCTAGACTCGTGTCGTTAGCCCTGGCGCCACTGCTGATCTCGTCCTGTCCTTGCAGCAAGCTTTCTGGCAGCTTGATTTTGGTTTTCGCCACCGCAGCTTGACAGGCGGATTGGAGTCGTGCCAATTTGTCATGTCCCACCGGCGCCTGTTTTTTTATTTCCACAAACCTGCTGCCCTGACAGATCATCGCAGTTAATACCCTCACAACAGGGCAAAAAAAAGAGGCGACGGATGGATGCCTCGCAGCAAGGACGGGTCACCGGGCATCCGTCCATCCATACGAGAAGGGACAATGTTAGTGTGCCCGCACCATGAAATGCTAGACAAACTAAGAGCACGGAGCCGCCCAGCAAAAAAAAAAGGCCAATGCCATCTTCCGGGTTCTCGTCTTGCTCGCCCTCTGGCCGTGGGCGTCTCACCTTGGGCACATGGACACCGAATTTGCGGTCTGGACGTACATGCAGATGCGCTGGGATGTTATATGTGAATATGACTGGTACCTTGGCAACTTGGGAGGCTGCATTGCTCCCAAAGGTCCACACCCTGTCTTGTCCTGCCCTTGTGTTTGCATGCGGCTGGCTCCCATCACACATCGATGCATGTACTTGTACAGTTACCGATTCCTTTTCATGTGTCAGTTGGCCCGCGTCTCCCGCCAGCCGAACCGAAACGCCCAGGGCAGAGGCGGGTTTCTCATTCGCCCAATGGGTAAATCAAAAGGCCTTTTTGCCGGGGCGTACCAAGTAAGACGGATTAATTGCAGAGATGAGAAGCTCAAGGCAGGGAGAGGTGATACTGGGCTAGCAGGCTTGTGAACGTTACAATAGGCGTTCTGCCAGGTTTATGCGGCAGTCCGGGATGAGTGAATCTGATCTGTACCTTGCTGTACTCGTACATCCAAGGTACTTCAAGGTTGTTTGAGGGAGCACTTGTTGAAATCAGACGTCTCAGCTCACCCACGGCCCACCTCGCCGGTCAATGGCACACTGATTGCAACAAAGCCACTACTCGCATGCTCTTTCACAGCACTGCCCCTGGCTCGTCGAACCGGGCTGGAGGCGCCCATGCCAGCTGCGTACAGGTCGAGCACTGGAGGTAGTGAATTGGAGGTGCTGTAGTGTCAGTGCCGTAATAGAGCTGGAGGCCACAAGTAGAGGGAGGTATTAGAGGTAATATAGTAGTACCGCCTTTGAAACCCCCAAACAAAGAGCACGCCGCAGTCTCGAATCGCCTCTCTCTCTCTCTCTCTCTCTCCCCCCCATTCACTCACACGCTCCTCCTCCCTCCTCCCTCTTTCTCCTCTGCGCCCTTGTTCACCACCTTACATACTCGCACCTGGATTTACGAGTTGCCTTTCCTTGCCTGTCTCAGCTCAGGGTCCCGTCGATTCTAGTCCCAAGCCATCAATCCTAGCCCAGCCCCAGTCCCCACGCTGTTCTGTTCGCGGCCCTCGACGGCGACAAGAATAGTCAGAAGCCACCAGGTCCGCTTCATTCAACCTCTGTTTCAACCCCCCCGCTTCCGGTCCGCAATTGATCCTCTTCTTCCCATCCAGCTGCCTTGTCAGCTTGTCACTTGTTCTCTGCCTCCCCCTTCCGCCCTCCATCGTCGTCCCGTCTGGCAGCCGGCAGCTCGCAAACTAGGCCGGACATTTTTATAAAACGGGCCTTGCCAGCTCGGCACTTGGCCCTCTTTGTCCGTGACTCCGTCTGCCCATCGCTTTTAACTTTTCACGACTCCAGGAAAACGCCCATCCGGCCATCGAATGGGTGGAGCCCAAGATCTGCAATATCACACGCCATTGCGATACCGGCATAGCTTCGTCAAGTAAAGCAGCACTAACGCATCGAGTCCTGGGTGCCGTGCTTCCCTTCTCCTTTGTGTCCGTGCCTCCAATTATTCAGCTTGCCATCATAAAACATCCCTTGTCGAGCTGGACTCTTGTCAGCTTGTGCTTGCCTCTGGGTGAAGCTGGGCAGGCCTCCGTCACTCCGCCACCATCCTCGACCTGCTCACGACAGTCTTTGGATCTCTCCGTTTCGAGTCCTGGACGACGAATCCCACTGCTGCCGCCTTGAAACAACCTGTCTAGGCTCGCTGCGCGCGTCTCCCTCATGCGTGGAATGCTGACGATATGACGTCCTTGGAAGATGCTCGCGAGAGCTCTCAAACTCGAGCGTCACAGTCTGCTCTAGCTCCCGCTCCCGCTGCTCACGATGCCCCGCGAGGTCCGCCGGATCTCGATCCCGACATCGTAGCGTCTATGAAAGACCGAGTGCCGTCCAAGGTGACCACGGCAGACATGAACAGCTATGTCGACCAGAGTCCTCGCTCTATGGGCGGTGGACGATTCCTCAGAGACCCTGGCGATGGAATCCGTTCCAAGTCCCAAAGCCCATTTCGCCTCTCCATGCCTTCAATATCGCCCGGCCAGGTTGCCTTTTCCGCAATGCAATACCTGCCTGTCCCTGTCATCATACTAAACAACCTCAAGACCGTTGTACTCGCCAACGAAGCCATGGGGAGGATGCTTGGCATCATCTCGGATGATTTGAGCGATGAGGATGTGTCGGCAACGATGGAGAAGTTGCGTGGTCAGACTCTGCCACAGGTAGGCATTGATATGATCCAGGATGGCCGCCCTGTATGGGTTACATGGGAGACCTTCCTCGACACCCTCATCACTGAAGTCGGCATACGGCCACCGGCCTCGAGCCAACAACGACGACAATCTCACTTTGGAGCCGCCGGCGACGCCACGCCAACTGCCACCACCGCTCTTACTGAGCAGGTCAAGCCCATCGAACGACCGACGCAGGATGCGACAGTAGAGGTCGTCATTACTAGAAAAGACATCACCAAAACCGCATTCAACAGCCGGTACAAGTCAAAAGAATCCGAATACCACGCCTTTGCCAAGATGATCATTACCGTCTGGGAAATCGAGGATAAGCAAATCTTCTTTACCTTGACCTTCACCAACACCCAGTCGGCTTCGCCGATGCCGCCCAGTAACCGAAGGGCCATCGCTCGATCCAGCATCCTTGAAGCTGTCGAGAAAAAGTCCATTGCCACCTCGAACCCATCGTCTGTCGCATCTAGTCGAGACTCCAGCTCGCCCCTGTTTTACAGCCCGGGCGTCATCACCATGTCTTCGAGCCCGTTCCCTCCCATGGGACCCCCGTCCATTGCATCTCATTCGCAAGCAAGCACGCCTTCCGTGCTCCAGAAAATGATTAGGATGAAGGACGCTCTCATTGATAACACGCAGATGCCTGTCGTTGCCATGTGGAAGGATGGCAGTGTAACATTTCCGAATAAAGCGGCCAGAGAGCTCTTCCCCGTCGATACCGATCTCGACTCGTCTAGCGATGGATTTCACCTGCTGCAAAAATGGAAAGTATGGAACGAAGATTTCACAAGGCAGCTGGATGTCAGCGAGTATCCAATCTCCACTTTACTTCGGACGGAGACGCCGTTCGACAGCAAGCGTATCGGCATGTACGCACGCAGCGGGAAGAAGATCATATTTGATGTGCTGGGAGAAGGCATCTACGATGAGACCACACACGAATTTCTCGCCGGCATAGTGACTGGGCGTGATGTGACAATGATGAGGGAGGAGATTACTCATATCAAAGAGCGTGACGAGGAGCGGTTCAAGATCATTTGCGACGCCATGCCGCAGCTTGTATGGACAGCACGCCCAAACGGAATGCACGATTTCTTCAATACGAAATGGTACGCGTACACCGGCCTGACTCCCGAGCAGTGTGTTGGCCTGAACTGGCAAGCTGCCATTCATCCTGACGAGTTGCCCGAGGCTCGCTCCCGGTGGAGTCGCTCTCTGGAAACTGGAGATCCCTATGTCATGGAATACCGTTGCCTTAGCAAGGAGGGAGAGTGGCGGTGGTTTCTCGGCCGTGCACTTGCTGTGCGCGACAAGGAAACGGGTAACATTGAGAAATGGTTTGGTACGTCTAATCTTTCTCGAGAGGAAAACCGAGTCACAAAGGAAGCTAACCATTTGACAACAATCCAATAGGAACTTGCACCGACATTCACGAGAGCATGCAGACGAAATTGAGTGCTAAGCGTACTCGCCAACAGTTGCTAAGCGTGATTGCCCACTCGCATACCACCATCTTCACTGTTGACCCCGAGCGCCGTGTTACGATGCTGGAGGGCGCCTTGATCTGGAACAGCGCCTCTGAAGACAACCACGAGAAAAGCAGGTGGTTTATTGGAGAGAACATGTACACAGTTTTCAACCGAATCTCGGGACGGGTGCTTGACGCAGAGCGTCTTAAGTGGCTTCAACCTATTGAGGACATTCTTGAAGGAAGGAGCAATGAAGATGTGAAGGAACATGCCCTCGGTGAGTTGAAAACAATGCTCCCCTCCCTCAGAGAATGGTAACAGAAAGATGTGGCGGGCTAACTGTTGGGGCGTTACAGACGACCGCTGGTATCGAACACGATTTCATCCAATGCTCGGCAAAAAGACCAAGGATGGGATGGCTACCAAGGAGACGTGTATTGAGGGGGCCATCGGTGTAATAATGGATGTCACTGAACTGAAAATCAGAGGGGAAGCCTTGCGAGAGCAGTCTAAGGAGAAGCGTCGCGCAATGGCAAATGAGGCTGCTGCTAAAGAAGCTACCAGGCTGAAGAGCCAGTTCTTGGCCAACATGTCCCACGAAATCAGGACGCCTATTACTGGGGTTCTTGGCATGGCAGAATTGTTGAGCGATATGGAGCTGAGTAAGGAGCAGCGTGAATATGTCGACAACATTCAAAGCTCCGCTACATCGCTGCTCACCGTAATCAACGATATCCTGGATTTTTCAAAGGTAGAATCGGGTCGCTTGGACATTGAAGAAGTCCAGTTTTCCCTCTCTCACATTGTTCAAGATGTGAGGAAGATGCTCAAGTTTGCTGTTGAACGGAAAAACCTAGATTTTCGATCCGACGTTGGGAAGGACATTGCCAATGAACGCGTGGTCCTTGGTGACCCCGGCCGGTTGCGGCAGATCATTACCAATCTCCTCACAAACAGCATCAAGTTCACCAATCAGGGATATGTGAGATTTTCGGTGGTCAAGGAGCGCGAAACGGCCGAGACAATCGAGGTTCGCTTTGTCATTGAAGACTCGGGAATTGGCATTGAGGACGATGTTCGCAAGAAGCTGTTTAAGCCGTTCAGCCAAGGTGATCCGTCTACGGCGCGGAAATTTGGCGGCACTGGACTGGGATTGACAATCTGCAAGAACTTGCTGGACCTGATGAATGGTCGCATCAAGTTGGAATCCAATGTGGGCTCGGGCACGAAAGCCACGTTTTGGATCCCTTTTATGAAGCCGACGGGAGCCCCAGCTCCTACGTTGGTAGAACCGGGGGCCATTCCCGACCGGCTGCAGTCTGAGCTGAGCCTGTCATGCAACAGCTCAGAATATGAGCAGGTGACAGGCGCTTCCCAAGGCTCGGATGGCGTTACGAGTAACTCTGCTGGCAAATCTCGTCGGCGCCCATCCCTACGGACGCCCCCTCCAGCCGAGCAGGAGCTGCCTCTATCCGAACGATCGCGATTGCATATATTGGTGGTAGAGGATAAGTAAGTGTTCACCCGGAGACCGCTTCTCCAGTATACTTTTCTTGCGGCTAATGCTAATATTTCCCCCCTCATTTTAGCCCGGTAAATCAAAAAATTGCCACACGTACAATTGGAAAGCTTGGCTTCCAGGTCTCGGCGACTTGGAATGGCAAAGAAGCGTTGGACTACATGATTGGCGCATCAAAGGGCCAAAACAAAATGCCCGACATTATACTAATGGATGTGCAGATGCCCATCATTGATGGTTACAAATGCACCCATCTTCTTCGACATCATCTTCCATACAAAACCCTTGTTCAAAATGTGCCCATCGTGGCCATGACTGCATCTGCAATCCACGGAGATCGTGAGAAGTGTACTAGAGCCGGCATGGACGACTATCTACCGAAACCGGTGACAATGAAGGTGTTGGAGAAGATGCTGATCAGATGGTCTCTGACACGGCGTCACCCCCAATCGGAGCCGCCTGCTTCTGATTGCTCCGAGATGGGTGAGCATTGTGACAATGCAGACATCCCGCATCTGGGCATCGAAGAGAGCGACCCATCTCCTCTTTCAGCATCTGAAGAATTTCATACTAGCCCAGTTACACCACGACCACTTACAACCAATGGAGAGCACGAGCCTTCGCCATTTGACTCTGCTATTGCGGTCGAAATGTCACCTCCAATCCGCCGACTTGAAGATGAGCAAGAGTGGTCGAACATGCTTCATGAGACGAAGCTCATTGATGCGGCCGGAGGTGTACCGGCCGACCTTCGCAACAATTCTCTTCCCGAGCCGGGTACAGGGGAGGCTCTGACTGAAGAGAATGTCAACAAGCTGGAGAACGGAACGGGGACCTGACCTCCGTCTCCTTGAATGGCGCAGTTTTCTCCTCAATTTGTTTTTCTTGTTGGTTTGAACAAAAGTTTTGGCTTCTTTATTTGAAAGAAGCGTCTGCCTCGGGCAGATACAGGCATCACGCATCATTATCAGGTGCTGAAATCTCACGATTACGACTTTTTGGCTGCGTTTTTTCTCCATTCGGTTTTCACTACGCTATTTTTGCTCTAAAGGAGGCGTTCAATAGGAGGACAGGTTGGAATTTTTGGGATGAAAAGGACTAGTATAGCATGCACAAAAGGGATAGGCTGGTGCCATTACGATCCGACGATGGTGGAACATTACAAGCTAAGGGGCTTTCTAGCCAAGGAAAAGGGTGAACGGCTGTAGATGGATCTTTCTATGTTTCTGTTTTTTTTTTTTTTTTTCTTTTTTGGGTTATACCTACAAGTGGAGCGAAATGTTGCTTTATTTTTCCATGATAGAATGGGAGACGGAAGGGCTTTGAAATTTATGGGAACGAGGGATAGGGATATGGAGCTGGGATGAGCGCATATATGCTGGATGAAAGGATGAAAGGATGATTTCGCTGAAGGTTACGGATCTGTGCTTGAAAATCGAGGATGTCATAATAAGCAAATACTACCAAGGCACATACCTACCTATATATATGGAATACTACCTATGCTCTGATACCTCCCAAGAAACGCTCTGTAGGATATGAGCAAATTGCGTCAACTTTTAAATGGAGAGAATACAGCTTACGTTATTGCAATGCTGCCAACGTTCAATTTTGAGAAGTCCTTCCTCTCTTTACAGCATCAATGAGACAGACTCTTGTACAGACTACATATGTGCGCAACAGACTGACTAAGACATTGCAAGTCACAGGTTCTTGGGCAGTTTGCGCCTTGTATCTTAGGCCACCACTCCCACAGTGCAGGCACGGCTTTTAGCGTCTTGTCCAACGACATTTTTTTCAACACCCAGAGAATTGATTGCGAAGTATCGCTCGCGCCCCTCGCACTTGACGAACCCGAAGTTTGCCTGGCGCAAATTCGATCAGACGCAAAGATCAGCACCTCGGACCGGAACTTTCCTCCATCTCCTCGACCGCAAACAAACGGAGAAGCAATCAAGCGACTCTCTTCCCACGCCCGCCACCGCAAGTTTTTCGACTTGTCGCCTCTTCACATCCCACCGCTGCCCCGCGATTTTGACTCCCGCCTCTGAAAGCTCCAAAATTTCGGCTTTCTTTTTTCTCTCTCTCTCGCTTCTCCTTCTTCAGCTTCTTCGCATTCCAACCAACACCCGAAATTGAATCACAGCCCCACAAGCACAATGGCTGCTGCTGCGATTGACACACCAAACATGGACCAGCAGGTCGACCTTTCCACCATCCCCATCTCCCCCAGCGACAACGAGCACGGGACCGAGGCCAAGGATGACGGCAAGCCTGTGACTGTGTTCCACGACAAGGACAACTTCACCGTCAAGCACCCCCTCCAGAGCAAGTGGACTCTGTGGTTCACCAAGCCACCGAGCGGAAAGGTATGGGCTGTCAAATGGAGCAAGCTTTTGAGCTGGCAGAATTTCGGGATCCTTTGATGAGGAGACGGAGCTAACATGTCGGTGTTGTGCTGTAGGGTGACAACTGGAATGACCTGCTGAAGGAGGTCATCACCTTCGACTCGGTTGAGGAGTTTTGGGGCGTATACGTAGGTCTATCCATTCCTTGCCCACAATTCTCGCACATGGCGACAATTCCCGGGCTTTCATGCTGTGTTTCCCACTGCTGACTCTTGCATTGCGCAGAACAACGTTGCTCCTGTTTCAGAACTTGCTCTCAAGTCCGATTACCACCTGTTCAAGGCTGGCGTTCGTCCTGAGTGGGAAGACCCCCAGAATAAGCATGGTGGCAAGTGGTCCTACCAGTACAAGGATAAGCGCAATGTCGATGTCGATCGCCTCTGGCTTCAGGTCATGATGGGTGCCATCGGTGAGACTCTCGAAGAGGAGGAGGATGGTGAGGTCATGGGCGTTGTCGTCAACGTCCGCAAGGGCTTCTATCGTATTGGTGTCTGGACTCGCACCATCGGAAAGAGCATCCCCGGACGAGGCGACGGAGATGTTGCTGGCGGAAAGGGCCGAAGCGGAGAGAAGGGTAAGGACATTCTTCTGTCTATTGGCCGGAAGTTCAAGGACACCCTCGAGCTCCCCGCCAACGAGCAGGTCGAGTTTTCCGGCCACACCGACAGTGCTCATGCTGGTAGCACCAGAGCCAAGGCCAAGTATGTCGTGTAGACGCTTGAGGAGAGGCTGTTTATAATATTGGACGGGGAAAAAGGGGGCCGCATTTATTACACCCACCTACCACAACCAGATATCCGTAGCACAACCCCGGTATGCACATCTGTCTTGAGGTCTTTCCTCCATGGGTTGGAAGGCCGGCCCGAAGAGCAGAGGTGGTTGGAGGCATGATTTACCTTTTCTTTTGTCGGATTCGGGTCGGGGTTTGCGCACGGCAAGGCTTGGGCTTGGCTTCTCGGGCAACTAATGACTCTGGGACGATGGCATCTTTCTCACATCTCATGACGGCGTTAGCTCAGGAGCTTTCGTTTTAATCTTTTTCTCCATGTTGAAACTCGCCAGAGCACCGCGCAAGATGGCAGATGCGGCCGGCGAGGGAGCAAACAGGAACCTTTATCCAAAAATAGATGTTTGATGTTCAGGCCAAGAATGATGTGCTATTTTTTATGCATTTTTTTTTATTCAAGAGATTTCTTTTACCATTTGATGTACTGCTGCTAACAGTAAAACAACCTGTGACTACCTACTAACTCTTGATCACTCCCCCGAGTCTCTCTTTCATTTAGATGTAGAGGTACTCGCTTACAGCTACCTACTAGGTAAATACCAGGCCTCCTCTATCCTTCACACCATACCTCTAGGTAATTCATACAAGTGATCAACAAATGGCAAAGAAAACTGTTACGAGTGAAATGAAAAGAGGTGCTCATGCTTCGTCGCCACTGTGCTCATCGGCAAAGATGGCCTTCACGAGCTGCTTCTTGTTGATCTTACCCATGGCGTTGCGCGGGATGCTGTCGACGACCTTCATGACCTGGGGGATCTTGTAGTTGGCAAGACGGCTCTTGAGCGCGCGGCGCATGTCCAGGGCCGACCACTTTTCGGCGACGGAGCGGTCGAGCACGATGACGGCGCCGACCTTGTGGCCCCACGAGCCGCTGGGCACGGCGACGACGGTGGCCTCGGCGACTTGCGGCAGGGAGAGGAGCTCGCGCTCAACCTCGAGGGCGCTGACCTTTTCGCCGCCCGTCTTGATGATGTCGGCGGACTTGCGGCCCTGGATAAAGTACAGGGGGCCCTGGGCCCAGGGCTGGGCGGCGGAGTTGAGGCCTGCGGTTGCGACGGGACGGCGGACGGCGACGTCGCCCGTCTTGAACCAGGGGCCATGGCCATCCGAGTCGGGAGCCGTAAACTCCTTTTCAGTGGCGGCCGGGTTACGCCAGTACTCCTTGAAGATGGTGGGACCACGGAGCTGGATCTCGCCAGAGCGCTCGCGGCCTTGGGCGTCGAGTTCCTGGCCGGGGAGGATGACTTCCGCAGTGTCGACGTCGACGAGGCGGGCCTGGACGGAGGGCAGGGGCCAGCCGACGGAAGCGTCGACACGATCGGCAAAGGACAGGCCGCAGGAGAGCGCCATGCCGACTTCGGTCATGCCGTAGCGCTCCAGGAGGACGTTGCCGTTGCTGAGCGAGGCCCAGGCCGTCTTGATGGGGGTAGGAAGGGCGGCCGAGCCGGAGATGTTGAGGCGCAAGTTGGAGGGAGAAACGGCCTGACGAGCGGCATCCTGGATGGGAGGGGGCAGGGACTTGTGGCTGTTGAGGAGACGGCTATAGATGGTTGGGACCGCGGTGAAGAAGGTGACTTTGGGCTTGGGAGAAGAAGACTTGGCGGCTGCGTCACCGTTGGTGGTGATGCCATTGGTCTCGGCGGAGGGAGAGAGGAAGGGGGCGGCCAGGCGATTCCAGACGGCGTCAGCGTTGAAGGGGAACATGAACTCAATGGATGACCCGGCGATCAGGGGCGTCAGGATGGCATTGACGACGCCATGGATGTGGTGGAGGGGAAGAAGATGGAGCAGGTGATCAGTGGGAGAGTATTCCCAAGCTTCGTGCAGAGAGCGGGCCTGGGCTGTCAAGACAGACTGGGGGAGCAGGACGCCTTTCTGGAGATGATTCTTAGAACGAGGCTCACGTGGACAGAAGGAGGGAGTGTACTAAGTGATTCTTACCGGCTTGTTGGTCGTCCCCGACGTGTAGAGCATGAGACCTGCTTGTCCCGGATTGGCATTGTCTTCCAAGGGAACATTCTCTCCCGTTGCAGCCGCACTTTCAGCATGCTTGGGCAGCTCCACGTGGGATGGCTTGGACGTCAAGTCTGCAGCCAAGACCTGCTGGGCCTTGGACGCAAACTTGGGCGAGGACACGAGCAACGAGGCCTCGCTGTGATTAAGAACATACTCTAGCTCGGGAATAGGAAAGGCTGGAGATAGGGGCACAGCTATTGAACGTGCGGCCAGAATGGCCAGGAGGGTGACTGTTTGATGTCCCGCGGACGAGGACGCGGGGACATGGTATCAGCGAGTTGTGCTCGTATACGCAGCAGGGGAGATACATGAAAAACACATCAAGGACAAGCTTTTGATCCTTGTATTTTTGATGTGTGTGTTTAAAGGGCTCGCTCACCTACGTAGTCGTAGCTATTCTCTACCAGCAGGGCCACTCTCTCGCCGTCCAGGTCGTCACCAGCGCTTTTCCCGCGCGCCTCCAGCAGCCGGGTCCGCGCTCGGCGCACATCGCCAAGCAGCTGGCCGTAGGTGAAGCGGCGGCCAGACAACGAGTGGACCACGGCGAGAGCTTCGGGATCGTGCCGAGCTACGGCTTCGAAGATGGCCAGACGAGGCAAGGCGGCAGACGTCGACGCCATCCTCATGC